GGCTTCTTGTTATAATTGGGGAAAAATCTTCGGAAAGATTAAGCAATGATGACCAGAAAAGCTATAAACGATACACAAATGAGTAAGAATCTTATTCGAATATTTCTAGATCAATAATAATAGAAAATTTTGAATTATATACTGTTAGTACTGTACCGAATTGGTCCTTCTTTGCTATACAACCATATCATAACCGAACACAAACGCATCTTTAATCCAAGGATGGTTTATAGGGGATAGTACAAACCTTTTTTTTCTTCTCTTTTCTTTTTTCAGTATAATCTAGGTACACTTCTAGATTGTATGCGTAAAATACGCGCTGAATGTTCTGTAATGCTAAATGCTTTTCAATATTTATACGGGCATGACATTCAACCTAGTCTGTTTTATTTTTCTTTCCTCCACTTTCTACTTCTTTGCTTTAATAAATACTTAATATACTATGGAGATTCTTGAACTTGTCAATAAAAATCAGAACCTTGGCGAAGATAGACATTTTAAATGTCCTCATTCAAGATGTACCAAGTCGTTTGGTAATTAGTCGGGATGATAAATCATAAACAAGTCAGAAGAAATCTGACATCTGTGTTTTTTTTTATTTAGGCCGACGTTCCGATTTAGAGAGACACTCTCTTATGCACACAACCCAGCGGTGCGTATCATATTTTTATGCACGGATTCCTTGATGTTATTTTCTTAAATTACTCATGTTGCTTTTGCTGCTGGTTTCTCTCTTTTAAAGACCCTTTCAATGTCACGAAAAAGGATGTGGGAAAAGTTTTATTCAGGTAAGAGCCAGAGTACCATTTAAGCTTTTAAGAGATAACCCAAGATTGTGGCATTATTAGCCATCTGCTTTAAAGGTTCATTTACGTACACACTCGGGAGAAAGACCACATGCATGTGAGTATCCTGGGTGTACCAAAAGCTTTAGCGACAGCAGCTCTCTCGCAAGACATAGGTATGACCTAGTTTAATTCTATGATAGAAATACGTTAATTAAAAACTCTGAACTTACCAAATTTAAACTTTATAGACGTATACACACTGGAAAGCGAACATATAAATGTCCGTTTAATGACTGCAACAAGGGCTTCATTCGAAAAAGTATACTGATAAAGCACATGAAGGCATCTCACATCATTGATGGGAAGCAATCTCGTGTTAAATGGAAACCGTTCTTGGAGGAACGCCGTGCCATGTTACAAAGGCAACAACACTCCCAACAACAACAGACTCAACAGGCTCAACAGGCTCAACAGGATCAACAGGATCAACAGGATCAACAGCACCAGCAGTACCAGCAGTACCAGCAGTACCAACAGCACCAACAACATCAGAATCAACAGCAGCAGCACCAGAATCAACAACAACAGCAACATCATTTGTGTAAATCTGTTAACTATGCATTTCCCTCGTTATGCTCTTGGGCACCGTATGATGCGTGTACAGATCTCATTGTATCTTCACTATCAGAATCCTTCGGGATTTTCTCATACTTTGAGGAGAAACCACTTTCTTCTCAAGCAACAAATTATTCCCACAGTTACGCAGACTACACCGACACGTATTCATACAGCCCGTCTATTTTGCTATACAAACGCAGCCCAGATATTTGTATGCCAAACTCGATGCTTACTTTAAAGCAGCCTAGTAGTATTGTGAGTGATGCAATTGATCTTCCTAGCCTTACTAGCTGTTTGGAGCCCTATGTGAGATACACCAACCGTTTTAATACCGACTTCGACTATAATACTTCGGCATACCGAGTTTAGACTTCGGATAAACAAAGACTTTTCAAAACTACGCCAACTATTTTTTTCATCGATAAACATGCTCACGATCACGACTACAACCGCAGCCACTATCACGTTCCTTTGTTTGACTTTTTTTATGGCCCGGAAAAATACTCCAACAGTGATCACATAAGCCAAAATTATTATTCACTTGTTTTCAGATATTTCATCATTCTCGTTCATTCCGTATATACATGCACTATAGCTGCTTTGTCTCTCCTTAAACTTACATATCAAATATATTTAAGCGTTTATTAACGTGTACTGAAATACTAGGAAATTCCGTTTATCTTTTATTTTAAAAAAATATTTCTTTACTTGAAAAACTAAACTATTCAATTATTGTATGTGGCTTCATAACACGACTCTATTTCTTTTCTTTTATTACTAGTTATTCCAGCCAATTCTGCTGTATTCTAGGACATCTACTGTTACATGGGCTAAAAATAAATATATCGTATGCTTCCCATAGGGTTGTTTATTAGACATTTGCACTACACAAAATAAAATAAAAGTATAAACATAATACCTCTATACAGGTACATTTTTTAAGCCATAAACGGACTAGTATATATCTTTCACCCAATTATATTACTGGCATTATTATATGGCAATTTGTTTTTGATAAACAACTAGAGTAGCAGGGTGTTACACGGCATAATTGCATATTATGTATTTATTTGACAACTAAAGGCACCATGAGAATAATATACTAAAGTGGCTTGATTTTTCTGTTTATAAAAAAAAGCAATAATACCTATACAATTTACAAATTCATAGGTATATTAATTGATATTTTATCCACGAAGTTTAAAAGATTTTATAAAGAATATCGTCTTGGTGTTCATATTTTTATATAATAATCATGATAAAAAGAGAATTTTGTGATCAAGGTATATTTTTATATATATTTTTAAACATCATTGATTTTATTTGTGATTTCTTATAGGCCTTTATGTATTGTAAGGTATTCTATGAGTAAAATAATAATAGTCTCATTATACTATCATTCAATAATTGATATATTAGTGTGGCTTAACGATATTTTTACTCTTTGCGTTGCTTATATATTTATATCTATAAAGACACTCATCTTTATTTTATTAACCTCTTTGCCGCTGTTTGAGACCTTGTCATAATATATACAAGTTCTTTTATACTAAATTTCCAGTACGTTAAACTGTATAATTTAAATAAAGTCCCGCGATTATTTGACACCTATATCAGATATACTTTTTGAAATCTGGTATTTTTACGGTTATATTAAAGTGTGCATCACTTTTTTTTTCAGAAGATGAATCTTCGCGTTATATATATATATATATCCAGGTTAATATAGTTACACTTGAGGGGTGCGTTTGTGCTTATACACTTAGTTTTGTCTCAGTCTATCTTGCTTATAAATCCTAATATTTTAAGTTAAACAGTATATTAAGCCTTGTTCAAAAATTATTATTTTTCATTAGAGGTACCCATGAATTTTAGGGGCTATGTTATTTATAAGCTGCAAATAAATACACGTAATATAGCTGGAAGGTAGATGCCAGAAACTCTTAGATAAAGCTGTAGGTAGTATAGTTATTTCTTCTTCTTAGTACTTGACTGAGGATATCACATCTTTAATACCTCCTTACATGTGTCTCATGTACCATGACTCAAATATAAACGGTTGAAGAATACTAAAGCTTGTATATTTCGATAAAATGCATTAACAGTTCTCTACCAATATATGCAATGCAGTATATATGTATACCATATATTATCGATCATCTAAAGCACATTAGTTCTGCAGAGGCATGCGAATTAATCTTTACAGTGATCCGATGGCTTGGAAACTAGCTTTGATATCGCTACACTGATCGTATTGTTATTTTTTTATAGGTGTTACTTATTTAGGTATATTGTACCAGGTGGTACGGGACTATAATCAAACTTAGATTTTAGATGTACATAAATTTTGTCTGTCGTAAACCATGAGAATATGCAAGTAATTAAAAAATAAAGTACTCAGTATACTAGTAGTCACAGAACTTTGTATACTTGAGAGCCAACCTATTTACAAAATGGTTTATCCAACTGGAATCCCCAAGCTAGTAAATGGATATATACTTCCGGTCTTTCAGTATAAAATCGAACTAAAACATATTTGGGTCTCCCCGGGTGTGTATTTCAACGACAACGACGATATCTTAAGATATCTCAAGAAGTTCAAACGAATTTACCTATACACAAAATCAACTATGTAAGCTATTCAAAAACAATCGGACCGTCTGACAAAATATAGAGGCTTTTGTAGAATCATAATCAGCTTATCAAGTCTAGGATTCCCTCAGTCTATTTTGGTACCCTGAAACTGATATTGAAAAGTAAGCTCGTATTTTTTTTAAAAAACAAAATCTAGACAATTATTTTGAGTGCAAAATGATTAGCAGACTGTTTACTTATTTATATAATTAAATGAAAACACAAACCTACTCTATAAAATATACATACATTTAACCGTGGTTTTGTATCAATACTCTGTACTACGCAGAGCAATGTCAGCCAATAATAGTTTCTTTGTCACAACCTTATTTTCTGTTAAAAGGTTTCCAATTTTTCTCTTTACTTATTCATTTTTAATAAAATCTCAAGTCACTATAGCATAGTAAGTAATATACGCTTTTTAAAGAGTAAAAAGAATTAATAAAATATGAGCTTGGTTTAATTGGCCACTATCTATTTTGTTAGATTTTTATCAAGTAAAATGTAGATTCATAGCTGATTCAGTATTTAAACATTATGATTTTGCCTACTTTCTAGAAAATATAATGTCCAATAATAAGCATACACAGGGATAAGTTTCAAATTAGCTTATTAAATACAAAGAAATTTGTTTTGCTCTTTGAACTTCCATCATTTTCCTATCAATTCTTTTATATCAATAATATTGTCATAAATAAAGTAAAATTTCTCACTATAAAATTACACACATTAATCAGGCCAATACAGAGGGTATTTCTGCTGCTTAACTTGTCTTAATCTACATCGCTTCCTTGCTTTGGCCAGTTATGTTTGGTATATTTATTTTTTTCTAGTGGATTTTTGTCTATTGATTTTATTTCTCTCGAAATGGTTCTTATTAGTTGTGTATACTGCTAAAAATTCGGTAGTCTATATACACCCTTCAATAAAAATAAACTGCTTTATAATTTATATTTTGTTAAAATACAGTAAGCCAATACAGTAGATGATTTATTTCGGTATCAAGTCTTATCTTATTCTTATACATTGTTTCTAATAAGATATCAATGATGGGCTTAATGGGGTTTCGGAACTATCTGATGAGTTTTGCAAATAAACATAGGCTGATTGTATGTGTTTCGCGATTTTTTCAATTTCATGGTTTATGACCACATGCAGCCCAGGGTAATTTGAGTGGAGAAGCCTAAAACCAATAGTAAGTACCTGCTTATCCATATCTCTCTCTAAACCTCTTTCGCATACACATTACTTAATAAAAAAATTATACATGAATACTTACAAAGAGTTGGCTTTCTGTAGACTTGACTTTGCGTTTTCCAATATCTCAATGATACTTGTTCCTAGAATAAAAATTTCTCTCGTTTTTTTTAATATACGTGTATTAATAATATTCAAAGCTTTAATCAATAAATAAATTTACCTGCAAGTTTGATTAACTCTTTATACTCTTTTTCTAGTTTAGACATCTCATCTTTATATTCGCATAAAATTGACTGACAATGTTTAGACTCTTCATGTTGGGTGTCGCGCTTCTTTGAGACACTCTCCAGCAAGTTTTGAGAAGATTTAATACGCTCTGCCGCGATTGCAGCATTTTGAAACTGGCCACTTTCGACAGCGAGTGATTTTTGACGCTTTAAGCTCTTAATCTGATACTCGGTGTGCTCAACTACCTCTTCCAACTCTTCCAATTTTTGCTGTGCTTTAAAAGCATTCTTTTGAGCGAGTTCCATTTTTCTTTTTTGCTGAGCAAAATCTTCGCAAAATCTATAAGGGTTATGTCTCATACTGTTATTTATTATGAAATGCTTGTACGAATCAATGATTTGATAACTTACTGGTAAATTTCTTTCTTCTTTTTTTCTATAGACTTATTGCAAACTCGGACTACATCAAAACATGTTTGTTTCATTTTCTCTGCCTCAAACTTGCTATTATCGGCCTGGGTTTCTATAACTCGTATTTTCTCCTCCTCTTCTTTTAATAATGCCCACTCTTCCCCAATTTCTTCTGTGTGACGTTTCAATTGGTGATGAAGCTCTGTATCTTCTTGATCTAAATTAGTCTATCACAGTAATGAGAAAATAAAGTTGAATATGAGTAATATGTATATATATATATGTAATCTTTCTTACGCATCGTGTTTCCATTTGCTCTTTCCGCGTCTCAATAGAAAGATACTCATTGGAGTGAGCATCTTTTTCAGGCGTGTACTCTGAAAGCACTTGCTCAATTACAGAATCAAGCTCACTTATTCTGGCTATATACGTATTACGTTCTTTTTCTAGTTTTTTGACAGCTTCCATAAGCTCATTTATCTGGACCTATATATATCTGTATATTAATATAAGTTGTATCTTAAAAAAAACACACCAGTGTACCTACCTGTATCCTGCTTTCCTTTTCTTCTAGTTCTTCTTTTTCATCCTGCTCTTCATGAACAAGCTCGTACATTTTCTCATTAAACTCAGTATTTGATTGCTCCCACATATCCAAGTCAAAGGCAATTTCGCTGCCCATAATTTTATAATAATTATCGACAATGCTTAAAACAAAATATGTATCAAACAAAATAAACCTACCTCTTTTCTTGTCCAATATCTGTTCTTTGCTCATTGATTTGCTGTAGCTTTGTCTCATGGTGGGACTTGTAATTGAAGTCTGCCTTCTCAAGCTTTTGCGCTCTCTCTTCCTAAATGTAAAAAATAATTATTCTAGCTTTCTTATTTTTATGATTACATAATAAATGGATAAATTACTCTCGATTTTTTTGTTACATCTGCTAAGTTTTCTGCGACTTTAGATTCTCTCGAAAGTATAGCAGCTAGTGATTCCCACGACTGTTGGATCTGATCGTCCAGGCCACGTAATGTATTCGTAAAAAGCTCGGTCGTTTGCTTAACTTGATCTTCTTGTTTCAGCTGCAATTCTCCAGCTGCAAGATAATCCTCTGCCTCAAGGGCTTCCTCCTTTTCTGCTTTTAAATTATGGTTCGATATCTGTTTATCAGGTAAATGAGGGGTATATATTGATTATGCGGTCTTATTTCAATAAGAAAATATTATTATATGTGTACCTGTTTTATCTGGTTATTTACTAGATCATATCGTTCATAAAGACGCTGAATCAAAGCCATTTCTTGCTTCTTTTCTGCTTGGATTTGTTTCCATGCAGCTTGCTCGGACAACTTTCTGGAGTCGCTATTTATGCTGTTTAATGACGGAAGAGATTGTTTGTATCCGTTTGGAAATACAACATTGGAAGGACTTGGGTGTACAACGAAGGCTGTGTAGTGCACTTTAGTGTCGGTGTGTCAGTCGTATATTCTATCTATTAATATATAATCTTTTACCAGGACTGATAGTATTATTCTGTTTTTTTGGCTTAGTAGTTTCGACAGCTCTGGGTGAAATTGACTTGGGATTGGCTTTATTTCATTATATACTTGGCATATTAGCATGATTGGAAGAAATCGATAAAAGAACACCTTACATGCGCCACCAATAAAAGAGAAGACCGACTTTTTGGGTTCAGGGTTGATATGTTTTGGTACTGACGGGCTTGTTGCTAGTAACAAGACAAGTTACTTTAAGATAATCATCAGTACACAGCACCTTACCTGAAAGAGATATTTCTGATAATGATGCATGAGATGCACCAGAAGAATGATTTAAGTAGTCAGGTAATGATAATACGGATTGTCTTGATTTATGCGTATCTTGCGGAGTACTAGGCTGGTCATGAGAATAATTCAGATTTTCATCATAAATATCATCCAAAATTGAAGTAGACATGAAACTTGAGCTAGGTTTACTATTCTTTCTAGAGGGTTGCTTTGCATTGATGAAACTAAAGGCGGACATGACAAATGAAGAGGGTTGATTCATGTTGGTCAGACTGATGAGTTACAACAAGCTTCCGTGACTTGCTTTAGCGCATTTGATATTCTATTATCCAACGAAAGCACTAAAAAAATTGGTACTTTTGTTTCAAGTAGGTCTATATTTTTGGCAGATTCCAAACCATACATAGTCTGTCAACAACACACATATTTACACTTTAGTATATCCAAATTAAACTGAGCCTTCATTGATAATGTGCTATTTTTCAAGTTTATTATGTTCGATATTATCTTTATCGATGAGCTTAGTTTCGTGTATGATAAATGTTTTATTTAGGAGCAGATCATTATGAAAAATATAGTAACAAGGATGCTGTAATATGCAGTTGCAGACATGGGTAATTTTATTATGTAGAAGTAACTCATAGGGTTTGCCTTTAACGGTAACGGGTGAGAGAGAGAGTGTTGCGTCTCTTCCAGTTAGCAGTGCGACCGGAGCCCTTGGTCTTGGTGAAGCGATGACCCTTACCCTTACCACGACTCTTCTTTCCGATAGCGGTGAGACCACGGGCCTCACGACGCTTGTGTACGGCGTTGACAATCCAGTTGATACGGGGATCACGACGGATAGCCTTGTGGGAGGGGTCGACAAGGATGACCTCAAAATACTTATAGGTGGCATCCTGGTTGATCCAGTAAGAGTTCAAGACACGGAGATTGGCGCACTTGCGACCAACACGCTCTTCAGCAGTGGAACGAAGGGAACGCTGATACTTAAGCTGGTTAACACCCTCATTGACGGGCTTGCCGAAGGTTGCACCCTTGTGGACGGGTCTCTTACGACCACCACGGCGGACACGGATGCGGTAGATAACAAAGCCTTGCTTGGCCTTGTAACCAAGACGGCGGGCCTTATCGGGACGGGAAGGACGGGATGCTCTGTGGATAACGTTCATCTGTCTATATGTCGAGGGAAATGGCGAGGTTTCCCATTTCGTATGAGTGCTTGTTCAAGTACAATAGTTCATCGGATGAATTTAAACCAATTCCTTTGCTGATTAAAGCAATGGAATGTGGTATTCAAGCCTAAATAGAATCAATAAGATTCAATGTACCTGAATTCCCAGCATCTCACACGAAGCAAGAAACGGAATACATCAGACTGTTTCTTTTTGTAAAGCTCTTCGATGTATTTGTAGGCTACATCCAAATAGTTAGATATGTGTTCTGTAGACGGTTTGATGATACGTACCACCCATGGCTGAAAGACAAACGGATGGATGGAAAGGATGGATAAATTGGGATGCTCGTCAAGCAGCCAACAAACAGTTGTTTATTCCCAGTCCCGGTGTCGGACTTGTTCAATAAATCGAATCAACCCTGAGTTTTGTGGGCGCCCAAACTGTCTATTCGCATTAACGCATTAGTACACAAGCAGGGATTAATATTCTATGAATAAACATTATGGACTGGTGTGAAACTTTTCAAGTATTTGCGTATCTAGATTCTGTTATATATATATATATATACTTGATTTAAATGAAAACGAAGTATGTTATAGTGTACATTGTCCCGGATTTCTTCTACAGGAAATTTAGTACAATTGTTCCGATTTTTTTTTAATGATAATGATAACAAACATACTAAATAAACCTAAAGTACAATAGAAATTTAGATGTTTTGCTAAACAAAGCTGTCAAAAGATTATATTTTCCAGAAATATTTTTTACAACTACGAATATATCATTAGATTAGAGATTAGTATCGTATGCAATGCATAGCACTGTACTGTAATATTCAATAACATGATCTCAATTATTACATAGTCTCCGCAACTTCTGAAAAGCACAGATCTTTACAGTAGTATTACTGATGTACCACAAACAACATTCTATGAAACAACTAGGGATTGTTTGTTTGCTACTCTTTTTGGGTAAGTTAAGCCTAATTGAAGTGTGGGGATATGAATTGAGGGTATACTAGAAAAAATGGCGTTCCTTTTTTTTTGTTAGCCGACAATTGAGATTATGATACTGAATTAGAAAGTCTGCAATGTGTTTAATAGATTTTATAAATGAATATGCTGGGTTATCAATATGCATGTGTTTATTGTGGTGTATTGTGAGGTGTGCTTTTGTTGTATAAAACCAAGCCTACTCAAACCTGGTGTTTTACGCTGATTGAAAATTACTAAAGCATAAACTTCAAAACTATACTTCTTCAAAGTCCTCTCTATCCACAAACTCGTCATTATCAGCTTCAAACTCGTCCTGTTGAATGGTGCGACGGTCATAGTTTTCTAGGTTGATAGAAAATGGTGGGGCAGTCCCAAATACAGGAAAGCCAAACATGCCTTCATTAGCATTTAAATAATTCCTAAAGTTTTGGACACCCTTGCCACTAAAGACGCAAAAAGCTTGGCGCTGTTGCTCGCTAAAATCGCTGGGTGCTTTACGACAAAAATGTTGGAAATCTGCGCGAAGGAAATCTCGGACTTGAGTAAGGCTGAGGTGAGTAAGCAACTGGCATGCATTAAGTAGACAATGAATGGATGAGATGGTAAGTCGAGAACAATAGCTGAGATGAACACGCTCGAGAGAATTGGCTATACGAGCATGGCTCGCAAGAGCTTTGACCGATTCGTCAGTGATTTTGGAACACTTGACAAGACCGATACGTTTAAGTCTTTGAAGATTAGCGAGTTCAAAAACAGCTGCATCAGTAAGCTGAGTACAGCAAGCAAGGTCAAGGTAGCGAATACGGGTGCAACTACGGGCTAGTTGGATAATTGAACGGTTTGTAAGGTTTAAACAATGTCCAAGGTGAAGAACATGAAGATATCGGCCAAGGTTACAAATGGCAAAGACAGCCTTGTCAGTAATGTTGTGGCATTTGTTGAGAACAAAATTTCTGATCTTTGGGGCTGCCTCAACAATTCGTATTACACTATCATCTGTAATCTTCGATACGCCAGTAAGGTCAATGATTCTTAGTTGGTCATAATAAGGGCACTCTCTGAATACGCTGGGAGCTAGATCGGAATCAAGAAATCCGGAATCCCCAAGATTAACACACTGGTTAAGTCGAAACTCTCGTAACTCTCGGCAATGTTTAAAGATGGCTTGAAGCGAGTCTTCAGTGATAGCACAATTGATCAAGTCAATTTCTAACAAAGAGCGACAGTTCTTTGCTAACAGAGTAATAGACGCATCGGTAAGTAAAGAGCAGTTGTTTAAGATGACCTAAGTAAAAGCCATGGGTGTTAATATACATGCAGTGGTCAATGATACCCATTAATATATGTATAAACATGTGCATTTAAACATCAACGCATAAAATGTGTTTTCTTTTACCCGTCGTAATCCTCTACAACCCTCGGCTAGTTTGATAATACTCTCATCAGTCACGCCATGAAACTGTTCTTGTCCGTCTTTAAACATGCTCAAATTGAGACCCTGTAACCTTGGACAACATTCTGCTATTTTTAATATGGTGGTGTCTGTGATGTTTGTAATTTCACTTAGATCCATTGATACTAAGTAGGCACTTGAAGACTTGCTAAGGAAGCCACAAAGTCCAGCGTCTGTGAGTTTGTGGCATCCTGTGAGGGTGATTCGTTCGAGGCGATCGCATACAGAGAGACAGGAAAGGTGGTTATCCTTTACACAGTCAGCAAGGGCAGAAAGATTGATACGTCTAATGAAGGAGTGATAGGGATAGTATGTGGGAGTGGATTGACTGAGAGTGCTACAGAGATTTGCCCATACTGTAGGGCGAATCATGTTTGGTTTAAACCATATAATCTCATAACAGCAATAACTCCAGGATCGAATTGCTAGGGCACAATTCATAATGTCTTTGTGATGAGTGAGGTTTTTGAGAATTTGTATGACTATCTCTGTAGGGATGTTGTCTAGACTAGGTCTTGTTTGATGGGATGGGTCGATAGTGGATTGGAGTGTCATGGTAATTGGTGTTTATGATGAAGAATACTAACAAAGAAAACGAATTTCCAGTTTAGGTGTGTGTTGGACTGCGTAAAATGGATCGTACGGCGTCCAAATCAAGCACTCCTTCTTCTATTGATAGGGCATCCTCCCACGTCCACTGGCCTTGTCTTGTTCTTTTAAGGCCAGTCATATGTGCATAGCAGCCCAATGCAATCCCCAGGTCGTTTACCAAACTCCGCATATACGTTCCTCCTCCACACCCAACTCTTAACATGCACTTTCCATCATCAAACCCCGTCAGCTCAATCGATCTAATCTCAACTTCACGAGCCTTAATAGGTCGTGGGAGACTTACTCCCTTGCGAGCGTAATCATACAGTCGTCGGCCATCCATATTAAGAGCAGAGTAACTGAAGTAATTAGTAAACAGTGACTGTGTCTTGAGATGCTTACATGGGTGGCACTTGCCAGACATTGCCCTTGAACGCTTCCAAGGCATCTTCAACTTTGTGCGCCGATAGATTATCAATAGATCCAAACTTGGTCACTTTTCCCTCCGAGTCATACGTGTCAGTAGCCTGACCAAAAGCCACCTCTACTTCATATTCCTTATTTAAGAAAAAAATAACAATAATTAATTGAAGGATCTTAAATTAGAATGGTTGTAATGCTTACCTTGTTACCCTTAAGAAAGGTGTGAAGATGTTTACATCCAGAACCTACACCTAATACTGCTTATATATATATAAGCAAAAAACATTAGCTTTATTAAATTACTTACCCAGCACACCTTCTGCAATTGGATCCTGGATTTTTATTTTAGTTTGGCTTGTAAAGTACATAACTTCTTACCAATGTGCCTCCATGACCAACTTTGAGCCGATCCTTTCGTCTGACTATTGGTATTTCTGTTTGGTCAAGAGATGACAGACACAGACTACTCTCTTTGACAAGAGCCCGTGTCAAGATATGCTGAACTTTACTGACTGCAGTGCGAGAACTCAGGCCCACAGGTTTGTACACTGCAAACACGCCGTTGAGTGCATTTCTTAATACCTCGCTCTTCATCCAAACAATAGTCGAAAATCTGAATCCCGAGGCAAAATCCAAAATGTTTAGCTGTTAACAGTCCATCCAGCTGGGTTTCTTTTATCAGTCACTACAGACTTCTTTACCAATTTTTGGAAATTTTGAAATTTCTTTTGTTGATAATGGGATTTTGTAAAGGGCCATAGTTTAACATTGAATTGTCAAGTATAAAATTTAATATCTTTCAGGTTGAATTAGCTAACATAAAACGAATGCTTTATTTTATTTTATTGGTATATCAGAAAAAAAATAGGATATTTAAGGCAGTAATTTAAAAGGGTTTGTCTTTATCACTTTATACGTATATGTTTTCGTTAATCCTTGTATTCTGTCTGGCTGAGGGAGGATGATTGTTTACAAAAGCCTTTTTTTTTAACTTGGGCCAGGCCTCCTCAATTATATTACAAAGAAGCATGGATAATATGTTGGTAAAAAAAATTGATATCCTTGTTTTTCAAACCAACCTCAAACAAAGTTATAATGATAAATGTATGTATTATCAAGTACAAAATAATTGTAATTAATACCGGTTGTATCAATTGGGGATATCAATTAGCCTACACATTCTAAAAATTCATTGTTGTGTCCTTTTTCTTTTCCCATTTAGTGTATGAACAGTTTATTGTCGCTTTAATTTTGCTGCTGTAGTAATAATTTATTTTCGTGAAAGGGCAATAAAGTCATCTTTGGAAATATCACCTAGGCTACTGACAAATAGCAATACCCACAAGGAAAGATAAGATTTTATTAACTAATTGTAAAGGTGTGTGCTTTTTGTATAACAATTTCTGTGTTGGCTGTAACTATGCCAGGAACTAAATATTGTCGAAAGACATTTCCCCAATATGAATTCCAAATGGTGTGATTTGTGATGGACACAATCACAATCAGAAGGGAATAGATAGGAGAGGGTAGGTGTCAATTGAGGAAGATATATCATAATGCTGCAGACCCTGTAGTATTTGTTTTTCTTCAGCACAAATCACAAAGCTAAATAGTCAATCTAATCGGAAAAAAAAAGCTCGCCTGACCTAGCTTATAGGTAATTACAGTGTTTTTGCTTGAAATTGAAACGAATTATATTTAATATGTAGATACATTACGGGAGAAGTTCAGGCGAGTCTATACTTTTTTTTAGACAAAATAAAATTGCAAATTGAAATAAACAAGATGTTTTATGAGACAATTTTGTTTTTTGTACGATTGTTAGCCAAGATGGAATAATTGTATCAAGATCAATAAACACTAAGCTTACCATGTTTAACAGCTATATTATCATTATTGACTTTGTAAGTACTGACATTAAAGACTAAAAGAGGGTCTTCTGCAGAGCTATAGATTTTAAAGCGCTCAAACTTTTATTTTTATTTTTTGAAATTAGAAACGGTGGGAGGAAGCTATTTAGACTTGTTGCTGATTTGAAATACACTATTATTTTCTGAGAATATGATCTTTCCTCGACGTCTCTATTAAAAGAAAAACTCAAAAAATGCCTTGCCTGTCTCAATTTGCAAGAAGGATAATAGAGCCATCTAAAAAGAAAGGTTTATATATTATGTTTAGTGGAAAGGATTGGGCCAAATATAAAATAATTTAGAATCCTTCAAGTGGGATTTACTAAATAAAATTAATGTTAGAATCTGACAGGCTGTTGACTTGGAGAAAGTTACAAGCCAAGAGTTTTATATCCTCCAATTATTTACGGCATCTACCCGCAGCACATATTATTTAGTGTCTTTAAAGTACCAGGAAGAGAAAAAGGGAGATTGGCAGTAATTTTGTTTCATATAGAAAAAGTTAATTGGCAAAAAAACGGACTCTAGGTTGATCTTTAGAGTCACTCAGATAGAAAAGAAAAGGATGTTCAAAAATAGTATAGATCGACCTTCAAGAATTCATAAGCAGTGCCATTGATTACCTTTTGGGGATGAAATCAAGGGAAAAGACACCATCCCAGTAAGAAGAATGCTATCTAGCACAACGTCAATTCTACACGGCGAAATCAGACCCAAAAGTGCTTCATTCAAGTCGGCAATAATAGAAATTGACGAATATTGCACAAAAGTAAAGTATATTAAATCCAAGTCTACTTGCAGCAATTATATCATGAACCTGCCCCAGTAAAACTGTTCAGATGTAAAGTTACTACAGTATACTCAAATGCAACAACTGTAATATACTACAAGAGTTTATCTCCGTGCAACAATTTGTTTTAAACTCCAAATTCACCCGGCCGGCGTTAGTATCTACATCAATACTATGGGAATCCAAGCAGCCATTAAAAAGAGGTCATAACAAGGATTGATACAAGCTGTATGTATATTCTTAAATATTTGTTTGAGTATCTGAGCACTCCCTTTCTTTATAATAAGCTAACTTATAAATCCCTAGACACGCCCAAGCTCTTATTATGGCCTACATTATTTATAACTTTTGGCTGGTACACTGAACCTGGGTTATGGATCAATACATTTTTCTTTCTGGCGTAAAAACAATCAAGAGAGCAGCAATAATACTACACTTCGGAATAAGCTGTCTAGTCCTTTATTTCTGTTTCTTTTTTCTCGTTTCCTTCTTACTATAATATAGACTTTCTTTTAGGCGTAAAATATCCATAGTTTATCTGATTTGAGTCGAAAGCTATCAATAAAAACGAAAAAAGAATCTTAAATGTCATATTTTTTTTGGGGTGGCCCAGCTTATTTTCTTCAACTGTATTGAGCCTACTTGTCTAGCTTTCTCTGTATTTTTACAGATGCTATCCAGCCTTTGATTTAGTACTCCATTTGATTTTTTCGGCTGTTTTCTGTATATCTCTTTAATAGAAAAAGGAAACGTAAAAGGAATAAATATCCTAGTTGCTATATTAATACTTAGTCACGCTTTACTGGATGAACCTGATCTTGCTACCGTCTGGACAGTAGGATAGTTTCTGTTTAAAAATGATAGCTTTTATAGTCCCATCTGTTTTCTTTTCTTAGTTAACAATTGAATTAAATTATAGTGCTTAAAACTGTTTTTATAAAAGTAGAAAAGTATAGTTCAATTATCAGTAACAGTCCTCAAGATGCCTTTTCATTTACAATCACATCACTGAGTAAATAAAGGAAATTTTCTCCTCTATCACCACACACATATACTTACAGACACAAACTTTCTCTCGCTTACAGACATCTTGTAAAATCAGATAATAATAATGAAAAAGACACGATTTGTTTGTAAAGGGTTGGAATATTAATCAACCTCCCAATTAAATAAACAAATTTTTTATGGAATATGATCGTTAAAAGTGGTAGCCCTTGTAATCTCCATTATAGTTATCTCTTTCTACTTTCGATTAATACTACACCTCAAAGCGTAAAGTGAGTTAGAAGCAGCCGTCATAATTACACCAAGAGATAAATCTAACAACTTCATTCAGAGTTATTTTCAATCCACTCCGCTTTTTAAATCTATTCAAAAGGTTCCCTCTTTACGGCTTTTTTTGTTTGTCGGTCTTCCCTCAGTTAACTTTTGCGTGACAATCTGGCAATGCAAAAAAGCAACTCTCTTCAGCTCTCAACCGAGAACATCACAGACTCCTCTGATCTATTGAGAGAACTGACTAGTTATGAAAATATCAGCCACGACCCAATGAGCCACCTTGACCACCAAACACACCCTACTACGGGATCAAATCCCTCAGCCACAATCAGCCTCCGCACATTTAACAACCGAAGGCACGCAACTCTCCGTCCATGTTTCCGTCTTTCATGTAGTAGAAATCCTACTTGCTACAAATTGTCTGACATTCGACATTTGCAAAGGCATAATCGAATCATCCCAAACCGCCCATGTCTCTTCTTTCGTAAACGAATACTTACTTCTTATCGCTTCATTGGTGTCCGAGGAACATTTATCAGACGACGATGGATTAACCGACGTAGACGCCATGCTCATCTTTATCCGAATTCTAATCATATTGTACCTACAAATGATCCACAGCCTTCATTAATCCATACAGATCCCCCCAAATCTCCTAAATCTCCTATTCCTAGACTTTTTACTGAGCGCGAAGTACGTAGATGCGACACACAAGACGAGACCGAAAGTGAGCAACTACTTAAAGAATCAAGCGATATTCCGTGTACTCGAAAAGTTGCATCAGTTTCCGAGGGTATTCAACCCAAGACCAATCAATTATTATCGGAAGAGAACCTACTTCAGAGTGCATGGGTGCCACCGATAAATTCTGACACCCTAGAAGAGTTGACAATCACTGATATATTCGCCAATCTCCAATTAAGGCATGATATGGTGTTCGACCCCACCCTGTCTTTTCGCCCCAATCTTGATGGCTCTCCAGGACGAGAAAAAAGACGCAAGTCGGACCGTTACTGGGCGCGAGTTGACCGAGCATTACAATCAGTACTTAATCCAGCATCTGAGAGCTTGAAAAATGGATTAGTACCACTTGACCAATTCGAATTCCTGGCTGTGATTTTAGACGAGCTTGTTCAAGTCATTATTCCCCTTTCCAAGCCTTTTGCTTGCTCTTCTGCTAGTCCTATCTTTCCGTGGAACTGGCCTAAACACATCAGGGAGGAGGATATAGTTGAGACATTGGATTCAATGTTAATTATCCAACAAATTCGTCACAATAAGGGCGATTTTGGGAACCAGCTCGAGTTTCTCAATAATATTTTCGAGCCTCTTTGTCCTTCGAGTCAAGTTTATAGAATACAATTTATGAACCAGTTCTTTTTTGAAGGTCATGTTGCAAAGGCTTTTCGTCAGTGTTTTTCTATTCTAGAGGCGGTGAAACTTGTAAGCTATGGTAGACTTCTTGAGATCTTGATCCTAAATTCTGATTACTGTTTGCTTTCCAATGGATTTATTTTTTTTAGGAATGCGCCAACAAAGCCCTTCGTCAGTACCGAGCATATTTAATTAATACCTGCCCAGAATTTGAATGGCGCTGTTTTATGAAAGATAGTAGTGAAAACGAGCTTGATATAGAATCGATTTATCGATGGTTCAAGATGACTTGGGAGAGACAGGGTCTAGACGCCGAATTTCTGGATGTATACTATGAAGGTAAGTTATCCTAACCACACCTACGTTTTTTTTCTTATTCACCGACAGAGCTATCTAGGTTTAATTCACCTGGTAACAGATGATACCGAGACATCCATGGCTCTAGGGTTTCCACCTGCTCCATTTCCGGTGACACTTCGGTTTGACAAAAAACGGCTGACACATCTGTTTCGCTATGAATTCCAGAATATCATTGTAACTTCGATCTTGTTGATACCCTACCGTTATCTTGCAGGAAGTTATGAGAATATGAAAGATATTGTCAAACTTAAACGTCTGTTCAATTATCTTCTTCAGGGTGCTTTTATCCTAACGTCCCCTGACGCAGAAAATGCATATGAGCAGGCTGCACAAGGTATCAAAGACGGGACGATTGTATCATGTCACAGCTTAGCTCTTCATGCCTGTAATACAGCAATACAAACCCATCTGGATAATGGATTAGATGACGCGACCAAGAGTACGCCTAATCTCGATCTATCACAGCTTCCATCCCTGACATCGTTTTGGGGAGAATGGTTGAGCCACAATTTACGGCCAGGGTCACCGATATATATGTTAATGTACAGACGGATTTGTAAATATCTCAAGAATTACGCTCGTTATGGTCGTCCGGAAAAAGAAGAGATAGAGAACGGGATGATTCTCACGGGGATGACAGGGCTTGAAGACGAGATCAAAGTTTTGGGTCAAAAATTGAAGATTGTTGCCGAGTTAAATTTAGACACCTTTATTTCGCTCTATTCGTTTCTTGCAAAATTTGTTAAACAAGATATTCTTAGCGAAAGTAAGAATCCGATAGTACATTAATTTGATGTTTGTTTGTCGATATGAAAAATCGTACACTTTTGACTTTAAAAATTTATGTTTATAGCAAGGTGTTAATTAAATAAGTTTAAGTATTATTTGAATAAATTCAAGAGTATCTGTATAGGTATGTGTATATATTAAGCAATCAAATAAAGCTGGTCAAATATTTGATCTTTTCCATTAGATCAAAATACATATATATTTAAATTGTACTTTAAATATTCTGGGATCCATAATATTGATACAATTCTTTTTAAGATTTAAGATTGAATCAAATAAAGATATAATTTCCATCGACATTACTGTTTGCACTACATGAATTGAATTGGGTACAAAGTTAATAAAGACTATATTATCAGTAATGTATATTATATATATATATATATATTTGATCCAATATTGATATTAATATTAATATTAATATTAATATTAATTAATTTAAAGAATCTTATTAAAATTATAAGCAATACATCTAATATTTATTGGCTACTTTCTTACCATTTTTCTCTTTCACTGCAAAAGATGATATATATACAATATTATATAATATTGTCTCCGCTTGATTTAATTAGCGGGATAATAAATTGACTATGAACGAAAAAACAAAATAGCAATGGATCAACCTGTGCAACTGGAAGGGTTTAAAGTGCAAGCCTGTAAAGTTTGGATTCTCGAGCTAATTTATAATGCAAAGTGTCCAGAATATTCATTAATATGATTTGTTCCTAAAGACATGTTCTTAAATATTGGTTTAACACACCATACTTTATAAGATCAGTGCGATCAAAAATGTTTGAGGCACAAGATAGCCAGATAACCAGGTGATTGAATTAATTGAACATAGTTTAAATACTACTACTACTACTATTATTATTATTATTATTATTATTATTATTATTATTATTAGTAGTAGTAGTAGTATTTTACCTCAACTATTTAATATCATTGAGCCCAGAAAATCACCTCTTTAAATATACAAAGAAGCCACAAAAGCAAACAGATTTTACAAGTATATATATATATATGTGTGTGTGTGTGTGTGATAATGATTAAATAAACCAAGTTATTTGTACATCTAAATGCATGTATATTTAATATATTATTCATTAAAATATTTATTTTTATCTTAATTATTAGCTGGTAGCATATATATATATGTATGTAAAGAGAGAGAGTGTGTGTGTGAGTGAGTGAGTGAATATCAATGCAATTAGTTTTCTAATAAGAATCCTTTTGAACCCTCTTCTTTTTTCTTTTTTTTTTTCATCAGACGCACACCTTCCTTTTTAGGTTGAGTAGCAATGACCCTCTGTTGTACAAACCATCGCATTTTGTCTTTGAGTTGGACAATCCAAATTTAGTTTAAACACAAGCTCTATTTGGTTCACGCCGTGCCACATTTTCACTCTTTACTCTTTCGCATTTACGCTCCATTCCTTCCCTTCTCTTTTCCCTTTCACAGAAAATACGAGGCAAACGAATGACCAAGCTCGTTCGTTCATCCCAGTCCACTCTTTATCTAATACAATAACCCTTGTTCTTTAAAAACCTCACTCTTTAATATCAAACAACTATGGAAGAATCAATTGGTCCTACCTGCACAGGATGCTCAAACATGATCGAAGAAGGCTCGGTCATTGCATTTGGAGACTCTCTGTTCCATTTGGACTGGTAATTGATGAAATCCTCTTCTTCTCTTTTCTAAGAAACTATCTTGCTTTATCTAGTTTCATATGTGCAAAATGCCAAACCTCGGTCGACTACAACTCCAATCTCCTCCTCCTCACAGACGGCCGTCCTGTGTGCGAAAACTGTGCCTATAACTGTTCAGCCTGTAAAGAAACTATTCGCGATGAAGCCGTAATGACTGGTAAAAAAAAAAGACTCTGAATAGCCAATCCATGTGAATATCCCGCCTTTTAACCACGTGGTATTTACTCCTACAGGCGAAGAAGCATACCACGCAGATTGTTTCAAGTGCATCAACTGTCGTAAAAAGATCGACGATTTGGTATACACTCAAACAAGCAAGGTGTGTACATAATGTGCATTATACCGTTCTTTATCTACGTTCGGCTATACCCATTAACTAAAGAAAATTTTGTCGGAAACATGATAGGGTATATATTGTACACCTTGTCATGAGAAAAGAAGAGCAGAAAAATTACGGCGTCGAGAAGAAAGGGAGAAACAAAAGAATCAGAGCAGGCAGTTATCTCAGGATACCCAGGTAATTTGAATATATTGAAAGTCCAACTCATTGGATTCTTACCCAATACCAGTCATCTCTTCACGGCTCTCATCCAACACAGCGACAACCACGTTTTGGAGGCCTTTCTCCCTCCAATCTACCCAATCGACATGCGAGCCGTATTTTTGACCCTCAGACAGTAGCCGATAGCATGCAAACCCAGCAACGCATGCGAGTCCCTCTTGAAGCCCGCATGCGGAACGATCAGGACCATCGAGTACGCCAAGATAGTCTTCTAACACCCGAAAGATCTCCCCCAACCCCCGCTCGCTCTCGAAGTAGTTCTGTTGACATAATCACCAAGACACGACTCAATAACCTTCTCGGCCCTAACCACCCTTCCTCACACAATGCAGCACCAACACCCACACCGTCTCGGTCAGATGTGATTTCAGGCAGCAAGACACATCCTCCTCCTTCAAAAAGCCTGCTACCAATCTCAAATACTCGTCAAAGATTTTCATCTATGCCTGCCCCTCTCCAAATAAGCCCAATGGAGAAGAGCAAGAGTGTTCCAGACACCATATATCGTATGAATGCCGAGTCAACTACAGAAGTCCAACTCATGCCTGCCTCACCTCTCGAGTTTTCTTTACCAGAAATATCTTCCCTCAACCTGTCCTTCTTTGACGACGATTCATCAGACCTACTCAACTTGACCAAAACACTCGGCGCTAGTTTCTCTTTTTCAAAGGATAACAACGACTTGGGATTCAAGTCAACACTGGACTCAAGGAGTTCAGTTAACATCAACAAAGCTTCCGAACTCTTGCGTACCTCTTTAAATCTCTCAACCTATGACAAGGTTCCTACTTCTCCTCTGCCAAGAATAAGTTCCGAAGATTTTGATGAAAGTGTATCTACTGACAGAGCTTATGTACTTAAGCTCCAGTCAGATTTGAAATCTTCCAACTCCAAACTAACGGTCATGGAAACCAATTTCAATCGAATCAAGGTACGTGATACCCAGTGAGCGAGTATATATATACGAATATTTAGATGCTTATTGAAAATTGCATATCACATTTTATTGTTTTGTAGGATGCTAGCAAATCTGCGTTGGAAGAATTCACCCGTGCCAAGGAAGAATTCGCAAAAGAAACAACCCTTCGACAGCAATACGAGAATACAGCATCCCAGTTACAACAGCAATTAGTGATCATTCAACAAGCTCAATCGTTAAATCGGGATCAGTTTGTTGGAGTTGTAAAAGAGGATATCGAACGAATTGTGCGTGTTCGCATTGAACTAGATAAGAGCTGTAATGAACTCAAGGAATGTCGCACCACACTCTCAAACGATATTGAGGAGCTACTGCTAAAAGCACAAGCCCCTACGCCTATGTAAGAGTTTTGGATGTAATATCCCCCCGTAAACAATAGATTAACACTTAAGACTATTTCTTTTTTTTTCTGTTTGGTTATTGTAGGGCATCCGAAAAGGCAACTATGTATTTGAATGAACAGCAAAAAGCACTTCTTGCAGAGATTAGATCTTTAAACCATGAAAGAGATGCATTGAAGAACGAGACACGAACATTAAGCAAAGCCCGCGACGACGTTATACACGAAATGGTAATGCTCAATACCAAAAACGCTGAGCTGAGTACGATGAACAACGATTTGTCCAGAAGGATGACAGAAAGAGAGAGAGAGGCAGCAGCCATAATGGCTGGCACTTCGTTTCTTCATTCACCTTCACCAAGTCGGTCTACAGAGTTACATTCTCCTGTTCCTATGCAGCGCAAATATTCAGATACTACTGTTGAACGTAAAGTAGCTGCTCGCGATAGTTTCAATGGAACGCAGGCACCAAAGATGTTCAAGATAAAGAAGAAGAACGGTGGAACAATTTTTGGAAAACGCGGCGGAAAGAACAATAAGACAGATCCTGCAGTAACCATCTATGGTGAAGCACGCAGTGGAGTGAATACCGTCTCTAATCCGAATGGAAATCAGTACGTTTCTAATCGTAATGATGGACGAACAGGAGCAAAGATTCAAACCTCACAACTGCCAACAACCCAGCATCCGCTTCTTCAAAGCTTACAGCAAGATGGACACGCATTTCAGCCGACCTCGTTCCTGAGACCTACTAAATGTGATGCTTGTGGAGAGAAAATGTGGGGGCTTTCTGAGCTTCGTTGCCAATGTAAGTCATTAGGATACTCATCAAGTAGTGTAAAATTTTAGAGAAACTTATTTAATTATGCTTATTAATGCGCTTATTTTAAAACAATAACAAATGATAACAAACAAAAGGCTGTGGGTATATTACTCATGCAAAATGCTTGAGCCATGTTCCTCAACTATGCCATGCCAGTACAACCAGCACTCTCGACCTTTTTGGTGCATCTGAACTAGATCTTCGTCAACCTGGTAAGGCACATATATACAACAGTCGCTAGCTACTCACAAACGATAATAACGTATATGTCATTTCGCTTGCTTTTTTATTAGTAAGTATGTTTGGAAACAGCTTAATTGCGCAGGTAGATCAAGAGGAGCGACCAGTACCCATACTTGTAGAAACATGTATCACTGCCGTTGAGGCCCGAGGCATGGACTATGAAGGGATTTACAGAAAATCGGGAGGAGCAGCTCAAATACGAGCGATTCAACTGGCGTTTGATCAAGGAAAAACTGTAAACCTAGAAGACGATGAGGAATTCAATGATATATGTGCTGTTACAAGTGTACTAAAACACTATTTCCGCGAGCTTCCTGATCCTCTGCTGACATATGAGCTCTATCCAAAGTTCATTGATGCTGTTTGTAAGTATAGATGAATAATGTGTTCTATTTTTTTTCTTTTTTAAAAAAAAGCTATAAATTAATGTGGTATTTCCTTTAGCTATGAATTTTGGTCTTGCAAAAATAGACAAGTTCTTTGAATTACTTTCTCAACTTCCAGCAGCGAACTACGAAACACTCAAGATTCTGTGCCGACATTTGCATCGGTAACCAACTCCTTTTCTTTTTCTTTTTGGTTATTATCATGTTTAAAGACTATGGCTCATATATATGTATATGTATATATAAATATGATTTTGATTTTACAGTGTCCAAGAGCGAAACTCTGAGAACCTGATGACTACAAAGAATCTGGCGATGGTGTTTGGACCGACTCTGATGCAAGACAGAGATGCGTCTAGGGATTTACTTGACATGAATTACAAAAATGCGACAATTGAGTTTATAATCAACCAAGCGTCAGAAGTGTTCTCATAAAACAGTGCCAAAAACACAAACAACAAAAAACAACAACTGTAGGTTATATCCTATACCCCTTTCCTTATCACCTCTCGTTATTTTGCAGCTTTACATCATTATAGTTCTGCATGTGTATTATTATTGCTTCTTCGCTTACACCTACACGCTTTAAGTCTTTCAAAACTCTCTTTTGCTCTCTTTATATCTCTATTTTCCGTAGTCAATCATTATTACTGTTGTAACTCTATAATATTCCCATCATCAGAACAACGACTCCAAATATACACACTATGTATACACTATATTTTGCTCTAATTAATTAAATTATACTACCCACTTTATTCTTGTGTACTTTTTTTTTGTATCTAGTAATTTTCATCTATTAATAGAACTATCCAACAGATTTAATTTTTTTTGTGAGAGTTAATTGTTGATATAGAAAGGTATTTGTGCACAATCTCATATCAGCGAAAACTCATATTTCATAAGCTATTTATTAATTGTTTTTCCGGTTGTACGACTATTTGGATCCAAGATCCTTAATAATGAGTCCAAGGCAAGGTGGGTAATGAATAAATACAAATAAATAAATAAGTATATTCTTATGTACTATAATGTACTATAATGTACTATAATGTACTATAATGTACCCAAATATGATCAACTTCAAGACACCTATATATCATTAACTTCTTCCTTTTTTTACATAAAGACTATGATTTAGCCTTTTGTGGATATCTTTTTCGATTCTTGCTATTTATAAGAATATGGAAAACCCGATGGTGTTACTCGTCTAACTTTTTTTGAAAGAGTGTAAGCCTCACTGTAACATCTGCTGAAATTAAATAAGCTCTATATATGTATCTTTAAAATGGGCCCTGGTCCTTACATGCACCATAACTTAGTTAGACTGAGTCAAACCACACTATAGGTGTCGTTTAACTTCAAATAGTATCAAGACACTATTATAATTAGGGTGCGATTTATTTCGTGTACTTATAATAATTTAACGGAAAAAGAAAAACGAAAGGAAAAAACTGTTGGAATCACACTATAATTTTATATTTTATATTTTGTACAGTACAATTATAAATCTCGCCTTACAACCTTGAGTATTTATTTGATTTGATTTTTGCTTGAACAAGATCTGGCAATAATTACACTAATGGTTTCTATAGTGAGCCCATCATATGAAAGCTCTTATTCATACATAGATAGATACAAATACTCTTTCGTAATCTGAAAACACACAGTACCGAGTAACTGGAAAGAACATCATGAAGATGACAGCCCCTCTTTTATACATACATATATATATTTATAAGGTAAAAAATAATAATTAGATTAACATGTGCGAACGATCTCTTCCAAGATATATTTTGTAATTTTGAGGTAAGTGCACTGATCGAATCTCTCCTTCTTTTTCTTTCTTTTGGTAATATTGGCTACGGAAGGGACATTAGTATCTTTTACACCACATAAAATATTTGGATTATATACTTTTTCATATGTGCTTACCACGTACCTAACACGCTGTAATTTCTTGAATGAATAAAGAGAAGTATATATATATATATATATCCTTTTATTATTCTTCTTATTTTGTGTATAGTAAGCTACTCAAAGTCCAAGCTCATAAATTCACTGTAATATTTCGAAATTGGTCCAGATATTTGGGACACAATAAATTGACTGTAAATGAACAGAATAAGATAACAATAAAAAAAATCGATCTTCTTTTTTCACACCTATAATTACATCTTATACTATAAACTTTTGCATAATATCCTGTGTCTTAAAGAAGTACAGAGGTTTACTTGCCCCCAGATAAGTTCTTAGGATAATTATCTAGCTGTCATATAAGTACATGTATAAAAATGAGAAAAAAAATGAAATCATGTATTAGTTTTAATATAATTGAATGTACATACAATATTTCTATATAATTAAGGCTGCCCGCAGCAATACAGTATAGGAAGGAGTGATAGAAACAGAAAAAAGAATCATATAAATATAGTGTCATGTTGTAGATAATTATTAACATAGAAATGTATATATGTATATATATATATATAGAGATCTCAAGGGATTGTCTCTTCAGCGAGGGTATTAAAATGAGTGGCAAACCATGAAAGGAATGTTTGGTTTGTCGGATATGGAGAATCATAATTAAGCGCATGTGCTATGCCTTGATACACAGTTGAGATTACACGAGTGCCTATACTCTGATTTGAGTCCAGACTTGAGAAGTTGTCTACTAGCCGATTGGTGAACGCTACAGGGTCTACTTTCGAAAGATAATGATAAAGTACGGGTTAGTTTTTCTTTTCTTTGCACAACTGTGTATATATGTATCTGCACAAAGTTTAAGTTACTGGGGTAGGTATACATACCAGATGTACTAGCTTGAGGGTACCCGCTCATCACACTCACTACTCTAGCAATTTCGCCTATAAGAGAACCTATATTCTGTTGCTGTGGCTGTTGGAGCTTACGCGGTTTAGAGGATATATCTAATCGGTGCTGCTCTTCTATAGTCTTAATTCTGCGATTCATCATTCTCTTTGTATTTTCTGGACTTTTATCAACTATTTTTTTTACGTGAAAGTGAATTGATTAAGAATGGGCGTCACTACTATCATCATTGCTATTCTTTCTTTAAAATCATGATAATAATAATAATACTAATAATAATAATACCTGGTAATGCTTCCATCATAGATGTCACACTAGATATAATCATATCAATTGCAGACTTGTGGTTTCCTAGGCGTTCGACTTCCAATGCAAGCTTGGCTAACGACAAAGCTCTCCCAGAACATCCCGATCGGAGACCTGGAATAAGCTCGACTATTGGTTTTGTAGGTACGGTTTCTGATATATTATTAAAGCCAAGTAAGTTTGTCATAAAGAATCGATATGTGCTTATGCTAGGCTCTCTGTGTTTTGGGACGATATGTTTATTGCTGATGTGTATTGGATCTGAGTGTGGTTTGTGTGTTTCCGGAAGATTTGACGAGGGATTCGATTGCCGACAAGGCTGAGATTGAGAGGCTGCTTGATAGATTATTTGGTTTGTGTGGCTTGATGTTAAAATATCGTGCGATGAAGTATGTGAAACAGTAGAGTCCATGACAATCTGTTCCAGAACATCTTTTATATGGTGTGTGAGACGTATTCGTGAATTTTTGGATTTTGGTGGTGGTTTTAAGGCTGGGAGATGGCTGTAAGAAATCATCTGTTGTTGAGGTACCGTATCAACAAAATTATTGATATTATTGCAGGGTGAATCGTCACTGACGAAAATCATTAGTGCTGCTAGTTCGTCTTTGTAGGTAAGTTCAGGCTCGTAGTCGTCAGATAGTGAAGGTAGTATGTTTTTGGTAACTTCTTGGGTAGAATTCAGTGCCGCCGTCTCTCTGTCGGCTAAGGAGGAAGCCAGTTGACATATTTGTTTTGTGGAGTCAAGAATAATATGCCCTGAAGACCAAAGAAAAGACATTGTAAATAGTTTTTGGGGAAAAAGAATGAAAAGAATATGAAAGAAAGCAGTGCTTCCTCAATGGAACGAATATCAAATAAGATGCTACCTAATCATCTGAGCTTCTTTTTTTCTATTCTATTTTATTTTATTTTGTTTTTTTTATTGCATGTGAAGCACAGAGGGGTTTGTGTGTGGGACAAACTGATTTGCAGCCTGCAGCAGCAAAATAGCTGATCTTTCAAAACACTGTTGCTTGGATTTGAAGCAGGTTTATTTTAAAGAGAATAAATAAAGAGAACGATTTCATCAGTCAATATAGTCTCGTTATTACAGCTTAATTCTGCCATTATCACAAACCGTATTCTGTAAGCATGATTATAAGAATAAGAATACTATACCCAAGCTAGGATACTAGTAGATATGCCATTTAGTCTCTGAGCCGATAAGATCAAGCTACAATTCCTACTCATGGTATGTAAGCATCTATTTATAGTGAGGCTTCACGAGGTAGTCAGCGCATATTAAAGGGAAAAAGTACAAAAGCGTATTGACATGAGCACTTTGTATCAAACAATTAATACATTATTTATCTGACCTAAAATAGGAACAATAAGATCCAAGGGAGTTCGTTGATAGGTTAGGATAGAACAAAAATCGCTGAAATACACAATATATATATATATGTACTTGATAGTTTTATATTGAAGATTATTGAAGCTTTTCGGTATACGCACTTTGTTGATCTAGTAACAAGAGATATAATAATTCCAAGGTATTGAACAACAAGGATTTCTTGTACAAAACCCTCTTTATCTATCCATGTATTTACAGTGTTCCATGTACCATATTAGTGTGTATGTGCGATCTTAGTTTTCTTTTCTCATAGTTTTTTTTCTTTTTTAAAAAAAAGTGAATATACATAGTTAGCACCATTCTGGTATTCCCAATGAACAAACAGGATGGCTGTTATTCACATGCATACTGGGCTTAAGCCAGGATGTTCACTAGCATAATATCAATAACAATACCAGTAAAACTATAGCAACATATATATATATATATATATATTCAAGAAAAACAAAATCACAATATTATCAGTCTAAACAGTTTGATCCTTTTACTGATTCATTGTAAACAATTTCTATACTAATGATGATTATTATGATGTGGCTGAAAGGATCCAGGAGTGTGAATGGTTTCCATTATTATTGGTGCAGATTCTGATGAGTTAAGCAAAGGTGTTTTACTAGACGAGCTTGGGCCAGATGCTAATTCTTCTTGTCGTCTTTGAAGCAGATACCGCTCCAGAAGTATGGCATTACGGGTATTACACTTGTAAAATATATCCAAAATATCTCCTACAATTGGTACTAGCCCAATCTACATAAAGAGATAGAAAAAGAAAAAAGTTCGTCAGAGAGAAATGCTTTTAAACACCTTCAATATAAACGTTATAAATATTGCTTACAGCAAAGTCAATCCCGATATTGAACATCATTTGGGACAAGATACTCTTTGGTAGTCCAGCCCTCATACACATTTCGACCAATTGAAATGCGAGTACAAGTCCTATGAAGTCCCCAATGACCGGAACAAAGCCTATTCATCACACACATGCACATTTTCCCACCAAAATAATAATAAAAACAATAGGTATGTAAAAAAGAAAAAAAGAGTATAAGCTGTGTTAGGATATCATAAAATTTGTAATTCATTCAAAGAAACTTTATTTTATTTTACCAACAAGACCGTCAAATCCAATTTGAATACAACAGCAGCTTATGCCTCGGTCAAGGAAATATGCTCTTGACTTGACTTTTTTCAGGATATTTTGTTCTTTTGTAGACAATATACTTTCTGGTTTTGGTACCCTGCTTGTCCACCATTTACGTGATTGCTGCTCTTGCTGAACAGGTTTCGGAATTTCTTTGGTCGCATGAGCCTCATTTAGAACATTGAATGGCTCCAATGCATGCTTAACTGCATACTTTGCTAAAGATTCTTTGTTCAATCCCATTATTTCTAGGCAAATAAGATCCCGAATAGAAATAACAACTACTTTATAAGCGTATCAAGAAAGGGAACAAACCATATCCACAGTTAGCTACAGCAATAAGCGTTCTACGAATTCCCTCAATTTGTTACTGCCAAGATTTTCCACATGCCTGGATTGCAACCTCCCCTGGGTTTGTATTTTGTTAATACAGTGTTTCTACTTGAGATTAAGGCAATGTTAATTCTTTTTTGGACGAATGAAAATTAATTTTTAAATAATTTGCCTACCTTTTTTGAACAAACAAAAAAGAGAATTGAGACACAAAAGAATAAAATAACTAAAGTGTTCTTTACCTGTAAGCATCTTTAAGTTCGCCCACTAGAGTGAGGAACAACCACGTTCATTGTGACGCTTTGTGTTGCTGTTGTTCTTGTTGCTGTTGTTCTTGATCTTGGTTGAGGAATGAATATTTCTAGCCTATAATTTCCACTCCAAATTTCCTGCACAATATAGTACATGTTTTTTCCAGCCATGATATCTCTATTCCAGAAAACATTATAGCTGTTGCAAACTAATATTGAAAGGATAGGTCTGTCGTTGGCATTTAGGAAATATCTTAGGTACTTGGTCTTACAGGAGCTGCAAACCTACACAGTCAATATTGAATATAAAGAACAAAACTTCAAAGAAAAAGTGCATGTACCTTTGGCGTATTAAATCCATTGATGTCCAAAAGGTACAATAATAAAATTGCACAATTAATTGGTATGGACAGACTTAAGACAAAACAAAAAGTTCAAAATTAGTTCAAATGAACATTAGATTAGATTTTTTATTTTAAAATTTCAAGCCAATAATACGGCTTATATTTTTGATCTTTTTATTATTATTAGATATAGCTTGTTAATAGAGTCGAACTTCTTCTTGCCAAAATTAGCAGTCGTTTATTTTCGCCGCTGGAATTATTTCATAGACTTAGGACTAGGGTATGATTGTGGCAATTATTTGTCCACTTTTTTCATAAATTATTTGGATATTATTAGAAATTTATAGTGAGAATATACATTAATTTGTCAGATTAATGTCAGAATATTTATAAAGAAGTATAAGTGTTCTCTGTTGTTATTGAGTTTTTCCGTGCTCTTTTTGAGTGTATTTATGAATTATATCTACAGTAAAGAGGCTAATTTTATTAGAGCTGTCTTATGCGTATTTCAATACCATCAATAATATATAAAGTAGATTAAACATCGATTTTATGTCTTTTTGAACTTTATTTTACCTTTAAAAATTACACTATAACCTTTTTAACTAAGTATGATCCTCTTGAAGTAGTACTAGTTTTTTTGTAGTATGTTAAGCTATCTAGAGAACCCGACGAGCTGACCGTAGGGACAAATTTCTCACCTTCTTGATCTTTTGTACTTGGAGGTGACGGTATGTACTGGTGAATGACCAAGTTCTTTCTGTTTCTTCTTGTAGTTTTGTTTGATTTATTTGGTACCATAGCTGGTTAGATATTTATAAATGTATGACAGTAATAAAGATTGTGATTTGTAAAAAAAAGTTGATGTATGAAATAGAAAAAAGTTGATTTATTATGAGTTTTATACCCAAGACTTGGAATGTTATGTTATTATTTTATTACATGACAAACATAATGACTTTTAGAGAGAATTAATTGATATTTCACCCTGATATTTTAGTATATTTTAGCTAAGAGTCTTATAATTGATTTTATGCAAGGAGTATTGAAAATTAATTATTGTATATGTCTTCATGAATTTGTAGGATAAGGTTCTCGCTATTCGACTAAATTAAGTCGAAGTAGAGAACTTAGGCTTATCAAAAATGGAAGTTGTAGTCGGTATAAGAAAATATATACTCCGATAAGCCTAAGTCGAAGTATAAGCTTAATCGACTCTGTTAACAAGTTCTCTATTGTTATTTAAGCCTCTTAGTCTGTCCATACCAACTGAATTATAAATTGATATTCACTAATTAATTTAAATACAAAAAATTGCCATACTTATTGGAAGGTTGGAATTCTCACAATACAAGAAATATATATATATATATTTGAACTCTTGGTACAGATATATTTATAGCATGATTAAATAAAATTAACATGATGTAATTTAAGCATATGATTGTAACTCATATGAAAAAGTGGAACTTTCATCATTACATATTTTGATTGTATTTCGATTGTATTTTGTTGTACTGTACTGTAAGATTTACGGTGTGGATTGATTGTGAGAACACAATAAAATTCCTATTACTTTTACCTCATATTAGTTATTGACCCTCTGAACTATTAAGTTATATATCTGTCTATGACTCTTTTCGATTTCAAATACATTAATGATGAGCACAAAAATAAAAATGACTTTCAAAAAAAGGAAGAAAAAGCAAGTGGAAACGGGACCGATTGTGTTTTCATTCATTGATTACAATTAATAAGGTGCATTATATGGTAAACTGTATTGCTTGAAAATAGTTAACTCGGTATATGTCAGTCTTTTCGGCCATCAACCATTACAGGCTTAAGTCAATAGAACACTGTAGATAATGTAAGAGCATTTCCATCATTTTAGCGTTTATTTTACATGTAAAGTAAACCCAAAATTGCTTTTAAAAATCATAATTCATTTTAATATATATATATAAGGCTATATTTTACCAATAGAGAAAATAATAATTGATAGTAGAATGAATAGCAGGCAGAATAATTACAAGTTTATATATATATAAAGAAACTGCTACAGATGCTCTAAATACAATAATTACTCTAAAGATGCTCCCTCTCTTTGTATAATTAAAAAGAATCCTAAGTTATAGGCACAGAACCTTTCCTGCTACAAGCACATTGTCTTTACAACCATCAAGCGCAACAAATGGAGGGATTATGGTGAGAAAGACAGTGCCCCCTGCTTTTCCTTTGTTTACGGCAAGCATCTTGTCCTCATCGTATTCAGTCTTTCCGTCATCAAACTTGCCTACCCGAACCCGTACTTCCTGACTGTTCATTGCCATGCTGACTTTTGTAGCTCTACCAACAAGCATTGCAATCTTCTTTTGGGTGTTGTCCATATCTGCATTAGGGTAAACTAACTTCATCTGCACCATGATTTCTGTAACAACATCATTTTTGGCACCCTCAATGTTAGCCTGTTCTTTTCCAGGGTGCTTGTTCACCAAAGCACACATCTGCTGTCTCAATCGTCCAGCCCAGTCCTCATTTCTCTCGACCATCCACTCATCTAGTTGCTTGTATGTTTCGTTGATAGAAACGCCAATATGCACTGGCTGGTTGAATATACGACTGGTAAATACATCAACAATGTACTTTTCAAAAAACAATGCAATAAAGCCCAGGTCAAGGGTGTCCTTTTTTTCCTTTGTTGTTTCGTCTGTCATCAGCAATTCGCGGATTTCGGCTTCTCTCTCGGGCCAATGCTTGAGGACAAATGATGTCCCGCCCACAATATCTGCATGACCGCGCAAACTCATGGTAAGGTTATTGAGTTTACTGCATATTTGCTTTACTTCTGTCTGGATTGTCGAGTGGTCATCATCAGTAGCTCGAATAGAGCGCAGATAAGAGTAAAAATTAGCCTCCATGCTCTTGTAGCTTGCACGCTTTGCTTCAAGATCTGCTTTGCAGGTATCCAGTACATGCTTGAGATCTGCATTCTTAGAATCAAGCTTCTTATATTCATACTCAAACTCTTGCATGTTATTCTCAAGTTCTTTCTGTCTGTGGTCTGAGTAATCGATCTGCTTTTTGAGTTCATGGATATCCCTTTCATGATTCGCGACAATAGACTCCAGATCATCAATCTTTTGCTTTTGTGATTTGACAGTAGACTCCAGACCTTCGATTGTTTCTTTTTGTGCATGGACCTTAGTCTTTTCGTTTTTGATATCATTGGAGAGTGTATTGTTATTCTCGATTATGTTTGTCATATTTTTGATTTGGATAGCTTGGTCTGTTTCGTGCTCTTCCTGGATTTTTTCCCTCTTGACAGTCTCAGCTTTCTCTCTTTCCAACGCGGCGGCCAATTCTTGCTTGAGTTGTTCGATTTGTGCCAATAGGGCTAGGTGGTCGTCCACAACAGTATTTTTATTCACTTCAGGAACACCTACACTTTCAGGGGTGTTGCTTGCAACATCTGTGCATTGCTTTTTACTGTCTCTTTCTCCATCTAGACCAGTGGGTGGGTCAGAGTTTGGTATTGGGGCCATCTTGGGATTCAGATCGGTTTTAAGAGACGAAATCTCGGCTGAATGAAGGGTTGAATCGATATTATTCACAATAGGCACTGTGTCAATTGACTTGGTTTCATTCACAATTGTTGAATTATTAGAGGCCATTTCTAGTGAAAGAGATGATGGTGTGAGGATATCCTTTTTCTTTTTTTTTTGTAAGTTAATTGATGTGACGTAGACTGAATTTCAGTGCTTTACTTCCATATATTTAAAATAAAAACACACGTATATATATATGAAGCCAACCAGATACTTTGTGCTTCTGTTTGATCTTAAAAAAGGAAGTCAAACTAGACGAGTATAACTAAGCCAAAACAAAGGTTACACGGCATAACTCAAAAAAGTTCTTTATTTAACAGAGGTTCTTGGAGATTTGTTTTCATAGTCATCAAATTCAATGGTAACAAAAATGTGTGTATTGTATTTTATTTTAACAATAATATCAGACAACTTTTTTTCTTTCTTTTTGTTAGGCAACAATGTACCGCGTATAGTTCCAATGACCTTAATTAAGGAACACACAAGGGGTTACACTTGTGTTCATATTCAATATATATATAATATAAAATAAAGAGAGAAAGCGAAAGAAAGAAAGAAAGAAAGAAAGAAAGAAAGAAAGAAAGAAAAAAGGGTCGAGAACTCGAATTCTTAAAAAGACCAGTGTAGATAGTAAGCAAGGTTTGGTCAGGTTCTCAACTATGGTACAAATAATTATTCCCTTGGGATTAATTAACATGGGCACGGTCCTCAAGTCAGTATGTGTTAAATGATATGTTTCAAGGCACACTGGCCAAATGAAAATCTAATATTTAGGTTTGTCTGGCTATGGGATACACCCACAATATACGTATCTCGCTTGGTGCTTATATTTTAATTGATAATATAGAAATAATATGTAGCTATCAAAAGAGCAAATGTTAATGTTAAGCAATCGGTCTCTATATACTTTTGTGAATCCTATTTCCATGCACATTAGATTCCGAAACCGGGTAATTGGAACAAATTTGTGACAGGAACATTATAGACATAAAATAATATATATATATATATATGAGTGTGTGTGAATAAATATGTTTCAATTTTATTAACAAATAAAATAAAACAAAAAATTCTGCTGTGGATGTTAAAATGAATACTACCTAATATAAAGAACCCATTTTCGGTGACTATCTACAGCGAACAAAGTGATATGTACGATATACTACTATTAATGGTCTACTCTAAAATCGACTTTTATACCATTTACTAGTATACCATTTACAAATCGCATATTCTTCACATTCACATTACCAATAATTACCAGTTATTAGACTGTAATTTTCAAATGTAGTTTGATACCAATATAATCCAGACACGAACTTTGTCTACTGACTTTTGCAATTTATTTATATTGTTCTCTAAATATATATATTGAAATATTTAGTGGCCTTGGGCTGTTTTTATTTTATTTTATTTCTAAAGCGGGGATTTGTTTGGCTTTGGTTAATACTAGATAATTTGGTATTTGAACCATGCTTTACTTGGTTAACTATGAACAAAGGAGTAAGGATGAGCTTTGACTCTAAGCTTGGAAAGGCTGTGACTATCTGTGTTCTCTAATGATGTCATTAGATAATGCTTGTACTATTTTTGGAAGTCTTGACGATCGCTTAGCAACGCAACCTTTTCTGTTTTTATTTTATTTTTTTAAATATTATTTTTTGTTACTACAATGAGAATCTTTGCCATTCCAATCCTCCGAAATCGTTGGGCCTACTACTGTCATTCGACTCTGCCGTCAACATCACGACTCACAAAGGCCGTCGATTGGTCAAGTAAAAAGTGGGAAGGGTTAGGAGAAGCCAAGCCAGACTCGTGGAAGAGAAAGCTTTATGACCAAGGTACCGGACTTATGAACCAGCTTGACTATCAGGAATGGTTCCTTAAAAGCGTGCCTGTTAAAGAACATCTTGAACAACCTTTGAGGGTGGTTAGTAAACTTTTTGGAGAGAATTGAGGTTTTGATATTGTTCCTGACACCTTCTTTACAGGCAAAGGTACTTCATCCCTCCAGCCTGACTGACTCTCAAATCCAAGACAATCTGGATGCACTACTGAAGGAAAAGGAACCGTATCACAAGAAGTATATGTATTATTCAGCGTATTGGGTTCCGTTGTCTTGTACTTTTGTTGTTGTGCCTCTGGTACCAAATATACCTCTTTTCTACAATTTATTTCGTCTCTACAGTCATTACAAAGGTTTGCTTGTTTCTGTTTCTGTTTCTGTGTTTATTGTGCTTAGGATGTTTGTCATTTATTATACCTTTCTTTCTTTCTTTTGCCTTTTATCTGTAGCCTACAAGGGAGCACAACACCTAGAATTTCTTTCATACCACAATTGCCTCAGATATTCGAGCAATCCTCAAATTGACGAGATTTTGAGTGGGGTAAAACTGGCATCATCTCATGACGTTGTTTTCCCTTTGGAGCTGTCAAAATCGGCTGATGGCCCGTCTTCTAAACTCAAGTTGGAATCATTACATCAGAATTTTGAGGGTGTGATAGATCTGGAAATAATTGATAGACTAGCCAAGGAATTTGATACACCCTCTTTAGAAGCAGAGCTTAAGCGTGCGCGTTATCAAATATTATCACAAATAGCCAAACAACGCTTTGAAGATCATAATCATAAAAATGAATAAAATTAAATAATTGCTTTAAATCAACCATTTTGAATATAATATAATATAGAAAGCTTGTATGTTTATTTTCTTTACAAATTTACAGGATACAAAAGCAGTTATCAAAACTGTATTAACTATTTTGTGTCATATATGTACGTATTATTACTTTGATTTATACTACATGGGTTGCTCTGTGCCTTCAGATACAATCTTCTTGACAATGGTATCTACGCTATCGGTTCCAAAAGCGCTTTCCAGAGTACCCTTGGAGGGACGGATGAATTCACCAGTAATGCTTCCACTTGGGGTCGTAAATACATCAAAGTCTATAATGATTCAATTAATTGATGTTTTCTAAACACGATTATGTTCAATTTAAACACTTACTCTGGACAACGTCAATCAAAGGAATCGTCTTATCATTTCTCCACTTTGCGGCCATGTGAGGGGAGGCGATTACAAAGAATTCTTGGTCATTGGCCTTGAGGATGATCTTGGCAGAGTTTTCGTTGGTTGATCCGGACATAATTGAAGTGATTTTTGTGTTATTTCTTTTGGTTTCAAAGTAATTTAAAGATAATTTGATATCTATGCAGGTAAAAAAAAAAGCCAAATCAAAAAATTGGGAGCTTTTTATATATTCCAAAAAATAATAATAATAATATCTATATGTTTGTGCCCGTGCCTGACAGACAAGAATGTCAGTGAAATCTCATCAAATTATATCATATAAACGTCATGGGACTGCTAATGATGCATGAAAAATAGAAAGTACAAAAAATTAAATTAAAAAGAAAAATAGCTTCAAATATAAAATATAGAATATAAATAGAATATAAACTAAAGCGTTTTTCTGACGCACCAAAAAAAAAAATATGGAAAATTTTGGAATCAAATAGACCTACCCTATAGAAAATGGGAGGATTTATATCCGAACTCGTAGAAAATATACGAGCGCGTATCTCATATACGAGCTCGTATATTCTTCAGCCAATAGCATGTCACCTTTTAGCTAATCAAAATGATTTATAACGAATAGTATTTACGGGATTTCAGACTATTTTTCCATCTACTCCAATCAAATAATTTAAATATAGTAGATCTTTACCTTTTTTAGATATCTTTATTCTTCTTATAATTCGTCTAACAAATGCATGATGTTTTATATTGGAATTTTATGGTTTTTATTGATCAAAATAATAGAAGAAGTATTGATTTATATGATATTTAGTAAGAGTTTAAGCTATAAATTTGCTATAAAATATACATACATATATTGCTATGTACTACTTTCTACCTTTTCTGTGTTGACAAAAGTCATTACTTTCTGGTGGAAAAGACTTGTTAAAGTTCAGATTAAAAATACAAGTAATCTTGTAGACCATGTTTGTCTCTTTATCCAATTTTGCAACCTGTAAGCAGTCCAATGTACAATCTTCCTCTAAGATGGCCTTTTGGATTAAAAAACCAGAATACACTGTATTACAAAGTCTGCCATTACACAGTGAGACCAATTTTTTGGGACACATGCTTTTACTGTCGGACATTTAAATAGCTTGCTTAAGTGGTGGAAATAGCGATATTGGCATTTTCAAATATATCGATATCTTCACGAATACTTGTCTGTTACTGGTAAAATAAGCACCGACCAATAGAGCTTTGCTTTCTACACAACTTTGCTTAATAAAACAAAAAACAAAAAATTCAATTTTTTTTCAAATGTTGTCCTGAGGAAAAGTGGGTATCAAAAATGGACTTTTTGGTGCAAATATCCGATTTTTCATTAATAAATGTTTCTTAGAGTGAAAAAAAAAGATGATTTGATCAATATTTGAGCAAAAGCTGTCAAATAGCCTTTATATGTTGGATCTTGTAGTGCCTTACCATGCTACTTACATTTATAGAAAAACTTTACTTGACCGATTTGCATATATAGCTAATTTTCTGTATTTCATTTTCCTTTTGGATCAAAATGATACTCTCTATCAAATAATCTTTCATATCATAATATTTAACTGTTTATATTAAATACATTTTTAATAGTGCTGTCAAGTAAAAATTATACAAGCTAAAATAAAGGTGTTAAAGAAGTTTTACTCTTGGTTGACTTGGTGGAATATAGAAATTGTAAGGAACATTCAATTAGTTTTACTCTTTGGACCAATCATAACCAGTTCCGGTCATATTGCTCTTAGGCCAATTCCATCGTTATATTTATTTATTTGGGAAGAATTCTCATAAAAACAATCATATAATTACTTCTCACACATTACAGGCAGAAATATATGTATAAGCACCAGTAGAGCTTGACCGTAGAAAAATCAAATCAACAGTATCTTTAACAAAGGAATTTATCTATCTTCTGTCCTTGCCCTTGTCCAGATCAATACCTAAATTTCCCGCTAAATAATAAAATGCACTTTTCGGGAGATCTGATTGTCAATAATAAATTAAATAACAAAATGAAGAGTATAAGGCTTTGATGGCTTCATCTATTGGTATGGACAGACTAAAAGTTCAAAAAAAGAGCAAAATTTTTAATCGACTCTAATTAGTTAGTCTTCTTCCATGGCCACTAGGATTGAGAAGAGAAGCATTTTTTATGGAGAAGATGTGCCATATAATGAGAGTTCTGGAAAAACTCGCAATAAAAGGTTCTCACTTAATGACAGAGACGGGATTATATGGACAATTTTATCTAATATGTATTTTGAACTTTTTTTGAACTTTTAGTTTGTCCACACCATATATATTGATTAATCGATTTATTTGTACTATATATAATAATAATGAAGTCAATTCTAAAACCTTAAATATATTTAATCCCTTTCTTTTTCTCTTTATATGCGTTGTATGTGGTGTTTACGCTGTATGTATATATAGGAATAAACTGTTAAGCTACAACATTCTTTACTCAGATGCAAGAACCAATAATGTTTAAAGTACATTACCGGATCTAATGAGGACACTACTCAGTCTTTTCTACACAACCTTTGGAACCGTGATTTGACTGTTACTCTAAAATTTAGACATATTGTTTTTGGCTTGCACAGAAGCAGAATACGGCTATTAATATTCTACAGATTGAGTATATGCTCATTCACTACCCTCAAAAGAAAGGAAATTTAAGCCAGTAGCAGTAGAACCACTAAAAAAACTTCCAAGCAATACTATGTAGCTATCGCTGCACTAACTAACTCAATATACAGTGTAAGTCTTTGAACATGTGTCTATACTTATCTCATTTTGTTTTTTTTTAAAAAAAAACAATTTTTTCATTCGTCTTAAGTTGGTCATGAAGTTCTATATCAAAGAAGAATTCTTTGTTGATATATAAATACAGTAAAACACACTATACAAGGCGCATCTTTAAGAGTTATTAACCACTATGATTAGATTTTATTTTAAAATAAACAGCACAGAAGAGTATTATTAGGCTATTAAGGATTATAGTAAACATCATGGCACTATTTCTTTACATAATGTATGCCTAACTTTTAGTTTAAATATAAAAAAGTTTTAAAAAGTTTTATCCAAAAAATACGCCTTATTAGGTCGTGTCGTTAAAAGTTCTAACTTATTGCTCCCAAAAAAGAAATAAAGACAATAAAAGTTGAACAACGTTCCCAAAATTTGAAAAATATTGTTCTGAAAAAAGAAATTATAGGCCTGTTTGAGATTCCAGCTGCCAAATATAGCAGCTTATAAATGTCTCCATTTTTCTAGTGAGATTAGAACATTTAACGACACTATCTAATACAGAAGGTTCAAGCTACAAGGTAGAAAAAGCGGGCTCCGATGTTGACAGTAAACGGAAAATCAGCTATAAGCCAAAGTTCAAGTTGACTTTCTTGGTTTATAACAGTCGGATCGGCAAGTGATGTTCAACAGAAACCCCAAAATATCATATACACAAACCAACTAGTCAATATCGCTATTTCAGAGAAAGAAAGAGAGCGAGAGAATATATAGAGAGAGGTATACTTAGATTTAGGAAAGAATTTCCAAAGATTAATATATTACAGGTACGTAATTATTAATGTAAATGAAGCATGCAACGAATAGACATGCAGACTCTAGATATCTTGTGACGTCGACAAGAAGTGTATCAAAGTTACTGTGCCATTTCTAATGTCCATCTTTTCACTCAACATCAATATGGATAGAATTACCAACCGATCACAAAGTAAGTTCAAGCACAATAATATTGGTATCAAAATGAGGTCTTTTCTTCTTCTAATAAGCCAAGACAAATATCTGTTAATTGTCATTAGATTCAGATCAGATTTCAATGACTAGCTCTAATAGCAATGATGCATTATCGGTAAGAATTTGCTTCAATATTATTATTATTACTGTTGGTTATAGTCACTCCAAAAGGTGATTATAATCTTTTTGAAAAAAATGCACAGACTTTATTCTGCGTATATTATCATTATTTTACTTGAACTAATTTTTGCTGTGAATTTATATAGTGGATTAGTTGGTTCTGCTCTATGCCAGGGCATGAATATTACGCAGAAGTTTCTGATGATTTTATCGAAGACAGTTTTAATCTCACTGGACTGTCTGCTCATGTACCGTTGTACCAGGAAGCATTTGAGATGATCATGGATCTTGAGCCAGAAGATGATACATACACACGCATCCCAGACTTGAGTATCCTCGAACCACATGCAGAGATGCTGTATGGAATGATTCATCAAAGATACATTACTACAAGGCCAGGGCTTCTTCAAATGGTAAGTGAATATATATATATATAAGTATATAAGTATATAGAATGTGTTTCCATGTGTCTTAACCTTTGAGTGATCAGCTGAAGAAGTATGAAGCAGGTGAATTTGGGTACTGTCCTCGTGTCTATTGCGAGAAATATAAAGTATTGCCGTGTGGGCAGCATGATCTCCCAAAGCTAGGCAATGTACGACTGTATTGCCCAAATTGCAAAGACATATACACACCCACAAGCTCAAAGTTTAATAATGTGGATGGTAACAAACGATATGATTAATCAACAAACAATTGCATGTATAATAATCATACGCAACCATTTGGCCCGGTCTCTCTCTCTCCTTCTTTTTAGGTGCCCACTTTGGATCTTCTTTCCCTCACTTATTTGTCCAAGCTTTTCCTGATATATTTATCCCGGAGATTCCAAATGTATACACTGCAAAGATTTTTGGCTTCCGGGTCCATGCCCACTCTCCTTATGGTCCCCGAATGCAATGGCTTAGATCGGTCCCTTCTTCATCTCTTACTCCTTTGTTAAACCTGCCCACGGACACACATTCTTAATAGCCAATTATCGTTTAGATTTACAATTTGTTTGATGTATATGTTTTTATTAGTGTTTCTACACGTTTATATGTAATTTCTTGGGTGCGCAGGATTTGCTGTTTCAAAAAGCCTTCAAGAAAAATCAAGTTTACTTAAGCTTCTTCTTGGGACGGAGCTGGTTAGTATGGCCACACTTTCTCTTGCGACAATTGGTAGCACGGGGGGGAAGGCGAGCGTAACACTTGCGGCAAATCATCTTCTCACAGTTGTACTTGGAAGCAAGAGCCTTAAGGGAAGGCTCAATAATACCACCACGAAGACGGAGGACCAAGTGGAGTGTAGACTCCTTTTGGATGTTGTAGTCTGAGAGTGTACGTCCGTCCTCAAGCTGCTTACCGGCGAAAATTAAACGTTGCTGATCCGGAGGAATGCCTAGACGCCTGTCCTTTTAAGCCTGCCGTGCAAAAAGAAGTTTCTTTTTCTCTCCAGCTCCTCTAATGTGCATCCACAAATGGGAAATTCTGAGATGGGCACATTACCTTCTTTATCTTGAATTTTTTGCTTAACATTGTCAATCGAATCCGATGACTCCACCTCCAAGGTGATAGTCTTGCCTGTCAGTGTTTTGACAAAGATTTGCATCTTGATAACGGAGTGTCAAGATCAGTTCTCATCCATCTACCAATCTATCCATCTATCCATTTATCTATCAGAAAGTTCATTGATCACATACTTTCTCTACTGAGGGATTGTTCAGAAGAACAAGAAGGGTTAGCTGAGAAGATCTTGATCAATGTGCGGACTTTGGGAATCATTTTGATTGGCTATAGTACAGTTCAATGCAATCCATGGGGGTAAAATGGCGGATTTAATGAAGTGTACAAGCCTGCCTGTAGAAAATGTATACTATAATTACATGATGATAATGCTAATCTATTCATCCGTTTTCTTCTTCTCTTCTCTCCTCTTCTTTTTCTTAATCTATGGTTGCTGACAGCATGTAATTCCTGAGAACCAATCGCTCTTCGCCACCTCGTCAATGGTAATGCGTTTGTTAGGATTTGGATCGAGCATGCGATACATGAGTCTCTTGGCACCAATCTCCAAGCCTTCAAATACATCTAGACCTCCTTCCTTGGCCTGTTTTCGTATCGATTCTCGCACCTTTCTCAGCTTTTCTTCTCGCAACTGGGCCTGCTCTGCGGGTGTAGAATTGAGACGTTGGATAGGTGGTGCCATTGTTTGTTCCTGACGCGCGCGCTCACGTTCCTCATCTAAAAGACGTCTAAATTTGAGGTATCGCTCAAAGTTTTCATCATCTTTTTTTGCCATATTCCACATGTGATTACTCGTCTTCATGGCCATAAAAGTAACAGCTGCACTCCAGACATCCACACATCTGGGATCATATTCCTTTTTCTCGAATTCTTCAGGTGCTATGTACGGCTCTGAACCACAAAGTCCTTTACTGTAATAATATACAGTACATTCGTGTTCTCCTTGCTCGTCGTTCTTTAGAGTGGTTGCGCGGAAACATTCCGCATTTCCGAAATCCGTTATCTTGAGGCATCCAGTGGATGTAAGAATGAGATTTTCTGGCTTAATGTCACGATGTGCGATACCCATACTGTGAATATATTGGATACCCCGCACCAGCTGCTTAAAGAAGCAGTATGTCTCTGCTGTCTCCAACCCATGAGAAGTATCATATATCAAGTTGAAAAGATCTCCTCCACCACAGTACTCCATTACTTGACAATAAACTAGTGATGTTTCACTAAGTGGTACCAGATCAAGTGTCTCAATCACATTTCGTTGATGGAGTGACGAGGAAATGCAAAACTCGGATGTCAGTCGCTTAACGTAATCTTTGGTAGTTTCTGAGCTTCTCTTTCGAAACTCCTACAAAAATAATTTCCACAAATTTGAGTCAAAATGTATATTTTGATGTGCTTTTTTTTTTTTAAAAAAAATAAAAAAATAAATAAAGTAACGATACCAACCTTGACAGCATAAAGCTGTTCATTCTTTCCGCCAGGAGAGCTAGGATCTGTCTTGTGTGCTACTCGAACAATACCAAATGCTCCTTTACCAATCACTTCATGACATGTACCCCACTTTTGAGCCAAGCAGGAGCTAGAAGCAATACGATTTAAAGTAGCATCGACGGCAGCTCGTTCTTCTCGTACTTCGTCAGGGGACATTTTTTTATCGCCCAGAAGCGGTAGATGAAAGGGTTTGCTAGGGTTTCTTCCTAGGAAGTTTGTGAGGCCATTCAACGAGATTCGAGAAGGGTGGAATGAGAGATGATGAGAATGACTTCCATCACTGTTAATTTGGAAGCGGGGGGTATTATGAGGATGCTGAGACTTTGGAATGGAAGAACTATGGACAGAGTTTGGTGATTGTGGACGACTTGAAACAGGGCTGGATGTTACTGAGCTTTCTTTCGGGCGGCTATCTATGGATGCTGGTTTGCAACCCTTGTCTTCCCGGTGAGGCTGGAATATTGACTGAAAAAAGCCCATGGTTGAAAACGAACAAGAAGGAAGTGGACCTTCAACCACAACAAATACTTTGTCTTACACTTGAAAATGGTGACTGCAAGTCGATGGCAAAGTTACTAAGCTGATTGGCCGGTTTTTGTCCCCTCCGGGAAATATATGTCCTTTTAAGGCTGCAACGCAAAATGCAACATTGACTTTGAAAAAGTAACTCTCATCTGATCTCATCATGCCGATCCCGAACCCTCTAGTCACACCTTACATACTGGTATTACTTTGTTAGAAATGCAATGGAGGCTGCTTTACAGTCAGGACAGTTGTATATTGTAGCATATGACAGAAAGATTGTCTACGATGGATTTGGGCGAATATACTGAATAAAACGCCTAAAGATTTACATTCCAAAAAAAATCTTATCCACATGCCACCGAACAATGATCATCCTCATAGTCTTATTAGGCTAGAACCCAAATGAGACAATACTCTCAATTGTGACTGGAATAAAGGGTTGCTTATGTATGATATGCCAAAGATCGTTTTATTTTACTGGTGACGTCAATCGAGAATACACTTATCAGTTAAAGTAGTTATTATACAAATACACATATAAAACTTAGTTAAAGATTAAGACATATAAAAGTATAATCATTCAAATGTTTACTATCAAAAAACTGACTAGGACCATTAGAAACTTCCTTTCGATTTATCAAAGTTTTGCTGTGTCTATTTGGGTGACCAAATATTTCAGAATTGATATAAAACGCCGTAGGCCTAAGGTGTTTAATTTAAAGTACATGTCTTATTCGGTCGATTTCGGCCAGTATTCCATCACAACTACTACTCCTACTACTAATATATAATGTGTTTGAAGGCCCTATTGTTATATACTTATTATCTTTAGAATTAACATAAAATAAATGCCCATAGTCAAAAAGTAGTCCTGTTGATGGTCTTCGGTTATTTCTCTAAAATATTGTTTAATAACAAAAGATCCAACGAAGGCCCAGCAAATATATTTAGAAAATAATGCTACACTGTTAGCTTTACTTTAGAAACTGGAAAATTACGCCTTATTTGGGTTAAGGATACGATTATCCGTGTTGATGTATCATTATTCAGTAGTTGTTACCAAAAAAATCACCAGGTTTTTTTATATATGTAAAACACAAGCACACACACATACACACGGGTTTGTGGCGTACAATAAGATGTATGAATTGAGTTAAATGGTCGACTGTAGTCTTATTAGGTGTAACAGTCCTAGGGTTGGTTACCTTGTATCCGTCGTCGTGCTCACCCCAAGAAAATTATAAGTGTCACGCATACACAAATTAATTAAATCCCTCAGTGACGTTAGTTTCATTTTCAACCATTTCCATCCCATACCGAGACTACGGGAATTACAACTACAATAATTTCACCAAGCTTATATGTTGTACTGTATCTTAAATGTAAATAGCTGACTATTTGTTTACCTCTCTTGCTTTATGTTTTAATAAGATAGCTATTATATATAAAGAATAATAAATGTTTTTTTTTTCACTGGTTTCGGTTCTGTCGGTCAGCCTGCCGCTTTACAAGATAGTTAAGTTTATCCATAACTTCCTCTAATTTTATCTTTCGCTCTTGCAATTGCAGATGCTTCTGGATCGGAGGGTTCTCACGGGCAAATTGCTGAATCTGCTTACGATTCATTTCATATACCAATCGGTTGTCTACCTCACGAGGAAATTGGAAGAAAAATTCATTCAAGAGTTCAACCTGAATAAACATTACAGCCTAATACAACAAAAGTTACTATCAAAATTTCATAGCATGCCCAAAAAAGTATATCCAACTTACCGTATAAGTTAACTTTTCTGCAATCACATTCAAAAATGCTTCCGGGCACTGTTGTTTATTGTCGGGGGATTTGCACTGGCGGCTCTTCAGTGCTGCAATACGGTATTTCAAAATCATTGCTCGATCTCTCAAGAACAATGCTTCTTTAGCTTTCTCGATCAATCTTGGGTTGTAAAATGATTTGACGGTATCTTCGTCGTCTCCAGGGGCAAACAGTTCTTCATGCGATGCCATACCATCTTCCTCCATACGACGAATTTCAGATTGACGGCGAGTATCCTCTCTCTCGTTGTCGAGCAAATAATTGATAGCACTTTTAAGTTTCTTTTTACCAACTGAGTTCTTAATAGCTAAAGACATTTCATCGCACATCTTTAATTCTTTTTCAAGCAATCCAATCGATCTTTTCACTCCCTCGGCCCATTCTGTCTCGCTGACCTCCACCTAATAATATCCATAAATTAGTTATATATAATTTAGTATACTTGAACCATATACATGCCTCATATTTGTAAGGTTTAATTGTATTTTCCACTTGATCGCTTGTAGTAAGGAACTTGGTTCTCAAGATTTCGCTTGTAAAGTTCATAATCTGTTTGCGTGTCTCGGGATGAAAGCTAAAAGGTTCAGCCTTTGCCAGTCTTTCCATGTTACTTAAAAGTACATCGACTACTAGTTGAGTTGTAGAACGCCCAATACCACTCTTGGTCAAAGCGGCAGCTGCAAGGTCAATCTTGTACAGCCAATAGAGATCATCAGGTGAGCTCTTTGCTAGATCTGCAATCTTGGGATCTTCCCAATACTGTTCCGCACAAATATCCAACACACGTTCCTCAAGCATTGTACGGACTTCGTGGCGTACTTGAGGCTTTCCAAAGTTATTGGCAAAATCTTTGAAGTTATGTTTAAGAGAATCCATTGTTTCGGCAACATATGATTCAGCTGTAACGCGCCTGTCATTGTACTGAACCTTAAACTGGTAACGTGCTTCCTCAAGTTCACGCTGGACTGCATCGACAATGCTGTAGAGCGACTTTCCCATGCTTTGTTCAAGTACACTCATCAGTTTAAAGCGTAGTGTAGAAGTTCCAACCTGAATATCACGCTGATTGTACATCAAATGTTCTCTGAAAAACGAAGTCTCGTTACGAATGAGTGCCTTGGTCATATTGCCCTGAACACGTTCAGGTGCTTTACAGACAACGCCAATATAGCCTAACCGAAGAGGATAGTCAGCGTTGCGTAAAATTGAAACACCTTGTTCGGGAGAGACAAGGTCCATCTTCGTAATGACTCCAATAGTGCGTAGTCCAAGTGGATCCGCCTTGCGACTAGCGCGAAGAGCCGGTGAATTTGCAAGATCAACATTTGCTGCACATACGGCAAGAATTATGTTGGGGGTACGGATATATTTTTCGCATAAAGCCTCAATATTGCTCTTAAGTGATTCCGGCTGATTGGCATTAGAAATTTGTATATACCCAGGAAGATCAATAAGAGTCAAATCGGGCACATTGGGAGAATATACCCGGAGCTCAATCGGCTTGTCCGATACGCACTCCGAGTCAGGTACAGCCATGTTCATGTCAACCAACGTTTTTTGTATTTTTTTAAAGTCGTGCATCTTTCCCAGTCCAAGCTGAGGAAATTCGCCGTATTCTTCCTCTTGATTTGGAGTATGAATTAAGGTCAATTCTATCGGACGTCGAGTCACCATGTTCGTACCCCTGGTAATTTTTTTTAAAAAAAAAACAAAAAGATATTCATTTAAGCAAACAGAGTCCTATGATTGTGCATAATAGACATACTTTGGTAAAAACTCATGGCCTACAATTGCTTCCAGAACTGAACTTTTGCCTGAACTTTGTGACCCAATAACCACAATACTCGGAAGCTTCAATGTTTCATTGTGATCAATTGACATAAGAATTGTTCGAATTTCGATAAGTTTTTTAGTTAGCATCATCAATTGTTCGTCATGAGGAGCTGCTTTGGTCTGTCGCTTAGAGTTCTTGCGCTGTTTAGGTATATCTTCCTCTTCTTCCTCTTCTTCTTCTTCGCCTTCATCTTCTCTATCTTCTCCATCATTAGAAATATAAGCACCCAAAACAGCAGCTGCAGCTGCAGTCTCTACTCCTCCTCCTCCTCCTCCTTGACCAGGTTCTTTCCCTTCTGTCCGTTTATTTTCTTCATTGCTACGATGATTCTTAGAATTACTGTCGAATCCTCCTGTACTTGATGAATTCCAAAGATCTTTGATAGCTGTTGGTAGACTGAGTTGAATGTGTGACATGCTAAACGACACATGATGTACCCCTTCTTGTATTTTATCGAGTATCGGTTGCACCTCAAGCGTCCCGTCTTGTATCCATTTAGTGCCCTGACGAGTCCAATCTATTTTACATTAACAAACTATTATCCTAATCTGGAAAAAAAACTTACCTTGGATTGTGTTATTGGCGATTGTCACGCCCGCAGCTGTTGTACCTACTGCAACTACAGGGAAACGCAAGGCTGAAATAGTCGCTCGCGGAATGGAGAAGAGCTTAATCGGAAGTAATGGGGCATTTGCAACGAGAGGTGCAGCATATGATAAATGTCGAGTAGTGTAAGTCGATGGTCGATCATGTAAGTGGGTAAAGCGAGCTTTGGTCAAAGTGTTTGTAAATGGTATACGACGAGAAGAATGCATAATTTCTCGGCGAGCTTGTTGGTGTACTAGGATGCGATGGGCATGAAAGGCCTGCATGCTCATGACTTCATTAGAATAGAAAAGAAAATAGAAACAGAAATACCAAAAACAAATCTATAAATTAGAGGGTATCTAAAGTTCGGTCACGTGAATGTTATACTCTCACTGTAGAGAATAAATTACGAGTAAATTTGGATACTCGCAACTTTCTGCCAAAACTCGTAACTTTGAAATGTTCGACACGCGCTTACTAAGTTTAGTATGTGCTAAGCTTACTTTAGTATCCGACGGCTGATGTTCAAATATGATTGTTTTGCTTTTAAATCAGAAAGCCATTTTAGATGAATATAGTATATGCAAAAACAATGTCTCTGGAGCCTGAAAGTGATCCGATAAATAGGATAATATATATTTTTCTCAAGTAACCACTAAACCATTGAAGCTAGTAGAATATACACGCTATAAACTAATCATCTATCAATGGAGTCTTGATCCATTAAAAAATCAAGGCTCTAAAATAAAAAACTGATCTTTTCAAGCTCTATACTTTACCATTCCAACAGAATAATATTAGTCGACATAATCTAGCTTATATAAAGTTAAAAGTCTATCTGTGATAATTTTTTTCTAATGAATCAATCAGTGGCTTAATAAAATAGCAACCTCAGAAAGAGTAAACTGGAACTCTTCCTTGTATGTATTATCAAAAAGAGCTGTCAGATGAAGGCACTCATAGGTATCTCTCTTCTTAGGAGTGGTATATCGAGTGCTTTTAGGACCCAAATAATAGCCATATATAACAAGAGCGATAGTAAACATGGCGTTTTTCTGTTAAATTAGATAAATGAAGAGGAAAGAAGTATAAATATAATTTCTATAACGTCCTCAAAAGCGTCCCTTATTTTAACCGGAGACGTGCATTCCGATGCTGGTTTTAATTTTTTCCCATTTTTAGCAGCCATGAAAGTTCCTTACGTTGTCCCCTTCTCTATTATTGTGGCAATTTTTGTTCACTTTTTTCATAAATTATTTGGATATCGTTAGAAGTTCATACTTAAGATATACATTAATTTGACAAATTAATGTCAGAAGATTTATAAAGAAGTGTATAGGTTTTCTGTTGTTATTGAGCTTTCTCGTGCTCTTTTTAAGTGTATTTATGCATGATGCTTACAAGTAAAGAGACTAATTTTATTAAAGAGTTGCTTTATATATATTTTAATAACATCAATAATAAATAAAGCATATTAAACATCGATTTTATGTCTTTTTGAACTTTATTTTACCTTTAATAAGTACACTATAGGCTCTTTAACTAAGTGTGATTCCCTTGAAGAAGTACCAGTTCTTTGTAGTATGTCCAGATACCTATAGAACCAGATGAACTGGCTGTAGAGACAGATTTTTCACTTTCTTGATCTTTTGGTCTTGTAGGTGGCGGTGTGTACTGGTGAATAACCAAGCTCTTTCTGTTTCTTCTTGTAGTGTTGCTTGATTTCTTTGGTAACATGGCTGGTTAGATATTAATAAAGGTATAACAAAGATAAATATTGCGGTTTGTAAAAAAGTTGTTGTATGAAATAGAAAAAAAGTCGATTTATTATGAGTTTTATATCCAAGACTTTGGAATTTTATGCTACTATTTCATTACATGACAAACATAATGACTTTTAGAGAGAATTAATTAATAGTTCATCTTGATATTTTTATATATGTTAGCTAAAACTCTCATAATAAATTTTATGCAAAGAATTATTGAAAATTAGTTATTGTATATATCATGATGAATTTGTAGGATAAGGTTCTCGCTACTTGACTGGATTAAGTCGAAGTAGAAAATTTAGGCCTATCAAAAAAGGAAGCTGTAATCAGTATAAAAAATATACTCCGATAAGCCTAAGTCAAAGTACAAGCTTAATCGACTCCATTAACAAGCTCTCTAGTAAGTATGACCAGATTTGATATCAATTACTGCCTGCATCTTGATAACATACTCGTCACCAGGTATGAAGCAAGTTTGAGGTCTGTTTTATTCCATTCTCGTTGGATTACAGGCTTTAAATCATTTGCGTTTTGTATAAATGCCCATAAACCTTTTCGTAAAACTTCAAGAGCTTATTAAACATGCTCCATAGAATTGAGATCTGGACTTTTAGCAGACCAGTACTCAAAACATTAATATTATGGCTATTTTTTTTTACTATTTTACATAGATGCCAGTATGATAGCCGGAATCACCATTTTTGAGCCTGGATTTTTTCTGATGTTGCTCTGTCAGATATCTAATTCATAATAAGAGTTTTTGTGACAAAGTGGCGATATATGAGATTTAGTTTACACTGCCTTCGGGAAATTCCAATGCCCACAAACATTCGTTCCAAAACAGCTTCATATCATGGCATTACCTTTAATCCACCTTGTTTCTGAAATACTATACCCTTCACATATTTAATTTACTTTTCTAATTCGTTGAAATTAAGCAGGTGCTCTGTGTTTGTAATATTTAACTTTTTTTTATTAAAAATTAAAATAAAAGTTGTCAAACGCACCTTTAGATCTTAAAACATATAATCAGACTGAAAAAGCATAATATCCTGGTCGCTTTACAGTAACAACCAAATACAAACCTTTCTAAGACAAAAAAAACAGCAGCTCAAATATACTTCAATTGAGTCCGCGTAGGTCATGATGTTAGAATGCTTAGGTTCATTTTTCTAATGCGAATGTATGTACATTGTTGTTTAAAGACATAAGTGGCAACACAATCAGAGTCGTGATGAAAATTCACACAGCACAAATCTTTAGTGTGATAATTATAGATTCAATAGCGTATACTTCCAATTAACGGCATTAACCTGCCCATTTACGTAACGAGATTGATTCTTCATCTCAAAACGTAAGAGCTTAAAATAGAAGTCTATAATCCCAGAAAACTATAGTTTGTGCAGGGAAAAACACTTCAGGCTTGTACGACCGTAATCCCAAGAAAATATGTAAGCTCATAATTACATCTCTTGACAGCTCAAAATAAAATAAAGTAATTTGAAGTATATTTTTCACCATAAAGAAGTAATGTTTTATTGTATGAAAGATAAAATAGATCAAACAACTGGATGGATTTAGAAGAGGCGCTGGGGCTTACCCATGGAGGACTTCAAGTACAAAGACTTGACGTTCTGCCAGTTCTTCTTCAAGAGAGAGACCAAGAAGTTGATGGACAACATAATGTTGGCGAGCAACTCATCCTCAGTCATCTGGACGTGACCGACAGCAACACCGAGACAGAGAACCTTCTTCAACTGGAACTTGATGGTGGCACGGATCTCGTTGGCCTTATCGGTCAAGGAATCAGCGTGGGAGACGGGGGTAGGGAACTTACCGACCTTGTGGAGACCGGGACCCAAGAGACGAGGAATCTGCTTGATCAAAGCCTCGGAAGCGACGAAAGCATCGTACTTCTTGGCGAGCTTCTTGATCTGCTTCTTGTTCTTGTTCAACTTCTTCAAATCGTCAACGGACTGGAACTCCATGCCGGCAGCCTTGGCCTGGTCACAGTGGAAAGCATCACCGAGAACGCAGACGGAAAGGTTGGGACGGGGGATGTTGGGGAGCTTGATAGAGCCAGAGAAACGCTTATCTCTCTGGGGATCGTAGTTCTTCAAACCAATCTGGAGCTCGATGGTCTCAGTGAAGTTACGCTTCTTCTCTTCGCATCCGGCCTTGATGGCACGGACGGTCTCTCTGACGGCAGAACCGCTAACTTTGCTGTGCAATCGACAGTGTGTGAGATGGATGAACTATGTTGTGATGTGGATGGGTTGGATGGATGTTTACCTCATGGTTAAAGATGAGTAGAAAAGGAGGGAATCTTTGGATGGGCAGGTGCGTGTAAGATCATAAAAGCGCGACTTGTACTTTCCATAAATGGAATAAGCGAAAAGTTGATATCAGGTCCGACATTGAAAATACTTTTACTGACATAAGATTTTTTTTATAAAACTACAACTATACTTTGGAATATGATCGCCCACAGCCATTTAAATATTTCATAGCCGTGCAATATAGTTAATGTAGATAAAATGGACAGGTTAAAGATAGAGAGATAAAGAGGATATATATATGTAGGTGTATATGTGTATATACATATATAAGGTAAGATAGAAGAGAAGATCGGCAAGGGGAACGAGAAGTGTTAAAGAGACCAAACTTTTCTTTTTTGGTTAAGCAAGGTTCTCCTTCTCTATATAGCCTTTTTTTAGGATTTGTTTGTCTGTTTTGGTTGTTTGTTTGGCTGTGATGAAGGATCTATTGTTCTGCTCGATCTTTTCTTTAGAGGAAGTAATCGGGCGTACGTCTGGTAACATGAGGTTCACCCTTCCTTGGCGCAGGGTCAAATTGAAGGCTATAGAAAAATTCAAGGATACATAATAAGCATCTCACAAGTTACTAAGAGGCTATTTACTTACAACGTATACTTGAGATGTTCATCAATTTCCATAATGGCAGCTTGATTACCACATCTGTAACAATAGTTAGGTGCACTGAAGATGGTAACAACATTACGATCGTGCGACCAGTTGTAGCCCTACAATTAGTACAGTTGTTCTTTATTAGTTTTTGAACATATAATCATTGTACACTCGGTACATACCTCCATGACCAACTGATGTGCTCTGGCAACCAATGTCAGACCATTGTTGTGGTTAAATGTTTCTGAAATATCCTGCCCAAATGTATAACCAGCACCTCTTGGAGAGATGCCCCAACCACAACGATCGTCGGGGTCAGACCAAAGAAGATCACACATTGGTCCCTCGTGGGGTACTTCTTGAATACGGTCCAAAGAGCGAATTTGGTCCAATGTGTCAATAGAAGGAGAAAGACCACCATGAAGACAGAATATCTAGGATACCATTATCAGTAAACCTTTCCTCAATAAGTAAGAGTATCGGCTTACTTGATCTTCAATAAGTGCAGTCAAGGGCAAGTAATCAAACAAATCGGTAAACATCTTCCAGACATTTGCATTGCCATATTTACGCAAACACTCATCATAGAAGCCATAGACCTGAGTAATCTGACGGGACTCATGGTTTCCTCTAAGGATAGTCACACGGTCCTTGTAACGCACTTTGAGGGCCACCAACAATGTAACTGTTTCGACTGAATAATAACCACGGTCCACATAATCACCCATGAACAAGTAGTTGGTGTCGGGTGAGTTGCCTCCGATACGGAACAGTTCTTGAAGATCATGAAACTGGCCGTGGATATCACCTATATCGACAGATTATAGAGTCGAACACAATAAGCCATTGGCCATATCTTTTTTTTGTTTCTTCAAGCTCGTCTTCAAAATCTTACCGCATACAGTCACCGGGCATCGTACAGGTTGAACGTTGGATTCTTCCAACAGGATTTCGCGTGCCTGAAATATCGTCAGTCTTACCTCTTGGTTTGATGAGTAGAGATGATCTTACCTTTTCACAGAGTCTTTTAATATCGATTTCAGTTAACTGCTTACAATCCTGGAGCTGAGAAATCCAGGCATCGACGTCGGCAACTGAGCTTACAGAGGTCATGATGGTCAAGAGTGGAGCTGTAGATGACGCTTACTCGTGAGAATGAAGTAAGAATTCAGTCAAGATTCTTTAGATGACGTCTGCCTTGTGGATGGCACAAAGGAAGATGGCCAATAAATTGAGAAGGGAAAAGGACAAAGAAAAGGAAAAATGGGGAGTCTCTCAGTCTCTTTTAGGGCACTCAACGATAGGATGGGCGCGGCCAGTGGGAGACCCGCTCATCTCTGGTGTGGTCGTTACGTCATCATTCAGCCTTGGACGAGAACAGATTGGTCCAACTAAAGGGAGCACAAGAAAAATGAAAAGTGACATTTTTACCTTCACTGTGAGCGTGTGCATACACCTCACCTTTGGATACAGGCGGTCATTAAACGCAAAGAGTAAACTTTGAAGTGATTACCATGTAAAAAAAAAGACGTCAAATTTATAAGCTGTGTGTCTAATTGAAGTTTGGGTGGATTAAAAAAAATGAGGAGAACGAATAGAAAATGTCGAGTGGCTGAAAGACAGAACAACTATTCTTATTATTGTTTCTTGTCTTTTTTAACAAAATAGCCTCTGTATATCGCTTGTGTCATATTTGACTCTACTACCTTGTTAATGTACTTGATAAACTAAGCTATTTCTCTGTATACACCTTTTAACTAGAAAACATTGGTGCATTCTCAAGATAAAATTTTGCGTAACATTGACTCTTGTCATCGTTCCTGCTTTGACCGATATGTGCAATATATATATACGTATTGCTACAAGAATTAATCATGGCAGTAGCTATCAAGAGATTATATACATTTTTTTTTTTAAAAAAAAAGACTAACAGTTTAAAGGAGTTTAACAGTTCGAACAATTATATTTAAGAAGAAAATCTCTGTAAAAGTCACGTAGATCATAAAAAGAATACGATCGTAAGCATCTTGAATTTATAATGTCTATGTTTCTTCAAAAAATGGGGAGTTTTTTTTTACTAAAAGAAACTTGTTTTTGAAACCTGACTAAAGTTCCCAATTATGATTTAACTAGAGCATTAACACTTGTTAATGTTTCTTGAATGTGTTTGTGTGAGGGCATTGATGCGATGGTGCATTGTTCAAGTCCAAGTAATGACCCCTGAACTCTTCATGGCGATTCACTACATTCATTCAACGCACTCACAATCAAAATTTGAGTAATGATTTCTGAATATCACATTTGGAGAATTTGTGCTGCCACAGAAAGTCGCATTTTTTTATTGGTTACTTTTTTCTTAATATATACGTGTGTGTGTGTGTATTCCTACTACTTTCATAGTTGTTTTTATGATGCATTGAATAAATATAAATAAATATACAAACCACAAGGGAGAAAAAAAAAACAGTAAACCACAAAATGCAGCGTATTATCACCGATGGAACTCTTAAATAATTACCGGTATTTTCAGTCGTCGTTTGCTGTACAATTCAATCAACTTCCCTTTAAAATTAATTTTGCTTTATATATTCTTTGGTACAGACAAAATATTGTTGGTCAACATAGTAATAAGTGAACAATGAAAAAAAAAACCGATATATCTATGACTGTTTCTATTTCTACATTGGCGGCAACTGTCAAAAGCAAGTTATCTGACGAGAGAAACGATACAATTACAATAATTTTTGCTTTAAATTTCCCAGAACAGAGACATTTAAATAATGTGTAAATGATGACGGTTTTCATAATACAACCTGCTGTCTTGGCGCCGTATTTGTTGGCCACCTTGTATTCTTAGCTGTCATGAATATCCACAATTGTAAAAGCGGTGCCAAGCTGGGAATAGGTCAGACCCAGACTCATAAAATGCATTCTGCTAAAGGCGGTACGTAATACTCATGGAAAATTAAGATTACAGCTATAGAAACAATAACATGTTTCTTTTTTTTTCGTTTATTGTAGGTGCTGTTGATAGGCTCATATTTGTTAAGAGTCTCTACATAAGTAGGACAAAAGAGAAATTGGATGATTTGTTTGAGGGTTATATGAATTGTATGATGATTTTGTGTTTTAATTTTTCTCCAAGTACGTTATCACGCGGTTGGCAAGAGAAGACTTTACAAACAATGTTGAGGGTGGAAGACGGTTGAAGAGAAACAGAATGGAAGTGAAAAAGTTAGTGATGATCCCAGATGATAATAATTGTAAAACCAAACCATGAAGCAGCAGGGATGGAGGGTACATTTTATGTGGGAAATTGAAGGGCTGTAAGGCAGTGGACAGTACCAAAGGCGGGAAAACAGCACCAAAGAACTCTAATTAAATGCTTAGAGCATCTTCAGCAGTCCACTTTATCTCCACTTTTACATTAAATTTAAAGATTTAAGGTGCTCTCGGAATTGTTTTTCGATAAATAATTCTTTATCGAAAAACAATAATGTTCCTTTTTTAGAAGATTAATATGTGCCACATATAGATGTTGTGTAATTAATAATACGTCGGTGTTATAGCCAGTACTATACTCCAAAGATATAAACTTATTTGAAAGCATATTAAAGGAATACTTTTTCTTGTGGCTTTATCACTATGAGGAAGCATGTAATATTCGACTTCAAGCAAAGCACTTGGTGCAAGATAGCATACCATATATTATTTTGAGTAGAAATTACCGGTTTGTATAGCAAATAAGACCCTGAAAATAATATATAACAGTAAGATAAAAGCGATTGTCAAATGATGTTCTGATAGTAGTAAAAATATACTTCTATATTTGGATATTAAAAAAAATTTATCCCTGCTGGAGAGCAGGTATAAAAAGTACGGTCTTTAAAAATATTGTTCCTTTTTTGAAAAAAAGATACTTCTAAAATAGGAGCATTATTGTTTTTTGATAAAAAATTCTTTATCGAAAAACAATTCCGAGAGCACCTTTAGCTAAAGTTTGTCCTCCCAGCAGTTCGATTAAATTCACTTTAAATATAAAAGACAGTCCCTTTTCTTTATCTTCCTATTCAATTTAATAGGAAGATAAAATTTATTGATGAAAACGCTCTCAAAATTTATTTAAAGAAAAATATAAATCGAACTGCTGGGAAAATTGACCTTTTCTTTAGCTAAAGTAGCGGTGTTTAACTTTAGATAAATTAAAAGTTCTCTCACTGCTGAAGTTGCTCTTATGGATACCTCATATTTCAAAGGACGGGTTAAGAGGAAATTCTCTTACGTTTCAACAGATCGTAGCTATTACATTGGCGATTATTGTGCGATTATTGTGCTTCACATCGCTTTTTGATAGTTACTAGAAACTCTTCTTGTTTTTCCGCTTAACAAAATAATACAGTTAATGTGGACAGGTGAAAAAACAATTAATCAAAGATGAAACAAAGACCATAATTTTAAACCAGTGCATATACAGCGGTTTATGTAATTAAAATAGCCAAGTCAAACCAAAAATACACATTTAAATGGAATAGCTTAGACCATCCACAGCAGTTTATCTAAATCTGAAGTCGCATCTTTTTATTGCTTGAATGTTTTAGTGAAGCGCCAAATTTAGATATCTGTTAAATAACTGTCTAAAAAATGGCTAAAACATTTATTTACAAACCACTGTGGATGAAAAAAATCTAAATTTTCTATTTAAATTTACATATTGGCAAGTTTACACAAACCGCTGTGGGTGCTCTTATATACACCCCATTAGTCTAATTTAAAGCATTGATTATACTTAAACCTACCAAGTTAACTTAAAGGAGATTGGATACGTATGCACACTGTCCCTTTTATATTCAAGCTTTTAAAACCATATATATGTAACCTCTTTATGGCATATCCTAAACTCTTACAATACTTCACATCTTCTTTAAATATACCGACGAAGAAAAAAAGTATACTACGAGCATGTCTTGTCTTCTTAATACTCTATACTTTACTAGGTGCAATTTTTTTGCCTAAATTCCGAAATTTACTACTAACAATGTCATATCTTTATGGGTGATCCCTCTACCAAATTTGTACTTGACAATTGTATCCATTTAGCCATCTTCAGATTGTAAATATGTTAGTCGTGAAGCAGAATATATGGCTTAAGCATTAGTTTAATGCTTTTAACAACACTATTCTCTTAAAATATTTTATGGTTAAAGGTAGGATATGCTATACAAAGTGGTATGAACCCACCATTAAGTAAATACTCTACATTTCTTTCCTTTTCAAACATTTCTCTTTTTTTTTATTAATTCTCTTTTAATTTTCTTCAAAAGCCGAGTATTCCATTCAACAGAAGCAACAAAAACAGTTTGTATTATAGACACATAAGAACGTTTGTTATATTAAATGAAAAACATCATCCTGTTATATGTAAATGATTTTAATTTGTAGAAAATTTATAGTTCGTTACAGACTATATAATACTTTTGCCTTCCAGAAATTAAGTCACGTTTGAGGAGCTTGATGAAGTTGGAACATTGTATCCTTTCAAAAAATGTCTGGTCCCATTATAAAACGTCTGCTCCTTATGATTAACAGAACAACTATGGCGATATTTTGTAAGAAAGTGTTTATATTAAGCAAGTAATTATATAAAGAAGTATAGTAATAAGAATTAATGTACAATAAAATAGCACTTTCTACTTAATTATAGATTCCTATGAACAAATTTAATTATACACTTCTTCCTGTATATACACTCCGACAATAAAAATCATCGATGAACCACATTTTTCATGCTGCTTTTTTTATAACATTCTTTACCTTTCTCTTCCTCACACCTTTACCTCAAACTTAACCACCAATGTCGAAAAGTAATAAAAGAATTAAAACTACTCCCTCCAGACGCGAGCTGTCAGATTTTGAGCGTGGAGGCATTGTTTGGCTCTCAAAAGCCGATCATACTCCAACTGACATCGCAAACCGTATGAACATTCCTAGAACTACAGTTTTCGATACAATAAAGCGCTGGGAGACTACTGGAACAGCCAAGACAAAGACCAGACCTGGGAGACCAAAGAAACTTAGTGTAACAGACGTTACAAGTCTTTGTTTGAGTGTGAGACGTAATCCTTTTGAGAGTTATGGATACCACCAGGCAAATTTGGGAGCTGTTGGCGTTATTGTCTGTAGACAGACAGTTATCCGATACCTACGAGCAAAAGGCTTCGGTTCTTACACCCCTGTATCTCAACCAAAGTTAACCCGTGAGCAGAAAAAGAATCGGTTGCGTTGGGCTAGAGCTAGGGCCAGTTTTAGCATCGAAGACTGGAGCAGAGTGGTGTGGTCAGATGAGTCGAGGTTCATGGTGAAAGGCAATGATTCTGACCCATCCGTAATTCGTAAACGAGGGGAGAGGCACCAGGAACGCCATACACTAACAACAGAAAAGTATGGAAAAGGTTCCGTGATGGTATGGGGTTGTTTCTGGGCTGGTGGCATTGGGCCATTATCGTTTATCGAAGGATCTGTAGACCAAGATGCATACGTCAATTGTCTGTCTAAGGACTTCAATCCCTGGTACAAACAATTGAATGAAGAACATGACACCATGTTCACATTCCAAGAAGATGGTGCTAGCTGTCATACTGGGTCCTACACGACGTGGTGGAAAAACCGTTGGGAGATTAAACGATTTGACTACTGGCCGTCGCAAAGTCCAGATTTGAACCCAATTGAGCATGTCTGGCATGCCCTAAAGGCCAAGGTTCAAGAGAGAAAGGCCTCTATTAATAATGTGCAAGAGCTGAAGGCCTGTATTCTTCAGGAATGGGAGTTGCTTGACCCTGGAGTTCTGCAAACTCTTGTGGCAAGTATGCCTGACAGAGTTAAAGCAGTCATAAAAGCTCGTGGTGATCATACCGTATATTAAACCTCATTTTTTTATTTTTATTCTATAATATATATACATTTCTCTATAACAACACAATGTTTGGTTTTATTTTGTCAACTTCTTGAGAAGATATAGCATAATGAAGTTGATGTATGGTTTATTCGGGGGTAGAAATCAAAGATTTTGTCGGTGATTTCAGTTTTGGGAGTGTATATGTCTGTCAATGAAGTGCTTCGTGAACTCACATATAGAAAAGCTTGACTACGTCACGTCTGACGTAGACACTGCATGTCACGTGAATTTAATCGCCCACTCATTTTCCTCTTCTCCTTTCCCGTTCGTTTTGTCTCCTGTGGTGAAAAAACAAGGTCAGTTTTTCTGGTGTTTATGGGCGTATGTGACATTATCTCTTTATATATTGTTCTCGTGGCTTTTGATTGTACTGTCGCTCAACCTGTTCTCCAGGTTATCTTTTGTTCTTTCTTTCTTCTGTCAACCATATCGAGTGCCTTCTTCTTGCCGTTAATTATATATTTTCTTTCTATCTTTCTTTCTCTTAATTTCTCACACACAATTGTACCATCTCTTTTCCTCAGGATATTCCTTACGTACAACCCACATTATTTCGCGCTTCATTGATACTCAGCCAAACCAGCGCTGAACATATCCCATTTGCATGAGTAGCGTACAGCCACATGGGTCCATGGTGGCACCAATGAACTCACTGCCAAGTACATTTTCAAAAGAAAAACTCAATAGCCTACTTCAGGTAACCGACATAATTGGACGCGTGGGATGTCATATTAAGATCATCTATAGCGAGCACGCTTTTTACAATCTACTGGTGCAAAAGAAGACAACAATGCTGAATTCGCCCAGATCATGCAGTTTTTAAAGAATCTACAGATGCATCAAAAAATGCAACAACAGCGCCAGCCAATGTCACTTTTTGGATCAGCAAATGTCTCACAAACATCCCCTGTTCAACCAACACAGCCACAGCTACTTATGCAACAAGCTCAACAGCAAGCTCAACAACAGCAACATCAGGCACAACAGCAACAACAGCAGACACAACAACAACAACAACAACAACAACAACAACAACAACAACAACAGAAGCAGCAGCAGCAACAACAGCAACAACAACAGCAACAACAGCAGCAACAGGCCCAACAGCAACAGGCCCAACAGCAACAGGCCCAACAAAACCAACAGCAGCAAAAGCAGCAGCAGCAACAAACACAGCAACAACCTCAACAACCAATCCAGCAACAAGCTCAGCAAGCACAAACACAAAAAGCTCAACAAGCACAACAAACACAACAAGCTCAACAAGCACAGCAAACGCAACAAACGCAGCAAGCACAGCAAACGCAACAAGCACAACAAGCACAGCAAACACAACAAGCACAACAAGCGCAGCAAACACAACAAGCACATCAAATCCAACAATTACAACAACAATCACATCAAAAGCAAAACCAACAGATTCAACAGCAATTACAACAGCAATTGCAGCAGCAATCCCCGTCAATGGATATATCAGGTAGCATACCAGGTATGTGGTTACTGCATTATTATATATATGTTATTTTTTCTAGGTATTAGTAGTTTTGAACTTTTGTATGTACGTATCGTAGTTCCTGGACCCCATTCGACATTTACACAAAATCAACTGGCTGCGCTGAAATACCAAATTCTTGCGTACAAACACATATCAAAAAACATACCATTGCCACCTACACTTCAACAAGCAGTTCTGTCCCCGAGCTCACTCGATTTGACTAAAGATCTTGGCTTGCAACGACCACAAGAAACTTCAAGCCAACAAAGCCCAGCTGCCGTACAGTCTCCTGCACTTTCTGCCACACCGAAACCCGTTCCGACTGAATCGCCGCCAGTAAAGAAGCCTCAGTACAATGCTTATGCTTCGCCATACAACTTGTTAAAAAAACCAATTTCTTCATACACCCATGCCTCCCGTCAGCAACGTCTTTTGATTCCCAGTATTACTCCTGTTGGAATTGACACTCAAGCGTTGATGGAGGAACGAGAGGAGGGTGTAAAGAAAAGAGTCACATACCAGATGTCTCTTCTGGAAGAAAAGCTGGGCCCTGTTGAGACAAGGATAGCTGCTTTAACCGAAGAAATTAAATCTGCTGATAGCAATCGCCCTAAACTAAAAGCTTTGATTGAATTAAAAACATTGCGATTGATGCAGAAACAAAGAAAGGTACAATAACAGAAAGAAAATGAAAGAAAATAATTGAGGATATAGATCTCATACTGTACGCACATATTGCTTACTCTAAATAGCTTCGGGAGGAAATGACATCTGGAATGGCTAGATCAACTATTCTTGCTGTATCCTCTGATAGAATTGCTTACAGACGCATGAAGAAAGTCTCACTTCGAGACGCTCGTATGACCGAAAAAATCGAACGACAGCAGCGTATTGATAGAGAACAGCGCGAAAAGCAGAAACATATGGACTATCTCCAGACAATTTGTGACCATGGTCGTGATATGGTCGGTACGCATAAGGCATGGCAAGCGCGACAGTCAAAGTTAGGTAGAGCTGTTGTCCAGTTCCACCAACACATCGAAAAGGAGGAACAAAAGAAGGCAGAAAGAATCACCAAAGAACGTATCAGAGCACTCAAGAATGACGATGAAGAGGCGTATATGAAACTCATCGACGAAGCCAAGGATACTCGCCTCACACAACTACTGAAACAGACTGGTACTTTCCTAAGCTCTTTAACAAAGGCAGTTGTAGATCAACAGAATGACTCGATTAGCAAGCATGGATTTGAACAGGAGCCGATAAAAGATGAAGGGGCACCCGTAAGTGCTATTACAGACATTAAAATATAATCAATAATTGATCTTTCCTACGGTTTTGTGTATACGTGTATTGTGTATTCATAGGATCCAGACGCAAAGGTAGATTATTTCCAGGTGACGCACAGAGTAAAGGAAGAAGTGTCCCAGCCATCAATGCTGGTAGGAGGTACACTCAAGGAATACCAGGTCAAGGGTTTGCAGTGGATGGTTTCTTTATACAACAATCATTTGAATGGTATTCTCGCTGACGAGATGGGTCTCGGAAAAACCATCCAGACTATCAGTTTGATCACCTACCTGATTGAGCGCAAGAAACAAAATGGTCCGTTCTTGATTATTGTGCCTTTGTCGACCTTAACCAATTGGCACCTTGAATTCGATAAATGGGCTCCCTCAGTGAGTAAGATTGTTTACAAGGGCATGCCACTTGTACGCCGCAACCTTCAAATGGATATCCGACGTGGTGATTTCCAAGTACTGCTAACAACTTTCGAATACATTATCAAAGACCGGCCTGCTTTGAGTAAAGTCAAATGGCTTCACATGATTGTAGATGAAGGACATCGTATGAAGAACACCAATTCCAAACTAACCCTTACCCTACGACAATATTACCATACTCGTTACCGTCTCATCTTAACTGGTACACCGCTTCAGAACAACTTACCTGAGCTGTGGGCATTGCTGAACTTTATTCTACCGAAAATTTTCAAGAGTGTTAAGAGTTTTGAAGAATGGTTCAATACACCCTTTTCCACTCAAGGTGTACAAGACAAAATCGATCTCAATGAAGAAGAACAACTTCTGATTATTAAACGTCTCCACAAAGTGCTTAGACCATTTTTGTTGCGTCGGTTGAAAAAAGATGTCGAGTCCGAGCTACCAGACAAAGTAGAGCATGTTATTAAGTGCAAATTCTCTGCACTTCAGGCCAAATTGTATTCCCAAATGAAGAAGAACGGAACAATGTATAAAGCATCGCGTGAAGGGTAATACATTCTTTGCTTATATACTGTCACGACTTACTAAATCCCATTATAGAAAGACAGGAATCAAGGGTCTTAGTAACACATTGATGCAGTTACGAAAGATCTGTAACCATCCCTTCGTGTTCGAGGAAATTGAAAACACAATAAACCCTATTCGTCAGTCCAACGAACTTCTTTACCGTACTTCTGGAAAGTTTGAGCTGCTTGATCGTATGCTGCCCAAATTAAGGCAGACAGGACATCGTGTAAGAAAAAATCCCTTCGCGGTATTTTTGTACTGATTAATGCTTTCATGTTTTTAGGTATTGATCTTCTTCCAAATGACCCGTATTATGAGTATTATGGAGGATTTTATGAACCTTAGAGGATTTCCTTATTTACGTCTTGATGGTTCCACAAAGTCCGACGATCGTTCTCAACTATTACAGCTATTTAACGCTCCTGATTCACCTTATTTTATCTTCTTGCTGAGTACACGTGCAGGTGGTCTTGGTCTAAACTTACAAACAGCAGATACAGTTGTTATCTTCGATTCTGACTGGTAAGTATATTTCTAAATAAATAGCCTTGATAAATATTCACACATACATAACAACGAAAACAAAATGCTGAAATTATCAAATAGGAATCCTCATCAAGATCTCCAAGCTCAGGATCGTGCGCATCGTATTGGTCAAACCAAGGAAGTTCGAATCTTTCGTTTAATTTGTGCCAATTCTATCGAAGAAAACATCTTGGCTAGGGCAAACTACAAGCTAGATATTGATGGTAAGGTTATCCAAGCTGGTAAATTTGATAACCGTAGTACAGATGAAGATCGTGAAGCATTTTTGGTAAGCTATTTGATAAGTGTCTATAATCACAGTAGGGGTATTTTGTATTAATTTCTTATCGAATGCAGAGATCCTTACTCGAAGACAAGAACGACGAAGACCCTGAACTCGAGGCTGATGAGGAGATGGATGACGAGGAACTGAACGAGATGTTAAAGCGTTCTGATCAAGAACTTGTGATCTTTAAACGAATTGATGCTGAAAGAGCACGTGCAGAAATGGATCTTTATAGAAGAATGGGTGGCCGTGGAAAGAAACCAGAACGATTGATTCAAGACGATGAACTTCCTGACATTTACAATCAGGAAGAAGATCTAGTACATGAAAACATTAATGGGCTGTTAGAATACGGTCGTGGCCAACGAGTGAAAGAAAGTATTCGATACGACGATGGACTAACGGAAGAACAATGGGTGGAGGTAATTGCATGGCTTGGTTATAAATATAGTTCGCATTCCTGACATTCTGTACTAGGCATTGGAGGACGAGAATGTAGATATGAATGACTTGCTCGTTCAGGGAGAAAAAAGACATCCGGATGGTCCAGGTCAAATAGGCTTTGTAGAGGAAATAGGAGAAACAAGCAGTCGACGTGGACGCCGTAAGCTGGCTGCCCAAATAGCTCGTTTCGAAGAAATGGACGGGATGCCGAAAAAACGCGGAAGACCGAAGAAATGGGAGCCAGAGGTAGACAATAGTTTATTTTTATACACAATTGGATGATCTAGACATTAACACCTGACATATAGCAAAAGAGGCTTAAAAAAGGAGCCGAACTGATTGGAAGAGATCCTTTACCACCACCAATCCGGCAGCAAATGACGGAGATATTTGATAGGTGTTACAAAGCAGTAGAACAAGCTACAGAAGAAGATGAACAGTAGGGAAAAATACGTTAAAAAGATGTTTTTTTAACATGCACTATTTTGTAGCTCTTACCGACAGCGGTGTAGTCTCTTTATGGATCTTGTCAGTAAACGAGACTATCCATTGTATTACACCATGATCAAAAGTCCTATTGCGATGAAAATGATTAAAAAGCGCATTCATTCACCATATTATAAAACAATTGCTCAGTTCCGCGCAGACTTCCATCTTATGTTTGACAATGCTCGTACATTCAATGAAGAGGGTTCTGTTGTATATCAAGATGCGGACGAAATGCAGGTACGTCTTGAGACGCATGATATATTATACGTAAATTAGCGATTGCTTAAAACATAATTTATAGAAAATATTCGACCATACATTGGACTCTCTCTGCCCAGGTGGTATGCTTCCTATGAGCCAACCTGTGGCTGTTCATAATCCGCTACCCAGACCCATACAAAAACCTATTATTGCCGAAGACTGGAGCATCAAAACAAACGAACGGCAAAACTTTAATGATGAACCTGAAGAGGAAGAAGAGGAAGAAGAAGAAGACGACTACGAAGATGATGAGTACGATGAATAGCCGACTACTCGCTGTAAATACCAATCTATGAGTAAAACAAAGTTTAAATACACTTCTTTAAAAGAAATTGCCCAAAGTGAAGATGATCTAAGATGGCAAGATTATCGGGCAAATGACTTTAAATAGGGACACAATGATCTTTAGAAGAGCAAAAACCAGTACTTTCTTTTCTATATGATAGACTTGAAGTGGGTATTCACATCAACTATCAAACATAGAAAACATGTATTCTAATTCACCTGGTTAGAGAAAGCTTTGAACATTGATTATACTCTTCATTGTAAACTAAAAATGAATGAGTATAACGATCCTAAAACAGTATTAAAAACCACTTGTCCAAATTGTATTCTCGAATGAACTGTTGTGGAAATACATTTCAATTGCTTGCGAATGGTTATATATAAAACTTTACACTAAAGATAGTCGCACATCTACCATCTTTATCTAATATATAAAAAATACTTACTATTAATATATTCTGTAGAAACAGACTAAACAAGTACATATTTATATTATAACCTTTGCACAAATATCACTATGGGGAAAAATGTGTATTTAGGGGTGTACTCTTGTAAGAATCTCCTACTAAAGCCGGTTTTTTTTACCATATTTCATTAAAGCACGCAACTTAATTGTCTACTAGTTAAAATTATTCGCAACCACAAGTCTTCGCAAAAAGTATCTGTTTACATACGATAGATAATGTCTTAATATGTCGCAAAAACTCTAAACATTGGAACATTTTATGAAAAATTATATACTTAACAATCAAAGGATGAAACAGATATGAAAATCCTTTTTTTTAGCGCTTTAAATTTCAAAAATTAAGATATTTTTGCTCGATTTCTTATTATATACTAGACGAAACTCCTAGAAACTGGATACATACCTATATTCTATATCTTGCGCATAACTTATGGCTCTTATTGATGGAGTACCACATATACAATGCTTCGTTAATCCATAATCGATGGAAGACGTACATAATGTGACAGTAAAACCATGTAAAATATGCTTTGTATTCATATTTTTCCAGGCAACATTTGCGAGATCTTAAGGCGAATTCTATTATAAGGATTAAAATGGTAGTAGTTGGATTATGTTTAAAAATGACTCATATTACAACCTTACGCCAAGTATCAAAATGTTTTGCATGATTGTATATTAGATATATGAAGAAGAATTAGCGATCAATAATGTATTTATGTAGCTGTTTGTGACAGCCATTCAAATAAATATGCTTGATAAATATAACTAGCGTCAGATATTTTCGAAACTGATTTCTTTTAGAGTTGCTGTAAATATAAGATGTCAATGGGGGGATACATGCTCTACATAAATATATGTTTTGGTGCACACATCTTTATCCCTCAAAAAGGTTGTTTCGTACTAGACAAAAATAAAATAATGACATTGTCAATGAGAACGACAAGGAGATATAGTATACAAAAAATTAAATAATTAAAAATGACAATGTTTGGTCAAGAGAGTAAAGCGAGAATTAACAAAAGCAGCAAAAAATAAAAAAGGATCGCACAAATAAGCCTCTATAAGATCCTTAGGTAGAGTCTTTGTACTCATCGTGCCCAGTATGAATACCATTGAGCGGATGTTTTGCTATGTAAGCTAAATAAGCCGGGTGTTTAGGATCAAAAGTATAGTCCATTTCTCGATAAAGCTTTAATTGATCCATGAAACCTTTGTTTGGGTTAATAAAAGGTCGGCTTTGAGCAATGATCGCGAGCGCTTCTTTTGGTCGTAGTCTCCGTTTCTTCATAAGATAAGCGGTCACGACAGTTGGGCTACGTGAGACTCCAGCCAAACAGTGAACCAAAATATGCCTTTCATTGGAGACTGCATTGTTGATATATTCATACGTCTCGGGGAAAAACTGGATAATATTAGCACCAGGATTGTCCGAAATTCGGATGATCTGTTGTGGAAAATCAGTTTATTTAGTATTATTTCTTAATGACTAGATTGTTTCAAAAGTTTCTCCCTTACCTTGTTGTCATACTCTGCTGAAGGATAAGAATATTCAAAATGTCCCATAGATAGAATATGCGTAATGTCATTCTTCTTCAGGAATTTTTGGGATTCAAGTGCAGTGTAGCCACCGATCCAAATTCCAGGAAGAACCTCTTGCGCGACGCTAGTAATGAGGATGCCTCCAGGTTTTCCATCAGCTCCAGATTCTAGAGTGTGGTAGAGATGTGAATGATCTTCTAATTGTGTTTGAAAATCGCTCGATGTCTCTTTAGCAGATTCCATGGCTTTGGTAGGCATAAAAGACGGGGCGTCTTCAAAGGCTGAGTAGAGGGGATCCAAACCGACTGAAAAATGCCCGAGCTTGGTGTTTCTTGGTTGTGCAAATGTCCCCTTCTAGAAATAAATAGTCACACGGATAACCGAGTCCCTTTGCTTGAAAAACATCTTGGTATTCGGTCCTTACAAACAAAAAGTTGGCACACAGTATAGAAACAAAATCAGATATATATATATAAATGTTTACGTCATTTATTAGCTTTATTAGCTGTATTAGCAGTAAATTTAGATATACCTTGTAGCTTTGCTATGACTATATCTAACTCTTGTTCAAGGTAAGAAGATGGGTAATATTTACTGAGGGGACAGGTTGGTAAGTGGTTCATGATAATAAGGAGATATCAACTTTGTGTGATTTTGTGTTTAAGGATCTTTTAATTCTTTCTTTCTATATTCATAAAAGCACTTTAAATCGTGAATAATGCTTTGGCCACGCTTTAATGTGGCACTAAAATATTTAAATTGAATTGAGATTGATGATATATTTGATTCTAGAAAAAACAAGTTTACACAGTCAAATATCTTCGGGGGGAATTTTTTGATGGTTTCAAAGAAATTGGCCTGTTTATAGAGGGAAATCACACCATAAGAGATAATGCATTATGGAAATTATAAGATGAGTGAGAGGGAGAAAAAGAGTTATAAAGTCGAGTGAACAGATTTTAATACGGGTGCTGCTCATACTGTTGGTACTGTTGACCGTATTGTTGGGGTTGAGATTGTTGGTTCTGTTGAGCGTAACCTGCACTGTAGTTTTGTGCAAGTTCATCTTCGCCCAAGAGCTCTTTGACTTCCCAGACGTTTTGCTTGCTGCCCACAGAAAATTCGAGATCCTCCTTGGTGATAGAGTCCCAGTATTTGTAAACCATCATTACAGCCAACAAGGAGCAGATGGTTCCAAAGAATAAACCGTCCACATAGTGCTTCACTTCGTCGCAGATGACAACAGAGAAAACATGCATGAGAACTTGACCGATGATGAAGAAAGCAGTACCAAAGAGAATGTCACCCAATGGCCATCGATCATCAAGTGTGTTGACAACCAAGACAATTTGAGATACAACATAAACAAGGAATGCGATTCCATTAATGATAAAGTAAAAGACCCAAAGGGCACCAGGGCTTGTGTATGAGAAGGGACCGATATTCTTGAAAGTACAAATAGCAATGGCGCCGACAAGAATGAAGTACAGAAGCGAACTAATGCGGATAGACTTAATGGAAGAAAAGAAAAGAAAAAACAATTAAATTAGAATTCATTTCTTGTCAGTCTAATTTTTATTGTACTCACCCAGAGAGAAAGAGGGGTACCATCCTCAGCAAATTGGAAACCGACAAAGCCATTGAGTAACAGGCACCAAAATGTGGCGCTTATTAAACCAACATGAACAGCAGTAAACCACTAAATCGTGCAATCAAACTTGTCAGTCAATCTTCATAAATATAAGTAGTTTAACATACAGGATATACGGGAGATGAAGTGGGGATGATACCAGTGACAAGAAGCATTTCAATAAAGATAGTAAGCATATATAAATAAAAGAACATGACGATTTCCTTGCGACCTATATATTTTTGTTATTATTATTATTAGATATAAAGGCTATGCAGTATATTCTGCAAGTCTAAAATACGAACCGACGGCAGTGTATTTTGATCGAATATGGTAAATCATGATGGCAGTCATAATAATAGCCACACAGTCAATAATCAAAGTGGCTACATAAGGTTCAGTGTTTTAAGTATCAGTAAAATGGCTTGGTATTGTCTTCCTCAGAGACGGGTAACCGAAATGGGGCTTTTCATATTTATATTCATATTTATATATAAAAGTTAACCACCATTTTATGTATGTATACCTGGCTGAAAAATCAAGTTGCCACCCAAATCCACATTACGCGAGTAACAGACAGGTTCGATACCCTCTGCTTGTCCAATAAGTGGACACACACTCAGTGCAATTGTCTGGCAAATTCCGTCAAAACTAAAGGCGTCGAAACGGTATGTGATGGTAACCATGGTAATGAATTAAGATGTATTTCCAAGGTACAAAGAAAATGTGATTTTGGTAAAGGATTCCAGGAAATAAAGGTCAGGCAGACGTCTCGTTCTCTAAAGACAAGAAGTTTCGGGAACTGTGGGCTTGTGGTAATCCCGAGCAGAAATACGATTCAAAACGTGTTTGACAAAGAAATAAAGAAAAGAGAGAAGGGAAGGGAAAAGGAAAAGGAGGGGGGAAATAGAGAAGAAGAAAAAAAAATACAAGGTGCTTAGTCGATTCCACAAAAATAGCCAAATCATCCGCTCTTTTCTTAGTTTGAACAATGTGCCAATAATAAACTATTTATAAAAATAAGTAGCAGTCTTTCGGTCAAGAAAACAAGCGGCGCGTAAACATCAGAATTAGATTTCCAAAGATAGAATTCTTCGTCTTTTCTTTTTGTTGTTGTTTATTTCAAGGCACTCAGGGCCAAACGAATGGTTCACTTTGATGAATTTGCACTTTAATATACTTACAGACGTGAGTTTTTTTTTTTCTGTTAAGACATATATTCTCACGTGTCATACTGCTTTTGATTCACATAAAAGTGTTTCTTAAGCTGCTTCTGTAAACTACTTTGCTATGATGAAGTTTACTTAAAAAGTTCTTTAATGGTGTGTAATTAAGATATTGGTTTGTAGTAGCTTGCTCCTGAACTGCGTATGAAATCATTAGAATTAGAATTAGAAAGAGAAAAACAGAATGTTCAATACGTATTTCTTATGGGTGTGTGTCCGATAAAAATATTTAAAATAGGGATTTGTCAAATATCGGAGTGTAGCCCTATAAATGATTATAGTAGCTACAGTCTTTTTACAGTGTTTTTACTTGAGATTGAGGCAAATTAAGAATTGATTTAGACGAATTATATTTACTTTTGAGACACTTTTGGAAATGAAATTTAGGCGGGACTACATTTTTTTAGACGAAATCCTATCACCAATTGAGACAAATACGAAAAAATTGAGAAGATTGTACTTTGAAAAACAAGTTGTTTTAATCCAATATTGGCAGCTATTGATAGTATCTTACCTACAGAACTGAGCTACATATTGAACAGAAAGTCCAGAGACTTATTGTATTGAAGTATAATAAAGGAGTAGTATTAGAGCAATCTATTATACAAAGTACAACTGTCTCAAAAAAATCTTGACTGTTTCAATTGGTAATACGATTTCCTCTAAAAAAATGTAGACCCGTCTAATTTCTTTTTCGAAATGTGTCTCAAAAATAAATTTAATTCGTCTAAAACAATTCCTAATTTGTCTCAATCTCAAGTAAAAACACTGTACTTAGACAATTTTAGATTTTTTTGGATTAAGCAAAATCAATATTTAGATGTTACCTGTAAAGATCCCAATCCTTTGGTCGAAACCAAAGGAAACTGTGTATACTGTACGAATTTGATTCTAAAAAAAAAAACAGCAAAAAGGAAAATGGCGGTCACCTTCGAAGAGCAAGCTGGCAGAAATGTCGCGAATATTTTCTGCAGCGTTTGAATCACGACTTTTATCTTGACCTTTATAAAACTTATATTTTTAATGGTTTTTATTTACGTGTTCTATCTATTGACAGCCTTTACAAGCAGCTTTTATGTACCGGCCAATGTATCGATCCAGTAAGTACCATAAATATGAATTTTAAGCAAAAACATTGTATTTCTAACCAATGAACCCAACAAATAGGTGTCTTATTTATAGGAATCTCATTTTATCCATTGAGTATTATCTCCAGTTGGTATTGGATTTGCACTTTTATTAAATTAAACGTACCTCTTCAAAAGCATGAATGTACGAGAGCTTGGAAGACTTCTCAAAACACAGACCCAGTCTCGTGCAAAACAAACTGTATGGGATGAAAGGCATTAATTATTTTTCTATTGTTGTTCATATTCATACCAGTACACATCCCTAGATTCTTATACCATAAAAACAGCCTAAAATCTATAATATATATATATATATATATTCAAATAGAATTAGCATAGGTTGTAAATGAATATGTCCGATCTAAAATAATAAAGTTATATTACGAAAGAAACTTTTGTCCTTGGGACAGTTATTTGGAATGGATATATATTATATGTGAGTTATACCAAGTAAACACAACAGTAGTTTACTTGTTACATAAACTGAGAATATCGAGACTGTAAAATTCCACACGATCTAATATGTTTTTCAGAAAGAGTATATATACTCTACTCGGACCAAAGTATAGTAAATGATTTCTAAGTTTAAATGTGTGACTACAATTGGATCAAACATAGCGAAGCCTGGAATAAATATTTAAGATGTATAAAAACAGGCCACAAAAGTTGAAATACATCTGTTAGAGTATATATATACATCTATATTCCCTCTTTATATTTAAGAGAGTATTTTATTCTTAAAAAGAAAAAAAGAACGCAGAAAAGACAGTTATTTGCGAACTACCATCGGATCTAACGAGTTCACCTTGAAATAAGCTGTGATGAATGAGATTGATAAACAGGGGTACGTAAAAGACTATTATCAATTACAACGTTTAGGAAACTAATGATAATACAGAGCGACAAACCATTCAGAATGCGTCAACCTTAAGTTGTTTGGTGTATCTGTTGATTCCAGTAGTTAGCTCCTCTTTTTATTTCGACAGACAGTGCATGTTGATTAATAGGAAAAACATTTGGTACAAGCAATAGGAAATATGCCACACGGGTACTCAATATATTTGAAAAGGATATATATATTGGACAATCTTGTGGCCCACCATTAAACAATATTTCTTTATTTTCTCATATGTATATATCTAACCTGTTATGTACCTTTTCTAATTTGTGTTCCAAATCGAGGTACATAAATCTTAATAACGCTTCCTGTTCCTGCCTACAGATCAAGGCCGGGTAGCTTTCTCAACTTTAAACTGTACCGTACCGTCCCAACATTTATGACCTTAGACCTGGTATATTTACCAATAGCGTGTAAAAACTCTTTTTGAAAATTTAGGGTATATCCGTGGGTTCATTTTACATTGTAGTAATTTGAGTATGCGAATTTGTATAAATAAGAACAAGAAAGATAAAGCTTAAAGGCTTATACACTGTATTGTGTATATAAAGCTGTTTTTGTGCTGTGTAATAAGATGCCAACATCAATATTTTGGGAAGCGTGAATTTAACTTTAACAAAATTGCAAGTCGGTTTTTTGAAATATATATAAACGGTTTACCATGTGTAAAATAAAGTGTAAAATAAAAACCCAATTATTGGAAATATATATAGTAGATAATGTACCAATCACTTAAAACGTGCCTTTATCGGTTTAGTCCCAAAAAGGGCAAATATACCAAGACACCTTGTTGATTTGATGTACTATTATACTTTGAGAATAAATACCATTTTTGTCACACTTCAAGTTCTTTTTTTTTTCATCAAGACGCTTAAATACGCTGGCCTATTCAATTTAATTACTGTATCTCTTCTTTCTTTTTCTCCGTATTCCTTTCTTTACTGTATCATCAATGGCAGGAAAGTCTTCCAGTCTTTTCTCTTTTGCAACCTTGATGGTTGTCATTGCAATCTGTCTATCTATCATTTGCTCTCCAGTCACAGCTCAAGGTGTGAGCAAAACTGGCAAGAAGGATGGAAATGCATTACTATCAGCAGCCAAGAAAATTCCCAATGGCAATTACGTTTTTCAGGCCTATAATTCAAAGAAAACATTGACCCTCATTAGTACCGGAAACCTTTTGGCTCCAAGAACCTCGGGTCAAAATGAATGGGCAGTTAAGCAGCACAGTGGATCAAAATATTTCACTATACGTGCTAACAACAAGGCTGGCCTTCCCAAGTGTATCTCTACTCGATGGGTAAATGATTGGGAGAAAAATATGTACACAAGATCGATTCTAATCCGTTAATTAGTCTTTTGCCAGTTCTGGAGGATTTCCTGATGCTGCTGTTGTAAGTTTGTATTTTAATTTATTTATATTTGAAAAGAATATTCTTTTAAAGGTATTAACCTTAACTTTACTGTTAGATGTGGCAATGTGAAGTAGATACACCAAATATTAAGTACTACGGCTATGATCCTATTTACCCTCCCAAGCAAATGTGGCTCGCCATTCCTGATAGCCACCACAAAGGCTATTACAAGATTGTATCAGCATCTCATCTTTTCGATATGACCCCAAATTGTATTAGTGTTAACACCATCTCCGGTGGCGTCAAATTCACAAAATGCAAGATTGATACCAACAACACCAAATTGCTCTGGAAGCTCACAAAACAATAAGCTAGCCTTATTACCTCATTCATCTTTTAAATAAAAATAAAATTATATCATAGTGCGAGCGCTATTACTACATAAACTATACCGTCGTATTTACTCGTGTACATATTACCTTTGCTTAAAGCGCTTGTCTATTTAAATGTGATCGAATTATTTGTTTCAGGTACCGAAAGCTCTCCGTGGAATAGAATTTCTATATATATAAAGAAAACTTTGTATTCATTTGTTGCCCTTCAGGACTAACTCTGGTAGGATGATTTCATTGGTAGGTGTGTCAAGGTCTGAGATACCTTATGTAATTATAGACTACCTAATGAGAGAGATATAGTACTTGAAACAAAAATAAAGGAAACCCCCCGAAATATGAGGGGATGAAAAAAATGTGCAGAGAAAAAGTGCTTGGCACAGTAGGACAGATAAATAGTCAGCGAGAAAGCAAAAAGTGCACGGAAAAAATTCTCGGTGGGGAGAGACGACTTGTGAGAAGGAAAATAAATAAATAGACCAGGTAAGAACAAAGGCGATATAAAAACCATTGGGAGAAATAAGAAAAGACCTGAGAAGATCGAGAATAAGTAACGATGTACTGACGGCACCAGAATTGGGAATATATTTTAACAAGAATAAGAGTTTAAAGAGGGATTCCCTTTCAGGGCTAGCCAAATAGATGAATTATGAAATACATACCTTTGGAACTTTTGTACAAGGGGCCTGCCAATATTTTCTCTTTTTTTCTTACGATCTCACTTTCTTTCCCAATAATGTACGACAGTGATACTAAAAGTCTCCTCGGCATACTTGTTTAAGCACAGAACATTTCCGCCCTGAGGTCACTACGAGTATCATCTTTTCTATCTTAACATGATATTCTTTCTGTTAATAAATGCTTGTCTTGATACAAGGCCAACCAAGTATCTATTATTTAGATCAGAGTGTATATATTTAAAATCATTTTTAAATAAACAAATATATATATAATTATTTATTTTTGACGCCACAACACTTCTTGTACCTATCGGAGTCCTTGGATCCAAAAGTGGGCCGAACCGACAAAGACAAAAATTATAAACTTAAAATTATTAAGAAAAAAAAAGAAATTTAAATATGCCCCGATATAGCAATTAAAAGGTAATTAATTAAGTAAAGTAAATTTGAGATCATCTCAACGCCTTACAGGTCCTTTTAACTGAAAGGTAACTCTCGCTTGTTCTTTTCGGGGTGTTTTTGCTATCTCTTTTTTTTATATCAAGTATATGACTCTTTATAGATCTTTCCATTTATCCGTAGTAAATACTATATTATCGCATCACCGCGAGTTGCCTGATTAAGTATATAAGAATGCAGTTTGGTCAGTCGTTTTATATATTTCTTGGATAAATGATCTCGACAGAAATTTTATTTCTGTGAAAGTGGGCATGATTTTTCTCGTGTTTATTCCTGTTAGTAGTAAATATATCAATCAGGTCAATTGATAAACAATGCATGTGAACAGGTGGGAATTCTACAATGGATTTGCAGAGCATTGACCATTCCTATGTCTGAACTGTTGAATTCAATAAAACTTTTTCTCACAGTCTTACCTGTGATATTTTATCCGGAAACTCTGCTTATTATTCTATTATCTAAATTGACTAGTGCTATACAGTATTTTAATATATTCGTGTAATTATTTTTAAAAAAAAGTCTAGTACAGTTTAAGTATACAATCTAGTCCAATATTCTTTTAAGAATAGTTTTTATAATTGCAATCAAAAGTAAATAATATAGACAGAAATGCGTGCTAATATACACCATTGAATTACAACAATAATAAAAGAAAAAAAAAATAGAAATCAGAATATTATATTTCATATAGGTAAATATCAAATAGCTTTAATGGTATGTTACTCTTTTGACTCATGTGAGATTACATAATTAACTCACTTTACTTCAAACTTCACCTATTGAGCTAATGTTTCGCCTACCACCGCTGGCTTTATTTATTTATGTGAAGTTTAGTCTTGGTCAAGCCATTTAAATAGAAATAGTTTATGATTATCTACCTAGATACGATTACACCAACAAGAGAGACGTTTCCTTGCTGTTACCCATAGTTCTCAAAAGTTTTTTTTTCACCTCACATTAAGAAAAATATTGTCTCATCTATGACTATATTACTAGATCTTTCTAACCTAAATTTTGGAGTACCTGACATGGGGAGCTTTCTCTTCTTGTTGTTCAATGAATATGTTAATTGGTAATTAATTGAATTTATAGTGGTCTTTATCTCAGCCGAAAAATTCTCGGATTTATGAATAAAAATAGTACGTGTATTAGAAACTTTAAAAAATTACAAAACTCTGGATTTTCTCTATTGATTATATGGCGTTATTCAATGGGAAATTTAGCATTAAATTGAAAGGGAAGTAACCAAGAGTTAAGAAAAAAAAAACTAGCTTTGGCAAAATTTCAAAAACTATACACAAAAATGCACGTAAATCATCATCAAGCCATTTTTATAAGCCATTACCTTTACGTATTAGGCCCTAGAGTCTTACACACAAATATATCAAGTAGTTTTCAAAACCAATACACACGCATACATTCTCTCTATCTCTATTTTTCTCTCTCTCTGGAATATATATAAATTAATTTAATTTTAAAAATGGGTTATTTTACACTTTGTATACGGAAATGATAACAGTAATCAAAAAACGCATATTATTCTTGTTCAAATAATTTATCAAGTTGGTATTGTTGTTCAGGACAATTTTTTTAATATACACATGTGCGGTGATTATATAGTAAAATCAAACGACTTAAAAGCTTTTTTGAAATCTTCAGTTGCATTTCTTTCTTCGTCAATTGTTTGAGAGCATGCCTTCCAATCTTCACGTTCAGGGTGGCCAAGGGCTTTTGCCAGCAATAGTCTGTGAAATATATAAATACTCCAATATTTAACTAATGTATTCACCTACCTTCCAAATTGCATATTAAACTTAAGTCTTGTTGGAATAATGTAGACGAACGATTTCCCGTTGGGAATATCGATCTTAAAGTAAGATACCTCTGGATCATTCTAAGAGTTTTTTTAGTAAAGTGAATAAAAAGCCTGCTTTAACTTTATACTTACAGGAACCTGGTCAACAAATGCCATGTTCCGAAGTTCAAATTCATTTTTGATGAGATTCTCTAGATTTTCACTCTTATTTTTGGGTACAGCCACAACTTGGACGTGAGCATGGGATAGACCTGAAATGGATTCCCGAGACATCTCAATCACTACCATGTCCTGGTTGTACTTGTCATACATGGATTTCAGGGCCATTTTGTATTTCTCCATTTCATCAATAACCTCAGTTCGGGATTCGCCGGGAATTTTATTGAGAGTGGGGTAATGAGTGATAGGGATCAATAGAATATGACCGCCACCAGGAACTGTGGCTTCAGGCATTCCGGGCATCACAAGTGGTCCTTTAGCAAGGGTAGCATACACTTGTGTGCCAATAGATGCGATCAGATGCTTTGCCAGCTTTGGGTTTGCAAGACAGAACCAGCAAGCATCAACTAATTTATAGAGTTATAAGTCAAGAAATAGAAATACTGTTTGTGTGCACTTACGGCTATCAGGGACTATAACATGTCGCCCATTGCTCTTCTTATCGTGTGTATCTTTTTGAGGGCACTTGTTCAAAAAGTGACCAGGAATATTACAGATTCGACAAACGTAGTTTTCTGGTGGTACAGCAGACTCTTCATTCGCACGCTCAGGACAGTCTTTGATAAAATGTCCAGGTACTTTGCAGCGATTGCAGATATAATTTTTTGGGGGAACTAAGGTAGATCAAGAAAGCATTTGAATAAAAGCTAGCTTTGATTTCATTACTACTAAAGCTTACCAGCCTTTTTAGTATTTCTTTGTTCGTCTCCCCAGAAGAAAGAACCATTATTGTTCTGAGAATCATCCTGAGAACGCTTCTGACCAGCGTTGACACCTTGATCTCCTGTCAGTAATAGGTTAAAGGGACAAGGGGTTGTGTTGTTTGGTGCGATGCACAATTTTTCCGCATCAATTGTTCCCATCGGGATCAAGTTAAATGCATAGAACCACTAAAATAACGGATAAAAAGACATGAGTTTTAGGTATTCGGAATATGCCAACTTACTCTCTGCTTTTTTGGGTTCAACACATCAGCCAGACCAACGAAGCGTGACACATGTCCTGCTGGTCTTTCTTCTGCTGGTCCGAAACCAGTGATATTTGAATATGGCTCGCGCTCGTAAAAAACATTCTCTGAAGCCGCAAAGTGATAGCGAGGCTTTAATGCAGCAGCCAATTCAGCAATAGGAGTCGACGAATTAGTGAGTGGGGTTTCAAGTGAGCAATTGCTGCCGTTGGTGATAAAGCTAGGCCATTCGTAAGTCAATAAGATATCTACCCCAGAAGGTGTAGTAATTGGCATACGAGTAGATTGCAGCCTCTTAATATCGCTAGACAGATAATTGTTGTGCATTCCAGTAGACGATTCAGTGCCGTTATAAATGTCTTTATTGAATGAACCTGACATAAAGGCGATCTTCAGCCCTTGAGCAGTGGTGAGAATGCCTTGCTTTCCAAGATAAAACAAATTCGTGCAGACTTCACCGTCAGTCTCTTTAATGCGTTTCTCGATGCTAGTAGGAAGTGGACGATCCCCAGTGATGAAATATGTTGTGATCGGAACTATGAATAATTATAAGTATCACAGTATATATTGGGAGTAGATTTACCTTCAATGTTTCCTTGCATGAGGCTGATCAACTCAGATTCATCATTCTCTGACTGAAAGAAGTTGCCCGTACACAGCAGGACATCAAATGGTCCATGCTTATTGTTGATCGATGAGACCTTTTTAAATGTTTCCGCAAACCGGGAGTTTACAGATCCAATTACCAGACTAAATTTCACAATTATCGCATGAGAGCTGGGACGTTTTGAAGAAAATCGTTGACGAATTATGCTCACACTTTAATAGATTGTTGGGACATTTGTGTTAAGGTGCACTGACAAACGGTTCGTTCACCAATGCAAATACGTTTAACAAGCCACCCGCATCAATATATATGACGTTAACAACAACCCCGACTGAGAACGAAGCAACTTGCAGACACACTTCATTTTGACCTTTGAGCCAGTGGATAAGCGTACCGCCTGTTGTCTGCCACCTGTCCCTTTATTTCTTTATTTTTTTCTGTTTTTTCTTTACTCCGTTACTATATCCGGAATATCGTTCTTTATTAAAAGAAGCCTCTTGCTGATCACTTGGGAATTCAACGCGCGTCCTCAACCGACTTGATTTTTATTAATATAAAAAAGAGAATCAAACAAAAAAACAGTTATGTTTCTTTACAACCTCACACTTAGTCCAACAACAGCCATCAATCAGGCCATCCATGGCAATTTCTCTGGTACAAAACAGCAGGAGATCATCGTCGCTCGTAATACGCGTATTGAGCTATTGAAGCCTGATCCAACTACCGGAAAGGTGCATACAATTCTGTCACATGATGTGTTTGGATTAGTCCGTAGTTTGGCTCCTTTCCGCTTGACTGGTGCCAGTAAAGGTACATGATGAGAGTCACATTTGAAGAAATAAAAACTGATGATAAAGGTAGATTATATTGTGGTTGGGTCTGATTCTGGTCGCATTGTCATTCTCGAGTATAACCCGGCAAAAAACACATTCGACAAGGTTCATCAAGAGACTTATGGAAAGACTGGCTGTCGTCGTATTGTACCTGGACATTACCTTGCTACCGATCCTAAAGGTCGTGCAGTAATGGTCGGTGCAGTCGAAAAGCAGAAATTGGTTTATATTCTCAATCGTGACTCAGCCGCTAAGCTCACCATCTCTTCTCCACTGGAAGCTCACAAAAGCCATACCCTTATTCATCATATCGTCGGATTAGATGTTGGATTCGAGAATCCAGTATTTGCATGTTTGGAAGTGGATTACACCGACGTTGACTCAGATGTGACCAACGAAGCAATGGAAAATATCGAGAAAGTCTTGACATATTATGAACTTGACCTTGGTCTCAACCATGTAGTTAGAAAGTGGACAGAAGTAGTAGACATCAAGTCGAATATGTTGATCCCAGGTAAAATAATAATGAAGTTACAGGAAAAGGATGAGGATGCGGATCGAAAGGGAGAGGAGAAGAAATCTTTTGAAAAGAAAGAAATAATTAATTGTGATTTTTTATTTAGTACCTGGTGGTAATGATGGCCCCTCTGGTGTATTAGTTTGTACTGAAAACTTCATTACATACAAGCATCAGGATATGCCCGATCATCGTATCCCAATCCCCCGCCGTGCACAGCCCCTCGAAGATTCTTCCAGAGGTGTTATCATTGTAGCCTACACAGTCCATCGTATGAAGATCAACAGACAGACCCAGTTTTTCTTTTTACTACAGTCAGAGGAAGGTGATCTTTACAAAGTTACTATGGATCACGAAGAAGGATCTGTTCAGGGTATGACTATTAAGTACTTTGACACTATTCCGGTTGCCACATCCCTCTGTATTCTCAAAAGTGGTTTCCTCTTCGCTGCTAGTGAGTTTGGTAACCAGTAAGTCAATTGGAAAGTAGAGAGAAGAAAGATTAAGAGAGAGAAAAGAAGAGAGAGCGAGTGAGAAAAACTGGAAGTATATCTAATCACTTTATATAGTCAACACTATTCGTTCGAAAGTCTTGGTGACGATCCTGATGACCCAGAAATCTCTTCAGCAGATTACATGGAGGCAGAAGCCAGCCAGGAAGAAACCCCTCTCGTGTACTTCAAACCTCGTCCATTAAAGAACTTATTACTGGTTGATGAGTTGGACTCAATGGCACCTTTGATGGACGCTAAGGTCCTAAATTTGGCTGACGAAGAAACACCTCGTATTTATGGACTTTGCGGCAAGGGCTCCCGTTCATCTTTGCGTATTCTCAACCAAGGCCTTGAGGCCGCAGAATTGGCTGTTAGTGAGTTGCCTGGCAACCCTAGTGCAGTATGGACAGCCAAATTGCGTCGTGATGATGCCTACCATGCATACATCATTGTATCATTTGCCAATGCCACCTTGGTACTATCAATTGGTGAAACTGTAGAAGAAGTTACAGATACCGGGTTCTTGACAACAGCCCCAACATTAGCAGTACAGCAGATGGGTGAAGATGCCCTTGTTCAAGTCTATCCTCAAGGTATTCGCCACACACATGCCGATCGCCGAGTGAACGAATGGAGAGTACCAGGTGGACAATCAATTATCGAAGCCGCCACCAACAACCGTCAAATTGTTATCGCGCTATCAGGCGGAGAAATTGTTTATTTTGAATTGGACAACCAAGGTCAACTTAACGAGAACCAAGAACGCAAGCAGATGACTTCAAATGTTACCAGTCTTGCCTTGGGAGACGTTCCTGAAGGGCGTCAAAGATCCCGCTATTTGGCTGTTGGATGTGATGATCAAACAGTCCGTATCTTGGGTGTGGATCCAGATGCTTGCCTTGAATCAGTGTCGATGCAGGCCGTTCAAGGTGTACCATCTAGTTTGTGTATTGTAGAGATGCTGGACACCGGAATCGAACGTGGCCATGGAACACAGTATCTGAACATTGGTCTTACTAATGGTGTTCTTCTCCGCACTGTTCTTGACACTGTCAGTGGACAATTGTCTGACACTCGTACTCGGTTTATTGGTGCACGCAGTGTCCGCCTCTTTAAGATCTCTGTTCAAGGTAGACCCGCTGTATTGGCACTTTCTACTAAGCCTTGGGTGAGCTACACCTTCCAAAACAGACTTTACTTGACACCTCTCAGCTATGATGCATTGGAGTTCGGTAGTGCCTTTATTAGTGAACAGTGCGCTGAGGGCGTAGTCGCAGTAGCCGGAAATACCTTGAGGTAAGGTGTATAAAAAGGCAAGTAGATAATTTGAACTCAATTATGTTTGTATAGAATTTTCACTGTGGAGAAGCTCGGTACTATATTCAACCAGGTTTCTATTCCCTTAAAGTATACTCCTAGACGCTTTGCTCTTCATGCCCCCACAAAGACTTTTGTGGTAGTAGAGAGTGATAATGCCACATTTTCTCCAGACGAAAAGAAAAAGGGGCTTGCTATCAAGGAAAGCGAAGGGTTTGAGATTGATGAAGACATTGTCAACCTGGACCCTGTTCAATTTGGACACGTTCGTGCTGAGCACGGCAAGTGGGCCAGTTGCATTCGACTTATTGAACCCTTCCAAGGAGAAACATTACATGAAATTGAGTTGGAAGAAAACGAGGCTGCATTTAGTGTAGCCATGGTTCAGTTCCGTGTCAACCCTCATGCTGCAGACGCTTCTGAAGTATTTGTAGTTGTAGGTACTGCTAAGGATGTTGTTTTGGCACCACGATCGTGCTCTTCTGGTTTTTTGCGTGTCTACAGACCTGTTCAAGATCTCCAGGGCCGTCTTCAGCTTGATCACATCCATACTACAGCAATAGACGAAATTCCCATGGCACTGCTGGGCTTCCAGGGACGTCTGTTAGCAGGTGTAGGAAAAGCTCTTCGTATCTATGATATCGGTAAGAAGAAGATGCTCCGAAAGTGTGAAAACAAGGTAAGATACTAGAGTAACCACTGACGACATAATATATGGCATTTGTTAACTATTTTGCTGATACAATAGAGCATCCCAAATTGTATTATCTCTCTACACACCCAGGGTGATCGTATCATTGTCTCTGATATCCAAGAGTCAATCCATTACGCTGTCTACAAGCGAACAGATAACCGCATTGCAGTATTTGCAGATGACACAACCCCACGCTGGACTACAGCTACAGCTATGATTGATTATGATACCGTAGCTGGTGGTGACAAGTTTGGAAACTTCTTTGTGGACCGGTTACCACAGCAGCTCAGTCAAGAAATCGATGAAGATACAACCGGCAACAGGATCTTTTACGAAAAAGGATACTTGCACGGTGCACCCAATAAGGTAAAGAAGAGTAAAGGAGGTTTTTTTAAACAGACTGTTCAATTTTCTCTTTTGTACTTTTGCGACTTAGATTGACAATCTCTGTCACTACTTCACCGGGGATATTATCACATCAATCCACCGAACTACATTAATATCCGGTGGCCGTGAGGTGCTTCTGGCAACATCCCTATTGGGATCCATATCGATCTATGTTCCCTTTGTCTCTAAAGAAGATGTCGACTTCTTCCAAATGCTAGAAATGCACATGCGCGCAGAGGCACCTCCTTTGGCTGGCCGGGATCATTTGGCTTACAGAAGTTTTTATACACCTGTTCGCTCTGTGATAGATGGAGATCTGTGTGAGCAATATAACACATTGACACCAGATAAGAGGAGGGCTATTGCAGAAGAATTGGATCGATCTGTAGCTGAAGTACAAAAGAAGATTGAAGATATGCGTGTCAGATCAGGTTTCTAAACGATCTTAGACAAAAAAAAATCATGCAACGAGGAGATAAATAAATGAATAAAACACTGAATGAATAATGCAAATTAGATTATTCTCTGTACGTTTCTTTTTGTATATAATAATGTCTTTTTTAATCTTCCAAGACCAATGCATCAAGCTCTTGTGTCTCTTCTTCTCTCATTTCAAAAGAAGTGCCGCCCAAGGCCTTTCTCAGACGAGATGTCTGGCGAGGCACAATGATTTGCAACTTATCCGAAAACTCTTTAAACTATTGATATTATAAGTAAGGATGTATTGTTTAGTTTAGCTTTATTTTTGCATATGAGATAACTTACATTGCGAACTTCGAGAAAATAGCCTACTGAAAGCGCCAGAACACCAGCAGTTCCCCATGCCAGTAGAGTACCGTACGCCAGAGTCTTGAAGGCAAAAACACCAGCATCTTGCTTGGCAATAGCATATTCAGCAGCTGTCATTGTAGGTGGTTTGTAGGCTGCAACTGGAGCATGAGCAATATGCCGAGGGGGCATTGGTTTGCGAATGGCAGGTCCAGCCTGCTGCGTACGAGGAGGTTGAGTGATCTCAGCTGCTTCTTCAATTGCAATGTCTCGAGCCTGTTTTCGCTTTGTGTGCCAGATAGCTCCCATCAGGCCAGCACCAAAGGCACCCATTGCGCTCATGAGTAGTATACGAGTCTCTACTGGCTTAGGAGCTTCTTTTGTTGGGACTGAAGAAGATGACATGGTGTAAGGACAGAGTGCAAATAACAGTCATTGTTTATTCAGTTATTCTGACAGCAAGTGAATATCTTGCGGGATTGAAGTGACCATTTCTCCGAAGTTCGGGTTCATGCCCTCTTTTTTTTCTTTCATCTTTTTCTTTATACTGGATATGTATGTATATGTGTCATAGCTATAAACTATTCGTTAAAGATATTTGTTGAAAGCACTGCTACATATATGACTTGCTCAAGACATTGAGGTCTTTAGGATAAATAAATAAAATGCATCTTCTATAAAGATCCTACTAAGTGTTTTTATGCGGGTAAATGGACACATGTTTTTATGGCCAATGGTACACAGTGCCACCTTGATAATTTTTATATATAATCTTAGTTTGTTAGCCAAGACTAATATTGATACAGCTGAAATAGATGTGTATTATAATGTTTAAATAGTAACATATTCCCTTGGCTATGGCTCTGAAGAAAAAGGTATATATATATGTGCGTGTGTGTGTATTGTATTGAATAAACATTTCTATTGTATTCAATGAACAAACAAACCTTGGTTCATGTTTACCTTGCGCAACTCTAATATTATTCTTTTTCAGAGGGGTATACATAACTCCATAATTATCATGCTTCTCTCTTTAGAATACATGTTGGGAGGGGGGATTGAAAGAAGCTTCTTGTTCTGTTATAGTAATGCAACCAAGAAAGGATGTTCTTAATAGATTATCTTGGTATAGTTTTTGAGGAGTTTCTAACGATCTCCTCTTATCATTGGAGATAGTAAGGTCAGTAGTACTCTGACCATAAAAAATACGGAGATATTTAAGTGGACAGAGATAGGGAGTATGATGAAGGCAAATAGAAGAAGAAGAGGCCATGATATGGGTTTTGTACTCGTATTTCGTGAATTTTGATAACAAGAGTGAAGGACAAGAAAGCGGTTATTTTTTTTTAGAGAGTAAATTATAAGCGCAGACTTGAACCTGAGAAATCAACAGTTTTTTGATCGGCGAAAAAGTGATCAGCCTCTGGCTGTCCCACGGTCTTTCTAGGATTATTAAAGCCTCACTTTAATCCTTAATATATAATAATGGTTCAATAATAACAATATGTATATACATAGATTCAACAGACAAGTATATCGAAAGTAATAATGACAAGACAAATATTGTGAAACATCTCTTAACTATTCAAATACCAGTCACTAAATATCCTTGATCACACTTAGTTGACAAGCCCACAACAGGTACAATATTATCCGCACCAAAAACACCTTATGAAGTAGACGGTATATCGACTCTTGTCGGTCCACAATCAAAGTATAGCATCTTGTACGCGTGACAAATATCAATAATTAAACTTTTCATATTTACTTATACGCACAAAGGGAGTATTTTGCTTTAGATGAAACATGCTAATCCTGCAAATGACTTTAGTCAGTGTAACAGAGATTGGTAATAGACTCCCTCGCATCTGACGCGTATAGTACAGGTGCAAAATACAAATCAATACAAATGTCTGATATTTGCTTGCAATAGTTGCTTTATCAATGTAATTAGTACGTTTAAATGCGTGTTTAATTATACAATAGTACGATCGACTATATCATAACATAATAGCAGCTCTAAACCAACAAGGCAGTAAGCTGTTGGAGGACAACGAGATGGTGTCATATCACGTAAACTCCGCTCGAGACAAGATATAAATGATCCTTGATTTTGCTGGCTTGTCCTCTTCTTACCTCAACTTACCAACATGTCCTGCTCAGAAGATATCAAGACCGTCAAGCTCTCCAACGGAAAGACCGCAAAGGGTAATGAATCGTTATCTTGGAATTTTTAGCGTTTTGTGTTTTCGTTTTGTCCACTCATGTCTTGACCAGTTCACACCCATCTCTTCATTAACAACGAGTTTGTTCCTGGTCATGGTCCTTTGATCGAGACAATTAACCCTGTCAATGAAGAAGTTATCTGCTCTGTTCACTCAGCTAACGAGGCTGATGTCGATGCTGCTGTCAAGGCAGCTCACGAGAGCTTCAAGAACACCTGGCGCAAGGTCGCTCCTTCTGAGAAGGGTCGTCTCTTGAACAAGTTGGCAGACTTGATGGAGCGCGACATTGATGAGATTGCTACTCTCGATGCCCTCGATAACGGAAAGGCTTTCTCTGTTGCCCGTGACGTCGATGTCACTGACTCTATTGGATGTTTCCGTTACTTTGCCGGTTGGGCTGACAAGATCCACGGCAAGACTATTGACACTACTTTTGACAAGATGTGCTACACCCGTCACGAGGCTCTTGGTGTTGTTGGTGCCGTGATTCCCTGGAACTATCCCACAATGATGGCTGTGTGGAAGTTTGCCCCTGCATTGGCTGCCGGAAACTGCAGTAAGCCTCAATAGATGTGTATAGATGTGTATAGTAGTTATATTTCTTTATACTAATTATCGTATAGTTGTCATGAAGACCTCTGAGATCACACCCTTGCCATTGTACAAGTTCGCTGAACTTGTCAAGGAAGCTGGTTTCCCCGCTGTAAGTGATCTAGTTATTTGTGCTAAGAATGTATAGATACTAATATTTGATTTAGGGTGTTGTAAATATCATCACTGGATACGGCCAAACCACTGGTACTGCCTTGTCTACGCACCCTCTTGTCAGCAAGATGGCTTTCACTGGCTCTACAGTTACTGGTCGCAAGATCATGGAGGCTTCCTCTACCTCAAACCTTAAGAAGCTCCAGCTCGAGTTGGGCGGAAAATCCGCTCAGATCGTCTGTGCTGACGCCGACCTCAAAAACGCCGCTGTTTGGGCATGTGGCGGTATATTCAACAACCACGGTCAGAGCTGCAATGCTGGTTCCCGTATTATTGTCCACGAGTCTGTTCACGATGAATTCTTGAAGTTGTTTACAGAAGAAGCCAAGAAGATCAAGTTGGGAGATCCCTTTGAGTCTGATACCTTCCAAGGACCTCAGATTAGCAAGGGCCAGTTTGATAAGATTTTGGGATATATTGATATTGGTCAGAAGGAAGGTGCCAAGATCCACCTTGGCGGAAAGCGTTGGGGTACTAAGGGTTACTACATCGAGCCCACTATTTTCATCAACTGCAAGAACAATATGCGTATCATGAGAGAGGAGATCTTTGGTCCCGTCGTAGCTATTGGTACCTTCAAGACTGTTGACGAAGCCATCGAGATTGCCAATGATTCTGAGTATGGTTTGGCTGGCGGTGTCTACACAAAGGATCTCGATACTGCTATCCGTGTTTCCAATGAGGTACAGGCTGGTACCGTCTGGGTAAACTGCTTTGATGTGTTTGACCAGTCAACACCTTTCGGTGGCTACAAGCAGTCTGGTTTTGGAAAGGAGCTCGGCAAGTATGCTCTCCATGAATACACTCAGGTCAAGGTCGTCAAGATGCTGATCAACCTTTAAAATTTTAAAATAATGTACAACTTATCCACCCCCCCCCCCCCCCCCCCCATCTTTTTTTTTTTAAAAAAAAAGGCTTCTTTCCTTTGTGTCAATAAAAACATCCTCATTTTGCAAATTATTATTTTATTAACTTTTTGTATATGCATAATTAAGAAGATTGTATAGCATCTCAATAGACTAGAATTAGCCCACTGTGCGCTTTCGTTGCGTTTGCGATAATGCTTGACTAAGATTGGATGCGCGCGTAAGCATGCGTTCCTGTTGGTATGATGAAAGAGACGACATGCTAGATACAGAGAGAGTAGATAGTCGTTTCTTGTTGGGTGTGTTCATAGCTACAGATAGGCGTCTTGGATCCGGCAAGTATCGAGATGCTCTGTAAGGTAATATTGTTGCTGAAGTACGTTGCACCGGCTTGCTTTCAAGACTTATGCAATGTTGTAAACCAAGTTGGCCTTCACGAACATATGCCATAAGGTCTGTTAGACGGTCACTAATTGTCAGTAACGATTGGTCGTGCTGTCCAACTAATGCGTCCACCTGGGGTTCTACCCGTTCAATTTCACATTGTCTTAATGCCTGTCCAATCTCGGCCTGTTCACGGCTCAAGTCCGCCATAGTGTCTTGAAGGTCCTGGTGTACATGTTGCAGCTGTTCTAACTCTCGAATAATCCACTGATGTCTGTCCTGCTCTTCAACTCTCTCTTTGGTGTCCTGTTTTTGTTGAGGCGGAAGGCGATTTGGCTGGTGAAGTGAGGCGTCGATACCTTCAGAAACTTCATCTACAACTTCCCACACCTTGATAATCTCATCCTTTCTATGCTGTACAATGGTTTCAAGTTCTGTTTTCAAAGCAAACACTTGTCGAGCTACATCGGCAGCATCATCATACAAAGCTCTCATTTGGGTTCTGTTTGTTTCTAACTCTGCACTTGCTTGTCCCAAAGTAGCCTGTACTTCCACCAAACGTTGACGTGACTTACTCAAATGGTGGCTGGCAACAATCTTGAGGCAATAGAGACTGGCATCTAAGCGAGTCATTAAACATTGAGCCGCCTGAACCGACTGAATGGTATCCAACTTGATTATCCCTGACTCCTCAATTTCATCTTCCTCCTTTGTCTCGGCTACTTTTATCAGGGCACTATCCTCTTTCCAGTCTTTCTCTATCTGTACAGGTACACCCTCATCGGTCTCAAGACGCTCCAAAAGACCCTGAAGAAGAATAGGAGGCCTGACCTTGCGTAGATCTGCCTGGACCGCTTCGAATTCAGATTTTAGTTGGATCTTTTCGGCTTTCAACTGACGTCCTTCACTATTCATTATTTGCTGCTGGTCGAATAGAGCCTGTGTGCAAGCAAGTACTTGATCCAATTCCGCCTGGAGTACTTCTTTAGTTTGTTTATTACTGGGATCTGAATTACGGGGGGTATTAAGTATAGCATGTTCCAACTCTAAGCATCGGTCATACATGCGCTGTTTGCTGATCACCATTGCTTCTTGTTGCGCATTAAGAGCATCCATATCCTTTTGGATTTCGTGCAAATTGGACGCCAAGATATCAAATGTCAATTCGAGATGATTTAAAGAGGTGTGATTTTGGTTTCCATACACTCGCACTACGCGCTGTCGTTCTCCGTGAGATTTAGTAAGGGCTGGAGGAGAGATATTTCCAGGCAAACTAAGGATCCTTTCGACTTCCTTCCAGCGTTTATCAATTTCTTGACTAATTTGGGTGTGATCTCCTGGATCTCGGTGAATAGCCTCCATAAGGGATCTCACCATGCCTGATACATCACTGCATAGTCGACTTCTGTCTTCTCTCATGAATATTGTTGGATCCATTGGAATACTTTCGATTATTTTGAGTGTTTGAAGACCATTTGCGGAAATATCTTGAATTGGGCCAATGGTGTGTTGGGGTCTGTGCCTTACAAGTGCCTTGCGCAGCTGCTCTATGTGGCTAATTAGCGCATCGTGGTCTAGCTCTAGTTGATAGAATCGCCGGTCAATTCTATCAAATACATCAAAGAGTTTCTCAATCTTGTCGTGCTGTTGCTCAGATATGTCCCAGTCTACTTGGTGTGTTTGTTCAATAGCTTCCAAGGTTTCTCTGTAGTGAAGCATGATTCGTTCTGCCCTTTCGTCTGTTCTTTCAAACATTTCATGAGCTTCGCGCAGCTCAAACCGCAGTCTAACAGTCGTTTTCTCTACTTCGTTCGCCGATGCGTGGTTCTCTTGTGGACTCTGCCATGCGCCCAAAATAGTATCAGTGATGTAAGCCAAGGCACGTTCAATTGAATCAGTAAAGGTAGTCTGGTAACGAAAGAATGTGTGGAGAATCTTGTCAAATTCGTCATCTACTTCTGAAATCTTGGCGGGGCTAGCAACCTCAGAAGCTGAGCAGGAGCCAAGGAAAGATGAGACCGGCCAAGCTTCTTGAACAGATTGAAGAGTCGACCGGGAAGGGGATCGATGAAGAGAAGAACGGTCGCTGGCTGTCTCAAGTGGGCGAATGCTTCCACCAATTGAGGTAGTCGAGGTAGTTTTTAGAGACTTTTTACGTTCCTGCTCTAATATCTGAAGTTGTCTCTTGATATCTTCTGTTTTACACAAATCCAAAGGAGTAAACCCTTTTTTGTTCTTCACGCTGAAATCGGCATGACCTTCTAGAACCAGCACTTTGAGAACTTCAGGAACACCGCCGAATTCTGTTGCGAAGTGAAGAGCGGTATTTCCATTTACATCTGCAATTGTCACCAAAGCACCCAAGCGAATGAGGAGAGAAGCACAAAGAGCAAGATGCTGCGGTAATGTCGCAGTAGCTACAATCTTTTCCGATCTTCCATCCGGGTCTCGGGATTGATCAGAATTATCGGAACGAGAGGACAATGCGCTTTGAACAGATAGACGATGAGTCTGTTTGGCCTGACTTGAAAGTTCCTCAGTTCGAGGCTTGTTATCTGGCTTGGCTGCCTTTTGTATTCCCCACGTCTTTCCGTCAGCATCCAATCCAAACCGTGCCAAGTGATGGAGAGCTGTTCTTCCGTAGTACGTCTGGGCGTTAATATCGGCACCAGCCTGATAAAGCATTGCCAGGGTATCCAAAGAAGGAACTGGCTTGGTGCGCATTGCGTGATGAAGAAAAGTCATTCCGGTCTTTGGGTCGTGATGGTTTATGAGTAATGGGCCCGAGGAGGGTCGATCTTCTTTGTGGATTGGTGGTGTCCACAGCAAAAGGGCTTGAAGAGAGAGGTGGTCATGGGTCTTTATGGCCTGTAAGAATGCATTTTGGATTATCTGTATAAGTGGGAGGGCATTGGGGTCCAAGAGGTCAATATCTCGCATCACATCGAATTGAATGTGCGAAAGTGAAGACGGGTATGAAGGAAGAGTGGCAATAAGCGCAGATAATTTGGTGTAATGAATAGGGTATTTTGCACTCGCAGGCGGATGAAGTAGCTGTTGGTTGAGGAACAATCGAGTGTATGAATATGAATATAAATTTGAACTTGAATGTTGTAGATTATTTATTTATCTTCCTTACTGCCACATCAGGTCTTCTGCACCGAAGAGATTCTTCGCACGCTTGTACAATATCTGGACTGCGTTCGGCGTATTGAATAGCAGACCAGCCGTGATTATCAGTGGCATCAGGCGAAGCATGATAACTCAGAAGCATCTTCACAATTGGCACATTTCCATCTCGTGCTGTTCTGCCTTTATTTAGTCTCTCATTAATACATTAATGCTTCATTACTTACAGGCATACATGAGGGCTGTGGCTTGTTTACTGTCTGCACCGTCGACATTCACTCGCCCGTCATCCAACAGTAATTGGATGATGTCTGCCTTTCCAAGGTAACTGGCCAGGCAAAGGGGTGTAATGCCTTTAATTTCGTACTGGGGTGAATCAAGAGTAGAGACATGAAGATTGGGATGGCGTAGGAGGATACTCTTCATCATCTCCAAATGACTTGGATGAGTCTGAGAAATGAGTGGTAGGTTTGTTGTATTGATGTTTGCTGCATCGAGATCAAGTCCATAGATGGCACATATCAACGCAGTTCTGTAGACGGAGAGACCATAAGCAACTTCTTTTTATTGTATTATTGTGCAGTGTATCATATTTCATTTCATTTCATTTCATTTTATTTTACTTTATTTTGATTTTGTTATTTTCCTTTTATATCTTATTAAGAAAGGATTTTTTGATGTACCTTCCGCGCTCGTCTTTGCTATTGATATCCGCACCCGCACTCAGCAATAGACGAACCATGTCTGGATGCCCTCCGAGAACAGCAACATTGAGTGGTTTTGTCTGGTAGACCTGGTCACTCTGTAATTGCTGTAAAAGGTGGGGCTGGGCAACAATATCTGGTGGTATGACAGGCGAAAAAGTGTCTTTGGCGTTCCATAGCACTGAACTATTGACATCTACACCTGATTGAAGTAATTCTCGGGCTCTTTCGAGGTTATTCTGGGTGACTGCGACCAGAAAATCCATGTTGAAGAAGTTCGAAAGGAAGAGGGGAGAAGATGATGTTAATAGTAACCAAACACAAAAAAAGGGAGATGTCTTTGTGTCTTGGGTAAATAAGGGGTTGATATCACTCCCGTTCAGGTAGCAAGGTTGGCTTTCAAGATCCGCAATACATAGTCTGACAAGCTACACTTCTTTAGCTCCAAAAAGATAAATAAAAGAGCATGCCGCCTAACTCTTACAAGTATCGGAGAGGCAATTGTGAGCTTTTTTATACAGCTTTTAATACTTGGTGACTGGCAAGCTGACACTTTTTGTATTGATCTTCCTAATGTCCGATTCCTTGGCTGCAGCATTACAACGATTTAAGCAATGGTATGCACACACCACTTTTGTGAATAATAGTAATAGTAATAAAAGCCTCATTACCTTTTTGTATTTGAAAACTGAATAAATAAATAAATAACAATATTAAATTAAATACATAATAAAAGTATGGAAACATGGAAGAAATTGAGTGAACAAGCTGTTCAAGTATTGTTGGCTATCCAACTTGAACATATTTCTGTGCTGGGAGAATCACCAGAGATGGAAGCACTCCTAGAAAACTGTAAAGTACATTCCAATTTGTTCACAAGTATTTTGAATTGAATGTCTATTGACCTTGAGGTAGATAAAAAGGTGCTTGATGAAATGTATCAAGAATACGATCGTGCAGTCCAAATCAACCAGTCTTCAAAGATACTGTCGAAAACTTCAGTCGATGGACAGGATACGATTGACATGATATCCAAATATCTGACAATGTATGATGAAGAATACATGTTAAAGGTAATCCTGCAATTGATTCCCAGCATTGTCCTTAGATCTTCTCTAGACATCTATTCGATCGATCCTAAGTCAACCAGGCTTTGTGACCCAGAAACATCTCACAGGATGCATTGCTCTTTGGCAATCAGACATTTATACAACAGAATAAACAAGTTTGGCACTCTAGCCGTCACATCACCTCTCTTTCTCTCTTTCTCTCTCTTCGTTTTCCTTTTTTATTCTTCTTCATTTCCATGCTGTACAATATATGGTAGGCATTAACAAACTGTCATCAAGAGTCTCATGTGTTTAGTATGGTTTCGGACTTCTTCTACCCTAACATGGGTGGAGTGGAAAGTCATCTTTATTTGCTTTCCCAGTGTCTCATTCTTAGGGGACACAAGGTCAGTATGTCAGCTTACCAAGTTGACTCTACAATTGTACTTAACATGCATATTCCCAAAAGGTCATCATCATCACGCATGCATATGGTAATCGTACGGGAGTACGATACCTGACTAATGGGCTCAAGGTGTACTACGTCCCAACCCTGGTTATTCATAACGAAGCTACACTTCCCACTATATATGGCTTCTTTCCCCTATTTCGTAACATTTTGATCCGAGAATCCATAAACATTGTCCACGGCCACGGTGCATTTTCATCGCTTTGCCACGAAGGAATCCTACATAGTAAAACTATGGGACTTAAGGCGTGTTTTACAGATCATTCCCTTTTTGGATTTGCAGATGCAAGCTCGATATTAACAAACAAACTGTTAAAGTTCACGTTAAGTGATATTGATCATGTTATTTGTGTGTCTCACACAAGGTAAGGCAAAAAAAGGGTGTATTAAAATCAAAACCGACACCAAAATTATTGGTTTGCATATAACGGAACAGTAATATTCATTAAAATACACTCCCACACGCACACACACACACACACACACACACACATATATATATATATATAAATATATATATAACTTATTTCTCTTAGTAAAGAGAATACTGTCCTAAGAGCGGCTTTATCACCAAGAAACGTCTCTGTAATTCCGAATGCAGTGGTTGCTTCTCAGTTTCAACCTGATCCATCTGCAGCCGATCCCAATTGGAGTGAGTAATAATCATATTTAATAAGATATGTTCCTAAATGCATATATGTATATATAGTTACAATTGTGGTAATTAGTAGGCAAGTCTATCGTAAAGGCATGGACTTATTGGTAGCTGTAATTCCACGGATATGTTCAATGTATCACAATGTCAGGTTCATTATTGGTGAGTTCATTTAAGACTTTAAAAAATAACAGTAATAATAATAATAATAATAAAGATATTAATTGTTTTATTGCTTCAAAGGTGGTGATGGACCAAAACGAATTGACCTTGAACAAATGCGGGAAAAGCACCTACTTCACGACAGAGTAGAGCTGCTAGGTCCTGTAAAGCACCACCAAGTTCGAAATATTTTGATTCAGGGCAATATATTCCTCAATACAAGTTTGACAGAAGCATTTTGCATTGCTATTGTAGAAGCAGCATGCGCAGGGTAAGCTATTATTATAATTTTTTCTTCTTTTTTTTACAAGGCTCTTGGACATACTAAGAAAATTTTGAATTTTTTTTTATAAATATCTATACAAAAAAAATAAGGCTTCTGGTAGTAAGCACAAAGGTTGGAGGAGTACCCGAGGTCTTGCCAAGCCATATGATAAACTATGCGATGCCCGAAGAAGATGGTATTTTAACTCGATTAAATAATAAATTAGCTGGAATTTTTCTTTTCTTTCCTTTTCTTTTTGGAAACAATAATAATAAAAAGTCTATATTTTCTGCGAGGGGTGTAATGCTTATAATATTGTATTCTATAAACACGTGTATCTCTGTGTGTATTGAACTTGCATAAATATCTAGATCTAATGATTGCTGTGTCCAAGGCAATTCAAATGATCAAGATTGGAGAAGTTGATCCAAGCCGTTTCAACGATGAGCTCAAGGACATGTACAGCTGGTCAAATGTTGCAGAACGTACTGAAAAGGTAAATCATGCACTACACGATATTTACTTTTATGCTCACTTAATCTCTGGCTTGAATATATCTATATGTATATATATATATATATATCACGACAGGTCTATGACTCTATATCTCAGTCACAGCCATCTCCTTTGATAGAGCGTTTGAGACGCTATTACGGTTGTGGACTGTATGCTGGAAAGATCTTCTGTATGGTGATGGCACTCGATTATCTGTTTTGGAGATTTCTTGAATTTGTTTTCCCAAAGGATTCAATTGAGCGTGCCCAACCTTTTCCGTACAAAAGATATAGAGACTATGTTGACAAGGTCGAAGAACCAAAAGCCCAATTGAAATAATAATTATAAAAATAAGGATCATAGTAATAGCTATACATGAAAGAATATTACTTGGATACATTTTAGAATAACCAAGAAATTTCCAAGGATACATACATACACAAATACATGTGTAAACTGGCATCTATATTGCCTGGTATATTGATAGCACTTGATATGAAATTAATCTCGTGTATTTTTTTTTAATAAGAGCAGCTCATTTTTTCTTGTATTTATTTGCGCAGACAATGTCTATAGAAACAACATTTGAAATTAAAGAGAAATCAGTAAGGATATATAACGTTACAAGTCATTTTAATATCTTATTTTTAAAAGGAGCAAGAGGAAGGAGCTAAAGTCTAATGATTGGTTATTAAAAAATTTTAATAATATTAATATCCAACTTAACATTATATGCGAATGTGCTGGGTTTATGGTAATCATATCCCCAATCTATAGCCCTCTACTTCTTCTGTGGTGTATTTTACTATCTGAATTTTCTTGGGGTAAAATTGAAAAGATTTCAAAACTTTGATGTTTATGCTCAAACACACCATAATTAAAGAATTTTAAATGGTTTTTGAAGGCATATAATTGCATAATGTAATATCTAAGGATACAAATAAGAAATATAGCGAACAAAAGGCCAAATAAATGAAATAATATAATTCATGTACTATTTAAATCTATCCCTAGTATGCCTTGCTGAATTACATTGATATTTTTTCCATAATCACTATCAACTGCCTTTAGGTTCTGCCCATCAAGATGTGTAGATCTTAAATGAACATGAGAAGACCTTTTGTGTACGATACAGGCCTTGTTAAATGCAGAGAGTCCAAACCGCATCCAAGTGTTCCAGTCATTTGTGTATCGAAGGTAGCGTGCCCACTCGCAGATTACTTTCCATTTGGGAACAAGGCTATCGGGCATTGGGACAACTCCAAATAGTATCTTGAATAGTCTTTGCTGGGTCGTGTTTTTATCTTTGTTGAGATCACTGGTCGATAGAAGATCCTTTAAGAGGCAAAGTAGCAATATAGTCGGGCTGTCTTTTTCAGGGTTGTAGTCTTCAATGAAATACATGACATGCAAGAATCCATCCGACAATTCATTTATCAAGTGTCCGATATTTTCCATGTGGTTTTCATCTATCCCGTGATTACAATGGTTTGTTTGAACTTGAACAGGATACTCGACTTCATTTTCAAGTTTGGCTGCTGAATGGATTTGTGTACGGATTTTCTGTCCACAGTGGTTTTGACCCTTTCTGGACGCATCATGATGAATCATTCTATTAATCGTTATGAATTTTATGGGTGTCTCTGACTGCTTTGTTATACTGTTAAGCGCCCTCATAATAGAGCCCATTGGCTTGTCAAGAGTGGAAATAAGAAAAGTACTTTTGGGCATTTTAATAGAAGTATTATATGTCTAGGTGATTTAAAAGATGAAAAAAGCGATTATCAATGCTTTTATACTTGTATAGTTTTACTTAAAGAATATAAAAGATAAAGAAAATAAATAAAGGTGCACTATGTCTAAATCCTAATCTCCAATAAAAGATCAATAAAGAAATACTGAAATATCTTGTGTAACTTGACTGATATTATATTGGTACAGCCTTTAATTTTTTTTATGAGGAGGCTGAACCTAAAAAAAAAACCCCCCAAACAAGCCTGTCAATTCTAGGGAGGGGGTTACAATTCTGCCTTTGCGGTTAAGATATCACTAAAAAAAAATGAAATACGGCTTGAATTTTATTTAGAAGCGTAACACAGATTGAGGCTAAACGTGAAAGCCACCTTCCTAAAAGAGAGCTTTGATTCGGCACTCTTAAGGTGCTCTTCACGCAACCAGACCTCACACAAAGATTCAGGATATATATAGTAATTATGTAACATAAAATTTCCAAAAAATGATAAAAAATCTTGTACGTGTCAAAGGTAAAAATACACCTTCGACAAGACGTAAAATGGGAAATAACGTCCCATATACAGCATACTAAACAGCTATAGTTACATAGCTACTTTTCATAAAAATGTTAATTATGTTAACGTGTTATTTTATTTCTTTACTTCTCTTGAATTGCCTTTTAAATGAATCTGTTTGCTCTTCTAAGTCATTTGTCGATTAGGAAATACAAGGGCAAACATTAGACAGTGCTTGTAAAAATTCTTCGACTTCTTCTCCAAGAACAATGTCAATAAGGTAGTTGTAGTTCATTGCTGTTATGTTTTAATAAAAATATCGCAAAATAAAGAACACAAGAAATAATACAAAAAATGCACACACTATGATGGCATTCTAGAGATCAAGTACTCCAAAAATATCTTGAGTAACATATAACTCCAAGATTGTTTTGGGAATGGTTTGGGTGATGGGTCTGGTTGCGTGAAGAGCACCTTTAATTCAAGCAAATATTGAGGCAGAACATCATTCGTTTATAGTCACAACTTTCGATTTTCCTTGTCATTGGTTTTGATTTACGCATAGTACAGTTATACATCACTAAATAGCTCCCTTTTAGATCTCTATTAAGATCTAGGTGTTAAGCAGAATATTCATAACTTTGCTAAGTACGCAGTTGTCGTACTCTTTGATATCGATTCTGAAATATCTTACGCACTGCTCTCCTTACTATCATCAATATACTCTATAGCTGGTTCTGATCTGACCTAGTACGGAAAATTTATAATCCAATCTGACTATAATTACAAAGGGGTCTCGAGTGTAGACATCTTGAGTATATAACAGTTTTTTTTTAGATAAAGAAAAACCTTGATCAAACTGATATAAAATCCCAAAGAATTTAGCAATACGCATGTTCTTTTTATGTGGACTATACGGAAGAAAACCTAATATATATATCAATCGGCTTGAAGATTTTGGTGACATTGAAATTTGCTACAACACGGAACCAAATCAACCCATCTTGGTCTCAACGGAACGAATCCTTAATGATCCTAAATCCTATCATCTATATTCTGCCAATTATTACTTTATTTTGAACTTTGAATACAATATTTTCAAATTTCAAATTTCTGTAACAAGTTTTTGTCTTCAACTAATTTTCTTAGTGTCAAAAATAAACAATTAATTGCACTGGGCAAAGGTTTCAACTGCAATCCTTTTTAAAGAGGAATTTGCCTCAACCAAGTGAACAATATCTTCACTTCTTGTTGTTATACCAGCAAAGTCAATGGTAACCAAGCAAAAATCATGATGAACAGACTTAAGATAGACAAGCAAGCCTTACGTGTTACCGGCAACACGTAGCTCGTCTACAATAGCTCGTGAATTGTCTTTTAAATCACGCGATGCAAGTGTTGAAGATGCCCAGCTACTAGGTAAAACGAATATCTTGGTTGCAAAGGATCGTTCTTTTAAATTTGACACCATGGACTTCAATAGTCTTGTTCTAGAAGGAGCGTCTTCACCTGTTGGTGATTTTCGAGCATAGCCTAGGATTTCATATCCATTCTTCTTGATGGTTTTCAACGATTCTTGGTATTTTGGTAAGGGAGTGCAAATTGAATTGACAAGGCCGTCTACAATCAAATACGTTAGAGAGCATTTTAATTCTGTCGCATCTTAATTTACCATAATATATGTCTTCCAAGACATATAGCTCTCTGTTGACTCTGGGGTTTCCTTTCTTTTGCAAGTAAGAAATTCAACTTCTGGTTACGACACCAGGTTGCAAATGACTGGGCTGTTTTTGGAGAACCTTACGGACAGCCTGGCGCGACAGCCTCGATAGCCTGGAAGACATTTCCTGGTGGGGGGCGACATTTTTACTCTACCAGACTAAAAATCCTGACCTTTTTCCCGCCATCGAATAACTCTATCTGGCTCTTAAGGATACAGAATATTCGTATAAAGATTTTTTTTGTGTTTTTCAAAAAAAAGAAGTGGATGAGGATTGGTTACCAGCTGGTGATGTCGAGCTCTGGGAATGTAAGTAGGTGAAAGAAAGACAAAGACATGATACGAGTGAGCAGGTAAGTAAATAGTAAGGTATTAAAGAAGATTGCATCACAATCTATTGACAACAACTCCTTATAATCCTTTGGATAACTGGCTATTGGTATAGTACATATGCGGCTAATTATTATTCCTTTGTTGCCAAGTCTAGAGTCAGGGCTACTAGTTGAATATACACGATTTATGTTTCGTATGAGATAGTATTTTATTATTAAGTTGCCTAAATACAGACTGTGGCTCTTAAAATAATAAGAGTTATGTGCCTGTAAAGAGATGTATAAACACAGAGTAGTAAAGCTAATGTATACAATGAATATATTGTGGTTTTTTCAGGACACACCATTTACCCCTAATGGATTAGAGAAATACACCAGCCCCGACATGTAGTCACAATTGATTAGTCTGGTTAGATAGAAATGTCGTCCCCGTAAGATTGCTAATTGTTAATATATGTGTTTTTACTTTGCAACTCGATCTTTTACGGCCTTTTATAAATGTTTGATTGGGTTGAAATAAGGACTTTGGGAAGGCCAGTAGTTAAATCGCTTGATATGCTAACAATTCTTTCATAAGGTTGTATACGAGCCAGTATTACAGCTGGCGCCACCTTGGAAGGTGAACACAGTGTCATGTTCCTCGTTTAATAAAAAGTAAAAGAAACTAGGACGCAACGAACCCCCTCCATCTACCATAAGCCTATAAGTTATTTCCATAAATTGTGTTCGGTATTCTCATTTATTTTTTAACTTGAAGTCTATGTTTTGATTTATGGCTGACATAATCTTTAAGGTTCATAATGTGTTTGAAGCTTGTAGTATTGTTATTTAATCCGAAAGATTTTACTGAGTACGCTGAAGAGCATCTTAGGTCATCTAAGCAATAAAGTAGAAAGAACTCATCATAGTTACATCAAACTTTCAACTGTTGAAAAAGATATCCTTGTTCAAATCCACAGACATTAAAACACTAAAAATGAGAACGATTCGTCATATATTACAAACGTATTAAGATATTTCTACTAAAAAGCCATAGTTGAGTTCAAAATATAAAGCATGCAAATCCTGCTAAAGACCATGCACATGTGAGGCTTAATTAACCTAGAATCTTAAAGCAGTGCCAAAAATTTGAAAGATATATGCTGTTGTTGTTTTGATTTTCAAATTATTTTGCTCTCACTATATATTTCTCACAGCTGATATTGATATCAATCAAAATAAAGCACCACATTTGAAGATTCTAAATATTATATTCCATTTTTTAGGGCCACTTTTTTTAAAGAACATATTTTTTTTTGGCTTAGACAAAGATTTGTACCAATAAAGCCGTCTTACATTTCGAAATAGTACAAAAAAAAACATAAGAATAATGAGATGAGATTCTGTCTCCTCAGATAAAATTGATTTATGGTGCTCACTGTCATACGAAGCAAAGCCTTCAAGTGATGGACTAAGGTATAGAATAATAAATGTAGTTATTTTCTTACGATCTATAGAAGCTATCTGGAACATCTTCTTAAACTACTCTCAAACTATATATATATATTAATTCTAAGCATTTGTATCAGTCATATAGTTTAATACTATTCATACATAAATATCTCAAGATATTGGGTAGCTCTGTGCATATATTTGCTTACAAAACCTCAGAAGAATAATTGAACTTTGTATGGGAATAATTAATTAGCTAATTCCGCACGAGAACATTTTACCTTGTTTGTTTGTAGTCCTTTAACTCTTAATTAATATTACATGATCAGTTCTCGAGTGGGTATAGAAACTATGTATCTAAACGATTACATTTATCGACAGCTGGATAGTATCTTGCTGTATTGTGGGATAAATCAGATCAAAGCTAAAGTTACTTGGAAACAATGTAAAAGATGGCTTTTTTTTTGCTTGTTACAGCTTTTGGAACATTTCGCTTACATATTTGACATACACAAACTGATTACCAAGCTTTCAGGTACACGTCTGAGAGCTGCCCGGAAATCTATCCGAAAGCTTTATAGCTCATTATGGGTGTAAGCTCAATCACAATTACTCTCATCTAAGCCTTCTTGTATGTTCATCGCTTGGTGTAGCAAGAATCGTATTATAAAATACACGTGTATTATCCTCTAACTTTGCTAGTAATACCTTACAAGCTTCTCATAACAAGCCTATTATAAATATCGCACACACACACACGCGCGCGCGCGCGGTACTTATCTTTTTCTTAAGTATTCACCAGTAATCCTTTTCCCAGAAGATGCCTTATTGACCACTTCATCGATTATTATTATTATTATTTTAAAAAAAAGGCTATGTACGGGTTCCAAATTTACTCGTATCTATCTAATTATAAAGACAAATTACCAAGATTTCTAGTAAATATTTCGTGTGTATATATGTGTCTGCTCCAAGGGACTATTACAAAATACAAAGATTTATTCCTTTATTATGGATGAGCATGGTATCCAAGTACCCATTGATTTTTTTTAAAAAAAAAACTAAAAACTGGATTTGAAGTATACAATGCTCCTCATCTATAAGTTTGGTGCACGAATCCAAACTTTGGAAGGGCTCGATTGACTGCAACGCATAAGTTTTCTAAATTAACCAGAAAACTCGTGGAGAAATAGAGAAAGATCCTCTGCTTTACTCTCTCACTGGAATTACCTATTAGATGATTAAATAATAAATAGACAGTAAATGAATAATATTTTGTTTTTATTCTATTTATCTAAAGAGCTCATCAGTAACCAAGCCTATTATTTAGAAAATTCTTTAAATATATATATATATATAATGGTATGCATTCTAAAGTTACAAATATCACTATAAACTATTATATTTTTGTGCTCACTCTAGATTACGAGTTGAGTTTTTAAATTATATGTATATTCATGACAATTTCTTATTTCTTTCTTTTTGGTTTATCAAGAAAATTTATTATATGTTAAAAATATAAAGTACTTTACAAAATATTTATTGTGCTCTTCCTGTGTACTACAAAGTTTTAATGACTTTTCTTTAAAGTATCCGCAAAGAGGATTATATCAAGAGTATTTATAGCTCATAAAACTCTATTATCTAAGCCATTCTCTTGTTTCTACAATAACATATTGAGAAAGGATCTTTCAAGACATCTGGAACTTTAGTGGCAGGCTGAGTGTATTTCTTTGTTTACAGTATCCAATTTATTTTTAAAGGAAATAAGAAAAAAAGTCATTAAATACGTGGGAGGGGTATGTCGAAAGGGATACTGATATAGGCGTATTCATTATTCATAAAGCAAGACGCAGCTACGGGAACTGTCTTGCTTTTCATCAGTCAGTTCTTTCAAGGTTTTCAAGGTTTTCGCATACCTGGCTTCGATTTTCTTTGGCTGGGCGGATTCCTTGCAGTAGCGCCAAAAGACATTGTTGACAGCCAGTAGCTTTTTGACATTCATCAGGGTACAAAAGGAAGGCAATTTTTCTACGCTGTCAGCAAATTGTAGGTGGGCAATTTCAACAAATGTGTACAAACCAGTGGCCACAGATCGCATTAAGAAAAACGTGGTGTGCATACCTGGAACGAGAAAGAGTTATCAGCGTCACAGCAATCCCCGGCTTTTTTTTCCTTACCATGAATTTGAAGCGCTATTGCTCCATCCAACTTGTTGACATCAATGGCATTTTTACAGAAAGTAATTAGGCGCAATGTAGCAATGCAAAGGCTGTACCGGGTGCCAGATCGTTTTTTCACCTTAGCTTCGCCAAAACCAATGCTAGTTGTGAATTCCAAATAGGGCTTTTCACTAATAACAGCATCTGGCCGAGCCTTGCCTTTTTCTATTGGCACCGAATTTATCTTACGCAAATGTACGAGCTTGTCAGGGTCGCCCACAAGACAGGACAGAACAGGGTCATAGTATGTGCTCCAGAGCTCAGTTTCAGTGATTGCATCGTGGTTGTTCGAGGGAGTATTGGGCAACTTCTGCAGTCTAAAAAAAAGGTCAACCATTGTGCAGAACAACACCGAGGCAAAAACGACTTAAAGGTTGATGACACTTCGTACGATCCTCTTGGGTCTATATTCTATTTTCGATGACATAATGTAAAGATCAAGCATGATCTGCTCCCGGGTTGTTGTTCCAAGGGCAAGGCTGAAGAGGGTAGTAGTCAGGGTAAACAGGTCTTCTTCGGGGAACGGTAGATCGAAGTCAACAAGCTCGGATACCAGATTAGTAGTCAGGGCAATCAACAGGGACTTTGAGAAGACTCTCTCGGCAATAGGGCTATGCTGGTTCTTGCAAAGGATAAGCGTGTGTGTGTGGGCAGCCAATTCGTGAATATATGATTCAATGGGAAGAGTTTGATGTTTAAGGATTATTCCGCGGATGATGACTTGATAAGACCTGAACAGCTGGGTAACATTGGTGCTCTTGAACGTCAATGGGCTACCAGACTTGCAGCTGCCAGTATTTTCATGGAGGGTAATCACGTCATCGTTGATAACCAGCTTGATTGCATTGGTATTGCTATCGTCTTGGGCGTCATGAGTGATGATTACTGCTTCATCAGAGTCCGCCAAGGCAGTTGCCTTTGTTTGATGAACAGAATTGGTTTCCATCATAGTTGGATGAATATTTTCATTTGCTGAGCATGAGGAGATCGCCAAGCGACGATTTAAGGCAGATTCAATCAATTCAGCACCTGCTAGGTCTGCCTTCATAATGCTGCTTGAAACCTTTTTTCCACCCAAAACTGCAAGTAATCAGCAGAATTTGTCCATGTTTTGTAGTTGGCATTAATCGTCATGTCTCGTTCAGAATTGGAGTTGAAATACTTGGAGACGATGCTGGTATATCGTTGTTGAGCTCGATGTCTATCCAAAAAGTCAAAAGTCTCGATAAAGCTCTTGAAGGAGAGGTGGTCAGCATGGTCTAAGCACCATTGAGCATCATTGGGAATTGTGGTTGACAACACCTTTTGCTTTTTCTTAGACTGCAGAAGTTGCCCAATACTCCCTCTAACAATCACGATGCAATCACTGAAACTGAGCTCTGGAGCACATTCTATGACCCTGTTCTGTCCTGTCTTGTGGGCGACCCTGACAAGCTCGTACATTTGCGTTAGACAAATTCGGTGCCAATAGAAAAAGGCAAGGCTCGGCCAGATGCCGTTATTAGCGAAAAGCCCTATTTGGAATTCACAACTAGCATTGGCTTTGGCGAAGCTAAGGTGAAAAAACGATCTGGCACCCGGTACAGCCTTTGCATTGCTACATTGCGCCTAATTACTTTCTGTAAAAATGCCATTGATGTCAACAAGTTGGATGGAGCAATAGCGCTTCAAATTCATGGTAAGAAAAAAAAAAGCCGGGGATTGCTGTGACGCTGATAACTCTTTCTCAATTCATCCATTGTGGCTTTCGGAAAGCTAACATAGTGTCCTGTAACCGTTCCTTTGTTCACACACTCAATGCCATCTCCCCTCTTTCTCTTTTTATTCGATGGGGGCTGAGGAAGTCTAAGGCTGCATTTAATTAGGCCTTCAGCAGAAATCGTGCCTAAAATGGTTGTTGTTGTGGCTCGTGTTTTGGTAACAGTAACAACTGCCGGTGTACCTTTCTTTGACCATGCCACAGTACGTTTTAAATTAATATAAAAGACAGATTCATCTAGAAAGACACGATTTCTCGTAAAATCCATATCTGTTTTTTACTCGTTTACGAATCCAATCCAACCGCTCTTGAATCTTTTCTTCGCTCTTCCGATCTTTGGGTTGAAGTCGAGCTTTCTTGAGAGACAGATTGCAGTGTTGTCTTACAAAATCAAACAAAGTAGTTTTAGATACTTTTAATTCGGTAAAGATTTGCTTTAACTTCTTCATTACTTCGTCTAAGACGATGGAAGGATTCTCATCAATTCACTCGAGAATAGCTTTTTTGTGTTCGTCATGGAGAATACGTGGACGGCCGGTCTTTCTCCGTTTCTCAAAGATACTGTCAGGATCCTTTTCATATTGTTTAGCTCATTTTTGTGTTGTACGAACGTGAATCCCAAGCTGCGTTGCAGCAGAAGCCGCACTCAAACACCTCTCAGACAACAGCTTGAAGAACCTCACTTTGTCCTGATCAGAATAGTGTGTATAGTTTCGTTTCACTGAAGTTTCCCTCATAGTAAAATCACCATTAGGCTTTGCCTCCTTTTCTACCTGCATTGTATCTATCCTTTTCTCGCTCTCCAGAGGCAGTTGAGATAAATATTGTGTATGAGAGCTCAATGTTTCAAGACGAAACTGTTCCTCATCAACAATATAATCAATTGGTTCAGGGCTGCCATACTCGTCGACGACAGAACCTTTCCCTTTTTCAAACAAGAATTGAATGTTCATAATCTGTGATTTCTAGTGAAAAAGAACTTTGGTGTGTTCTTTTATATCTGAAGTTGACAAGGCATTTGATTTGCCAGCCAAGACGAATTTACATTTCGTGCAACAACGAATTTTGCTTTCATCACCAAGTGAAATGATTTTCCATCAGCACGAATTTATGTTTTGTACGGCCTGAATTTTGTCCTCGTCCTGGGCGAACTTACTTTCCGGAAAGAGTGTACCAGTACACAAAATATCTACCGACTCAAATTCATTGTGTACAAATAAGCTTTTCTTCTATATCATATATCTTCAGTTGCACATTATAATATATACTGTAAGGGACTTGAGTAAATGTAATTTGTACCTGAAAACTACAAAACGTGCATCTTTCTTCAATATAAATATAACGCTTTTTTTTAAATTGAATAATTTTTATACCCCCAAAGTCTTGATTTCTATCTGCTATCTATATTTAGTAGATAGCTATGCAATGAGATATTCGAATGAAAAATTGAGCATGATATGCTGTGTGCATAAGACCAAGCCAATTAAACAAGGGTGTGGAGACTGGCTTGATAGAAAACATGCATTAGGTATTGTGTTTGATAGCCTTCAAGAATAGAACAAAAAGAAACATAGAAAGAAAGATGTTATTCTAGACAATGCTGCTGGTTGCATTAAAGGGGTAAGCTTATCATCATCTATTAAACAAGGCAAGGTTCAGGAAGTGCAGGATCTGTTTATCGTCCGATAAGAGTCATACCTGGTCTTTAAGAGATTCATATGGAGCTATTGATAGTTGATTTGACTAATTTTACTTTTCTGTGGGGTGGAATCCAAATCCCAGGATGAGATTATGCAATGCTAGAGTATCCAGCTTGTCATATCAATGACAATATTTCATGCAAATCTATGCAAGCAATAATATTCCTACAAACTAATGGGCTATATCTAAACAAACACCACGCCAGAGCTCTTTAGTATGGTAATCATAGTAACACATGATCCTGCTCATCAAAGCAAAAAGACATAATTCTATCTAGAGAGGAAGGGGTGAAATAGACTTTGGGCGCATTTCTACCAAATACCCCCTCTCCTTGAACATATCCAGAAAGATCAATTAGTACCATTTTAATTATTATTATTTTATTGTCATCAAACAGAAAGAAAAAAGAAAGAGAAAGCTAGGCCTCATGGCCAATAATGGGCTGATAAGCGGGGGCATAGATAGACCAGTGTGATCTAACAACCTCCTCTGCGCTTCTACCCTTAGTCTCTGGCAAAATACAGTAGGCTATGAAGCCAAGTACAATCAAGATACCACCAAACAGATAAAATACCTGCCCTTCACCCAGAACGCTTCTCCACTGAAGGAACCCAGCCGAGATAGCAAAATTGGAGATCATATTAACTGAAAGTGCAACTGAAGCAGCGCTTGAAACGGCTGGCGCCTCGACAATTTCTGGAATCATGAGAAACGGAATGGCACCTAGGCCGATAGCAAAGGCAGCCACAAAGCCAATGATGGCGCATGCAGATGTGATTTCATGGCCTGTTTCGATACTCCAGCCTAAAAGAAGGCTCATGGAAGACATAAGACCACACGAGGTCAGAAACAGAGTCCGGCGTCCGGCACGGTCCATAAGATAGGCTGATACAAGTGTCATAGCCAGATTAACGACAGAAATAAAGAGGGTGATTTTGTCAGATGACTCTGGGAAAACAGTAGACATGATAGAGGTAGAATAAAAAATGACTGCATTGATACCAGACAGCTGTTGAGATAATTGAATCAATAGCAAAAGAAATAGAGGGTAGCGGTAACGAGCAAGAGTAATAAAACGATACACAGTAACAGGCTGTGCTGGACTAACGAGAGAATCCTCTTCTTGTGCTTGTTCCTTACGCCATGTTTTGATTTCTTCCTCAATTGTTTCATCAGGCACCCCACGAAGACGCACAAGGGCGGCTTTTGCTCGATTCCATCCATTAGGCTTGGAAAACAACAGTCGTGGAGACTCTACACACCAGGGTAGGAGACAGAACTGAAGTACAGCCAAAATAAATCCGACAAGCAAGATAAAGCGCCATGTGCTAGGGGTAGACCAGATCATACTGACAGCCTGCGCTACCAGAATTCCAAGCACGATAGCAAGTTGATTTAATGTGCCAAAGAACCCGCGGCTGGCTTTAGGCACACATTCAGCAATATAGGCCGGAACTACCACTGTAACTACACCACTACCAAGACCAGCTACAAATCTACCGACCATCAAACTACCAGGAGTGACAGCCAGGGACATCATCAAGGATCCCAGACCCAATAAAACATTCGTGCCAAATAGTGTCTGGCGGCGACCATACCGGTCACTAAAATAAGAGGCAGAAAGGGCACCGATTAGGCCACCAGCAGTGAGCATTGCTACTACAAGTGAGTATTGGCTGTCGGGCATCGGTATGCAGATTGGTAGTCGAGGAAGGGTTATGTCATCAGAATCACATTTTGAAATGACTTGTTGAGGAGTGTTCAGCTCGCCATTGTGATAACCATATTGAAAGGCACCCTGTAAATATATGCTAGTCAGTTTGACTAAAGCACAAGTGAGTATATCTTACAAGAGTAATGGTGAATACGACAAAGGAAAGATAGGGTGTTAGTTGTGGATTATCTGACATAAAGAAGGACAGGGGAAGAAAGAGTAGGAGGTTGTCACTTTCCATTTTGATTTATTTAAGTAACATTTTTTTCTTTTTTTTTTTTCAACCTTGACCAAAAGGCAAGGACCTAACCAGATGCTGTTTAAACTGACCCACAGCCAAACTAATGCCCAAAACTGAATCTCCTCCCGCTTTTTTCAGATAGTCATTCAAAACACACTCATCCATCTGAGGAAGGACATCACACATTTCCCGCAATGCATCACTTGTTTCAACATTCCGGACTTTTTCGACGGGTCTTTCTATAGAACGGCGCATAGAGGTAAAGGGCATTTGTTTAGCATGTCCTACTCTGGATCTGTGCCCAGGACTTGGCATATCCGTATGTCTTTGAAAAAGACTGACAGGATGTGGTGGTCGTGCAAACGAATATGATAGATTCGGACTATCTTGAGGGGAAGAACGCGACTGGGCATATCTGGCAAGTGATCGACGACTCATGGAAGGCGGGAAAAATTGATTACTTTGACGATTCTCGCTTGCTTGAGAATAAGATGTCAACACTGGTGGTTTTGACTTGCGCAAGAACATTGATATCGATCCACTAAGACCGTTATTCGTCTTGAGGGTATCATTGGCATCATTACTACGTGGAGGTGGCTGATAACCTTTGTTTTGCGTATGTTTATATACATGTACAAAACATAATATTATTTATTTATTGATTTATTTCTATTAAAAAAAAGATATCAATAATAATTAATCTTATTACTTACCTTGCCGCATGGCTATTGGGATGCCTTGTTGACGAACTCTGGTGGACCATGCAGAGAGCGCAGAATTTGCCTGCATACAGAGATCAAATGTCTTTTCATAGAAAACAATTCGTTCGTACACATTGGGAATCCGCATCATCTCTGCATATGATCTGGGGTGGTATTCAGGCACAGTTGTCTTGGAAACGCTTTCGATATGACGCCGCACAGACTTGGTAGACCTAGATGAATGCCGACTTGAACCGGAAAGACGCCTGTGCCGTGCCTTTGTAGACGAGCGGGGAGCAGACCAGTTTTCAACTGCTATTTTACTTGTACTGTGGGAAAGTGTAAAGGTGCTGCTGTGTTCCCCAAACAGATGTGGGGTAATCACCGGCTCAGGATCGTTATTTGGACCATCCCCTGCTTTGGTGGCCATCTGTGGTGTCAGTGCGATTTGTGGCGTGCATAGCAATTCAGGTATCTCTGTTTTTGATATTGTTCCTTTCATTATTTTTTTTCCGCTGTGTCTCTGGATGTCTCTTGAGCTTCTTGGCGTAGATGCTTCTGGAGGTCTTTGGATTACACTGGGTTGGTGCACTACAGGGGGTCTATGCACAACAGCAGGTCGCTGCATCTGCCGAATTCTCTGCACGGGTTTATGATTTTTTTCCACAATAGGATTTTGTTTGATTGGGGGTGGAACTGATGGTTCAACTTGAGTTTTTTCATCTGTCAGCTTGAATTGATCCATAAGAGAGGAAAGATCATGAGAGAAGCGGAGCTCAACAGTGTCCAGCAGAGCAGAGCCATTTGGTTCAATCAGCGTCTTTTCACTTGCTTGTAGAGTGTGTCTTGCAAACGCAGCAGCCGAGAGTGACTCTACAGAAAAGTTAGTACGTGGCTCTCTAGAAAGTGTGTGTTGTGAGGGCTCACCATGCATGTCAAAGTCATCAATGAATGACTGGAGATCTGCAATCTGGGAAAGGACATCTGTAGGCGGCTGTCAATGCTCATGTAACACAAAACAACGCCTTACCTTTTGAGCACATTTGGTAAGGTGTATGTGTATGTGTGAGTGTGTATGTGTGTATGTGTTACACAGTAAAGAAGTATAGGTTTAAGAATGAGAATGATATATATATTTATAAGTAGGTATGAAGAAAGGGTGTGTGTGTGTGTGTATTTTAATGGCTACCAGTCTTATTTTATCGCACTGGAATTCGCGTGTGTAGTATATATTATTGGCATATCAGCCATTCATTTTCGAGGATTGAATTATGTTGTTTTATCCATGTTAAACCGATTATTCTGATATTTGAGTCTCCACCCTTAATATGGCTATCCTATTCTCTATAAAAATGGTGTTTTTTTATTTGTTCTGTTAACCTAAAACTGCCTGTATACTTCTCTGTTTCTACTGCTTCTTGACAAAGGCGCCTCTTGAAAGGGAAAAATAAAGTAAAAATAAAAGCAGTCATGAAATTCTTTTCCATCTTTTTTTTATTGCATTTTTGGTAAAAAAAAAAAGGCAGACTGATCTACATTTGTGATTGATCTTCCAAAACACACATCACCATGGGACAGTTCAAGAAAGAAAAGGCTAGAGTTTCCAGAGACAAATCTGCCGGTGACGATCGTGCTACCAATCTTCGTGTGAAGGGAGAGAACTTCTACCGAGATGCCAAGAAGGTTAAATACGTCAAGATGCTCAAGGGTGGCAAGGCAACTCGTGATGCCCAGGGCAGAATCGTCAAGGCTGCTGACTTCCAGAGCTCAGAGGCCGTCACCGCCCGAGTTGCTCCCAACAGAAAGTGGTTCGGTAAGACACTCATATAGATGTTTAGAGAGATAAAGCGATAATGTTTCAAACGATTCGTTATATGTGGATATTAACGATCTACACTAGGTAACACCCGAGTCATTGGTCAAAAGGCATTGGAAGATTTCCGTGAGTCTCTAGGTGCTAGAATCCAGGATCCTTACCAGGTTCTTCTGAAGCAGAACAAGCTTCCCATGTCCCTTTTGCAGGATCCTACTGCTCAGGGTCGTATGCACATCCTTGAGACTGAATCTTTCAAGAACACCTTTGGTAAAGGTGCTCAGCGTAAAAAGCCCAAGATTAACCTGGGAACAATGGAAGAGATGATGACCAAAGTCGACGACACACATGGTATGAAAAAAATGGAATTAGCAGGATGGACATCAATTATCAACGAACCAAATATTAATCGAGACGAATTTTCTGGGTGTTTCTTTTATTATAATTATTAATACTATAGAAAACTACAAATCCGCAAAGGATACTAGTCTTTTGTCGAACAAGATCTTTGATATGGTAGATCAATCCAGAGCTTGGTATCTCCAGGCTGGTCAGTCTAAGCGTATCTGGAACGAATTGTACAAGGTTATTGATTCTTCCGATGTCATTATCCACGTTCTCGATGCCCGTGATCCCATCGGTACTCGCTGTATTAATGTCGAAAACTACATCCGCAGAGAAAAGCCCCATAAGCACTTGATTTTTGTTCTCAACAAGTGTGATTTGGTTCCTACTTGGGCTACTGCTCGTTGGGTCGCCAAACTGTCTCAGGACGCACCCACTCTTGCTTTCCACGCTTCGATTAACAACTCTTTCGGTAAGGGTTCTTTGATCCAACTTCTCCGCCAGTTCTCTGGTCTCCACAGCGACAAGAAGCAGATCTCGGTCGGTTTCATCGGTTACCCCAACACCGGTAAATCCTCCATCATTAACACACTCAAGTCCAAGAAGGTCTGCACTGTTGCACCTATTCCTGGAGAGACCAAGGTCTGGCAGTACATCACACTCATGAAGCGTATTTACCTCATCGATTGCCCTGGTGTTGTTCCCCCCAACATCGGTGACAGTGAAACCGACATTATTCTCAAGGGTTCTGTTCGTACCGAGAACATTGCAGCACCCGAAGATACTATTCCCACAATTCTGGAACGTGTCCGACCAGAGTATATTAAACGCACATACGATCTTCCTGGCTGGGAGAACCCTACTGACTTCTTGGAGCAGTTGGCTCGCAAGACCGGAAAGCTTGTCAAGCGTGGTGAGCCTGATATTCACAACGTATCAGTCATGGTCCTCAATGACTGGCTCAGAGGTCGCATTCCTTTCTATGTTGCCCCACCAGAGTCTATCGAACCCAGAGAATCACCAGAGGGCAAGAAAAAGGTCAATGTCGAACAATTGTTCGGAAAGATTGCAGTATCTAGTGACTTCTTGGAAGACGATCTGGCTAACAATGCCGCTTTGATTGCATCTGAGCGGGCAAAGGTAGCTAAGAAGAAGGAGGAAGATGCTGCCAAGCTCGAGAAGTCTGTCAAGGACTCATCTACCGACTGGGACGAGGTCTACGCTGATGTTGTTGGTGAAGATGGACCTGCTGTCAAGGCACCTGTCATTGAAGGCGAGAGCGACCAGGACAGTGAATTGGAAGTCAGCGATATGGAAGATGAAGAGCAAGAAGAAAATACCGAAATTGTTGAAGAGTCGACAGAAGTAGTAGTAGAGGAGGAGGAAGAAGAAGCAACAGAAGAGGCAGGTCCCAGCAAGAAGAGAAAGGTGGTTGAAGTATCAGAAGATATAGTTAAGGAGGAAACCGTCAAGGAAGATACTGATGGAAACAAGAAGAAGAAGATTGGTGTTCACTACTATGAGACTGCAAATGTCAAGAACAAGAACCGTAACAGAGTTAAGCCTGATGAGAACACAAAGAAGGTTTTGCACAGCCGGAAAAAGGGTTCTGAGTTGGCCGGTGGCAAGCGCAAGAGACACTAGATTTCCCTTTACTTTATTCACATTCCTCATCTCCTTTCATCAATAAAATTTCTGCTCGACATCATCATTATTTCACATAGTACCTGGATCAAGGAGTCTACTTCAGATTGACAACACTCCGCTAATCCCATATTTTGGACACTGTTTTGTGGTTAAATGTTTTAGCAATCACCATTAAAATAAGTATCAGGCTTGGAATTCAAATGAAACTCAACAAAAAAAAGCTAATCGTCTTTATATGTGAAAAGAATAATAATACCAGTCAATATTATAAGTAGTTATTATAATATACATCATCTAAACGTATATAATATGACCCTAGATCATTTCAGTAGATATAATTGACGGAAAGAATAAAATAAATACATTGTAATCGTCAAACGATAGTGTCAAATTATATCTACCAAAAATTATATATAGCTTATATTTGTTAAGGCATACTTTTATAATCTACAAAGACAAATTTAAAGAGTAAGCAAATCACAAAGTACGGGCTGCTACGAAATTTGATTATTGCACTGAGAGAGAAAGAGAGGAGCTGTCTATTTTGAAAAAAAGTTAAATCAATTCTCTTAGTTTGCACATGTGCATAAACGGCAGCAAGTATTTCTTTAAAGTTGTCTCCATAATTCTAAATAGAAATAGTCGGGTCGACCTTATGATACACATATTAGTAATAATCGATTTATTTTTATTATATTTCTTTACAAATAAAAAGCAAGGTAAACCCCTAGAAAGCACAATATATACTATTAGTGACTTGGAACTGGATGTTAGTATCGATTAAAAGCTTTATATATATGGCGTGATAATGAACACATTGACTAATATTGCAAGTAATATATGTTTATATAATATGTCTGTCGTTAAATTGTTTCTGTAGTAAAGTATAATTGAACACAGTTTAAGTGTATGTTTCGTTATTAGGGGAACATACACTTGTAATATGAAGCTTGATATATAGTATCACTAATGGATTTCTATGTGTGGGTGTGTGCTATTTACCAAAGACGATGATATGGAATACGAATAAAATAGGACATACAAGGTTTAATGAATAATTAATTTCAGCAAAAGGCTTGAAGTAAATGGAGCAAGAATTCCTTATAGATTTATTCTGATACCCGCGAATTCCAAGCCAAAGAGCCCATGAACACACTTGAAAGTATACTGTTGAAGAGCATTTTGTGGAACGGACAAGCTCAGATGCCCTACAGTGCTGCATTTACCCAATAGAAGAGAAGTATGAAAGGAAATGCACGGGGTGTTTAAAGGATATTCTTTAAAATATTTTTTAGAAGTAATGATTCTGGAAATAGTTTTGTATTTTTCATTTATTTACACTACTCTTATGGACACTGGTGGGCTTTTACTTTGTTTGATGTAATGGAGTTAAGATAACGGCCAATATATGTGTTTATGATAGATTTTCTATGGTAAGCTCTTCAAATTACGTTGTATAGTTAAAGACAATTGCCTAGCCTTATATATACATGATTATTTCAAACCAATGTTTATCCCAAAATATTATTTCTTATGATATTCTATCGGATAGTTTTGAAGAAATTTATCATTAGTGATTCAAGTCTCAGATTCAGTTAGACTTGTTCAAGAACTCTTCTTCCTATCCAGTACTAGTAAAAAGGATATTATTCACAAAAATTACTAATTACATAGCAAATTGGAAGCAGACGATTCAAAGACTGTGTCTATGCCTATGTATGTATAGCCTCGGTAGTATCCCCCGAAACAATTATACTTGATATTATTAACCAAATGTAAACAGTGTTGGGACTACTAGGGCCTTATATTTATGGCTGGTGAAATGGTGAAATGGTGAAATAATGAAATGATTTCACTGGTCACAATGTCCAGATTGCAGGGACAAGAATATATATATATATATTTTTAATCACATCTAGATCTAATCCCTCTCAGATTATGGCTTTGAATAAGAAGAAGAATAAGAAATTGTAGTTAATGCTTCTATTATTTAGCCTTCAAGACCGTTGCCTTATTGATTACAAAATCAAACTAGGTATCTATTGCAAGGAACATATACAAAGCATCAAAAGAATGTTGCTTGACATACGGATATCGTGCCAAAGCCATACAGAAAAAGAAGATTTGTTAGATGATGGAATTATCCAAGATTATTAATAATATCTACACTAGAGCTAAACTGGTAAACTGATTGGTATAAGGCTTCCCTTTCAAGCCATTTAATACATCACGATGGCAGCATTATTCGCTTATTATCTTGTGTCTCTGTATATGTTTATATGCTCACCTGATAGCATTAGAATATTCCTTGAAAGATAAAAATGGTGCCTTTTCCTTCTTCCCTTAGTGTTATGCTTTATTCTTGACACCAATTACCCAAAACTGAGGAGCAATAGTCTTTATTGATTTTAGCAAGTTATCTTTATCTTTATCGATATCTTTACCTTTATCGATTTCTGATTTTAAATCTTTTCATCTTCTGGCTCTTAATATTTTAATTACAAGATATATATTTATTTATTTTTTATATATGTGAATACACACACATACACACACAGTATATATAATATATAGATGTATATATTGTACTGTTAGCGCTTTTAAATATTTCTCAAATGTGAAACTAATTAACATTCAACTTCCAATTTACAATCTACCGATGTAAAAGCGATAAAACTGAAATTAGTGATGATCTGGATCGTCCCTAACCTTGTTATTCAAGATTGGAAATGTAAAGAGACCGTCTGATGGGTTTAAACGATTAGTAATACAAGAATTTGTGGGTCTATAATGGCTTGATTTTTTTTTCATTTTTGCTCATACAGAAAAAGTTACATGCATTAAAATAAATAGATAAAATGATGGCTTTTTGATGGCAATGCTACATTAATTTGCGAATCTTATTTCCAGGATAAAAGCGACTCTTTATAGGGAAAGTGGTAGTGTTTTTGATCATGTTGGATATTTAGAGGACTTTTTAAAGGACCAAAAGGAGTATAAAGTAAAGCGTACAAATGAATGTGAAAGCAGGATTTTATTTCTTCCATAAAAGGAAGTATATCAAGATAAAGGCTAGATAAAACCAGATAAAGACCAAATAAAGACCAATTTTTATTTCGGTTCTTAGTGAAAAATTGTGGAGTGCTGAAATTACAAGATGAACTCATTTTCTGTAGTTGCCATTTATCTTTATTAATAGTCTTTTAGATTCTGAAAATACTCCTAGTTCACCAAGCTTTTCTTGTTTTATATTATATTATATTAAATTATTATATACATATATATTACAGCTTTTATAAGTACCACTCTTCTAACAGCTTGAGCATAAATATTTATCCTTTTTTTATATAGCATAAAACATAGCATTTATACCTTGTTATCTTTAGTGGCTTGATTAATACACTATTTCCATTGAACCCTGAAAAGTTTAATCAAAATAACTTCTCTGGATTCCATAGTTTCCAATTCTTCTATATTTATTTTTTGCTTTATTTTGTACATATATAGATACATATTTCTAATTAATTACATGGTAAAGGTCTTGTGAAGATGTATTTATTCATATAAGAATAACAGTTCATCATCTTTGTACTTGTGTGTCCAAGTATCTTAAGGGTCCGAGATGATCGGTCCCAACCTTCACTCAAATAATGATAAACTGAGTGTACGGCGTGACCCCATAAAAACGGTTGGACCACTTAAAGACGAGAGCCTTATCTTGAGTTTGCGCGGGATTTTTGTTGGTAACCTTGACATCCAGGAGCTGAGACCTGTCATGTTAAACACCCGATTTTGTTATCCAATCAATTTCCGTATATAGCTCTAAAAATTCACACAATCTGTAGAAAAACTCGACTGAGTTTGATGTATTCCGATCCAATCTTCCCACGGAGTTCGCACAGAGATCTGGAGTCCGCCGGTAATAACCTGAGCCATGTGGATAAACTGATTACTTGCCGTATTTGGACTTATTTCTTAGGTGCCTGCGCGATAGGCTGGCTTATTTTATCTATAAGAGGGTAGCAATTGAATAAAGGCGTTTTATGATCGTGGGAAGTTTATGAGCCAATTACTGCTTCTCATTGTCATATTAAAGATAGTCTTTCCTAAAACATCGAAAAATATTCATACTGACATTTCTACAGTATAATCATGTAATTGTTAATGATAAAAAAGAAATGGTTCCACTGAAGTTTAGTACGTGTATTTTTTTTTATTATCAACTCTTATTACAACTGAAACCAACCTCGTCTATTCGTTCGCGCTCTTTTAATAATAATAAAAAAAACAAAAAAAAACCAAGCTAAATACAACATATAAATACGTCTAATATTTTTTTTTAAAAAAAAAGTTTGTTTTTTATCTTTTAAATTAAACATGGAAGAAAAGACTGCACAGACAGAATCTATTGATGATGTCTACCACGACAACCACGAACACCCTGCACCTACCGAAGAAGACTGGAAGGAACTCCCAGAAGTATCCGATATAATTCCAAAGTCTGCCTACCTGGTCATTCTTGTAGAATTCTGTGAACGTTTCACCTACTATGGCCTCAGTGGTCCTTTCCAAAACTATATTCAGTACCCTCAGCCAGAGTCTTGTAAGTTTATATACCTCGGTTGAATTGAACCAAATTTTGTAATACATAATCTAATTTACATTACTTTACTCTACACAGACCCTGCCGATCAGCCTGGTGCAATGGGCAAGGGTCAACAGACCGCCACTGCCTTGACTACCTTTTTCCAGTTCTGGTGTTATATCACTCCAATTTTTGGTGCAATTGTAGCTGATCAATATTGGGGAAAATACAAGACCATTCTTGTTTTTGCCTGTATCTATATGGCCGGCCTTATCATTCTTACTCTCACATCTATTCCCCCTGCCCTCGACAACAACAGCTCTTTCCCCGGTTACGTCGTTGCCATCATTATCATCGGTCTCGGAACTGGTGGTATCAAGTCCAATGTCTCTCCCCTTGTCGCTGAACAGTATAGAAGCAGATCTCCTTTTGTCAAGACCCTTAAGAATGGTCGCCGTGTTATCGTCACCCCTCAGGCTACCTACCAGAAGATTTTCAACATGTTCTACTGGGGTATCAACATTGGCTCCCTCTCTGCTATCGCTACCACCGAACTCGAGAAGAACGTCGGATTCTGGCCTGCATTTTTGCTTCCCACTCTCATGTTTATTCCCTGCATCATTGTCGTCCTTCTCGGTCGTAACAAATATGTCCAAAACCCTCCCCGTGGTTCAGTCTTTATCGAAGCAGGAAAGCTTTTCATCCTCAACTGGAAGGTCAAGGGTGGTCTTGCAGCCTGCAAACCCTCTGCTCTTGCTCTCACCCACCCCGAATTGGCCGCCAAGGTTACCTGGGACGATGTCTTTGTTGACGAATTGAAGCGTACCCTCAAGGCCTGTATTGTATTCTGCTGGTTCCCTATTTACTGGCTGTGCTACTCTCAAATGACCAATAACTTGGTGTCCCAAGCCAGTACCATGTTGACCGGAAACGTTCCCAACGATATTATGCAGAACATTGATCCTATTGCTCTCATTATCTTGATTCCTCTCATGGACACTTTTATTTACCCCTTCCTCCGTCGTGTTGGTATCCCTATGCGTCCCATTATGCGTATCACCTGCGGTTTCTTCTTTGCTGCCGTTGCCATGGGCTATACTGCTGGTATCCAGTCTAAGATTTACAAGACTGCCCCTTACTATGACCACCCCGAAGGTCAGAACTGGATTTCTGCTGCCTACCAGATTCCTTCTTATGTATTGGTTGCTATCTCTGAAATCTTTGCTGCCATCACTGGTCTTGAATATGCTTACAAGAAGGCTCCTCAGTCGATGAAGTCCATTGTTATGGCTCTCTTCTTGCTCACCAACTGTTTTGCCTCTATCCTCGCCTTCGCTCTTGTATCTGTTGCCGTTGATCCCAAGCTCACCTGGATGTACACCGGTATCAGTGGCGCTTGCGCTGTTGCCACCATTCTCTTCTACATCTGCCATCGTAAGAACGATGACGATGATGTTGAACAGGATGCAATCGGCCGTAGTGATGAAGAGCTCAACGGAAACCTTTCTCCCAAGACTGTGGCCCCAGTTGAATATGAAGCCGAGAAGGCTGGTGTATAAAAAAAAATACCTACTTTCACTTCTACATTTATTTTTACCTTTATTTTTTTATTTAATATTTATTACGTATTCATTCCATGATTTTTATTGTTGTTATTATTATTATTTTACATTTTACTTGTTAACAATTGGCATTTGATGTATTTTTCAATTACTTTTTGTCTTTTCCATATAATTCTTGTTCATACCTTTCTAGACATCTTCCCCTCTTTTTCTTTATTTAAAATATTCCTATCTGTGATGGGAAAGGTATCTTTCTATATATTTAGTTAATTATCATTGAATATACAGAGAGATAAAGTCCAATTTTGTCCACCAATATCTTTTTACGTTGCTTTGCTTCAAGTCTTTCTATTGTTCTTTAATGCTGTGCAATCGTTTCATAATTCATTCATATGTCAAACGAGTTACTATCACAGATGTGACTGTTCTAATAAGATTGGTTGACAATCCCTTGTAGAATTTACCGATACCTTCACCTGTTCCAATAACTCGAATTGTGTGTCCAATACCTTTGTACTTAAAGGGTATCGTTGTCTGGTTCTGTAACCTACTTCTTACAATTCAAGTTTACCTCAAGAAATGATGATAACACACACAAAAAAGACTATCATTATATATCGGAACTGAAATTTCGATAGTAGCATGAGAGAAAAGCTGCGCCAGTAAGATTAATTGAAAAAACTTTTACAAATGCTAAAAATCAGCGTTGAAATATGTTTCTTGAGCGAAGATTTGACAAATCAAATATGCAACGCTTGCAAAAGCAGAAACGTGAAATCTCTCAAAGCAAGAAGTATATGCGGTATTGGAATGGAATGAAAGCAATCGAAACATCGTTTGGAATCATGACATAAATGCTACAAGTAATATTTATGATACCTTTATGTTTGCTGCTCGAAATAAAAAACCAAACATAATCATATATCATCTATGTAGAATTTATACAGCTCTTTTATACATCCGTACAGTGTAAGCTACATCATTTCTCTCACAAGTCCTACTTCTCATTCGTCTCAAAACTAGGTCTTTTCTGCCTGAATTGAGGGTGTACATTACTGTAGTACTCCTGAAAATATGTATTATTGGCTATTGAATGTTAGGGAAATTTCTTTAGTGTTGTTGTAAAGAAAAAAAGGATGCTTATGTTTATTCAAATAAAAAAGAAGTCTATACAGAGAGCATTCAATTATGAATGATCGGTACTTCTTCTTTTTTAAACAACACATTGAGGATGAAAATAGAGAGATAAATAGATATGAAGAAAAAAAAAAAGACCAGAGATAAACTACATGGATAGGCTATATACGCATACTATAAATTACCAGACAGTACCCTCCTTCTTCGCTTGTTCTATTTAAGATGTGTTGATGAATACGCGAGCCAAACTGTAATGTTGTGTCTTACCAAAAAAGAGTGTAACCCTGGCCTCTACATCCTTTAGCAAGTGCAGAGTTACCTTGATACGTTCTACGATCTCAGCAATAGACTGAACAAACACAGCAGAGTAAGGGGATTGGCACATGTTAAGAACCTTTTCAATAAAATGAACAGTCAAGCTGTCATCTAATTCTTGGCCTTCACCCTTCATGTAATCCAACACAGGGGTAGTATAGTGTAATTGAACAAGGTACAAAAGACGGTCAACCCATGTTTTTTGCAATACCATCTACATCCGTTTACGAATACACCAGTTAGTTTTTGTAAGGGTCTAGGCGTCTAATTACTATTACCAGAATCTCGGGAGCGAAATTTTGGTAGCGATGGACTATACACCGCTTAATGACATTGAAAACAAACGGTTGTTGAAGAGGATGTCGGTCTGCAATCTCATCCAACAAAAGATGAGGGAGTGGAATCTCGGTAGTACGGTAATAGTTTTCATAATAAGCTGTCTTAATAGATATATACTCAACCCACATCAATACTGCCATTGATCCCACAGGTAATCTAAATAAGCCAATAATTCACACAAATATGACAATGTCTCGTGTGTTAGTATTACTCACAGAAATACCTTCTTCATTCTTATTTTCTTCTTCTTCTTTTTTACCTAATAGCTGTCAGTATTGCCTCCATTGCTCCCGAAAAATCTGCACCCTTTGATTTTTCTTTCAGGGCAACATGTAGGTTCTTCAGTATTCCAACTACCTCATTTGTCTCTGATTGCTGAGATAGATACAAAGTTAATACCTGCGATTAAACACAATTCAGCATGTACACGGTGTAGCTTACTGGCTTGTTGTCTGTGTCTTTAACGGTTACTGCAAATGAAATCAAGAATATGGCTTGGTCGATGGTATCCGGTCTTAATTGTGGCCCGCTATCAGGTACATAGACAGCTTTGAGCAATATTTCTATCGACCTTAAAATAAGTTAACCTGATCCATAAAACTAATCATTATCTTACCAAGGAAATCAAAGCGACATATGTGATGGACAGGTGGAGGAACCGATGTGTAATACATGCTGTAGATCTTTGGTCCCCCAAATTAATACATGTAAGTAAACCGTACGCTTTAACACACACACACACACACACATATATATCAAAACTTACAGTTCGGATATCTCCAGCTGTCAACTGCCTGCTCCCAAGAATAGCTTTTATAGCTGCTGCCAATGGCCGTGCCGCATCTGAAAGAGAAGCTCTCAGAATGTCTACAAACGATTGACTAGTTTAAATTTATAAATAAATTATTATATAAATTGCTTTGATGCTCTTTGACTTACCGCCCGTGTTTACTGGCAGTCTTTTCTAATTCTGCAATTAGACGAATCAGTGGCTGGCCATTATACTCTTCACGCAGCTTGTAGAGCACCATTTGGGCGTACATATATGTTTCTTCTCTTTCACAGCATACTCTCTATTATATGTTATATATAGAAGAACAGAAAGAGATAAAAAAATTACTACCTTAATATTAATCACCATTTTCCCTATCCAACTTACCACCAGATCGGGTAGATGTTCTTCTACAGCAAGATCATCCATTCCAATAAATTTGTTTAAAGATTCTTCAAGAATTTGATTATAGATCAAAAGATAGGTAGAAGACGTCTTTAGCGAAGATAGTTCACTACGATAGCCCGATTCAGCCGCTTTCTATTAAATTGTCGAGAAAAAGTATCAGAATTTTGTAAGAATATTATAAATTAGATAAAAAAGGCATCCCTAGGTCCCTACCAAGACAATTAAATTTAAAAATGCACAACGAGGGTGCATCTCGAGTAATTTGTAGGCAGTCTGTCTAAAGGAGGCATCGTCTACTAAGCTTTGCAACCAAGCTGGGTCAATATGATTCTATCAAAGTAACGAAAATATTATTAAAGACTTTTGCAATGAATAGCGTGGTTAGGGAACTCTTTACTTCAGAAGTCATGAAAAAATTATCGAATACAACTGGGTTGAATTGTTTGACCAACATTGTCTTGAGCGCAGCCTGCATGATACCAGTAGTGTCGATTCCAATCGCAGCAGCACTTTCAGCTGTGACATTACACATTGAAGGAATTCCAACATAAGATTCTGAAAGAGTGGTTACTGCATCCATGGGAGCACCACCCCTGTTCAAATAGCCCAGCAATCCATCGGAATAGACGTTTGGCTCGAGAATGGCGTCTACAATCGAACATAAGATTTCATGATCCAATAGTCTAAACGCGTTACTGACCTTCTTTGACAAAAACCTTGCGGTAATCTTCTAGGGTTGCTAATGACTATACGGAAATGTAAATGGACTGTTTTGTGAAAGGAATTCTATAATGTTTAGAACTCACCATGATGTAAAGTTCAATTGCAAGTCAAGCATCCAAAAATACGGGACTAAAGGCAGGCAAAGCACTTGTCATTTTTAGGAGAAAGTCACATTCTCTGGCCTTTTGCTTTTCGTCAAAGGGTCTAGACAAGAAGATCATGAGGCTGTATGAACTCCCGAGACAACCTCCGTAAGTGATGATGGGTAATGTCCTAAGCTCATGATTGCGATGAATAGTATGAGCGAGAAACAGTGTACCAGAGAACTCGGGAGGATTCTAGAGTCTTCTTCCAAAGTCGCCGTTCTGCTTAGGGCAATTCAATTGCTCGACAAAACTGCCCTAAAGCGAGGAGTAACCTGTAGGCCATGTAAAGCTACCCTTCAAGAGGTACATTGATAAGAATTAAAGTTACATACTAAGCGAGGGATTATGCATATACATATACATATACATATACATATACATAAAAGGGATCTAACTAAACCTCGTTTGCTAGAATCGAGTGGGATATTATGACTTTCAATACAAGAGGTAAAAACAACAACAATATTGTACATGTTTATAAGATTTGTGTATGTGTTTATATGTATGTGTATATATGGATAGGGTGGTTCTATGCTGCGAGAATATCCACACCCGGGCGGATGTCGAAGAAACGCTTATTCATGAACTTGTACATGCATTCGACAGGGCTCGAAAGGGGAAGTTTAGTAGTATGTGCCACTTAATGGCGTGTGGAGAGGTCCGGGCATCAGCGCTTGGTAAGAGTAGTATTTATTAAAGAAGTAAATAAATAAAAAGGCCATACAAACATGCTAACATTGTAGTATAGGCCAGTGTGCTGACGTTACGCCCGAGAGTCGTAAAAAGGAATGTATTCTACGAGATGCGATTCGCTCGACTCGAGAACACTGCGGTGATGAAGCTGAAAGGATTGTTAGACAGGTGTATAATAAGTGTGTTAAAGATGTAGCTCCATTTGTTGTGGGTGTACCTGCCTGAGCAACCAGAAGAATAGATACAGATATTATTATTATTATTAGTAAATGAAATTACTGGTGGTGGTCTGTGTTGAAGATGAGAACTTTCCTTTTTAGACTAATACAGCTCGTGCTGGGCTCCGCTTCATGTTTTATCTATGAAATTATAGGTTTTATGACTTATTGTTCCTTTCCTTTATTTTCTTTTATTTCATGTCAGAACGCCAGTCAAAGGCTACCCAAGAACGCCATGAGCGTATGCTCCTAGAGCTCCTCAAATTGCCAGGCAACGAATACTGTGCTGATTGTCGAGCTAAAAGTTAGTATGAAAGCTGATTGACTATTTGTGTTATTAATAATGTCCAAATTAGATCCTCGCTGGGCATCTCATTCATTGGGAATCTTTTTGTGTGTACGATGTGCCGGTCTCCATCGCAAGATGGGTACTCACATTTCAAAAGTTAAATCTGTCACTATGGATCAGTGGACCGTTGAACAGATTGAGGTAATAAACTACTTTCATTTTCAGGTTTAATGACCTACAACTTGGTGCTAAATTAATGCTTGTATTGGCCACTTTAGACTATCCGTAAATTAGGCGGGAATACACATGTAAATAGTCTGGTAAATCCTCACCCTGATAAACATCCGTTACCACTGACGGTAGACGATGAGCAGTAAGTTGACCTTTGATCAACTACCCGTGTGTTTTGGATGGCCCGATTCTTACCTGTTTTGTAGTGCGATGGAAAAATTTGTTCGTAACAAATGGGAGAAACATGCATTTATGGAACCCTCTCCCTCTATGCATCTCGACCCTAGAACCCGTCTGCAGGTCGCTCCTAAGCGGTCTTCATCTGTACCTGTCATGATGCGTGATAAAGACTATAGCACAAGTCTTATTCAACTGAGGGATATGGGATTTAAAGACAACGAACGCAACCTACAAGTATTACGACAGACTCAGGGAAACATGGATTCTGCTGTCGATATCCTCTCTCGGATTCCAGGACAGCAACGTCCAATGGTTGCTCAGCAAATGACCGAGGAACAAAAGATGACAAGATTGCGTGAGATGGGACACACAAATATGGCTAACAACTGGGATGCCCTTCGTCGTTCGGGTGGTAATGTTGAGGTTGCGGCTAGTATTCTTAATGATAGCAAGCAGTCATCACAATCACACCAGCAGCACCAGCAACCGGCCGTAGCACTCTCGGCATTTTCTACCCCTTCCCCACGGCTCGCTGGCCGAGCACAGACGGCGGAAGAGCGCCAGTCACACCAATTGGCAGGTGTGAAGACCGCTAATCTATTGGATATTGGGGAGCCTACAAACGTGAGCAATCCTTTTTATATGCAACAGCCACAAGCACAAACACTTCTTCAGGCACAAGCACAAACACAGTTACAGCCACAACAACCATTCTATCAGCCACAACAGACATTTCAACCTTCTTTCCAGCAATCATTCCAACAATCACCATTCCAACAACAACAACAACAACAACAACTACCACAACTACCACAACAACAGCAGCAACAGCAGCAACAGCAGCAACAGCAGCAACAGCAACAACAGCAACAACAGCAACACCCTTTCCAACAGATTTCTTTCCAGCAGTCTTTCCAGAGATCCTCTACCATTCCAGGTAAATTATATATATATTTGTTCCTTGTGTTGTTCTTGTATATATTCTAACACGTTATCATCGTACTTTTCATTGTAGTTATGCAAAACGCATCTCCGGTATTTCCCCAAAGCGGCTTGGGTTCTTATGGTGTCCAGCCACAGTTTGGCAGTCTGCCATCTGGGTATTCTGGGCAGATTCAACCTGCGCAATCATCTAATCCTTTCTCACAAATGAATACTCAACAAGCTTCGTTCCCTATTGCGGCGGTGCAACACGATACGCCACTTCAGAAAACATTTGGACCTTCCCAGCAGTCCGGTATTCAGAGCATAAACACGACTGGCGCAAATCAAGGATGGAACCAAAGCTTCTTTTGATCGTAAAAAGGAAATTGAATGTAACCCAGAAACTCCTCTCTTCATTACAAACTTCTCTCCCAGTCTCGTCATTCTGTGTTATAAGAGTACAAGGAAATTATTTCATAAAAAATTAAAAATATCTCATTTTCTTCACCTATAAAATAAAATAAAGCTATAAAAAGAGTGTTTCTTCTTCCTCTCTCTATTTATCGTATGTCGAACCCTATTGCCGATACGGCTGAGTTCTTCGCTCAACGAAGGGCTCATTTCAACCAGACTCTTCACGCCCTACAAAACAAAAATGCTTCGAAACCAAACCCAGAGAATGAGCCAGAAGAGGATTCATTCTTTCGTCGCAGTTTATTTATGTCCTCTGAAGGAAGTACAGGTCAATGGCACAATGTGCTGAGTAAACTGCCTTTTTACACCAGCGAAACAGTAACACCCCATCCCTCCCAAGACGATTTTGTAAACCATGATCATGGCTCAGACGACGAAGGTTCACACGACAGCATCGAACTATCGAGAGGTAGTGTCTACGGAGACCCCACAAACCGGGGCCATAGTTTGATGCCTCGGTCACATTCTTTACCCCAAGAAGACGAGGCACTTCCTTCGACATATGATCTTCAGCGAAATTTACCTGCCAATGAAAGACTTGCTCAGTCGAATCTTGCAAACGACGCTCGAGAAAGTTTCTTTGCTCATCCTTTTGCAACAAAGGAAGAGGAAGAGGAAGAGAGAGAAGAGTTAGGTCAATCGTCCAGATTAGACGGCGAATCTGGTATAACACACGGAAAAGCCCAATGGAACAAAATGAAGGACAGAGTCAAGTTCATCGCTCAGCTTCAGACTCGTACACCAACTACTAGACCAACAGCCCCTGTGGTACAAGCTATCATTCCCTTTTATCCTCCTCTCTTTGAACCAGCTTTCATTTCGCTTTCTACTGATGAAAATGGCCGAAAACTGGTAACAATACACAAAGAAATTTCTATTTAGAAACTCGGTGCACTTTAAGCAACTAACCAATGGAACTGCCTTCGGCCCTTTCTTGCCTGTTGTGGGACTACATCCTCTTAGCCACCTATCCTCATGCAATGCATTTCCGTACGTTCCTTGCCATTCATTTTTTTTTGAATTTCTTATCTGTTTCTCCGCTGCTTTTCATGTGTTTAAACTCAATATATATATTAGGTTCTTGTCACCGATTCAGAATTTCTCGCTAAAGGCTTAAATCAATGGGTCTTTAGAATCGAACTTCAATATGGAGACGTACGCTGGGTAATCCGACGTACTATTACAGACTTTGTCAAACTGCACTTTAGTCTCTTACTCAAGTCAAGTCTTTGGACACATGTGCCAGCCCCACCAGCCTTTCCAGACCAGCTTCGGAGTTTGATGCGTTCAGCCAAGACAACGTGTGGTTTAGATCGTCAAGACAATGAAAGCGAGCCAGATGCAGAGAAGCGTCAGATGGTTCTTGAAAGACGCGAATATCTGACACGCTATCTTACAGAGCTGCTCCAAAAGGCTCATATGATGGTCAGTTACGATATTTGCGAATTTCTTGAACTATCTTCCACAAGTATTGTCCGAGACATGGGATGGAAAGGCAAGGAAGGCTACATAGACAACAGAATTAATTTTGTCAAAAACCGTATGTGTCGAGTATGGAAAACAACCGCGTGGAAGACCGAATGGGTTACACTTCGAGATTCGTAAGTTTCAATCTAATATAGACTAATTGTTTACTTACCTTTTTTTAAAAAAAAATGTATGTGCTTGGGCATACTTCTTTTAGGTATATTGCATTTTGCGACAGTATTGCATCGGTAACACCTAAAGATGTCTTGATGTTCGATAAAAGCTTCAAAGTGCTTGTTGGTCCAACAACAATGCTCGGTAATTGCAGCATCACTCTTGAAAACAAATTCCGTCGATTTGAAATCAGAGGTGGTCAACGTGAAGTTGAAGAATGGATGGAGAGTATTGACAAAGTGCAAAGCGAAAGCCCATGGGTCAAGACCCACCGTTTTGGATCATTTGCTCCAATTCGATCAAACGCAAAAGTCAAATGGTTTGTTGACGGTGAAAGTAAGTTTTTAGATTGTATTAATTGAAAACCAAACGCAAATGCAATAACCAGTGTATTTTGCTAGACCACTTTAATGCTGTTGCAGAGGCTATCCTATCAGCAAAGTCTGAAATTTATATTGCTGATTGGTGGTTCTCACCTGAATTGGTAATATTGTTTATTTTAAGATTTAAACTTTGCTAATACGCGTATGTGCGGTATGATCTCATTACTACTAGTACCTCCGCCGTCCTCCAGAGAAAAACGAAGAATTCCGTATCGATAGATTATTGAAACGCAAAGCAAGTGAAGGCGTAATGATTTACGTGGTGGTTTATAAAGAAATGTCGGTTGCCCTGACAATCAATTCGGCTCATACCAAACAATGGCTCCAAGGGCTTCATCCAAACATTATTGGTACACACGCTTACATTATTAAAAATACTGGAACTCAAGCTATTATCCTACTTGGACTGTTGCAACCACAACATTGCAGATACTTACTACAATATTATTCTTTGCTTTAGTTCAACGTCATCCTGATCATAAGATCGTTGGTGAAGACGTGTTCTTTTGGTCTCACCACGAGGTAACAGATTAAGAATATTTTAACAGAACTTGAATAGAGAAAAATACAGAATCTAAATAATTAATGTCATTTTTCTAGAAAATTATTGTGGTAGATAATAGATTGGCATTTATCGGTGGTCTCGATCTCTGTTTTGGGTAATATTAGGTTTTTCATATTTAACGCAGTCTCATAATTAACTTCTTTATTTTCTTCTCTATTTATGCTTTATATAATAGACGATACGATACACATTCCCATCGTTTAGCCGATCACCCTGCTGTTGGCCATGAGCACAAGATCTTCCCAGGTCAAGATTACTCAAACCCACGTTCAAAAGATTTTGTCAATGGTATAATTTTATTTAAGCATATCAATCAATCAATTAATAACTAACAAACTAAAATGTGTATATTTAATAGTCATTCAATACGATCAAACTCTTGTTGATCGTGAATCGATTCCCCGTATGCCATGGCACGACGCCACTATTGGTGTGGTAAGTATATTGTATGCTCTCTTGTTACATATCTTAATAAATTGTCAATTTTCTTGCTGTTGTGTTCTTGGATAGGTTGGTCCAATTGCACGCGATATTTCGCGTCATTTCATTCAAAGATGGAACTTTTTAAAGACAAACAAGAGTAGCCACAGATCAGCTGTGCCATTTTTGATGCCAAAGGGTGAATATGTGGCTGCCAGAGACGAAAGTAATTTTACGGGAACATGTCGTGTTCAACTTTTGCGAAGTTCTTCAAGTTGGAGTTCAGGTATCGAGCGAGAGGTAAGAAGCCTGAATTATTATTTTACTATTATCCTGAGAAACCTAACTGACCAACTGACCAACTGATATATATATATATATATATACATTCTTTTAGCATTCAATCTACAATGCTTATATGGAATGTATCAGTGAATCCAAGCACTTTATTTATTTTGAGAATCAGTTTTTTAGTAAGTAACAGTTTAACAAAAGCCACTTAGTTTACGATTCTGTATTCTCACAATGTCTATAGTTACTGTAACATACTCTGACAAACTGTTGAAAAACATGATTGGACAAGCACTTGTTGACCGTATTAAAAGAGCTCATGCCAAAAAAGAAAAGTTTAAAGTATTTGTTATCATGCCTCTTGTGCCTGCCTTTGAGGGTGACTTGGCATCTGCAGAATCTGCTTCTGCTCGGTGAGTAATTAGACAAAAATTGTTATTGCTATTTTTTTTTACTCTATGATATGTTATACAGAGAACTATGATATTAATAATATGCACAACAGAACCGTCATGCATTTCCAATACACATCAATCTCTCGCGGAGGAAATTCAATTATAGAAAAGCTTCGAGAGGCTGGCATTGAACCTTCAGATTATATTGGCTGGTACAGTCTTCGCAACTGGGACAAACTCGAACCCCCCTTTTCTGCCGCACCGCCAAAGCCAAAGCCAAAGCAAAATCCAAAACCTTCTACTTCTTCAAAAATCAAGAAAAGCGTGGATGATGATACCAAGTCACCTTTTGATGATCAAGCATCTTTGGACTGTGATTCTGGTATTGCCGATGATCCCTTTTCAGATAAAAACAATGTAGACAGTGATGATTCAGACGAATATGAGATAGATGATCGTGACCATTATGTCAGCGAGTTGCTTTATATCCATGACAAGCTCATGATTGTTGACGATGTAACTGTATTGATTGGGTCAGGTAATTATGAAGAAGAAGAATATAGAGAAGATAATATCTCTTTTGGACTGATATGACTATGGCTGTCTTACTAAACGTCTCTATTTGTGATTGAATTTGTGTAGCCAATATCAATGATAGGTAAATGCTTGTTTATCATCTATTTTTGAATACCTATTTCATAATTATTTACAATGATTAACATAATTAGATCCCTTCTGGGTAACCGAGACTCTGAAATTGCCATGTTAATCGAAGATACCGAGGTCGTGATATCGCACATGGATGGAAAAGAGGTACGCCAAAGGAAACATTTAATATAAATCATCCCACTTTAGTGCCTTTTTTTGCAAACAATGACAAACAAACCTAACTTAACTTAAATTAGTACCGTGCTACTAAATTTGCGCACACACTTCGGATGCAATTATGGAAAGAGCATCTTGGTCTCTTGGAGTTTGATGACTGGGGTTCTCTTCTACCTAAAGCCACAGTTAACCGCTCTCCTGACACTCTTTCTCCTGAGTCACAATCTCATGTCCGTTTCAGATCTCATTCTATTTCTCGTCCCGCAGACCATGAAGAGGATGACATCTTTGAATGTGAGGCCCAAGAGCCTGTTCGTGTATTGGACCGCATGAGCCGTACTCGCAGTCTCTATGATACATTCAATACTACCAAGCAGCACAGCCGCCATTTGGATGCAGCTGCATTGGATCCTCTGGCAGACCACTGCTACTATGACATCTGGCGTCGAACTGCCGATGTAAACACCAAAATATACCGCGATCTTTTCCGTTGTGTACCTGACGATACTGTACATACTTTTGAGCAGCATCGCCAGTTTATACCAGATTCTAGCATCCCACAGGGCCACGTAGCCGACCCTTCACGCTCTGGACGAGAGATTCGACAAGAATTGAACAATGTTCGAGGGCATCTAGTGATGTTCCCCACTGATTATCTCAAAGATGAAAACATGATGGGCTCTAGCTTGCTAGAAACCGTAACACCTCTTGTCATTTTCACTTAATATATATATACATATATATCAATCAATTATTATTATCCATAACCTATTTCCCCTTCTACCTTACTCTATTATGTTCTATTATATTCTATTCTTTCTCACTTGTATTATTGAATATACCCTTTATCCCATTTTCTCTTTTTCATTCTTTTTCATTCCTTCAAAATCAAACAAAAAAAAAGCAATTTTGGAATTTGGTATGGTAGACTTAATACAATAGCAACAAAAAAACAAACAAACAAGTATATTCTTATTTTATTTACTTAGAATAATAATAATCAAAGGTTGTACACATCCCTGGCACGTAGACTTTTGAGGTCAAATCCAGCCATCTTCTTGCTTCCTTCCATTTCTTGAAGCTTGATTGTAGCAGTTCTCATGTTGTCTCTTGTCTCATCCATTGTCTTGTTCAGAGATTCTTGATCTATTTGCCCATTTATTTTTTTGTTTCAATATCTCATGTGTACTGTAATTGTAAAGGGAACAGAATACGTTGTGTACAATTGCATATATACACTTCCTTTTTTTATTATTACCTTTCTCAATCATTGTCTTGGCAGTTTCACTAGGAAGACGAACAAACATATCTCCAAACTGAATCCATGCTTTTTTTTCATTCACCAGACCACCAGTCTTTTTCCATTGATTAAGACCTTCTCGATTGGAATTGCGTTTGCGATCATAATCAATAAGCTATGATAATGAAACAACATTCACAATGAGTTTAGTGCATAATTTTTTTTATTGCGGAAAAATAGTATATATACAAGAAATAGTATTACCAATTGTTTGTTGATGAGAATCTCTTCGGCAAGATGCTCTCTTTCAGCCAAGACTACATTTAGCCATGTAAGTTGCTTTTGTATTTAATAATAAACGAACAGGATTGTGATCGTACAACTTGCCTTGTTCTAATGTTGGAATGGTTGCCATTATGTACAAGAAAGAAGAAGTCCAAGCCACTCACGTTAAACGCGCTCACATTCAACTTCTAGGGCATAAGTGCTTCTAGGTAGATTTTTATTTGTCTCTCTCTTTGTGTGTTTGTGAGCACTTGTTTCTTTCTTTCTCTCACCCTCTCATTCATGAGTGTCTTTCCAAAAGAAACAATCAAGGTAAAATTGTGACAACAATCGCACCTTGTATTGACATTTTAAACACTTGCTCTTTTGTATTTCTTACTCTTTGCATCCATTTTATTATATTTATATTTTAAAAAACAATACAAAAAACCAACCAACCAACCAACAAATAAACAAACAAAAAAGAATATAGGCGAATCGCTAGGTGTGACACATCTTAAAGATGAAGTAGCATCAGCATTAGCTCAAGACGTCGAATATCGTGTGCATGAACTCATTCAAGTAATACATAATAAAACCTTGCATCTTAAATGCATTTATATATAATATAAGGAACATCAGAAGAAAAGCAAATAAGCATAAAAGAAAATCATTTTCCTACAATGTCTTTTATTATTGTTATTATTCTTTTGCTTACTATGAATACAAATAATATATATATACGTGTATGCATGTTAATAGGAGGCTACAAAGTTTATGCGACACTCAAAACGATCCAAATTAACCGTTGACGATGTAAATGCTGCCTTGCGTGTAAAGAATGTCGAGGCAAGTCTTTTACCCCACATAAACACACGTACACACCTACAGCAATTTTTCAACAACAAACAACATCAACATCATTATCAACTAAAACAACAAAAAAACACGAAACATCTACAAATGAACAAATGATAAACTAAAACTATAAAGAATTTCAGCCTTTGTATGGTTACGCATGTGGAGAAACACCTACATTCAGAAAGACAACCGTGAATGGTCAAGAATTGTACTTTGCAGAGGATGAGGAAGTTGATTTCGAGACGATCTTAGCCAAGCCATTACCAAAAATCCCTCTTGATGCAACTTTTACAGCTCATTGGTTGGCTATTGAAGGTGTTCAACCTGCAATTCCTCAGAATCCCACCCCAAGTGGTAATGCTACAATCACAAACGCAAACGGAAACGCGCTCACACATTTATATATGCATACATTCATTTTATTCATTTGTGGCCAATGTCAACAACTAACAATCGCATGTTTCTTTTTTTTGGGGGGATTGTTGCAAATTATAGATGCAAAGGCAGATCTATTGACAAAACGAGCAAAACCTAATGCAGCAATTAATGGCATTACTACTGATCAAGTAGATGTAAAGCCATTGGTTAAGCATGTCCTATCCAAAGAACTTCAAATGTACTTTGAACGCATTACTGAAGCAGTGTCAAGCCCTGATGAACGACTCAAATCTCAAGCATTCGAAAGTTTGCGAATGGATCCTGGACTACATCAGTTGCTGCCATACTTTGTTCAACACATTCACAAAAAAGTCACACAAAATCACAAACAGCTTGATGTGTTGGAGGCTATGCTTTCAATGGCACAAGCCTTGCTGAACAACAAACATCTCTTTGTAGAGCCATATCTTCATCAACTTATCCCTCCTATCCTGTCTTGCCTGGTGGGCCGAACCATCTGCGAAAGTCCATTTGAAGACCATTGGTCTACCCGTCACCGTGCAGCCGGTCTAATGACACTCATTTGCAACCAGTTTGGCAAAGCATACCACACACTCCAACCACGTATCACTAAGACACTTCTCCGAGCTCTATTGGATCCTGCACGTCCACTTACTACCCACTATGGTGCAATTGTTGGTTTGGACCAGCTTGGACCAGAAGTGACAAGAGTATTGGTAGCACCTAATATTAAGTTTTATGCCGAGACTTGTCTCAAGTCAGCTCTTGTGAGCAGCAGTCCCATACGTAAGCTCGAAGCTCAGAAATGCAAGGAGGCTTTAGTGGTGAGTAGGAAGATGAGTCGAGTAGGGAGAAGATGGAGAAGCAAAATTTCTTTTCTCCAAAAAAAAAAAGGAATTCGCCCAAGTCTCCATTGTCCCTGAACTAATTGATCTTGTTTTTCTTCTTAAATATTTACACATCCACCCAAACTCAAACATGTCATTTGCAGAATGTCTTAATCCACATTGCTAAACAAGCATCCCTCGTTCCAAAAGAATCGGATATGCAAGTGGACACAGCACCACTTTCAGAAGAAGACAAGGCAGAGTTGGTGGATGCTGTTGGAGAAGATGTCGGAAAAGCGTTTTTGGAATCGGACCCAACGCGACAGGGAGTACAAAGTGTGGTTGAAGCAGCTACCCACATGAATGAATGATTGAATGAATGGAGACCAATCAATACAGTTGAGAAAATAGTTAAACAGCCCAATAATCAATCACAGATATAAAATGTATAAAAAAAATATATAGTCGACACAATGGAATAAATGAGGAAGGTTGATATTTTTCGCACTCGTTCGTAATTTCTTCTACTGATTTTCTTTTCTTCTTGTTTAAAGAAGGAAAAGGTCAAAGATAGCAGAGAGAGAGTAGTAGTAGTAGTGGTAGTAAGTAGTAGTTGCAGTGGTTGTTGTTTAGAATCTAAGCTTGCTGAAGAACCACTTGTTCTTGCCGGTCTGGTAACGCTCCTCAAAGAGCTTCTTGATGACCTTCTTGGACTCCTCACGCTGGGAGGGCTCCTTGAAGGAATCAGCAGAGACGGTACCCTTGATCTGCTCCAACTCGAGAGCGTAACGGGTGGGCAACATGTGGTTGTAGTTGACAATCTTGACGAAAGGCTTGACCTTGGAGCGCTTGGCAACCTTCTTCTTGCCCATACCCTTGGTAACCTTCAAAGGAGAACGCTCGACACCAGCAACAACAGCATAACCATAGGGTCTGTCCTTGGTTCCCTCATCGTGGTCTATTCGGAAAAGAAAATGTTATTTTTTTTTCTTTTTAATTCTCTCTTTCATTAATTGTTGTTGCTGTCAAGAATGTTGGCAAAATGTGTGTGTGCTAGAAAATAAAGAAAAAGATAGAGGGAGATAGAGAGGAATAGGGAGAGGAAGAGAAATAGCGAAACAAATATATATATATAGAGAGAGAGGGAAAAATGAAGAGAGAAAGAGAATGGTGAGTAGAGTCATACTTACTGCGAACAACGACGGCCTTCTTGCCAGCGAAACGACCCTGCAAAATGACAACAACCTATAGAATAAAAGACACACATACACACACAAAATTCATTTTTTTTTAGTAATTAATTCAATCGATTCATCCATTGAATCCATCCATTCATCGTCTATTGCAATCTGCGTTACCTTGCCGGCTTTGATGAACTTGACCATGGCGAGTGGGATGAATAAAAAATAGAGGGAGATCTGTGCGGTCCACCTTGAGCCTGGCATCGTTAAGCCCACGCCTGAGAGAACACCAAGGCAGAATACAATGATGTGATTGGTGCGGTATTGCAATTAGTGATAAAAAAGGGTACCTTTCCAAAGCACCAAAAGTGAATTGTGTATACACGCCCGCCCGCACACACACACACATATATATATATATGTATAGATATTATTTATTTGTTCGCTCCTCTTTTATTTCTTTTTTTCTTTACTCTATAATATTACTTTTAATGAAATACATTAAGATGAGCAAAAATTTCAGAAAGAAGAATAATTGAAACGCACAAACGCAGACAGGCACCTTCACATGCCCAAACACAAGCACACAGGCACACATGCAAATGCAAATGCAAATGAAAATGATGAAAATGAAAATGAAATAAAACATACACATACACATACACATACACATACACATACACATACACAAACAGAAACAGAAACAGAAACAGAAACAGCGAGAGAATGGTTACATACACATGTGTATGAATATATAGTATTATATATGCTTTTATATATATATATATATATATATATATATAAGGCTGTCTGTGTGTGTATAATCTTTGTTTCTCCAAGGCTTTGTTTTCAGTAGCCTCCTCCTCCTTGCTGTTGCTGTTGATCAAAGAATGCCGGGTTGATGTACATGCCTAATCAATACAATCGATCTCTATGAGCGAAAACCCCATCTCACGTTGTTCATTTCAGTCCTACCTCCACCATGGAATCCAGCTGCATCGTTCATATATCCGCCGCCGCCTCCTCCGGCACCACCTACACCATTTAATCCTCCATTCATTCCTCCTACTCCCACGCCTACTCCTACGCCTAAGCCTACACCTCGGCCCATGCGGCTCATGAAATTATTGTTTGACGGCTGATTTCCTCGAACTTGTTGCTGCTGCTGTTGCTGCTGCTGTACTTGCTGCTGCTGTTGCATTCCTCCCCGACCACGGTTACCGCCCGGGAATCCTCCGGGGTTTGCCATATAGTTGGCCACCATTGGATTGTAGGCGTAGGGTGGAATACCCATTGGCGTACTTCCAAATCCGGTATTAAATCCAAAGTTTCCACCTCCAAATCCTGTCACACCATGATGATGATGAGTAGGTAAGGGGTTAGCAGGGTTTGTGGAAGGACTGTTGTTATTGGTTCGGTTAACGGGTTGTGTTCGTGTGTTCTTGATTGGCTCTTTTGGAAGATGCTTGAATGGATTTGGAACAGTAGTAAAGCATGTTACTGCGCGTTTTCCATTAAATTCACTACACAATTAAATTAAATTAAATTAAATTAAATTGAAACTGTTTTTTTTTCTTCCTTTAAGAATTATGTAATTAGATATATATATATATTAGTTGTTAACTTACGCATTGTCGAGAACTGATTTGGCACGGGAAGCACTTTCAGGGTTAGTGAATTCTAAAAACACAATGCCTTTGGATTTGCCATTGACTTTGTGTTCAAAGAAAGTGAGGTCCTTGAGTTCTCCGCCCAGACCAGCCTGCAAGAGAGGAGCCTTTATGTTTTCGTCTGTTGTGTACTATTTATTATATAAATGAATATATATATATATATACATAATACATACAGAACTCATAAGCACCAAAAAAAAAACTTTACCCATGCTAGATCACCAATATACAATCCATTTGTAGGTTGCATAGTTAAACCACGGAGTGAATTTAATGCTGCTGGTGGATCACCACGTCGAGTGGGTTCTGTAGTATTGCGTTGAGTACTATAACCAGGTACACTAGACCGAATCTTTTGAGGTGTCATGTCATGTTGTTGCTGCTGCTGCTGTTGCTGCTGCTGTTGCTGTTGTTGTTGATGGTGTTTCTGGTTGTGGTGTTGTCGTTCCAAGTCGTCTCCTTTTATGTTCAATTAATTAATTAATTCGGGATTAATGCCGGTTCAATAGTAAAATGAATTGATGAATAAAATGATCCTAGTGTTTTAAGTTGTACTTTTTTCTTTCTTTCTCGTTGTAATACCTGATGATGAATAATTCGATTCTTCTTTTTTAGTAGTATTTTTGGAGTGGTGAGCTGAAGTAGACTTTTGAGGTTTGGAACACGTTGGCTTGACATCCTTTTTATTTTATTTTATTATTGAATATTGAATATTGAATATTGAATATTTGATTGATTATACAGGTGTTTTATGTGTTTGTATACAGCAATAATGATAATGAAAATGATAAAATACAATAATCATATAATAATAAAATACAAATATATATATATATATATAAAGAAAACCGCTTCTATCTTTCTGTCCTCGTTTGTCGAGAAACAAATCAATCAAACTCTCATACAAACAAGAAATTCACTCACTTTTACAATGTCACCAAGATCATCAAACAAGTCATCATCTGCATAGGCTGGTGTTGTACGTCGTCGTTTGGTATCGCGTGCTGACTCATTCACAATCTCATCAAGAATATCATCTGGCTGTTGATGTATATATATATATATATGTATAAAAAGAAAGCAATCAATTAATCAATCTTCATTAATGTTACCATTCTTAAACTTACCTGTCCAAATGTATCATCACCATATATATCAAATTCATCGGCCATTGTGCAAACGCAGTTGTTAAAAGGGAAATGTGGAGAACTTTATATATATATATATATATATATAAAAGAAGAAGAAGAAGAAAAAGGGGTGGAGGGCGAGAAAAAAGGGGGGATTGTGGGGAGGGAGGGGATTCTTTTCTTTTTCTTTTTCTTTTTGGGATTGATGTGTAATGTGTGTATGTTTATACGATGCTTATGCTTACAAAAGGAGAAGCAAAAAAAAAGACGACAATTACAATTACAAATTCACAATAGATTGTACACTGGATTAAAAAATAAAGTATAAAGATAATAGTAATACAAAAAGAAATATATATATCTAATGTATATTATATATACATGTGAAAGTATAATAGAAAGACAGACTAATTACATCCTCTTTAGCCAAAAGAGAATGTCTTTGTGTAGAAAGAAATGGGCATCCATGGAGTATATATGTAGAGAGTACAAAGAAGCTCTAGACTAACCTCCCAAGCGACAAATAATAACAGCACAGCACAGTAAAGTAGCGAGAGATGGAGTAAGTGAGTGGGTAAAAGTTGTATGTGAATGTGTATGTGAATGTGTGTATATATATATATACATATATATATATATATATATATAAAGAGAAAGAAAGTTGAGAACCAGTAGGTGAAGGAGAGACTGAGTCAATATAGGAGTGAAGATGGAGGGGGGGGGGGGGATAAAAGTAGATTTACATTGTGCACGTGTATGTAGCCATGATTGATGTTGCGTGCACTAAAAGTGACGTCGATAATGATTTTGTAAATGTAGTGTAAACCCTTTTTTTTTTTATAAAAATATATAAATTATTGTGTGTTGCTTGGATTTATATAATATTTAATATACATATCTCTGTCTAGTTATTATTTGATAAGCAGTGAAAAAGTAAAGGTATATTTTTATTTATATTTTAGATAAAGAGTATATATATGTATTTAATTTGTAATGTGAAATGTGAAAATGATTAGTAATAGTGGTAATAATGATAAATGGTGATATGTATTTTTAAAGAGTATATTTTGTATGCATATTAATTTGTTGGATCGGTTTATGGATTGGATATAGCTTCTTTAGATGTCTTTAGTGATGTGGACTGATTGGCTTAAAAGATGAAGCTGAGGATCTATAGGAGGGTGGAATGGATATCGAGGTTTTGTAGGCTGGTGGAGGTGCACTGGTTATAGATTGAGCTCTTTGTAATGAGTCCATTGATAGGATAGATTGAGGGAACAGTCCTGCTACGGATGAACAGCTGGCCATTCGTTCTTCAATAGGAAAGAATGACTCTTCCTGGTGATCTGGGATTCTCTTTGCTTGAATGTATCTTGCCAGCTAAGATTATTGTACCAATAAAACATAGATGTGTGTTAAGAATTATATATATATAAATACATGTATGTATATCTTTTCTTGAAGATGTCCTTGTCTGCATGTATATACATATCATTATTTTATAATTGACTTTATTGTCTTACCCAGTATAAGCCTGATAAGCACACACATGCACCCAACACAGTTCCCAGGACCCAAGCGGGGGGTCGGCCAGTCCGATTATTCAAGATAACCAGGGCAATAAGGAGAAGGACAACCACAATTACAAAAAGATGATGAACCTTTGTTGCTAATCTGAGATTCCTCCATCTCTTCAAAACAAGCTTGATCATCTCAATTTTTTTATTTTTTATTTTTCTCAATTTTTTTATTTATTTAAAATTCTCCTCTTTCTTTACTTCTTCTTTACTTCTTCTTTACTTTGCCCTTTGCCCTTTTTCCCTTTATGTCTTTGTAGGGAAGTTATAATTAACAATTGAGTATTATTTATTTCTTTTAAAATTAAAAGAAAGGGAATTTTTTTCTTTTTTTTTCTTTTTTTTTTTCTTTTAATATTAATATATTTTTATATATTAAGGGTTTTGAATAAGGTGAGGTTTATTATCTATTTGTCTTTTCTCTCTCTCTCTCTCTCTCTCTCTCTATTAACAAATTACTATAATTCTTTACGCGTGGTATTGTTTTGTGATAAATAAAATAAAAGTATCATTATCATTTTGAATCATTTTGAATCATTTTTTTTTACCCCTTACATCTGTCCTCCCCTTCCTACCCCTTTATTTTCATCTTTACCTTTATTATTATTTTATTAAACCGTTTTCTTTAGTTTCCCCCCCCCCCCCCCCTTTTGTCTCTTTCTCTTTATCTCTCCATGTTGTACTAAACTGTATTACATATATTATCTTGTAATTAAAACAATAGAATCAATACAAGAGAAGTAAATGTTGTGACCTTGAGATCAATCTCAAGAACTTTATTTACACTTTCTTTTTTTAATAAAGCTTGGAGACCATAAAGTTATAGTCCAGAAAAGAGCACTATATATTTTCTTGACAAGTTCTGGAAAGAATAAGATAAAGAGATGTAAATAGATATATTTATAGATAGAAAAGAAAGGAAGAAGGTGTGTACACGCACAAGAAGACAAGAGATCAATAACAATGTCCAAGTAGCAATTGAGATGCAAAGGGTAGAACAGAAGAAATAAAGAGGCTATGTGCGGAAACGGTCTAAACAGAGAAACAATTAAGTAGAAGAAGAAGAAGAAGAAGTGAGCGAGATTGATTGATTGATTGAGATATTGAATGAATGAATGATTGAGTGAGTGATTGAGTGAGTGAGTGAGTGAGTGAATGTGTGAGTATTTGAGTAATTGACTGAGTGCGTGAGTATAAAAAAAAGAGGGAGAGTTTGGTAAGGAAATGGTAAGGGGTGATGTGTATAAAATAGAGATGGATAAAGAGAGAGAGGGGGGGGAGAAGGTTGGAAAAAAAAAGGGAGGAGGAGGAGGGGGGGGGGGGATGCTTGGGGTTTAATATAGATGCTTGTTAGACTTGGAAGGTATAAATCTTTTCCATGGCCTGTCGTTGCAATACACTCTGTTGGAATCTATATATAATAAATTTATTAGTAAGAATCAGATCAATTGATTCGGTTCTCTAGTGCAAATACTTGCTTTTTCAATGACTCGTTCTCAAGGGCAAGGCGCTCAACTTCTGACAAGAGGTCGTTTTGTACTTTCTTCAAATGGTCAATTTGTTGGACAGCTACAGAAGAAAGAGAGGTAGTGAATATAAAAGAAGATAAGGTTAGAGTTAATGATAGTATATATTGAATAGTTGGATAGGTGACTAGGACTACTTACTGCGGGTCAAGAGGGCGGCTTTGCTCATCTTCTTACTATTGCAACCAGGCAAATGATTTCTGAGTTCTTCAAACCCATCTTTGATCTGTGCACGTCTCTTTTGCTCTGACTGAATGTGGATTTGTCTGCGCAACTCAGTGCTGCTGACACCGCCATTCCTAAAGCAAAAGCAAAAGTAAGTTAATAATGAATAATTAATACTAACGAATTATTATTATTATTATTATTATTTTATATATAAAAGACACTTGCTCTTCTCTATCGGAATCTTCGTCTTCTTCGTCGTCTGATAATTGTTGTGATTTTTCAATTGAGGTTTTCTTTCGTTTGTTTGATGTCTCGTCTTCAGAGGAAGATCCTCCGGCTCCGGGTGTATCGACAGTGGTTCTCTTTCGCTTCTGTCGCTTGGCGTTCATCTTCTTTTCGTAGGTTTCTTTGGAATACTCGAGAAACTCGGTGTGATAGAACTCCATGGGGACTGAATTGGCGCGTGCGATGGTTTCCTTGACTCGTTCGGCTGTTGCGTTTGAGAAAGATGACGATGGGACAAGGGGGGCGATGGCGGTTGGCTGGGAGACCAGACTAGCATATGATGCAGACTGTGTAGGAGGTGTCTGAGGCGTAGAAGAGTCGGGACTGTCGGGCTGTTTCTTTTGCACGGGGCGGTCAGTGTAGTAGGTACCAAATTGATTGACGGGATATGTCGTAACTGGCACAGAAGAATAAGGCATAGGTTGGAAAGTGGAATAGTCTAAAATTGATACCGGCATTAACATTAGCGTTAGAATTAGAATTAATATCAGCATTAAGTTTATTAAATATTATTATTATTATTATTTATATATGTGCGCGCGCGTGTGTATTTGGATTAAGGTATTAAGGATTTGGATTTGGATTTGGTTTTGGATTTGGGTTGAGTTGAATTTATTGAGCAAGTGGAGCGAGTGGATAAAATAATAGTAATAATTCCAGAAATTTAAAATTCAAATTCCAAAATAAAATAAAATAAAATAAAATAAAATAGGTTTTATATATATATATAATATAATATAATATAATATAATATAATATAAAATAATATAATATAAAATAATATAATATAAAATAATATAATATAATATAATATAATATAATATAATATAATATAATATAAATTATTTATTATTTATTATTTATTTATTTATTTATTTACCTGGATAGGCCCCATATGATGGGCGACTATCTTCATATCCTGGTGAGGGTGATTGAGGCTTTCTAACCATAGCAGGGTTCATGGTCATTACTGTGGCGTAGGAGGGGTAGGCAGAAGAGGTGTTATTGATAATATCGCTCATGATTGTAGTGACTGTGTGGGGTTGGTATTTTTTTTATATATGAAAAAAAAGAAAAAGAAAAAGAAGGGAAAGGGTGTAAAGAAAGGAAAGGGTTAGAGTTAAAAGAAGAGGAAGAGGAAGAGAGGAAGAGGAAGAATATTAAGAGGAAAGAAAGAGAGAAAGAGAGAAAGAGAGGAGATTTTTTGAAGATGATTAAAAAAAAAAAAAAAAAAAAACACCTTAAAAAAAATTTAAATTCTTGTACGACCCTCTCTACAAGTTGCGCTTCATAAAGACCCTTTTTTATTATTATTATTATTATCAGGACACACACATACATACACAGTATAGGTACAGTGTATTTAATACAAGAAACTCTACAGAATATAGATATATGTATGTAATACTTTTTTAGCTTTTATTTTGTCTCTAGGCTATATAATTATATGTTTATTAGTTGCCTTGGTGATGAGATGAATAATTGGCCCTGAAAGTGGTTAGTGGCACGTGGCATCCAACTCTATAGACAACACTTGGGATGCAGGAGATAAAGACAAGTATTCTAAGCATAGACAATCGCTAGGCATGCTAGCAAACGGAAATCAGTACAAAAACAAACATTAGAAGAAGAAGAAGAAGAAAAAAAAAAGGGCAGCAGCAGATAGAAATAGAGAACTATATATATTGTTTAAAGCAGGAGGTTACTAGTCATACAGGCTCTATACATCTGTGAATTTATTTATTTATTTTTACCTTTGCCTTATTGTTCGCTATTCTGAATTAGATAGACTTTCTTTCTTCTTTCTTCTACTTCTACTTCTTTTACTCTTTTTTTTATTACTTCTTCTTGTTTTTTGGGAGCACAAATTTTGTTATTTCAGTTACTTTTTTTTTATTGGGTTGTGCTACAAATGTCGATCAAGAAATGGCTAAAAAAGTTGCGTCAACATCTCAAGAAACCCAAATCCCCCAAGACACCCACCACCAACAAGGTCCCAACCGAGAAATCCTGGGACATCAATACCCTACACAGCAATAATGACAACATCCCACAACATTCACCATTCTACAGGTCCGATCCCTCTGCACGATATGCGCTTCAGGCACTATTGGTCGACCCAACAATCAAATAGACGCGTTCCTGTATATCATTCTATCCCTACCTTTCTTTCTCTCTATTAATCAAACAGCCACACACACACACACACAAAATGTCTAGAGTATATCGAATTCTTCTCTATTATCTGTTTCAATTTCTGATTTTGATTTCTCTCTCTCTCTCTCTTTATATATTATACATAATTATTATACCATATACTACATCTCTTACTATTACGGTTGTTACCAGCACACAAGCACTTTATATTTATATTCTTTTTATTAAAATTTCTCTTTAAAAAAATTGTTACAAATCATCTAGAAAATAACAGCAAATATCATTGATATTTTAGACTAATTTATCTTTATTGCCCAGTCTAATATACGTCTGTAATGCATGTGATCTCTTTATCTCCGACATGTTATACGTCTCTCTCTCTCTCTATATATATATATATAATAATATTATTATTATTATTATTAATATTATTTTTGACTCCTTTGGTGTCTCGTCTTGGTTTCTCCTGTTTATAATCCCAATTAAATCAGATGCACGAAGCCTTTCAAGTAACTACTGTAGTAGACAAACTCAATCGTGTCGAGTCAATCTATGCTCATGGTAACATCCTTTTATTCTCTTTTCTACTCATTCCTCATTCACATACTATACCTAATATCATCAACACAATAACTTTCTTTTTTCGATTTTCGTTATAGGTGACCGACTGTTGATTGGAACCGCTTCCGGGCAACTTATGGTCTATGACACCAAAGAGCCTCTTGGTACTATTATCACTTTCTATGTTTTCTTTATTTTGTTTTGTTTTGTTCTAAACAAAATTTACAAGACCATCAAATACTGATACCAATACTAATATATATATATATATATACGTACCTGTTTTATTGGTTAGTCGCTGACAATAACCAGATTCCCGAGGTTACTTTGGCAATGATTGTTAAAGCATTTTCAAAGCGACCTATTGAACAGCTGGATATCATCAAAGAAATCGATTTCCTTGTATCTTTGTCTGGTAAAAAAAAACTAAAGAGACAATAAATGATCAAACTGTATACTCTCACTCTCACTAATATATATATATATATATATATATATATATCTTTGTGTATTCAATAGATGGGTTGGTCAGTCTTCATGACTTGCGTACATTCGAGTTTCGTATGGCACTTCAAAAGACAAAGGGTGCAAATCTGTTTGCTATCCAAACCATGGTTGAAATGAGCCCTGAAGAACGTATTCCTGTTCTCATCACACGTCTTGCCGTGGCTGTACGCAAGAAGCTGTTGGTGTTTGTCTGGAAAGATACCGCATTTGACGAAACAAAAGTAAAAGAAAAAAAGACAGCAACATACATACATACACCATTACCTCTATTTTTTGGGGTTGGAAACGAGTGAGCAAGTGGCTTATATAAGTATTCCAAATCTCTAGGAACTCAATATCCCTGATCGTATCAAAGCAATGGCCTGGGTGGGAACCACCAAGATCTGTCTGGGATTCTCTACAGAGTATGCTCTGATGGATGTGGAAGCAGGTCAACTAACCGAGCTATTTGCTCCAACCGGACCAGCAGAAGGTGGACCCATGAGCACTCTGACAGGCCTGTACAACATGTATGGTTCCCGTGGTGGAAAACCTATGGTGACCAAAATCCCCAACAATGAAATCCTCTTGGCCCGCGATCGTATGTGATGGAATGAATTGGACGGACTTACATATCAACAATCTAATATTTACTATTATAGATGTTAGCATATTTCTTGGATTGGATGGTACACCCACTCGCAAGGTTGGAATCGAATGGTCTGGTTTCCCTGAACAGATTGGTAATATTCTATCTAAACATCCCAAATGGATACAAAGAAACCAATCTGAAACATATCTGTGTCTGTGGGCTTTTACTTTACATAGGCTACTCTTACCCTTATGTGATTGCTATTCTACCAAAGCATGTAGAGGTGCGCAATATCCAGACCCTTGCTCTTGTTCAACAAATCGAACTCTCGAGTGCACGTTTTCTCAACCAAGGAAAACTGGTCTACGTCGCCAGTTCTTCTCAAATCTGGCGTCTGACCCCGTTTAGTTTCTCAACCCAAATTGACCAGCTTGTCGACAAACATGAGTATGAAGAGGCTGTCAGTCTGTTGGATCAAATCGATGCTGTCCTGATAGACAACAAGGAGGAAAAACTAAAGGCAATCCGTACTGCATACGGACACGACCTCTTCCACCGCGGTGAATACGACACCGCTCTGAATTTGTTTCAGGAACTCAATACCCCACCTGCCCATGTCATCCGCCTCTACCCAGAGATGATTTCCGGCAGTCTTTCGATGACCCGATCTGACGACGAAGTGGATTCTTTGAGTTCGCTGCGCCGCAAGGAGAATGACAATGATGATGACAACGACAGTCACTCCCAGAACCACTCACACCACCTTCAATTACAACGCCCTGAAAGTCGGCAGTCCAACAAGAGTAAGGCCACCACCGCCACCACAAAGAGTGGCCACAAGGAGGTGCCCTTGACGGGCTTAAATCTGCATGATGCTGTCACCTATCTGATTCGCTTCCTGACCGACAAACGCCAAAAACTGTCCAAGAAGCTCAACGGCGGTCCCCCTAACTCGCCTCAAAAGTCATCATCCAAACCTGTGGACGAAAAAGAATACGAAGATTTGATGTATGAGGCATCTTTGGTCGACACTGCCCTCCTAAAGGCCTATATGATGACCAATGATGCCTTGGTGGGTCCTTTGTTAAGAGTACAGAACCACTGTGATGTTCAGGAATGTGAGACAATCTTGATGGACAAAAAGGTTTGTTAGTTGATTGATTGATTGTTTCTTCTTTCTTTCAGAAAACAAAAACGTTTTCTATTATCCTCCCTTCCTTCTTCTTTTTCGTTTTGAAAAAAAAAGAGAGAGAGAGAAAGGAAGTAGTACTTTTAGATATAGATATATGATAATTATTTATTTATTTGCTTGCTTGCTTGGCTGATGAAACTAACTGAAAATGACAATATTATTTTTACAGAAATATAAAGAGTTGGTCGATCTTTACAACTGCAAGGGGCTTCATGGACAAGCCCTTGATTTACTAGCAAGGTAATATTTGTGCGCATAATTTTAGGAGAAGAGGATAAAATATATGTATATATATGCAAAAGAGGGAGTGAGTGAGTGAGATAGGGGTGGGGTGGTCTGTCTTTTAGTATAATTAGTATTGTTATTGACCCTTGAGTGGCGCTCGCATAAACAATCACTCACTCACATTTTACATAAATGTTCTACATATTTGAATACGCTGCTTTCATTGTATTTGTGTAGACTTGGTCAACAGGCAGAGGGTCCTTTGCGTGGAGTTGTACCTACAATCCGTTATCTCCAGCGCTTGGGTCTTACTCAATTTGACTTGGTTCTAAAGTACTCAAGATGGGTACTTGAGAAAGATCCTAGATCCGGAATGGATGTAAGTGTTGTCTTTAACTTACTGCCATTAAAATATCATTATTATTATTTTTATACTTTCTTCTTCTTCTTCTTTCTGTAGATTTTCATTGATGATCTTGCCGAAGTAGAGACATTCCCAAGAGATAGTGTTGTGCAGCATTTAGAGTCGATTTCCGGAGACTTGGCTATTCAGTATCTGGAGTATATCCTCGAAGAACTTCGAGACAAATCGCCTCACTTTCATAACAAGTTGGCAATTGCTTATCTTGACAAAATCAAAGCTGAGGGGTCCCAAGGTAGATTGTGGTGGCTGCCTTTGTGCTCGCGCTCACATGGTTCTGTACCCTTAAAAGTGTTACTTTGTCAGACTCTGAAAACAAGGCCGCTCTCCGTTCCCGGCTGATAGCTTTTTTGACGGAATCAACATACTACCGTGCCGAGAAAATTCTCTCCCGTCTTCCTTTGGATGGTAAGATTTCTGGAAATTTTTACTTTTTTTTTGATTGGCTTTAATGCATTTGTCTGTATTTTTTTTTAGATTTGTTCGAGGAACGTGCTATTCTATTGAGTCGTATTGGACAGCACGACCAAGCACTGGACATTTATGTCTATAAGCTCTCCAATTACACCATGGCCGAGGAGTAAGCGAATGAATTATATGCCTTGATATGTGTGATTGAAATTCACAAGATATATATAAATCAAGAGAGAAAGAAAGAAAAAAGGGGGAATAGGTTGATTAACATACTGCTTTCTGTGTTTTAGATACTGTACCAAAATATACAGAGATGATCCTGAAAAGGGCGAAAAGATGTACTTGACATTGTTGCGTGTTTATTTGCAACCCAGCAACAACCAGAAGCCCTTGTTAGAGCCTGCTTTGGATCTATTGGCTCACCATGGATCCCACATTAACGCTTCTCAGGTCCTGTCTTTGCTGCCATTGCCAACTCATCTCCATGGTTTGTTCCCATTCTTTGAAAAGTACATCCGCACTAGCAACAAGAACCGAAATATGGATATGGTTGTTAAGAATCTTTTGAAGGCTGAACAGCTACAGGTAAAACATATATAAATATATATAATTGTGTGTAATTGATATCTGTATATCTGTATTTATTAGGTTGAAGAGCAATTGGCCTTTTACAGATCGAGAGCTGTCAAAATTACTGAGGATCGAATGTGCCCTCAATGTAACAAAAGAATTGGAAATAGGTAAAATATGCACAGAAGATAGTAGTCAGAAGAAAAGGGTACTAAGACATCATTCTTTACAGTGTCTTTGCCGTGTTTCCTAATGGAGTTGTAGTCCATTATTCTTGCAAGGAAAAGATTGAACAAACACAGTGGAAGTTACTTTAAAAGAAAAATGAAAAAGAAATCCCAGATATATGTTATATATGCTATATAATAAAACAAAATATAACATAATATCTGTACACTATCTTCTTTAGTATTACTATTATCAGTATTTAGTATATCAGTATCGTCACCACCATCGGTATTGAATCTTAATATCTTTTGTGGTTACGGCTTGTGGGTTTGCACATGTCAGCCAAAATGAACAAGTCAAATTCAATTATCTAATTATATAAATGTAAGAGTTCGTTCTCTCTACTGGTTTTCTGGTTATCAAGGTTTATCCTGTAATACCAATAGGATTTGAAGGATGATCTCTCTGTATAGTTGAATTGTTGCTGTAATCAGATTCCAATCGACATAGAGTATGGGAATATATATATATATATATCTTTTACAATCAACGTTTGAATTGCTTTCTACACGTGTTAATGTCATCAGAAACAACAAGGGTTTATTTTATTTTTACTGAACTTTCTTGGAATCTCAAATCACGGCACTTTATTGGTGATATTTGAACAAGTATTAATCTATATTTCTCTTCAGAAAATGAATTGAATTTGATGGCTTGGCTATAGTTTCTATTGTCTATTGTCTATTGAAAATATTCATGTTGGTATATTATACATCTTTGGGGATCTATTTTGTTTTTCAAGTTGTGCACATATATGAATGTCTGTGTTATTGATAAGCTATAATCTGATATGGTACTTCTAGTTCCTTTCTCTCTCTTTATCTCTTTGTTTCTACCTCTGTTATATGTGTGTAACCCGGAACCGTTTGGATACTTTTGATGTCACCTTTTGCATTTACAGGTGAAAGTAGTGTGGTTATATATACATTTTTGTTGTTGTTTCTGTTTGGTATGTCTCGAATCGGTTTCCAGTTCAAATATTTGATTTTATTTTTTTATTTTTGCGTATAAAAATCTAGTATTTTTCTTTTATCTTATTTTTTTTTCTTTAGCTCTGTTCTCTTTTTTAAATATCTCTATTATATATTACTATCATCTTATACCAAGTATGTTAAAGGTTAAAACCAATAAACGAGCGGTTAAACAGGAAGAACCATTTACCTGTACACACATACAATACTCGGGTTTGAAATGCGCTGTATGCGGTTCACAGAAGCATATGACAAGTAAGATTCGGCTATTTTGTATAAACAATAAGACTAATATCCAATTCTCACTTGCCATTCTCACGCTTTCAACAGAACATTGCCCAGTCCACCCATAAGTCTACATGCTTAAAACATGGATTAAAGCTTCTCTCTATCTCGATTTCTCTTGCCCATACATATATACATGACAAAAATTATGCTATTTCAATTTTATTTTTACAACCCACAAAAAAAACAAAAAACTACTGTTTCCTATAAGTCTATTTTGTATGAATTCCATTTTATATCTTTAATTCTTCCTATCCTGCTTTCTGCTACAAACACTTCTTCTTCTTCTTCTTCTTGGTCAAATTCTTAAAATTATATCATCCCCCCACTTGTATTTTCATTCATTGCAGATATCATTTCTTACTTTTTTATTATTATTATTATTATAACGATTATCATCTATAAACATCTTTTATGCACTTTTTTTTTATTCTTTTTTTTTGTTCTGTATGTGTACAAGTAGTATGATTATTATTACTATTACTATTATTACTATTATTACTATTATTATTGTTATTATTATTATTTTGATTTATTTAATGACCAAGGCCATCTAGTACATCTATCAATTGCTCAGGAGTGGCCAGATGCCATGCAGCCAGAGTATTCTTCTCTGCCGGTCCAATAGTCACAATAAATCGGACTGCATCAACACCAATTTCGGGTCGCTTGACCACTCGGAACATATCCTCATCAGTCTTGTCATCTCCAACACACATTATAAAGTCTACTTCGGAAGACTGCTGGAGTATGACTCGCTTGATTACCTCGCCCTTGTTGATCATCAATGGCCGGACCTCAAGGTTTTTCTTTCCGACCAATGTCTCGACCGGCAGTTTTCCAAGGATACTCTGCTCAAGGTGGTTCTGACACTCGTTGGCCTGGAAGGGTCCGTACTTGGGGTCGGCTTTGCGGTAGTGCCAGGTGAGTGAGCCGTTCTTTTCTTCGATAAAACTTCCGGGCGTGCGCTCGGTGTAGTAGTTGAAGATCTCCATCACGTCGTCTTTCCAAGACATGTCGAGGTCTTCGATCATACTAATCCACTTGTCGCTCCTGGGCTCCTTGATATAGCAGCCGTGCTCACTACTCAAACCAAGGTTTGGGATCGAGCCAACCCAATTGTCAAGGTCGGCTTGATTACGCCCAGAAACGATCCATACGATGTTTTTGGGATCAGAACACAGGCTGTGCAGAGTATCGAGAGTCTTTTGGGACGGAACTGCATCCTTTGGGCTGTCGCAGATAGGTGTCAATGTACCCTAAAATAAGATAAGAAAATTAGTTTTTTTTTATTTAAAAAAGAAGAAGGAGTATATGATATCTTTTATTTATTTGGCTATCTTTATATCATTCCAGATCTGTAAAAGAAAAGAAAAAAAAACTTACATCGTAATCAAAGAACAATAGTCTCTTTCGAGAATTGTTGTACTCAAGCTGGAAACGATCAACATCAAGAACTGGTGTAGGTCCCTGATTCGATTGTTTGGCACTAACTTCCACAAGACCCTTGACGAGCGACTCTGCCCAGTAAGCTGCCGTGTGAGAATTAACAAAGCTTTCGAGTTGCTGTACACAGATATTAAAAAATTAATAAATGAGTGTCTATTTGTTTGGGTGTTTGTTTCTAATATAAACTCAAAATACTACAGCTAAATGAATAAATAGCTCACTTATTTACCTTGTATTTAACCAGTTTGTCTTCTTCACTCATAGTCAGACAATCGGCTATTGCTCTTGCCACACCTGCAAAGTCCCAAGGGTTGACGATCACGGCTGCACTCATGCTTCGGGCCGTTCCTGTGAATTCAGATAGGATCAGGGGGCTGTGGCGTTCGCTTTGAGCAACAATGTATTCAAAGCTAGCTGTATTCATGCCGTCTGTCACAGGCGTCACCAATGCAATGTCAGCTGCTGACAAGAGTGCATAGTACTCGTCCCGATCGATGTGCTGCTGAAACATGTTTGCGGGCGTGAACTCGAGCGAGCCAAATTTCATGTTGATTCGACTGACGACCTCGGCCACCTTGTTTTCCAGTCTCTGGCTCTCAATCACACCTGGCGAGGTTACCTGAATCAAGACCACCTTTTCATGCCACTCGGGGTAGTCGGTCAAAAACTTTTCAAATGCCTCCAGTTTCTGCAGAACTCCCTTCACAGGGTCCAGCTTGTCCCGACCGACAATGATTTTCTTGCCGGCGTACTTTTCACGGATCGCGTTGATCTTTGGTTGCACGCCAGGCCGTTTGCAGTTGTAACGAGTGCGCTCGACATCGATACCGATTGGGTAGGTTCCCAATGCAACAATCGTACCGTTTGCGTCAACACCTGAAGGCGTATACTCAAAACCGAGGATACGTGTGCAATTGGACGAGAAATGGCGGGCATAGTTGTATGTCTTTTAAAACAAAACAGATAGATAGGTCACACAAATTAGATAACAGATCTCATATTTGCATATTTATTTTAAATATTTAAATATATTACCTGGAAAGAAACTAGATTTGCACCTAGCATACCCAAGAGGATGTCTCGTCGACCTTTATGATGTTTAATATACAAGATGATTAGTTGTTAGCATTATAAGAACAGACATAAATATATATTTTATTAATTTAATTTAATTTAATGGCCGTCAGTTAATTTTGTGTGTTTGTGTGTCTATATATTTTATATGGACTTACGTGGCAAACATCGGAAGATCTCTGAACTCGGGAATGGTGTGTGAAGAAAGACACCAATAGGTGCATTTGGTATCCTTGAACGGACCATAGATGGCACTAGAAGCAGATGGTAATCATGCACCCAGACTAGTAGCAGCAATAGTCAATAGTCAATAATCAATTTAAATGTGTACATATAAAAATCGTTCATAGTGACGAAACAAATAAGCGGAGGATCAACGACCACAGCCATAACCATCAACTACAGGTTTTTTTTCTTCTTCTTTATATAAAGAGAGAAAAAAAGGCCTAACCTAATTTGAGCTAAAGCTAAAGTTTGTACTGCTAGCTATCTGTAGTGTGTGTGTGTGTGTAAGCGTAGATAGAGTATCTTACCAATATCCCCTGAATTGTAGTTCTCAATAACTGTATCGGCATAAATCTGATTGACAGCAACATAAGCCTCCCAGAATTTTCCTTCATCAACAGATTCTTGCCACATCATGTAGTGCAACAAAGGCCAGAGCACTAGTAGGAAATGATCAATAAATGCAAAAGGAACCCAATCACATATCCAAGCCTGTTTGTTTTCTTACCTTGTTTGCAGTATCCTTCATAGTGACCACTGGCTAGGGCGTGCTTGATAAAGATGGGAACCATGTCGTGCTTTGACTTTAGCAGATCGCGTAAATTATCGCGCTGTTCTTGGGACAGATCGTCGGCATGGATATGGTCTCGATGCTTACTCAACACATTTCCGGTGCCACCGATGTAAAGAGTCTGGTAGTTTTTCTTGAGGGAGTCCAGACCGGCATACATTGCTGAGTGGCCCTTTCTCTGGGACAGACTCCACATCGATGTCTCGCCCAGGGCAGGTACGGTTGAGCGACGGCGGGCCAGGTGGGAGATTGGAGCCTCGTCTTCTTCATCTATGGCCTGCTGCTGTTGTCCAGGAGTCATGTTTGGATGCTTGGATTTCATGACACCGATCTGTCGGAGGGTGTCGGCCATGGTTCGGTCATTGTCTCTGGTTACGAGCACACAGTCGAAAGGTACTTGGTTGACAACATTGATGATCTTTCCTTTCAGACTGGGTTTGCTGCCTTGCATAGGCAACAGGGCCTGAAGTCTTGATGCGTCGATGTTGAACTTTTTTGCTTCCATATCAGATTAATATGTTTTATATAGCTCTTGAGTATCGACTGATTGGTTAGTAAATAAAAAAAAAGAGAGAGAGAGAGAGGGAATAAGAAGGATGAAATACAAAGAGAGGTTACTTTGTTCTTCTTTGTAGTCACTAAATTAAAGAAGCAAAAGAAGCAAAAGAAGCAAGGCTACAAAAAGGAAGAGACTAGATTTATATAACCTGAACATATTTATATTTATATTTATATTTGTATTTGTATATATTGTATCTAAGCGTGTGAGTAGCGTGTGTGCATTTGTGCATTTGTGTTTGATGGAAATGACTGGTAAAAAAAAAAGGATAGGACTGTGAATTCCATTTTTCTTTTTTCTTCCTTTTTGCTTGGTGAATGAAATTGGGATGAATGACGATGAATTGACAGCAGAATGAGAGTTTGCTTATTGCCTTTTATAGACACTTTAGAGTAATACAATATAAATAAAAATAAATAAAAAATAAAGCCAAAGAGAGAGAGAGAGATCGCCGCTTCAGTTTCCCAACATTTAATTATAGCCATTTTTTTTATTTTATTTTTCTCTTATAAAAAAAAATTGACAGAATTTATACAGAGAGAGAGAGAAAAGGCAAATATGTATTTAAATGTATAGATTGTCTTGTTTTAATTCCCTTGTAACCAAGCACCAAGTTCTCCTCCTTACAGTCATAATACATTTATTTAAACATTAGGATAATCTAATAATGAATATTAGAATCAGTAAAATATTAAAGAACAAACTAGACACAAATGCTGCACATCAAGGACAAATACTTTATAAGATTTCTCTTGGGATTCTTGACTTTTTTTTTAAAAAAAAAAAGAATAATGATAATAAATACTGCAAGTCTAAATGATATCCATTTGTACAAATAGTAAAAATAATAGTAATAGAAAAATTGGAAATATTGTAATTTATTTATTTTAGTTGCTCTCTTACTGTGTACCTCTTGTCAACCGGTACCTCTTTACTTCTTTTTTTTTTTTTAATTAGAGCTAAATTAAATTAAATTAGATTAGATTAAATCAAATTAATGAAAAGAAAAGAAAAATCCTGTAAAGTATATATAATAGAATAGGATAAACCAATACAAGATATTTTTTAAAGAAGTTACTTATAAACAATAATTTAAGTAATCAATTAAAAGTAAAAGAAAAAATATGTATAAAAAATAAAATAAGGAACACACGCATGCAGTTGGTTTTTTTTTGGGGGGACTCCAAAAACCTGAATTCAAGCCTGAAATGACTGCTTTTCCTCTTGAACTCTTCTTTCCTGCCTTAGAAAGAAAGACAGAGAGAAAGAAAATGAAAAAAAAAGTTATTGGATATTCTAGATAGACTCTCAACCCCACATACACACACCTTCCTACCTTCCAATAAGCGTAATTCCTTACAACTATGGAAGACAACTCACGGAATCTGATGCTCAAGACGAGGTACACTTTTATTTTCTCATTCACACTCATTCACCGAGAAAGAGAGAAAAGAACACCAATGCATCAATCAGTCTCTTAACCAATCTCATCCGATTGTATACTCTCTTTATATACATAATTTTCTTTTACGAATTCTATTCATTAGCTTCAAGTCTGTAAAGACTATCGAATCCATCTACACAGGCGGCAAGGTCGACGTAACCGAAGACGAATCGACTCTTATTACAACTATCAATGAAGATATCGATGTAACTGAAATGGCTACCGGAAAGAAACTTCACCGTCTTTCAGGTGTACGTATTTTGCTAGTCTGCAGCCTTTAGTTTTTTTTATCTGTTTTTCTCTTGTGTTTACATGTTTATATATGTATATATATATATATATTGTATTTAGGATACTGAAATTGTCACTACTCTGGCTGTCAAACCAGATGGCAAACACCTCGTCAGTGCCAGTCGTAGTCTCAACATGCGCATCTGGGACATGGCTACTGGAGAATGTATTCGTACCCTAAAGGCACACGAAGCCCCGATCATCGTGATGGACATTGATCAATCATCGACATTGGTTGCTACCGGTTCAGCCGACGCTACTGTCAAGGTTTGGGATATCGATCGTGGATTCTGCACACACAACTTCAAGGGTCACGGTGGTGTGGTCAGTGCAGTCAAATTCCATCACTACCATGGAAAGTGGTACCTTGCCTCTGGTGCCGATGATTGTCAGGTCCGTATTTGGGATCTTCAGACACGCAAGTAAGTTTTATTCTTTTTCATTTAAATTTATATTAATTATCAATTTTTTTTTCTATGTGTGCGTATATTTGTTCATGTCTCTTTAGGTGTATCGCTGTTTTGCAGAGCCATGTCAGTGTCATTCGTGGACTCTCTTTCTCAAATGATGGAGAGACTTTGATTTCCGGTTCGCGTGATAAGGTTGTAAATGTGTGGGACTGGAAAAAGAAGGTTCTCAAGGCTACATTCCCTATCTACGAGGTAATATTTTGCTTATAGTTTATTTTAAATATATATATAATATAAAAAAAAGAGAGAGTATCTGTGTAAAGATGAGATTAACAAAAATACATATATGCAATGCATATTTATATTATAGACTTTGGAAACTGTTGGTTTTGTATCAAAAAATGTGGATATGTCTGCTTATGACAGCAAGTGGCACAATAGTGAATTGTTCTATACAGCTGGTGATAAAGGTAATATATATATATATATATATATGAAAGAGAGAATTGGAAAATGATACTGGCTACATGTATATATATATCTATCAAATTATTTATTCTATTTTTTTAAAAAAAAAACAAAGGTATTGTTAGAGTGTGGGATTTAAATACCGGTGAATTGGTAAAGGCACAAGAAGCAGAAGTCAACAGCAAACATGCCATTTCCGATGTTGTGTAAGTGAAATTTATTTAATTAATTAACCTATTAGAAGAAATTAGCTTTCTTGGTGCTGACAAACATCTGCATATATTATATAGATATTTGAAAAAGACTCAGGAACTTGCAGCTGTGACCAACGATCAAAACATCTTGTTCTACTCTATCATAAACGGACTGGAGAGAGTGAAGCAAGTGGTCGGTTACAACGACGAGATTGTGGATATTGCCTATTTAGGATCTGACGAGAAATACTTGGCAGCCGCCACCAACAGCGAGCAGCTCCGAGTGTACAACGTAGAGACCCAGAACTGTGATCTGGTATATGGTCACAAAGACATGATCATTTGTATCGACAGATCCAACGACGGAAATGTCCTTGTCACAGGCTCCAAAGACAAGACTGCCCGAGTGTGGAGAATCGATGTCGATGCCGAACATACGTCCCAAAAATACGTCTGCGCTGGTGTGTGCGTAGGCCACACAGAATCCGTGGGTGCGATCGCATTTGCTCGCAAATCAACAAACTTTATGATCACAGGAAGTCAAGATCGCACAATCAAGTATTGGAACTTGCGCGACATTGACTTCTCAGGCCTGGCCCCTGCGTCTGGCGATAATGATAAGAACAAACCTGATGGTCAAGTAGAAGCTTCTGTTCGTTCGTTATACACCCACCAAGCACACGAAAAAGACATCAACTCTATTTCAGTCGCACCAAACGACAAGGTGTTTGCGACCGGCTCGCAAGACAAGACTGCCAAGATCTGGAATGTCGACACAGGCGCACTTGTGGGTGTCTGCAAAGGTCACAAGCGTGGTGTCTGGTGCACCAAGTTCTCTCCTGTAGACCAAGTATTGGCTACCAGTTCGAGTGACAAGACAGTCAAGATCTGGAGTCTAAAAGACTTTACTTGTCTCAAGGTAACCATACACACACACATATATATATATATACATGAACGTAGAAAGAAGAAGAGGGGAGATATTGGGATACATCTTTGTTATTTTTTGAGATCTTCTGGTAACTAACGTGAATTTCCCTATCCCTATCTACATCTACATCTACGTATCTTTATATGTATTATTTTTCTATATTTGTGTTCTGTGTATGTGTGTTTGTAAAACAAACATAATAGACATTTGAAGGCCACACAAACTCGGTTTTGCGGGTTGATTTCTTGACTGCTGGTCTTCAGCTTGTTTCCGCTGGTTCTGATGGTCTGGTCAAGCTGTGGACGATTAAGACAAACGAGTGTGTTGGCACCTTGGACAATCACACTGAAAAGGTGTGGGCCCTGGCTATCCGCAAAGACGAAAAGTTCATTGCTTCTGGTGGTGCAGACTCTGTTGTAAACTTTTGGGAGGATGTGACATTGGAAGAACAAGAAGATGAACTGAGAGAAAAGGAAGAATTTATTGTAAAGTAAGTTTTTATATATGTACACATCATAAGCAAGAAGAGAAGAAGAACAGCAAGAAATACTGACAAGGATATATTTATTTATTTATTTATAAAAAAAAAAGGGAGCAAGAGTTGAAGAATTTTATGCACAAAAAGGATTACTTGAATGCCATTCTTCTTGCCCTGTCACTCGAACAGCCTTTCCGCCTGTTGGGTATGTTCCGTGAGGTGATTGAGTCAAGGCCTGAGGGTGACGAGAGCATCACCGGCTTGGCTTTGGTAGACAAGGTCTTGGGTGATCTGACAGGCGAACCACTGGAAAAGCTGCTGCTCTATATCCGTGACTGGAACACCAACGCTAAACACTCATATGTGGCCCAGACAGTTCTTCATGCTATCTTGTCGTTGCATAGCGCAGACGACCTGGTCAAGATTGCAAATGCCAAAGAACTGATCGACGGTTTATTACCTTACACAGATCGCCACTACCAACGCATGGACGATTTGATCACTCAATCGTTCATCATAGATTATACATTGCACGCCCAGGAATAAAACATAAAAAGCGTGCCATTATTTTTTTTTATATACATATTCTTCTTTCCTCTTCCTCTTCTTTTTATTATTTCTGTTCTACACAACTCACTCACACATTCACTCAATTACTCACCCACACTCTATCTATTTTACATTTCCTCCAATTTCATTCTTTGTTTTTTCTTTCTTTTCTTTTCTTCTTTACTTACCATTATCCTCCTTTGTATGTCTATTATCTTATCTATATTTAAGAAAAAGAAAGAAGAAATAAGTAAAAGAGCAATTAAAAGAAGAGAAGAAGTCTTGTTGTTTATTTACATGCTAATTGTCTACATATCTTATATTATTCTCGTTGTTGTTCCTGGTGTTTCAGAATTGGACAAAGAAAAATGTAAAAGAAGTTCAAAATGTGTTGATTTATTGACTCTATAATTTAGAACAAGTACATTTAGATAAGATATATTATTGATAGTTTTACAGTAGGAATATTGAATGCTGATACAAATACAAAAGAATAGAAAAAGTAAAGATGTTTGGAATGGAATGGAAAGAGAGATGATAATAGTATGAATCACAATTTTAAGCCTTGTAAGCACTGGCTTTTGAGAAACCGAGACACTCGGCAACAGTGACAAACTTGTACTTCTTGGACTTGATGTAAGGAACAGCCCAGGGAACAAGCTCCTTGACGGTCTGCTCGTGAACATCGTGCATCAGAGAGATGTGGCCCTTCTTGGGGGTGCCGGTCTCCTTGCCCATAACATTTGCAAATTCAGCCTTCTCGGCAGTGAGAGAGTGGGTCTTCCAGTCATTGGTATCAATGTCCCACAAGACAACTCTGAAAAAATAAATAAATAAATAAAAATAAGTATATATGTATGTATATAGATTTAATAAACATAAAACTTACTTGTAACCAAGGTCACCAAGAGCTTGAAGACTGGTGGCATCAGTGACACCAGAAGGAGGACGCATGTAAGTGGGCTTCTTGCCAATTGCCTTTTTAACAATGGCCTCAACATCAGTCATCTCCTTCTTGACTACAGCAGCAGAGAGACCCTTAAGGTCTCTGTGAGAGTAGGTGTGGCTAGCAATTTGGTGGCCCATTTCATCAAGGTGCTTGATAACATTGATGTAGGTCTTCTTTCCAGAAGATGTGACGACACTGTCAGTAGCAGCATTACTAAATAAGATTAAAAAATAATAATAATAATAATAATAAATAAATAAATCGATACATTTTATGCAAATAAAGAGCAATATGTTACTTACACCCAGTTGTTTCCATTGATGAAAAAGGTGGCAGAAACACCCAATTTGTTAAGAGAGGTTGCCAAATCCCAGGTGTATTGGTAGGGTCCGTCGTCAAAGGTCAAGGCGTAGGTACCTGGGACTTTGCAGGTAGTGTAGATTGTAGCCTTGGCAGCACGAGCCTCAAGGGGTGCAGCAGTGGCGGTGGCGGCAAAAAGGGCACCAACCATAGCGATAAGAGAGATTGAACGCATACTGTCAACAGCAAAGATCAGGCAGAAGAAGGGAGAAGAGAGAAGAGAGAAGGAAGAAAGAGCAAGCTTTGTGTGTTTGGATAATTAATTTTTTTTTTGAAGAATGTCGATGTTCTGGTGTCTTTTATACTTAAATGATATTTCTGGTTTTTCCTTAATCTGCTTATTCAAATCCCCTTTTTTTTATATATATATTTTATTTTACTTTATCTTTTATATGTATGTATGTATGTGCGTGTATCACAACGAAAGAAGCTTTTTTTTTTTGCTATGTCTGTCTGTCTTTTTGAAATTCTTATAGTAAATATTTATAATATGTATAGATATCCCGCTCAGGTTTATTTATGTATCGGTTGTGTGATGGAAGCTTGAGAAAGAAAGAAGGAAAGAATATTTTATATAACCAAAAAGTAAATTCTGAAAATATCTTTTTTTTTTTTTAATTGGAAGCAGTGCAAGATGAAAAATGAAACAAAAAGGCTGATTGTTCACACTACTGTTGTTGACCCTGAAATCAGTTGTTACACGGGGACCTATTATTATTGGTGTTTCTATGTAATTTGAAGCCATTTTTTTTTCTTCTCTTTAAATCAAGACAAAGCCATGGCAACTAAAGGCAAAATAGATCGGTTCTTTGTTGATCCTTTTACAGGCTAAAATGTTTAGCAGAAGATATCAAAGTAAAGAGTTTGGGGGGGAGAGTCATTTGGATTATCTTATAGGTACATCATATTCAGATAGACAATCGATTTAGTCTGTTCTGACGATATCAATTTATAATGATTTTTATTTTTATGTTTATTTTGGTTTATCTGTATCTTATATTGATATATATATATATAATATATACACCCACAAGAAGCACTGGGTATTGGATCTTCTATATTTTTCTCGATCCAATTATAGAAATTAAAAATAATTAACTATTATTATACCAGAGAAATTTGTATTCTAATCACATTAACGACATGTTCTGTGATGTAAACCTTAATGAACCAATTATTCACCATGGCAATAAATACATCTATAAGCAAAACAAAAAAGAAAGAGGAATTGATCAAAGTGGCTGTAAGAATCTGTATAGATCTATCAAGCATTCGGACGTACTATCTATCATTGACACAATACATGTGTGAATAAGACAGATACGTGCATTATTCCATACATGTTCACAGCCGTACATTATTATGTGGCCGTCATAATATATACATATATACATATAAAATAAAATCAAAAAGTAAAATAAAATATACGATTTTTATTCTATTTATGGCATTGTGGCACCATTCATTTATAATAGAGCATACATAAATAAATAAAAATAAGAAGAAAAAAAGGGGGGATGTACACTATTGAACAGTGGAGCCAAAACCCTGGGTTGCTCGGTATCTTTTTGGTCAAATAAGAATCCGATTAAAGACAGAAAATCGTGTTTAAAGTTACCTTTTACAGATCAACAAAAATATATAACAAAGTCTATATACATAAAAGTTTTACAAGCTTACATAGTGATAAATATACATATTTATATATTTATATATATATATAATTTGATTTGATTTGATTTGATTTGATTTACACCGCTTTACACCGCTTTGCTTTGCTTTGCTTTAAAGTCATATAAAAAATGGTTAAAATAATAAAGTCCTTTGGTATTTACAGATTAAAGCCCCAATGAAGAAAAAATACCAAAAATATTAATATTAATAGGAATAGTAAGAATAGAAAACAAAGGGCTGAAGCTGTATAGATGGCTTTCATTTTCTTTAGCACTTATCAGGGTCATACTATTATTATTATTATCATTAGAACTATTATCCATGGGAGCCACAGAATTGAGTTGATATTGCAGAGATATCTTTATTGCCCTTTTTTTTGATAATCAGCTTTAAACATATAAATAGTATTTTTGGCTTGGGGATTGTGTGTGGTGGTGGTGGTTGTATTTATTTATTTATTATGGAAACCTTGTTTGATTTTTGATTGCTATTTAATTGATTGACTGGTAAGATAAAATACAGAGGCGTTGAGTGATGATGACAATTAACATCATATACAATACTGTTGAGGACAGTCTAGTAAAAAGTATTTATGTGTGTGCATATATGTATATATAACTTTAAGCTTGATACACAGCCCCGCCCACACACTTGACATACTCCACACAGTCCATGCAGTACACACAGCCCACTTATTATTAGTATCTATTTTGGCCTAGCCTATATCACAGCTTTGTTACTTAATACTAGTGAAACTGTAAACACACACAAAAATACAAGCACATCTCACTTGACACTTCTTTTACTCTAACATCAATGATAATGATAATATCACAACTACTGTACGCATTTTTGATAAATTCCTTTGACAATATGTCTTTTTTTTTTATAGAAAAGAATAAATCAATTACAATTGCTTTGTATATATATATATATATATATTTGTATAGCTATTAAAATATCGGGCTTGTTAACAAAATAAACAAAATTGAAATAAAATAGAAAGTTTAGCCAAGTATTAATAACGGGTTTCACTGCATGCAATGTATGAACAAAGTCAGTTGTGGCTAATACACAAGCCTACATTACTAGGATTGCTTAATTGATTTTTTTAATAAAAAATAAAGATATTTGACATTTTTATAGTTCACCATTTGAATAGTAAATATTGATACTTTTGAATGCACACTTTATTAAATATAAAACAAGATATCAAACAAAGAACATTTAGCTTTTATATTACTATGCAACACAAAAGTAATGCCCAGGCCTTTTGACAGGCTTTAATATAATAATAAAAATAATAAACGGTAATAGGAATAGTAATAGTAATAGGAACAGGAATATTGGTATCTTCTTCTTCGTCTTCTTATGATGAGCAGTCTTGTTTCCGCGATTATTTTTTTTTCTTTTGCATTTTGTGTGTATTTTGTGTATTCCTGAGTGTATAGGCTGGTACACCATTGCCACTAAAGGTAATCGATAATTGTTATTTTTATGTTTAAACTCTTGGGTACCCACACACACATACACAAACACTGCCTTAAATCAAAACAACCCTCAGGTAACTTGGTCACATCTTTATGTATAAATGATAATAAATGACTATGGTATAATGCATAGTCACTATAGAAAGTATCAAGTATCAAGTACAGTCAAAGCTCGATTTAGTAATATTTTTTTTCAGCACTTTTATTCGCAGTCACATAAAGCAAATCTGCAATATTGCTAAAAAACATATGCGGAGTAAGAAAAAATCCATTTGATTTAGTAATAGTAATACAATTTGGCTTCTCCCAAAAGTATTACTAAATCGAGCTTTGACTGTATCAAGTATACTGCCTGGTTAATCAATAATTATCAAAGCTTCTTTTCTTGTCGTTGTTTTTTTGTTCAATATTCCCTCTTATCCTTCTTATTCATTTATTCATTTATTTATTTATTTTTAACTTTGAGAAAGAGGCTCCTTTTCAAGGGAATGTATCAATTGAAAAAGAAAGTAGAAGGACCTAAAATTAGGTTTGATTGACATGTTTTGAACTGTAAGGTAAAGACCAAAAGAAACGGAAGGAGGGAGGAAGGGAGAAAAGGTATTATACTTCAAACCATTACATAACTCAAATATTAAAAATAGATCTTGAAAGACTGTGAATAAAAAGTATTTATATTCCCATAATATATACACACATATAGTATATCCTTTCATCAGATAAGAGTGGATAGAAGAAAAAGAAACTAAACACTGATACAAAGCCTATCAACATATCTACTTCCTCTTCTTCTTCTTTAAGGGGATCTATAAGCGGAGTAAGCTTGGACATCATCAGCCTATTCTTATTCTTTTTACTCAAATAAATAAACAAGTAAATATATATATTAATAACATCTTGGAAAGTGTTGCCTGTAAGTCTGTGAGATTACAGCTTGTATTTGGTTACCACCATTATTGACACTATATGTAGTATGTCTAAAGGGAGCGGCAACAGCGGCAAGGGCAGCGGAAACGATAGCAATAACTATCAATAAAACAAAATGGTGGCTAAAGACAAATATCGGGTATTTTTTTATTTTTTTTAAAAAAAAAAAAGAATAATTAGGAGGTTGTGAGTACATCTTTGGTATTATTCTTAGAAACAAAGCCTCCCTATTGACATGGTGTGGCAGACGTAGACTCTTTACACATTTAACACGCAATACTTGAATATCCTTTTCTGCTTCTGTTTCTGCTTCTGCTTCTTCTATTGAGTTAAGCTTTTTCTATATATATATACATATTCTGTATTTATTGATACTGCCGACGCATATAAAATTCGCGGCCTTTGAAAGCGAACGATTAAGATTAAAATTAAGAAAAGTACAATAAAGGAATGAGGGAGAGGCACACTCCAACTGGTTGATGGTGAAGCCCTGGGTTCTATGTATTGCAGCCACTGACTTGGTGGCAACTACATTAGAGCTGAGATGACCGAAGGAGAAGGGCGAATGCAAGTGAAGAGTCGAGCAATGTCCAAGTCAGACTAAGAAGGACACAGTTACTGTGGTACCAAATTCCACACCGGAAGCCTATGATAGGATTGGAAGACAGTCGAAGAAAACCAGCCAGAGCTTTGTGGAGAAGAGAAGGAAAATGAATCAGGGCCAAAGGAAGGTTTTGGCTTTATCGAGATATATAGCGAAAGAAGGCGAGAGAGCAATTGCGGGCATACCGTGTCATTATGATGGGACACTATCTAGAGTCCACCCCGGCAGCCAATCCTGAAAGCCTAGTAGACGTAAAAACAGACATTTGTTTCTGTTTCAATTTGTCAAACGAGAAAGTCTCACTGAATATGAATATAAATCATATCACTTCATTTTATTTTTGTCTTTAAATAATAAAATATATAAAAAATACCATAATTGCTATAAAAATGAAACAAAGGAATGAATGATTGATTAGCTTGTTTCTAGTTGTCTTGTGTCAACTTGTTAATTATTTTATTTTATTTAAAAAAAAAAAAAGAATTATATTGAAACATCCACTTTATAGGGGTTTTTTTGTGACAGCGAATATGTAAATGACAGCCCAAAACCTGGTAGTTTTCAGTAACGCCGCAAAATTCAATTATTGATGACGTCACCATTAATTCTTCATTTTGGTCTTTTTTGCATCTTAATATTACCCTTTCTTAAATACGCGTTCAACTTTTTTTATTACAATATCAATAAGATTTATTAAATTGAAGGTGTTGGATCCTTTGACTTGTTAGATCTTTGAATGGTATATTACCTCCTCCACTATACATAACTAAAGGTAAAATATATCTTATTACTCATGCTTATTTTTGTAAAGAACACTAACCCGATGCCTTGTGAAATTCTGTTTATGAATAGTGGTCTTAAATTATGAACTGCCAGAAAGCTTAACAAATTCGCAGCAACTTTGAGATGTTGGATTCTCTTGCTGTTTAAGAGGTGTTGGATCCTTTGACCTATGATGTCTTCAAATGTTATTCTGTCAAGCATACTTGATTGAAGGTGAGATATTTATTACTTTTACTTATTAGAGACCTTGGTGAAACCTTGTAAAACATTTGGAGGAGTTTAAATCATCCGTATAAGGAAATCTGAGCGTAAAAAACGCGAATGTTTGATAATTTTTCTCAAAAGTTTGTCAAACTTGAAAGAAATTTTTCAAACATTGTAAAACATAATAGACCAATCATGTTGTATTATTTTTTTGTTGCTATACGCACGAAAAAATTAAGCTTGAAAATATTAATAGTTGTAATTTTAACGTATGCATGTAAGAATATAAGCATCCCTTCAGTATATTTTTCTCCACTTATTTTTTTCATTGTTTTTTTAATAAAGTTAGTATGAATATTTTTGTTCTAACATAATACCAAAAAAAATGACTATTATTTAATAGAAGTTAACGAATCTCTCATTAGCTTGATTATATGAAGCATTGTTCGTGAGCTTAGTACCACTCCTTTTCCGACAGGCAATGATTACCAAATGTATACTATGTTTGAGACATGATATTCCGACAGAAAATGTTTGCTAGAAATCTATATTTGGTAACTCGGCGCCTAAATGTCTCTTATCGTCTCACCAAGGTCCCTATTTAAAGTACACTAATTCAATACAATGCAAAAATTATTTTAGGATGGTGAACTTAGATGATGAATCGTGAACTGCGAGTAATAATTTCAAAATACTGGTATGTTGGATCCTCTTTGTTAAACTTGGTTGTGCTCAATTTTCGTCTGCTTATTCTTTTTTGATAAAATTCTGGATAATGGAAAGAAATAACTAAGAAAAGCAAAAGCTTGATGATAAACTTCCTGGTATTAAATAAACTTGCAGGCTTTGAATGTCGGGATCAAGATCTTCATACATTGAATTTAATAAACATTCATTCATTCAAAAACTACAAATGCAAACATTATCAAACTTCGTATATTGATAAAGCATGATATATAGAGTAAAAAATGCATTTTATTTGTTTTTAATAATGAGTATAGAAACACTTGGCGTCAATTAATTCTTGACATCTATTTCCCTTGTTTCCGACGAATTTATGAGCAAAGTCGAGTGACAATTCATTCCAAATCTTCTTTATAAAGTGCTCCAGATCTTTTGTATTTTTGATCTCGGACTTATACTTTTCATGTTCTCTTTTTATAACATCCTAAAGGTTTTCGAATGGGTTAAGATCGGGACTTTGGGTGGTGGGAAACAAGTTTTTTAGACGTTAAAAATGATTCAAAATGTAGGCAGGATCTTAAAGAAATATGTAAGCTGATAACTCTGAGGTTTTTGACAAGCACTTCAAATCCGAATTTATTTATTTTTTTAAAAAAATAAGCTATTGAAAGAGTGTTTTATTATCTTAAGAATGATGAATGGTATATTTGTAATGCAATAGTATCAGTGTGATAATGATGTTAAAAACGAACTTTTACAGTAGTTTCATTTTCGGGCATCCATCATTCGTAAGGATTCTCAGTTGAAGTCTCTTTGCTAAACACATTAAAAAAATCATTTTCAGCATACTTTACCCAGCCAAACTTGTCAGTTAAACCAACATCAGCTGTTTCTTCATCGCTTGATTCATCGTTGGGCTCATTGAATGAAGGAGGTGGAGGCGGAGTAAAGATATGTATAGGAATCTGGGAGGTTTTTTCTTTGGGTGGAGTGTACCATGTATCTCGCATCCATGCAAGCCTTTTGTTCTTCTTGGAAACTGAAGGACGGTTAAATGACTCTTCTCCACCAATTGATGTTGCACGAGCTTGGAGAATCTTATCGGCAGCAATATTGATCTCCTTTTTCATTTGTAATAAGTGGCCTAAAATAATTGGGAGTTTGGAGAGATCGGATATAGTGGATGGGAAGTTAAAGCTGTGTCGGTACTTAGAGACATAAAGGCCATTTTTGGCAAGCTCCATAGTTGAGAGAGAGCAATGGATACCAGCAATTTGAATAAAATAAGTCATTAGGCGGCAATCATAATTACAAGTATTTTGAATGATTCCATCCAATGCATCCTTTGCCTCTCGTAATAGTTTGTCTTCATCTTGAATTGACTTCGAGTCACTGTTACGTTTGGTGCATTCACCAATAGCAAGATCCAGTTCTTCTGTATTAATATTAACGACCAGCCTGATATAAATTTTAAAGCCATGAATGTACTTTGTTTTGGGATAGAGGATCTTCTTCTCCTTGATTGAGAGTGGGTATTCCGATTCAGCTGAGACTATACGGACATTTTCTGAAGGAGGAAACAATAACTCCAGCAAAGGAGACCACAGGATTCGAAAGTAATCATTCTCACGGTAGTTGATACCGCTGGAATTACGGAGTATCTTTTTATAATCATTCATTGTTCTGAGTATGTGCTTTATTATACTAAAAACCCTCAAAAGGCCAATATCACTTGCATGCTTGATTTTCATTTTTCCAATATAGCTTTTAACAGCGTTAAAATCATTCGATAAGTCTAACGTATTCTTAATGATAATGAGAGTATTTTTGACAATTGCATCCAAAGGGTATTCCTTCATTTTGAGTTTTTTGTCAAAGTAATCGTTGATATATTTCCACTGATCGCTGTCAAAAAGCTGTCGTTGAGATGAATATGATTGGTCAGAAAGATCAAGAATGGATGAAGATCCAGCGGCCATGATTTTGCGTTGGCGGTCAGTGAGCTGCTTAGGGTTTTGCAAGTACAACTGATGTAGTTTCAAGGCCTCTCTTTTAATTATGGTACCCAAGCTTAAAGTGGAATTTGGTATCATGATACCATCGCTTTCAACATCAGTGGTTTCAACAGTGGCTTTATTAGTCTGTTTCCTTTTGGTGTCTTTTGTCTCTGGTTGGGTGTTCATGCATCTCTTGTTTTATGATCTCTCCACAGCCTCTTCTTCCAAAGTAGCTTCCACCTTATCGACATTAGTGATGTGATCAATAGCATTTTTTTGCAATTTCGGATAAGAGGTGTTCCAGAAATGATCGAGGGCATCATTTTGATTGCGAAGCGCAGCACGAAGTCCAACTATTACTTTAAACTCCTTTGAATCAACAAAGGCGGCACCAAGTACTTTGAGATCATCTTCGAGAAGCTGAATTGCTTCTCTTCTTGGTTTGGTCGGGTCAATGTTTACTAAACTTTGGTAGAAGTTTATTAGGCTCCATTCCGAAAAAATTGTTGAGCTCCAATAGCCTATTGTAACTATCTGGTTAGAGCCATACTTTATTAGTGCTATGTTAATAGGCACATACTATAGCAAACGAGTTTTCCTTTCAACGATTTCCAACGAGATGTCAGATGGTATAAACTGGGGTATCTTTTTGGGGAACTTTACGGACAGCCTGGCGGGACAACCTGAACACTAATTTTAGGGGACGACATTTCCTGGTTGGGAGCGACATTTTGATTTTACCGGACCACAAATCGTGGCCTTTCTGCCGGTATGCAATAACTCTATCTGGTCCCTAAGGATCCATTCTTATTATAATAGTTAATACCAGCCAGGATACAAAATACTTATAAAAACTTTCTTTTGTGGTTTGCAAAAAAAAAATCGGATGGGGATTACTTACCAGCTGGTGTTGCCAAACTTTGGGAATATAAGTAGGTGAAAAAAAGAGAAAGACATGATACGCATAAGCAGGTCAATAAATAGTAAGATATCAAACAAGATTGCGTCACAATCTATTGACAACAACTCCTTATAGTCCTTTGTATAACTGGATATTGAGATAGTGTATTTGTGATGAATCATTATTTCTTTGTTGACAAGTCTAAATTCATGACTACTAATTGAATATACACGATTTGTTTTTCGTATGAGACAACATATTATTATTAAGCTGCCTAAATACAGACTATGGCTCTTAAGATGATGAAAGTTATGTGCTTGGCGATATATATATATAAACACAAAGTAGTAAAGCTAATGCATACATTGGGGTACTCAGCCAAATTCATCGATCAAATTTTAAATTCAGAACGCGATATTATTAGACTAAAATTGTAATAGCGACGATCAAAATTTGATCGTCTTTTTGAAAGATCAAACTTCGATCAAAAAATGTACGGCTCTCTGATTGGCTGAATCCTTATTTTTTTATATACAATACAACTGTTTTTATCTTTCTCCTTAATAAATCATAAAATTTATTGTCATCAAAGTCATATAATAATTTTTTCTCTTCATTTTATATGCCAAAATAAGGTACAAAGCAACAAACAATTGCTGCCTTAAAGAAATCGCATAAAATCAGTGAGTTCATTGTGAAGAAAGAAAAAATATTGGGAGTATTTATCAGCAAGTACAGCCGAGTTTATTAAAGATATTTTAGAAGTTATTAAAGAGGAAGTAAATGTAGATTTGGAGCAGATAGCTTCCGTGAAGGAGCTTGAACAATCACTTAAAGCCAATAGATACATACACAAGGTTGAAAATGTATTGCCAGATCCCGAGTCAAAGGAAAGAACACTTGGCTTCTTCGAGAATCTAGGTTCATATAGATTCAAAGAAGAAATCAGGCTGTGCAAAAACTTATTTAATAAATGCTATGAAAATCTATGAATTTTGTACGTATTTTGTACTTTTGTCTTTTGGTATCCTCAACTACAAATTGATATCATTAAGACTAACACAAGAATTTGATCGATCAATCTGGCTGAGTACCCCCAATATAAAAGAGAGCGAGAGAGAAATTGGTGCTTAATTAAAACTCAACGATAAGACACTTTAAACCCCGGAAAACTTGCAACAATTCACTAAAATCGCCTATTTTTTTTCTATAGGGTAGCCTGGTTAGATAGAAATGTCGTTCCTGTGATTGCTGTTGGTGGATTCAATCTACTGAGACAATTTATCCAAAAGGTTTACACCTCAATTTGGTTTTATAATACAATATATACACTATCAATAGCTTCTTTTTTTTCTTTTTTTTAAAGCACAAAAGAAAAAGAAAGGCTGTGATTCATTGTAATTTGTGTTGGTTTTTAATGTTTTACCTTATAAACAGCAGGTATTTGTTTCTGTTTCAATTTGCCAAACGAGAAAGTCTCACTGAATATGAATATGAATCATATCGCTTCATTTTCTTTTGTCTTTAAATAATAAAATATATAAAAAATACCATAATTGCTATAAAAATGAAACAAAGGAATGAATGATTGATTAGCTTGTTTCTAGTTGTCTTGTGTCAACTTGTTAATTATTTTATTTTATTTAAAAAAAAAGAATTATATTGAAACATCCACTTTATAGGGGTTTTTTTGTGACAGCGAATATGTAAATGACAGCCCAAAACCTGGTAGTTTAAACCAAAGTAACTTGTTTAAATTTGACTTTCTTTCGATAAGGTTTTATTGTATTGGATTATATATATATTAAAATATAACAAAACAAAACAAGAAATAATGTTAAGGCACATTTCTCGAATTCAATTGAAATCCATTGGATCGCAATGCCTAGTTCGTCAGTCAATGCTTGGAAGATGCACAGGGGTTCTGCGATCACAATTTACCACCGGATCAATCCCTCGACCAAGATCAACCGAGGGTGTTCCTATGAAGCAATTCAAGGATCGCTCTGTAATCTCACCACCTAATTCCAAAAAAAATACCTCAAAGAACAAGTTACGCTGTAAGCACATAAAAATTATTAAATCAGAAGAATAAGAGATATATCTATATCTATATCTATATACTTTAAAGAATGAAGAAATGAAGGAAGGATGAAAAGTCTAAATATATTATCTTTTTCCTTTTATTTTTGCCCTTAATACACCTAAACGCATATACAGTGATCAACGCACGAATTAAAGCATTTCCAACCAACAACAAAATTTTGAAGAGTGCTAAAAGCATGGGAATTTCACAGTCATTATTTAATGACATTTCCAAGAGTTTCGTTGCAGCAATTGCTAATAAAGAAGTACCGGCAATACACCCAGATTCTATAACTATTACAGGAGGCACAGATGAATCTGCAGGTAATAATACTAACAACTTTTTCTTTTTTTTAAAAAAAAAAAACAACAGAAAAAGAAACTAATTCATCCATTTATTCATTAATATCTATAGATATAATTGATCGTGCTCTCCTCACAGCATTCTTTAGTTATGCTGAACCGCATCTTCCCAAAGATGTGATTGATATATTTAACTCTATGCGCAAATTGAGTGATTTACGATTCCCTAACGAATGGTTCCCTGAAGCACGTCAAATGCAAAGGTATGTTATGTGGGATGATTTCCAATCAATTAATGGATTGATTGATCAATTAATTAATTAAAAAGCGTTAATACTAATACACACGTGTATATATATATCTTTTTAGAAAGATCATCCTCCATGTTGGACCTACAAATAGTGGAAAGACTTACAATGCCCTGAAAAGATTAGAAGGTGCTGAATCGGGCATCTACTGCGGACCGCTGCGTTTGTTAGCCAACGAGATTTATGAGAAAATGAATGACAAGGGTGTCGCCTGCAACTTACTGACAGGAGAAGAACGTCGTATTGTGTCACCCACTGCAGCACTGACCAGCTCAACAGTTGAGATGGCCAATCTGGCTAAACCAATTGAGGTCGCCGTTATTGACGAGATTCAGATGATCGGTGACCCTCAGAGAGGTTGGGCATGGACTCAGGCATTGTTGGGTCTCAAGGCCCAAGAGATTCATTTGTGTGGTGAAGCATCTGTGGTCCCACTGGTCAAAGAAATCTGTGCATCTTTAAATGAAGAAGTGATTGTGAATGAATACAAGCGCCTGACACCTGTCACAATCTTGGATGAGACTGTGGATCCTCAGTATACAGATGTCAAAGCGGGAGATTGCGTTATTGCCTTTTCCCGAACAAGCATCTTTAACATCAAGGAAAGAATCCAAGAAAGCACTGGCCTTAAATGTGCTGTTGTTTATGGCGGACTTCCACCAGGTATATATATATATATGCGTGTAGCTTGTTAGTCTTCTTTGGTTACTAAATATTTATATTCTTGTGTAGAAACACGCGCTCTTCAAGCAAAGGCATTTAATGATCCTGAGAGTGATATCGATGTCATGGTAGCTTCGGATGCTGTTGGAATGGGACTCAACTTGTAAGTTTAACAAAAGAAGTATTAAGATGTTAATGCATGGTACTTACATCCAACGACACTAAATTGTATATGCTTTTTTGTTGTTTTGTTTATTTATTTGTTCATTTTAACAAAAAAGAAATATTAAGCGTGTCGTGTTCTCAACTATTGCAAAGTTCAATGGAAAGGATAATACAAATATCAGTATACCTCAATTGAAACAAATCGCCGGCCGTGCTGGTAGATTTGGCACCACATATGCTTCTGGAGAAGTAACCACGTAAGTATATCCAACAAAACAAAAAAAAAACAAATACAAAAACATGAATTCTTATATATATATATATATATATATATACAGTATCAGAGCAAAGGATTTGAGTTATGTTAAAGAATGCATGGATACCGGTACCATTGACTTAAAGGTAAATATTATTTTTCTTCTTCTTTTAATAAGAGGCTTTATGTAGTCAAATTCATCTAACTAATAAATAAATATATGTAAAAAAAATCTAGCTTGCTGGTCTTCAGCCTACAGTAGATATTCTGGAAATGTTTGCTCTTCAAATGCCCAAAGAAAGATTCTCTGGACTTTTGGTAAGTTTTTTCTTCATACATGTACACGCATGGGATATATATGTATTTACATTTTAATTGTAGCAAAAATTTGAAGACTTGGCGTCATTAAGTGGAAACTACTTCCTTTGCAACTTTGAGGATCAAAAGGTAAAAAATAATAATAAAAAAATAATAAAAATAGGTGCATACATACACATACATATACATATACTTATACTTTTATATATTTGTAGATTATTTCAGATACCATTGAACGAATCAAGCTGCCCCTGCGTGATCGATATCAGTTTGTTACTGCACCTGTTAATGTGCGTAACAAGACCAGTTTACAGGTCATTGAAGATCTTGCCAGAATTCACAGTAAATCTGAAACCCAATCCCTTGAAGACCTCACCCAACTTCCCGACAAAGCTCCAGAGGATGAAGATGGTCTTATGAACTTGGAAACAGCTCACAAGACTATTATGCTGTACATGTGGTTGAGGTATGGGTGCTTAAAGCTATTACACGCTTTCTGTAACAATAATAGATAACGTTTAAAAATGAGCTTATATATATATATATATATACCAAAATAACATTAACTTTTTGTTTTATGTATATCTATATACTTTATATAGCATAAGATATCCCGAAACATATATCACTGAACAAGAGAAGTGTGCAGAAATCAAGAGAAAGTGCGAGGTGATGATCGATGATGCTCTCAAGAGTACTGCACTAAAACTCACCAAGAAGAAGGGGTCATACGGCCAAAACAAATCTTTCAACTCATACAAAAAACCTAATTTCAATGGGTATCCCAATGCAAATGATATTGATTTTTCCAAAGGACCAAAGAAATTCAATAGAGATCGGGGATTCTCTAATGATAGATTTAGAAAAAACTAAACAAAAAATAATAATTATTTAACAAAAATTATATAAAATTGAAACTATTAGAAAAAAATATTAATAAAAAATATTTAAAAATAAAATAAATCAAGACCACAGTAGTAGTAATAATGATTCATTAATATATATATATATGTGTGTGTGTGTGTGTGTTATTTTGAAGTGGTTTTAATTCGGTACATCGGCAGAATAGATAGACAGTCCAAAAAAAAATATGCATTCGAATTTGTTTGGTAAATAAGTAAACTGATCAAAGCCTGTCATTCGACGGCTAACTATCAAGACAAACCTTAAGAAAGAGTCTCGAGATATCGCTTTAATGGCTTTAGATCTTCGTGTGCAGAGTTATTTGCATAATATACATATCTGTATTGGCCTATTGGTCAACTCTATAATTTACGAAACGTGTATTGAGATATTGCTGTAATACCCCCCCCCCCCTTTTTTTTTGTCTGTTAATAGTTTCTTGATGATCAGCCAAGCATATATCAATACATAACGTAGATCTTTAGAATATTCTTTTATTTATATTTTTTGTAGAATTTACAATTAAACACACGCGTACACAATTGTATATATATATATATATTGACTTGTTATACATATTTAGGTTTAAACATAACAATGGTCAGTAAACGTGTTCCAAGTAGATCAGGTTTGGTTTACGCTTTTTATAATATAAAGGAATTTCCATTTATTGATTTTTCCGCTCCTTTATTCGGTCGTATTAAGTAAACCAACAATATCCTTTTTGTTTTTTTTTATAGAATAGAATATTGATATTCTTGTAGCTCAATTGGATTGATAAGCTGCTATCAAACATGATGCTAGATCTTATCACACGTAAATAAATAAATAGACATCTAAAAGAAAAAAGGCGTTGGCCAATAGCCTAATTTGGGATCAATATTATATATAGTCTTAATAATACAAAGTAAGTACTCAAAGGGTAACTGTGAAAATTCGTTGAGATTTCAGTATATGTATATATATATATATATATATATACGTGTGTGTGTAATCGAGTTTGTCAATAGGAGATAATAAACCTTAGAAAATAGCCTTTATTTTAATTTTCTATTAGCAGCACAGAAATAATAAAGAACTAATGAAAAGGATTGATCAAAGAAAAGATGATCAATACCACATGTTTCCTTTTTTTATTTTTTTGGATGTCTTTTTTCTTGGGTTCAAATCAATGGGTATCAGACCAACCATTACCAAATCAGAGTATAATATATATATATAAAGAAAAAGAATAAACCAGCAAAAAGTTTATCTCAAATAAAATGTGATTAAAAGGCGCAGTAACGATTACAAGGATTTTTTTAAAAATTTTTTTTGTGCCTTCAATATTGGTTTGGATATAGTAAGAGGATTTATTAGTATGCATACAATTATACATATTTATATATATATATATGTATAATAAACTCTTAATAATTTTTAAAGGACAAGTATTACATTTCAATTCCAATCAATACACACATACACACTTGGATAGCCCGATATTACGTTATGTACAAGCCTTGTCCTACATTCTTTTGATTATAAATTGTAACGTAGAAAGGAATTGCTCGTTGATCTAGAGTATACAATTCTTTATATAATAGTAATATAACCAGTATAATACTTTGACAATACAATTCAAATTTGGATATGGAACTCAAAAACCTCACAGTTTTTATTAATGTTTGTCAATTGTGCACGTTTTTTTTGTTATTTTTCTTCTTCCTTTATTTCTTTATTTTTTGTAACACTAACTTGACTTGACTTAACAAACCTTGATTGATTAGGTGATAAAAGTGGTGGTAGTTGTGGCGCTGGTGATCTCAAGATGTACATTTGATTTTGTCCATTAATTGTGATACGACAATAGCTTTTTATGGAAGGACGCGCTGAGTTTAATAATACTTTTCCTAATATATATATATTTATTTAAGGTTTTTTTTTGTTTCTAATGTTGGACAGTTGCTAAGATACACACGGTTGCTATGGTTGTTGTCTTATGATTTTTTCTTTTTTCTTTCTCTTTCTTCTTTTGTTTTTCTTAAAAAAAAAGTAGAATTATGAACGATAGTAATCATCATAGTAAATAAAGCCCCAAAAAAGAAAAAATTGAAACATTTTTTATTTATATTATCAGGGGATCATCATTCGTGAATCTTTGTGATTATTAGAAAATAAAGTGTAAATTAATCTTATTGACTAAAGCTATTCTTCACTTTTTTTTTCAATTACTAACAAAGACAAATATTTGGTCAAATTCATTTCAAAATAATAATAATAAGCTAGTTTATAATGGCCATCGTATTGTCATATTTCTCCTTTTGCATCTTTGATTTCAGAGGTGAAATTCTTCAAAAAGGTGAAAATCTTGCTAGCCAATAATATTTTCCAGAATATTTTACCATTTTTTTCGAATATCGACGAATATTCACGAATGATGACCATTGGTAGTAGTTTGGTCAATTTACTCTTTACAGCTATTCAAAAAAAAAGTGATTGATTTATAAACGCATGCAGACTCTCAAATTCTCAGAATTAGCTTAGTCCAACCAGATATACCATAGTTTTTTTTTTATTATAGATGTTGTAATAGTGGGATTTCTATGGGTTGTGCCTTTTTAGACCCATATTAAGTAAAAAAGAATAAAATATGAACAAATGTTTCTTTCAAGGCGGATCATTAAAATAAATGATTAGAGATTTTACACACTAAAAGATTTAAAACAAAGCAAACCAAAGAAGAAGAAAAAGAAAGAAAAAGAAACATGTGCGTAATGTTTTAAAACGCAAATACTAATTTTTTGTTTTATTTTCAAGATGATTCAATTCAGGGTACATGAATACTTTTACTGTAATGTATACCATATATGCGATATACTGCATTGTCTATTGGATAGTGAATATGTTATATTCATGTATTAAACTATCCATTTTTATGAGACCAAATTAAATAATATAAAGACCCTTCTTTTTGGTTTGTTTGATCTGTAAGTACCTGACTATTGAATCTATTAAAGGTAACTGTAATGACACTATAACTATACGTAAATATATAAAAGTACTTCTTTTTTTTCTGTGTATAGTATTATGATCGAATTGGCCAGGTCTCTCTGCTATAAAACCAATCCAATAAGATTACTGCTACTAACATTATTGCAACAAAATATTGAAGCGAATTAAATACTAGTATAAAGTGATAGCAATAAGAAAAAAGAAAAGAGTAATTGTAATAATGATGATTCATAAGTCTTCTTCGTTATTTCTTCCTATTAACCGTCTACCATATTACATCATGAATCTCTTATATATAAGTGAAATAAAGTCAAATACATTAATGTATATTTAATGCTTTTGTATTTCTATAGAGTAAGACTATCCAAATACATCTTGGTACCTAATATATATATATATATATATGTATATATGTATAAATCCATAAAAATAAAATAAAAAATCATCCTACATCAGGAGAAATGACGTAAATTTAATTGTCTAAATTAGGAAAAAATAAAGATCGTCATTTCTTCATCAGCCACCATCCAGTGAAGACAAAACGTATATAAGCTGCTTAATCTTTGCACCTGAAGAAAAATAAAAAATAAATAACTATTATCATCAGTCAATCAACTGCACAACACTCTACCGTACTCTACCGCACCTTTATTTATTCTTATATAACCCATGGGTTCAATCGTCTCCTGCCTATCCGGGCTTGTTCGATCAGTAGCCTCACTACTGACAGGACTTGTCAGCGCTGTAGCCAGTAAGTAAACTGAAACAAAATATACTATTATAAGATTTAAGTTAGTTTGGTTCAATTGAGATATTTGAATATCAATGATGCTAATCAAAATCAACAACATATAGGCTTCTTTAGTATGATCGTCAATGCAATCGTATCCTGTATAACAGGCATATTCCATGCCATCGGAAGACTCTGCCCCTGCTGTTAACTTGGGCCATGAGCTAACGTGAAGCTAACACAACCCAACAAAGTTCTGTTAACTCATGGCCAAATCACAATCAATCAAACAAACACAAACAATCCTACTTTATTATATTATATTATATTCTACCCTTTCTTAATATTGTACTTCTTACAAATGCACTTTTATATATATATATATATACTTTACATACGATCAATTTTTTGATGTGTACCAAAACTACACAAAAGAAGAGAGATCATTATGAACAAGTAACACACACCAACAAAACCTCCCCTTCCCTTCTTGTATATTTTATTCCTTATTAAACATATGCACATTTATATGTACAATTCAATTAAACCAAATAAATATAAATATCTATATCTATATATCAATTATCAATTATCAATTCAATATTGAGCTTGATCTAGTATGTATGTTTGTAATGTGTATATATATTATATGTATTCACAAGCTTTCTGGCCTTGGGTTAAATTCATAATCATGCCAACCATGTCGATCAAACTTTTTCTTTTTCTTTTTTAGCTACAAACATAAGAGGTCTATAAAGTCTAGAATATATTGTAGATTGAACTATTTCCTTCCTTCTCATACTTCTAATTCCCATTCGCACATACACACAACAACGACGGCGACGACAAAAATCAAGATATGGAAAATTGTTTTGCTAATGATCAATCAACCCAAAAGTACGAAGCATATCAAATACCAAGTCTTGAAAAGCACTCGAATGGTGAGAGTAACTACAAATAGCCTACTATACTATACTATACTATACTTTCTGCCTTTCTATATATATATATATATATATATATACATTATTTGTTTTCTAATAATAATTGTAGAACATACCACAAGCTCAGATGAAGACGAAGACAACATGATGTCCAGTCATCTACTGCGTTTTAGTGAAACTATGGATGACAGGAGAATTTCTTGTGACGGAACACTTGCATTACCTATCAAAGACAATGAAAAGGTCACACGCTATTCAACAGAATCATTGTACAGCTACAGTTTCACTCCTCTATCTCGAGATCTGGCTTGGGCCAGAGAAAAGAAAAACATAATGGCCAAAGGCATTGATTTTATTAAGCGCATGCGCGGAAAGATAGACCAAGGTCAATACCAATACCAGCAACAGCTCTTACACCAAAGTCAAAATCAAGATCAAGATCAAGATCAATGTGTTGACAAGGAACAATCCACAGCATATTACTACACACCTGCTCAGAAACGACGCGAAAGTTGGAATCCACAACCAACCAAAAGTATGCTTTCGGATTACGCCGAGCCTTCTTCATATCTTGGGTCTCCACATTCGCCTATGACAATTATAATGAATCATTCTGTGTCAGATCCTTTTTCGACTATCTCTAATTATAGCGTACCACCTCAACACAGCATCGACAGTCATAATTCGAGATATATTGTTCAAGCATATTCTTCCATGCCAGTCACTCCTTCTTCTTCTACTTCTTCTAACTCTACTTATACTTCTACCTCTACTTTATCTTCATTTTTATCCTTATCTTCTTCTCCATTGTCATCTTTATCATCGCCGTCATATTATTATTATTATTATTATAATCGTCACAAAAGGGCACTCCATACCCCAACACGTTTCCTCCCCCAAAACCAATCGGTACTCACGACCAGTTCGGACGGATTGATATTGGTGTTTAATGATGTAGCGTCTCTCTATTTTGGAATTGATAAAACATATGTCAAGAAATCCATCTTGGGAATATTGGAAGAGCCCTTTCGACAACAGATCAAGGGAGTTCTCAAACGGCGGAAGAATATGTCAAATATATATTATCTTCAATCCAAAATCAACCGAGAAAATAAGTCTTCCAAAGGAATTGTACTCGTTTGCGGTACTGTGGTAAGATACATATGAATATACATATATCTGTTATCTTCTGATGTGAATTATAGGTCCCTATCCTCAAAGTAAATGGCAAGAGTTCAATTGCCTCACTGTGGTTAAAAGAAAGAAGAAACGATTCTGGTAAACGGGTGTATATATGGATATTTGAAGAAATCTATGAAAGCTCTTTATCGGTTTATATGAATTCAGAGGTAATTAAAAATTAATTTAATAGTAGGAATATTATCATTATTACTTTTTATGAGGAAGAGGAAAAGAAGTAGATAGGTAGATAGGTAGATAGAGGAAGTACACCCAATGCGTTTGTCAAATTCCAAAAAAAAGCATGATATGTGAATTATGTATATATTTATATAAAGAGTAATGTAATATAATATTTCGATCATACACACACATGTATTGCCCTTTTTTTTGGTTTTAGTGCATCATTCAAAAGATATCTGGTGAGATGCAAGAACTGTATGGGTTTGAAGAAACCAATATTGTTGGAAAACACATCAGTGTATTGATCCCAGACTTATCTCCTGAACCAGATGTCCAGTTTGACACCGGTTCTTTTGATAAAATCAGGCAGCTAAAATTCTTTGCCAGTCGATCGAAAAACAACATCTGCTTTCCAGTCATGACTAACCTACAGCACAAAACTCCTGACAAAGAAGAATGTTGCTGTAGATCTTCTTCTACTTTTACTACTACTTCTACGTCTTATTTTTCTTCGTCCTGTAGTGTTTGTGGTGCTGGAGTTGGGGATTCAATATCATGTGTATTAAAGATCACGTCCCTTCCAACAATATCTGGTCTCGTTACAGTGCATGACAACGGGATCATCCAAAGCATGAGTCCTGTACCGGCGAAATATCTGTTTGGATACACACCAGACAGTATTGTTGAGCAAATGAATATAAGCGTCATTCTTCCTCAATTTCCCCTTTTAATGAAAGGCCTGAGGCAGGAACAGAAACAAAATCGAAAACGAGAAACAAAAGAAAAAGAAAAAGAAAAAGAAAAAGAGAAGGAGTTGGGTGAAAGGATGATAAACAACATGATGTGCCGCAAGATTCTAGGCCAAATGACAAAACATTCGGCCAGTAGTAGTAATAGTAGTATCGATGGTGATGATTGGCTGATGAACCAAGACAATGATTTGGGTGGGATCGACACAAGCCAAACAAAGTATTCAGAAGCTTCGCTGCCTGCAATATTTGCTGTTCACAGAGATGGTAGTAAATTCGATGTCGAAATACAAATACATCTTGTTGAGTTATCCGAAACAAGTTTGACTAGTATCTGGGTCACTTACAACCGTACGCATGCTCTATCAAAGCCGCAGAAACAGCCGAAATCCAGACTGTCCAATAACTTTTCGGTAGTTCGTCCTATGGAGACAGTCAAGGAAGAGCAAGTCCAAACGATACCCAATACACCCAAAGTAAGCTTACTACCCTTTATTACACTTTTATAGAATAAGATAATTGATTGTGGAGATAGATCTCCAGAAAACCGACATTGACTAGCCAGAATTCTGGAATCAGATCATTTGCATACTTGTCAGAACAAAAACGGACCCCCATGCTGGTGGGATCTTGTGGCCCATCAGTAGAAACGCCGCAAGATATGATAAAGTCCGAGGTGGTTTGGCATCCCTTGGACGATTACGTTATACTGAGTACCTTGGGTCAGGGAACCTACGGTACTGCCCAACTTGGGTACCGAAAGGATGATGCTGAACAGGTATATAAATAAACAAGTGAAAAAAGGGGGGCCTGTTTTTGTTTTCTTATTCTCCATATTTTGATATAAGATTATGATGTAACTCTTTATTTCTATATATAAATATGTATATATGTAAAACGTGGGCTGTTGGGTATAGACCAAGGTTGTAATCAAAAGCATTGATAAGGCACGAATTTTAGTTGAAGCTTGGACTAGGTAAAGTAATGGGTCGTTTATTTTTCTAGGGAATTCTAATGATGTGAATGATTACAGGGACCGTCGAGTGGGTCTGATACCAACGGAGATACACGTGCTGAAAACACTACAGAACAATCCGCACAATAACTGCTGTCGTCTTTGTAGGTTAATATTATAGATAAGAATATGATAGTAGAGATTGAATTAGGGGTCTTGATACACAGATAAATATTTACCTTTTATCTTCATCTTTATTTTCTATCTTAGTGACCCACATGGAAGACCAGGATAATTACTATGTTGTAATGGAACTTCTCGGCGATGGAATGGACTTATTTGATTATATCGAACTGAACGAACACATGACCGAAAAGGAAATCAAAAGAATCTTCCGTCAGACGGCAGACGCTGTTGGACATCTCCACCAGAACAGAATCATTCACCGTGACATCAAGGATGAAAACATCATTCTCGATGGTTCTGGGACGGTCCAACTGATTGACTTTGGTTGTGCAGCATATTCTCGAAAGGGAAAAAAGTTTGACACATTCACGGGAACACTCGAATACTGTGCGCCCGAAGTATTAAAAGGTGTTCCATACGAGGGTCCACCACAGGACATCTGGAGTCTGGGCATTCTTCTGTACACCCTCGTCTACAGAGAGAATCCGTTTTATTCGATTGATGAAATACTTGAAGGAGATCTTCGAGTGCCGCCTACCGAATTTACAGGTAATTTCAGTATTTTTTATTTTTCTTATAAATATAAAGGCAGAAAGTAAGGATAACCTTGGTTTCCATGCTGATATATCCTTACTGTGTTGCTACGTTATTGTGTTGCTACGTTATTGTGTTGCTATGTTACATATATTATATATTCATATTCGTATTTTATACTACACCGCACCTACTTCCATACCCATACCCACATTTCACCACACTATGATATGACATATATATATATATATATTCCTTTGGTAAAGGACATATGGGGCTGTTGTTGAATATGCTTGAAAGACGGGTAGAAAGTAGATACACCATTAATCAGGTACTGAGTGATCCTTGGTTAGAGTTGGACCACACTTGAGTTTATTAAGCAGGATACAATGCACAATACGCATTACACACATTACACACGTATCTGTATTTTTTTTTGCTCTTTTCTTTTTCTTTTTCTTTTGTTTCATCATAGTAATCTTAACACCTCTAAGTGACTCAAAGTCATATGTCCTGAATAAACACTGTTGCTGTTATTATTATAATTATTAATTGATTGATTACAAGGCTGTTATTCTTTCTGTCTTTCTTTGTTTGCTCAAGAATCTAACGCAAATTGCAGTAAAGATATTCAAGGTACTACACCCAGCAGAGGGTTGATTAGTTAATTGGTCTTCTTACCTTTCTTGTTTGCATAAGCAAGTATCCAAAAATGATATTTTTTTGTCTTTTTTTTCGAAAGCCAAATATAACATTGAAAGTTAGACTGCACATGGATTTTGTATATCGTTACATGAAAAGTGTTGATTTATTTACTTATATAAGAAGATAAATATAGATATAAAGGTATAGTGCTGAGGTAATACACATCTCTAAATGTATATGTATTTATATTCTTTTGCTTTGCTTGCTCACTTGCTTGCTTCTTTGGACTTCACTAGATTATATGTAGTTTAAAGTTTAAAGTTTTGTAGACTAACCAATACGTGAGATATAAATACACAAAGAAGAGGTCACTATAAGTATCTTCTCTCCAAGATAGATATTATATATATATATATAAAGTTAATATGCTTTATTATTTGAATATTTGATATGTGCTTGTACACAAAAACAAACAAACAATCAAATAAATAAAGAGCAGAAATGAGCAGAAAGGAACAAATGAGAGGGGTGGAGTAGTTGTACTCGACAGATGATACAATTTACCAATTGCCGTACCACCATTTGCTACACGCTTGAATTACAACAAAATACATACATACAGAAAGAAAGGATGTGATTATGAATTTGGTCACAGACAAAAAAGAAGAACTATCATATGCTTTCCCTGTGGTTGTGAATTATTTCTTCGCTTATTTCAAGGTAACCCAGCACAGAAAATTGTACGGAATACAAACGGTAGTAATAAGAGCACTTTATAAATAATAACACTTTGCTAATTTTATACTTTGTATATTACAGACACTTAAGAGGAAGAAGAAGAGGAACCAAATTAAAAGGAATTCAATACTTCTGAATAACTCTTGTAATGAAGGGAGAGAAAATCTTACTCCCGAATAGACAAGGCTCAGTAAGAAAAATAAGCTTGAAAAAATAAATGGACTACCCTTGGAAGATGGCAAAAGCTAAAGGAAGAACTTTTGACTGGGAATATTTTTGTCTTTCTGTTCTATTGTATTGATTCAAATTGGGGATATTATTGACTTTATGGTTATATTCTTGGAGTGGAGCCTAACAGAGTTACCTTGACTAACCGACCCCAATGACAGTGACAATTGGAGAGTAAAGAGCCATAAAAAGAAAGACTACCTTGATCCAGTTTTTAGCCAGTCCACTGCTTCTATTAACCAAGTTTGATCCATACTCTGTCTAGATGACTCACGACCTTGTATATTTAAAAGCACATGATATATTCCCGTAAGACATTTAATGTGGTCTTCGAAATTATAACCTACCAATAGTCTTCAAGAGAGCAAGCCTGTCTCTTGAACAATTGAAAGATATCATGGATACAGTAGATATCAGTTCACCTTTAATCTGTTTAAACCTCCGACGATGTCCTTTTTTATCTTCACAAGCATTAAATATATATTGATAGCTATATAGTTTAATAAATTGTAAAGAACTATTCTCATTATAGCACGGTGTGTATGCGCGTGTATATGAATGAAGGTATTTTGAGAGGGGTGGTTTCAAGATATTTTGCTTTGTTGCTTTTTGGTAGTTCCAATAAAAATCGAGAAGAAAGAGAGTCGTGGACGTACACTGACTTTGCTGAACACAAATAAGATTATCATTGAGATTTGTTATTGTGCTTATCTTTTTATCAAATATATTTATTTGATATTTTTCCGATATCAACTCAATAAAGAAATTCTAGTTTTCTGAAAAAGAATGTTCATCACCAAGGTACCTTCCATCGAGCATTCTTCTTTTTTATTGGTTTTCGAATGGGATCCGGGATTGATGCAAGTCAATCAGCGAATAATTGTCTCGGAAGATTCTTTTTATTTCTTACTTTTTCTTTTCTTTTATTCTTCATTAGGGCAATTAGTAGTTTGTTTGTGTGTTAATGGCATGGTAATTACTACATAAAGCTGGTCATTCAATACCTGTATATTATGTTTGAAGAAAAAGAAAAGGAATTAACCAAGTGCAGGGCAGTGCAGTACGGTACAGTGCAGTATAGGATCGAGTAACTAGTAATAATATTATTTTAAAAGTGGTTACAAGACCCTCTCTATCTCTACTTAGCTCGTGTGGTTTAGAGTTTACCAGAGAGAAATTTATAAAGTAAGCGTAATTTGATTTCTTTGAAGACAGTAGTAAATGTATCCCCCCCAAAACCCCCCTTTTAAATTTTAAATTTAAATTTTATATTTTATATTGTATTTTGTGCATACAACAGTTGTGCTCATGACGTACGATCATAATCTTTGTGAAAATTGGTTTTGTCTTTTCTCTTTTTAATAATAATAATAATATATATATAATAAGAGGATCAAATATTCTTATTTGATTTGACTTGTGAATGGGTGGCATCAGGTCGGCTTTAAAGTTCTCCAGCCTCTTTTAATTTATCCCCTTCCACTCTATATACATCTCTTAACCCCTTCTTCCCTGCCGAGAATAAACAACATACATATAGATATATAGAAAATATTTAAAAATGAGAAAATAAATAAAAATCGATCGTCATTTAGATTGACATTTTGGTTATGCACTTTTACATGGGGTCGCTGGTTACATACCTACATATATATATATATATATATATATATAGGAAATGAAGAAGGAGGGAGGTGGAATTGGGGGTGAAAGGGGATGAAATATATAGATATGGAAACAGGAAAAGACAAGTGCTACCCTGTAGTCAAAGCATCGGCCACGTTTGGTTGACTTGTGTACCAATATAATATTTGCCTCTCTTACTTTTTTTGGGTGATATTTTATTTTATTATGATTATAATTGTAATATTTCTTTTCCTTCTTATCTTTTTTTTCTTTCTTTTTTTTATTACTATTATCAGTATTATCATTGTCATTATCATTACCCTTATTTTATTTCCTCTTCTCATACCTTTAGTTCTTCTTCTTCTTCTTCTTCTTCTTACTATTCTTCATAGTTTCTTTCAATGGACCGCATCAGATCTTCAGCTAAAATCACCATTCATTTGGAGAACAGTCAACTTGTTATGCACGGCAGCCCAACTGAATCGTCTGGGTGTGTCTTGCGTGGAGTACTTGAAGTTAACTTTCAAGAGTCGACAAAGGTGAAGTCTATCCGACTAGATTTCTCGGGAAAGAGTATAACGTGTTGGCATACAGGTAATAAAAAAGCAACCAAAAAAAAAAGGCAAATCATTAAATCAATAATGGTGGTTACTCATTATAATTATCATATAATTATTATTATTTTTAGGAAGTACCTCTCTTGATCCTTGCGATGCTTCTTACCTCGACGAACGCGAGTTGATATCCCACGCATGGTCATTTCTTCCGCAGCAATCCAAGCTACACCAAATGAGCGCAGGAAGTCACTTTTACGAATTTGAGCTTTTACTCGCAGGAAATCTTCCCGAGACTGCATATGTAGATCGGTACTATCAAGCCAAATATCAACTAAAGGCTGTGATCGAACGCTCAAAGTTTTTGCCCAACCACACTGAGAGAAGAGATGTTCGAATCTGGCGGCAACTATCAGGAGTCTCGTTTGATTCTAGCCCTGTCTCGGTGGCTGGCCAGTGGACAGATAAGCTAGACTACGAAATCAGTACACCTACAAAGCACTACTTCCACGGAGATCAGATTCCAGTCACACTAAGTGTGATTCCTCTTTCGAACGATATCAAAGTACGGCATTTGACTTGGGTTCTCAAAGAGTACCTGGTCTGTCGGTCTACTAATCGACTGGTCCGTAAAACCGCACAAACCCACTCAAGAGTCATACATCTCTCGCACGACGATGAATTTGGAAAAAAGAACACCGACAGTCAGCCAGATCTATTTGTGAGCTGGGTAAAAGAACTAGCGATCCAGGTGCCAAGGTCACCTGATGCGATACAATGCGATGTACGAAGCAAATCTGTCTCTGTTCGCCATAAGCTCAAGTTTGTCATCTCGCTCCAGAACGCAGATGGCCACGTGTCCGAACTTCGCGCTATTTTGCCCATAGCAGTTGACTGTGCTGTAAATGACAATGGACTGCCTGCATATGAAGAGATTGGCCGTACATCTCCTTACAACCCTCTAGCCATGACTGCTCTTCTGCAAAACTTTGAGAGAAGTCAAGCATTAACATCCTCCCACTCACAATCACTAATATCATCCGAGCAGAGACCTTATGGACCGTCTGATACTTCCTTGAGTAACTCAAGTGCAACACATTTGCCGTCCTACAGTTCTCTGTTTACCACACCTTCTACAGTTTCCTGATTCAACAGATCACAGCTAATTTACAAGAGAGATAGAGAAAAGAAACAAATTGCTCAATAGAAGAGTTCTCTCTGTATTTCTGTCTGTCTGCCAGTTTTACTTTTATATTTACTTTCAAGTAATAGTATTTAATATTTAATATTTAATATTTAATATTTAATTTTTAATTTTTAATTTTTAATTTTCTTTTTTGTACTGTACTGTACTGTACTGTGTTGTATATAATGTAGGAAGCATTTGCGCCTTAAAGAGAATAGTTGGTTATAATATATCCTTTTTATTCATTTAAATATATCTTTTAATCTTAATATTCAAAAATTTTAGCTCATGCAAAACCAATCTAAGAGTCTGAAAATATACTTTACTTTGATAAAACGGCTATATTTGTTACAACGATACTATTTATGTTATATGATACAAAGGCAAGACTTCTTCTTCTTATCTCCATCTTTTGCTTCTATAAAGCTTTCATCTACAAAGCAAAACATCACAAAGAAAAAAGAAGAAGATTTCAAGGCATATTTTCTGTATTTTGTTCATGCTCTTATAATGTAATTGCTTAAACATTTGGAACAGCTTTGATCTCCAATATTTGAAAACAAACTTAACCAGCCCAAAATTAACAAGAGGACATTAATAACCCTTCAATATCTATCTTTCTCCCCCGTGCCTTTTCGTTCATTGATATACAAGTATATATTAGTATATTAGTATGGTACAGAAAATACAGAATATACAAAATATTCCCACACAAATTAAAACTGGTGATAATTTACAGCCAGGATTTATGTTTCCCATCAAACAAACAAATTACCCACAGTCGACCAATCTACCACTACCGCTACTATTACACACACACACACATACACAAGAACACGCACATATATATATATATGCACGCACAAGCGCATACACAATACATATACTTCATACAAAAGGGTCATCTGCTGAGTACACTCTTACTGGTCACATTGACATCAACATCAATAATACACCACGCCCCTGCAAGAATGTAGTGATCTGTACCTGCACCTGTACCTGTACCTGTCACAATCAAAATCAAAATAAAATTCAAAATAAAGGACAAAGCTCAAAGCTCAACACAGTGTATTGTATGTCAGTGCCCTCTCCTTTGGAGCCTTGATCCATTGGTTGTTTCTTTTTTCTCAACACATGCAATAACACCCAACACCCAATGGATACCAATGCTACTAAACACAAAAAGAGCACGCCCTCGTACAGACACGTTGCCAATTGAGTTACACTAAAGAAATAAGCAATACAGTATAATACAACATGCCTATAGAGTGTTGGTTTTAAAGACGTACCTATCAACAACGGTTTGGGTCAAGTACCATCCCAAAAACCGTAAGATTTTAGTGGGGACAGGCTGTTACACAATCTAGCCAATGTGTATCCCCGTTAGGTACACCGGTGACTGGCTATTACGTCCGGCTCGCACTAATAAAGTTGTGTGTGTAACTGTGTTTCGCCTCCTTTCTCCTTTCCCTCCACCATCCGCCCTCACCTCACCTTTACATGTATATAATTGCTTGGCTTGTTGATAATTAAAGTGAAAATGAAGAAAATCATGCAAACGCGGATAAATAACTTTCCGCAATAATAATTTTATTATTTCATATGTGTATATAGATAAATATATATATATATATATATCGGGAGCATTCACATCTTTACTCTACACCATCTTGCAACTTTGGCAAGCGATGATTGCTTTAAGATCATTTAAAATATTTATAGCAAAGAAATAAAGACATTGTTAGCCAAGTCTTACAAATGGCCTAAACTCGCCAACATTCACCACAAGAAGATCTTTGCCCTTTTGTCTATTCTTCAATGATCGGTACAGAGCACCTACAACTACTGCATGATAGCCTTTAAATGTGGCCGTCAATTTAGACGGATCACGGTTGAATTTTTTTTTTATTTTTTGGTCACCAATACCCTTTTCCACTAATACAAATTATTAGTTCTTTCAAGGTGTATTAATGTATTATGTATGTATCACCCTCAATTATGCAACTTCTACTTGCCTTTATCTTTCGTCTGGAAACGTCTTTTTTTTTTCTTCCGTTTTCTTCTATTTCCTTTTGTGTTTTTTTTGTGTTATATTTTCTGCCGCTTTTCACTAATGTGTTTACCATTTCTTCACGCGCTCTCTGTACACCTTGATAAATCTAGAGATATTTTTGTCTCTTTATTTATTTTTTTATTGTTTCTGAAGTGCTTATATAACGTTGATACCAACTTTTGCTTACTCTTACTATTTTGACTTATAGGAATAGCCATTATTTGTTGCTAAAGGGCATTTAAGACATCAGTATTATTTTTACAATAAAAAACAGCTCTGGAGTATCTAAAATAAACAAATTATAACTAAAAATAATATTTCATTTGTCTAATTGTTTTCGAGAATAGTCTCGATCTCAAGTAAAAACACTGTAGTGCATAAACTTTTATAGCTTGAAGTGACAGCATCCAATGATATCAGTTTCCGATTTATTGGCTACCAATAATTTTTTATCTGAGTTTTATTTATTTATTTTATTTTATTTCATTTTTAATACTCAACGTTAAGATTTCAAAACAGTGCCAGGGCTCAATATACATAAGGTCCTTTTATTATTATTGCTATCAGTGACGATGATGATGCGTTATTCTTTTGATCTAATAGATAAATTAGCTTCAGAGCGTTATATATGCAAGTAGTTATATTTTGTCACATAAACAATCGTTTCTACAGAAATAATGATCATAAAACTCAACTGTCTATTGACAAATACTCCAGGTTTGATCCAGGCAAGTTAACTACCAAGAACATCCACAGCGGTTTGTGTAAGCTCGCCAATATGTAAATTTAAATAGAAAATTTAGATTTTTTTTTTCGACAAATATTTAACGGATATCTAAATTTGGGGCTTCACTAAAACATTCGAGCAACAAAAAGATGCGACTTCAGATTTAGGATAAACCGGTGTGGATGGTCTAATATATTATTTTTATAAACCCCTCTAACTCCCCCAATACAGTCGTTCCAACACCAAAGGGCGGCCTTTTAAAAAAAGGGCGGCCAATAAAACAATTCAATGGTCGGTTTTTAAAATATCAATAGGCGGTTTTTTACAATCCCAAAGGGCGGGTTTTCAAAACCCAAAGGGCGGTTTTCATTTTTTCAATAGGCGGTTTTTATTTTCAAAAAGTCGTTTTTTTTTTTTCTAAGATGAGTACTCACTTTTACACTCTTTTCCAAAATTAAAGTCGTGCCCTGCCAGTTCTGAATTCGCATGCTTGCCAAACTCAAAGTCATATGCTTCTATTCATCACGGCTAAAGATATCTCTAAATATATTGAGTCTCGAGGATATCGATGTGCCTACCTTCCGTCATACTCTCCTGAACTCAATCTATTGAGCAATTTTGGTCGGTTGTTAAGAGCAAAGTTAAGCGCAGTAGGCTGTTGGAAAGCGAGACGTTGATGACACGAATCGGCGAAGCATCCAATAGCTTAAGGTTGAGTGACTTCGAAGGTTTTGTTTCTCATTCTTATAGATGCTTAAACAAGTGTCGTAATAGAGAACAACTTTGATGCTCTTTTTTTTTCAGTACTTTACGAAGTAAAAAAAAATTGATGAGAAATCTAGTAGGATCATTTAACCATGTCAACTTAATGTAACCAAACGCTAGCTCAATGTAACCGATGTCTGCTTAATGTAACCGATGTATGCTTAATGTAACCGATGTCTGCTTAATGTAACTGATGTCTGCTTAATGTAACCGATGTCTGCTTAATGTAACCGATGTATGTTTAATCTGATATCAGTTTAGTTACGAGTTTGAGCTTAATGTATGGAGCAAGTGAAAACCATGGTGTTGGATAATTTGGGCAAGGCAGATGATGAGAAAAAAAGTGTGTTTTGTTGGTCATTTCATGCCTTTGTTACATTAAGCTTATATTTATCACGGGTGAGGCCTTTTATGTTACCTATTTGGTATTGGGACCCACAATCGTATACTGTATGAGCAACAAAGAGCCTTGGGGAAATAGAAATTTATTTCATAGAACATTGATATAGGAATGGGCATATATGGAAAGAAGAAAAATGCACATAAGTAAAAAAGACATATTGATTTGATGGAGAAGTATTGATAGACAACTAAAGACTTGATCGTTTTACAGGTGCCTTGCGACAATCAAATTTTAAGATGACCTTGCGATTATTCAGTTCAGCTCGATTAAATGACTCTAGTTTGTGGCCATGATCAATCACAATTTGCTCAATTGTCTTAACATCCCTATAAAGAAAGAAAGAAATCAATAAATATGCTTGGTCATCATGAACTAGATCTGTTTCTATATACTTGACAAAGGTGCGGGCATCAATGGGATTTGTAGAGAGGCCAGCGTAGTCGAGCACAACCAGTCGAATGGACGAAGTCGTTGTTTTTGCAAACATAAGGAAATCTATACGAAGAGAGGAAAAAGAAACGAAGTGGAAAATTAATGGTAGGATCTGGTGCTGTGGACCTTTTTTTTTTTACCTTGCATGTCACCATTTTGGAATCGCAATTGTTTCAAAATACTTTGGGCAGTAGCAGTAGGGGATATATCTCTTGTCAAAAGGTCTGAGCTTGCTCGACAAATGGGCGAAACAAATACTTTTTCACAAAGGTCATTCACGTGTAAACTATTCACCATTTTTTGTAATAGTTCTAGACGTTTTTGTGGTGTTTCTTTTGATGGTGACTTCCTGCAGTAACCGACAGTTATCCAACCCGTTAATTGTCGTGTCATTTGCCGAAATGTTCTGCGATTGAACGTTCTATCCATTGCATCTCCTATTTCCCTCCCCAAAAAAGGTCAGTAATTTACCCAAGGAGTGGTTTTTGTCAACTTACCCATAAATTCAGGTTTCAGCACCCATAGACTTCTGGCTTTGATCACATCATATCCTTGACGAGTAGACTTTGGCCGACCAAAATATCCATCACTAGTTAGCCATTTGTTGATCTGGTTGGCAGTAAACGAATCACCAACATTCGGTATATAGGCTATCACCAGATTGAAGATATCCTTCTCAGTTAATGACTTGAGATCATAAAGATTCTTGACGCTACTAGCTGGGTTTGCTGTCAAAAAGATGCGCAGAAGGTCCATGACACTAGCTTTTGTTGGTTTAATGACTAGAAAAAAATACTAGAGTAAATATACAAAAATGAAATATTGCACTGCTCTCGATTTTGTTACCATTATAACTGTCTGTTGACTTGCACGAGCTGGAACCTACAAAAAAAAAGAAGGATTTGCATTAAAGCAAGGTAATGGTTGCCATTGATACTTTGGTAGCTTACTGCTTTCAACATTATCCAGCGCACAGCTACTGCTTTCGTTAGGTACACTGGAGTCGTTTGTTTCAATAAAGCTGGAGGAATCAACGTGACAAGGAGGTGGTGTATCAGGGTAATCAAGATATGTAAAGGGATCGCGTTCAGCGACTACCTTGCCAATGGCAATGGGTCGTGTGTTGCCTCTCTCCGACGTGTAAACAATATCAAATGGTGTCCCATTAACAATGGCTTTGCACTTCACACGATTTGCTTCCGTTACTGACTCTCCTAGCACCAAACATGCTGCCTGTCCTTTCGTGATCAATGTTGTTGTTGTAAATGAGTATTGACTACTGCTGTAATTGAGAATAAGTCTGAAGGAAATAATATAAGGTCTCAGCTATTCCACTCAAAGGTGTCTACCGATTACTTTATTATTTAACACACAGGTTTAGCATGCATGATAGTGATTATATTTTATATGATGATATCACCATAATATGGGATACATCAGTGGATTATTATAAGCATAATTATAACTCATAAACACATTTACTTTCAATGTTAATACTTCATTGGGACTACACACATTTATATAATTAATCATACATTAATTATCCCAAGATCACATTACTCTGATTAAGGCTCAGATAGAATCGATTACCTGACCCCAGTCATATAATTTTCCTGATCCAAAACAATATAAATAGCAGTAGTAGTTCAGTGTAGGAACCTGGTGAAACTTTGATACAAAATCTTTTCTCAATAAACAAAACCTACACAAGTTCTCACGAATCTTCGTTCCTAATCTCAAATCTTCAATTCTTCCTCTTAAAAACTTCTTCAACTTCAACCACCACAACAGTTGTCATTGCAATACAATGAAAAAAGAAGAAAAAGAAGGGCTACCTTAATGTTACGAGACCGAGCTTAATGTAACCGATGTCAGCTTAATGCGACTGGTTTCAGCTTAATGTTGTCGTAAGCTCACTGCTCTAGAATATTCTAGCTCAGACAAGTCCCTCATGATTGGCTTTGAAATGGGACAAAATTTTTTTTATTGGCTAATTCAAACATCAATTCGCGACAGTTATTTTCTTTTGCATACATATTTTATGTTTATCTCCTTTTTCTTTTGTTGCTTTGGTTATCACAATTGTTAGAAAGTATACCAAAACAATTAGAAAAAGTGAGTATTTTAATATTTTATCAGTATCAAGTTTATTAATAATATTTATTCCTCAATAAAACTGTCATTATTTACAGATATAACCCATCAAGTCCCATTAAATTTAATATAGTCCCAAATCAGCTCCATGAAGAATATTTAACCGCTGTCAAAGAAACTTCTCAAGTCTTCCTTCAACTCGAACCTTCTGGAAGACCGCAATCGAAAAGATATATATATAGCTTGACATTTTAATAAATAAAACAAGAATCTTTTCTAATCTAATTTTCTGATCTTATTCAAACACAAATAATTACGATTCTAGTTTTATCTTGTGTACCTTTCAAACTCAACTCTGACTCTTATTGTAAGTAACTGATCTTAGCTTAAATGTGATAAATACAAGCTTAATTGATATACCAGCTATATATCTTTATCGATGATTACTATTTAAAGGGTGCTCCACCTTTTATCTGATATGGTGTAACATATAATTTATTCAGATCAAAGACTGTCAAATATAATGTCAAAGAACCAGACCCTTTTTCACTCTTTTATTTTAGTATAAATACATCCTCTTTTTTCACTTTAATAAATCTTCATCTTTCTTTTTAAGACTTTCAACAAACTTAACGTTTTACTTTTAACATATTTATTATTAATGTAACAAAGACATGAAATGACCAACAAAACACACTTTTTTTTCTCATCATCTACCTTGCCCAAATTATCCAACACCATGGTTTTCACTTGCTCCATACATTAAGCTCAAACTCGTAACTAAACTGATATCAGATTAAGCATACATCGGTTACATTAAGCAGACATCGGTTACATTAAGCAGACATCAGTTACATTAAACATACATCGGTTACATTAAACATACATCGGTTACATTAAGCAGACATCAGTTACATTAAGCAGACATCAGTTACATTAAACATACATCGGTTACATTAAGCAGACATCAGTTACATTAAGCAGACATCGGTTACATTAAGCAGACATCGGTTACATTGAGCAGACATCGGTTACATTAAGCAGACATCGGTTACATTAAGCAGACATCAGTTACATTAAACATACATCGGTTACATTAAGCAGACATCAGTTACATTAAGCAGACATCAGTTACATTAAACATACATCGGTTACATTAAGCAGACATCAGTTACATTAAGCAGACATCAGTTACATTAAACATACATCGGTTACATTAAGCAGACATCAGTTACATTGAGCTAGCGTTTGGTTACATTAAGTTGACATGGTTAAATGATCCTACTAGATTTCTCATCAATTTTTTTTTACTTCGTAAAGTACTGAAAAAAAAGAGCATCAAAGTTGTTCTCTATTACGACACTTGTTTAAGCATCTATAAGAATGAGAAACAAAACCTTCGAAGTCACTCAACCTTAAGCTATTGGATGCTTCGCCGATTCGTGTCATCAACGTCTCGCTTTCCAACAGCCTACTGCGCTTAACTTTGCTCTTAACAACCGACCAAAATTGCTCAATAGATTGAGTTCAGGAGAGTATGACGGAAGGTAGGCACATCGATATCCTCGAGACTCGATATATTTAGAGATATCTTTAGCCGTGATGAATAGAAGCATATGACTTTGATTTTGGCAAGCATGCGAATTCAGAACTGGCGGGGTACGACTTTAATTTTGGAAAAGTGTAAAAGTGAGTACTCATCTTAGGAAAAAAAAAAAAACGACTTTTTGAAAATAAAAACCGCCTATTGATATTTTAAAAACCGACAATTGAATTGTTTTATTGGCCGCCCTTTTTTTAAAAAGCCGCCCTTTGGTGTTGGAACGACAGTATTTTAATCTTCAAATGAATTCAGCTTTTTTTCAGATTTTCTTTTTTCTTCAACTTAAAATTAAATTCCGATTGTGACTCAGTTTTGTGTGTATATGGCGATTTATCTGTGTACCCCGTTTCCTATCTTTTTTCTTCTTAATTTTTTTCCCTCTCTTTTTCTCCCTTTCTCCCTATCTCTCCTTTTATATACACATACATACATATACACATATATACATACAAGAATATAACATAAAGAATGGGGTCCAAACAAAAGGCAACAGCATTAAACGCCAATGGAATATCTCATCATTCCCATACTGCATTCAAGCAAACCGTAGACAATGACAGAGAGCGCGAGAAGAGACGTCGAGTTGCCGAAGGAAACAATGTTGGAAAAGAGTTTCAAACGGTACATAACCAAAAGCTTATATATATATATATATATATTCAAAATTCACATTCTATACAAAGTGATGAAAATACCAATAACTAATTAATGATAAATATCTTTTGCTTGTTGTTCTTGGGGGGGGGGGACGGGTGGATTTCTTTAGATTGACTTTAATTCTCTTGATTTATCAGTATTGCGTAAATACGTTCGAGTTCATAAAATCAAGGTTCGCTCAAAATCAAACAAAGAAGAACTTGTTGCGGCTGTGTCCCGTCATTTCGCCAACCAAACAGTGAAAGAAGTCGACACGATTACCTGCTTCCTCTACTCATCTCGTTACAGAGGTAAGTTTAAATACTTTTTCTTTGTTGGTGCTGTATAGAATCAAGGCTGATTTTTTTGTACTTAAAAAAAAACATCTCTTTATTATTCTCACAATAGACAGTGTTTTACGACTGCCACTTAATATATAACCAGATCAACGCTCTCACTCTTCCTACACACTTATACACACGCATACAAACACATTCAACATTCAAGACATTCCATATTCACTCTACATAAACATACAATCCAAATTCTCTCTCTCTTTCTTTATTTCTTTATTTCTTTCTCTACCCCTTTTAATTTTTTTATTTTTATTTTATATATCTATTATCTATAGGTATATAAATTCTATAATTTGTTTGTTTGCCTTTAATTCAATTGCTTTGATAATATGTTTCCTTTCTTTATTTGAATAATATATAAAAGTAAATATTTCCAATGTGGAAATCCCCCAATATAGATATATAGATATGTGTGTGTGTCTATGTATAGGGTATGAAATTAGACAAACAGACAAACAGGGTAGTAAATTCCAATTCCCTCTTTAGTGTCATAAGCTTGACTTAGTGGACTGGGTTTTTAGTGTCTTTGAGACTTGTATGCACAAAATCAGTTTTATAAATGTTTTTATAATATATATATGTATAAAAATTATATACGCGTCCAAATAAAATGAAATAAAATGAAATAAAATGAAATAAAATACTCTCTTTTGATATATATAATTAAAACTTAGCACTCTTCCTCGACACCATGAACGATCTGGACTTTTACCTAACACTGGGCGTAGCTCAAGACGCCAGTGAAGCAGAAATAAAAAAGGCTTACCGTAAGCAAGCCTTAAATTATCATCCTGACAAGAACAAGGAACCAGGCGCTGAACAAAAAGTAAGTTTTCTTATTTAAACATTGATTATGGATGACAATCTTACATTACAAACATAATATATATTCATATTCATATAACTCTTAGTTTGTTGAGATTGGGTAACGTAATCTCATTTCTAAAGACCAAACAAGCCTATAAATTTATTTATTTATTGTGATTCTCATTGTTAATCGTTAATTGGTAATTCTTAATTTACATTCTAGTCAAGCATACGAAGTCTTGTCAGATGGTAAGATGAATAATAATAAAGATAATAGCTTCATCAATAAGCCAAAAGAGAGAGAGAGAGAGAGAGAGAGAGGTTTTTCTTTAAAGATACAAAGCCTTGCTTTACAGTCAATATTAACATTTGATTCAATAGCTAACAAGAGGGCAGAATACGACAATATTCTTTTGGGACAGAACAATGCATCATTCAGAGACCCTCTTGAGGAATTTCATGTAGGAGGTTTATGAATATATATATATCTATATATTCAGTGCGCTTTTTAGTTTGTTAATCAATCACTATTATAGTTCTCATCCCCGTTTGATATCTTTGCCCAACACTTTGACATGCACGCCCAAATGCACAATGATTTTCTTTTATCAAATGGGCACCAATTAAACATGTTTGGAGGATTTCCTGAAGGACTAGGATTCCAACCATTTCCAAACCAAGGCTTTCCGCCATTTCCTAATCAAGGATTCCAGTCATTTCAATCATTTCCTACTGTAGGGCAAGGCCAAAGTCAAGGACAAGGAGGATATCAATCATTCTCTTCTTCTACTTCTTCATCTAGCCAAGGATTCCAGTCATTTCCTGGACAAGGAGGATATCAGTCATTCTATAGCTCCAGTACTCCGATGATTGATCCAATGGGCTCTTACAGCAGTTCGTCTTACTCTTCAAACGGAGGTCAAATGCAACAAATGCAACAAATGCAACAAATGTCACAGGGTGGCAATGGATCCATGGGAGCACCATCGTATTCACACAGCTCGTCCACCCAGACAATAACCAATAACGGAGTCACACACTCAATCACGACTACACAAGGCAATGAGGTTAGTTATTTAAACCTGTCTATCTATCTATTATATACAAGCAGAAATTCACAATTTGTCCGTAGGGAACAAGAATCACGCATGATTATGGAAATGGTAGGAGAGTTGTTATCCTTAATGGTCAAGAAATATACAATTCTCTGAATTAAAAATAAAAGCGAGAAATATATACAAGCCAATTACAACAGCAACAGAAACAGCAACAGAATTTAATAAAAGAGAGTCAAAGAAACAAGGTTTATTCACCAGATTTCCCCTCTTTATATTACTATTATAAGCCATAATTATTTATATGTATGTTGGTGACCAGAAATGCCTTGTCTGTAAGACCATCCGTAACAGTGGCATTTCTTGTTTGTTTGTTTGTAAGGAGCGAATGATATGCTCAGATTTATTCAAAGTCTCAGATTGAGTAGGAAAAGAGAAAATTAAAATATTTGTTTGAAAGGTTATGTGAATTATATGATGTTTTTGGCTTTTGGAATTTTATGCTCTTTTTTATTATTATAGAAGTTAGGGTAAAAGTAAGGGTAGAGCTGTACCGGAGGTACATCGCGAGAGCCAAGCTCTAGCTCAGAGCAGAGGCGAGATACTGACTTGCGAGCAGTGTTGAGGACTGCAGAGGGGAGGAAATGGACAGAGTTGAAGTGGAAAGACAGGTGGTGATCCAAAATGACAAGGATGGTCAAGTTAAAGACGGGTGCAGCAGGAATAGCGAGGTTGAGAGTGGGAGGGAAGACGACGAACCGGAAGGCAGCGGATAGTACAGATGGTAAGGGGGCGGTACCATAAAATTCCAACCAAATCCATAGCCATACCGCGGGTTTCAACGGGCAATCAAGAAGAAAATGCGCCTACGTCTCAACGGACCTCGTACAGATTGTGCAAAGAGGAGAGGATACAATGGAAGGCATGATGCGGTGGAGAAGAGCACGACAAGAAAGCTTGTGGTGCAAACCGCGAAACCAAACATTACGTGCCCTGTGAGGAAGAACAAAAGACCAGAAGGAGCGAAGTTGTTGTTGGTGAAGAGGAGGCTGGATGGGGCGAGTATTAACCAGTTGATGGGAACAGGCAGAGCAGTAAGAGCGAGTTGTGAGTCGGGACCAGATCTGACCGGGAAGTTGTGCTAACAGAAGCGGCTGGAGGTCAATGGACAACCCGTCACGAATGTGAAGGTCTGACTGCTGGAATGTCAGTGCAAAAGAAGAGATACATGCCTGAGAGAGAATAGGATGCAGGACCATTGTATGATCGCAAAGTCTATTGAGGATGCGGTTAAGTATGCCAGAACGGGGTAGAGGACAAGAGGGAGCGATGGAGGTGAGTATATCCAAATTAGACCCGATTTGGTATAAATGGTGGACTCACAAATAACGCCAAGCAGATCGATACAAAGGATGAGAGGGAATACTGAATATCACAGAAGACAAAGGCAGGATGAGACAATTGGAAAGGTTGAGCGCTACTCTGTCAAAGTGTCTGGGGAGAGTATCCATAGCCTTCAGGACCAAGTTCAGCGGAGAACCAAGAGTTCGATGGTTGCGAGGACGACTGTCCGGAAAGAGTAAGGGGAGAAGAGGATCAATGGTAGGTACGTCGGAGCGAAGGAGAGTAGAGAGCCATTGGGGAACAAGACCATGAGGCAGTAGAGAATTACGGATAAGGGGCTCCAGCCAGCGAAGTTGGAGAGCACATTGCTGTATCCCAGGATCCAAGATACCAAGGCCACCCTGTAGTCGGGGCAAGAAGAGAGTATCAAAAGCAATGGGAGGAAAGGAGTTGATACGGAAGAGCCCACGCACAATGAAACGAACTCGGTCAAGGAAGGCGGAAGGGAACGAAACCACACGTAGGACATGCAATAGCCGGGAAAGTACAAGAGAGTTCATGATGGTTGCCCGCCCATGAAAGGAAAGAGATCGTAGTCCATGAATACTGCAAAAGGTCTCAATTTTTGACAGGATAGCGGTCTCGTAGGAGTCTCATTGAGTGATGGAGGGAAAAAATGAAAAAAACAGGGTATCAGATAAAGGTATGGCACGTAAGATTATGCCAATCAGTAACATCATATGCACGAAGGAATGTATTCCAGTCGGGGAGTGGAAATCCCGAAAGAGAGAAGGCTTGAGTCTTATCAATGTTTATGCGAGCGTTAGATACGGCAGCGTATGTGTTGAGGTGGTAGTGAGGACGAGACAGGTGAGTTGTGTCAAGAAGAAACCCCAGCAGATCATCGGTATAAGCCAGCAGTTCGACAGGGGGCAAAGAGGTAAGTGTGGGAGAGACAGAGGGTAGAACACCGAGAAATAGAGGATTGTGTATCACGCGGCGAAGCAAAAGCTCAAAATCGAGGTCGAAGAGAATCGGCGAGAGAGGATCCCCTTGTCGAAGACTACGGGCTTGCGTAAGAGGGTGCGAGAGAAATCCATTGGCATTAATCTGTAGCTGCGTAGAGAAAAGTAGATGAGACAGAATTAACGATGGAAGGAGGCCCGAGTGCCGTCTATATGGTCACTCTAACCAGATTCCTGAGCATTTTCTTGTTGAGTGTCCTCTCGCTTAGCAAGTTTGGACTATGACTATGAACAGATGGATACCACAGTGCCCCAGCCCGACTGTCCACAATCCTTCGTGCCTTTTATGCTCTCGACCTCCTTCCATCCCCTCCTCATATTGACTCATATCATGTTTTGGATGGTGTGCTTGCCACAGTGTGGAAAGCGTACTGGCCCACAATTTTTGACGATGTACCTTTTGTTCCTGCCGATGTAGTTGTTTCTGTGAACAAATCGCTTCAATTTTTCTTTCAGTCTTCCCATCTCCTAGACTAGGTCTCTCACTCTTGTGCTCCATCTACTTTCTACTTTCTCCTGTATTATTTCTTCTCTTCGTTCTTTTTCTTCTGTTAATTTTGTTTCCCTCCTCCCTTTGTACGCATTAGGCTACTGCATAGTCCCCACATTTTTTGTGTTCATAAATCTCTCCCCAGGCATTTGGGATCCAATGCGCCAAAAGTACATGTCTTGCAACTGTACAATCACTTGCCAGAAATGGTTTATATGTTTATTTACCCTTCTTCGTCTTTTCACTCCCCACTTGTGTCTGTGATCTCCAGTCTTTCGCAGAAACTTTTCAAAAGACGTTCACTTTGGAAGAGCGTGTCCTTCAAACTGCACAGCTTCTACAACTTTACAGAAAAGAGAAACAAAGTTTCAAGTCATTGACTAGATACGAAGAACATCATTTGGAGAAATCAGCCCTTGATTGGAGAAGGGAAACCTTTTACTCGCCACCAAACAAGAATCCAAAACCAAGGATCCCTGGTCACATTTTCGCCAGATCCAGCAGTCAATTTGTGTCAAGGCTACTTGCAGCGAAACACTCAGAAGACGAAACAAGTGTTTCGTACGATTCTTTTGACTGGGGAAAGAAAGGCGAGAAGTGACACAATAAAATAACCAACGAAACACTCAATGAGAGCCCTTATGCCGAATAAAGGTGCTCTTGAGTGATCTCGGTATAATTATTCTGGCTGTCAGAAAAAAGCGGAATTATATTGTTAGACGTTTGTGGTCTCAGATTTTCAACTTTTTGCACGAAATCAGTGCCTTAGAAAGTGCCAGGTGTTGAGATGATGGTTGTAGTGTTGTGAGCCAAATACCCAATCAAATAAGATATACTTCCTTTAGATCTCAAATAATCCAACAGTCCCTTGGAGAAGAAAGGAGAACGAAGTGTAGATGGGAGGAGCAAGAGGAAGAGGATATTGTTCGTCGTCAACTTTCATTTGGTACTCAACAACTTCCTTTCCATTTTCATCCGTTAACATCACATCGCCGCTGTGCTGATAAATGTTAGACATTTGGTTGTACTTCTAATGAAAAGCAAACCAAAGATAATTTTAACTTTGCGCGAATTTTTATTGCATTAATTCACTAATTATATTTTATTTAGTGCACGATTTTTTAGCTCACGATTAATTTCGAAAAGCGCTATAAAGAAAAGACAAGAGCCAAGGGGTAAAAGAAAAAAAAAAGACTGTGAAATTCGTTGTTACACAATTCGTAATTTTACATAAATTTATTTTTCTCCTTTGGTTTTATTTTTTATTTTTTATTTTTTGAAGTGATTTCAAAATCTCTAGACCGTATTCTTGAGAATGAATGAAGGGAAACAAAAGAAAAGCTCTTCAGAAAAACGTAAACGACACGGCAAATCAAAAGAAAATAAGTCACAAAAATCAAAAGAAAGAAATTCTTCACCAAAACTAAATTCCCATTCACGAGAATCCCTTTCATCAAATTCAAGCATTCCAAGTACAAATCATAATCCAAAACACTCGCCACTACAGACACACCGCTCAAATTCAGTCCCAAGAACAAGTTCACCATGTGCTCTTCCATTCCGACTTCCTCTTAGTCCTTCAACCACTGCAGTTCCAAAAATCAAAGAGATTGTACTCCTAAAGTTAATTCCACAGCCTCTGTTTGGTGATGTCCGTATATTTACCGAGACAAAAGGGCCAGATATCCGACTCAATATCAGTGACAGTATTGCACAGCACAAAAAGATTGCCAGGAAGTACCCGCAATCCATACTTTCTTTTAAAGCTAATAGCAAGAGTTTAGTAAAGAAAGAACCTCTATCTGAAATTACCGTATCTGATCCTTATGCGAATGTACCAAAAAATGAAACTTTGGCATCAAACATACCAAGGGATCTTGGGTCACCAACATTAACACCAACACCAACACTAATATCAGCATTAATATCAACACCGACACCGACACCGACACCGACACCAGCACCAGCACCAGCACCAGCACCAGAACCAACACCAGAACTTGAACTAGAGTTAGAACTAGAACCAGCAACAGTACCAACACAAATATCAACACATGTACCAATAATACCAACTCCCACAACGCCAATAGCAACAATAGCACCAATAGCACCAACAGCACCAACAGCACCAACAGCACCAACAGCACCAACAGCACCAACAGCACCAACAGCACCAACAGCACCAACAGCACCAACAGCACCAACAGCACCAACAGCACCAACAGCACCAACAGCACCAACAGCACCAACAGCACCAACAGCACCAACAGCACCAACAGCACCAATGGGACTAACACCATCGCCATCGCCATCACCAACACCAACACCATCACTTATATCAACAACAGTAACACCAGTACTAACATCAGCACTAACCTCAAGTAAGTCAACATACAAAACGAAAAATACAACTAGTACAGCCGATCTAATCACTCCCAAAGATTTAAAGATACATCCTAGCCCACCCAGGAGACAAAGAGCTATACGATCCACACCTTTTACTTCGCCACCAATAAATGTGGTTCCGCAAGAAGAAAAACCAATAGTCAGACGTGCATTAGCAAAGAGATCTAAACCTTTTACTGCATCGTGCTTATTACCCGAATCACCTATAAATATAACAAAGCATATTCCTGAGAAACGTAGGGCGCAGGATTCTATCGAACTTACTCACCCTGATAACGGACAAAAGAAGCAGAAGCAGAAAAGTGACCATGAAGAGAATAACAATGTCTCATTACCTTCAGATAAAACCTTACCAAACGGTGGGAATAATGTAAGAATAAGAAAGAAAGAAAAAAGGATTGTGAATATCCATTGTGTGTGTATGTGTATATTAACTATTTTTTTATTGTATTGTTTCGTAGGACGTATCTGAAACTATCGTTGATGTGCCTTTGGAAGTTGCAGCTCCTATCAATAATACAAGTCACAAGGAACCTGAGCTAAATGATTTATTGTCAAAAGAGGCACAGATTATTAAAATTTCAGAATCATATCAGTGTGATTTAGAAGCACTAAAGACGAAATACGAAGACGAAGTTAGGATCTTAGAGGCCTCCTACCGTGAACGAATTAGTCAGATTACATTTAATTAATAGTAAACTATCAATTTATCCACATACACATTTGTGGGTGCATGTATACATACATTGAAGTATACAAGCAAGAGAAGAAAGAAGAGTTCAATGCAAGCTCGAAGGGACCTGTACATATACAAGCTTAATAACCTGTCTCTTGGAGTACACTATGGTAAAAAGGAAAAGAATGCTCTTTATTAGTTTACTCAAACTTGCCACATATTTTTTTTCAAGAGTTTTGTTTTTCTAATTTTTGTATTTCTAGCTACAAGTACACTCACAGTCAAAGACGCTTTGACCTCTGCAATATATATATATATATATATAATAAAATGAAATAAGAATATTGTTTTTTCTCCCATTTTATTAATCTAGTCCAACATGCAAGATGCACCATGTGCATGCACTTCACAGATTCTGGTGCGACCCGGATTTTATTGGTAGCTCGCATATGTCTATCAACCGTCAAGTCAATCATTAAGAGAATGGATAGAGAAGGATATCTATAGTCAAGAAAAGGGTCCGAAAGGCATAAAAATATTGATGAGAGGACAAAGAGATGCCTTGAATAACATGAGAGCATTTGCCTGTAGAAAGAAAATAATGAGCTGTTTCAAGTGCTTGGGCTTTGGATTATATACCAGACCCCATAAAATAGCTTTAACTGAAATCCACAAGAAAAGACGGCTGGAATAGGTTCGTAAGTAGGTCGATTGGTCTGAAGAGTAGTGGCGACGTGTTATATGGTCCGATAAATCAAGATTTACACTTAAATTTAGTGATGTAAAATCTACAGCTACTAGATGTAATACTGGCTCTTATTCAATGTGATGGAAAGATAGCCGTGAACTCCAGGATTTTGACTACTGGCCAGTTTAAAGTCTGGATCTCAGCCCTATTAAGAATCTCGGGTGGGCCCTCGAGAGACGTGGGAGGGATTAGAGAGCCATCATCAACAGCTTTGATGATTTGAAAGGCTGTAATGGAATAATAAGGACAAAGAATAGGCGTTTAACTTGCATCATATCTAGCAACCAGTATATATCATAGACGCCTAGTTTTTCTGTTGTCAAGGGAGGCCATAATAAATATTGACGTTTTATTCCAATCATAAACATTTATTTAATGCTTTAATGATTTAGCTATTATTATTGATGAAAAGTTGCATGTTGAATATATGCCTTGATATCCCCCAGGTTTTTTTTTTGGGTGGGGTTCAGAGGTAGAAATTTTTTGTTTGTTTCTGTACAAGCATGTCTAACCTTATGGTCTCGTCTACTCGCAAGGCTTAGTATAGCAAACCTAATGGTGTCTATCCCCAATATTTTAAGGCCATAAAAATAAATAAAATCGAATTTCATTGGACAATGTGTATTTTCTTTTAAAAAATATATATATATTCTCTTTTGTGATTTTTTTCGGACCTGAAGCTTAAAATATAAACATTTCAAAAATGATAATGGTTTATTCACAGACTGAGATTGATGTCACACTAAAACATGCCATAGTATGGAATACACTATCAGCAAGGCTTTAAGTTGCACCTTGAATTCTTTTTCTTTTATTTATTTAGAGCTTATTTTAGGCTAAGATATATTATATATTTTATGAATATGGTAGGGTAAAAGAGAAGCTTACATTATTTGTCTGTTTGGCGATTGTGTGAGTTGTACTGTAATGTGTGAGAATAGCCCTTGGAGTCAATGTTAAGCTCGGAGCAAAAGCAAGGGATAGTGTTGCGGGTAGCACTGAGAGCTAAATATGGCTAGAATTGGATAAAATAGAAATGAAAACAGTGGTGGTATTTCAAAATCGCGAGCACTATCAATAAAAAAAAAACAAAGTAACATTGATAATTGAGGATATAATTGACCTTAAGGCAAACGTCTCAAAGGTGGTTAGAATAATAGAGGAATGATTAGATGTGTTTAATAATTCCAACCAGTCCCCTTATTCATACGGTTGATTTTCATAGATACGGGAAGAAAAAAATACTCTTTTGAGCCGGCTGACTGTTGACAGATAATGCAGAGAAGAGATGATGTATCTATAGGTGCAGTACGGTCAACGATACTATGGAAAGCGAGCTTGAGATGCAAGTCGCGCAACAAAATATTTCATGCGTTTGACGAAGGGTAAATGGCTAGAAATAATGCATCTGGCATAGACCAAGAAGAAGGTGAATAGAATAAGAAGGACTGTATTGGTGAGATCAGATACACCGATTAAATTGAGAGAGAAGATACGTGCTCATGGCTGGAAAAGGTTCAAAGTTGACTAATAAAAGAGGTGAGATGGATAGTAGATTCTTCATGGAATAGAACATCCAGCTGACGAAGCTTTGCCTCTTCAAATTGTGCAACTTGCATTCTTAAATTGTGCGACTCGTATTTTCAAATTGTGCGCCTTTTATCTCTTGGTATTTTACTTCAACTAATAATAAAACAAACTAGAATCATATCACCTTTTGCTTGAGATAAGTAATAAAAGAAAGAAGAAACTCTACTTATTTTACGCAGGTACCTACTTGTCTGAACATATTGTAAAGTAAGGCAGGGTTTTATGACAAATGTATATATGATGTTTGTGGTAGGACGAGTTCATAAACTCAGTTGGCTTTATTCCAAGAAGTCAAAAAGGATGATTGATAGGTCAATGAGCTGGCTCTTCGGAGTAAGAGATGTGAAAACGGCAAGGTCGACAGAATAGGAAAGTAATCAGGACTGGTAATTGGTTTTACTTCGAAACAAGAAGTAAAAAAAAACCAAAAAAAAAAAGTGGCTGGAATCTTATGCACTCAGTAAGAACAAGCAAGCACACACACGTTGGGTATTGTAAAACAGTACATGATTGCTTAAATAGGAATTCCGGTGAGGTTACGCAGTGGCTGATATATACATATATATGTGTGTAAAATAAAAAGAAACCAAAGAATTAGAGTGTATGGGTGCACAATAAACCTAATTTGGTAAAAAGAAATAAAAAAGAAAACAGTTGATTCTTCTTCTTTTTTATAAGAAATAATAATAGAATAATTATATACACTGTATCACTATAGAGACGCGTTTATTTTGTATCCATGGAGAACAGGGTAAAAAAAAAAGATATAAAAAGACCATTGAATTGGGACATTCCTTTTTTCTTCATCCAAAAATCACATCTTATCTTACCATGTCTTACCACGAAGAAGCCTACAACAAGATCAATGCCGTCGAGACTCCTTCTGAGGAGAACAAGGCTGAGTGGACCCACCAGCTTTTGGCCGCTGCCGCTGGTTTTGGTGCCATGCGCGCTTACAACAAGAACAAGGCCGAGAAGGAGGGTGAGGAAGACGACCACCATCTTGCCAAGGAGCTCCTTGCCGGTCTCGCTGCTGCTGCCGTTGACAACCTTGCTGAGTCCAAGGGTATGGACTGGCTCGATCGCGAGAAGGCCAAGCACCAGGCCAAGGAAGAGGCTGAAAAGCTTTATAGTGAGCAGACCGGTTACAACTTCTAAACAACCAATCAAAACCCCAAAACCTTTGCTAGATATAACATATCTTTCATCTTTACACATGTATTCCCCACCACTCCACAACTTCTAGTCCACTGTTACCACTTTGGACAGTTTATCTGTATTTAGTTGATGTTACCCATCATGTTTTTTTATTAAAAGAAAAAAAAAGCAATGCTTTTTTGTTACAATTTGATCAATCGTAAAACTGATATTATTGAGTAGTACACCATGGTAAAAAAAAAGTGAGGCAATTTTAGTAGGAGATTTTTAGATGCTTTTCCAGGGGTTCAAGATTTGTGTCAACTACATTTTAATAAATACAACTTTTCTTTCATTTATATATTTGCTAATGTAGTCCAAAAGTAAAGATGTATTTTTAATATTCATTTTACTTTTATCCCGGAATGGTTTTGCGATTGTGAAAGTATTACTCTCCCACTCTATAATAAAACATAGTCTCTAGATTGTTCAAAGAATAAAATGATATATTATCTACAGCTCCAGTTACAACCTTAATGTACGTACAGTAAAGAATATGGAAACCTGTGATAACTTACCCTCTACTATATTCGGTAACTTTGATGCGATATTGCTACAACTTCGTGCCCTATGTTTTTAAAAGATAGACTTTCTCATTTTTGAATGCGAAACTCTGTACTGTTGCTGCAGATCATGACTTATGAGAATTAAAATTAGACGATTACAGCAATCCTACGGGTACGATGTTTCTTGGTGGAGTACAACGTTTTTATCTAACCAGGCTAATTTGTTGTGAGCCCTGAGCCAGCAACTGTGAGAAGTGGATTGGACTTAACACTCAGTTCCAATCCTCTCCGATCAGAAGCAACCACCTCAACCGCAGACGTTGAGTGAGCAATATCGAGCAGAAGAGGAGCACTGCTTAGCAAGATACCGCAGTAAAAAGAACTTTACATGGAATCTAGAATACTGCAGTATCTCATAGAAATATTATAAATATCACAAATATTATCATGAATAAACATTATCTTTCGTTTCCTGTAAAAGTTCTCTATTTCTCTTTTACTCTTTCAGCCAATCACCGGCTTCCTCTTACTGAGTTAACCCTAGTTTATTTTAAATTAACTGTGACTACCTGTCCGGAGCCTAGTGTCTTTCTCTAATCGCTCAGGGCAAATTTGCCGTGTCCTGGAAACACAATATATTCAATTAATAGCCGTTTGCACCCTAAATTTAGGCTTGGCAACAAAGAAATAATGATTTATCACAAATACACTATATCAATAGTAAGTTATGCAGAGGATTATAAGGAGCTGCTGTCATTAAAGTGTGACGCAATCTTGTTTGACATTTTACTATTAATTAGCCTTCTTATGCGTATCATGTCTTTCTCTTTCTTTCACCTATTGTATCTATATTACCAGAGCTTGAAAGCACCAACTGCTAAGTAATCCCCACTCAACTCTTTTTTTCAAAAGCACAACAGGAAATCTTGATACGACTATTTTGTATCCTGGCGTGTATTAACTATTATAATAAGAATATACCTTTAAGGAGCAGGCGTGGTCTGGTATATTCAAAATGTCGTACCCTGCCAGGAAACGTTGTCCCTATAAATTTAGCGCTAGAAATGCCTTTGATAAAAAAGTGCTATTAGACAAGAGCTTTACTGGTGGTATTCTTACCGAGGATATTGCATTGGAATCAATTTTTGAACGACCTGCCCCTGCTGGTATTGCCACCAAGATCGACTTGAGTACTACTATTCTATGGAGACTGGATCCTGGAGTACGCGATGCTATTGTTGCTTGTGTTGGTGCTGGTGCTGGTGCTGGCCAAAATAGGCAAAGTCATATAATACGTAAAACTTCCACAGGTGAATATTACCAGCTTTCCGGATTCAAGTCTGCTACCATAAAAAGAGCCAGAAATGATCGAGTTAATGTTGATGAACGCCGTCTGATTTCTAACACTCTGTCAACAAGGACATGTAATTGGGACCAATTCAATGAAGCTTTGCGATATACCTTTTGGAGCTTTGAGGCAACCAAAGGCTGTTACTCAACCAGCCTGAGAAACCTCAGATACCATAGTTATAGGAACAAGCAAAAGACACTAGATGAAATGTGCAAGCGACTATTTACAGGGAGCATAAAGTACCGAGAGGGAGTTTGCGATATACAGCAAGCAAACCATCAAAAATAAAAGTCTTTACCTCCTGGGGTCAATACTGGCGAGGTCAAAAGACCTACTTTGGGTGGCATTTGGTGCTGCTCGTTTTGGTGGACTCGGTGGGAACACAGCTCCGCCAACAAAGTCATTCAGAGCGGCTTTGTTAAATTACATCAAACCGACTGGGCGTACCCAAGCCCATATATCCAAGTATGTCGTTATGATCGAGGAGTATCTTACGAGCCAAATATGCCCCAGATGTCCTACAGAAAGTATATCTAACCAACTTGACGACTTGGATGTGAATATCCACTCAGTTCCCAACTGCGAATCTTGTAATACTCGATGTAATAGAGATCATATAGCTATTCTCAATATGAGATATGTCTTATTATATATGGTATCCAACAACAACAACAAAAACAACAACAGACCAGAAGATTTTCGGCCAGGCAAGTTGTCTGGATGTTATTATACGTGAAAAAAGTAACACTATATTCTCACTATAATTTTTGTAAAATTTTTGGATTTCTGAAAAATACCCAAAGACACGGAGACTTATCTCCGATTACACCGTACCCTTCAAACTACTCCCACAATCATCTATTATTTTTATTTTTATTTTTGCCGTAGCGTTAGGGTATTTTAATGGAGTATTGACTATAGTTATAGGATAAACAAACACCACAAAAAATGTAAAGCTTGTATTAACTTACGCTCTATATATGTGACTAAAGGAGAACGAATGAGATATTGAATAATTATTATACAAAAACAAACATATTACTTTTAGTGTCTTGCGGGATTTCTATCGACATACATAACCGTTCAAGATACCCAGTATACTCATAGAATTTCTACAGTTAATATATTTTGAGTAAATAAGAATAGCTACTTTATTATTCGTCTTATTAGTATTGAAATCACTGTCGTAATTAAAGAGTCAATCTCTTAAAGTTCAGGCTGGCTACAAAGTACTATCTGTCTTGGTGAACCACCAAACGAGCCAAAATATGTGTCAAGTATCAATACAATAAAATTCCGTTGATATATCTCTGCTACTCCAAGAGAAGGACATAACGTTGCTGGTGTTATTTATAAAGCCCCTTCTCTCCAACGGTAGACATATTTTTGATATTTAAGAGTATCAAAATACGTAAGTTTGTATTTTTCAATATGTTTCTTTATCAATCAAAAGATACAAGTAGTTTAACAACACACATACACATGTATATATCCACAGTAGTGATTGTGCATAGAGTCTTATCTACATCTTATACTACTAGACCTTAAAAGATAATAATCAACTGCACGATATTTATTATTACTATATATATATTATTTCAAAAGTTTATATGAACGCTCTTATCATTTTTTTATATAGAATGAAAATAAATAAATAAATTATATATATAATCTTCTTTTCTCTACAGGTGGCGCTCTTTTATTATTTTAGTTATCAGTCTACCAGAATAACTTGACTTTTTGTACAATTGGATCTTATACATTCATACACACAACATAAATACCCAAGCATCATTACATTCAACAAAAACAAAAATAAAATAACAAATAACAAATAACAAAACAAACCAAAACAAAACGGACAAAAAAAGGAGAGAAAAGAAAACCTCATGTCTTTACAAAGCCACAACGTCATTACGAGTCAAGATCAGCCAACATGGCCACCCAATTATAGTGCATACACAAGTAAGTAGAGGTTAATCTCAACAAACACAAATCTTATTCTTGCTTGTTAGCAAACGAGAACGATGAAGTGTACGATGTGCTCCAGAAAGAAGCAAATAGTCGACGTGCACCAGACAGCTATAAAGCATTCTTAAGGAGTGTAATTCAGGCCATGGGTGAACTAAAACGCGATGCAGACAAGGCAGAAGCAGAACGCTCAGCTTTTATGGGCTATGTTGACACGCTCAATCGCAATTACCATGATCTTGAGTTATTGTGTCAACAAGAACGAATGGATCGACTTAAAGTTGAAGAAAGGATTCTTCAGGTGATGGAAGAAAAAGAAAAAAAGATTAACACTGATCTAGAAACATCCTCTGAAATCGTACCTCCCGAATCCACCCAATCTACTGAAATTCAGCGTTTAACAGATCAACTGAAGGCTACCGAAGAGGCACACAATAAAACAAAACTTGAGCTGGTTGCGATTACTGAAAAGAATGCAGAGAGCTTAAAATCATTGAATCGATCTGCTGTAGGAAGACTAAAGATTGAAAAGACGATGTTGATGCAGGCCAAATCATTAGAAAACATCTCCAATAAACTTGCTGACACACAAGCCAAGCTAAATGTTGCAAATGAAGCTATTGCTCATCTACAGCAGCAACTTGCAAGTAAAAATAGCAAGGTTGCTCAATACAAGGCTGAAGCAGAGCAGTTAAAGAATGCATATCGACAAATTCTGACATTTAATAATACCCAAGGCGCGTTTAATAACCGTGCTGCCTACGCAGGGGCTACATCTCAAACTACAACGCAACCCGGCTACCAAAACAATACCACTTTGCCGACAGAACACCTTAAACAAATGGCCCAGCACCGAAATATGCAGCAAAGATATCAAGCACAGCAACAAGCACAGCAACAAGCACAGCAACAAGCACAGCAACAAGCACAGCAACAAGCACAGCAACAGGCGCAACAACAGGCGCAACAACAGGCGCAACAACAGGCGCAACAACAGGCGCAACAACAGGCACAACAGCAAGCGCAACAACAGGCACAACAGCAAGCGCAACAGCAAGCGCAACAGCAAGTGCAAAAGCAGGCACAGCAGCAAGTGGGTTTCCAGCATCAGAAACAGGTGTTGGACCACTTTCAACATATTCCCCAATTACAGCAGGCTCAACGGCAGATACACCAAGAAGGTGATAGACAACATATTCATAGACAAGAGGATGATCAGCAAAGTATACAACATGTATTTTCTCCTTTAACAAGTCCCACAAACACCAACCATATAATGTCTCCTCAAAGCGGATACGGACAGCCACCAACTCAGCGGTAGCAAAAGGAAATCACTCTGAAGCTATATGCTATCTTTCGTCAAACTTGCAAAGAAAAGAAAAATCTCCACAAAATGTATTCCCTTTTTTGCCTTTTCTTTAATTCCTTCCATTCCTCCTCTCCTCCCCTATTTCTTTCTATTTATTTATCTTTTTCTTCCTATATTGAAACCAAAGAAGAAGCAAAGAAAAGCAAAGGAAGAAAAAGAAAAAGAATATCTTTTGGTCTTTCTCTTTACCTTTATCTTTCTCTCTTGAACCCCTCTATTGAGTAAGCTAATAATGATACCAATCTATACATTGCTGTACATACACACATACATTTTGTATATGTATATATATAAAACAAATACATATCCACATACATACATACATTTCTTCTTTGAATCATACGAGCATAAGAAGTTAATATAAAACCCAAAGACAATAAAAGGTAGAAGAAGTCCTTTATAGGTGGCCACCTATTAATTCAGAATATTTCATAAAAAATAAATTGGTTTTTATAATGCTAGATCACGAGACCCTTTAACCCACTCACCCACCTACACACCTACACACACACACACATTGGGCGCATTATTTCTCTCTTTCTCTCTCTTCTTTTTAATTTTATTTCTCCTCTTCATTCTTGTTTATCTTTACTTCTTTACCTCTTTCCTCTTCTTTCTTTTAGCATTTCAAAATGGAATGTAATTACTGCCATACTACAAATCGCAAGAATTTCTGTGAAACATGCATCTCAGAAAAGTAAAGAATCAAACATAATAGAATAAAGTCTAATGACTTGTTGGTTGTGATTCATAAATGCGCAGTATATTGATAAGCAATATATATATATATATATGATATAAAATTATATCATGTAATATAATAATAGATTAGAGAGTCATCGGCGAGAATTGAATCCGACCATAATTGAACGAGATTCCCTCATTGCAAAAGCAGATCAACTTGTTACTCAGGCAGCCTCAATCCGTAATCTTCTTTCTGAGAAGAATCGTCGGGCTGCCAACATTGTCAAAGTGATGGACCAACGGCGATGCATAAAGACGGACTGTGAAGCAAGTAAGTAAATGGTCAATATTCAAAGTTTACAAAGGCTGATTATATGCATCCTCTGTTTCTAATAGTGGAGCAACGTATTCGTGACCTACAACAACAAATAGACGCAAAACGGAATCTAGTTAACGAGGGAGGACAGCGCCTCGAGATGTTCGAAGCACAGGAAGCTAAACATGTACACAATATTGCTCAACTCACAAAACGCTGGCAACGCACTCATAGACTCACTGCGGCAGCACGGAGAGTACTAGTCAACGAGATCACAACCCTGTTTGAATTTAAACCAGGTGTGGTGGTGGTTGCAGAGCCACTCCAACCTCTTTCACGTCAGCCTGTTGCGGAACTGGTGGATTCTAGTACTGTGCTACCCCCGGCCTCAATGCCGTTTGCAGGCAGAGGAATTACGAGAGCACAGCAGCAACGGTCACGGGAAGACCTTTATATTTGTGGAATAACCCTTCCACCACGGCCAATTGATGTATCAAGTATAAAGAAAATCGTTCACCAAAAAAAAAGAGTAGAGAGGTTTATATAAAGGTATATATGTGAATACTTACAAATCCTATCGTGGTTATTATTATTATTCTTTTGTATGTGCATTTGAATTTATAGAGTATTCCAAGGAAGAATTAAATGCGGCAATTGGACATGTCATTCATATTCTTGGTTTGATTGTTCATTATCTTGGTGTCAAATTACCTTTTGTATTCTTTCACAAAGGAATATCCCCCTACATACGGTCGGCGTCAATACGGTCACGGCAACAAAGGTAAAAGAAAAGAAGTGCAGAAATAGAGTAGAAGATGCTTTAATGTGTATTGATTGATTGATTAATTAATTAATTAATTAACCAACAAAAAAAATACTTAATAAAGATATCAAAAATATCAAAAAAATAAATAATTCTTTTATATTCATATTCATATTCGTATTCGTATTTGCGTTTTCATTTCATTCTATTCTTTGCTTCATTTTACTTGTTTGGGTGGTGTAGTAGAATGCCATTGTTTCTGGACAATAAGAACCTGAAACGGTTCACTATTGGAATGGCAATGTTAAACTATGATATTGGTTATCTTTGCCACACTCAAGGCGTTGATATTCCCCTGCATCAGATCCCGAATACTCTTCAAGGATTAATGGCATGTTGCCAATCATCTGGTTTGGGTGTGTAAGTAAAAATAATAATAGTAATAATATATATGTATGTATACTCCAAATATTGATGAAAGTATGGTGTATTTACCCTAGTCGCTCGCATGCTATGAATTACCATGGAATCCTGGGGCTAGATTTTCCATTGGATCTCAAGAGTGTCTTGCGAATGACTTCTCTCCGTTTTCGAGACGGATCTATTGCGGCCAGCATTGATACTGAGTTGGTTGGAGATGGTCTATTGAATGATAGCTACTTTAAAGTTCGGCGTCAAGATGGCAATTCCGAAAGTAGGACCAATAATGATCAGCTGCTGGACAGTGATGAGTATGAAGACGATGATGAGGACGAAGACGAAGATGAAGACGAAGATGATGAAGACGATGAAGAAGAAGAGGAAGAGGAAGAGGAAGAAGGAGAAGGAGATGAGGGAGGAGAGGAAGACGCTAATGACAATTGGAATATTGTGGATGTGATGCCTTCATACGGTAGACCGAATCGAGAGGGCGAGAGCCTGTTTCAACTGGGAGCTACAATTATGCCTGGTGTAATGGGAATGATGGAATCTTTAGGTGCACGCCATCCTATGCTGGCGGCTGCACATGCTGAGCCTCCCGCCACACAAGCAACCTATTCTTACCAGCAAGGAATCGAAGCTCTGAGAAGAAAAGGGTTTCTTTAATTGAATATACTTTTTTTTTGTTTATTTGTTTGGTTGTTTGGCTATTTGGCTGCTTGTTTTTTGTTTGTTTGTTTGTTTGGGTGTCTGGCTGTCTGTATGCATGCCTATCTATTCGTTTATTTATTTGAATGAAATAATACAATATTAATAACAGCGATATAAGAATATAGCACACAAAAATGCACAATGCACAATGTACAATGTACAATTCATAATTCATAATTCATAACTCATAATTCATAATTCATAATACAGTACAGTATAGTACAGTAGTTAGACGTATATCTAAACGAGCGTGTTTATTATAGTGTTTTTTTTGGGGGGGTTTTTTAAGCAGAAGATTAACAGTTTGAATCGAGATTTACAATAAGATATGAAAAGAAGGATTGGTTTGTTATATCTATATATAGATATGTGTATAAATGTATGTATAAATGTATGAATAAATGCAAATATATAAAGATATATATTAGACGATGATTACAACAACGTATGAAGGAGAGTAAGAAAAAGAAAAAAAAGGTAAAGAATGAAAGGATGATAAAAGAAGAAGAAGAAATAGTGCATATAAAAATAATATAAGTAGTGATAAAAGAAACCATAAATTTGTAAAATGAAATATTCAATAATATAGAGTACGAAAATCCATTACTGTCTTGTTCATCCACTCTTCTGCAGTCGTTTTAATGCATGTTTCTCTCCATGATCGGCTGCCTTGCGGTACCAAACCATGGCTTCTTTAAGATCACGTCGGGTACCAACTCCGGTTTCATAAAAGTATCCCAGTGTGTATTCTGCTCGCGGCCACTCGCCATCAGCTGCCTTTTGTACCCACTCAAACGCCTGCTCATCAGAAGCAATCAAGAGACCTGGAACACCAGATATGTAATACGTTGCCATTGCAAAACATGCTTCTGGGTGACCTTTTTCAGCAGCAAGTGAATAATAATCCAGGGCGCGCTGGTGATCTTGGGGACAGCCAAGTTCTCCAGAGGCATGACATTCACCCAGTCTGTAAGCTGACGGCGCACAGCCAAGGGCGCATGCCTCACGATAGAGCGAGAGGGCATAGTCAGGGTCAGGAAATACAACCCCGTCGCCTTTTTCATGTAGTGAGCCGAGTACATGAAGAGCCAAAGGGTATTCAGTTGTGGCAGCCTCGGCCGAGCGTTTTAGCCACTTATGACCGTCACGTAGATTTCTTGATAGTCCGAGATGGCCATTGATCTGTGCCATGGCCAACTTGTACATTGCACCCGGGTGGTTCAGTACTGCAGCCCTTCTGTGTGTGTGTGTGTGTGTTTTTAAAATAGAAATGAAAAGACAAAGTTTATTATGTTAATATACATGCATATACATATACATTTATATTTATATTTATATTTAGATATATTAATAGAGAATGGTGATATTCTATAAGCTATAAGCTATAGGCTATAAGCTATAGGCTATAAGCTATAGACTATAGTGTTTAATATTGAATAGCCAAATAAATTGAATATATATTTGCCAGAAAATAATAATAATAAAGGAAAATACTACTTCTATTATCATTATGTATGTAACTTGCCTATAGAATTGCACTGCCTTTGCTTTGTCACGTCTGGTCCCAATTCCTTCTTCGTATGCCTTACCAGCCCTAATGTTATTCAAGGGTTATTAATAAAGGTAGATAAATAGATAAATAGTATTGTTATTAAAATGAAAATCATAAAATCAATCAGTAAATACAGACACACAAAGAGAGTCATTTAAAGAGGAATACATGTACAAGCTATGTCGATCATGCAGGAAGGTATTCAAACAAGCTATGAACCCTCTATTTGTTTCCCCTGGTCTTTTTTTTATTTTTATACATTTTCCTTCTTTTCTCCCTCTTTTTCTTTTATTTGCTGGGGCTGTGGCTGTGAATACCTCCTTTCTCCCCCCCTTCTCCTCTCTCTGCCTTTCTTCTTCTGCTTTCTCTTTACAGTCAATTCTTTTATATGCACATATACATATATACATATATATATATATATATATATGTGTGTGTGTAGATGTGGATGTAGATGTGGATATAGCTGTCTATGCATATGTGAAATTCAATAAAATAAATACCAACTCACTGATAAGATGCATCTGGGTGGTGGTGTTTGGCTGCCTGTACGAAAAGACAGAATGCCTTGTGAAGTTCCGGTTTGGGTTTTTTTGTGTGTTGCGAGCACAAACCAGCTGCGTGCATGTTGGCTAGATGGTATTGTGATTCTGTGTGGCCTTGGGACGCAACCTTTTTGAGTAGTGATTCGGCTTCAAGCAAATAAGATAATCTCATGTTTGTGTCTGTAACTGAGTCCTTGCCTTCCAGCCGTTTGGCAGCTTCGATCAAAAAGATGGCAAAGTTGCTCTGGATGTCTGCATTGCGTGTCTTTTTTGCATTGTCTCGATACATGGTGATTGTCTGAGAATATTCTAAAAGGGAGGCATTGGCTCCTGGTTTGAGGTGTGAGTGGTCTAGAAGAGACTCGCTGCCAACAGATGTTAGGCTACTAGTGGAGTTTCTGAACCAGCTTCTTCGGGGAAAACTTGGGTGAGAGGTTGGAAGAGATACAGATGAGGATCTAGTGCTTGTTCCATTGTTGTTGGCACTCGTGTCGGTGCTGGCGCTGTTAGGACTGATGTTGGGTCTTTTGGTTTGTTGTATTCTACTTTCGATGGCACTTGGCGATGTGTGCGAGGTCACATCAGTAGCCCGCTCTTTTCCTTTGTAAGTTCTATTGACATGTTTGGGGATTTCAGTGACTGAAAGGTCAGTGGCAAATCCAAGGTTTTGGTGTGTTCTTTGGTGAAGGGTTGTCATGTTGGAAAGACAAACAACAACAATACTAAATAATACTAATAATAATAATAATAATAATAATAATAATAGTAATAAAAAGGATTCTGCAAGTTTTTATGGCTATTTAATGTTGCTGCAGAGTTTTTATTTGTATTTATTTGTATTTATTTTTATTTATATGTATATAAATAAATGAATAGCTACATACCTAACATAGATACACTAAATACATACATATACGTATACAAGTATATTGTGTCAAGGTGTGGACTAGAGGACAACCTAATTGAGTGGAAAGCATATAGATCACATGCATATACCATAAAAAATACAGGCCCTTGATTTCTGTACATTTTGCTATAGTTTTTTTTTATTTTGTTTTTGATCGTCAATATAAGATGAGGCTTCATTGCCAAGACTGATATACATGTTTATTTAAATATATAGGCTTATTAATATATCTTTTTTATTTTTATGTTTTTGTTTTTGTTTTTGTTTTAATTTTAATTTGATTTTTGATTAAAGAATCCAAAATAGCTTCAATAATTCTTTACCAATAAAACAAAATGATAAAAAGAAAGGCATAGAGATCCGATTAAGTACAATATATGTAAGAAAGAAAAAATGCAAGAAAATCTCACTAGGAGATTTGTAAATAAATAAGTAAATAGGTAAGTAAATAGGTAAGTAATAGGTAGGTAAATAGGTAGGTAAATAGGTAAGTGAGTATATAATCAAGGGCTTTGTAGTGCTATAATAGGTGGTGAAATTTGGTTAACTTGCGCAGAAAGTGAAGTGCATATACTGGCAATGCAATCCCTCTTTGTTTTTGGTTTTTGGTTTTTGGTTTTCTGTTTTAGGGGATTAAGGCAAACACACCCATACACCTACTCACCCACCCACACAGATACAAAAACATACATACAAATCTGTATATATGTCTTTTAGGCTGTCTGTTTGTAAGGTGTGATAGTTGGGATATGGGTTGTTAGGGTGATAGTCTTTGTTTTTTTTTCTGCTTTTTGTTTGATTTTTCTTTGTACAAAATATATTTCAAGCTTTTGTTTTCTTTGGGCCTGGCCTGGCCTGGTTTGGTCTGGTTTGGTCTGGTCTGGTCTGGCCTGGCCAGGTCTATGTCCCAGTCTACGGCCTAGTCCATTGTCTTGGTCTTGGTCTTTGCTGAATGGTGAAACTATTTGTAGGATGAAACATGTTAAGCTGATATTATTTATTATCTGATGTTTGCTGTTTAATGTTTACTGTTTACTGTTTATTGTTTTTAATTAATAACAATCTCAAACACACTCACCGGAAGACTGGACTTTTCTGGGTCAACACATGAATGCACCAATTTCTACAATTGTTATAAAGTAAAATAAGAATCACGGATTTAAAGGAGGTTAAATCACATACATACATAGATAAACAAATACATGTATGTATATAAAAGAAAGAAAAAAGAAAACTTACTTTAAGACTTGGCACCTTTAGAATTACCCAAATAAGTAGACAGAGAATAATGATAATAGCTGCTAAAGGGTATTCTTGTGGACCTTTTGAGAAGCGTGTATTTGAGGTAGAGGTGCGCCCGCCCTTTTGTTTTGCTGATCCCGAGAGGCCAAGAGCTCGTTGCTTTGTGTCAGTTGTGGGACTCTGGATTGCAATCGGTCTTGTGTATGCCTGGTAGAGTTCGATTGGATCATCCGTCCATGGCGCAGGTCGACTCTTACTCATAGCATAAACAGCTCTTGTCAATGTTTCTGCGATCTCATGCTCAAGTTCCTGAACAGCCTCCTCCTCTTGGCTCTTGATCAACGTTCGGATCTCCTCGCGCTCGGGCTGAGACAAGAAGCTCAACGCCGCCAAACTGCCAAGGTCTGCAGCATCAACATCATTCTGATCAATATCGAATGCATGCGCAGCATCAGCATCAGCACTAGCACCAGCTCCAGATGAAGAAGAATAAGAATCAGAGCCAGGTGCAGGAATTGGTAGTCTATTCACTGCATAGCCTAGGCCTGGAGACTCCAGCTCATCTCGGTCCGATACGATGGCGAGTTTGGTGTCAGTACTTGCGCGATTACTAGACACGTCTTCTGCATCCATGAGGTCTTCCGGCATATCGTCAAACACCTCATTATCATAGTAGGCTGTCTGTTCATTAGAGAACGGGATAACACCGTCCTCATCGTCATTTTCGTTTCCGTTTCCGTTTTCAGTGTCGTATTCTCGCTCTTTAGTTCTGTCAGCTACTAAACTCTCCTCATTATTTGTATATTTGACTGCAGCTTCAATATTTTCTTCTGCTGAATTTTCTGTTGTAAATTCGGGCCTGCCCGCGTGTAATTGAAATTCAATAGTTGGTTTAGTTGGTTCTTCTTGTCTTTGCTGCTGTGGCTGTTGGTTTTGCTGCAACTCATTCTTGGTGCTATGGTAGCTGTAGCCATCTTTGGACTGGTCATATGGTGGGCGAGTATGAGGTGCTCCGTCCTCAGCAATTGCAGATCCTTCTGTTTCGTTTTGGTCGAGCTCATCATTGTCAGTGGATTGGGTGTCCCTGGATAAGTCTGGGATCTTATCAGACAGGGCACGCTTTTGAAGTGAATCACTATGTGCAGCAGAATCCCAGCTGCTTTGAGGAAGATAGGCGCCCTGAACTAATGGGGCTGCCACAAGCGTCGATACTACAATGGCAATAGCTGAGACTCGTTTAAAGTTGTCCATAATTGCTGATATTATAATAATATTTTAAAAAGCCCTTTTGTTTATAAAAGAAAGTATATAGAGAACGAAGAACAAGAAAGACAAGAAGAGCAAAAAAGAACAAGAAGGTATAGAAATAAAGAGAAAGCGAAAGAGATGTTTGTGTCCGTGTGCCTGTGTGCTTATGTGTATGTGCGTGTACTTTTTTGTTATTTTATTTTGTGTGTCTGACTTGAGCTACTTTATATAAGTTTGATTTAAATGGTACACCGAAACAGAAGAGGTTGTACAGAGACTTATTGTGCTCATTCTGTCTTGTCCTGGTAAGCCTAGCACGCTCAAATGATAATCCATGATTCTTGAATAAGCATTGGGCACTTGGAAATCACCTACATATATATATATATATATATATATATGTGTGTGTGTGCGAGTGTATTGTCTCTATTTCTTTTAACATGTTTATCAAGACTAATTTTGCTATAGCAATTACTATGTGTCTACCTTCATTTCTTGGCCTTTTTTTCCCTTCTTTATTTGTTGTATTCTACTATTGAAATGAGTAGCTTAAATTTCCTACTTTATTATATTGTACTTTGTGTGATATATACATACACAATAGATACACAATATATATATATATGTGCGCGGTATTCTGCTTGTTACCTTTTTTTTTATATATTTTGTATTTTATATGTTTCCTTGACAGCAACCAAGGTTTATTCAAATAAGGTACAAAAAATTGATCAAATAACTCCGCGTTTGATTAACACCAGAGCAGCTGACATTGGATCCAGCTCGTGTCTACTCACCAACATTGGGACCTTCATATTATAGAGTTGTACAAGTCAATAAAATGGAACGGCAGAACGTCGAGTAGAATACATGTTTTCTGCGCCAGGATCTAATGGATAATTTTTTGTTGTATATTCTATCCGTCTATTGAATTCTGTAGAAAAATAAGAATAAATTGATAAATATATTAGCCTGTGATTCTAACAAAGTATCAAAAAAAAACGAAGAAGAAAAGAATTACAAAGAGAAAATTTTGGCTTGAATCTCCTCAATTTTCTTCCTCATTGAGATTCCAATTTTGTTTTGTTTCAATATTTTTGAGGTAACCAATTGTTAGATTGACAATTGCATGTACACACACAGTACTTTAAATGTAATTCTATACAGCAAATATCATTAGTTCAATATTTTTTCTCTCGCTCTCTCTCTATATATATATAAATTTCTTATCTTATTACAAATATAATATAGTATGATTTTGGCAGTGCATGTACATGTACATATTATATGTATATAAAAAAGTCATTATTGGTCATATTAGTTGTATTGATCGTGTTAATATTTAATGCCAAGCCCATGGCTAGGTCCTAAATACCAAAGCCTTTTAATCGTTTACTCTTATTTCTTAGATCTGTTGTGTTGGTGCTTTGTTGAGACAGAAAAAGTCAGGAGCTCTTTATTTGATCTGTTTGGATATTTGCTTCCTTTATTTTCCCTTTTTTTTTTTTGGTCGATCACCAAATGTCACACCAGTAACACATCTTTTACCTATTAATACAATCATTATAAAGAGTTTTATCAGTAGAGAATAGACTCTTTACAAGAGGTGTCTGTAGACAACCTGTTAACATTAAAGCAATATTTGTATATTAAAAAAAAGTTGTAAAGTAAATAAACTACACATTCTATAGATATTTATTGAAAGTTAAACAAGTGTGAATATACAAGCTATGATCTGGTAAGACAAACATATATACAATATACGTATGTGAATTTGCAAATCAATATCACCAAAGAAGGAAATATTTATATAAATATGCATTTGTTATAAACATATACAGAGAATTAAATAAGCTGATTTATGTGTAGGTATATGTATATATATGTATATTTAATCACATTATAGTAACTGTACTTTATTTTACCTAATAAAACCTATATCTGGCCTTCAGTTCACTGAATATATCCTTATTTATCGTTTTTATCGATTATTTCTTACTCTCCTTTATCTTATTCTCCCACACCCAATAATCTCGAAGGCTTAAGGAATTTGAGATCTAAGTAAATGCAGTAAGATAATCAACCAATGCAAAGATACTATATATATATATATATATATATCACATTTGTCTATACAGAAACTAACCTTGCAGATGTACTAGACATTGTTTACTCACTCCGGTGTGGTCCAAGTTTAAATGAGTAAGATGAATCATGCCTTTTTGTATAATATTATACATACAATCATTTATAAATGGTTAATATTTACGGAATACAGCCACAATAAATAAATATCTAATTACCTGTTAATCCCTGGACTCCTTCATCCGTCACTTCTTGACACTTTGAGAGATTGAGTGTACGGATAGTACGCGCATAGTGTGTTCGTTCAAAATCACCCATATTCTTCAGAGCTTCATCTGTTACATTAGTACGACTGAGTGACAGGGTTCTCAGCCGAGAAAGTTCTTTATTAAAAAGAAGAAGCAGAAAAAAAAAGGATTTTAATATATTAATAAATAAAGTCCTCCATTCCTCCCCACTCTCCACTCTCCACTCTCCACTCAGACCATTCTTAATTTCTATTTTTTAATTGTTTTGTATTACCAGACAGTGCTTCAATGCCAAGATCGGACGCGGAAGTTCGGTCCAAATAGAGTGTCTCCAATTCCAAGAGATCTAAAATATCACATACACAAATTGACATAAAAGGGATTATTATTTTTAATACACACACACACACACATATATATATATATATATATAGTCATTATAATCAAGGTTATCCCCATGGCTCTCACAATATCCAAGTCATTACCTTTGAGTAAAGCAATGCCATGGTCAGTGACCTTTGTGGCCTCCAAGCTGAGATACTTAAGGTGCTTCATCTTGGCAATCTGCTCTACTCCGACATCCGTTACTTCCAAAAAGCCCGTCAAATCCAGATGTTGCAAAGGAAGATCTGATAAAGAAGCATAACAAGGCACACACACAGACACACACAATTGTGACTAACTGTACATCGTATAATTTTATCTTTTTAATATTTACCTGCATATCTATGGAAGAGGTCATCAAGTTCATGTTCACGGTTAGGAAAGTGAATTACTTCCAAGTGGCAAAGACCTTTATATATATATTTATAAAGAAGCGAAATAAAGTGAATAGGTTGAATATATTATACTATATCATAAACAAACTTACTCTTTGGAATCGCTGCCAGCCCCGCACAAGTAATGGCTTTACAACCCGTTAGCCGTAACTCCTTTAGAGAGCTATAGCCACTAATGGTCTGGATCATATCCTTGTCATTCAATTCTGTATTGCTTATGTCCAGAATACACAAGGGGGCATGGGTCTGGTAGATAGGTTGCTGAGGACCAATACTAGTCATTGCCAATGACAGATAGGATAGATTAACAAATTCTGTACAAAAATAAGAGAATATAAGTATTCATATTCATGTTTATCATTATCATTATCATTATCATTTGTTATTATGAAACACAAGCTTTCTCTTAACACGAACCATTGAGTTTAGATAATAAATCTTTTGATTTGAGTCCCTTGCATCCCTCGACAATCAAGGTATCTAGACTGTCTTTGTATGCAGCAGTGTCGGCCAGCAATTTAATTCCAGAATCTGTGATCTTGGTCTTTGACAAGTTGAGGTAACGAAGTGATGGAAACCCTAATCAAAAATATGTATAGCTTGTAACTTTATCAAATATACTATTTGTTGAATCTTTTACAGTACCTGCTAGGGACTGCAGTCCTTTGTCGGTAAGTTTGCAATTACTGACATCCAGATATTCAAGACGTTTTAGGCCTTGATATTATGTGTATATATATATATATAAAGTCAATTGAATATCATTTTTTTTTAAATAAAATAAGACAAGTCATATTTTGTTGTTGTTAATACTACAACTACTATTTATTATTTTGTACCTTTGAGGTAGTAGATACCAGCGTCTGTTACAACATCACATCCGCGTATACTCAGTTTGACAAGTGAAACTGCAGAATTTGATACACTTAGGCCCTCAAGCAGGGAGTCTGTAGTGAAAATATAGGAATCTAGAATAGCCTGTTGCAAGTAACTATAGCGGGATTCAAGTGTATAGGTATATGTAGGTGTAAGTTTCCGTAGAAATCTCTTGCATTAATAACAATACTTACTATATAGAATAAAACAATCTAATCTAAATACTATCTTTTTTTTGGGCTTTACCATTGATCTGCTATCCTGTGCATAATAGAATTCTCCAACTTTCTAGATGAAATCAAATGTGCCACGAGGGAACTGGATACATCGGGAGATACAAACATGAGCTTCTTAAAAACATTACGAGCCTCAGTTGTAGGTTGAGTGATAAGACCTGTCATTTTTGTTTCATTTTATAAAGATTTAAGATGCGCGACATTAACCAATTATTACTATTATTATTATTATAGTATATCTTACCTGCTACCATACTAGAGCATATGTCTTTTAAGCATCGCACATCTCTTGCTTTTCCCTGGCCTTGACGTAGTATATTTAGATCACCGGAAGCACTAGCAGCAGAATTTCGACTGAGAATAGCATTAAGTCGATGGTCTCTTTGGGAAGGGTTGTTGGTAGAAACTATATCAAGAAAATATAATAATAGTAGTAGTAATAGACACATCAGAAGTAGTTACAAAAACAATATCTTGCTTGGATTATCAAGTCTTGAAATAATAATAGAAAAAACTTAATACACAATGTCATTACTATCATTATTACCTTGTACCTCTGCGGTTGATTCTTCCCCTGGAATCCCCTGCGCTTCTCCCATCACCTCATCCACGGATTCAGTAGGATCTACAAGTCGATTGCCTCCCAGTGTATTGGCCCAATAATCCATTCGTATCTGGGCTAACCCTAGTCTTGGCAGTGTCATATCTTCATCCTCATCCTCGTCGCTATCTTGGTTCTCCATATGTTCATCTTCTTGTTCCAGAACATGACCTGGTTCTTGGTTTTGTTCCTGTTCTAATGCAGGTTCCAATGCAGGCTCAGGTTCACGTTCAGGCTCTGGAGGAGTGGGGATGGTGCGTAATAGATGAAGAGATACATTGGGCACAAATCCTGTATGTGTATGTATTTGCGTATATGTGTATATAATTTGACAATTGGCTGCACATTAATACAATAGCTCCTGTAGAAAGATCACAAACAGGGTTCAAAAAATAAAATAAAAGAATAAGAAAGAAATCAAGAAAAATAAGAGATTTGCTTGCCTGCCTCCAAAAGTGTAATTGATTCTTCTCCTGTCAAACTAAGTTTTGGAAACGCCTTTTGTATATTTGTATTAGTTTTGACTGTATTCAATGGCTCGAGTCCACTCCCCTTCCCTGTATATCTACAAAATAAACCAAATCAAATATGCTTACAGATACAAGGGTAACTTGCTCTTGCGGAAGTATCTGTCTATAGAACTTTCTCTCTTGGTCCAATACCCATTCAAACACATTCGAGAACGGTGTGTTTGAAGGAAACGATTTTCGGTAAGAAGAACCATCACTCGCTCTTATCTACAGATGCATATATATATATAAGCAAACATAATTTGTAATGAATGAATAAGAATGTTCAAAGTAATGCAATATCAGTACATATAATATCTAACATATATATATACAACATTTACTTGTATAAGAGCAGATGCCGATGGATTGACTGTGGGTTGCGGGCGTGATGTTATTGGCTTAGGTTGAATTGAACTAGCAAAAGACTTTTTGGCTTCTCGGTCTTGCTTTATGTTCTCCAAAGCTCTTTTTTTTGCCTAGTTATACAGATTGTATTTATGTATTTATTTTAGTTTATAGGTACAAGTTAAATATTCAAAACATTCACACGCACAAATACATGCTGTAAAGCTAGCTCCCTCGAGATCTGTAAGCACCAAAGAAATAAAGAAAGAAAAGTCTTACTTCATTGTCAAGTAGTTTCTGGGCTTTGATTTCTTTTTGATGTCGAAGGAGTTCCGGAGACCGATTTGACCCTGATGCCTGCTGTGGGGGCGCATCGTTTTTTGGAGACTTTTCCAAGAGGTGGGCACGTCTTAATTTTCGATCCTCCTGATCTTCCTTGATAGCCTGTAATGCCCTTTCGCGTGCCTTGTTGCGACCAAAGAATCCCAAAACACACCCACAAAATTTTATCATTATTATTGTAAAGAAAGAAAAGAAAATGATATACAAGAACAAGAATAATACATCCTCAAAACTTACTTGCTTTTCAGATTGTTTCTCTTTACGTGCTTGAATTGCCATTTTTGAAGAGATATTTTGAAAAGACATGTCTTTGGGAACTTCTTCATTTGACACTAACGAACTGTTGCTATTTGTCTTTTTTTTATATAATTTATTATTATTATTATGGTTGGTTTGCTTTCTTTCTTTGAAAAGAACTCTCTTATTTTTATTTTTGGTGTGTGAAAAATAAATAAATCAAATTGGAAACCAAATGACTTACTTGCCATGAGAGTGGTTCTGATGAGGTATTAGCAGAGGTATCTGACTTTAGTGTCTGTCCTATGGCCTCTAGTGGTTTACTCTGAGCAAGTATCCTTTATTGTTTAAATTCGTATAAATACGTATATTATATTCATATAGAAAATATCCATATGTGTGTACGTGTAGGTACTGTGATTTTATAAAGCACACCGCAGTACAATATAGTGGAATACTATATTATCTTTTCTTTTTACCAGTTAGTGGCGTCTTCTATTTGCGTATGTAGAGAGAGAGCAGAAACACAAAGGTCAAAATCGAAACCGAGGCCTAAAAGGTAAGCCAAATGACTGTCATTAGTGGCCATGCTGTGATTGTGTGTGTGTGCGTGTATGTTTTATTTTATTTTGGTGGAGAGGAAGAAGTTCAGTTGCTGGCTTATGCAATCGAACCTGGCCTTTCCTATAAACTGACCTTTTAAAGCGGAGTTTATGTACATATACTTTTTTTTTGTTGCTGCTGTTGTTGTTGTGTTGCTGCTCATCCAGCATTGGATTCTATTTTTGTTTTTCTTGGATTTCTTTTCTCAAATACGTCGTATTTAGAGGGTCCATAAGGTACTCACAGAGTGATTGATGGAACGATTAATTTAGACAATAGTTCAGATATATGAGTTTAGGCATCAAGCTTTATATGTAATAATTCTAATATATGGTGTTGATAGCAATCAAAGTCGGACATCTATATGATCATCAGCAATAATTTGTCCCTCATAGACAGCAAGAAGATAAAACAAACGGGGTTTCCATATACTTCCATATATAGTGCCGTACTGTCTACTTATGGGAAATAAAGTATGATCGATTATAATTCTTTAATCAATTATCCATAACAGGCAGGAAGTGGGAATGGAAATTATCAAGAAATCACCCCCCTGGGCAACTCCTCGGGAAATCCCCTGGGTTACCTTTTTTTCCGTAGTGTAGCTAGGTCATATTATATTTTTGTTGTTTTATATATATAGGAGTAGATATTGTAGTAAAAGAGAAATAAAAAAAAATAAAGCGGGAAAGTTTATAATGTATAGCGTGAGTGTGTGTAGCGTGAGTGCGTGTAGCGTGAGTGTGTGTAGAATGAGTGTGTGTAGCGTGAATGTGTGTGAATGTGTGTGTGTGTCGAGTGGCCTTTAGATTTAGTATTTTTATTTATTTTTATTTATATATATTTCTTTGTACCTCATTTATATCTCCTACTTCATCATGCGTCCATTCTCACCGTTCTCGCGGAAACCACTTTTACTGATTGGCTTCGTGTCAGTCTTTGTGATTCTGTACAACATCGCCAGTCATCCCCAAGTTTCCAAGTCAATGCGACCAACAGCATACTATGACAATTACGATGAACCTGCCTGTCTTCCTGAAAAACTTCTTCAAACAAAACCACCACGAGAAAAAGCAAAGGCTGCAATGGTTATATTGGTGCGAAACAGGTACACAAATACACATTTTAAATAGCCTGAAAGAAGTATTTATTTTCTTTATTTTTATTTTGGTAACTACCATTCTGATTCTCAATTCTAACTCAATTACTATCATTATTACACAAAAAGTGAACAAGAAGCGATCGCGGAAACAATCGTTAATTTCCAAGACAAATTCAACAAAAACTTCAATTATCCTTATGTATTCTTAAATAACGACCTCTTCACAGACGAATTCAAAACAGCAATGAAACTAGCCGCACCAAATGCAGAAATGAGTTTTGGATTAGTACCTCAGGATCATTGGGGTTATCCACCCTGGGTTAATGAGACCTTGGCAGCCGAGAGTCGGAAACAGATGGATGCTGACAATGTATTTTATGGAGGCATGGAAAGTTATCACCACATGTGCCGTTATCAAAGTGGATTCTTTTTTAACCATCCTTTATTGGACAAGTAAGTTGGGTTTTTTTATTGTTTGGTTGTTTGGTTGTTTGGGTTGATTTTCCCTTTTCTTCTTGGGATACCAAAAAGAGAGAAGGATGGTAAAGATAATAATGTTCACTAATGCTTTGGGTAAAACATCAAGTTACGATTGGTATTGGAGGGTTGAGCCTGGAGTCAAGTTTTTTTGTGATATTACATACGACCCTTTCCTCTATATGCAAAAGAACAACAAGCAATATGGGTTTGTGGTTACCTTGACAGAGCTCAAGGAGACTATACCTACTCTTTGGAAAACAGTTCGGGAATATGCTTACTCACGCAGAATCAACATCACCAGCAATCCTCAACTACTATTTCCTTTCTTTGAAGATGAACAGGGCGACTACAACCTTTGTCATTTCTGGTCTAATTTCGAAATCGCTTCTCTTAATCTCTGGCGTAGCCCTGCTTATCGCGATTTTTTCAACTACCTTGACCAAACTGGAAAATTCTTCTATGAAAGATGGGGAGATGCGCCTGGTGAGGCTCAAATAATAACATTAATATCAATACTAATGTACATACATATGTATATATATGTGTGTGTGTGTGTGTGTGTGTGTGTTTGTGCACTTGTTTATTTTTCTTCTTCTTCTACGATCAATTCTTTTTATTAGTTCATTCTATTGCTGCCGGTCTCTTTTTGGAAACTGATCAGGTACATTACTTTGAGGATATTGGATATCAGCATGATTTGTATCGTCATTGTCCATCTACTGCTAGTGGCAAAGGGTGTCGATGCGATTGTCCAGAAGGCACGAATGACAAGAGCATTGATCATGATCAATACCCTGACAGCTGTTTACCCAAATGGAAGAACTGGGTAGAAACATCAAAGGCTAGAAAAGCCCATTGGATGTGGACATAAAAAAGGAAGGAAGAAAGACAAGCGAAATGAACTCTATTTTTTCCCCTTTTTATCCATATTATATATATATACGTATGTGTGTGTGTGTTCGTGTTTAGTTGCAACAAGTGTATTGAAAACAGCGTTTGTAAACAAGGTAACATTCTATAGAGTAAGAAGGTATCCAATACCAACCACAATTTTTATCCAAAGCAAAAACAAACAAACAAAAAACTCCCATTTTGCATACACACTGTTAGATTTTTGACATCCTTTTCTTTTCTTTTCTGTAATGGTTGTAATGGTTGTAATATAAGCTGTTTATAAATATGTATGGCTTGAGATCACCTTGAAATACAAGAGTATTTATGTATTATCTTGAATGTGAGACATACTTTTATAAGGGCAAATACAAACATCGACAACATATGCTAGCAGGCATAATATGCAATATAAAAATATGTATCAAAAGTTGAGCTTGTAAATGCCATATGACAATACAACCTGGCAGGTATTCTTGTATTTAACTTGATAAATAACTTGGTTTGTTGCAGATATCCACTAACCACCAATTAATTTTTTGGTAATCTTTATCAACTCGTTAGAACGTCGGTTGATATAATTTATGTGCTTTATATACGTATACTTTCAATTAAATTTCTATATACTACAATAGAGGCTACAAAGAGACTCATCTTTTATATATATCTGCATATGAATATACTCTAAATTTATTTGATCTACCATAAAACATACAATACAATTAGTCAAGGCATAAAAATCAAATCTCAAATCGATAGCTTAAGACTAGAATATTTCTTTATATAACCAAACAGTACGAGCATATCTGGATCATAGCTAAGCTCCATCCAAGGCGTTTACATCGGAAGTTACGCAGGGAAAGCTGTCAAGGGCGACATCTCCTGAACAGTACATAAGACAAATATTGCTACCTACAAAATTGACAGACTTCTGAGAAACGCACGATCCAGTAGGCAGGGAACCCCATAAAGCCTTTACCTTGACAGCACAACTTTAGCGATGAACAACCTCTCAAAATTATACCATCCGGAATCACACACAAACCAAGGATTAATGTTGATAATGCAAAAAAAAGACAATGGCTATTCTGCAGCAGTGATTTATTCCAATTTTTATTATACGTGGCGTAAGTATGAGCTTAAAATGGAAGAGCAATAAATTATTATTATTATCTTCTTTTGTTAAAAAAAATACCATAGCATTTGACTTTTTTGAACTTCTACTTTATCTCTGAAAACCAGAGAAAAACTCCTAAATGGTACTGAGCAGATATTATCAAAGAGGCGAACAGATCTAACCAAGAAACAAAGCGGTTACAGTCATTCTCTTCTCCATATATATATTACATTTTTTGTGTAGGCGGGATACCTTTTGTAGACTTTTTATCTATAAGATACTAATACAATATATATGATAATTATTACCGATCGCATATTATCATGGCAACTTTGATCACTCTTATAAAATAGTATCATGCATGTGGAAAGACATACGACCAGGCATTAAAACTGCGAGTACATATTTTGCAAAGGCACGGCATTAGTATATCACCACGTCCTCGTGGCCGAACCCGCCTCAAAACAGAAGATTGCATGTATATATAAATTCAAGCAGTTGGTATCATTGGTAACATTGGTCACAATGATCTTAATGTTCACATGGCCTGCGTTTCCTGTTTGGTCTATTTTGCCGAAAGAAAAGGATTTAAAGCAACGTATACTGTCTCATTTTCTGCCACTTCCTTTTCCCATTAATGCTTATGATTGAAGCATCGAACCAGATTTTAGTGGTGCAAAACTACAAACCAAACTTGAAATTGACAAGCTAGTAGATATCCCTAGTAGCAAAAAAATAATACTTAGCTTTCCATAAAAAAAGCATTCTCTCTGATATAGAATTTTCCTGTGTGCCCAAAGATACTATTGTGAGCTTGTCTCCAAATGTTCTCTTTACAGCATACAATATAATACTGTCAACTAAGCATCCTGTAGAAATACGCAAGGTGGAGGATAAAGAGGCAGACTTTGCGGAACTTGAAGAATTTTCTTGTGCCTACTCTTTTATTTACAATTCTTGGAAACATCCCTTGGAGGACCTGCCACCTTGGTTGTGGGGCGAGAAAAGCGATACAGAGTCTTTACAAGATCGTCAATTTTGCCGATAGATAATTTCTTTCTTAAGCCGAATGTTATTTATACTCAGGTTTATACCCATCCAATATTCAGCTTCGTTCAGCTAAAGGTAAATATTTGAAACCTAAGATCAATCTTCAGCTTAAAAAAGAACGGATATCATATCTGTCCGAACATTAATGGAACCCCAAGATATGATGTGAGCGACCGGACTTTTCGTTTTGTTTTAATCAGCCACATTACACGGATCTTTAAAGTCTTTGGGAAGCAAACAGACCTACTGAAATTTAACTGTAGTAAAATTCAGCTGAAACAAAAGTTTCATATCATGGCAACATACAGATCGGATCCAGTGTAGCTTCGATTCATTGACGAACTCGGATATAATCCGGGAGACAATGAAAGACTCATGGCATAAGTATCGCAAGAAGCTAACACGGATGATAGCCTTGAATATTGCGCATAGCCTTATGTCTATTCTTAAGGCGGACGCACGTACCTATTTTAAAGCTGAAATCAAGACTTTCATGAAAATTAAAGAATGTATGTTGCAAGCAGTAAAAGCAATGCTTCACTTACCCTAAATGTTAGTTGCTGGAAATCTCAAGTTTGAATACAAAGGATCTCGCAAGGAGACCAACCTGAGGATCCAAGAGGTGCGATATAAGTGGCTTACGGTAGCAGAGATGTTTTAATACTTGATGAAGAACCTCGAAAATTTAACATTAGTCTTAAAAATGCTACAATAAGAAGCAGAAGAGAACAGAAAACTACCGGTAAAGAGTATTGATAGAGTCAGAAATATTTTATTTCTGATCATTAACTTAAACAAGTGGCTATAAATACTGCCTTTTGTTAAATAATTAATATTTAAAGTATGGTGTCGTATATGTGTGGAACCAACCACAAGCTAGATTCTAAAATAAAATAAAAATAAAAACGAGTATATGTATTCCAACTGGCTGAACATCTATTTCTAAAAAAGATTGGTCTTATTTAGGTAGAGCTAATAAATGACTTTACTCAAGGTGCTCATGGAAGGTACCAGGGAATGTTTTTTTTTGGAATAGAAATTCATATTGATATGAAAATCAAGCATCATATCTGGAAAACGAAAAGATAGCCTCAAGATCTCAAAAAACCCTATGTAATCGAATAATGTGGCATAAAAAATATTTATGAGATTTGCGAGGTGGCAAGAAAGCAGGGGTAATATTTTATTGATATACCCGCTGTCTGTAAATATTCTCTTATTCTGCTGTCATGGCTCATTGGCCAGTCCCTTGTTATTTATCTACTCCAAATAATGGATAGAATATCATGTTCTACTAAGTAATAACACCAAAATAACGAGCATGTATTCAATATGGCTTCAAACAAAATTTCATCTTTGGAGTATAGTATTTATTATAGCATGGGGCCTATATTTGTAATTTTTGTACGATTTCTAAAAAGAAAATATGAAGTTTAATCGACTGGATACTCTGAGAGTATTTGAATAATACATGAGGCTTGATTGATGCAGACACTAATGATGAAAAATAGATGTCCCTTCTAGAGGAACATTGTTCCTGTGGCTGAACAAATTTATTATATTACACAGCCACAACTCTATTTTCAAGAACAATATCAATTATAAAAAGGAGAAGGGCATCTTTAGATTATTATTTTTTAGTTTAAGCACATTTTAATAGCATGAATATATTCAAAATCCTATTTGGTTATGTATTTAGAATAAGAATTATGGCTTTATTTAAAAAGAAGCTTGGGTTAATAACCACACAATATTGATCGAAAATCAAATTCACTATTTGACATAGATACCTATAATATATATATAAATCATTTAGTTTATTAGAGTAAAATAATAGTAATAGTAATAATAATAATAATAATAATATTTAAAATTAAGAGTGTGCGGATTTTAGTCCAAAAATAAAATAAAAATAATAAAATGTAATTATTATTATTGTTATTGTTATATATATATTGGAATAACCCGGTATTTGTGTAATATGATATTATATAATATAATAGAATATAACATAATAATATCTGAGTGTATTAAAGAAAGAGTAAAAGAAGAAAGAAATTATATAGTTGTTGTTGTTGTTGTTGTTTTTTTGGTTTTCTTTTTCGTTTGGTTTGTTTTTGGTTTTTTTTTGGCTCTCTGCTGTTAAGAATATAAGCAACAGAATGTGGGGAGAAAGGAGGTGGAAGAGGAGAGAAAGATAATAGAAATAATAGTAAGGATAAGAGAATAAAAGGGGAGTAGTAGAGAGGAGGTTAGAAAGGTTATTTAACGAGTAAAGATGCAAAAATAAAGGGAAAGAGAAAGGGGAGGGGGGTGGAACTCAAGTACACGTCGAAAAGAGAAAGAGTAGGAAGAGGGTAATGCAAAACGGTTGAGGTAAAGAGGTAGAGACAAATAGATAGATAGATAGAGAGAGAGAGAGAGTATGGGTAGGTGTGATAGAGAAGTTGCGAAACCAGTTCGTTCTAGTACAGTAAAGGGAATGAATATAATATGAAAAATAATAGAGGGTTTGTAATTTGATTTGACTTCTTTTGTTTCAGTCGAGTGAAAGAGTACGGTCGCCTGAATTGTTCGTGAGTGCATTTGTACTCTGATCTCTCAATACTAAATCACAAAGAATATATGGATTAGTTTACATGATTCAATATAAATGTATGTGTGTGTATCTGAATGTACTTACAATGTAACTTTAGTCCTTTTCCAAAGTTGAACCAACAAATACTGGCATTGATGATTGTCAAGACCAGAAGAAGTAGTGTTACACTTGCTAATGATTCAATGTCCAATATAATAAATAATCTACTATTACAAACCAAGACAAGTAGAAGAAGTAATTTGGATCTTACCAAAAAAGGTCAAGAAGTCGCTGACACCAATGTACTTGTAATGTTGGTTTATGTCATAAATTCTGTAGATTTTGAATACGAAATATGCGACACCAGCCATGAGTCCCAAGAAGAATAAGATCACCAGGGGTCTTGATTCATGACGAACCTGCAGGAAATCCCAATTACAGTTATAGTTACAGTTACAGTTACAGTCACATAGTCACAATTATACAATCAGTTAATATTTGGATTACACAACGACAACGACAACAGCAACAGCAACAGTAACAACAAAAATGATGATTCCTACTACTATATATATTATTTATATTTTTACTTATAATTGTAATCTTACAGCATAAACGGCCAGAATCAAGACGAGACAGGTAATTGGTAGAGCAATAATAGTTAGAGGATATTCGACATCTCCGGGTGTGAGTACGAGAACAAGATATTGGATCGAGTAACCGAGCAAGAAGAAGATGTCCAGTTTAAGGATGGTCAAGAAAATCTGGTACCAGCGATACATGTCTTTTGTTGTTGTCGTTGTTTTATAAATAATGATTAGTGAATGATTCAAATTGAATTTATGTTTTTCTTATTTACTTCGAATTTCTGGATCGGCTCCAATCTTCTTGTAGATACGCCATCTTGAATTATTCATTTTTTTAAATAGCAAATTAAGAAGAGATTATTAAGCAACAACAACAAAAAAAGAATTACTTTCTCATGTGTTTATATAGACAGATGAATTTAATTAAATACTTACCCAAATTCTTGGTAGAGTCTTGCACCAATATAAAAGTACAATAATTCACAAACACCAGTAATGACTGTACAGACAATCAATAACTGGTCAATAAGTGCCTTTAGGTCTTTTGCATTCTGGGAATCTCCAGACGGAGCACCTGGACCCGGATTGATTCCGTCGTTGATGGCGTCGGCTATTTGTTTGAATTGAAAGGCAGCGTAGATAAAGCAACACATATTAAACAATACAAAAGCAATAACTTGAATGGTATTTTGGGCACGAACCTATATATATATATATAATATAATATAATAACAGAATAGAATAAATTATATGAGTAAATTATAAGTAATTGCAAGTAATTATAATGATTATATATATATATATAGTAACAACAAGCCGAATGGGCTTAGTATAGTAAATAGTAAATTATCTTTGATCAGTTTCCTTACAGCATCCCAAGCCAAGCAAACCTGGAACACCTGAGAGAAGATAAAGATCATCAGGTACGAAGGAATAGGTACTCCCAAATTGTGTTTAGTAAAGCTAGATTGGAAATAAGAGAGTTGCAAGAATTGTTAATTTTCATATTTGGTTTATTAATCTACAATCATATACATATAACAAATAGATAGCATAATAGTCATTCTTACTTTGTATTGGTAAATTTGGCAAAAATAACGCTCTCCAAAGCAATAACCACAATGGCTTCAAAGATGGTCAACAGAATCAGGCAGATTGAGTTTCGTGATTTTGACCACACCTAATGTTATATACAAAAAAGAAGAAAAAAGTATACATTTTTTTTGGACATCTTTAGCAAACTAAAAACCAGCAACTAGAAATACTTTCTTATACTTTTCTTTTCATTTAATCATTTATTCTATAGGCCTATACACTAATCATAATAATCATTTGCCTTGAGTCGTGTCTCTGTTCTTTCACGTTTCATTTCAAACATCTTTCGAGATTGTTCGGGTTCATCACTTGTCCTAGCGAAATTCTCTGTCGACATGCTCTTTTTTCTCTGTATTTTTTATATATATTTATTTATATATATTATTTAATTGTTTATTCGTGCTTGTTCCTGTGCCTGTGCCTGTGCCTGTGCCTGTGTGTGTTTGTTTCGGTGTGTTATATTATGTTGTGCGTGTGCGCTGTGTGTGTTGTGTGCCTGTGTGTGTGTGTGTTTTTGCGTAGTTTGTGTAGTTTGTGTATAATTAAGAGTGAAATGCGTCTTTTAGTGTTCGTTTGATGATGGTGATTGTTGACTATTGATTGTTAATTGTCGCTGGCTTGTTTATTTTTCCCTTAATGAAATCGAGAGAAAAATAAGAAAATGGGCAAGAGAAAAAAGAAGAAGAAGAAAAAGATAAAAAAAAAATGAGAAAGAAGAAAAAGATAAATAATAATAATAATAACTATAATTACTATAATTACTATAATTACTACTGTAATTATTAGTATTATTATTACTGTAATTACTGGAATTTCTGTAATTATTGTAATTATCGTAATTATTGGAATTAATAATAATAATAATAATAATTATTAATAATAAAGACTTGACAGTAACGCACACAAACGCACGTATTTTCTTTATGACACACTGATACACCCAAACCGCACGCCAATTATATGTATGTATGTATGTATGTATGTATGTATGTATATAAAATCCAAGAATAAAGGGCCTGTGATTGGAAACAAACAAAACAAGGGAAAGTGATAATGAGCATCAGTTCTTTTTTTTTTTTCCTTTTTGTGTTATTAAATTTATATACCCATAGATAAATTCATAAATACTTATAAGAGAGAACAAAGGGAAATTGAATTAGATAGTAAGCTCATTAGTTACCCACTTCTTCCTCATAATCATCATCACCATAACCATAGTTTTGAATGTAGTGAAAGAAACAGACTAATTATGAATGCCATTAATTCAACAAAAGTTATGACAATTATGACAATTGCTATGCTTTTTTTTTACAACTGTCATAATTGTCACAATTATCACAACTGAAATATTCCAAAAAAAAAACAAAAAAACAATAATAATAACAAATATTTCGTCATCATCATCCTTTGTACTCGACATTTTTTACATTTATAGAATTATAGAATTCCATGTCAAAAACCAAAAAAAAAAACAGCTTTTAAAAATGTCAATTTTTTTCGGTTGTTGTTCTTGCTGTTGCTGTTGTTGTTACTGTTACTGTTACTGTTACTGTTGTCGTATCGGTCCGTTATTCAACCGGTTATTCTTATACATTTATACGTACATATACGCACATATATCTGTATATTATATACATACAATTTGTACTGGTAGACTTTTTTTTGTTTTCTGGAAATGTACTCACCCACACTTGGCTACTTTATATGTGAACAATAACTTTTCATTATATACGTGTATATAAATGTATATTTCATTTTGAGTTTAATTGTACTCTATATTTTCTTGGCATCTATTTTTGGGCTGCTAATTTGTCAGTGTAGTAATTTAGTATAACCTCCCGCTATATAAAATGTTGTTATGTACACACATAATGGTCTGTTGCTTGAAGATAGTATTTGAAACATATGAATACGAAACAAAACAAAAAAAAAGATCAATTTGTTTCAATCTTATTAATCAAATAAAATAAAATAATTCATAAGTGAGTGAGTGAGTGAGTGAGTGAATGTTTTTATGTGTGTGCATTACACAATAGTCAATTTTAGATTCCATACTCACAATGCTTCTTGATTGAATCTATATACACATAATCATTCGAGTCCACTTTTGCTGATTTGATGCCAATAGTTCGATGCGTTACATAAACTAAATTCAAGATGAAAAAGAAGAACTGAAAATAAATACGAGTATTATTATGTGCGACTTTCTCTCTCACTCACTCTTCAATTGAAGGATGCTTGACTATTACTACTTCATCGAATACATTACAATATATATATATATATATATATATCAAAGACAGTCGTACATTTACAGTAACTGTTGATGAATAAGAGAAGCGTATTATCATAAAGCAACTTGTCAATCTCGAGACGTATTAGAAAAGAAAAGTCGTGAATAGAACCACTGTATATGACTCAAAAGAAGATTGTAATAAATGTATGCTTTGTTCCAGTGTATTTTCTGGCACTTGTAGAACAACCGCATATGAAGATTACTAAACGAAACTTTGAACTATTGCTAATAAGAACTGCGACGCTAAATATTGATATCAGAGAGAACTGCTTGTACGTGAGGGAATAACTATTTAAAAATCCAGGCTCTTTTGCTTTTGAGGCAAAGACTAATTGTGTCCACAGCTCAATATCTCCGTTACAAGGAAAACACAAGATGTACTTGAAACAATTCTATGATGAAAATATTCAGGTATACAAAATTGATGTTTTTGATGAATTGAGGTCTTTTGAATATTTTGATTTCTTTTTAAAAGAAAAGAAAAAAAACTCCCCGCCTAAGAGTTCATGAACATTAATTAATTCATGAAAAGAAGTATATTTTATTATGTTTAAACGAGCTAAGCTTAACTCTAAGAAAACTAAAAAGGAATAGGCATAGGCATATCAATATCGCTTTATAGTTTGAGTTGGTTCATAAGTCGAGTATGGTGGATCTCGTCTTTACTAAAAACTGTGTATTCATTGATGAGGCAGGCGTTAGTATAAGCATAAAATCCAATAGAACTTGGGTCCCCATAGAATAAAATTCCCATTATTAAAAATCCCATTCGGTATATATATCCTTAGCCTCACTTATCGGTCACATCTTATCTATTGCTGATGTAGTAAATATAAGTACAATATACACTCAAAATGTCTCCAAGACCAATATACAGTATAAATCAGAATGGCCCAAATCAAACCTAAACAAGCCAAAAGCTTATTAAATTATTTTCAAGTTTTTTGGAGAAATTCAATGTAGCAATACTGAGGTCAAGGGTTCAGATGATTTGTCCAAGCTGCTACCTGGAGCAAACGAGTTGAATCAAACCTCATATGCTTTGAGCAACATGAAAAAAAAACAATTCTAAAATTTATGGTCCATTTCAATGGTAAGGTATGTCATGGCTATAGCACATACTAAATAAGCTTTGTCTCTGATATCAAATACACTTATAGGCAACAACATGATGCTTGAATGTATTATCAATGTAAGTGAAGCTGCCCACATGCGAATAATATAGTCTATTGCTTCTATTCCGACGTCAGGTCGCTTTATTAAAGACAGTGTTTAGTAAAGTTCCCGGAATGTGCCATTGGTATAAATCCATTGCTGATTTAATGTAAGAAAAAAAATAGGTAGGCACAAGTAATTTTTGTACCGACCATACCTCCATTACGTATTTATACAGCCTGCTAATCTTTTTGACTTGAAGTGTCAAATGAGTAAATGAATAAACAGATAAAGAATTAGTTCTATCAAATGATACTATTATATGTTATGAATGATAATGGTGCATACAAGGTTTTTTATATTTTATTTTTCACGAAAAAAAGGGAAGTAAGGTATAAAATGAAAGAATTGACTTATTGTCCGTTGCATTTACTGTGTATTTTTGAGTTATAGTCCAAAGATGGGGTGTGGGTATTATTTTAAAATAATGGCTTATATTTCACACACACACAAAGCTCTTGATACCACCATAGGCGTATTTTCCATTCCATTGATTTCCTGTAATATATATACTTTACATATCAGTCAAAAAGATTTGTTTAGATCAAGATATTTAACCTTTAAATTATTATTATTATTGTTATTGTTATTACTAATACATGTCTTGAGAGTTTGTTTTGTCTAGTATTACTGTAACTTCTCAAATGACAGCCTGTAAAATAAATTTGTAGCTGTAATTTCGTAAAGATAACACATAAATTATAAAGAGAGCTAATTAGTGACCCAGTCTACAATATCCTCTTCTTATCAAGAAAATGCTTCTCAACAGATTTGAGTCGTAGTATTAGGACATCATACTGCAAATCTCTTTTCCAGAACCTCTTCAGGACATAGCCATCTTCATCTCTTTCCATATCTTTTCGTCGTTTTTCACGGTTGCTTCTGTGTAGATGATCTTTGCAGTATCTCTGGGAAAATTCAATATCACGTTTTCCAAGTTCCCATGCCAAATGCCTTGGCTTTTTATTTGTCTTGTCCGAGCATACATGATACCAGTTTTTTCGGGGTATTTGCATCGTATGACTCTGGCTTGGTGAATCAAATATTGGTATTATATATTTGTTCAATGACAAGATGCTTAACAGCCCTGGACTTAAATGTGATGTTGTAGACGATTAGGGTCTCTAGCTGTAATAAAGACATGTCGAAAATTGCTTGCCCACTCTCATCCAATTCAGTATCTCGAATAAGAAGATTGTGTAATTTTACGAATTTAAGATGTTCACAACGAAGGGATATATAGTTGAATAAGCGTAAGGCGACTTTTGTATTTTTGATTTCCAGTCTTTGTAACGAGTGTTGTATGCTAATAGATTGTGGATGTTTTCCAAAATCTACGGAAGATTTTTCTATATACAATGATCGCAAGACTGGGAATTGATTCAAGATATTCTCTATCTCGACACGATATCCATCGACATTTATGTATAGCTCGACTAGTTTTGGGAAAAAGCTGGAAATTTCAATATTCCGCTACTCTTTTGAAAGGGCATAGTCATAGACCCGCATAAACTTCAATGACCCCGAAATAAGTCTGGTGCAGCTATTGAGACCATTCATGTTGCTTGGTTCCTTTTTTTTTAAAAAAAAAAGTTTAAAATTCTCTATATTTACGCCACAGTTATAAAGAGTGTCATAGAATATAGAGAACGGCCATCCATTATAAGAAATGCTGCATGCTTCTGATTTTTTTAAACAGGGAAAGAATCGATCAAGTGCTGACAGTATTTCAACTTGATCTCGATACCGTTGTTGATCGTAGATTAAGTGGCGTGCTATTTTGTCATAAGAATACGATTTGAAATTAAGATTTTGTAGGTGGGGATACTTGATTGCAAAGTATGCTGTCCATGAAGCATCAACAAAAGTATCAAATATGAGTAGAGTTTCAATAGCGGGTGCTGACTTGACGCTTTTTATTACTCTCATATCGTCTTTTGATATTTGTATAAGACCATATTCAACTACTAGATATTCCAACCGTGGCAAGTTGTGGTGAAGTGATTCAAATTGTACCCATGAAATTATATTAGAGTCTCTACCACGCGACGGCTTCAGCGTAAAATGAACAAGACCAGACAATACCGACAGTTTTATGAAACTTTTTTCGAGTTCAAAGGGCTCGTAGTTTAAACTTATGCTCAGATGTGTTAATGAATTCCAGAGACTCCAATTAACCGAATCTGTAACCCGATGAGAATTATCTCGATCTTCGTAGCATTCAAGGTATTTTATCTTGGGATAAACTCTCTGCAAGTCTGGAATGTATTTGATATCTTCATAGGCTATGTGATTAATGTCCAAAGCCCACATGCGGTGTGCATTTGTTTGGTAGATTTTTCTCTGCTTTAGTGGATCAAAAATGTATCGCAAGACATATCTGGTCACTGCCACTTTACTCCAGTAAGCACCCAGAAATGGTTCAGTCCACAGCTTGCAGACTAGAGCACATGAAATGCGGTCTGTTTTAGCAACATGGGTTGCAATGTAGGAGAGAATATTGGGTGGTAGTTTTGCCTCCATTATAATAAATAAGTGAACAAAGTATAAGTAAGAAGTATCTTATCTAAGAAACATATTGTCACCCATTTTATGTAGCCTACTTTCTATTCTTCTTCTTTTTAATGTGAAACGTTGTACATCTTTTAGAATAAATGTCTTTTAAAGACACATTAATAGCCACAAATCCTCTCCTCTTCTTTTTAACTTGTCCTTTCAATCAAAATAACATCTAAAGCCTTTTTTTTTATGGCATTAGATTTACCTAAAAAGGATTTTCTTTATATAATCTGCATTGCTCTTTGCTCTTTGCTCTTTGTATTTATCTTAAACTTATATATTTGCTAGAATATTATCTGCTTCAAAAAAAAACACAAATTCCAGGCTAACCGCACGCAGACCAAAAGGAAAAACCTTGTAGTTTATCTATTTTTATTTGAAAACACACTTCTATAAATATAATTAGGAAATATACACAATATTCAAAAACGAATAGAAGATATATCTGTACCAGAAGAGCAAGAGTTTTGTGAAGCCACCTTACCTTCCCTATTGTTCTTTTTTTTGAAAGTTGATACTCCCACTACGTGAAAGTAATTGCAATTGTCTCAAAGAGGGAGCAGTTCTTTCTGCTCATATGTGCAGAGCAAAATAAACTGTTTTTTCTCTCTATTTTTTGTACTATTTAATTTACGAGACCTCGAGTTGCATTCATGGAATTTTTAACCATCATTTCTAGCAGTAGGAAGATTATACGAGAATTGGAGGAAATGGTTTCAAAAAAAAATTCTACATGTTTCAATTTACCCGTATTTTTTATCTACGAAAACAAGTGAAACAAGTCCTCTCGATCAGATACCCCCAGATCATAACAGATCCCCCATTTCATTGCACAGTGCTATACCGGTCGCAAAGTTTATGGATATGTGATTTGGTAAGCAGAGGTATAATGTGTAAAGCTTTGCACAAGGTGACTTTTTCTGACATTCTTTTCCATGTCGGCATTGACTTTACCAACAATGACATCTTAATATTTTTTAGGACAGAATATATGGTCTCTCTGTTCTTTTGATTACTCAAAAGTCCACCTGACATTTTGAAAATATTCTAATTTACACTTCATAAAACCTATGCAATAATAGAGATTTATAAGATAGTTTAGATAGAAACATGCTTTATTTCTGTATATAAGTACATTAAATTTGATTAACTTGAAGACATAGGGTATATTTGAGCATATAAGAATCTGACATTTCTCCTATATTACTTAATGACAGAATTAGCTCTTTTTTTTTTTACTCTCTTTTTGGTTTGATTGTTTATATAGCTAACTGGACTTCTTTGGCTATCATCTACTCTAATGTTGTAGGCAAGTTCTTAATATATATATCTATTACTTTTCAATACTTCTTTAACATTGCCATTGATTTTCGTCTCTTATCTTTTCTTTTTCAATATCATAATCTTGATTAATGAGACTCACTCTTATATACTTTATTTAACTTTTTCTCTCTCTCTTCTTTCCTTCTCTACTTACTGACTATCGATTATTCCATCGATGTTTATGTTCTGTACTCCCACCTCCTCTTTACTTTTGAAATTAACCTATAGCCCAAATGACTATTTTTTTTTGTCTTTTTCAGAAACCATGATGATATCCAGCTGTTGCATTCAAACCTTACACTATATGATCTCATATTTAATACCAAGATGACCACGTATAGGTCTCGTGAATTATCTTTGTCTCGCTCAGCACTTTTATACCATCGTGCGACAGGATGACTTGAGAATAGACCAAAGAAAAAAGGAACAGCTCAATGACGACCATTCCATATATGCAGATAATTTTATTTATTGAACCTCTTCATCTCTCTGTTTTTTTTTTGCCTCTAGGCGCACAAAAACTAGTTAGTAAGCTTACTGCAATTTGTGGCATCTAGTTCCGTCTACAATAAAACTATAGATATTTGGTGGTTTTTTTTTGTGTTTTATAGAAGATCTATGTCTAGTCCAGTCAAATTGAATCTATCGTACCTTTTCTTTATTCATTAAATTAAATTAAATTAAATTAAATTATTATTATTGCTGTTACTATTAGTGTATATATTGTCAAGTGTCATTTTGTATGTCAAGTTTAGTCTACAGATTTTACTATTTCTGGTGATTTGAATCTTTAACTGATCCTTACTATATCGTTTGTATTATTCTTATTTTGGCTTATTATACTATGGCCATCTCACACTCAGCCCCCAAATTATATATACATTTGTAAAGACATTGCGACTGGTATTTATGACAAAATAATCTTATTTACTTTTGAAACACTGTAGACTGTTCGTTCTATTGAATGTTCTACAAAGAAAGAAAGAAATAAAAAAAAAATGAATATTGTGTATGTGTAACTACTGGATATAATAAGAAAGTGTGATAATAGATAAAAAAAAACAAGTACGCTTATTTTATTTTATATATACATGTAACTGTCATACTCTCATTCACTCTTATTTGCATTTGCATTTGCATTTTGAAAGGTCCAATGTTGCTGTACATATTGTATTTCAAATCAATAATAATCTGTAGCCCATATAAGAATAATAATAATAATAATAATAATAATAATAATACAAAATATTGTACTCCATAATGTGTGTGCGTTTTTGAGACTTTATCCGTGGGTGTCAAAGGTCAAATATGTCCCTAAAGTATAATCTGTATATATAAAAGAAAAAGCGAAACCTTGATGATTCCTATAATGCCTATGATGGGATTTCCTTTATTATATTTCTCTGTATAAATAACTGTACACACATTTGAGCTCGGACTCACCATATCTAGACGGTGCATGGACCTAAAGAATAGAATCCAATGATGAATTTATATACCAAAAAAATAAATGAAAAAAATAAAGAAAATTACTATATTTCTATATCCCCATGATTTTATTATTTATTTATTTATTTAAAATATCAACAAACAAAAACAGTAAAATATCCCTGAATCAACACACCCTTTAACCCACCTTCTTGAACACCATATATTCATATTGTATATCCTGTAAAAACATACCACCTTTTGTGTACATATAAAATACCCGGCAAGTGAGTGAATAAAAGGAGTCTGTTTATAATATTAACAATATAAATAAAAAGTATTACTGTGTGTAGCCTGAGATTCAAGATAGTTTGATACGTTAGTCATTTGTTAAAGTTGGTAAAACACATATACAAGATTCAAAAGTATATTATATATATATATATATAGATAGATAGATAGATAGATAGATAGATAGATAGATTTGACCAAGAGGCATGGTGAACATGCGATCTAAATTTGACTATTGTGTAGCACACATACACCAAATATACAGATACCCTTTTAATAGAGTAGAAACAAACAAAGAAAGGTGTTGCTTAAACACACAAGAACATTCGCTCATGGGTTGTTGTTGTTTGTATTAATGGATATGTTTCAAACTGTACTTCCAAACAACCGACCATTCCACATACACACACAACACACCAAATAATTCTTTTTTTTTTTATATGGAAATTTTTAGCTTCCTGACACTTCTATTGGCTTACAAGTACTAATCAGGAATTAAGCTTTTTTTGTCTTTTTTGTCTCTTTTTTTTTTTTTTTTTTTTTTTTTTAAGATTCAACATCTTGGGTGTAGAATGGTTAGAAAGTGTGCCGAGAAAGGACAGGCCCTGCTTATTGTGTGCCCTGAATTCGATATCAGTTAGCGATACAAAATAATTTTGAAGTGAGTAAGACAAAACAAGACAGTTGAAACTGGAGTACTTGAAGACTTTATTAGACACAATCAACGGTTACCATGACAATAATGCAGTACTAAGGCATTCATAGGTATCCACTGATATGTACACTGTGATCGACGATATTATACTATAGTATAATATCTTGAGTTTCATTGTCATTAATACTTCAAATTGTGTTGTGGATAATAAACATAATTGATGGTCAAGACAATTCAAACTAACCAGAGGATGATAAATATACGCATTTTAGCTGTATATATATATATATATATATCTTAATAGTGTATCAAACTTTTATAATGCCTTGATGATATTGCAAAGAAAATATTTGGGTAATTTATAATAAAGACAGGGTGTACATGCACGGGCATCGACATATATACTTTACATCTTCAAAAGGGGTTTTCTTTCTTTCTTCTTTCTTCTTCTTTATATATACTATCATTAGACTAAAGATCATAGTCTATAGCTTCATATCCATTTTAAAACTAACAAAAGGGTACTTTCAATTGAGTTTATCCTTAAAGTCCTTGTACTAACTACTCTTTATTATCCAACAGTTAGTTTATTTTCTATCTCTCTCTCTGTGTGTGTGTCTGTATCTGTGCTTGTATCTGTGCCTGTGCCTGTGCTTGTGCTTGTTCTCGTGCTTGTGCTTGTGCTTGTGCTTGTGTAAGTTGCTATTTTATAGATATGTTTCCAGGAAGAGGGACAGATATCCCATAATATATTTCTTTTGAAACAAATTATTTCCAACAATTGCGTCCTTTTCCATATTTAAGAATTTTGGTGTCTGTCTTTGTTTCTTTGTTTCTTTGTTTCTTTCTTTGTTGTTCCGAATCAAGAAGCAACTAGAAGGCTGATATAATTCCTGGTTTATTAATGAGCATTTAAATAAGTATATAGTTATAACTATAACTATAACTATATTGCTATTGATATGTGGGTGTATCGGGACGTTTACTTTTTTAGAAACTGAATAAAAAAATAATAAAGACAAGCGGCCAGACCTCTAGCACTGTTGAATGTGCTACAAGATAATAATAACAGCACTAGAGCTAAATTCAAACGAGAAAAATAAACTAAAGTAAAAGTCTATAGATTTACCTTGACTGTTTGTAAAGTCGCAAGAAAGATAAATTCTATCGATTATTTGTGATAAATCGTATAAATAAACAAATAAATAAATAAATAAATAGATAGATGTAAAAAGACCTATATGGCTAATGGTGATCTGTGTGTCTAGAAAGTACATAGAATCAGACCCATTTTAGCTTTAGCTTTATTTTTTATTATTTTGCACAATAAAGATCTATTACATTCTTATTATCAATTTTATATATAATTAGATATATACTTCTTGTATGGTGTACGAGTGTGTACAAGAGTCTATGTCATTTGAATAAAGTAAGTGACATGTATGATATACAAGATTTTATTGGTCCAATAAAAATGGGTTGTTTGAGTAAAAATTCTACTTCTTTGTGATTATGCTATTTTACCTTCTAAGCTTATTTTATTTTATTTTATGAGATTGACTTTCTTTTTTATCCTAGCCTATAGATCATACTTTATCATATTGACCAGTCTCGGACTACAGTACCTTGCCTCGACAATCAAGCTTGGCAGAGAGTAAGAATGACCAAGAAATATAGTCGCACACACACACACAAACGATTGAGATCTGAACAGCCAAAAATAAATAAAAGTCTTGCCCCAGTCGGAACCACGGAAAGTCATACCAAAATGGGTTATTCTTTTATAGCAAGGCCAATTGTACAAGCCAGCCACATGCCCTTCCGTCTATGTGTCTGTACACACATATTTTTCACTTCTGACTTGTCCGTGGGTCTATGCTTTTGCAGGGATAAGAATCCACCAGATTTTATTCATCTTTAGTCTTTCTCTCTTTCTTTCTCTTTTCTTTTTCTCTTTATATCTATCTCTATATACATACATTATATTATATTATATTATATTATATTATATTATATTATATTATATTATATATTCTTATTTTTTTTTTAAGAAAATAAATAAATAAAATAAAAATACACACAAATTCACAAATTCACAAACAACACACACACACACTATCTCTCTCTCTCTCTCTCTCTCTCTCTCTCTCTCTCTCTCATACACTCACATTATTATGGCTGCCGTCCTTCATGACAGTCATCATCCTACAAAGCAGTGCACATCTGCCAGTTGCTGTTCACCTTCACGACTCTGGAAATCTATCCAGTCCATGATCGCAAACGACAGCAGGGATGCCTTCACAACCCTCTCACAGGATCCCGAACGTGCTCCCCATCTTACGCGTGTCTTATTGACCCTTAGAGCAGCAAACGACCCTCTTCTCTTCCCTGCATCCCACAAGCATCGTGTGATCCAATTCGACCTTCCTATCCGATCAGAAGCCGTCCGCAAGTTCGGAAAACAAGTCACGGATCTAAACGCTCTTCAGCTCGCTCTTTTGCAGCGCCGCGACGGAATGGCTCATTTGATTCTGGGCTTTTTGCGACAAACCGCAAGTCCAAAAGAAGTCCAGATTTTTGTGAACCACCTATGGGGTCAGCGTAACAGCTCTCTTCATGTCGCCTGTTTTCTTAACATGCCTCGTCTTGTACGACTTCTGCTCGACTGCGGTGCGGACCCTGCCTTCCGGAATGCCCGTAATCTCGGCCCGGTCGATTGTTCTCATCCCGATTGTCTGTCTGCCCTGGGTCCCCAAAGTCTAACCAGGAAGACCTCATCTACTGCAACAAGTATTGCAACAATAACAAACCGCCCCCGAGCAGCATCATCGGCAGCCGCGATTTCAACAGCAACAACAACAACAAAAACAACAACTGCAATTGCAAAAATAACAGTAACCGTCCCATCCGCACCCCGCCAATCATCCGTCCAGCCACTACCTTCCCTCCTCATGAAAAAAGCCGTCCAGGGCACAGAGGAAGCTCGTGAGCCCATCAGACTTCCTATCCCACAAGACTATTTTGCTTCTGTCCAAATTGATCAGAAGAAGCGTCTTGGTGCTCAGCAAGATACCATTTATCCCGTCACAGATGATCTTATTTCGCGTCCAACGCTTTCCCCCTTATCCTTTTCATCGTCATCTTCTACATCATCCTTCTCATCTCTTTCGTCAGTCGAAGAACCCATTCAAGACACAGCCAAAGCCGCATCCTCTACACCACTCGATCGCTGCTGGTCACCCCCAGCCTTGCCCTCGGCTCCTTCTCCAGCATCGGAGTGGGATAGCTGGGCAATCCAGGGTTCACTTAAACTGCCGAGACCATCGTGTTTCCCATCAGTCCCAACTGATTATCAACACCAGGCAGCTGAAGAAGATGCAGACGAAGAAGCCGAAGAAGCCGAAGATGATGAAGATGAAGATGACGAAGACGAAGACGAAGACGAAGACGAAGAGAATGTAGTAACAGTAGTAGAAGAAATAGAAGGAGAAAACCGGCCTACTGTGAGCGAAAAGCACACCCACCCACCACGTCAGGTACATTTTATGCCCCAGATTGTACTCGTTGACGCCTGTGTCCGAGGTGATCTTACCGAGCTCACGGAAATCATTGACCGGACAATTGAGCAGTCCGGAATCTTCTCTATGCGACACACAACAGGGGATGTTCACAACCGTTCGCTGCTGCATCTTGCCTTAATGCACGGTCATGAGTCCGTGGTCCGTTACCTCGTACAAGATGCAAATATTAATATGAACCATCCTGACAATGACGGTAAGTTTCTTTTGACAATATAAATGTTGGGTAGATAAGTAGATAAGTATTTAAATATCAATATCAATATTAATTCCATTTTACCATATACAGGTTGGACAGCACTTCACTATGCTGCAGCTCTTGGACTGTGGGATTCTCTTGAATATCTTGCGTCATGCAAAGAAGCCAATTTGCAAGCCAAGACCCAGCACGGACTCTGTATTCAGGACTGTCCAGAGTCGCCTGTAGATCGTAAGAGATGTCGATGTAAGTACATTGTTTTGGTTGAATTATTCAGATATTGCCTATCTTTGTAAGCTAACAAGATGATTATCTTCCTGGACATTTTAGTCATGATCGAAAGAGCTATCAAACGTGCTTCTCGTCCTACTCGCCCAAGATCTGCCACTGCTCCTCCTCGCCCTTCAAAAAAGCTCACTCTTTGAAAACCTCTTGCGTTTGTTTATTTTTGTTTTGTTTTCTTTATCTGTACATATCACAATCCTTTTCTTTGATCCCAAAAACCCCTTTCTCTTTCTTGTAATCCACCGCCAAACCCTTCCTTGTTTATTATCATGAATTTTATTACCCTTTCCAGACAGTATCCTTCCCTTCCCTTCTTTACCTTTACCTTTACCTTTACCTTTGCCTTTATTTCTATCTATCTATTCTTATATTTCTGCTGCTCTGATTGTCTATATTTGATCCCCCCTCCCAACCATTCATTTTGTGTGTATATGTTCTATCTCTTTCTTTCATATTTCATTTTTTTTTTGCCAAAATTAGTATTATTACTGTTGTATTATGCCTTTACCTCCCCTTGACCTCCTCCCTATTCTGTTCATTTCCCTTCCTTCATATATATCTTTCTCTCTTGATTACCCTTACCCTTCCAGCCTTTTTGTGATGGCGTTGTAATTTTTCTTTCAATTCCCTTGTTCTATTTTATTTTGCTTAAAAAAAGTATTCCTTTTCCTTTTGACCACCCCCACTTTTCGTCTTTCTTCCTTTCATCATCATCATTATCTTTATTATTCCAAATAATAATAATAATAATAATAATAATAATAATGTAATAATAATTATTAATCTTGTTTTTATATACATGTATATATCTATATGTCATATAGGTTTCTTTATTTATTTATTTATTTATTCTTTACTTCTTCTTTCAATATGAGAGAAATTGAAACACCCTATATATATGTTCTTATTTCACACACAAATACATACATACACACACTCACATTTATTTTTATATTAAAAAAAAAACAGTTTTTGATTCGTGTTTTATATATATATGTTTGACTTTCTCTATTTGGTTTTATTTTAAACTCTTTTTTTTTTTAAAAAAAAGTATTGCTTGTTGCCTAGTAACAAAGAAGACTGGTTTAATTTCGTTTCTCGATAAAGATCATAATTATAATTATAATCATCTGTTGTTGTGTCTTGGTTTGTTTTGTTTTAAAGAGGAAAGAGATGAGTGTAGCATCGACTGGCTGCATGGATCTGCATTTCATTCATCTTGTAATCATTTAATTCTTCTTTGATTAATGCGGCCAGTTCAGCCGTCAGACGAGTGCAGGCGGCTTCCGGATCAGACCCTCTATCATATTCATACTTGGACAATGCACCATGCACAGACGCCGTCTTGGCAAACCGCACGGACATCAGTCGCCTGGCTTCTTTTCGCTGCCGGATCGGATCGGGCCGTGGATCCTCATCCATCGGTGCGCAGTCTGACTGTTCGAACAGTGGCGATGACAGGGTGGTGGTTGGTTCAAGAAAGGGTGTGATGTGGTCAGACGACGCAGAAGAAGGAAGACTGCCGGCACTAAAGGACACCGATTTCTGAAGCCTGGCCTTTTTTTTGTCGATAAACCGATACTTGATCTTGCTGGCCAATGAGGTCCGGATTGGAATCGGTACCAATGTAGGCGTACTGGGCTCAGGGGTTGTGCTGTCGAGTGAACAAGACACTTCTCGATCCCCTGGAGAAGAGTATGAGTAGCTGACACTGTGCGAGAGCACCTTTCGATTGAGAAACCGGTCTGAGGGCGACTGTCTCAGACCACCAAGTGGTTCTGTAGGTGGACGCAAATAAGGTGTAGGAGTCTGGATTGGTGCCTTGAGAGCTTGTCTGATCCTCAATCGAAGCGACTTTATTTTGCTTCGGGTTGATTCACTTGGCTGCGGATGCAAGATCGTCTCTAGAGGAACACCGTGTAGCACGTCCTTATCTTGGGTTTCTTTCTGACTTTCAAGCTTGCCATTTTGGGATTCTGAGCTTGTCAACCATGGACCGGTTCCAAATGGTTTTAGACGTTGCTTAGTAAATCTTTTTGGATATCTCTACAAACCAACAAAAAAAAAGAGAGTTTCATTATTATCAACAACCTTGTGTATATTAAAGATAGTAAAATGTATTTCTTGAAAATTATTGTTATAATAATAATTATCATGGTTGTCGTTACTATTCTTGCTGGTGCTGCTATTGTGGTTGTGGTTGTAATTAATGTTGAGCTTTGAGCCTTGGATTATTAATGATTAATGATTAATTAATATTTTTATTTTCGTACATGCTCCTCCACAGGGTTCTTTTGGTTGGCAGAGGAAAGAGAGAGAGACGTGTGGATCAATGCGGTGTAGGACATGCCGCTAGAATTGTAGTAGCAAAGGAGTGTGAAGGACTGTGAAGCTTCTTTTTTCTTAAGGAAAAAAAAAAGGTTGAAAAGGAGAAATATAATCAAACAAGGGGAGAGGGTTTAAATGGGATTTGATGGACTACAAAGACCATCTACACACACACACACACACACACACACACACAACTAAAGCCTTTTGACTCCTTGGAAACCCTTTCTTTTGAACACACAACGTCACCACTGCCATCGCACCATTCTGTACTTACTTTGATGCTATCAGAAGCAGTAATGCAAGTATAATGTATACAGTGTATATAATGTATGTAATGTATATATTGCCTACATTTCAAGACCTATCCCTTTCTCTTTGTTATATACATCCCTTTGATTTCTTTTAAAAAAAAATTAAATACAGGCAGCTTCATCCGTCTAAGTACGTGAGAGATTTTATATGCAAAAAATTAAAAATGAACAATAATAACAGTTTTCTTACAAAAAAAAAGGGAAAGGGTGGGTTGGAAAGAACTACAAGGAATCAAAAGATATTCTTTACTCGCTCTTGTCCTTCTTGTCCTTCTTTTCCTTCTTCTCCTTCTTGTCCTTCTTCTCCTTCTTCTCCTTCTTTTCCTTCTTCTCCTTCTTGGCCTTCTTCTCCTCCTTTGCCTCTGGCACCTCAACTTCTTCGATCTTTCTCTTCTTTGGCTCCTCGACTTCCTTGGGTGCCTCAGTCATAGCAACATCACTCTGTGCGTTGTACTGTGCTGTCTTATTGAACTGGAACTTCTGCTGTTTCTGGGCAGGCTTCTCCTTGTTGGCTCTAGCATTAACGCGACCCTCCAACATCTGGATTCTAGCCTCAACCTTGATGCGGCCATCAGTACCAACATCAGGTGATTCACCATCACCAAGAGCATCAACTCTCAGAGCAATTGCAGTCTTTGTAGCCAAGACACGGGCAACCTTGGCCTTGTGCTTAGCACCAGCCTGTCCAACCAACGAAGCGTGGTAGATCAGACCGTATTTGGGAGTGTTGTGCTTGGTCTTCAAGGCACGGAAAAGAGCCTTTTCGGCACCAAGAATCTGGATGGTGGAAGCGGGCTGCTTGGCCAAGTTCATCAGAGAACCAGCATGGGAAATAAGACGAGCACCGACGAGCTCACCGACGAGGATGGTGAGATTAGGAGCAATAGCTAATAAACAACATACGTGTTATATTAGTTGGTTTTCTCATAATGAGGGTTTTTAATTGTGTTGCTGTCGTTATTGATGCTAATGCCTTTTTTTTGTCGTTCATTTCCCTTTTCTTTATTTCATTCTGTGTAAGAAGTACATTTTATCTAACTCACTCACTCACTCACTCCTTTACACATACACCCAGATATATATATATCTATCTATCTATCTATCTATCTATCTAAAACAATAGAAATTGAAATGTGTATTTACCATTCATACGGTTCTTCAAGTATTCGTACAATTGCTGTCTGTATTCGGTAATGGAGATGACTTGGTCGCACAGGCAGTGAATGTTCTCAATATCCTCCTCAGAAATTTCAGTACCCATGGAGATCTCGGCAGCTTCCTTGACTTCAGCCTCCAACTCCTCAGGGAGGATAGCGGAAAGCTCGGTAGAGTGGGCGTTGGTACGGAAACCCATCATCTTGACAACCTTGGCATAGGCGAGGTTATCGACAATGATCTTGCCCATCTCGGGGAAGTGCCAGCCGTACCATTCCTTGACACGCATAGCATATGTGTTCAATTCCTTGTCGAGGTCATCGAGAAGAGCGATTGCCTGGACAATCATGGTGTCAACCTTGTCGGGGCTGAACTTGAGCTTATAACGGGAGAGAGAGTGAGACAAACCAAGAGACATGGCAGAAAGATCGGAAGGAGAGAGGCCGGAGACAAGGGACTCAAACTGCTGACGGATACCTCTGTAGAGATCCAAGACAGTCGAATCGGAAATAACGCTAATGCCCAACTTCTTGTTGATTGCACTTCCTGTAAAACACAATTATCCAGAGCATATATATATATGTAAGTTTTTTTTTTTTTTTCATTTGTTACAAGGTATTAATGTTACTGTCTACAATGTGCCTGCATCCAAAGTTTTGTTTTTATTTTTTTTACATACCAAGCTTGGGGTCACTGATAATAAGCTTTTCCTTCTTCATATCCTTCTCAGAAATCTCACTTTCCAAGAACTTCTTCAAGTTCTTGGGAACCTTGCCTTCGACGATACCGGTCACAGCAGAAAGAGCATCGGTAGTGTTTTCGAACTTCTTGAAAGCCTTGAGCTTGATACTGTATTATTATTAGTACAAATTGCTGCATATATGTTTGTTTGTATTTTCCTGTCTGTATATAACAGTAGTATATTTCTAGGTGGAAGAAGAAAACAAAAAAAAAGGCTTAAATTGAACTTACGCCTGGTTGGCTTGTTCGGCAGTCTCGAAATCCTTCCAAATGTCATCGGCCTTTTCAAGCTTGGCATCATTGACAAGCTTGAAGAGAGCGTAACCAGCAGCAGTCTCGTAAAGGACAAGCATTGTCTAGATCGCGTGGAATTAATAACAAGTCAATCTTGAGTACGGACCCACACACACACACACACACACAAGCATATTTACATATATACAATGTGTGTGTGTGTGTGTGTGTGTAATTATATGTATTTTTTCATATCAATGATGCTAGTAATAGTAATAGTAATAGTAATAGTAATAGTAATAGTAATAGTAATAAAAGAAGAGTATTGTCTAAAAAGAGCTTACGAGAGAGAGAGAAAAAAAGTTAAGTGCGGTGAATAAGCTTGGTTTGCAAAAAAACAGGCTTTAGTTTTTTTTCTACTCAGTTTTTTCTTTTTTTTTTTTTTGGACCTTTTTTCTCTCGTTCTCTCTCTTCTTTATTTCATAGCTTTATTTTATTTTATTTTATTTTATAAAAAAAAATTAGGCTGCCAATCGTAAAAGCAAGAAAAATTCTTTCAAAGCCACCTGTGACAGTCTAACCCAGACTACCAGTGTAGGAAACGGCAGTATTTAAAACTCCGGGTGCGCAACTTTCTTACTCTTGGACAACTTCTATAAGCCAATAGCATTTCTTATTTTAACCTACAGTCTTTCTGGAAATCATTGATGGAAAAAAAATAAAATTAATTTGGTGGAAAAATGGAATGCACAAAAGGCACCAAAAAACATCAATTTTAACAGAGAAATGAATAGACTAATGCACCAATTTTACCTTTTTTTTTTATATATATATTTCCACCAATAATTTCCGGAAAGAGTGTATTTGTTTCTGTCTCGGTCTAGCCAATCAGAACCGAGAAGTTGCGGAGATATAAAATACATGCCATATTTGGGAATGACACGATGATTTAGCTTTTTTATTTTATTTTACTTTATTTTATATATTTATATATATACTCTTCCTGTAATCTGCTCATCTTTCTTTTTTATTATTACTATCACTATTATTTCAAACACGTACAACAAATATACATACACATACACACATACACATATTCTCATACACAAGCAAACACAAAACGAAAGATAGAATAAAAAATTATATTAAAATAAAGAAGGAGAAGACGACGACGCCGACGAAGAAGTAGTAGAAGTAGTAGAAGTAGAAGACGAAGAAGAAGAAGAAGCAGAGGAAGTAGATATATATATATATATTAAGTAAAAGTAGAAACAGTATAAAGAGAAGAGGACCTAAAAAAACAAAAGAAAAACGAAAAAGAGGTCAATGAGACGCCATGGACTACTTTGCAAAGTTCAAAAAGAGGATTGTGCCTCCAAAGGCACAACCAACCAGTGCTATGCAACTCGCTAAATTCCATCAATGCTGGAACTATATCCACGTGAGTTCAAACGATACGTTGGAATAATGTTTACAGAAGCAACTCATGCTCTCCAGAACATCTTTGATGCCGAGGACCGCAAAACTCACGTCCATGTCGACCAAACCGAGATTCCAGACAAACTCCGTCAGATGGTAGACATGCTTGTGGATGAAGAAGCAAGGCAGGAAGATACTACAACTGGCGTTTGCATGGAGTATTTCTTAAAAAATGGTGTACTCCATTACCTCGTCAATGTGTCTGAGAAATCAGACTATCCTGCAGGTGTTCGAGGAGAAGCCATCCGCACCGTAGCAAGCATGGTTGATCTTCTCGATGACCGTTTTCTTGTCCACAATGCCGTCCACAAACCAACCATCAAACTTCTTCGTTTCTGTGTCCTAGATGAGCGCCAAAGCGAACACTACCACGAAGACCTTGTTGACCTAATGTACATCATCTGCTCCAAGATTCACGGGTTTCCCGCTCTTCTCAACATCTTCTTTCACGACAAGCAATGGCTCACCACTCCACAAAAGACTACTTTCCATCTACGGGACACCAGAAATACAGACCCAAAGGCAACAACCCAGCCAGATGATCCTAAGAAACCCGAATATGAGTTTTTACTTTTCACTTATCTACTGCGCTTTGTCCACCGTGAAGGTCGGACAGGCGACTTTGCCAGAACTGGCTTGTTGTTTTTGATGGAAATGGCAACTGAGCAGCTTGGAGATTTTATTCTCGAATCAGACTTTGCCACCATTATGGCTGCCGGTCTGGGAGCCCTGTACTCACAGCTGCCTCGAAAATTGGTAGTTAAAGATGAAGCCGAGCTACGTTACGACACCGCGTCATATTTGCTCGGCCAGGACGACATGCGACCCGTGCCTTTGGTGATGGGTTTAGCCATGTCTAGTTCTGTTGAATTCAAAAGCCAGATTGATTCTTTTCTCAAATTGCTCGAATTCTGTCAGGACGTCCTGACTCGTTGTCCAAACGTAGAAATATCTTTTGCTCTCCTAAAGAGTATTCGTACAATATTCCTCGACAATATCCTCTATCCCTCAATTCTCGAATGTTCTGATATCGACGGCTCATCAGTAGCCGTCATTAGTTACATTGATCTCATTCTGCAGACACTGCAGCAAGAAGAGCTTTCAAGTGTGATAGTTGGCTTTTTGATGGATGAAACGGCCGAAGAAAACGTACGCATGGAACGAAAATCCTCAAATGTGTATGCCGGAGTAGAGTCGGATCCAATCAAAAGCTCACCTTACTTTACAGCAGTTGAAAGATTTACCCTCAAAGACCTCATCTTTAGTCGACTCAAGTCCATCTCACAACCGACTGTGATTGCAACTCTCAAACTACTCAAGACACTAATCACTCATCACTGTCGCTACTCCCTTTTACTTCTGTCAATCATCCCTGACACGGAGAAGAATCAGCAGGGAAATGCGACGATCATCTCACACCATTTGCGTGAAATGGAACTTTATTTCTCGCTTTTGACATCAATTGACAACTCGCATGCTAAGGAAGTCAGTGAAACTGGGTACGATAGTTACCTCCAAGACATCGAGGCCACACTGGAACGCGATGGGTGCTATGTTGGGTTGACCCAGATTGACCCACCTTCGCACGGCAGGCCACACAAGGCCAGGCGCCGACGAAGTTTCAAATATGGCCAGCGTCTGGATGACAGTCTGCCTAACCAAGAAGAAGAAGATGGCCGGGATCTCCAGACCTTACTTGCGCGCCAGTCGACGCACTTTCGCCACCACATTCGTCCCACAGACCCGCTTTTGCAGATCCTGCTCGGATTGCTCAGCCATTTCTTTGCACAGTCCCCCGAACTTAATCTTGCACTGACTGGCGTGATTGCGGCGCTGGCACTGTGTCCGTACCGTAGTCTGGAGGGCTGGATCTCTTTCCGGGAAGCAGACCGGACTAGCCCCGAGGACATCCTTCTTTTGGACAACACTCCTCAGCCTGAAGCGCCGGATCGTATTCGTTCCAAGGATATATATGCGCACTTTGATAGTAGCTGTGTTGACGAGGATGACTCTGAGGACGACCGCTCAATAGACTTTGGCTTGGAACGCAATTCAACTCAGATGACCTCACCGACCTACTTCAAGTCATTCCCCCCTTTCTTTACACTCTACCGCACTTTGACGCAGCAGGTAGATTATTACCGCTCAGAGCTTGATGAATTTGATGAACTCCTGGATGAGCGCCGCCAGGGTTTGCATGAAGAAGTAACAGAGCGTATTCCGTCTCAAGCACACCACAGCATATACACCCAACCCCCTGCTGTTTTAACAATGTCTGCGTCCACATCGACCCGCCGCCCATCACTCCACCCCAAAGACACTCCACCACCCACAATGAACGGCAGACGTCCTTCTGTGCTTCTCAGACCATCCGTGTCGACTGGTACCGCAACTGTCAAACCGCCCTCACCTGTCCAACCCTTACCCTCAAATCCCATCACCTCCAACCCCCTTTCCCGCCTCGCTATGCACGCCAGAAAAACTCAAGACATGCGCATCCAGCCCCTTTTCCCCTCGAACTTCATCAGCGAGTTTGAGGAACCCATTCTTGATCTTGACGCTGAAGATGAAGACACCTTTGCGCCAAAGTCAAATCCTTCTCAATCACGGAGAATGGACAAAAGTACAGAAATTTCTATTGCTATGTTATTGAACAATGTCGTGATTCTGGAAGAAGCTATCAAGGAACTCATTGCATTGATGCAAGTTCGTCATAGTCTGGGAATTGATACCATTCAATACACTTGAAAAGTTGTATACATTTTTTCTTTTAAAGAAATCACACGCACGCACGCACGCACGCACGCACACATATACATACACACATATAAAAATAAATATTGATATTTGCATACTTGTTTTTGTTCTTGTATTGATTTTGAGAAGAACCTTATATATACATACATATATACATATATATATAACTTAAGTGAAGTGAAGCTTGGTCAAACCATGCTTATTGTGTACAACAACATTAGATTCTGTGTCTTGTTTCTTAAAGTATCCTTTCTTGAGAGTATACTTGTACTCGGTTACATGAAGATCCTCAGGATGGGCTGCTTCAATAGTAGGTGGAGTAGACCAACTATAGGTCAAGAAATTTCCTTGATAATAGTCAGAAGGCTACAAGAACAAAAAGAACAAAAGGATTGTAAGATTATTTGAATTGGTTATTAGATAATATATACACAAAAAGAAACTTACAATGTCTGCTACTGCACGTCCAAATACGGATGCAACAGTGATGTTTGTATTGTCTGCCTGGGGCTCGACCGTCAATTGAGTCGCGCCTCGGATTGTACCCGCCTCAAAGCGTTCCGAGGGCTGGTAGGTTCCCATGACGACACCATAAAGAACACCAAGTTGAGCATGCTTAGCCTTCAGTCCGTCAAAGATGATTGCGCCTTGTCCAACACCAGCTCTGAAAGTATCAAACTCAATTCCATCGAGACCCTTGCCACTCACACGGCTTGCAGAGCGTAGATGGAGTGAGAGGGAATCATACTTGTCCAGATGGGTAGGCAGTACGACAGAAATCTTGAAGATAAGACAGTCGGCCTTGACGGGAGGCTTGTGGGACGATTCTCTTCTCTTGGAGTCCTTGGCACGTTTGATCTCGACAGTGTAGTTGCCCTCGTTGTCAAATCCGGTGAGCGAAACTTGATCGAAAAGGTGCTTGCGACCGGCATAAAGTGTAACATTAATTTGAACGTCCTCAACATGGCTAGAGGTAGATTTCTCAATGACAACATGTCCACCACGAGAGAAGTGACCCTCCAAGATAACAGAGGCATGTTTGAATGTGTCTGGTGAGAAAGAGAAGACATTAAATTGAGAGTGAAGATCTTCTGGCTTGCAGAAATGCTCGTGACGACGAGGAGGGCGCCCAAGATTTTGGAGTTCTCCTATTGATGATGTTATATTAAATAAAAATGATGAATTAATATTATTTGTTTGAATCGGAAATTTTTATTTAGCGAGCTTTAAGTCACATCAAATCACACAATTATCATTATTCGATGGTTTCCCTGAGATTCTTACTTGGAGGAAAGGCAATGTTTTGTTTGCAGTGTTCCAATATACTGTTTTTGCCACTGCAGTCATCCAGACTGTCAATTGAATGCAAGCGACCGTACTCATCTTCATAGTCAGGCGCGTACAATTCACCGTGACATCCACCAAATGAATCCTGAAGAGACTCCATAAAGTGAGAGAGGTCAGCAGGACCCTGCAAGTCTGTGATCTCAGAGAGATCTGAAGGGGAATCCTGATGGATAGGCTACAATTGGTGTTTATTTTACTTGTAAGTATCAAGTCCCCAATACTATTATTACAAATAAAAAAAATACTACTACTAACCTTGAAAGGGTTCAAGTCAATTGATGTCCATTGACTAACTGCAAACAGACCAACAACAGCACCAAGCAATAGACCTTGAACAATCCTGCGAGCTAAAAAAAAAGTTGATATGAGGACATGTACATATATTTCATTTCATCAATTGGTTGAGAAAAACACACACCTTTATTGCTCTGAGGTTGGGGTTGGAGTTGAGGTTGAGGTTGAGGTTGAGGTTGGAGGAAAGGCTGGGATTGGCCAGGATAAGGCACGGAAGGATCCAACTTTTCATTCATTATTATTAAATTCTTCTTTTGTTTGATTTAGTTATGAAAGAAGAAGAAGCACTGTCAAGAGTATAGATAAAATAAATAACTGCTTATATAGATATTGTATGCAATCCTTTAAAAGCTTTCAAAGGCACGTGCTAAATATGTCACTGTTTTCATGCATTGCGATGATGCCATCATTTTGATATATGTGTACGTATATGTATATGTATATGTAACATTGTAAGAAAAAAAGAAAAAAAAGCTTGCAACAGGCACCTTGGTTAGACCATACAAAATATTTAAAATCTGATGACTACATACAGTTTCCTATAGAGTGAAACACATTACTAAGGCGCACAATTCGAAAATACATATATAATAATAATATAGATATTTCAATGCCCAATTATTCATAATGATTGTTTTCTCTCTTTCTCTCTCTCTCATCATAACGATCGTTTCCCTATTCTCTGCCGATGAATAATGTAAACACAGATAGTAGACGACTACTATTTTGGGAAAGCTTATTTAAAGTCAGATAGAAAGTTTTCATCAAAAAGAGCCTAAACCTATCTTGGTACCTTGAGACTGATTTTTTTTTAAAAAAAAGTAACTTTACAGTGAACGCAGCGTTAAAATTACGGACTTCTAAAGATTAAATAGCGGAAAATACAACTTTAAATTGCGCTTTCCATTCACAGCGATTTGCGGGTTTTTCAAAAATCAAATTGCAGCCTCTTGCACATCAATTTGCAGTTTTTTGTGAAATCAAATTGCGGGTTAATCCTGAACATACTCTCATGGACACTTATCATTAAATGAGCTCTTTATTTCTATATTATCAAATTGATTACAAGAATGCTGTATAAAGATCTTTAAATGACAAATGGAAACATTACTGCATGCTGCAGCAATTCCTGTCTTAAGATCTTCGTTATTGGAAAAGACTCCTCTCTTAACTTTGTTTTTGACAACAGACCAAAATTGCTCAATAGGATTGAATTCAGGAAGGATTATCCATAACAATAAGAAAAAACCTTTCATAAGAGGATTTTTGTCCATTTCATCCAGAGTTTTTCGAATGAAATTCAAATAATGCCCAGTCGTAGTACATTTTGCTCTTTTTGTGCCAGATGTCTGCTTTCGTGTTGTTCCACCTTCAGCCTTACATTTCTTAGGTTTCTAAGCTACTCTGAGCTCAATGTCTACTACTACCAAGGCACTGATAGCGCCTAAAATCGTATGGGAAATTACTCCTAGTCGACTTAATTTTTACTATAGCCGGTTTACCCACTGTAGAACAAGCTGAAGGTGAACGCATATTTATGTTAAAGCTACTTTTGTCAACAAAATCACAATTAGACATATAGTCCATATCAGTTGCTGCCCATCGATTTATTCGCTGTTGGAGTTTATCATCGGAATTTCTTTCTTCAGGGTGCAAAGTAGCTCTTTTAAAAGACAAATTGTATTCATTCTTGATGAAGTTGCGAACGCTCGTTTCTTTTAAATTGAAGTTTTCAAACGACTTTGTCAAACTCTCAATTACATCCGCAACGCGTGCGTCAGGGCACTGATCGTATAAATTTATAATGTACTCTTTGTGTTCTTGCTGTAGCATTCTAGTTTTTCTCTTATTATGATTTGTTTGCTTCTCGAATATATTCCAATCTAGATCGTCCTTTAATCTTTCAGCCTATTGTTACCCAGTACACTCAATCACACCGGACAATCCAGCAGCTTTCGCAGCTTTGTATAATCTAACTTGCAAGTATTAAAGAAAGAGAACTTTCTGGTCGGCAGAATACACTTTATACCCTTTTTTATCATCTTTAGAAGTTTTTTCTTTAGTCCTTAAACTCACTTCGTTCATAGTCTCATAAAGCTTATCTCTCATTCGTTCTTGCTCAGATGGCTGAGCTTGTTTGTAATTTTGAAATGTCGCAAGAGTTTCCAAATGAAATGGATCCGTCGTATTTGAAGATTAATACATGTAAGATATCTAGAAAAGATAAAAGAAATTTCATACAGAATAATATGCTTATATCTAGCTACTATAAGCCTGTATACAACACATAACTATATGACCTTGGTGTGTATAGTAGAATTAGTGCACGTACATTGAAGGGTGTGGTAATTCGACAACTAAGTCATCAGTAGGCTGTAGAGCTACTCCCTGACTTAGAATAGAATAATATATAGACGTAAGGACTTCTATTATTTTATTGAAACATAACTGTTGCAGTTAATCTCTATATAACGCACGAATATCACTTTTCTTAACTGTTTATTTATTCAAGAAGTATATGTACGATATGTTTAAGTTCTACGAACTCCTGTAGCGACGACATATGCATAATTAAATAGTAGTTGCACGAACACTTAAGTTCTGAGCCTGTATACTAAAAATCAACTCTATGAGTAGACAAGTAATATCATAAGAAAAAACCATAGTTATTCCCTTTTCTTATGTAAAGGCGGGCTTAATTATCGCAGTATTTAGTTGTTTTAGTTTATCTTTGATTTAAAATAAAGACCCCCAAACAATTCTCATTCTAATCCTTTTTCCTCTTCTATTTTTAACTTTCATTTATACGAAATACCACAATTTTAGCAGTAGTTTAGATCTTCCTACCTTTTCACTATAATAATATTCCTAGTCTCTTCCCATTAACTTTGTCGATTTTGTATTTTGTTGAATCATTATAAGAAATCTCACACTCACAAACGAAGAGGTAACGATTTATTTTGTTCAATCAAAATAGAGCGTCTGTAGAATAGTGAGACTATTTTCCGGTTCGGACCTCAGTAGTCGGTCCGTAGGAAGAGACGTAGGTTTTGCACAAATCCTTAAATTGTTGTACCACCTATAGGAAGTAGGATAAGATTTAAGGTCACTGGCCATCTTAATAAAATCAGTTCTTTTCCTTTATTTTGTTGTAAGAGGGTATCTTGAGAGATCCCTGAGCGAGAATAGAGTAATAAGAGCCCCCTTTCGTTGAGACGATTGTTGACAGTACTGAGTAAAATCTGGAATACTGCCACCTTACCGTACATCCCATCCCTGTGAGATATAACCGCGAAACACCTAAAAGACAACCTCTACCAGCTACATACCATTGCACCCTACACCTCCCCACTTCCTCGTACTTTCATACCACTTGTCAAATTCTCGTTCTTGAGCCGGACCTCCCCACTTCCATCGCTCTTGAAGTCCTTTATATATCCCTTTTGCCCAATATTACACGTCCGTCTCACAAACGAAAAGAGATGTCAATTTTTTTTTCTGGCGGCGTTAAAAGGTAACAAAAATGAAGTGGTAGATAAAAAATACATGGTTCAACATTTATACCGAAAATATGGAGCTTTCGTACTCTTGGCTCTTGTATATTGTTGAAAGTCCTTTTCCCTTTCCTTGTACAAAACATTGCTCCCAGTCCATATTGGAACCATGTTCAGTTCGATACGCGTTAATAAATTTCCAATTTTTCTGCTGCATTCGACGCTTTAAATCACGAGTTGTACCGCTAGTGGAGATGGGTACACTGACGGTGGAGGCATTGGGCATGATAGCAGCAGAACTAGACGCGGACTGCGTCAAAGTGGTATCATTCTCTTTGGGCATGGTCGAAACATTAACGGGACTGGACGTGGAAACAACATTTGTTTCAGAGGATATAGTCGTTAGTGCAGTATCCTGATCTGGGGTAATTGTGCCAGTGGGATCAGAAGATGTTGCAGCAAAACGTTTCCTATGGATCTCATTGAGAGCTTTCATATGATCGTCCAGGCAATCGATCGCTCGTTTGTTGTAGTTCCTATACCCTGGTTTTCCAGCAAGATCTCCTTGGTCCGGTTGAATCCATTAAATGCGCAAAAGTAAAGTTTCTCAAACGCAGCACTATTTGTTTCTTCCTTCTCAATTTCTGGAAAAATGATATTTTTTGCAATGCGGTACAATGTTTGAATGGTTTGGTCATCACGTCGATCTATATTGATTAATGCCGATTTTCCTTCTATAAGAAAATGAGCAAGTGCAACCATGGCTTCCAAAGGCTTGCTTTTCAAATGGTTGGTGATTGTTTGCTTGTTGATCATAAAACAGGCTTTTGTCCGCCCAGTGCATGGCAGATTTTTAGCATACGGGAACTCTGGGCATTCATAAGCCTGGTCTGCTAATGCTTGGGAAATGTTATTTGTAACAATCGTCAAAACAATTGGTAGCGTACTGTAGTACTTGCAGACCGAAAGAGAATACTTCATCAAACGTCGGAAAAAGTTCATGCCAGTATAATATTGAACTTCAATAAGAATTGGGGGGTGGTTTTTGAATTCCTTGCGATTAAAAGGACAGTATAGCACATCTGATCGTTTGAAATTAGGCCATTCTTTGGGTCTTGTGGAATATTTTCTGCAAGCATCGACACCTACACGTGTTCAATATAAAAGGGTATTCATTAAGCAACAAAAGACGAACGATACAATATCCTTGTATAGAATGAGTTTACCAAACAAGGTGGAAACAATGATCTTGATCACTTCATCATTATTTAGAATCAACTTGCTCATCAAATCGGTCCCTGGAATGTATTTTAGCGGCAAGGAAAAGAGGAAATCTTCACTACAATCTTCCTTGGCAAATGTAGGAGGTAACAGTGGAGGTAACTGTTGTGTTGGTTGAAGTTTTGAAGAAGTTTTTAAGAAGAAGAGTTGAAGATTTGAGATGAGGAACGAATATTTGTGAGAACTTGTGTAGGGTTTGTTTATTGAGAAAAGATTTGGTATCAAAATTTGACAAGGTTCCTACACTGAACTACTACTGCTATTTATATTTTGGATCAGGAAAATTATATGACTGGGGTTAGGTAATCGATCCTATCTGAGCCTTAATCAGAGCAACGTGATCTTGGGATAATTAATGTATGATTAATTATATAAATGTGTGTAGTCCCAATGAAGTATTAACATCGAAAGTAAATGTGTTTATGAGTTATAATTATGCTTATAATATTTCATTGCTGTATCCCATATTATGGTGATATCATCATATGAAATATAATCACTATCATGCATGCTAAACCTGTGTGTTAAATAATAAAGTAATCGGTAGACACCTTTGAGTGGAATAGCTGAGGCCTTATATTATTTCCTTCAGAATTATTCTCAATTACAGCAGTAGTCAATACTCATTTACAACAGTAACAATGGAGGTAACAAAAGATTGCTACATCTTCGTTTTAAATCGTGACCTCTTTGCTTGTGCGACACTGTATTTATCGTATCCGAAGATATATCCACCACTCATAAAACAACCAAAAATGTATACAGAACAAGAGGTCTTCGAGCTTTTTCAACAATTTAGAGTCGAAGGGCAAAAACTGAACGAGAATTTCAGAGAAGAAAGGACGTTACCTCTGAGGTAACAAAAAAATCGTTACCTCTGAAGTAACAAAAAAACCGCTACCTCTGAGGTGACAATCAAGTTCTTCGTCTGTTCTTCATTTATTTTGCCTTCCTTTAGTTTATAAGCCGGTACAGATCTAATGAGTAAATAGATACTAAGTGAAAGCCAAGTTACAGATGTTGTAAACAACATAAATAGGTTAAATAATTACGAATAACAGCATCTAAGCAACTCATAGAAATGCCTGAAAAATACTCTTATGGCACATATTGAATATCAGAGTGGGTGTTGTGTTGTGGCAAAATGCCCACTGCTATATTTGTTGGAATTGTGTTGCCTAGTTTAAAGTTTTGTATTTCAGCCTATGGGCACTCTACTTTCAAATTGCCACAATTTTTTTCAAATTGCCACAGAATTATATTTCTTTCTTTATCGTTTATATACACACACATGTAATATAATATATAAACTCTTTTAATATGCTCGTTAGAGACTTGTTGCCATGATAATTGGCAAATAGGTGACGATCATAAATTGATTGCATAATTGCAATGTCTCTTGCTGTATCCCATTGTCCTCGTTCACCAGTCAAGACTTTTTGTTTGTCTTTTTGTGCTTTTCGTGAAGTCTCCTCGGCAGAGCTGCTTGATAAGACCTCAACGACTGCATTATTGGATCCTGACGCAGTTGTAAATATTGTGCGCTTTCTCTGGCTGTTAGGGTACCATGCTGTTCGCTTCATTTTTATTTTATGCGTTTTTTAAGAAAATAAGGGAAAAAACCAAAAAAAAAAATTTGGATGAAAAGAGACATAAAGTAGAAAGTATGTATGTAAGTATATCTTATATATACTTGAATTATTTTGTTTAATTGTTGAAAATATATATAATCAACTGCATATCTGTTTGTTTGTGCTAGTAAAAATTGAATGCTATGTGCATATGGCAACTATAAAAATCTGTGGCAAATTGGGGTCATTTTGCCTCAATTCTATGGCAAAATGCCCCCAATGTCTCTCTTCTAGACATGAGCTGCTAGAATTTGTGTTTGGAGGTTCTTTTGATCTCTCAGATGCCAATCATCTTCCAACTGAAATTGCAAGCTATATGAAAATCCTTAGAACAAACAGTTTGCGACATTATCAAACAACAACAAAAACCTAGTAGAGTAAAAAAAAAAGCAATTTTCTTTACGAATAGGAGCAGCATGATCATGGAGTTCTACATACCCTTTTAGCAAGTTTATGTTCATTCGGTGCTCAGCTTGAGTAAGAACTGATATATTTTTGAGTTATTAAAAGGCGTAATTTGGTTTGGCCAAAAGTGCTGATTGGATCTTGAAAAAGGCGTCAATTGGCACCGGAGGCACTATATATTTTTTATTATTATTTTATTTTAATTATTTTTGGTTCTCCGTTGATTAGAGGCATTATTATCCAATCACTTTTTCTACAATAGAAATAAGCTCTTTTATGTATTTTGCAATCTCATAGGCCTCTTTTGCCAAGTCTCTCTTGGCGGCTGCGCTTGCTTTTTCAGGTGAATGTGCGAATGCGGAACTTGAAAGTTGAAGTAATTTTGATTTCGAAATGGCCATCTCACTAAGAACAGGGTCACCTTGAGCAGCAAGCGCGAGTCCAGGCCCGGCCGAGAAAGCATTTCTTGCCATCCGGATAATATTAGAGACAATAGCATCAATAGATTGAATAATTTTCTGTACTTGGTTGATTTGGTTGGGAGATCTCAAGGCTGCCAATAAGCTTTGAATAGCTTGAACAATATGGTCGGTTTCTTCCTTGAGATAATCCTTTTTGGTGTTGTGGTTTTGGGGTTTTGTATTTTTACAGTGTACAACAAACAAATACACCAACATGCATACATACATACATACATGTGTGCGTGTGTGCGTGTGTGTGAGCATAGTTAAAAATAAAGGGCATCTTTACTAAACTTGAAAGATTCTTACATTTAATTCCTCGGGACCAAGGTATGATCTAGGAGATAATGGTGGCTCTTCTTGTGTCCCATTTGACCGTGTATTTGATGATAAACTATGCTGCTGGTGTTGTTGTTGCTGTTGTTGATGATGATGTTGTTCCTGTGGCTGGACAATTACTTGTGGAGTTGGTTGAGTTGCTCTTGGAGCAAACGAATTTTGAATGGAGGATGCTATTGAAGATGATGAGGATTGGGTTCGTGGCTTCAAGGACGAAGATCGAGAGGAAGTTGGGACTGTCTTGGAGATAGCAGCAGAGGAAGTAGAAGCAGAAACACCAGCACCAGCAGTAGCACCAGCAGTAGCACCAATTGAGTGAATGCCATCTTTTTGAGATGTCAGACCAAGGAATTTGGTCATTTCCACAATTACAGCTGTCAAGTGACCGGCTGAAGCATCCAGCAAACTGACAGGGCTCATCCCCATACCCATAGCATGACCTTTGGCTGAAGCAAGCAGCTGAGTCAAGGTTGTTGAAAAGCTAACCTTTAGTTCGTGAAGACGCGGTGCCATTGTAGTAGAGAACTGTGGTGAAGTTTCAAATGCTTCTACGTTTTCAGATATTCGCTTTGAAATCATTATAATTGTCTTCATGGTTATTAAGACACCGGAAGGCTTGCTTGATCTTTTTTGTTTTATATACAACGGCAGCAGAAACAATAAAAAGACAAATGATATAAGAAGAAATTGGATACTTGAATGAATCAAAAGATCTTGGAAATACAAAAGTTTTTATATACCTGGCAGTTTCTAGTAGCTCGTTTATGGCTGTTTGATACGACATAATAGAATCTTGGCTAATAATACCTTCTCTAGTTGGCTGCAAAAAATTTTCCTTGCGAATATCGTTTTTAAACGTCTCGCTTGTAGGTGATATTCCTGGATTTTAGCATTAGTCAAAAAGAGCCAAATAGTACTATGAGATACTGATAGTATATTTCGGCATATATGTGTATGAGTGAGAGAGTGAATTGAACACCCTCCTCCACCCTTCCCTTAATATCTCCTTTTTTTTACCTCCCTATTATTATTACCTTTGAGATAATTGATTTCTTGATTTGTATTCTCGTATTTAGTCTGCCACATCTTGGCTTCTTCTTTGGCTATCCTTAATTGCTGCTCTAACTGTAGCTTTTCCTGATCAAGGATAGCCGTCTTACTTGAGAGGGATTTGAGATCAGTTATTAAACGTTGGGTATCTTTCTTCACTTGACGGACTGCCTGTACTTAAATAGTGAGAAACAATCATATTTTTTTTCTGGCTTACCTCTTGCTGACTATTATATTCTCGCTCCAGTCGATTATAATCTTCCTCTAGACGCTTGTAGTTTTTGTCCAATTGATCATACTTTATCGTCCCCACAGCCAAAAGTTAACAAAATAAACACTATTATATTTATATGAATTTATACCTTTATTGATGAGCCTCCTGTATTTATGGATTTGTTACCCTACGTTTGTGATAGTCAAGAATTAAGAAAAAAAATAGGTCTTCTTTATATATAGATATTGGATATACAAATGTATTTGTCTTTGCATTACTTACAATTGCTTCATATTCTAGTTGGTGTATACGTTTCATCATCTGAGCTAGTTTGTATTCATAGTCTGAGCGTATTCTTTCTACTTGCTCGTAGCTCATGCTCTCCCCCTAAAGCAAAATAAAATTATTATATGTTACCATTACAATTATCTTTTCAGTCGTCTTTATTTTCTTTTGGTTATATATATATATATATATATATATATATTATCAGCTCACCATTCCACTGTCACTCTTTTGTAATCCAACCATGTTGTCCAAATCTGCCATCAAACTATCCAAGGATTGAAAGTTCCCGCTCTCTCTCCATAGTTTTGTGCTTGATTTTGATGGTGCAAAAAACTCCTTTTTGGGTTCGTCTTTGTATACTCCTGTATTTGGCCGACTAGATTCATCATCAGATGGATCTGCTGGCTCTACGCTAATCATTCCCTTGACAGGTACGATGTTTGTGGATTTGCTAGGCTGTGCTGGAAGAGGGGAAGGCGGAGACAGAGGAGACGGAGAAGAATGCTGTGTTTGTGATGGTGTTGCTTGGATTTTAAGGGGAACATGAGATACTTGAATCTTTTATATATAACCACACACATGTTTGTGCAAGGCAGTTATTTTGGGTAAATTTTCAAGACCTTACACAATTAGCAAAACACTTTTTTGTTTTACTTACCTTTTCTTGAAATTGTGGGTATCTTCTTTTCAATTCAGAAAACACATCACTGACGAGGTCCTGGAAGCGTGGAACTGGTAATGTAGCCAGTTTCTGTCTGGCCTGGTTTCTGCGCGGATGGAAATCATCACGGACAGGTAAGAACGGACCTAGCAGAGTTCCAAAGTTAGATAGATGTATTGTATCATATGATGTTTTACCAGACTTTTCTGGATAGTATCTTCTTCCTTGCTCATCATAGACATCCATGGCCAATTCATGGAATTGCAGTGTGTTGAGTCGTCCGAGCTTTAGACGAGCATTTACTCGTTGTTGGTTAGGTCCTTCTTTAGCCTCTTTTTTAGATTAAGGTATATATATATATATATATATTTAATGTAATGATAATAAGAACAACAATAAGAATAAGAGTAATAAATGATTAGAGTTTTTATTTATTATCTTGCTATAGTAATGAATTAAGATTTACGGCTTTATAAGCTATTATCATTTAGTAGTAATATTCTTCTTCTTCTGCTTATATAAGTATAAAATCAATAAATAATTAGGCTTGTCAAACCTTTGGCTAATATATTAACTATGGCTTGTTTAAGTTCGTCATAATAAATTCGAGCCTGGTCTTCATGACCTGCTGCACTTGGTCTACTTGAAGAGTATACGGATGGCACATTAGAAGTGTAACTTGTCGATCTAGATGAAGTTGAGTATGTTTTCGTAGTCAGGGTTGCTCTTGATTCCCATAAGCTTGAGGATTGAGATTGCGATGGAGCAAATGCCATCTCTTGCAGTCTATTTGTCTAGTTGTCTATTTGTCTATTTGTCTGCCTTGTCTTGTCCTGTCCTGTCTTGTCTCGTCTTGTCTGCGGCTCAATAATAATAAAATATATATATAGAAATATAATAAAAAGGGACACACAAAAACACGATAGAAAAATTTAAATGGTTGGTGGTACAAATTACTCTGTTTCTTTTTTAATTCAGAAAAGGAACAAAAATTCGGAAATTCAGAATTTCCAGCCAGTCAATAAGGATCAAAATGAATTCAACCAAAAGCAAAAAGAAAGAAAGGATCAACGGAAAGGAACAAGGGTTTGGAGTAAGATAAAGAAGCTCTGTTTTATTATTTTTCTTAATTTATCTCATCTCCTCATCCCTTCTGTTTATCTTTAGTGCCACCAATTCCTTTAGAAGTTCCTTTGCCTCAGCATTGTACTAAAGAAGAAAGAAGTTGAAGCAAAAAAAAAAATTAAACCAAATTCGTATTGGAATTGCAATTACAAAATGTCTATCTCAATATACTCTGATAAACTTACTGGGTATGACATGCTCAGCACAGGCTCAATAAAACTCTCGGCAGAGCTATAATCCGTTTTGGCAATAAAGTCTCTTGCTACAAACAGATTGGCTTCTGCAACTTCACCCTCCATATCCTTTTATTATTATTATTATTATGATAGAGAAATTCGTGTGTTAACAATATATTGCATTTTACGGCTTCAACAGCCAACTCTATACAGCCCAATAGTAAACCCCTCCAAAAGAACAGTGACAAGGGGAAGAATAAAGAAAGAAATGAAAACTTGCCTTTCGATTACTGTATTTATCTCTTACTTCAATATAGTTCTTGACTGCTTTTGCTTGTTGACCCATTTTGGCAAACAACCGTGCAAGTTCAATAGCAGCCACACAAGGTTTACCTATCTTGCATTGCTGGGCTTTCTGGTGACAGTATTCTCGCTTTTCTCTATTCCCAAGTCTGTCATGACATTCAACAAGACATTTCCAAACACGAATATCATGAGGCCTATATACACACACATACAAAGAGGTGTATAAAATAAAGAGAGATTATCAAATATATTGTCAGCTTACACACGCATATATATATATAATTTTGATACTTGCCTTAGTTCGAGAGTTTTGTTGTAATAAGATACAGCGTAAGCATCCAAGTTTAATATCTGATAGGTTTGTCCAAGAGCATACCAAGCTCTGTAATCAGACGGGTTCTCGTCTATTGAATTAAGATATGAATACACCCATTAAAATATATTACTATACATCTATATTATTTAAGTATTATTTTTCTTTTTTACCAATAGCACGTCGGTAACAGACAATTGCAGCATCCGTGTTCTTAACTTCAATATAATCATGTCCAAGAAGCGTCCAGACCCAATGAACACTACGATCCAGCTTTAGAGCCCTCTTGAGATACTCAATAGATTTATCAATGTTTCGGCTGATATTGTAGTAGTTTGCTTTTTTATGTATATGATTTATTTAAGGAAAGACAACCCAGTTATTAAAACCATATTGTACACAAAAAAAAATTAGGCTTACCAATTACGCAACATGTCTCTGTTCTGTACTTGTCTACACGCATACACTGATCTGCTAGTAGGCTTAGTTTCTCAGCATTGCTTTCGAGAAAGAGCATATTTGAGTAAAGTTCAAGTCCTTCTATCCGGTACGGATGTCTTTCTTGAATGTCTTGGAATAAATCACTAGCTTGCTTATATTCTAAAGAATTAACAATAATAACAAATGATATTTTTTATTTTATTTTACAAAAAAAAAAAGTTTCTTCTTTATTTGTTTCTTTATACATGTATATAGAATTGCAGGACTTACGGTTGGCTTCATAAAATGCAGTTGCATGTTGGGTAGTTATATAAGCACTGTTTGAAAAGTATTCGGTCAGAGGTTTAATGGCCTCATCGAAATGGTGTTTTGGTAGGTGAAGGCGAAGAGAAACTTTGGCAAGAAAGAAATCTTTCATAATAGAGTCTGGCATATCTGAATTTAACAGTTGCTTGATATCTTCAAACTACAAGTTGTTTGAAGCCAATATATAAATATCATTAAAATGTGAATATAACGATATATGGATTTGTACAAAGAAGGTTTATCGATTAGTGAACTATAGACGCGCACACATCTATATATATATATATATATATATTCTTTACCATTGTTTCGTCTTGAACTATCATACAGAGTTCCATCCAGGCTGACCAGTTGTATTCATATTCATGTATGGATCTCAAAAGGACCTTTGCAGCTTTAAAATATTCTTTTCTTTTCCGAAGTACTACACCATATCTATTTATGTATAGTTCAACCACGGTCGACTGTAATGAGGATGGAATACAACACCAAAAAATAGAATATAATATAATATACTTGCAGGTATAAACAGAATGCGTCTAGTTCACCTTTATCATATCCTATCAGTAGTTCTTCATACAGAAATGGTATAGCACTATTCTCTGCCTGAGGATTTTCTGTACTGCCTAAACTTGCAAACACACGCAGATATATATATTATATATATATAGAAAAGGTTTGATGGTTTATTCAAGCGGGTTTTATTTCTCATAAATAAATAAATAAATAACATTCTTCTTACCAAGGATGTCTAGCATTTCTTCTGCTTTGCCTTTCTCTCCAGCCTTTATTTATATAAATACATTATATATAGATATAGATATATAGATATATATATATATACATATATTCTTTAGAAAATTTGAAGCAATTATATATGTATATGTTTGTAAAAAAACAATTTATTATTTATTTTTATAAATGCTCTTATTATTGCTGTTATTACCAAATAAAACGCGTAAAGTCGCAAGAATTTCAGTCTCGGTGCGTTATGGCCTTTGAGTAGATGATGAGCATTTTCATACTGTCTCATCTGAAAAGCAGATTTGGCGTATTGGTATCGATTGTATTCTTGCTCTGTCAGTCTTGGGTACTTTGACTCATAGTTTGTTGTTTCAAGTGAGGCAGGATAAAATATTGAATCCGTAAGTAATTCCTTTTCGTGATCAGGATACTCGATTCCATTGATGATTTCTGTTGTCCTTTATATTTATATTTTTTTTTGATTATTATTTATTTATTTATTTATAAAATTCTATTATATTGTCAATCGGATGCAATCTCAACATGTAATGGATAGTGAATCGTAGCGTTGTTGAGGTATTTTGTAAAGTGGTGTTGTTACCAGTGAGTAGCATTGAGCAAACAACGCTCAGAACAGATCAGGACGGATTCCTGTAGATTTGCCTTGAATTTCTTGACTTTTTCTACAGAGTATGTCATTTACAAAGCAAGATTAAAAAAAAATAATAAAAAATTTAAAAATTAAAAATTAAAAATTAAAATATTAAAATATTAAATAAATAGATATATAAATCTATACAAAATACGTTGAAATTGGCACCAAATCATTTTATTTGCCAATAGATAAAGACCTTGTATTATTATTATTTTATTTATTTATTTATTTTATGTGCGAAATATTGGTGAAAATAGTACATATATATATCTGATAGTAACAATTATAGTAATAAGTATGTTTCAATTTTGAACTATTATTATTATACTTTTTTTTTTGGATATTTTATTTATGTATATAATATATATAACAGATAATGATTTGAGATATTGAACAAAAGTAAGTAAGCAAAAAGAAAAATAGAAAGGTAGAAAGAAATAAAAGGCAAGGACAGAAAAAAGAACAAGAGCAAGAACGAGAACTAGAACGAGAACGAGAATGAGAACAAGGTAAGGTAGGGTGAAAAGGAAAAACAGGTAAAGAGTGAAATATGAAATAGCAAGAGATATTTTGTGAGTGTGTGTGAGTTTGAGTGTGTGTATTTGTTGCAAGAAAAGCTTGTACTGATCAATTCTTAAATAGTGCAAGTTCCTTTTGAAGTGCAAGCCTCTCTTGTTCCATTTGAACATCTCGATCACGTAGCGAAGAAATATAATCCAGGGCTTTGATATATAATATATATATGTGTGTGTGTGTTGCAACGATAATTTGAAACGTTTTGAAACAAGCAAATATGTAAGTAAGTAAAATCACAATTAAATTAAATTAAATCAAATCAAGCAAGAAATGTATTTAATATAATCCATTTATGTATATACCTTTGCTCAGAATTTCCCATTTGCTTGTCTTGAGCCCTCTGTCTCCGGGTAACATCTCACGTAACTCATCAAACAGATCCTTCATTTCTTTTCGTCTTTTGCGTTCGGCTAGTTTGTGACTGACACGTAACTCTGGAGATCGTGAATACATTTGACTTGCTCGTCTTTGGTCTACACCACCGCCACTGCCACCGCCACTGCCACCTCCAATGCTACCATAAGCACCACCTTCTCCTTCTCCTTCATCCATTTCTTCTCCTTCCACTTCGTCTAGTTGGTGTAGACGTGATTCGTTGGGGGTTCTTGGTGACGAGTCTGCTGAAGATGGTTCGTATGATGATGATACTGCGATTGAGTGACGTCTTGCCGCAGCAGCTTCTTCAAGTAATCTTGGACTACTGATTGCCGGGCCTGCTATTGATGTGAATTGTGTTACTGGAGTTGTTGAGTTTGGGTGAACATAGTGATAGTCCAGAGGACCATTTGTGAGGTGAGATATTGAAGGAAGAGAGTCACGTCTCCAGGGTAAGGATGATTGAGCATTGGTAGGATTGTTGTTACTGTTATTATGATTAATATGGTTAATGTAAGTGTTGTTGTTGTTATTGTTTGCACAAGGGGGTGAGGGTAGAAAGCGGCCAGTCAAATCAGATCGATGTTCTAGTGGAGAATGACGAATGCCGGCGGGATGAAGAGCCGGTGATGAGGGAGGAGAGTTTCCGGAAAGAGGGGACAGAGGTGGACGAAAGGTTGCGTGTAAGGCTGGGTCTGTTAGAGAGCCTCTCCTTGAATTGGATGGGCTAGGCGTGGAGCGGTCAAGGTAAGGGTGGTGTCGTAAGGAGGATAGTGGATAGAGAGTCCTTGAATTGGGGTCAAGGGATTGTCGGCGGCTAGGTTGCTGCACTGGTGGGTGGTCAGAGTCAACAGGGTGAGATGCAGCGTAGTGGTTGGCAAGGAGCATATCTTTTGGTTTTGGTTTGTTGGTGAAGAAGAGCAAAAAAAAAAAATTCAAGAAAAAATTTATATACTTATTATATATATGTATATATATAAAATATTTAAGGACCTAGGCTCCGCTTGGAACATGTGCACGTGCTATTGTCTTGCCACATGGCCCCTCCTCTTTCCTTCCAATCTCATTTTCATATTTTATTTTAACAGGTGTAATTACGTATATATATATTAATTTTAATATTAATATTAATATTAGTGTGTGGCTGTTGTAATAAAGTATCTTGCTTTCTATTAACTCATCCAATAAGCAACGAAAATATCATAAAAAAAATTATCACAAATTATGACTATTACAATTAACAATTCTTTTCAGGTGAAATGAAGAAAAACAAAAGAAAAAGAGAATATGGCAGTCACAAAAGGAATTTACCAACTTCTTTTGATCAATTCAGTTTTGTACCTCTTCTTAAAGCAACTACACCTATAAACACACCTACATAAATATAAACATGTATATATATATATATATTATTTATTTTTACTTTACTCGATTCTCTATCTCCGATTATACGGAGAGCCACTGTAAAATAAAAGAATACTATTTAAATATATCCCCGCCTCAAATACCGTGTGCTTCAGACTATAGCAACCTTCTTTTTATATATATATATATACTCATACTTTCACTTTCACTTTCACTTATAGATATATACAGGTGTACATGTGTACATGTGTACATATAAGTATATATTAGAACAAGAGGTTAAGCTTATTAGATAAAGAAGAATAGATAGATTTGAGGGTCAAGATAAATAAGTATATCTAATTACTTGTTCTGTGCTCAAACCTTAAAAGCAAATTGAACCTTGTTCGTGTAACTACATTTTTATCCCAGCCAATCAAAACCATTGCATGAACATGAGGTTTCCTAGAGAGAGAAAAGAAAATTGTAAAAGAGATAAGACGTAATCCAAAAGTAATGTTATTTCCTGAATCTTTTCTTTATTTATCTTTTTTTTTTTTTTTTTTTATAATTTCTGTTATTATTGCAAGTAAAACAAAAATGTTTCAATAATTGTTTCAATATTAACAGCAATAAGAAAATATATATATATGTTAAACTTATTTATCTACTTTCAAAAAAAAAAAAAAAGAATTCAACATACCGTGAGAGATGTTTGTAGAAACATATGGTTTGTGTGTGTGTGTGTAGCCTAAATTTGCTCAGACACTTTCCCTTACCGCCCGTCTCTTGAGCCTGTAATGTCTAAAGTCTGGGATTCCATTCGGAGATTACAATCACAACAGCATCAAACGCATCAAAAATATTTATAAAAATATTAGTAATAAAAACATAAAAAATACATTGCTTGATCATAATAAACACACACAAGAGCACAACAGTGATATTTTTTGTCACAACTTTCTATTATTATTATTATTATTGTTATTATTTATATATATACATTGCAGTCAATTGAAATATAAATTCTACATCTTGAATTTATCTTAATTGTTCCAATGGACCCTGGCAGATATACAATCTCAGGAACTTGTTTATACACCAGCCACACATCTACACTTTCACAGTAACAGTAAGACCACTCAAATAACCATAGGCATATTTGGATTCGAATTTAAACAGTGCGAGTCTCTAATATAATCAATTAAAGAATCTAATCATGTAGAAATCACATAAATTTTATTAATAATAATAACCTATTCTTCATCTGGTGCACTTGTCAGCCCAAGCTTTCTATAATCAGAAAATAACCTTTGGAGATCATATTCTTGCCTGATCATATTCTTGATTCAAATGAAAAAAATAAAAAATAGAAAATAAAATAAAAAATACTCTACTCTACTGTACTGTACTGTAAACCAAGACTGGCTAACCGGCACGTTTTTACTTGCCATAAATAAAAATCACATTTTATATAACCTTCATTATTACCCTCTCTCTCTTTCTCTCTCTATTCTTCTTCTAGTACTCAAGGACATTGATTACCGAGACAATACCCGTGTGTGACAATATAAACAGAATACATATATGTATAACGTAATAATATTCACACCAAAAATATATATATAAATAAATAAATAAATTAATTAATTAAAAATTAAATATAATTAAACCGATTCTTACATTTCTTTCTTACTCTTACTCTTCTTTCTCATCTCATAATCTCAACTCCATTTACAAATCTCAACTAAATTAGAATGACAACTTCAGCACCTACTCGCTCTTTTTTGGTCTGGTACTTAACACAGTTGGCTGCCAACCCTCTCCGCGTCAAGGCTATTACAAGTGGTGTTCTGTCTGGTGCTCAGGAAGCATCAGCTCAGAAACTCTCTGGAGCCAAGAAACTCGATGCACGTGTTATTCAGATGGCTGCCTATGGTAAATTAATTTAAAGAAAGTAACATTTATTTATACATAAATTCTGTTATGTAAATTTTAAATTTGTGGCTCGACTTCATTTCATTCACACTATCATCAACTACTTTAATATCGATGATAAAGGTCTATTGATATCCGGGCCATTGAACCACATTCTATATGAGATTATGAACAAGGTGTTTGCTGGAAAAGAAGGCCCCAAGGTTAAGCTTGGTCAACTACTGTTTTCCAATCTTATCATTTCTCCTATTATGAACACAGGTAAAGAAATATAATGATTCACACACAGATACCTTGTATATATATATATTTATATATATAAATATATTTCTAGTTTATATCAGTGCTATGACTGTTTTGGCCGGTCACAACTCATTGGCACATGTAAAGGGCGCTGTTCGTCAAGGACTCTTCCCAATGCAAAAGATGTCTTGGATCATATCCCCAGTTGTCCTCATCTTTGCTCAAAAGTTCCTCGATCAGCAGATCTGGGTTCCATTCTTTAATGTTGTTGCCTTTAGTAAGTTTACTGTTATAATTGCTATCTTATTTGGTATAAAATAGAGAGAGAGAGAGATAGTCTATGTGTTTGCATGGATTTTATTATTTTTGTTGTCGTAACAATGACAATAATTAACTGACTAACAAACACAATTTAAATAGTCTTTGGCACATATATCAACACCATGATGAAGCGTAAGCGTTTGGCAGCAGAGGCAAAGAAGGATTAAAACAGAAACAAAACAATATATATATATATATATATGTGTGTGTGTGTGTGTGTGTGTATAGGTTGGATGGGTGGGTTAATAACAATCGAGCATATTGACATCGTCTCCAGAGTTGAGAGGTTCTAGTGATTGTGTCATCATCTCGGCATCAATTACAAAAGTTTCTTCGTAAAAATGCTCTGGAATCGATCTCTGACGCAGTTTTTCCAAATCAACATTACCCAACTCTTCCAAAAAGTGTGTGTCCCGATCATCTACTTGGATCGATCGTTTTCGAGACACAGCAGCAGACGTTGGGCTATCATTCAAGATACGCTCAATGATCTTTAGGACTTCTGCTCGTACTATACGCTGGGTGTCATTGGGCTATATATATTTATATAAGCATTTGTGCGTGTGTAAGTAATTAGAAAGAGAGTCATAATAAAACATAGAGATTTATGGTCGTAGACCAGTAATAGAAAACAAAAGGAATTCCAATGAATAAATAAACCAAAAACAGAAAAAAAAATCTTACGGCATCAAGTAACAAACGATTTCCTTCCAAGACATAAAAATATGATTCTGTATCTACTCCCATAAAATCATCGTCCGTCTTGTTTCGTTTCTGCTGTTCACTGTCATGAAGGTGCAAATTCCACAAGCTTTCCAAGAATCTACAAGCTCTTACGCGTACTTCTGAATCTGGATCATCCATCATTCTAGAAACAATAGCAGGGCTATAGTATAGAACATACATATTTGAGCAAAAATATATATCATTATTAAAATCAATAAATCAAACGACACCCAAACACACACATACACACTTACTTTAAAGAATCTTTAATGTCATTATTCAATCCTACTTGGATACCCTGGCATGATCGATTGTCGACTAAGCAGGAAAGCACATCCAAGGCTGCTCTTCTCACAAAGGCCTCGTCGTCATGCAACAGTCTGGGTAGTTTTCTAGCAATGTCCCGCGTCTTTGGATGCTCTTGAATGAAAGCCCATCCCTTGCGATTTCTCAATAAGAACTATAAACGAAACCAAAAGCCAAAATAAATTAGAGCTCTTTTATGTGTGTAGACACACACACACGCACGCGTACTAACTCGTACATCTATTTATGTATTTATCTCTTTCTGTGTGTGTGTGTGTGTAGTAATACCGATTAATCATTTTTTGTGTACCTGCATAGATGTCAATGCAGAGGCTCGTACATAAGGTTCATTGTCGTGGATTCTATCAAATATCAACATTGGAAGATTATGCTGAATAGCAAATGTACTCTTTGAGCTATCTTGTAACTAATGGCAACATTGGTTTAGAGTATAGATATATACATAAATATTAATTGATAAGCATAAAAAATGCACACACACACACACACATATATATATATATATACCTCAAACAGACGACCAACAAACTCTACAGCTGTGTCACGAACATCCCATTCTGGATCCATAAATTTAAGTTTCAATGCATTGACAAATGAAGCAGAAATGATCTATGATACACACAATGTATATTACATATACAAGGTTAATAACAAGTAAAACAAAGGCTGGTTATTTTATCTTGCCATAAAGTTACATATTATTATTGTTTACCGTTCCCATAGCAATCTCACTGAGTTTTGGATTTTCAAGAATAGCATCAAATGTACCCAGGATACGAGACACACAACGGCAATTTGCATCATCTTCATTCAAGATCTGGATCAGTTTATCCATAGTCTTTAAAATAATATATATATATAAGCATAATTTTTTATTATTAACCTTTATTCAAGAATACTCTTATTTAACCGCTACTACAACCATTGCCCTCATTTGCGAAAATAAAAAGAAGAAGAAAGACTCACCTTGTAAACAATGGTACTAATATTCGAAGAGGTCAAGGATGTTAATGTGAGTGCATGTAATAATGACAATAGGAGATCCAAGGTCATCTTGAGAATACTTTGATCTACAGCCCATTTACGATCCAACAAAATCAATAGCACGCTATTGAGAGAAGGTTCTGCCTACAAACCATTTTTTTTTTAAAAAAAAGGTATATATAACCAAATTTAAGTTTACGTTTATGATAGTATTCACAATAGCACGTACAATATCTGTGTCTGGAAATTCTGAGACAAGGTAGTTAAGGCCTCTTAATGCGGTTTGCATCAAAGACTTTTTGTAAGACAATGAACGAGATGTATTTAACATTGTTACAGTCTAGAAAATAACCCAAGTAGTTAATCAATAGATTAGATTACAATAACACAAACATATATATATATATATATATGCACATATGTGTATGCGTGTGTTTCTTTACCTTTGTATATGTGTCAATATCTTTGAGGGTATGCCCCTTGATGCATACTTCTAATACACGTGTAAAAGTCCCCTGGATCACCAGAGCATCTTTGACACTCTTGTTCTCGAGGCGCTTCAAGAGATCTATAGCACAAGGCAAAAGAGAAAGTCCAGAGACGATAGTGTTTGCTGTGTCTGGATTTTGTATTCTGTCGATAACCAACGATATCACAAAATCGTAGGCTATTTTGTATGTTCACACGTACAAAATTGTAAATTGTAAATTGTGTATATACTAGTCAGAATATATACACATGCATAACATATACGAAGAGCCTTATCTTTCTTTGTCTTTTTAGTTCTTCACTCACCATGTCTAATATGATCCCTTGCTGCTGATGCTGGTTCAGTAGGTTTTGGTAAAAGTAATCCAAGTGGGTCTGGTGCCCACTTGAACAACTCTGATAGAATTTCAATCATGCGTGTACGAACGATCCTGTTTGAGTCATCAAGCAGAAGCAGGAGAGTATGTAGCTTTATTTTAAAAATAATAATATTAATAATAATATTAATAATAATGGATTGATTGATCGATTAAAATGAAATGACTATAGTTTTTATTTTGTATATATATATATATATATATTGGTAGACTTACGATACCAGAATCTTCGAGGTAATTTAGAGATGCGGTGGTGCGTGAATTTGCCATAACACGACAGAATTCAAGAACTGGCATCAACACTCCTGGGTCTACATCCGGTTGCAATAATTCTTTTATTGTTGCCGAAGGATCCAACAAGCCGGAAAGGGTAGAAAGTGCTTCTTGATGTGCCGGACTAATGAAACCAGTCTTGTCTTTACTTTCCACAAGACTTTGAAAGAATTTGAAACTTTCCGCCACAACCTATGTACATACAGATACACAATATATATATATACATATATATATATGTTATATGTTATATTTGTTTTAAATAGAGAATTAATGGTTAAGCCTTACATAAGTACTATCGTCTAACAATATAGAAGACATCAAAGTCTTGATCTTTTCGTTTTCAAGTAGCCTGCATCAAAGAAACGAATAAATACAAGATGTTGGGATTAAACCACCATGAAATAATAAATAATAAAAATTCAGGTACCATACTGTTCCTTCTAAACAATTAGTAAATCCTCTACAAGTTTCAAAGCATGCGACACGAAGAGCTGGTTCAGTTGATCTCAGTCCAGCCGCAATTCCAGTCAAGAGGCCAGGTTGCTCCAGAGCCAGCTTGGAAAACATTTTACCATCAAAGGCAACTATGCGACCCAAGAGGCGGTAACAAACCGAATAAACTCTATAATCTTGGTCCGTTTGTACACATGCCTTTTTTTTTTGAAGAAAGTTTCGCATTATTATTAAGGGATAATATAAAACAATATATCTATATATTCTCTTGGTCTGTTATTTACACACTACTCCAATTACACACGCTACACATATAGTCTTAGAAACACCAGCAGCAGCAACACTAATAATATCATATATAAAGAGAAGAAAATTGTTGTATTTGTTCAGACCTCTTGGACTATCGCAAAAACACCCCATTCATCAAAAGTGGTTGTGATGCTTGGTTCGTGCTCTAACAAGCTATTGATGAATAGCAAGATCTTCTCGTACAAAGTGTCGTCTACAATGGTATGTGACATCATGGGCAAGGCCATGATAATGCCCTTTGCTCTTTCGAGATCAGCTTGTGATATTTTAGGCATTGTTGAATGCTAATGAAAGGAAGAAGAAGAAAAATAGAAAATTAGAAAAAAAAAAAAAGAAAATGGATAGGCTTCAAAGTAGATCGTGCCAGCCAGTCACACAAGAAGAAAGCATTTACGATAGTGGTAGAAGTGCGTGTGTTTTTTATTATGCATTGCCAATGACATGTTACTATTATATAATAATGATAACAATAAAACAAAATATACATATACATATGAAATAGAGCGATATAATCAATAAACCCGGTACTATTCATAGAACATAAGCTTGTTATTTTATATACTAAGTATTGAACAAAGTTTTAGGGTAACAAGACAGTGAAGGCCATTGTGAGCTTCCGGTATTCTAGTAAACAAATTAAAGCTTGTTTTTTAAAAGAGCTGTGCTTGATTTTATTATAACATTATGGCACTAAATTAGCTTAATAGTATAAGTATTTTGTACGTGGCTTATGCTACATAGCATTAAAAGTCATGTGGTAAACATCTCTCCTGTGAGCTTCATATCGAACTATTGTTTCAATATTTTTTTTTTCACTTTTCTCATGTCACGTGCTTTCTGAAAATGAACCACCTTTACAGTAGTCCCTCGATAATTTCAAGGCCAAGGCGGGAACTAAGTGCCTTGAAATTATCGAGGGACCACTGTACAATACTCGATTTCTATAAATTCACACAACAGACAATTTGATCTTTTTCATTGATTTCTTTACTTTTTTTTGTTTTATTTTCAAACGAGTGATTAAGTCTTTGGTAAGTTTTGTCAAATTTTTGTTGGACCTCTGCTCACATAATTTTAGATGGTTTTATTGTTTTTATAATAAGTTTCATTTTATCCATATCACTATAATAAAATCATTAGAGAAAAAAGATACCTCCAAAAAGGGCAGCCAATTGAGTTCTTTTATTTAAAAGAAGTATTATTGGTTAAAAACAAGCTACTTTCTATTTATATTTTTCTATATATAATACAGATCAGTAAAGAAAGGACAACTTTAGATCATGAAAAGGTTCAAATGTTCTTTTATAAAATAAGCACAACTAGAATATCTCTTTTTGGCCTATATTCACTCCTCAGTGGGACTAATATACACTATATATAATGTTTTTCGAAGTCTAACCGTTGAAGATGCTCTTAATGAACCTGAGTACTTTAGCAGAAATAAAAAACAATACAAAACTCAAAAGTCTAACCGCCTTCCAAAGTTCTAATAAAAGTAAGCAAACAAGCGGCAATCGCCACAACAATCCAATGACTGTGCCTAAAGTAGTTTGTCTCTTTGAGACATTTAGAGAATTACAGGCAAAATGTCTGAAAGCATATTTCTCTTTGTCGAAAACATTTCTTAATTTGTCTCAATCTCGGATAGAAACACTGTCAGCAGTTGTCCTTTGAGTATTAGAGGAGACAACTTGGAATACTTTCGAAAACATTGTTCTTGCAAACTTTTCTGTTTACATTACCCAAACTTTTGCTATTCTTACTTTTGTTTTAGGGTGCTTCTAGGGCACTCATGGCTATACTTTCCCTAGTATAATGTCCCTAGCGGCTGGAGGTATTCTAATGCATAGAATTGCATATATATTGCTTATAAATAAACCCCTAAATTCTCAAAACTAGCAATGTACACTTGCTATAAGCAAACTATCTGTTAATTGTTTATAAATAAAACAAGACTTGTTTTACAATCTACTTTACTTAGGCATATCTATAGAATGATGCACTCGCACTCACCTGAAAATAGTGACTCTAACAAGAAGCAAGGTAAATATAGCTAAAGAATATAATATTCAGAAAAAAAATGTTAAATATGGGAAACTTTTCATTAAATAGTTTAACGACTAACAATAATGCGCCAAATATAGTCAACTCTCAAGGAAAGTAGACTATACCAAGGGAGATTGCGCTTATGGAGACCTATTATGAATACATCTCCTATTCTCCACATCATATGGAGAAGTCAAAGCAAGATAGAAACTGGTGCAAGAGGTTGTCAATACGATCAAAGCGGAAGACTTAACTCTATTAACAGTCAAAGACTTGAAAAACAAGAAGAGCGAACTCTCCAAGCTCTATGCCTCTAGATTCAAACATAATAAGAATATCGGACACGGTGGTAGCAATCTCACTGTCAGACCAAAGCTTGAAAAGGTCGTTTTTATGGCCATGAGAGCAGTTAGTTTTTAATATTTGTTTCTGATAAATTATTTAAAGCAAATTTTAACTTGATTTTTCCATACTTAAATTCATAGGAGTATAAGGTCCAGAAGAAGCTGAAGTACAAGCTGAAGGCTGTCAAGGTAAAGCTGGCAAAAGATACTGCCTTTGGCTTGATGAGGGAAGCAGAATTTGGCTCTGATCCTCTAGCAAAGGGGAAGGACAAGCGGAAGGGCAAGGCCAAGGCCAAGACGGACGATTTTTATGACACTGAAGATATAAATACTAGTGAAGATGGCGATGACAGCGAGGAAAAAGATGAAGATGATGACAGCGGTGAGATCAACTCAACCAAAAAAAAAACAAAGGCCGTAACGATGGAGACTAACAGGAAGAGTAAGGTGACTGAAAAAACCACTGAGATAAGCAATGAGGAGGGTGGTCTATCTAACAGTAACCCGGATGAAGGGGTATATGACCTCTTGCATGATCAATGTTGCTCTTTGGTTGAAGAGCGTGAATTCCACAGGGATATTCTTGCAATTTTAAGTAAAGCCCTCAGTTATTTTGAGATAATAGCAAAGCATTTTGAAAAGTAAAGATAAACTATATATTTTCAATTTATTTGTTTATTGTATTAGTTCGTTTTGAACCAAATATGACAAATTGTTTAGCATAGTTTCAACACTGTCAACTGTGTTAAACTCCTGTTGTGCACGCATAAGACCTGTTATATATTATTCTATGATTGGAGGAGTCAATCCAAAGATTGCTGTTGCGGCTGACCCATTAAAACAGGTATGGAAGTTCTTGAAAATCGTGCACAGAACGTAAACCTGGAAAGGCTTTGTATTTCCTCTGATTTTCATTGCATAGTCAGACTTGCAGAACTTGAAGAACTGGAACATCTTCCCAAACTCCATCTCCACTTGCACCCTGACCTTTGACATCTTCTTGATGACATACTTTCCATTGACTATGGTCTTACACATCATGTTCAAATGATGGTTATTAAAAAAACAATATCTTAAAAACATTACTCTTATAATAACTTACGATGTCTTCTCAGTTCATATTCTCTATACGGTCTGAAAACATGCTCGGATGCGGTGTACGCCAAATCACCGTAAATTGCATACCCAATATCATTTTCTTCTGTGCTCAACTGGTCAAGGTGGAGGATCAACCGATCGAGCGTTCGAGAATCATCGAACATTTTGGCATCATGGGTAGATCCAATAAATGGACCCACAAGACTGCTGGTAATGCCATCAGGTGTAGCAATGGCCTGATGTTTGATACAATGTATATGCTTTTCATAATAGAGTGTAAGCACACATATGTATATTTAAATCTAATATATTACCTTCCATCCATTGTATACAAGCTTTTGTTCATCATCCTCAGTAGGACGGCAGACTTTCTGCATGGTGCCATCGATAAAGCCAACGATGTGTTTATATACACCACCTACATAACTATTAGAGTCATTCAAAATTATTTTAGCTTTATATGATATAATATTCAATGCCATATTGAAAGATATAATTACATTGCTTATAGATGGCCTCCGCAAATCTGGCACAATTCTCTTGAGAGAATTGGCGCGTGTCAAATCCAGATCCATGCCTGAATTTTCCCATCGGCACAGTTGAAAATTGATTGATTATGCAGGCCATGTTCTTTCTATTCATACCCTACTCTCTCTCTCTCTCTCTCTCTCTCTCTCTCTTCATAGTACAATAGCGACAGGGGTACGCATAACCGTAGTAATAATGGAAACACGTAATCGCGTTACACACAGATTGTATATGATCCCTATCGTTTGAAGACTACAGATATGAGAAAGATCTCAAGCAAACACACGTACGCTTAATATGATATATATGAGTATATATCTATCTGCTATATACTTTTGTTTACAATAAATCAACCATTGGCTCAATGGAATATATATCTCAGAAAGTGTTATCAAAATCAAGATACGTATGAGTTTACCGTCTTGAATGTAGTGGAATATCCACTATATAAACATCAATAATAACTGTGTAGATAAGGAGTAATAGTAACTATCTTATATTTTTGTGTTAGATATGATGAAGGAAGAACAAAAAAGCAGTTTAATACATTCTCCTTAAGATCTTCAAGTATCCTAACTTTTATTCGGAGACGTTTATTCTGACGTTGACTTTAGATCTTCCACCTTAACAGTCACTGAATTGTTGCAATATGTTCCCTTTTTCATTGTACCTACAATCGTTCCGGAAATTATTGGTACAAAAATAAAAATCAATTTGGTGCATTTGGTGATCCTATTTTTACACCAGAATGTTTTCCGGAAAGAGTGTACTTGGAAGCTCATATATAATGCTGATATTAATTCTGTACGTGTGTGGGTGTGAGGTGAGGAATGGAGTTAATGATACTCTATCGCTTTTGATTCGCTACCTTATTAAATAAAGTTTCTCCTCTCAGACCTGCATAAAACACACCCTCATCTCACACCTCCCTTTTTTGTATGGAGGTAATTGGGATTATTCTGATGCATTTTCTTTCTCATGGTCAATTGCCAATGAAATACTGATAAAGAATAAGATAAAAGCTATACAGTGTTGAGCGAGTATATAGTCAGCAGAATTTATATTATTCACAGAATATAAATATATACATATTCTAGATTATTCTGGATAAATGTGTGTGTTTGTTAAAGTAATCTTGATGACAATTGCTTACTCATATCCACGATAAGCTGCTCATACAAATACATATATATATACATACATATACATGCGTATTGTTTGGTCTTATAGTATTCGTTTTACTCCCCCTCTCTGTCCGTTTATTACTATTTTAGTGCTATAATCAATTAAACTATGAACTCTGGTTTCATTCTTTTTCTTTTTTTTTATATTTCCTACGCAATCGATACTTCTGAGTGCAAATAGAGCCAAAGGGTTGAAAATTCACAGGCAAACTCCGACTGTACGATTACGCGTCTCTATCAAATAGGCACCATTTAACTCAACCTCTTCTGCTGCTGCTTCTTCTTTTCCTTTTCCTTTTTTCTTACCGACTACTTTCAACTAATCAAGGAAAAAGAACAAAAGATCTAATGTCTTCATCCGATGATCATCATAAAAATAAACTCGCGTGAGTCTCTTCAACAATAGTCACATACACAATACACAGTATACGCAGTTACATAGTACACATAGTACACAATGCACAGTACACATATAGGAACAAAAGAAAAAAAAAAGAAAAGAAAAACAGACAGACAGACGGACAAATATAATAGCAATCTTATTGTTACTGTTATATTTGTCTTCTTGCCTTCAGTTCAATAAAGAAAAAAAATACAACTATTTTTTTTTCATTCTTTCTTTCAAAGCCTGTCAGATATATTATTATTCGATATATACATTTTTAATTCTAACTGCCTATCGTTTCCTTCTTTTTTTATTCAACTTAACTGTAGCCCTAATGCTGGTGGTGAGGTACCAGAAGTCGATCCCAACCACGACCCTGCCACTGCCATCCTCCGTCGCAAAGCTTCCCCACACAAATTGATGGTGGACGATGCCAGCAATGACGACAACTCTGTCATCACCCTGTCCACAGCCACCATGGAGCGCCTCGAGCTCTTCAGAGGTGACACTGTCTTGGTCAAGGGCAAGAAGAGAAGAGACACCGTATTGATTGTCCTTTCTGATGACGATGTTGAGGACAACAAGGCCAGAATTAACAAAGGTACGTGTGTAATGTATTACGTGTATTACTTGTGGGGTGTGGGGCGTGGAATGCGTATTATGTGTATTATGGACGCTATCTGTGGAATATGTAGAGTGTGTAAAGTGTATTATGTGTATTATTGAGCATAGTGCGTAAGATGCGTAATGTGTAGTGCGTGCGTGTACACATGATGAGAAATGAGAAATAATCCTCCCTAATTATTAATCATCTATATGACTTTTTTTTTCAGTTGTTCGTAACAACTTGCGTATTCGCTTGGGTGATATCATCAGCGTTCATCCTTGCCCAGACATCAAATACGGAAAGCGCATTCAGGTTCTTCCTATTGATGACACTGTTGAAGGTCTGACTGGTAACCTGTTTGAGACCTACCTTAAGCCTTATTTCTTGGAGGCCTACCGCCCTGTCCGCAAGGGAGATTTATTCCTGGTTCGTGGTGGTATGCGTGCTGTCGAGTTCAAGGTTGTACAGACCGACCCTGAAGACTACTGTATTGTCGTCCAAGACACTGTGATCCATTGTGAGGGCGATCCAATCAAGCGTGAGGACGAAGAACAGAACTTCAATGAAGTAGTCGGCTATGACGACATTGGTGGCTGCCGTAAGCAGATGGCTCAGATCCGTGAGTTGGTCGAGCTTCCTCTGCGCCACCCCCAGCTCTTCAAGTCAATTGGTATCAAGCCTCCGCGTGGTATTCTTATGTACGGTCCCCCAGGTACTGGTAAGACTCTTATTGCCAGAGCAGTTGCCAACGAAACCGGTGCCTTCTTCTTCCTCCTCAACGGACCCGAAATCATGTCCAAGATGGCTGGTGAGTCCGAAAGCAACCTCCGCAAAGCATTTGAGGAAGCCGAGAACAATGCACCTGCAATCATTTTCATTGATGAAATCGATTCTATTGCTCCTAAGCGTGACAAGGTAAATAACAATAATATAATATGTATATACATATTGTATATATTATAAAAAATAGTGCGCAGCCATAAAAAAATATTAATTAAATTACTAACAAATAAATCACTTTTTTTTCCGTTTCCTCTTACATATATAATTTTAATAGACCAATGGTGAAGTCGAGCGTCGTGTTGTGTCTCAGCTGTTGACACTGATGGACGGTATGAAGGCCCGTTCCAATGTGGTTGTGATTGCAGCCACCAACCGTCCTAACTCAATTGACCCTGCCCTGCGTCGTTTCGGTCGTTTCGATCGTGAGGTTGACATTGGTATCCCTGACCCAACTGGCCGTCTCGAGATCCTGCGCATTCACACCAAGAACATGAAGCTCGACGATGATGTCGATCTTGAGCAGATTGCTTCCGAGACCCACGGTTACGTTGGTGCTGATATAGCTTCGCTCTGCTCTGAGGCAGCAATGCAGCAAATCCGTGAGAAGATGGATCTCATCGATCTTGAGGAAGAGACAATCGATACAGAGGTTCTGGACAGCCTGGCCGTCACAATGGAGAACTTCCGTTATGCCCTTGGAGTCAATAACCCCTCAGCACTTCGCGAGACTGTGGTCGAGGTCCCAACCGTCAAGTGGTCCGATATTGGTGGTCTCGAGAACGTCAAGCTCGAGCTGCAGGAAACTGTCCAGTACCCTGTCGAGCACCCCGAGAAGTTCTTGAAGTTTGGCATGAGTCCCTCCAAGGGTGTCTTGTTTTATGGTCCTCCTGGTACTGGTAAGACCTTGTTGGCCAAGGCCATTGCCAATGAGTGCCAAGCCAATTTTATTTCCATCAAGGTAAATATATATATGTGTGTGTGTGTGCGTGCGTGCGTGCGTGCGTGCGTGCGTGCGTGCGTGCGTGCGTGTACACTTATAAAGAATGAAAACGAAACGAAACGAAAAGAGGCGGCTGTGAGATGTAAATACCAATGTAAATGTAAGGTTACCTAACTTTTTTCTATTATAAAAAAATGATATTTTTATAGGGTCCTGAACTTTTGACCATGTGGTTTGGTGAATCTGAGGCCAATGTACGCGATGTATTTGACAAGGCTCGCGCTGCTGCTCCATGTGTTATGTTCTTTGATGAGTTAGACTCTATTGCCAAGTCTCGCGGTGGATCTGCTGGTGATGCCGGAGGTGCCGGAGATCGTGTACTCAACCAGATCCTTACAGAGATGGATGGTATGAATGCCAAAAAGGTTAGTGGTTTTTTTTAGTATATATATATATATAGGATTAATAATATTGATGATTTGGTTTTTTTTTCAGAATGTGTTTGTCATTGGTGCTACTAACCGTCCTGATCAAATTGATCCTGCTCTGTTGCGTCCTGGACGTCTGGATCAACTCATCTATATTCCCTTGCCCGATGAGACCTCGCGTAGATCTATTTTGGATGCCCAGTTGCGAAAGTCTCCTATTGCTCCTGATGTTGATCTGCAGGTGATTGCCAAGCATACCCATGGTTTCTCTGGTGCCGATCTTGGTGAAATCTGCCAGCGTGCAGCCAAATTGGCCATCCGTGAAGACATTGAAAAGGACATTAAGCGTGAGAAGGAACGCCAGGCCCGTATTGAGGCCGCTGGTGGCAATGACACTGGCATGGAAGAGGAGGAAGAAGATGATGGTCTGGCCATGATCACACGCGCCCACTTTGAGGAAGCCATGCGATTTGCTCGTAGATCAGTGAGTGACGGAGACATCCGTCGTTACGAGATGTTCTCCCAGAACATGCAGCAGTCGCGCGGCTTTGGCACCTTTAAGTTCCCCGAAGGTTCGAATGCTCAACAGCAACAGCAGCCTGGCATGGATGGTGTCACTGGCGGTGAAAGTGGATTTGGTCAAGAAGGTGGAGACGATGATTTGTATGCATAAAACAAGAATGAAAGAAAGAAAAAGAAAAGAAAATCAAAAAAAAATGAGGAAAACCAGAGTACTTCAGTAAAGTAAAGTAAAAGCTAAATAAAGTAAAAAGAAAATCATTGAATGAATGATTAAACGAATGAATCGATAAGTGAATAGGAAAATAAGATGTTATAGGTTGGTGGTTTGGAATATTATGTGATTATGGTTTTCATTGATGCTTATTTTATTTTTTTGAAGAAGAATATTTTTGGGTGGATCAAACTTCACTTTCTATTCATTATTCATAATTCATTATTCACTGTTCTGTTAAAGTAGATCCATAAAGCGTACTTTTCTTCCTTCTTCTATATATTTAACATGATACATAAATAAAGTATATCTTATCAAGGTTTCTTTCTATAGTTTTATTTATTTAATTTAAAGTTAATCAAGTCAGGCCCATAATCAGGCTAAGGCTCATCAGGTTCAACCTTAATATATACTAATACTGATATTGATACCCTATTGAATATCAGTATGGATATAGACATTAATATGGATATAAAATAAAGGTTTGTTTGTATACATGTGTATCTAAATATCTGAATATCTGAATATTCAAATAGTACACCAAAACTCTTTTTTTTTTAAAAAAAAAAAAAGAAAAATATTTATATATAATATAGATAAAATAGAAACCAATGAAAACTTTTAAGACATACAAGATTTAGGTTGTTGGTTTTTCTTCTTCTTCTTCTTCTTCTTTACTGATAAGCTATTTTAAAAGATATTATATTATATAATAGGGTAGTTTGTAATGTTTCTTTCATACATATATATAATATATGTATTTAAGGAGTAGTAAATAAAATGGAAATTTTAATGTGTATGTGTGCTTGTGTGGTTCCCTCAATTATCCCATTTTCTCTCTCTCTCTTCTTTTTGGAGCTTCTTGTTAAACCAAAGCAGCCACATCCTCTGTAGAGGATGGGAAAGTAAAAAAAAAAAAAAAAAAAAAAAAACATTATGCCGATCACCAGATATCGAATAATAATATAGATATAGAGATATAGATGACCCTTCCTTTTATATGTATGCGTATGTTTTTAGGTTGCTTGGCTGTACAACGTGTAAAAAATACAACTGAAAATTGAACCCTTTTTTACCTATTTGGATCAAAGGGAATAACAATAGCCTTATTTGACTAGAATATTAACTGTATTTTATTATATAATTATTATTCAATTATCCGTATTTTGTACATAATGATAATGCAGGTATAAAGTACAGATAAAGAAATACACAATGAAGATATAACAAAATATAAAGAAGTAGAATCAATAAATACGCACAGAAACAAAGAATAATAATAGTAAGATATTAATAAGAATAACAAATAAAAGCAAAGTAAATTAAAGCAAAATAAAATTAAATAAAACAAAAAGCATGGATAATATGAATAAGAATAAGAATAAGAATAATGGTAATGGTAATAATAATGTATATATGTAAATATGTATATGTTATATGTATATGTATATGTATATGTATGTTTATATACTGGCTTAGGAATACAAGAGGTCTGTCATGGAACAGTAGTCTGACATTTGCAGTACAGAGCCCTCAATAGTCGCAGGCACGGAAGAAGAAGAGGATAAGGACGAAGAAGGAAGAGGAGGGTCCACAAAGGTACCGTCATATGGGTTGGGCACCGGACACATCCACTTGTCCTCATCTCCATTGACACTGTCGTTCTCAAAGTGAAGATATTTGGCTGTAATCTCATCACTCAAGTCAATCATCAATGGCTGATGTTTGTCAGTGCTTGGATAATTCATCTTTTCTTTTGATTCTTCTTGTTGTCTTTGTTTTTGTTGCTCTTGTTGGAATTTAAATAGTTCTTCGAGTACATCGGTGTACTCTGGCTCAATAGCGGTAGTATCATTTCTTGTTACCGTTGCTGTTGAAGGTTGGGCAGGTTCATAAGATGAGGTCAGCAGAGTGGGGTAAACACAAGGCTGGGAAAATGGGTTGAATTGGATAGTATTAGGGAACACGTTAGGATTACACATGGATGCTAGCCACTCGTCATTGGACATCAACCATTCGGTCTGGGAGGAAGAACAAGAGGAGGAACCATCGACACCATTAATATTAGTATTGTTATGACCAAGTAATGTCTGATCGAAACTGAACTTTGAAGGATCAACATTATCAAACAGACCAGACACTCCTCCGCCCATAAGACCGGCTGTTGCAGCTCGCAGTTGATCCAAGTCAATGTTCAGCAATTCGTCCCATCCTTCAAGACCAAGGCTTCCGACATAGTTTTGTTGATTGAGTTCAATTGATTGTTGATTGTTTTGTAATGTATCAATAGAAGACGACAGTTGATTATTTCCTTCTTCCTTTTGCTGTTCTGATTCACTTGGTTTGGTTTTGGTCTTGTTGCTTTTCTTTTGACGCTTAATGGATCCAATGTATTCATTGCCAACATCGACACCAGAATCATATTCAGAATCATCGCAAGTAGTATTGACTGTAGTGGTAGCTCCGACTGATTGACGCTGTTTTCTTCGTCTAGTCTTTCGCAACGATGATGATAAATCGCCTTTCTTAGATGTAGATGTGGATGTGGATGTTGAGGTAGAAGTGACCTGGGTGTGGGACATTCGGAAGGTACTATACATGGATGCACGTGCCACGGCCTTGTCAGAAGAAAGCTGAGATCCCTTGACACTACTAGTGGTAGCACTTGTAGTAGCAGAAGTAGCGGCAGAAGCGGCAGAGCCGGTAGTAGCACCGGTAGTTGTGGAAGTGGAAGTGGAAGTGGCAAGTGTAGATGTTTCCTTGACAGTATGTCGCACACTGTTCTGGCGTACGCTCTCGTGCTGCGGATGGCGCATAGATGACGGCTTGCTTGTGCTTCCTTTTGTATTCTTTTGATAGTCCTCTGGTCTGGTGATGAACATGTGAGTGCTTGCAAAATAGGCATTGCTGACCATCAGAGGAGAGGATGAGGAATTGGTGGCACTGGATACAAGGGCTGATGCTAAGGATAATGGGGTGGCTGTGCTGGGGGCATAGAAGCACGATCCACGGCGTTGATTTGCAGATAATTCAGCGGTGAGACCAATGTCGTGATGCTTACGGCTGTGGCCACCGGCCTGTGTGAGACTTTCGATAAATATTTGCTCGGTTCCTGAGATGAGGGTCCAGTAACAACCCTTTCCAGGATTAGCCTGGGTAGGTCTTCTGTCGAGTTTGACAAACCACTTTTTGTTTAAAGATAGATTGTGACGAATAGAATTCTAAACAAAGAAATAATGAATATAAGTATAAATGTAGATATAGATATCTAATGTAGATATATATATTACCTGCCAGCCTCTGCGACCAAGAGTAAAGAATGGATAGTATACTGATATCCAGCGGTAAATGTCACTTAATGTAAGACGACCGTCTTTGCTTGACAGGATTGCATGAGCAATTAGGGTTGCATAAGAATATGGTGGTTTCTCGCGTGGTTGACTTGGCTTCCACCAGGTAACAATGTTGACTGGCCATGCTGAGCGTGTTCTTGCAGGACACATGTCGATATCGTCATCTTCTTCTGGTTGTGTACCCATTGATTCGATTTTGAACTTCAATTCAGATGGTTGATTGTGCTGTGGATTTCTTTTGAGTTCCTTATTAACAAAAGTAGAAGCAGTGGTGGTGATTGTGGTGGTGGTGGTAGTAGAGGTGTTTGATTGAGATTTCTTTGATTGAGATAGGTTGTTACTTGTTGTATTAGATGTGGTTCTTTTGGGTGTCTCTTGGATGATTGGAAATGATGAGAGGGTTCCCATGCAGGAAGCATTCTGTTTGTTGTTGTTGGTGTTGTTTGATTGATTTTCTGTGCTTCTGACTGCAGGTGTCTGGGACATATTGGATTCAATAGGTGTGAAGATCTGGAAGCATGATTCAGAGTAACTAGGGTGTTCCTCTGACTTGATTGATTTTGTCACCATGGTATTGTATTATGCGTTTACGGTTGGTATATAATAATAATTATAATCTTTATTTTCTTTCGCTTTTTGCGTTTTTGTGTTTGTCTGTTTGCGTTTTCGCGTTTTAATGTAATTTCTTGTTTTCTTATATAAAAGAAAAGAAAAAGAAAAGAAGTGTAAATAAAACAGGAAAAAAAAGAAAGACAAAAAAGACAAATAAAAGCATGGATCTTTTTATATCTTTCAAAGAAAAAGAAAATTGGTCGTATTTTTTTTTGGGTTTTGTTTTTTAGGATGGTCCTAGTGCAACACCGCCTCCCCCTTTTTTGATTTTTTTTTTTGCTCTTTGTTAGTAGAAACGATCACTTTGTCTTGTGATATATATATATATATTGACTATGTGTTCATTCTCTTTTATCTGCAAACTAATATAATTGCATAGATAATGGCTCTCCCCTTCATCTACTTCTTCTACTTCTTCTACTTCTTACCCTTATTCTTATTTAAATTCAATTTTAATTTTTACCTATTCTAATATCTTTTCCACAAAGCCCTCTTCTTTATATTTTCTTTTTATCTTGTGTATTGGGATCGGTCTTTCTTTATTTTGGCAAGGTTGTACCGGTAGAACCATATGACGGACGCCCGGGTCATATATATATAAATATGGTTTTTTTTTAAAAAATATATTTTAATTTCTATTTTATTTTTTATTTGCGTGTTTCATACATTTCCAACATTTGGACCAGATAGAAATAGCACACACGTACACAATATATATATATATATATATATACATTTTTTTTGTGGAGAATATTGGACTCAAAGGAACAAATTATTTAGAATGAGAATAATATAAATAAAAAGAGTTATCTATTGCTAGGTTACAAAACATGAACATGAATATGAGCATCACTACTTTATTTATTATTTCTATTATATTATTATTGCTTATCATTAATTAACTAAAAGGTAAAAAGAAGGGGGGAAACAAAATCTGACAGGACCAACCTCAAAAATACTTTCTTTTATCATTATCTATATCGATATTGATGTATATCTGGCGCTGTTGATCCTTGAATCATTGTCTACACTACATACTACATATTGCAAAGCAAACAGATCACGGCTGAGAGGCAACTTTGCTCTGCAATCCTCTCTCTCTCTATCTCTCTTTTCATCTTTTATTTTTAATATAAATATATAAATAAATAAAAGTAGACAGATCAAATAAATAATCAAGTAAATAAGACACCTTGATTTGACTTTTAACAATGAGAAAGAGAAATCCAATACAGATCTCCACTATATCTCCTTTCCTCAAGCCACTTTACACAGCTCCACAAATGAACCCTTTTAGTTATCTATTTATTTATTTACCTATATTAAAAGATAGCTATGTGAGCAGTGTACCAAAAATTAATGCAATCCAATACAATACAAAAGATGCCATATGGTACATTGCAAGATGTAACGACCAGAACAACTGGGCTATTCAAGGCCAAAGGAGATAAAGAGAACAAGACAAACTCGTATTCATATTCATACTCTATTTCATTTTGTTAAACTTTACTTGACCACCCCCTTTTCTTTTTTTTTTAATGTATATATATATATATCTTTCTGGATATCATTTTTGTGCTCCCCATTAGAATCAAGCTATATAATTTGACTGCGGAAACATAATTTAATTAGGTTTCTAGAGAAACCACAAAATAAAATAAAATAAAATAAAATAAAAAGAATATTGACAAATAGAAGAGCATGACTTGTCTGTCTGGGAACAACGATGTCCTGACACCCGTCACACATGGTGTACGGAGACTACGGGCTGCGCCAAGTTGTTAGCAAGTTCTCTTTGTCAGGTTCTATCGAGTGATCTGGAATGAAAAGGTCATGCACAACCCATGTTCGATTTTAGTGTATTTTATTTTATTTTATCTTATTCTATTTGATAGGATAAATAAATAAAAAGGAATAATAAATTTGTTGGCATGGAAACAATTATATATAATGATAAAAGACATGTTGGTATGGTAACTAGGAACCAAACTCTCTTTCTTTTAAGTATTATTATTATTATTAACTTGTAAAATATCTCCTTTGGTGATAAGATATATTTATAGTTATATTTGTATTTGTATTTATATACAAATGTGCTGGGTTGCTTGGTAGTTTCTTTATTTATATAGCTGATGAGCATTATCCATTGTTATACAATAAACTTACATATATATTTGGAAGAAGCAGAAAAGAAAAGAAAGAAAAAGAAAAGACAAAAAGGAAATATTTCGAATTAACGCCTTGGTTTCTAGACTTCTTTTTGAACTTTATCTCTCATATTCACACACAAGAACCGAGCTTTATGGGTCCCTCTCCATCCCCCCTTCTTTCTTTCTTTTATTTTGACGTCATTACAGAGCATTGTACTAAATCACAATCGTATAATACTATGCTTGGATAACATATTAACAATAATAATTATAATATATACTACTTCTTATTCTTCTTCTTCTTCTCCTTTTGGTCCTATTCATTGTAGTATGGAAAGCCGATTCAATACATGCAATCTTTATAAAATAAGAAATGATACATTTGATATTCTAAATTTAATAATTCGTTATAAATATATAAATATTGTTTTTATTTTTGAATAAAATGAATTGAAATATATAAATATAAGAGAGAGAGAGAGAGAGAAAAGTCAAGCCATAAATTTATACAAGATACTGATATATCGATATATCGATATATCGATATTTATATAACAAGACTATATTTCTTCCTGGTCATTCGTAAAATAAATAAATAAAAATATTACAGAATTTGAATCATCATTATTATAATTTTTATAATTTTTATAATTATTTGTATCATTATGACACATCCAAGGTATGTGTCTGTCTGCATCTTTCTCTCTTCTTATATATATCTAGTTATTTATCCTACAAGCACATCGCTTCGTAGAACCCATTTAACACCCTTTTTAACCTCTTTACCCTCGTGAAGCATGCAGTTTTTATCGTGTGCATGCAATAAAGCCATACCTTGCTGTGGCTGGACAACAATCGGATCTCCAAGACGTCTCTTGGACACAGATTTGTAAAATACTGTCTCACCTCCTTCCATTTCCTCATTCAAATAGATCAGCAGGGTCCATTCAGTCCACAGTCCGCTTGCCGCATCCTTGACGCTCTCGTCATAATGTGCCTGGAACATCTGGCCCGGGCGATACCGATAAATCCGCAAGTTTGAATTCAGTCCAACCGGTTGACGTGGAAGTGCCAAGCCTTGGATTCCCTCAGTCAGCCGGCACACTTTATCCAGCCCCAACTGCCAAAGTCTCTGAGCAAATATAGGATCCTCAAACGACTGTCGATCATTACTACGGAACGCCTCTCCAGGTCTAGGAGTCGTAGACACTTGCTGAAGAGGAAGATGTGTTTCAAAATGTTGAATGAGTGAATTGCACTCCTTGGCAGTAAAGAAGTCATGGATCAAATAGATCTGTCTCGGCTCTACTTCGGTTACCACCAAATCTTTTTTAGGACTCAAGGTAGGTAATTTAGGCACTTTTGGTGGTTCAGACTGAGCCTTCTTTGACTTTGCCATGCTTAGCAATAAATAATAAAAGGACTTCCTTTTATTTTTTTAAGAAAAAAAATTGTAATGTGAATGAATGTAGATGTAGATGTGAATGTACTATGTAGTGCGCACGCGGGTTATATGAGGGTATATGTGTACAGTATACAGTGTACAGTGTAAAGTGTAAAGTGTAAAGTGTGGGTGTGTGACTGTGGGGATTAAAATGAGCAATGTTTTTTTTTGTTTTTTTTTATTTTATAATTATTTTTATTTGTCTGTGTGTATCCAAGGTATTGAAGGGAAGAGGTGATGAAATTTCTTGAAATGATTTTGCCTAAAAGATATCCCATACCATTTTATATAACAGATATAATATTTTCCAACATGTCATTATTGTTAATGATGTTGCTAGTCTTGACTGTCACCAAGGTATTAAAAGGATTTTATATATATTTCTGTAACTGTACAGACAAAAAATAAATATAAAAAAACAAAATAGCACTCATTTTTTACTACAACTCATGCACTTTTTTACCCATTCACCAAGTAAATAACGCTTTATTATTTTGACAACATACTTGTCAATTTGGGTGTCATTTTACTATTAGCCCAAAAATCATCCTCTTTATTTTACACAACTTCCTTAACTTTCTATAAATTCAAAATCTATACACACCGACAAACTTTCTCTTTGTACAATCCAAGTCTTTTTTTTTATCATTAATAATTAATAATAATTCCAAACACAATTTTGGTATATAGCTCAATCGAATCGGAAATATACTTCTTTTATTTTCGGTATAAATCAATAAATTATCCGTTACTGATTAATATTTATATATATATATCTATTTATTATGTATTTACATGAAAATGATAAATTGAATATTCAATCAATTTGTCAGCGTCCCCCCCAAACACAAACACTTGCATACATAAACTGGACATGAGTGTTTTAAAAGAATGAATGAATGAAAGAAATGGTCAAACAAGCGATGGAAGCACGCAATCAACTTATCATTTGTCCCACACAATGAAGCTACAATGGGAAAAAAAAGAAAAGAAACATTTACAAGTAGTGTATTTCAAACTTACTACCAAGACAAGATAGAGGGAGAGATATTATTCACTGGTAGGAAGCAAAGTAAAGGATATTGACCAAGCTGAGCCAATACATTGCAAATCACATACAAACAAAGACACAATGTCTATCACACTCTTTTGGGGGTGGCGTGAGTGTTTACTAGCTTATGTTGTTAAATAAAATACATATTCATATAAAACATGCGTATATGTGTGTTTCTTGTTGAGGATAGTCTTCAAAATTTTAGACATTTGATCTCATATTTATCCACTAGCCATATGCCTCTTTCTTTCTCTTCATTTTATTTTATTTTCTTTTATTTTATCGACTGTTGGTACGAAAAGGAAATAATTGCAATTGCCAGTTAACCAATTGATTCTTCAGACCTTGTTTTTTCTTCTTAAAAGTATAATACTAAGTTTTGGGCTTTGGCTGGATCTTTAGTGCTTTAAACAAGTATTTCTGGCATACAATAGATAACTTAATACACACATATATACATATTTGTGTGAATGGGTGCATGATCAATTTTTGTGTGTGAATGTATTAAACTGTGATTTGATAAGCCATCTTTATCCAAGCTGTTGATTTAAAAAGAATATCACCAATGGGCCACACGTCGTTTCAGAATTTAATTACTTCTTCTTTTTAGTATATATATATATATAATATACAATATATAATACATATATAATCAGCATAACCCGATATCTGGGGACAGGTGAGTTTTGTAGAAACAATACAGCCACAATAGGTTTATCGTGAAACATGGACTATCCTTTTTTTTAAGAAAAAATCCATGTCTTTATCTCCTTCTCTCGATCTCACGCACAGTTACAGTTACAGTTACAGCTACAGCTACAGCTACAGCTACAGCTACAGGGACATATATAGATATAGACAATAATACACCAGAAATACGACTGTATCTATATCATACTAAAAACAATCAACACAATTTTAACAGACCGATAAAAGCATATCTTGAATAGATTGTTTAGTTTTCTACACAAATTTCTTTGCCTGCTGTACTTTCTTGTGCACGTCTCATAGTCAGTTTTGGACAATGCAAGTGGGTCATTAAAGTCTACGATCCGTTCAGTGGAGTGCTCTGCTCTATCTTCTGATTTATTTATTTATTGAATGACGTCCAAGCGACGTCTTTCAGTCTTTTTTTTTTGTGCCACAGAAAATCTTTACTTGCTCTTTACTGTTATCGAGATCAAAGGATCTTATAAAATCATTATCTGTGTACTCCCACCTCACCTCATATTATCTCACATTACCTCCCTTCTTCCCTCGTATTTCCTTTCTTCTAATCAAGACAGTGGGTACCCAAAAGTAACAAGCCTTATTTATTTGAAGTGTCTGGAACATTTGTAAGTAGTATACCTATACTAAAAATCAATTCGGCTGTCTCTTACACATTTTACTTTTCATACACTCATAACCAATAAGTCTATGGTACGATCATTATAAAATCTACGTCATGTACTCTTTGTGCTCAAATCATCGGCACTTTTTATTTTATTTTCTATTGGAACTCTATCAACTACCTTTAGTCATCCACTAAATTAAATATTCAAAGGGTACATAACTATCAAACAAGCCCCGAGTATAAAAGATCAATTTCACATCATACACCTTCTTACAACTTACTTGCAACAAATCGAACAAAACATAATTGTGATAAAATCATACCATTATCTTCAGTAATCAATAGAAAATATGAATCCAAACCAGTCCTTTAGCAATACAAGAGTATACCATAATACATATACCCAAAAAGCCTTTTTATTATTATTATTATCTATTGATTTTCTTTGGCTCTATAATGAATCAATAAATACATTCTTTATACATCTTTCAAATGTTCTTTTCTAGAACAGTACAAAAGAGTATATGTGCGTGGATACATTTATACATAAAAAATATAAAAAAAAATACAAGGTACCAAAATATAAGGTACAAGATATAAAATACAAGATCCTTTAGACATTGTCTCTACCCCACAATCTTTGTCGCATTTCTCCTGATTCTGTTATTGGTATACTTTCAACTACATCTAATCTTGATAAGTCAGGTTGGCTCGTCTTGACTGACTGTGAAAACTGTTTAAAGATCTCAGTGTCAATATAGTAAGCTTTCAACATTTGTTCCATAAGCTGCATTCTCTCCTCCACTTGACTCAGTCGTTGCAGTTGGCCAGGAATTTGTGTTCCTGGCTCGGTTAAAAGCTGTGCGGTATCTTTGCCTTCAATATCTGAATAGCCTGTAGCACAAATATCACCAGAACCAGAACTAGTAGCGACAACGCCGCCGCCAGCAGAAGCAGCAGTAGTAGCACCACTAAGACCACCGGTAGCAATATGAGGAGAATTATAGTACGAATTAGAGGATAATATGGGTTGGCCAATAGGATCAACAAACGGAATAGACTTGTGTGTAGGGTCAAATCCGGATCTTAGACTCTCTTTAATCGAGTGACTCATACGCCCAATAGACCATCGATGGACAACACCCCAAGGCGATTGAGGACGGAAACCAAATAGCCACAGCTGGACACCCATTATAAGACTCAACACACCACCTGCAGATCCAAGTGCATCCAGAAGTGTCGACGTCTTTTTCTCTTGCAAAATCACATCAACATACTCGTTTGGAAAGACCTTTAAGGTACTAATGATGTAAGCCAGACTTCGTGTGCCTTTGCTCATAGTTCCTGAACGAAATGTCGTACTGATCTGGGGTATCTTTTCTACATTTGGAGAGAATCCTACGTTGTTCCAACCATCGTCTGTCAGGTGCTGGTAGCTCTGAAGTTCATATCCAAGAGTGGTAGTGGAATTAGGGTTGATAGTGTATACATTCTCAGCATATCGATCACCCAAGTCAGCAACCACCCAGTCATCCATTTGTTCTGGAGTTATAATTGGATCAATGTCAGTGGTGTTGATATTGTACAGAATAATGTTGGGATCCATCCCAGGTGGGAAAAATACAGCATGTATAGCACCAGAAGCAGTAGGATCTCCGTAAAATGAAAAGTCTAATGATGAACCATTGCCAATTCTACGAGTAGGATCAGTCAAGACGAATTTGCTGGGTGCCGCATACAAGAAACAGGTAATTTCGCCCATGTGTTCTGAAAAAGCCGGTTTGTGGATCGACATATTGAGTGAAGTTATGTGCTGAGTACAGTCATATCCCTCATCCGTAGAGCATCTCATGTGAGGTCGTAAGTATTCATTGACGGACAGGCTGTTATTCCAACCGTCGAAACAGAACCGAATGTCTGTTTTAATTAAAAAGTCAAATAAAGATTGTTTAGATTTTTTTCTTCTTATTTTTCATATGCTGGTCAACTAAGTCAATATACTTACCAGGTGTCTTCAAGGTAAGAGCACTATTTCTCAAAGTGATAATAGCCTTTGGGCTATTCACGACATCCATTATAATATACACCAGGTACGCTGCCAGCAAAAGATAGCCAATGCACTGGAAAACAATTCGACTTATTTCAGCCCAAATTGGCTCACCAGATCTAAAAACCCCATGAAAAGCAAGCGTTATTAGCATAATGATAATAACAATAAAATACACTATAGATTAAACAATATATCTGTTGACTTGCCTTGGGCTCCATGAATTCCATAGGTACGCCGACATCAAGGCAAGAGCTGCTAATGAACCGATAGCTATGCCAGCAATAGCGCCTGGCTTTAGACCCTTTTTCTCTACTACGACTGGAGTTTGGCCGTTTTGGTACTCTTCCCAGTCTCGCATCCAATACGAAGGTGTTTTTTCATCCGCACTGTATCTGAGAAAGTTTACATCGTTTCTTGGATTCGGTGTCAGTATACCTATGCCAATTTTAACAAAATAATTTAAATGAAGCAAAGCAAAGCAAAGATGAGATGAGATATGATTTTTAGTGCAGAAATAAATAAAAATAAGACAAAATAATATGTTATCAACTCACCAAAAGAGATTGATAGAATATCATCTTGTATAAATCCCATGGAGGCATACAACCGAGGAGCTGGCGGATAGCCACCAGCTTCAAAAAGCGACCAGCTCCATGTGGTTGTGTTTAGGAGCAGCAAATCGTTGTACATGGCGTCTACTCCATCAAGATGAGGAGATATGCCTATTATATATATATATATTGGAAGTAATAAAATAAAAAGCTGATAAGTATTTTGCTAGCATTTACACAATATCGATTCATTCTTACCTCCAAACAAGAAAATGGTTTGGTTATCAGACCCTATATATATATATATATACAAATAAATTTAGTGTAAATACGTGTGTAGCTTTCTTTTGTTAAAGTCTTACCGAGTGCAGAATTGGGATAGTTTCTTGGTAGAAAAGCATATCCACTAACAAGTTGGTTTCTCCAAGTATTGTCATTAACATTGTACACATACACTTGGTTTGCAGGCATAAACTCTGCTGTTGAAGCATCTGTCTTTGTTTTTCCAGCAGAGAATACTATTAATCCATTACTAATCAATAAATAGATGTATAAACAGTTAATACTTGAAAGTTTTGTTTGAAAGGCTACTTACGGAAGGGCAACAGTAGAAGTATACAGCAGGTGTAGAGGAATATTCTTTGAAAGATCTGTTATGTGACGGGTGGTCGGATCGAAAGAGATAAACTCGTTGGTTTTATTTGCAGTTGTGGTCAGATAGTTAAAGTAAATGTAGACCTTTCCATTGGATCCCAGGACAGCATTGAACCTTGCCTCAACAGTTAGGAGTCCCTGGTCGATGATGGGTGCAATCTCAGTCCAGGTAGGATTCTGGGTGTCAAAGTTGTAAGACCATATGGTCAGTATTGTGCTGTCCGAGTCATCTGACAATTCGCCACAGAATAACAAGACGGTATCATTTCCGGGGAGGTAGACTGTAGAAGGATAGGAGCAGTGTGGATCGGTTGGGCTTGTAGGCAGCTCTTCGTACACCACATTTCCTATGCTTGATAATGATGTGGAGCTCATGCCATTTGACAGTTGGTCTGCGTATGTGTTGCCTCCATAGTTGTAGACCGTCTTGTTACGTATAAATGTGGCCGATCCGTACCGTTGGTCCATTTCGCCAAGAAGCTTCTGGGGCACAAAATAGGATCCATTGACATGTCCGATGGAATATATTACAACACAAACAAAAGATAGTAAGAGTATATTCATAGCTTAAGAGAGCCAAGGAATAAGTATTGGAAAGGAAGAGGAAGATAAAGAGGAAGAAAACTTTTATATATATAAACATGGAAAATATTGAATTGAATCAGATTGGATTCCTTTACACGATCCAGAAATATCTGTTTGGCATACTAAATTGGATAGTTAAGCACAAGGTAAGGAGAGGAAGTTGACCAATAATGATCTTATTGAGTACAAAGCTGGGATATTAGGCATTAGGGTCTCAAAGTGACTTTCTTCTATATATACATTTAAAGAAGATTATATTGATAATTGTCAATATTAAGGTAGATTTCTACACAAACGTAAATAGGATTGTGAATTTTTATATGAAGCGGAAAAGACCAAATGTGTTTTTTGTACGACATACCAAGAATGGAAAGTTCCGTCTACACAGGACAGCTCTGAAGATGAAAATGAAGAAAAAAAAAGAAAAGTTTTATATTTTTCTATTTTTCAACAGAGTCTTGCCATCGCTAATTTGATGGTTGCTTAAAACGATAAACGGAAGATTAAATTTCAAAAATTGCTGTAGTTTATAAATAAAATAAAATATAAAATAGAAAGAGTTTCAATTTCTTCTTTTAAAGAGATTGATAATAAATAAGTCAATTACTTGTATTAAAACTTGTTGGCCAGAATACTTGGCCTGCTTTGAAGGAATTGTATCGACTATAGCAATATCAGGTACACACAAGTACTCTAATAGCAATGCCTTCGTTAATTCGCCCTAAATCGCTATCACTACGGGTGTGTGCTTAGAGGTGTACTAGCTGAGCAAGATATAATTGATGTTTTCGATAGCCTAAGCTCTCATGAGTGCGGGTGGAACGATCAATAAGAAGACTTAGAGATCCAAAAATTATGTATTCGGCGTAGAGATAGGAAAGAAAAATAAAATAAAACCTTGGTCATCCTATGTTTAAATACACTGCTTCCAATACTTTACTGTATTCCCTCCATATTCAATAGCTATTAAATGCAAAAGTATCCTGGTCAGCAAAAGGTGATACCCTAGAACCAAAAAAAAAAAAGGGTCTTTTCGTTAGTTGATCAGATTTGGGGGGGTTATTTGATCCACAATTTCTGGAATTGGTAAGAAGGACAGATCCAGCAAAAGAAAATTAAGGAAAGACAATAACGTAATATAACTCTTGGTGCTCCACAAACACCTGCCATACTTGACTTGAGATTTAGCTAGGGGAAGTATCTACTATATATATATTGAAAGCATTCACATCTTTACTCTACACCATCTTGCAACTTTGGCAAGCGATGATTGCTTTAAGATCATTTAAAATATTTATAGCAAAGAAATAAAGACATTGTTAGCCAAGTCTTACAAATGGTCTAAGCTCGCCAACATTCACCACAAGAAGATCTTTGCCCTTTTGTCTATTCTTCAATGATCGGTACAGAGCACCTACAACTACTGCACGATAGCCTTTAAATGTGACCGTCAATTTAGACGGATCACGGTTGAATTTTTTTTTATTTTTTGGTCACCAATACCCTTTTCCACTAATACAAATTATTAGTTCTTTCAAGGTGTATTAATGTACTATGTACAGGATTTTAACTTCGTTTTTGGACTTTATTTTTTATTGGACGAATTCATTCTTAATTTCAGACTTATTCCACTTTCAAGACTAATTTGTAACATTTTTGGACATACTCTTTTTTTATTTTAGACATGGTTATCAACGTTTTTAGATATGAGCATTTGCTTTGTTTTATTTTAAACCGATCTCTTTATCGAGACATTTATGCCAATAAGTTTCAGCATGTAGAACCCTTCCCTTACAGTCATTTGGAGTGACTTTAGAGATAGCCTCGGTGATACGTGGGGTAAGAGTATCCGCTTTATCGAGAGAATTCCGACGTATATGTTGTTTAATTTTTGCCCAGCACTCTTCGATTGGATTTAAAAATGAAGAGTATGGTGGCATGAACAAAGGTCTATAGTCTCGTTTGTTTATAGCATCAACTACAAAAGCAGAGTGATGTATTCTACACTTATCTAAAACAATGAATCTACCTTTCTCATAATGGTTTGTCCAAAACGTCCATAACTGAATCCATGGATCGAACAATATGGTAGGCGGTTGTCCCCTTTGGAACTTTTTTTTATTCTTACCTGCATCCTGACTACTCGCTTTTCTTTTCTTGCTCGTTTGTTGCGAACCAAATTCCTTCTCGATTTAAGCTGCATCGCTCTTCTTCAATGGCTCAACCTTCGAGAAATTAATGCTTCCACGAGCAGAAATACAGCCTACAATACTAATTTTTACGCCTTTCTGAGTGTGCACCTTCACAATTGCTGGGTCATCTTTTTTTTTGACTATACACGCCCTCTCATCATTTGTGTGTGGAAGCCTGCCTTGTCAACAAATACGCAATTTTTGCTTTGATAATCAACACTAGCTGCTTTCCATTGTGTGACAATGTCAAAGTGAATATTCAGATTTCTTGGGGAATCTCTTTCTGCGGTATATTTTGATGCTTGCTTCAACGATAGAGCACATTTTTCGCGAATATGCTTATATAACCCAGGAATCGAAATCGTGAGGTCTGGAAATGTCTCGCAAAGCTTGATCCTTGCTTTCTCCAGCACTATGGAAGGGTTGACGAAAAGAGTGATCAAAAAAGCAGACTGCTCAGGAAAAAAGCTTTTTACCCTTATCGTTCGTTTTTCTAGAATTGTTTCCGGACAGAACAGTCCCGTCACCAGCATTGAGCTCGTTTATCAATTCGTAAGCAGTGCTTCGAGGTATACCAGCGCCTTCAGCAGTTTTGGGAACAGACAAACCCTCTTCTTGCATGACATGAATGAGACGTTCTACGTTGCTTGGTCCCTAATTTTTATTCTTTCTTGTCGTTTTGATCGAAACGAGCTCCATATCCTCAGCAAGATCGTTGACGACTTTTTCTATTTGCACCTCTTGGACTTTCTGCATTCCATCATAATCTAGAATCATCTCCACTGCGCCATACTCCACGGCAGTTGTTTCCAAGTTTATATCATCTTCATTGGCTTCAGACGTGTAATTATCGGCAGTAGGTTGATAATGTATATAATCCATAGTTTATAGATGTTGGCAAAAGAAAATAAAAAAGTTTCAGCAACGTCTTTAATCAGTCTTTGAATCGTCTTCGGATTTTAAAAAATATTCATTTACTTGGTACTCAAAAGAAATTATTTTTCTACCGTCTCTGAACCGTCTTTCAATTATTCTTTAACAATATGAATAATGTTACTAGAGACATGGCTCTCTGCGTGCTCTACTATATGGAATTTACTCCAGAAAACATAAATACTTGCAAAAAAAAAGACTTAGAGAAGCAAGTTGTGAAATTTGTTACAATGTAACACCCAATCAACCTGTACTTGTTACTCATTAACGAATACTTGGTGATCCGTTAACATGTAAATACATGGACGTCGTCCCAGTTGAAGAAGCAGGACAAAAGAAGAAAAGACTTGAGTTTCGTAAGTTTTGAAAAAAAGAAAGTAATTGTGATATCAACACTAACCAATCTTTTAAGAAACCGAAGCACAAGTAGTTCGATTCGTGAATAATATTTACTGCATCGAAGATCAAGGAAATAGTGAGGTTTTTCAAAAAAAAAAAAAAAAAACTTGTCTCTACTCAAGAAATATTTGAAACAGTAAAAGGATTTTCCAGCTTGTTTGAGAACAAAACATTACTTTCATTTGCTCATTGGTGTTCTACGAATAAGGTCTCATTTTTAAAGCCTAAAGACAAAAACCCCTCAATCAAAAAAGTAGTTATAGAAACATTTGCTGTTTCTAATGAAGTATTCATTTATGATTCAAGTACGCTGCTGTCTGATGTAAAATTACTTGAAAAAGTTGGTTGTAGACCCAAACCAGTGCAACGATCGAAATAAATAATGTGATGTAATACTTAATCTATGATTAAGTGGTTGAGAGATATAGAGTGTTGTAGAACAACATCTTCTATGAAAGGGGTGTTTTGGATGTAGTGTGCCCAATAAAATTTCTAGATTAAGAATTTAATTGTCTAATATCAGAAATGCGTGTCCAATAATTTAGCAAGTTAGTCCAAAATTGGAAGTGGAATAAGTCTGAAATTAAAAATGAATTCATTTAATAAAAAATAGAGAAAGTCCAATTGTTTTTTGAAAAAGTCCGAAGAAGTTAAAATCCTGTATGTATCACCATATATTCTTGCACTCGTTGTATACCTTGGTATATACAGATATGCCTTTTAGCAGTTTTTTTTTTATTACTGAAGGCCAATACTTGCTGTAAATACAAGATGTATTTTACATAATCCAAGTAGATAGTAATAGAAGTGACTTTGCTTGTGGAAATGTTTAAAAGGACGCCTGATAAACCTTCTTGATTTATTCTTTGTTTTTATTGCTTTGCTACTCTAATAGATCCAATCATTATGTAGTATTCATTCTGGGAGAATCTTCTAATTCAGTGCCATTGTTTTGTTTCGCCGTATGCAGCAGTAAAGATGTGCTTACGATTAGGATCAACACCACAAAAAGAAGCGTGCAGGATCTCGGTTAACAACTGTCTGCACCACGTGCTCAATGTCGACTTCCTGCTCACAGCAAAACTTATAATCTTCTGCGCTTCGATTTACTTTGTTAAAGAGAACAGCATCCGCCATAAAACCATCGTTTCTCAGGAGATTAGAAAAAGGGCGCTTGCTTTTTTCTGTCTGGATCTTGCAAGTTTTCCGAGCTTTAGTTGTTATGTATACATCTTTGCTTTCGGCTACTTGTTTATCCCGAGACCTTTGAAATAAAATATTACATTACATAATTCCAAGTTTTCTTCGCAAGTGTTTCTTCTTCGTAAGCCAGGAAGCGATAGAAGAACTATATATATATATATATATATATTATTACGCGTTTCTACTTAAATGGAGGTGTTGAAAAATAAAAGATGAAGAATATACTCTTGGAGATTCACGACAATATTCTCCTTGAATTTCTTCGAAAGCTTTTTAAATACTTTAAGACCCAACAGTATCGTGTCATGAGACGCTTTTGTGTAGTAAGAAAATAAAATCCCTCTTCGCCTCTCTCCAGTCTGCCTCGAAAATTACCTGGAAGACTGGGATATATCTTCTGGCTCACCAAACAGTGCCACTATCATTGGGATAGGATAAATAAGCATGCTTATTACTTTGTTATTTTTTTTTGTAAAAACCCAAAATGATCGTTAAAGATATTTGACCAAGGCTCAGATTCGCTCAGTGGAGAGCACTATTTAACGTAAGGGTTAAGGTATGCAATACTATGAGAGGATATATGTAGATGAATTTTTTTTTTTGCTAAATTTAATTTGACAAGCATATATTATATACATACATATAATTTACAAAGAAGAGGCTAGGTATACTTTATTACTATTAGTAATTTAAAACGTACTTTAGTTGGACGTGAAATGACAGAACCTAGGAGTCAATGGACAGTACAATAGCCACCTCAAGTGATAAGAATACGAATTAAGCGATGTCTAGTTGTCAAAGTACAATTCAAAAGCTTCCTAAATAACTAAAGTATCAAGAATTGTATAGGTACAGAATCCAGATACTGTGAACGCTGTTAGACAAATTTATCAGAACTTATAAAGAGATCATTGCATTAAAGCCAGATCCCATTTTCAATCAACAAAGCATTGTTTACAGCACAGCCCATTAGAATCAAATTAACTTTATTATGTATTATATTTTATCAATAATTGAGATTTGGCTTATATAGATATATAAGTTATATTGATAATTAAGCTGTTGAATAGTATCAATATTTATCCAGAATACGGAATGACTAATCCTTTTTTCTCTTCATCTCTTCGAAAATACGCATAGGTCTCAACATAGCACGACCTTTCTTGAATTCCTCATAGGTACGTACAACGCGACTTTGAGCACCCAAGGTAGGCTCGAGAATAAATTTCCAATGAACAAAGATCCATGAGGTATGGTAAGCTAGTGTATCATAATATTCGCTTGCAATTGATCGCAGCTCGGGCAACTTTGTCCAAGGAATCTTTGACAGATCGTAAATTAGGTGAATAAAGTAAGAAATGTATATATATATATATATATATAAATATATTTATTTATCTTACCTTTTGGAAATCATGATGCTCATTGTGATACCCAATGTTCATAAAGGGGATGTTAAGGACACCGTAGTATGAATATGTCTCTTGGCCATCACCAAATGTGTAATGTTCCTGGATAAAGTGAGCAGCTCCTGGGTGGAGAGAATATCCTAGCCAGAGAGAGAGCATAAGATAGCCAAGTCCAGTCCATCCACAGACCTGCTGAATTATGATGTCCGTGCACACAGTAAAGATTAGGTTGATGATCTCCCACTTTGATGGTTTCATGTTTCGCTGGTGCTGCTGGACTGCACCTCGGACAACGTACATGACAGGGTAGATGAGGATCCACAATAGTTTCGTCAGGCTGTTTCCTTTAATAAGCTCTTTCTCCCAATCGAGAGGCAGGTCAGGATCCATGCCTTCAACTCCCTGCCAGGTATGATGCTCGATATGATAGCGTCTAAAAGACTGTGCGATAGGCACAGGCAGAGAAACATTTGCCAGTAGTCCGACATAGCGGTTGTGACTCTTTGTGGGCATAATCAGGCAGTGACAGGCCTCATGAATTATGACACCAATCGCGCCAATAAGTGTCGCACCAACCACATAGGCCACCAAGAAGAAAACCCAGAACGGAGCCTGCCAAACACGACCAAAACCATAAGCTAGACTAAGTTGGACAACAGTGATTGCAATCGTTACGTAAAGAGTTCTGATTTCTGTGCCATAGAGCTTTTCGACTTCGGGATGGTCTCCAAGGATGGTATGTTTTCGCTTCAAATGCGGTTCGTCCATGTCCTCATGTGCAAAGTCATCATCGACATACGGGATGGACCGCTTCCACTTTCCGACAAAAAGAGGATAGCGATGATCGGGATGCTTGAGCTTTGGGTCAACAGCTGGTGCAGTAACAGGCTCTCCCTTGTCTTCAATCTCAACAAAAGGTGGCATTTTCTGAGGGCTACTTTTTTTTTGTTTTTGTTTTTGTTGTTGTTAGAAGACTGTTTAACAAGAAAAGGAAAAAGAAGACCAAGAAAGGGCTTGCCAGTGGGACAAACGGGTGGCCATTTGAAGTTGTAAAGACAGTCCCCGACAACTATACGGTTGGGCTGATTCAACCATCCCTTCTCTATTTCTCTAGACAATTTTCAATTTTGTTACTCAGAGTATTCTGCACCTTTTTTTTTTATATATTATTTTTTATATTACATTTCTGATCTATACACGATCTGTTGTATATTATTTGTGCTTATTCTAAAAATATTCTTTTCAAAATATAATTTGAAAATCTCTGGGTATTAAAGTCAGACAATCCGCCTTTTATCATATTATATTATATTATATTATATTATTTATTTATTTATTTATTTATTTTTAAAAGAAGCAAAGAAAAAGGCGCTCTTCATAGGCTTGGGTCAATATCTTGTGTTAATGTATAAATATAACTCTTTTTAATGTAATGGCTGTAATTTTCAATATTATCAAAAATAAATAAATCAAAAACAAAGTATAATAACATATAGCTTTCTCAATCAAGTACTTCTAGTGAGGCTTACATTTTTAAAGAAGTTACTCTTTTTCTTTCTTTTGGAAATTTAAGATTATATTGTCTGTTATTAAATAAGACTATGTAAAGTATTATACCCAGACCAGCTTTAGTTAAATATCCCATAATTGTCTTTCTTTTTCTTTTTGTTTAAATAAATAAAAGTGTATCACTAAAAGACAAGAACAGAGGTGAGCTGATAGTTATTGGTGGTTTAGCTACCAAAAAAAAGAAAAAGAAAAAAAAAACCCCCATAACCTTCCAGTCCAATCATAAAACACCCTTTTTGAATGAGTTGTGTGCCAAGATATTTGAACCTCTTTTATAGTATTTGACAGTTGAAGAAAGCAAGGTTATCTTGAGTTGTTTTCTCACTCTCACTCTCACTCTCACTATAATTCACATATATATATATATATATAAGATTTTAACCTATTGACCTGAAAATTTGCTCTGATAATTATACTTGTCTTTATATATAATATAATTTTTCTTGTATAAAATATGTTCTGTCAAAGATTAGACAAGCCAAAAAAAAAAAAAAGGGGGGGGGGCTCAGACTAGACATATATTGGAAAACATAAGCCTTGATTAATGATTCGTTCGTCAGCTGGTCTTGACTTTTAGTTATAGTTTTGTGCATTCTGCTTACAATCACCGCAGTGGAATCTTGGATGTGGTCTGTATAAAATAACCTTCGTAATTGAGAGGCCTGGAAATAGCGCCACTATCTTAATGATCCACAAAAATAAGAATAAAAGGGACAAGTAAGAACAGGATATATTTCCGGATATATATTCACTACACCATTACTCAAACACATAATCCAATGACTCTCACCACTCACTATTATACAACATATTTTTATATTATTTTTTTGCAAGGGAGTTTGGATACAAGTAATAATAATAATAATATAAAAAAAAATATTTTCGTCTAAATTTTGAAGCATAATTGTCCAAAGATAAAGTAAAACTAAAAATGTCAAAGTTCAGTCATAGACATTGTAGCATTGCTCATTCACTATCAAGCAACTGAAGACACAAATACTAAAGAACAAATAAACAGAATAATAAAAGGCTTCATATTAACACTGAAAATATCAAGTCGCAGCCTAGCAAATATACAGTCAATTATTGGCTCAAACACAAGTGCATGCCATGCCCGCGGATATGCTGTCTGCACCAATCAGCCGTCACACTACTCACTCTAGACAGTCCATTTTAGTCCTTCTCAATTGCCCTTTTACAAAGTAAACCATTACACGATGGATATGGACCTTTTGCCAGAAAGTGAGGTGCTTCCTCTCATTATTGGGTAACTTAAAAATAATTTCTTTTTCCTGCGAGATCTTCAATACTGAACTTTAACCAACACAATGCAATTGATGTCTTAGCCAGCTCATCGCTTATGGTTTTTCTGCAGTTGCTCAGACAGTCGCAAACGCGACCGGAGCAACAACGGACATGATTCCGAGCAATCGATTAGCTGAACTTCTCCAGATTGGAAAAGAAAGAGGTATGACTCTTGTAAAATCCTACCGGCTATTATATACTTGACATCTAAGAAACATTGAAGACATGGATGATTCAGACTTTGCCGACAAGGATTCTGATCGCGAACAGGATGATCTGGATCGCAGTATACACCACACCGGATTCGATACAGATGCAGTCAAGACATCACGTAATTATGATGAACAAAAAAGAAACCCTGAAATAAGTTTAAACCTATATCCATTTGGTAGAACCCAAGCCAGCACCAGAATACACTCAATTATACTACACTCAGCATAAAGGACCTTGCCAAACAGCTATCTTCAGTGCAGATGGCCGATTTGCTGCGACTGGCTCGCATGACTCTTCTCTTAAACTACTAGATGTCCACAAGATGAAGAACAGAAGCGGGGATGCAAGTGACAAACCCGTTATCCGTACACTTTATGACCACACGGCACCTGTTAATGATCTTAGCTTCCACCCAAATGGCCTTGTACTTGCTAGTTGTGCAGATGATGAAAGTATAAAGTTGTTTGACCTATCTAAATCAGGTGTCAAACGAGCATTTCGCTATCTCCAGGTAAATGTTTGATTATATGAATATTTAATAGAGTGTTTCAAGATAACGATAATAACCATATGTCATTTTCTTTCAATAGGATGCCCAACCTGTCAACTCTATCTGCTTTCATCCTTCAGGTGACTTCTTGTTGGCAGGTAGGCTGTAATATAAATATATATAAAAATAAATTAATGGATGATGTCTAATTGCTAAGAATGAACGCACAAAATAAGGTACCCGAGATGCTGCTGTTAGAGTATATGATGTCAAGACACTCCAATGTTATTCCAACAACAACACTGCCGAAATGCATCGTGGATCAATCACCCAGATTAGATACTCACACACTGGAAAGATGTTTGCTTCTTCTTCAGCTGACGGAAGCGTGCGTATCTGGGATGGTATTACCAGCAAATGTATTCGGAATCTAGAAAATGTCCACACTGGAACGCCTGTATCTAGTGTACGCCTGACTGCAAACGAGAAATTTGTTCTTACTGCCGGATTGGATTCTACTGTTCGTCTCTGGGAGATCACAAGTGGCAAGATGGTTATGGAATACACAGGTCATCAACAACGCACACAAATGCTACAGGTGAGTACATCATCTCTTAAAAGAAAAAGAAAATCTCAAACTCTCTTTGTTTCTATTTTTTTTCTTGTAGCCATCCTTTACATACAATGAAGACTACGTATTGATTGGCGACGAATCATCCACAGACGTCGTGTGTTATGATACTCAAACAGGCGCCCTTCTCTCAAGAATAAAGGGTAAATCAATAGTCTTGATATTGTCTAGAATAAATGGGTACTTATTGATTCGTAGGTCAAAATAACCTTGTACGATGTGTGGCTGCTTCTCCCATTGATAACGGTGTCCTGACGTGCAGGTATGTCTCTTTGTGTGTAAATTGCTTTGGCTAATCTTCCGTATTAGTGATGACTACCGTGCAAGATATTACGATGTCACAAACTTTGAATAATATAACAATACCATCTAACATTGCATTTGATGACTAGCTAGATAGAAGATCTAATATTTTTTTCCTTACTCTTTTGTCTTATAAAATACAGCAGCGAGTACAAATACAGTGGTTAAACTTGATATTAAGACAAATCACTTTTTTTTTTCTTTTGGTATTTAGACGAATAGAGACTTCTTGCAGCAATTTTACAGTGTAAATATCAAAGGTACCCTTTCAGGCGGAAACGTTGTTTGTACGGTGATTTCTCTTATGAAGAGTATATGTTATGGATTTTGTAGATAGAAATGGAGATAGTATGCATGTTGTTTTGGATTTATTGATATCTTTATTCCACGGTATATTACAATTGTTGCATTTGAGCATACGTTGGTAGCCTTATATATGAAGAGTTTTATTGGAGCAAGTTACTTCATGATATAATTGCTGCAAATAGACTTGGGTTTCATATACTTTACTTTTGTGCAATATTCGTCAATTTCTATTATTGCCGACTTGAATGAAGCACTTTTGGGTCTGATTTCGCCATGTAGAATTGACGTTGTGCCAGATAGCATTCTTCTTACTGGGATGGTGTCTTTTCCCTTGATTTCATCCCCAAAAGGTAATCAATGGCACTGCTTATGAATTCTTGAAGGTCGATCTATACTATTTTTGAACATCCCTTTCTTTTCTATCTGAGTGACTCTAAAGATCAACCTAGAGTCCGTTTTGTTGCCAATTAACTTTTTTTATATGAAACAAAATTACTGCCAATCTCCCTTTTTCTCTTCCTGGTACTTTAAAGACACTAAATAATATGTGCTGCGGGTAGATGCCGTAAATAATTGGAGGATATAAAACTCTTGGCTTGTAACTTTCTCCAAGTCAACAGCCTGTCAGATTCTAACATTAATTTTATTTAGTAAATCCCACTTGAAGGATTCTAAATTATTTTATATTTGGCCCAATCCTTTCCACTAAACATAATATATAAACCTTTCTTTTTAGATGGCTCTATTATCCTTCTTGCAAATTGAGACAGGCAAGGCATTTTTTGAGTTTTTCTTTTAATAGAGACGTCGAGGAAAGATCATATTCTCAGAAAATAATAGTGTATTTCAAATCAGCAACAAGTCTAAATGGCTTCCTCCCACCGTTTCTAATTTCAAAAAATAAAAATAAAAGTTTGAGCGCTTTAAAATCTATAACTCTGCAGAAGACTCTCTTTTAGTCTTTAATGTCAGTACTTACAAAGTCAATAATGATAATATAGCTGTTAAACATGGTAAGCTTAGTGTTTATTGATCTTGATACAATTATTCCATCTTGGCTAACAATTGTACAAAAAACAAAATTGTCTCATAAAACATCTTGTTTATTTCAATTTGCAATTTTATTTTGTCTAAAAAAAAGTATAGACTCGCCTGAACTTCTCCCGTAATGTATCTACATATTAAATATAATTCGTTTCAATTTCAAGCAAAAAAAAACTGTAGCACGAACAGTGAAGTGCCATGACGTATATGATTGATTGATAAATTAAATATCCGAAGTGGTCTCTCTTGTCTTCATCTCCTTTCAAATGTCCATTGCAGAATTATTAGAGTGCCCCATTGTAAGAATCTGAAGAATATATCGATTACCGAGATCTATTACTGATCTGTCCTTTTTTATAGGACTTTGAAGGACAACGTTTGGCAGACAGTATAACCCATGCTGCACTCATCGTGTCTGCTGTAAGCAATAATCATTTTCATGATTATGCGGTTGTGCTTAACATATTTCTTATTCTTAGGTACTTGCTCTTATTGCAGGCTACTCGCTTCAGTCTCTTCAGCTGTCAATCTGTATTTTCTTGATTGGCCTTGGCACAACTTTGATTGCAAGTATTGAAAAATAGTGATTTAACTTTTTTTTTTAAAAAAAATTCTTTAAAAAAAGAAATCTGACACCTTTTTCTAATATAAATATATACATACGTAGGTTGTACTTCCCCCTTGGCCTATGTACAACCGAAACCCTCAGAGTTGGCTTACTTCATTAAAAGGAAAAGGCAGCGTTACAAAGTGAATTAATAACATCAATCTATACAGTATATATATATATATATCAACAACAACAGCTGAAATACTATTTGATCTATAATTTGTGAATGAAGCGTTATTCTTCATCAGATGAAGAGTCTTCATCATTGCGTTGGCCATTGAGTTCCATTGCACGTTGGAATTCTTCTGCAAATGCTGCAATTGATTTTCCATCGGACAGTTCAATGACATCCTTTGGTACCATATTAGTAGCAAACCTAGGCGCATTACATGCATTTCTATTGGCTTCATCTTGTGATTCAATGATTCTGACTTCTGGCTCCTGTATCCCAACTTGGACTACAAATTGGGGTGAGTACAACAAAAAGTAAGCCCACAAAAGATCACATACAAGCATTGAGTTCTGCCCAATCGTACAAAAGACTGTCGGTAGTAGTTGAGAACGGGTTGAAATCGACCAAGTACACCTTATGGGGGTTTCTTTTCAGGTAAACATCGAAAACATCTAATGCAAAGAAGAAGAAGAGGGAGAAGAGTATTAGTTAGTGGTGTGTGTGTTTTGTAAAGGGGATAGCAAGGGTACAAGACACTACAATGTGACAGCATACATTTTCGGCTTGGGAATATATCCAAAACATGATCTTCAAAAAAATCATGGATATGGCCCTCGATGTCTTCCTTGATCTCGGATAAAAATGGGTAAAAATTGACATCTCTCTGACTGATGCCTGTTGTTTGGGCAAAATAAAAATAGATAGATTATGGTTGGTGTGGGATTAGATTGCAAAGTATATTATTACCAATTAAACGATTGTCTTTGACAAAACATCTGAATTCCATGGATGGCTGAAGGTCATACCATTTTCGAAGAGCAAGGTGGTATGTTCTTGGAGATTGGGAAGCATCGCTACAATTGTCAAAGGCATGGTTTATATCATGGTTGATAAAGTCGGATGACTTGAGGAGCAAGAAAACATCAAATGGTGAAGTACACAGTAAGGATTGAGTAGCTGTGATCCATGCTGCATCCTATAATCATGTTGTAAGAATTCTATTTCTTACAAAAGCGATAGAGACTTACGCGAGGTGAACTCCAATTCAACTTTGGGAAAACGGCTCCAAATTCATGGACTGTCTTTCGAATGAAACTTTCAACTTCAGGAAAGTCAGGTTTCTTTTTTTAATTTAATTTAGTCACCAAAAAAAAAAGGAATCTTACAAAAGCTATTACCAATTGTTGGCTTACCTGTATTTCTGTTTTGTCTTCAAAGAACGTCGTTTCATCATCAGAGTCAATTTCTTCAATTGTGGCCGACTGTGGCTGTCTATAAAACTTGATTAAAATGTTGCCCGCTTTTTTCTTCTTCTTTTTATTAAAGAAGCCATCTTCTTACCCATCATCAGGTAGAAAAATACCATCCTCTTTGAGATAGTCAATGAATGAATCTGACAGAGGGATGATCTTGGTTTTTAATGTCACTGATAGAAAATTATCGTACCATGAAGAGATTGAGCAATTGTTAATTTCTTGCGCAGTAACTTGGGGTAAAGTGTTTGATTGGACTCGATCGCCTTGCGATTGAATAGATTCGGACATGCTGATAGTCAAACTAAGATTCAAGCAAGAGAAGCCAAAAAAATAAATAATTTTTTTTTAAAAAAAAAAGAGAAATCTAAGGGCTGTGACCGACTCTCGAGATATATTCCAAAAAAAATTGAATCAAATAATAAGACTTTTATATTTTTCCTTTATTTTTATAATGATAACAGGACAATATCTGTTCATAAACTAATAGATAGCGATAATACTTTGATAGTATTCTGAAGTGCAGATTACATATATAGGTTAGAAGTAAGTAAAAGAAGTCTCCTGATGTTTATTGATCGGCAAAGTTCTTTGGAACAGGGCCAGTTGGTTCGCCTTCGGGTGTCTACAAGAAAACAAAAATAACGGTTAATTTGTTTTCCATACATAGCTTTTTATTATTACTTACAACGTAAGCAGATGCAATACCACCATCAACACGGAAATCAGTGCCTGTGACGTAAGAACTCTCATCCGAAGCCAGAAAGAGTACCCCGTAAGCCTGCTCAATGGCCTCACCTGTGTCGTTTGTTGGTTTGTTAGACTTTGTCACCCTATTTAAGTACTATGTCAGCTTACCGAATCTTCCTTGTGGAACGTGGACAAGACGTCTAGTCTTTTTCTCTTCAGTGTTTAAGAAATCCATCAGTAATGGTGTCCGAAGAGGACCAGGGCAAAGAGAGTTGAATCGGATATTCTCACGAGCATGGACAATAGCAAGCTCTCGTCTAATATATATACAGCTGTTATTTTAACTCAAAGGTCTGGTGCTTTGTTACGCAGATACTTACGTCATGGCAAGGACAGCACCTTTTGAAGCAGTGTCTTTTCAAGGCAAAGAGCATAAATATTAATACTAGAATCTTATTACTTGAACTTGTATGTCAGTAAATACTTACAGGCCAGCTGTGGAGTAGCAGCACCCATCAAGGCAACAAAACTGGCAGTGTTGATAATTGATCCACCGCCACTTTTACGCATAGCTATAATGGCATGCTTGCAACCATACCACACACCTTTTACATTGATACCCATGGTCAGATCCCTAGTTATTTTATGGTAAATAATTGGATTGGTGATAATAAATATCTGTCATGAAGAAGGCTGAATTACCAGATGCGTTCTTCAGTTGTCAAAGCATTGTCATCCTCTGGGTGCATAACACCAGCATTATTGAACATAATACTCAATTTGCCTATAATAATAAGTAATTCAGTCTCAATTATTTCATTATTCTGATTTTAAGCATCATATATATGATCGCACTCTTACCAAACTTTTCAACAGCCAGATCGACTACATTCTTTATTTGATCTTCCTTGGACACGTCGACCTTTACAGCAATAGCCAATCCTTCGCCATATGTAGCTGCGATTCTAGCAGCAGTCTTTTTGGCTCCCTCTTCATTCAAGTCGGCACATATGACCTTTGCTCCTTCTTTGACAAATAGTACTGATGTTTCAAGGCCAATTCCACTAAAGTGATAGGTAATTGTTACTATTAATATTTGATGTTTTCTGTTCAATGGTCTTACCTTGCTGCACCAGTGACAATTGCTACTTTACCAGAAAGTCTGCCAGGCATTGCTATTTATTAGAAAGAAAGAAAAGTGATGGAAGCTATATACCAAAAAAAATCCTAAAACATCGCTTTATATGCACGTTATCATTTTCCCACGCCAAATAAGACAATTGGTGCGCCTTTTACCGACCCATACAGCCAAAAATCCTTATCAATTTTTTGTTGTTGTTTGGTTAAGATAGGGCACAGTCAAAACACGCAACTCCTATTTCTCCGTGACTAAATTGCTCCAATAAAAAACCAAGACACTTTAGCAGGAAGTTTTATCAATACAAAGAAAAAAGAATATACCACATATTTAAACGTTAAACATTTTATGAGTCAAATCTGATGATGGTTAGGCTAACTTCCTGACACATGCATACTGTCTAGAGTTGAGTAAAGCTTTGTAGTATCTGTGCTAAGGATCAAGTATTAGAGCGAAAAGATATCAAATTAAATTAAATTAGTAATAAAGCAGTCTATCAATCTATTGCTTTAGATATGTTGCACAAAATTTTAGGCTTTTTTTTTTTAGCTTCCCATTTCAATTATCCTCTTTACAGGCCTTTTACTTGTTATCTTATCTGCTAAAAAGTCGGATTAAACTGGTAAAATTAACGTCAAAACCTTAAATTTCAAGTAAATCTATATTTTCATTGTTTTTACTATATTCACTATTTTCACCTGAATTTTTCGAACACATAATAAAAAAAAATAGACAATAACAGTAAAAATGTATCTTTGTATCTTTTAAAAAGGAGAGAAAGAAAGAGGTATTTGAAACATTCGTATAAAGCAACCAAAATCTAAAAACAGCCCTAAAAATTCCTTTACAAAGTGCTGCTTTGTTCAGAAATAGAGGATCACTTTCCCAACATTTCAATTTGCAAAAAATATATTATGCTAAATAAAGCTCAAGCTTAAGGGCTTTGCTAAGCTGGTTGAGTATAAATCATTATCTTACATGTCTTCTACTTTATTTACTGCTTCCTTAAAGTCAATGTCATCCGCCTCTGCTATTTTTATTTTTATACCATGGAGAATAGAAACTCAAGGATAGAACTGTCGCGCTACAAAATACGCAAAAAGTAAAGCAAATATATTAGCACTACATAAATCGTTATTTATTACATACCCGTTTCATCTCTCCGTGTATTTATACATATATACATATATGAGCTCTTCAATGGAAGGATAAGTGCTGTTACCGGTTGTGTGCTCAAAGAATACTTGCGCCAATTGTCTTTAACGCTTTAAATTCATATTTTCTTGTCTTTGGGATGATCACAATATGCCTTCCCGGATGCTGATTATGAGCATTCAAACCGTCAGGCATTCTTAATTCATCTTCGGAGACTCTGGATATTTTAGCAGATCTGGGCTTGTTTTAACGACCTTTATGCGTATTATCAACGCAGCCGATACCACAGGTTTAACATATTACTTGGGTAGTGGAATAGTAGCGAATATGTAATAATCCTTTTTCTTTTAGCTCAGCCATTTTTTTTGGCGCTCTATAGGGATTGAGTTAGAAAGAATATTAAAAAAAAAAGAGTTAGAGAGCCTAAAGAAAAGACGAGTTCTGCAACAATTCTAAGCAGTGAGGTTTTTAAGAGTTTTATTACTAAAAATGTTGATAAGTTAGGCATATCACTTTTTAAAATTTTATTTCATAAGGTGTTCGTCACCACCCGGAAAATTTTCAATTTTGAAGATTTAAGCACTGTTCTTTGTTCCCAATCTATCATACCCCACAAAATAATCAGGATCCTGACACGGATGTTGTGGGTTCTCCAGCTTTGCCCATCCTAATTTATTTTTCTTCTTCTCAAATCATTTCCCATTCCATTTTTCCTCGCCATCATTTAAATTAGGGTGTTTCAGCAGTTTTCACTGTAAGAAAAAATATGCAAGTTTTTTAAAAAAACTTACAACTCGTGGTAAAATCCTTAGAGCATCCCCAGCAGTTACATTTAAATCCAGTTTTACACGAAATACATGTACTTTAGCAAATGTACCCAAAAAAAAACTGCCCCAGCAGTTACATTTCCGAAAACATTTAATAAAAAATTTGGCAAATTTACTGCCTGCTCCATAGATTTCCATGTATTTTTTTTAAAAAATTGCCTTTGCGTTTTAATTTTTTTTTCAACTCTTTCAAAATAATAACAAATCTTTACACCACTTTTTCAACAATGAGCGACATCCCCATCCCCATTTCTACTGATGGACCCATTCCTACCCAAAGTAATATTTTAATTTTGGGCTACTTGTATCTGATACTAAGGCGAAGAGTTTGGCTCACATAACTTTGGTAATATTTATTCTTGGTATTTATATAGAGAAGAAAGTTCCTCCAAAGAAGAAGTTCACTGTACAAGATGATGAGCAGCTCTGCAAGTCGTACCTTTACATTGCCTTGGATTCTGTACAGGGCTCGGAGCAAAAGAGTGATACGTTCTGGTCGAGAATAAGCGACCACTACCATGGTTCTGCTATTAAGGTATCTGTGGTACGCACTAGCCGTGCCTTGCCTGCTCGCTGGCAGATTATAAACTAGGCTGTTGGAAAATATGCTGGGATCTTATCCCAAGTAAGACGGATGGAAGCAAGCAGTTCCAATGAGCAATCAGATGTAAGTAGTCAAAGTATGAAATACATGTACTATGCTTTTCACAGTAGTTAATAAAAAATTAGGAGTCTAAAGCAAAGGAGTTTTACTTGGCCGAGATGGGAACAAGCTTCAACCTGGAGCATTGCTACAACATCTTGTCGAAACACCCGAAGTGGACACCAAGTGTTCCAAAAAAGAAGACGAAGAAGACATCGAAGAAGAAGACAGTGGAGTCTACCTTGCTGAGATCAGCAATACCGACGAGGACGAAGTGTCTTCACAACGCCCTGTTGGAAGAAAGCGGGCAAAGGGTCTGGAGGCCAATACAAGGGACTATACCGCTCATATGGAGCGGCTATACTCCAGTCACTCTGATTACATCAGAAAAGGTGATGAGAGAAACACGATCCTCAGGGAAGGGCTTGAATTCGCCCATATAAAGATGGAGTCTGACAACAGACATACCATGGCTATGGAAAGAGAACAAGCCATGAAACGACAGGAGGAAGATGTCAAGATCTTGATGACAAATCTCTTCTCCATTGAAGATCCCGAGGACCGTCAGATCCTTTTGGATATAAAGAAGGAGATCAGAAAGAGAGGAGTAGGGAACGAACCTACCAGAGTCATCACAGCTATTGCTAGTGATGTTGACGTTCTCAACTGCAATCAACGCAAAAATAATAAAGATATATATATAATATGTTTTTAATGTTTTTGTCCTTCTATTTGCCACAGGCTATCTATAAAATCCTGTCTTAACTGGAAGTGGTGTTCGCGATCCCTAATCTCCAGGTGTCTTCGGAGCTGACTGGCAAAACTTCCATCTGGGAGAGATATGTCTGATCTAGGCATCAAAGGTGGCATTCTAGTCGAGACAATATCTGTCCTTTCTGTCTCTTCTACCTCCACCCCTCTATTCATCATAGTATCCTCAGCACTGGTAACTCTCTTCTCTCTATCATGCTCAACAATCATGTTATGTAGAATTACACATGCAGTCATGATATCATGTAGAGTTTTTTTACCCCACATTCGTGCTGGTCCAGCGACTATTGCAAAGCGTGATTGCAACACACCAAATGCTTGCTCCACATCTTTCCGTACTGCCCCTTGTGCCTTGGCAAAGTTCTATAACGAAAAGTGTTGATTAATTGACATAATTGAAACAACAGAATGTATATTCAAATACCTTCTCTTTTGCAGATCGAGGATCATTGAGGCTCTTAACAAAAGCAGCATACGAAGGATATATACCGTCTGTCAAGTAATATCCCATAGTATACATATTACCATTGATAGTGTATTCTATTTCGGGTCCTTTTCCAGCAGCAAGGTCCTTAAAAAGGTCAGATCGGTCCAAGACATTAATGTCATTCAGGGAGCCAGGTAAGCCAAAGAATGCATCCCATATCCACAAGTCGTAGGATGCTACAGCTTCCAAAATCAAAGTGGGAGTTTTCTCCTTTCCAATATACTGCCTATGCCAAGCAGTGGGGCAGTTCTTCCACTCCCAATGCATGCAATCAAGGGAACCTAGCATGCCAGGGAAGCCTCTAGCCTCGTTTTCTACCATGAGTCTCTTAACATCATCTTGGGTTGGTGACCTAAGATACTCCTTGCCAAAAACAGCTACGACTGCAGAGGAGAAATGCTTCAGGCTCTCAGTGGCAGTTGATTCGGCAATTCTGAAGGTTTCATCCAGAGCATCAGCTGGAATTCCATAGGCCAACTGGCGGAGAGCTACAGATGCCTTCTGCAAAGGAAAAAACCCAAGAGTACGAGCAGCATTAAATTTCTGCTCAAAGTATCCATCGTACTCTTTGATACCCTCAACAACACACTTGAACAAGGTTTTGCTCATTCTGTAACGTCTACAGAACTGCTCTTCAGTATATACACTGTTTTCATCGAAGTAGTCTTTGCGCAACTGCACTTCACCAGTAAGTCTATCACGGAATATCGTGATACGGGTTTTCTTTTGCCTCTTTTCTTCCATGTCTATGCCTGAGAACCGGCGCTTTATTGTACTGACCAGCTCGTTGTGAATGCTTGCAAACATTTCTCTATTCTCGGCTTCTTCTTCAATAGACATCTTGAGAAGTTCTTCGAAATTCATTTTTTTAAGTATACACTATAGGAAATGGCAGCATTTGTAATTCCGCCAATGCAGATTACTATGTAAAAAATGCATACTTGCAGATTTGCTCTAAACCAATAGGAATTTAGTATTTAGCTAATAGTGTTACCTATCTCAGCAAATAAGAAGCGTATATTCTTATGATTTAAACCCTATTTTAACCAATAGCTTTAGAGAATATCCTTTTTGTATTACAATGGTTTTTTATACTTTTGGGGATCAATGCCCTTATTAGAAAGTTACAGATACTCAAATTCATAAAAAAAACTCAATTAAAAAATAGAATTCTGCTGAAATTATAGTTGAAAATTTTTATTTATTTTTATTTTTCCAAGTTGAAAATATTGGGAATAAAGAGCCTAATACACGTCTAAGTACTTAAATGACTTATAGAAACATTGCTAGCTAATTGAAAGGCACTATATAGAATAGGCAGAGAAACGGTAGCAGTAACTGATATACTTTTAATCTATGCATAAAGAAAAAGAAGAAAGAAAAAAGAAAAGAGAAAAAAAAACTTTAGTATTTGTGATTTAATTTAATTTACTTTAAATGACATATCTTTGATATTGAATAAACATAAAGAAATGCAAAGCCTTGTATTTTATGTTTTTTATACTAATAATTCTTTTATTTTGAGTATGCATACCTTTGATAGTCTAGATGATGCAAGCCTACTTATAATCAAAATGAAGTTTCATTAGTAATTAGTAATTAAAATCTTTTAACATTAATAATACCTTTTCACTGATGTTTACATCTATGTAGCAATACTGGCCTGTAACAATAGTATTTAGTATGCAGCAAAGTCAGAAAGTATCATTACTTTTATGATGATTAAAAAAATAAACAAAAAGTTAGTGTAGAGTTAAAAAGCACAATGTTTATTTCTGTAAAAAAATCTAAGCCCCAATACAATAGTTGAATTTCGCAATTGTAATCATGAATTTTTGCTAAGTCATTTTTCACCTTTGAGAATCCCGCTGTGATTTGGTTTAGGGGTGCTTGTACCTCAAAGTGTGCCTTATAAAGATATTTTATTTTTGAAAAAAGAACAGAGATGATATTCCGCACTCAATGGTTTTAGTGAGCCAATAATATAACTTATACATTTTTCATTTTCTAATATATTATCTTGAATATTCTGTGATCAAGCTTTTATTTTAACATCAGTCTCAATGTGTCTAAATAGGTTTAGCAAGTCCTAAATTAGATATAGTCAATATAATTTTTATAAAGTTACACAATTTTTGCAAATGTGCAATTTTTTTTGCAAGTACTTGCAGATTTTTTTCTACAGTGATATGCAAAGTTTTTAAGTAAAATATATAATAAATTTGTAGGAAATAAAGAAAGAAATTAAGGTACAGGTATTTTTTTTGATAGCTGAGAATATAATTATTTCGTGATTTTTTATTAAATGTTACTGAAACTTGGCCCTCTATTTTTTTGGCCGTTTTAAAACACCGGGGTGGCTAAAAAACATTTAGAAAAAAAAGGAGGAAATGTAACTGCTGGGGATGCTCTAAACAACTAAGGACTACTCTTAGTTGTTTATAGAACGTAAATATTAGGGGACAGGGGGTTTTTGGATGATGGGGACAGGGTGTTACACAGGCTTATAGTGAGTAGTCCGGCAGATAATTAGAGGCGTGACTACTTTTAACTTGTCCGGCAGACATCTATCATTTCTGTGTGTAACACCCTGTCCCCATCCAGTATAATCACTTGTCTTTATTCACTAAGAAAAATCATGCAAAAGTGGAAGAACATTTGTCTGTAACTTTTCATTTTCATTTTATTTATTTTTAAAAAATTCATAACTAGTTCAAAAAAATAGATAGAAATATGAGAGTAGAATGGTTGGTTTCATTGATTTTTTCTGCATAAATTGAGTATTTGTTTGTTTTGTAATATTTTTTGAATCACGTTTAAAGAGTGAATTACAAAAGTTCTGTACATTTCATTTGTGAAAGATTGAACAAAAAACAACAATTTGAAAATATTAGTAAAAATCACTTGCAAATGCTTTATATCAATAGAAAATAGTAAAAAAACATTTCAGTAAAAGTTTTAGACCATATTATTATGTAGAAAATGTATTTATTAGCAAAAACAATCTATCTCAAATGGTTAAAATCGTGAATAAAAGTGTATATTTTGCTTGTTTATTCAACCAAAACATAATCAAAACTTCAACTTTTGGACATAAAGATGTACATATTCTTTCAGAAACATAGCAAAATATCCAAGCTTTAGCATTTGAATTAAGACAGAAATCTATCAAAAGCTATGTGTCGTTTTTGTTTTACATCTTTTATGATAAAATCCACGTCTGTGATTGGATGAAGATCTTTTTTTTGTAGGGAGCCGAAGGCTCTAGTTTATTAGTGAGCCTCTATGCTGCAAGGCAAAAGAGGAAAATCACGACTTGTTTTTGGCTTTTATATTTTTACAATGTTTTTCTATTTATATGTTTGTGGTTATATATATTGTGGAGGTATGGAAGGAAGCTAAAGGGGGGGAAAGTCGAGAGCAAGTTCGCTCTTGAGGCGGTCGAGAAGAGAGGAAGCAGTGGAAAAGACAGCGGAGGAGACAAAAGGAACGTGATCAAATATGAACAGCCAATGATGGTGCCATATAGCCAGCAGCGTGCAGCCAAAAATTGAGGCAGCAGAAAGAGAAGAATCGGTGCAAGGAGGGAATGTGAAGGATTGCAAACCAGAAAGCAAGACAGTGGGTGTCGCGGTCTGGGCAAAGTACAATGTCCAGGTTGACGACCATACGGACAGTTTGACCGGACACTGGAACAAAAAATGAGTTTGATTGTCCAGAGGGTGAGAGCAGAGGGCACAGGATGGGTCTGGGAAAGCGGTAGAGATCCTAGAATTGAGGCGAGAACGGCAAGGAATGTTCTTGTGCAAGGCACGAAACCAAACGTTGCGGGCCCCATGCAGCAGGGGGAAGGACCAAAACCGACGAAGCTGGCGAGGGACGAGTGTGGGGCTTATGGGGCGTGCGGATTTGGAGTGGAAATTGCAGAGTAGGCGGAAAGACTGGGTGGACAAATGATGCCAAGGGATGCCGGGGACAAGAGCCATCAAGAAAGGACGCACATCGACAGCTGTACCGGAAGGCATATCTAGCAAAGGAAACTGTATGGCACAGATCGCGGGGGGAATGGTGGCACGATACAAGACAGGGTGCAAGACAAGAGAGCGAGTGTAGAGACGTTCGAAGAACCGGTGAAGGACAATAGGACGATGGAGTATGCGGTGGAGGGGGCGTTGGGCAAGCACGCCAAAACTAGGATCTACTTCATAGGCGTCAGAAACCCGGAGATCGCGCCATGCAGATGGAAAGGGAGGGTGGTCTGGTTGTGCGGTAGTGATATAGGAGAGAGGCAGAGAGAGACAGGTGGGGAGGTTGACTACCACGTCAGAGAAGTTGTGAGGGAGAAGATCAATGGCAGCAAGTAGGGTGGCCAGAGGAGAGTCGAAATCACGCTGATGAGAGGATTGGAGAGATGGAAATATCAAAGGAACGAGTGGATCAGCAGATGAGGAGTCGAGGCGGAGGACGTAAGAGAACCAAGGCGGGACCAGGCCAGAGGGGGACAGCGGAGAGCAGACGAGAGGCCGGAGCCAGTGCAACTGAAGAGCAGCCTGTTGAACCTGAGGATCAAGGACCCCTAGACCGCCGAGCTGAATAGGCTGGCAGAAAGTGCCAAGAGAAATGGGAGGAAAGGAGCGGTATTGTATAAACTTACTCATGATCGAGCGAAGTCAACAGAAAAAGGATAGAGGTACAGTGACAACTCTGAGGACGTGCCAGAGCTTATAGAGGATGAGAGAGTTGAGCACTGTGGCATGGCCACGAATAGAGAGAGAGCAAGAGTGGTGGATATTACAGGTAGATTCAATCTTGGAAAGAATGTTGTCACAGAAAGAATTGCGCTGAGGTAAGGATTGAATAAGAGGAAAGCCGAGATATCGCAGGGGAGTGGAGGAAGATCTGTCAGACCAGTCGGTGATGTCGAATTGTTGTAGGACGGGGCGCCATTCTGGCAGTGGAAGACCGGACAGGGAGAAAGCTTCAGTTTTATGGAGATTGATGCGAGCATTGGAGGCATGAGAGTATGTGAGAAGATGATGATGAAGACGGGACAAGTGGGCGGCATCAGGCAGAAAGACTAGCAGATCGTCGGCATAGGCCAAGAGCTTGATGGGTGGAGGTGGTGGAATAGCAGTGCGTGGTGATGGAGAAAATCCGGCAAAGGAAGGATCATGAATCACACGACACAACAAAGGTTCGAATGCAAGGTTAAAGAGTACAGGAGAAAGAGGATCACCCTGCCGGAGTCCACGAGCCTGAAGGAATGATCGGGATAGGTGTCCATTGGCATTGATTCGAATCTGTGTAGAGAAGAAAAGTTGAGATATACAGGTAACGAGGGAAGGGGGAAAGTTGAAATGCTGCAAGACCTGGCGAAGGTAGTCGGGATGGACTCTGTCGTAAGCTTTCTCCTGATCCAAAAGAAGGCCTATACCAGATGAACCGTCCTGTCTAGCCTGTGCCATAACCAACTTGGTCAGCATGCCATTGTCAGCAATGAAGCGTCCTTGGACAAACCTGGTCTGGAAGGGCGTAACAAGGGAGGAAGCAGCAGACACCATGCAACAATTGATGAGGCGAGTGAACACTTTGGCATTGGTATTGATGAGAGCGATCGGGCGCCAGTTGCGGAGGGAGGTGAGGTCACCTTTCTTGGGAAGAAGAGAGACACAGGTTGATTGCCAGGACGAAGGGAACACACCGAAGGCAAGCCCATTGTTAAATATTCGAACAAGTAAGACAGCACACATCAGATGATCCATAATTAATTGCAGAATCTCATAAGGCAGGCCATCCGGCCCAGGGCTACTGGCATTAGGAGTGCGAGTGGCGCCGTCTTGGATGTCATCCAAGGTGAAGGGTTTAAGGAGGGTCGTGGAGGTAGTTTTGGAAAGAAAGAGGTCTGGTGGCAAGTGAAGGAGGAGGTCGTTGATAGCTGTCTGAGCAGGAGGGTCGGGTGTGTAAAGATCTTCATAAAATGCAGCAGCAGCTTCCGTAAGATCATCGGGATTAGTGCATAAGGTGTCAGTGAAGGGGTGGCGGAGGCTGGTTATTGTGGTTCGAGCTTGGCAAAAAGCAACTGTGCATTTCAAAAACCCAGCGGAAGTTTCGCCTTGTTCTCTCCAGTGTTTTCCGGCATGGAGTGCTAGTATCTCGGTGCGTTCCTGTTGAACTTGCTGAAGTTGATGCTCGACGATGGGCAGCTGGAAGTTCTGAGCAGGCTGATGTCAAAATCTATGTATCAAATGGTCACGTTTACTCTGAAGCTTTACCTCCAAAGTGGCAAGTGATGGGCGGGTTGTGCGTGAATATGAACGTGTGAAACGAGCCACTTCGACTTTGATCAGATCCCACTGTGATTGGGGGGAAATTGAAGGCGAGTGTTATATCCAACATAATCGTAGATTTAAATTAAAAGTACAGACACTCAATAAATACGTACATTGAGTTACCAACAACTAGTAACGATACTAAAAGATATACCTTCCCTTATACAAGGAAATTACATAAAGAACATACTAAGACAAATACTAAGACTCTAGTCAATAACACTAAAAACATAAGAACTAAATCATAGAAGATAATGGTAGAGAAACAGACATTACATGATATCATCATATCATCACCAAGCTAAATACAATGTCTATATAAACGCACAATACTAATAGCAATAGAACAGCATCTCTTTTCTGATTCTTGCACTTCTTCTAATAAAACAAAGTCTCACCGTACTCTCGTCTGCACTCGTTTTATTTTATATCTTATTTTTACCTCATACATAACAGCGAGAGTAGTGGTATGAAGGATGAAAGACAGTCGGACAGGGAGGAGCGGAAGGAAGGGATGTTCACCAAATGAGGGTTCGCACGCCACAAACCTCGACCAATGTGAGACAGCATAGGAAAACTAAGACAGGTACGTACAAGGCAATGATCGGTCCACAGGGGCTGAACAAATGTGACGGTGGACGAAGAGTGACAAGACGCTATATCCTTGGAGGCATATATGTAGTCGATAGTCGAAGAGGAAAGGTCGCAATGAAAGGTAGGCATAGGTTGAGCGTCAGACAAAGTGACACAGTCTACAAAGTGGTTAGTGACAAAATGCAGCCATAGACGTGGCGCGAGGCCAGCATGAGAGGCATTTGCATATGAGGAATAATTAAAATCTCCTAGCATAAGAAAGCGAGAAGGAAGGGAAGGGAGAAGATGTGGGGAGGATAGGAGAGAGGTGAGAAAATCATATCGAGGACGATATGAAGCAGGGACATATAAAACGCAAATACGAAATGGGGCAAACAAATTGGAAGAGTGAACAATGGTGGCAGTAATGCAATGACCACAGAGAGAAAAAAGAGGATCAGTAAAAGAAATGAGGGGAGAGAGGGAAACCAAACCACAGTGAGGAGACCATAGTGAGTCGGATGCTTGAAATTGAAGATGAAACGTCTGTTGAAGAGCGTCTGTGTTGGCGTGAGTTTCTTGAAGGGCAAGTATGTCTAGAGAGAGGGAGCGAAGATATCTAATAAAGAGAGAGCGATTATTGGTGTTTCCGGACTTGACAAGTCCGCGGCAGTTCATGGAGGCTATATTAATCATAAATTTAAGAATGATCGCCGTCTGCCATCTCGTCATCAGTTAGGATATTCTGGGAGTCTTGGTCGTCATTGCCGTCAAAAGTGCTGGGGTGAAATTCTTCTTCGTCTTTAGTGGAGCCGGAAGTGTAGTTGGAGGGAAGAAAAGCGTTGTGGAGGGGGTGAAAGACGGGATCATACTGGGTGTTGTGTGTCTGAGGAAGAGGCAGAGTGGGGTCGAAGAGTGCGCCTGTGCGGCTGTTGTCAGTTAGTCCGTCAAGTGCAGCAAACCTGTTGGCAGACTGGCGGGGGGAAGTAGGAACAGCGGGGACAGAGGGTCGTCGCGGTGTTGAGGAATTCGTGCTGGAGGTGGTGGTAGTAGCCTGGGATCCCTCAGCCATCGTAGGTGTACCGCGAGGGGGAATCGATTTCTTGGCCAGAGGTCTGTGAGACACACCGGGAGTAGTCTTGCATGAGCGATCAGGGGAGTCATGTGTCGTGGGAACCTTGCGGGGTCTCTTGGAAGAGCTGGCGTCCGTGGGGGGTGCTCTGGGGCAGGCATGTTGCAAGTGACCAGTCTGGTCACAAGTGAAGCAGCATCAGGAATCTTTGGGGCGGTCTGGACAGTTTTCGATAGCATGGCCCATAACTTTACAATAATTACAGTGAATACCCATCTGTTTCCAGGTACCTAAGAAGTACAAGTCGCCATCATACGGGATCTTGTATGAGAGTTTGGCAAGGGTGGCATTGGGGTTGGGTGGTCGTTCAAGGTAAGCAGAACCAGTGCCATCAAAAAAATTGACACGAAGATACAAACCGACTTCGCGGACGGTGCCATATGCGGCCAAGGCTGTTTTGATAGCCTCTTCAAGCAGAGGGGAAGGAAGGTATGGAAGCTGGGAGAGGGAGATACGCAAGATTTTTGTGCCTGGGGCAATACCCATAGAGGGGAAGTACGTTTGGCCTCCAACCAGGAAGCCTTTGGAACAGAGTTTGGTGCAGATGGTAGAATTGGTCAGGTGCAATTCATGGATGAGCGGTTGACGATGAGCGAATGATATTCCCAAGGTGCATGCCGTAGGAACGCTTGCTCTGAGAGCAGTCCAGAATTCAGAGGTAAGGGTGGAATCAGTTGGTGGGGTGAAGAATACCGAATGACGAGATGTACTTTCGCGCCAGACGCGATCCGTAGATGTCGGCAAGTTAGAGAAAAGAATGACTGGTACTTGACCGGGGGCGGGAGTGGCTGTGGCGACATTGAGATATGACCTAGTGTTGGTTGTGGTAGAGGTAGTAGTAGAGGGTTGTGGAGTGGTTATATTGGCTTGACCTAGTGTTGTGGTGGACCCAATAGGTGGATCCAGTACTTTAGCGGGAAGAGCCATGTGGATGAAGATCTTAATCAGATTGCTTATAAATGCACAGACTTTGTACTCCAAAAAATAAAGGCCAATTATATAGTCTTCTAATTAGTTGGATGCCAATAATATTCGTATCTAGGTTTTATATATAACATTAAAATTAAAGACAGACTGGGTGGAATTGTGTTTGTTAAAAAATTAAAGAAAAAAATAGGAGTAAAGTATATTAAAAGATAGAAAGATAGATAAGTTATATATATGTGAGGTCAATAATATCAGAAGAATTTACGGGAGAATTTGTAAGAGAGTTAGTGATAGTAGTGGAAGGCAAAAGATAAGATTTGTTCTTTGGGAACTGACCCCAATGATTCCAACTTGTAGAAAAACAGTCAGTGATACTCCCTCTACAGATAGCATCAAATACAGCGCATTTACCTCAGGCCAGGACCGATGTACATGAGGCTTAACTTTGATTGTTGTCCAGTGGCACCCATGTACATGGTGCAAGACCATCGGCAATAGCTTTCTTTTGAGAAGCTTCCGATTATGGAGGGGAAGAAAAGTTATGGGCAAGATGCTCTGATTGTCTGAGTACACACAAACAGGCTTTTTATATGTGTCAGCTATTATTTGAGCACAGTCTGGCGCAGAGAACCACATGGAGGAAGGACAGTAAGAGATGTTTTTACCAATGGCTGGGTCAATGTCAGGGCCAAATGCAATGACCTTTGTTACCTCAGCAATATCCATTCCAAAGTTTTGCTCATAGAGCTCACTGTGGGTAGTCATCGTGGCTAACATTTTCTTCTTTACCAAAGGGAACTGATCCTCTCCACCCTCTTTCAGGTGTGCAAATACACGGAAACCACACCAACCATCGGACTTGGGGTTAAATGTCAACAAAATGGCGGTTTGGTCGATTTGATCTGGCAGAGCAAAGTCGTGCACATTTTTCTTCTGTTTTTTTGGACTGGGAATATCGTACCAGTAGTCATCTGGGAGGTGGTTAGGTCTTTTAATTCCAGAGGAATATTTTTCAGCTAAGAAGAAACAAAAAACAATATAAGATTTAACATTTACTTTCAGTAAAATATTATATCAATTACCTTCTTTGAGAGGCTCTTGCTTTTCAGCGAATTGGGTTTCTTTTTTGATATTTTTAATGGCTGTAAATAGTAAACATTAGATATTATATTGTAACTTTGTAAAAGTCAATAATACATACTTTTTTTAAGAGGTTTCTTCTCTAAAAGTTCCTTCATTACATCTATAATTCCTTCTTTTAAGATTTTTCTAATTTCACTCTAGATAAGCAAGACAAAATATGTATTAGATTGTGTTATTGCGTGTATGTTATCTCATTACCTTATTTTTTTGGACAAGGAGATGCCTGTGCTTGTGACGGACAAAATCCTTTAGGAGAGCAGTTTTTCTTTTGACGTGCTTAGATCTTTCAGGAGCTTTGACCTCACTTGACAAAGGAAAGGCAACCTCTAGGTGATCCTTTAAATTACCAGCATTATTTATAAGATCGTTCACCTTTGCCATCAGGTTACAGATTTGTTGTTCTCCTTCACATCATCTAAACAACTGCTCAAGTTATGCAATTGATTTCATCCATGGAACTTGTTTCTCAATTGCCACAGTACTTATACTTTCCAATTTTTCTACTTCCTTATTATGGAATGGGAGAACAGAAGAGAGAACCCATCTTTCAGGAATGTCTGGAAGTGTGAGGGCCCGATTTTGTGGCAGAGTATGGTGGCAAGGGAGACCAAACATAGTCTTTACTCTGCAGTAACAAGCTTCACCAATGATAACCTCTTCAAGAAGTTCAGCGCGAATTGTAAACAATGGCATTCTGGAAACCAAGTGGACCAATCCACAAAGGCGCTCATCAGCAAGGATTCTTGCATCGGTCACCAACTTCTCATCCAGTCTACGATCTTGGTAGTCACCCTCAAATTGCAAGAGATATGAGCATATTTGCTCAAACGAGGAGTCCAAAGACTGGAGAGCCGAGATACTTCTTTTCAGAGCATGATGGCCACTCTCAACATGCTGTGTTGTCACACAGTCAAAGTGCTTTAGCTTATTAGTGAGGTAGCCAGCCCACTTCTCTTTGCAGCTCATTCACCCCTTCTCAAAGTACTCCTCAAAACTCTTTACTGTACCTTTTTTACCATCTTCAGACAGTCCTTCAGTCTTGAGATCTTCACAAGAAGCCAACGATCTGAAAAGTTTTCATTTCTGCATAAACTTGCCAGCATCGTCTCCAAATATCATGCTGATTATCAAGTTGTTGCACATATTCCTGTCTTCGCCTGTCTTCATAGTCTTTTTTGCCATCTTGGCAATGTTATTTATCATGTGCCAACCACAGAGAAGCTTTTTGTTCACAGGGAACTCGGAATCAAGGGCATTCATCAATGCCTTGCACTTGTCTGTAACAAAGATAGGGCTGTCCTCGATTCCCTCCAACACAATTGATTTCAGCGATCTTGCGAACCAGGCATAGCTTGTCTCTGTCTCATCAGAAACCCACGCAAATACAACAGGAAAGCTCTTCAATCTTTCTCCACCAAGGTTGCTGACACCCTCTACACAGACTAAAGACATCTTCGCGCAGTTTGTCTTGTATGTGGCATCCACAATAAGAACCTCAGGAAAACGACGGGCTCTTTTTATCATTGTCTCATTTGTAAAGAAAATGTGTGTGAGGCTTTTTCTCTCATTGAATTGATAAAGGACGGAAAATCCCTTTGCTTCCATAGTTCTTATGAGCCCAGTAGCATCATGAATTGATGATTCACCACCACGAGAAGAGCTATACTTCAGGTTGTTGATATCGCTAATTCTCAGCTTTCTCATTTCCGTGACCTTATCTCTTGTAGCTTTCTGAATATTGCGAGTCTTGGCATGGTTTTCTAGCATTGTCTTTGCAATAATTGCTGTTATGTATGAGGTAAAAATAAGATATAAAATAAAACAAGTGCAGATGAGAGTACGGTGAGACTTTGTTTTATTAGAAGAAGTGAAAGGATCAGAAAAGAGATGCTGTTCTATTGCTATTAGTATTGTGCGTTTATATAGACATTGTATTTAGCTTGGTGATGATATGATGATATCATGTAATGTCTGTTTCTCTACCATTATCTTCTATGATATAGTTCTTATGTTTTTAGTGTTATTGACTAGAGTCTTAGTATTTGTCTTAGTATGTTCTTTACGTAATTTCCTTGTATAAGGGAAGGTATATCTTTTAGTATCGTTACTAGTTGTTGGTAACTCAATGTACGTATTTATTGAGTGTCTGTACTTTTAATTTAAATCTACGATTATGTTGGATACAACAATTGCATCTTCCGAAGTAAGGAGAGACATTCTTCCCTGGTGAGAAGACGCCAAGTTGTTTGGGGTGATGGGGTGGTTATGACAATGTTCATTGTCACCGCGGGCAGGCAAGGAAAGATATCTCTGACTCTTATTTTTAAAAGAAAATCTCAATAGGAAGGGGCACCCAGTGAGGGAAGAGTTAGGGGCCTTCTTTCTTTTATTCTCGCTGATGTTATGCTTATCACGTTAGGCACCAGCCTTTGAACAAGCAAGGTGAAGTGTTGGAAACTTTCCATCCTTAATTTTGACAGTAAAGTTGTTAGAAAGAGCGTACTCATTTATGGCCTCCAAAACGCTTTGTTTTTCGGGATAACCATTCTCTGGGAATGAGAGGGTTGTTTTAACAGAATACATCTTGTCAATGGGGGTAGCAAAGTTGGTGTTCATATTTAATAAAAGAGTACTATAGTTATATAAGTATTTTTGTTGTGGTGGTTGAAGTTGAAGAAGTTTTTAAGAGGAAGAATTGAAGATTTGAGATTAGGAACGAAGATTCGTGAGAACTTGTGTAGGTTTTGTTTATTGAGAAAGGATTTTGTATCAAAGTTTGACCAGGTTCCTACACTGAACTACTACTGCTATTTATATTATTTTGGATCGGGAAAATTATATAACTGGGGTCAGGTAATCGATTCTATCTGAGCCATAATCAGAGCAACGTGATCTTGGGATAATTAATGTATGATTAATTATATAAATGTGTGTAGTCCCAATGAAGTATTAACATCGAAAGTAAATGTGTTTATGAGTTATAATTATGCTTATAATAATCCACTGATATATCCCATATTATGATGATATCATCATATGAAATATAATCACTATCATGCATGCTAAACCTGTGTGTTAAATAATAAAGTAATTGGTAGACACCTTTGACTGGAATAGCTGAGGCCTTATATTATTTCCTTCAGACTTATTCTCAATTACAGCAGTAGTCAATACTCATTTACAACAATTTTTATTCATTCATGTATGCAATTTATGCAATATATGCAATGTACACAATGTAAAAAAGACATTATATCTCGTTATTTGGAATTATTACTTTTTATTCTTACAACTAAATGTTAATGACTTTAAAAAAGGGAGTGTTTTTATTTTTCCCGGGAAATTGGAATGATCTAAAGATGGGGACAGGGGTGTGCTTATAATGATGGAGCAAGGTGTGCTTATAAATGGTGGGGACAAGGATGTGCTTATAAAGGATGGGGACAGGGGGTTCTTCAAGTCAGGTTATAGCCAGGCCTCGGACCAGCAGTCACCTTAAATTGTGCGGTGCAGTTACCCCCCATCCCCTAAGATTGCTGTTTATAGAATACAAATTTAGGTTCTCCAATTTTGCCTATGAATATTTCATAAGAAAATAAAATTAAGAGCAAAAATGAAATACGAAAGCTTTCTACAGTTTTATTTTCATATCAAGCATTATTGGCTCACGTATTGAGTTATCACAAAAGTAAAATCTAAACATCTAAAACTGCTGAAACATCCTATTATCACTTTAAATATTATCACATCTCTTCATAGTCACATTTATGTTGTTGTGAGCCCTGAGTCAGCAACTGTGAGAAGTGTATTGGAATTAGCACTCAGTTCCAATCCTCTCCAATCAGAAGCAACTACTTCTACCGCAGGCATTGAGTGAGCAAAAGCAAGCAAAGGAGGAGCACTGCTCAGCAAGATACCGCAGTAAAAGAAACTTTACATAGAAACTAGGATACTGCGGTATCTCATAAAATAGTATAAATATCACCAACATTATCATTAATAAACATTATCTTTCATTTCCTTCAAAAGTTCTATATTTCTTTTTTACTCTTTCAGCCAATCACCGGCTTCCTCTTACTGAGTTAATTCTAATTTATTTTAATATATATCACTATGGGAAAAAATGGCGGTTTTTTGCATTTGTGACTTTGTTTCTGGCCTATAATAATTAAAAAAATTACAAAAAACCCTAAATGAAACAAGAAAATCTCTGTCTTTTGAAAAGATTAACAAAAAGCAAATTTAGCACCGAAAATTAAATCTCCTGATAGACAAGTGTTCATTTTAACTACAGACTTTACATTTTTAGTGAGTATAGATTGTAATTGATGATTATTAAAAGTCAGAGGTGAAAGAGAAGAAAATATCTAAACTTTTTGCTGGTAGGATAAAATATGTTAAGACAATTTGAAAAAAAAAATGTATTACAGAAAAAAAAATTAAATATCAGCAAAAGAACCAAGTTACAACTTAGGGCCACGGTTGAGTTCTGGCCACACTATGTATGCTGTTGTCGTTGCTGTTATTGTATTTACTGTCGCGTCCAATACCACCAGCCCAACCAATTCCTTGACATCCGCCAGGTGGACTACCTTTGGCTTCATTTGTCCATTTCGCACCGCCGGTACACCATTGTACAGCATCGTGCTATATACCAACACCAAAGCAAGTGGCCATCTTTTCCCCTCATTGACATGCTCAAAGAAAAGAACAACTTTGCCAAAGAAGTCTTTTCAAGCAGGAGACGATCCTGGTCTTGCGTTTGTTGCCTTGTTTATCTGCAACTGAAGGCAAACGTGGTGGGCCTCTCTTTGTACTTTGTGGGCAAACGCAGAGTATATCACACAGCCATTGACAACAAGCCTTGTGGCTTGTTGTCAAGGCTGGATCAATTGTGCTGCATTCCACTCCCTTTGATTCATAGAACTTCGCAAGAAGAACTGGGAGACAAGAAATTTCTTCAATGCTGTCATGAATTGTTCTACATTCCAAAGGCCCCCAGAACTCAGTGTCTGAGTCAATGCCAACACACTCACCTTCCTCAGTGTTGTGGTGGTTGAAGTTGAAGAAGTTTTTAAGAGGAAGAATAGAAGATTTGAAATTAGGAACGAAGATTCGTGAGAACTTGTGTAGGTTTTGTTTATTGAGAAAGATTTTGTATCAAAGTTTGACCAGGTTCCTACACTGAACTACTACTGCTATTTATATTATTTTGGATCGGGAAAATTATATGACTGGGATCAGGTAATCGATCCTATCTGAGCCTTAATCAGAGCAACGTGATCTTGGGATAATTAATGTATGATTAATTATATAAATGTGTGTAGTCCCAATGAAGTATTAACATCGAAAGTAAATGTGTTTATGAGTTATAATTATGCTTATAATAATCCACTGATGTATCCCATATTATGGTGATATCATCATATGAAATATAATCACTATCATGCATGCTAAACCTGTGTGTTAAATAATAAAGTAATCGGTAGACACCTTTGACTGGAATAGCTGAGGCCTTATATTATTTCCTTCAGACTTATTCTCAATTACAGCAGTAGTCAATACTCATTTACAACACTCAGTCATTGGCTAACCAACAGACTCGTCATTGTATTGCAATATTCTTGCTGTTGTCCTCGCCTTAACTACTGAGGCTCCATTTACATCCACACGTCTTGTACAGGCAAGTCTCAATATAATGTTTCTGGCGTTTGCACCAATAGCAGAATTGCTCTTTATTGACCAAGAATATTCTCCAATGGCCCTCTCTAGTGACCTAGTGCTGTACGCTCTGGGAGGGTCAAATGCATCCATCATCACCAGATAATGCTGCAATAGGTGTTGGTTGATAGTGAATATCTCTATTCCAACTTTACCATTTTGGAAATGGTCTTCCAGGTATAAATTCCACTTAATAAGGCTTCTAAGAGAAAGATCAGAATAAATTCCAATAACAAAACTCTGAATAATACTAAACATATCTTTTTATAGAGATTTGTTCCTCTGCTGATAACTCCCAGCTCATGAGTAGAGTGCATGCTTGCAAAAGACCAAGCAATGCCTTCCATGCATCTTGATCATAGACACGCTCCGCCACCAGAGTGGGAACCACAAGCAGAAGGAAATTGGCCCAGTCCACAGATCAGAAATATTCTTCATGTCTTGTCACGTCCCTCCAAGAACCATGGAAAGATGTTGGGATCGATCCTCTTGTTCCTTCCATTGTTGTGCCTATCTCCTTCTGTGCTCCAGCAGAGAGGAAAAGGGGGTGATTAGATCCATACTTCCCACAAACAAGCCCCCAGACCTGCTTGCCGATTCCGTGACAAAGACCATGCATCTCATCGAGGGCAAAGAAAAATGGGTCTGTGAATGATGTCAATGAAGCAAATAGAGATTGTCCTTTGAGGCCCTTGCACAACACACTATCAGGGTTGAAGCTTCTGAAGCTCTCTACGGTGCAGATGGTGGTGCCTGGCAAGGTTCTGAAATATTGGCCATGACCTGGAATTTGTGCAACAACATTGCAGATATGACAGCCATTTTTGCTTGTATGGCCAACATGGCATGCCAGCTTTGCCAATGCTGGAATGTCACCAGTTGCCATGAGAACATGGACTTTTGCTCTCATTGTTTTTGTTGGTGTTTTTATCACCATTCCGTCTGCTTGCAGTATCTCAAGCAATTTGATGGTCAGCTCAAGAAATGACCAGAAGTTGGCAGGTACAGTTGCAGCAGAAATCATTGCAATCTGGATTATTTGCCTGCACTTGTAACAGACCCTTGGAGGAAGATTGAGCACAGTGGCATGTAAAATGGTCACCGAACCAGGAACCTTATGTGGAGAAAAGCCATCAACTGACAACGAAATGGCGATATCATTCTCATCAGAAAAAAAGTGCTTGATCGATTCATAAGCTTGGCCATCAAAGACATCAGATATGCTTCTATTTTGACTGGACTGATAGTTATAATTATACATCATCTCATTTCTTGTAGTGTCATCGGCCAAACAGAGAGCAAGCTGTCTAACCAAAGGGATCTGAATCATTGTTTTGACAGGAATTGCCAATCTGTCTTTGTCTTTGGCATCGTTTTTATAATGTGCCTCACCACAATTAGGACACACTGTCTCATGATTGTCATTGTAAAGTTTACAATTATTATGGCAGATGTTATACTTCTCTCTTTTTACAGAAGAAAATCTCTCAAGAAGCTTATCTCCAAGGTATAAAGAGCATGCTCTGTATGTTATGTCATTAGATGTCTCTAGAATCTTGTTGAAATGACAAGCAATCATTTCATGTGCTTCACGCAAAATTCCAAAATCCTTGATTATCTTAATGAACTCAAGATTTTTGCGTCGTCATTGTTAGGAATGGGAGTGAGTTGACTGAAATCAAATATCAGAGGAGAGGTTTTGACGTGGATGTCATCCATGGCATGATCAAGATCAGCATCATACTTTATTAAGATAAATAGTAATTAGTATTATAGACATAAATACATAGATGTATATATATATCTTACTATAGGCTGATCATTATCATTGTCACCATTATTGAAGGCATTCACAGTTTGGTTATCACTTGTGACCGTGTTTTCTCTGCTTGTTCATGAAGGTAATAATATAATTAATTACTTGTTCTAACAGTGCGTATGTCTTTCATAGACTTACTCAGAGGTGTATCCAGATACAATGCTTGATACAACGTTGGTTTGCTCAGGGACAGAAATAGGTTGGGAAATCTCAAAATTAACCATGTTTGAAGAACGGTTTTTCATACACTGAATTCTGTATAAATTGACTTTTCTTGTGCTATTGTAAAATGTAGTACAGAATCTGCACTTGTAACTACTACGCTTTGTAATTGAGGACATTTTTAAAGGTTGAAAATAACACTTTGAAATAAAGGTATGAGTATCAGTAATTGCTTTTAAATGATATGTCTTTATACTTAATAACTTTGAGTTTTGTATAGACATAATAGCTTCAAGATAATGATGACATAGATAATATGAGTATAAACTCAGAAACAAAATCTGAAACATTGTGTATTAGCTGTCAATATAACTATGTTAAGTCAAAATTAATATTGACTGAGATGAATAAGTTAAACTAATTAATATGAAACTAATAATAGATGATAGAAAGTTTTTTCACTCTTTATTCTCCTTTCACAACAATCTTTTTGCTCACACAAACTAAACTCTTAACATGAATAACACAGAAAGCCAAGTCATATCTTTACTACAAGCTATGCACAGTGAGATAATCTCTTTGAAGGCAGAACAGGACACTATCAAACTGGAAGTGAATTCTACCAGAGAAGAATTGAATTTGAATATTGACTATCTCCAGAATCAACTGGACAACAAAGGATTTTCTGAGCAAGAGACAGTACCTTCTGCCACTGACATTGTAAGTCAAAAATAAAATAAAATGAATATGTATTAACATGTAATCCAATAGCCTTGCAACAGTCTTATCTGTGTACCTATTCTGAATACCCGGGATATAACTTTGAAGCACGTCTTCAAAATGATGAGTGAAGATCTTGGTATTGAGGTAAACAATGAAGAGAAGGCCACTCTCCAAGTATTTACAAAGATCAATTGTGATGAGCTGGCTGTCTATTCTTTGGTGAAGGATCTTGATTCTTGTCCTAGCTGGGGGCCTATACCAGTAATGATTAGAAAACAAATGTGTGCTAAATATGCAACATTGATGAAAGATGCTGGTATCGACCTTATCAGATGCCATAAAAACTGGGCGTCTGCCTCAAGAATCTCTCATCTCTGGAGAGACCATTATAGAAGATTGCAGTCTTGTAAGTAATCGAATGTAATAAAATCGAATGAGATACTCTGCTGTAATAACTTAGAATATAGTGCAGTTTATAGCCAATAAAATTCAAATGTTGATTTTCTATTATTAAATAATAACCAATAAAATGAATATTAAAATTTTTTTGTATAATAACACCTAATAAAATGAACAATAAAAACTTTTTCCTATAATAATACCCAATAAAATAAATAATAAAAACTTTTTCTTATATTACACTGTAAGAAAAAATTTGCAAGTTTTTTAAAAAAACTTACAACTCGTGGTAAAATCCTTACAACTTCTTTAATCTCCTACAAGCTTTACCATGTTTAGGATGCTTTAAGTCTAATTAAGCATATTGATTCTAATGTTTAAATAAGAGTTTGGTCACAGAAGACTCTCGAGGTTATATTAGGAAATCAAAAGCTCACAAGATATATAATTGGTCCGGTAAAACTATTTGTGCTGAATATCACTCTACTATTTTTTTGAAGAAAATAAAACACCTTAATAAGACTTGCCGTGATGTACAAACACTCGTAAATGAAATCACAATAGAATTCTAGTAGTAAAAAATGACTTAGCAGAATTTATGCTAGCTTTACACTCATACTCAGTTATTGTACTGCGGCTTAGACTTCTTTTCTCAAAAGTAAACACTAAGTGCTTTTTAATTACACTAATATTTTTTTATGTTCCATAATTAAGATCATAAAAACAATGATACTTTTAACCATGCTGCATACTAAGTAACATTGCTATAGAAAAATACTGCTATGTAGATGTGAAGATCAGTGAAAAGATATTATCAATGTTAATAGCTTTTATGGTCCATTACTAATCAAACATATTTCGATCATAATTAGGCTTGCATCATTCAGACCATTAAACGTATGAATACTCAAAATAAAAATATTGGTAAAGTGTAAAAAGAATCAAATACAAAGCTTTGTATTATTTGATGTTCATTCAATATCAAAAGTATGTTTTTTAAAGTAAATTCATTCAGATCACAAATACTAAAGTTCTTTTTTCCTTTTTTTCTTTCTTTATGTATAGGTGTAAATTGTTTCAGTTATTGCTATTGTTTTTTTACTTCTTTCATGCCATATTTCTCAAGTAGTTAGCAAAATTCCTAAAAGACATTTAAGTACTTAGACGCATACTAGGGCATTTTTTACCCCAAAATTTTCAACTTGAGAAAATAAAATAAAAAGTTTCGACTATAATTTCAGCAGTGTTGTAAATGAGTATTGACTACTGCTGTAATTGAGAATAAGTCTGAAGGAAATAATATAAGGCCTCAGCTATTCCAGTCAAAGGTGTCTACCGATTACTTTATTATTTAACACACAGGTTTAGCATGCATGATAGTGATTATATTTATGATGATATCATCATAATATGGGATACATCAGTGGATTATTATAAGCATAATTATAACTCATAAACACATTTACTTTCGATGTTAATACTTCATTGGGACTACACACATTTATATAATTAATCATACATTAATTATCCCAAGATCACGTTGCTCTGATTATGGCTCAGATAGAATCGATTACCTGACCCCAGTCATATAATTTTCCCAATCCAAAATAATATAAATAGCAGTAGTAGTTCAGTGTAGGAACCTGGTCAAACTTTGATACAAAATCTTTCTCAATAAACAAAACCTACACAAGTTCTCACGAATCTTTGTTCCTAATCTCAAATCTTCAATTCTTCTTCTTAAAAACTTCTTCAACTTCAACCACCACAACAAGCAGAATTCTATTTTTCAATAAAGTTTTTTTTAATAAACTTGAGTATATGTAACTTTCTAATAAGAATATAATCCTCCGATGTACAGGAAAAGCATTGTAACACTAATGGTTAAATACTGGTTTTCTATTGGCCAAAAGAAAGTTGTAAGGGCTGTGTTTCAAATTCTGTCATTTCTTACAGTGTTAACATCCAATAAAATGAACAATAAAAGCTTTTTTCTTTAATAATACCCAATAAAAGTATAATTATTAAATCAAACAATAATTCTTATAAATATAATCCAATAGACAGCTATTTTCTTTAGAGCAATAATAACAAAAATAAATTGTGTCCAATAAAATGTCTATTTAATCTACATTTTAAAACAAAAATTGTCATATAAGAGGGTACCAAATAAAAGTATCCAATGACGTGTAAGCTTTATATAATAAATAAAAGAAACCACGTCTAATAGAAAAGCCAATACTAAGAAAGAAATATTGCTATGTTATACAAACAACATATTAAAGAACAGAGTGTGGAAAGTCATTTATTTTTATTCCAACTCAATGGTGGTTTGAATGGAGAACTTGCAAAAAACCACTGGTCAAACCATCAGTCAAACCACCAGTCAAACCACTAGTCTAACTACCTTTTTTTTCCTGTAGTGTATATATATATTTACTTTTATTATCACTCCTACTTTCCTGCATACACTGTAGAAAATGGCAGGATTTATACCTCTGACCTCATACCGAGTTATGTACTTGTAACTTTTGCTATTTAAAAGTCAGTCTTTAAAATACCAACCTTGTAATGAGTTACAAACTCATAACTTTTATAGTCAATAGCATGCCTGTTTTAGCCTATTAGTTTACTTTTTTGTCAGATACGATTTATGGGATTTACGATTAAGTCAAATATGATTTACAGGATTTTAGATTATGTCAAATATGATTTATGGGGTTTTACAGTGGTCCCTCAATAATTTCAAGGCCTAGAGAAGGCCAGGTGCCTTGAAATTATCAAAGAGTAGAATTAATGAGTTCGGAGTATATATTTTCCGCCAACTATGGGCGGAGTTTACATTATTCTTTAATAGAAAAAATATATTAAGTAATGATTCGATATGCTTCAATCCTCTGTTTAAATTCATTCTAGTTAAATATAACCTCTGGCTGCATTACTGTTTTCCACTCCCCCTGTCTTGTAACCAATTATTGTTTCAAATTCTTATTCAATCAAATAATAACAGCTTCTTGGTATGCTTTTAACTTATTATATAATGCTTATCAAATATCATTTTCAATTTTTTTGATACTTTAATGAAATCTATCAAATCCAGAACTAAACAATAAATATAAGCAAAAAAAACGTTTTGCTTAATATTGCAAATCATTTTGAGATTTGCGATATGAAAAAGAAAAAGCTGTCTATGAGTAACCCTCAATTGGCTGAGTGGGCAAAGGAAATCTTTGGCCTTCAGAAAGCTCCTGATGCTTCTGCAATCTCAAAGATTTTGAAGAGAGAAGACCAGGGCTTGATAATGCAAGCCGACATAAAGAACAGAAAGTGTGTTAGAAAGGAAAAATGGCTTGTATGTAATATATCTCAACATTATGCATTTTTGCTCTATATAAAAAATAAAATTAACCTTATTATATTGTCACATAACTATAGCAAATCAAAGAAGCAGTGATCCTTTGGATCAACATTGCTGAAAATAATCAGATTCTCATCACTTGGGAATTGATTAAGACTAAAGCTACTATTTTTGCTGAAAGAATAGATGTTAAAGATTTTAATACTTCTCAAGGCTGGATGGAGAAGTTTGGAAAGCGTCATTGTATCAAGATGAATTGAATTCATGGTGAGGCTGGTTCAACAGACATAGAGTCACTTCAGATTGACAAGGCTTCTATCAAAGAGAAGATAGAGGCTTATAGCGCTTGTGACATCTATAACTTTGATGAAACAGCACTTTTCTATACCACCCTACCAAGAACAACGATTTCCCGCCAGAAATTTTCTGGTTGGAAGGAAAATAAAAAGCAGCTTACAGTAGACCCTTTGTGCAATGCCAATGGAACAGACAAGTAGTCTGATATATTTATGATTGGTCATACAACAAGACCAAGCTGTTTTAACAAAAACAACAAAACACAAAAGGTAGTAGATCATGAATTTTCTATATATCATTACAACAGTAATGTCTGGATGACACGATAAATCTTCCATGTTTTCTTTTATCACTTTGATCATTCAATAAAAGCGCAAAACTGCAAAGTGTTTTTGATCCTCAATACTTTCTCTGGCCATATAGTAGATTATGTGTCTACAAATGTTGAGCTTCTTTTTCTGTCTCCAAACACCATGTCCTACCTTCAGCCATTGGATGGTAGTATCATTCGGGCTTTTAAGACTTATTTCAAGCATAAACAGTATGCAAGGACATATCCGTATATTGGCATGATTCAAAATGCCCAACAAGATAAGATTGGGGCCATTGATAAAATCTTTGAAATTGATCAATTGTGGGTGTTGTGAATGAGTATTGATTACTGCTGAATCTGAGAGTAAGACTGAAGGATAAAATAATATCCTCAGCTATTCCAGTCAAACGGATCTCCCTTTATGATATTATCTAATACACAGATCATCATACACATAATTGATTATTTATTATTATCACCATGACATGGGATATACAAATACATATACATTATATATATGGCATCATTATATTTCATCTACATATTTCTTTTATTATACAAATACTTAATTGAGAGACTACAACTACAACTATCTAATATTATGAAACATTATCCGAGTATCTGGGTCGGAATACTAAAATATTACCAATAGCATAAATGCTCTTCTTTACCAAAACTCTTGGACTGATCTGACTGGAGAAGTATCATATCAATTGGTCTTTCCGGATCTTTCCAGAAGAACAATACTCCTGGAAGATGACTCATCGTGATAAAGATTACTTAAGCACACACTGAATTACAAATTAGAAAAACATATAAATATCAGTAGATAGTTCCGTGTAGAAAGACAATTGAATTTTATCATTCTTTACTTTTCTTTTGAAATAAACAACCTACACAAGTTCTCACGAATTCTTTCGTCTATATTATATTTTGCTTTATTTTCTCCCCACAACAGTGGGCAATGATATGAATAAGAGAGACTTGGGAATCTGTCTCAGCAAAGACTATTGAGAACTGCTGGATTGCAATAATCTTTTGCTTCATTGAAGACAAAGATAGTGAAGGTATTAGTAAAACAATTTATTGGTTATAATAGTACTATAATCTTTCAATTCCACTTTCTTAATATTCTAAATATAATTTATAGATGTAAACCAGGCTATGATTCAGCAAAGTCTGACTGAAAAGGTTCTGGTTAAGGGTTTGAAAGAAACCCTAGACAAGATTGCCGGATCAGGTCTTCTGTCTCTTGAAGATTGTCCGACCAGCAAATCAGATCCACTCTATGAGAGACAATGCACTCATAGAGTGATCAATGAGAATGAGATCGCTGACATTGTCATGGAAGAGCATGACACAGACAACAACGCAGCCAACAACAACAGCAATAAAGAAATTGCTGAAGTGGAATCAGCAGTTCCTTTCAAGAGAACTTATTCTGCTTTGGAAAAGTTTGAGTGTATTTGCACGCTTTTGGATATCTTGGAAGACGAGAATATTGACAGAGACTTTGTCAGTAAGGTTGAAGGCCTTAGAAACAAGTTCCAGAAAACCGCGAACTCAAAGCAAACCAAAGTAACCAGCTTCTTTAAATCTTTTTAAAATTTATTCTTTTTCAAATAAAATAAAAACAATTTTCTATAAGAAATATATTTTTCTTCATTTAAAAATAGAAAAAAATAGTTAGCAGCCAAGTACAGTCAAAGCTTGATTTTGTAATATGTTTGTAAATAGTAACAATTGCAAATAACAATAAATAGTAATGACAGATAGAAATAATAAAATCTATAATAAAAACTTTTATAACAAACAAATTAGAATTATATTTATATTTTTCAAGTGAATAATCTTTACTAAACAATTAATAAATGAAACTTAATCAAAATATAGCACATATAGTTTTATTTTATTTATGAAAAAAAATGAAAAAAAAATTTAAAAAAAGTAAGCTAGATGACAACTTGATAACCCAGTGTTTGGCATGAAAACTTAATGCACTTGACATTGATGTCAATTACAAAATCGTGAAAAGCTAGAATTAAAAAAATTTAAAGCAAGCTGTAACTATATTGCTCTCGTCTGATTGGCTAATTTTTTTCTTTAAGGATTCAAGGCCAAAAAATTTTGTGAAAGTGAAATTAACAAGAATCATGAAAGTTAAGCCCTATTTTTTGAGCTGTGTCTTCAGAGCCTTGAAATTATTGAAGCATGAAATTAAAGGGGCGTGAAATTATTGAGGAACTACTGTAGAGCATAGTCAAATATGATTTATAGGATTTCAGATTATTTTTGCATTTAATCCAATCAAAAGTGCCAAATATAGCAGATATATATCATTTTTAGTGCCTCTGCTTTTTCTTATAATTGGTCCAGCAAATGCATGATGTTTTATATCGGAATTTTATAGTTTTTATTTTTATTGTTTTTATGAATCAAAATAATCAAAAGTAAATGTAAAAAGAAGAAGTATGTAAAGAAAGCACTCATTCATATGTTATTAAGTAACAGTTTAAGCTACAGAATTTCCGTAGTATACATTTATGTATATCTTTGTGTATACATTTTTATCTTTTGTACTTAAGAATAACCAGTTATTTTCAAAGAATTACACTACTTGAGAGTTAGAATAAAATAATTAAATAATACATGTTTTCTTCAAAGAATATATGTTTTAGTTTCTTGGTAATCGAAGTCTGGCAGATCTCCACTTTTGAGAAACCATATACTTGGCTCCCCATCATTCTACAAACTTATTGAGATAAATATTTCTAAAAGAAGCATGTAGCTCAAGGTTTTCAATCAAATCCTTCTTTTGCAACTTTGTAAGATCACTCCACAATGGAACACTCTCTCCTCAATCATGCAAAAGTTTAAAAGCAGTCCTGAGGAGACTACAAACAATTCCTGAGGCCGATCTGTACATGACACAGGCAGCTGCCTCGTTGCCTTCAGTCAGATATATGGCCATTGCATATTAGATTGCTACGGCCAAAAGTTTCCAAGAGTTGCCAGGAACACTTCCACCAGGACGTCTAATGTCTTGAAGAGTCTTGTCATTGGGTACTTGTCCTATCTCTTGTTCTCCAGCCAGTAAATGGCCAATGTTTTCCAAAGGAATGTTATTTCCCATCTCTCAAGAATTATCAGCCCGTGCCTGTAACTGGGCAACAGTAGCTTCAAGAGCTTCCAGGCATGTTTGTGTTGTGAGATCTTGAATAGTTGACATTTTTTTTTGGAAAAGGAAAGAGAACGAAATCCGATTTTCACAAGAAAAAATTCTTCTTATTATCCACAGTCATAATCATGCAATATATTGCATGAATTTACTATATTCAGTATTAAAGAAATAATAAAAACCTAAAACGTAAATTCACATCTATATTGATCTTTTTTTTTCTCTTAACTTATATTCCAAACATTTTTACTATATATTATTATCCAACTAATCCTTCATAAAAAAGACCTCTTTATTTAAAATGAATATTGACAATTTTATTACACAAACATCTGAAAACGGTGTCAACAAAGACAGAGTTGAATTGATGAACTATTCTAAAGACGTCTTCAACTTAACTGAATTTGATCAACAAGGCATTCAAGCATGGAATAACTATGTTTCTAGATGCTTCTCGGCTCTTGCTTATGACAATACCTTGTATAGTAATGAGTCATACAACCTGGGAGAGTTTATGTCAGAGGGAACCACCAACTGCCCAAAAAGTTCAATGGACATACACTACAAAAAATGAAAGTCTATATTTTCTGGTAGATGATAAAATATTAACCGAAATGGTGACTGCCAATCCTTTTCTTTGTTTTTGAATTGTTTATTTGAAACAGATATTCTATATCCATTAAATTACGTGTTTTATTAAAATACACACTCTCACCAAATATGTTAATCAACAACACTCAATCTAATGAAACCATTTACACTTTGGCAACAATCTCCCAAGCCTTGGAATGCTCTTCTGTTTCAGGAGTGATGACACTTAGATTAGAAAATATTATTAGAGTAAAAACATCTGAGTAGAAAGAACGTTTAACAGAGATTGGGGAAGCTTGTGCAGTCAAGTGGGTCATTCGCAACACCAATAAGCAACCCACCAACATTACTGCTGAAGAAGCCAAAGCAACTGGTATTAAGTTGTGTTTTTCTCAGGAGTATTCCTGTCATCGTTGGGGAACCAATGAATCTAAGGCAGCTTTGCGTGTGGTTCAAAAGCGAACAAAGAAAAACAAGTGTTCTGCTCTTCTTTGTGTGAAAGGATTCTTTAAGACACCCAAGTTTTATGAATTTGTTGTTACAAAAGATCATGCAGAGCATACTCCTGGTGATATGCGTAGTGACATTTGCACCCTTCCTCTTGCAAAGAAATATCTTCATGAGTTGGCCCAGCAATTAGAACAGTTGTCAAAATCTGCTAGTCAAATTAGAATTGATATGTTGAGAGCTGTAGATCGATATGGTAGAAAGTCTAAAAGAAAAGGTAACTATTATGATATCTGGAATTTGATGAACAAAGTAAGCTTTAAAAATAATATATCTTATAGCATTTACTTTAATATATGTCTGTAAAAGATCAATAAAAAGCTGTATCATTTTGACAAAGACCAAATGACTTCTTTCTTAATCTGGATGAACAACAAACTTCCTGCCTTAAACTTCAACATCTTTAAGGCAAACACTTTATATTCTCCAGATCCATCAGCCTTTGCATATGGTTTTATGTCACCCGTTCAGCAAGAAAAAATAAAAACTGCAACTTCTTTCTGTTTGGATGGTACTCATGCAATCTCTAGCAACGTGAATGAGATTCTTTATACTCTTTTGGTGCAGGATGAAGATATTGGTAGAGGATGGCCTGTTGCCTTTATGGTAACCAATGATTGAGGTGTAAGCTCCATTGTGCAGTGGCTGCAGTTCTTGAAGAGATCTTCTTTGCTTGTTGACCCAAAGCAATTTACTATTGATTGTTGTGCAGCAGAAGTTCACGCCATTCAGACAACTTTCCCTGCAACATCCATTTAATTTTGCATCTTTCACGTAACCCAAGCATGGAACCAAAAGTTATCTGACAGTGTGAAGATTCCTGGATCCTTAATATCAGAGGCACGAATTTTACGTGGTGTGATGATGAAGTCTCTGCAAGAGATCATTTATGAAGAAGACATAGACGAGTTTCATCATAAAATTGTACAGTTTAAAGAAGACTTTGACGACCAAGAAAGCTTCTTGGATTACTTTGAGAGAAACTGGTGCACAGAAGCAAAGTTTAAGATCTGGAGTAGAGCATACCATGAACGACAATTCTCCCATATGCTCACAAATAACTATATCGAGTCCTGGCACAATCAATTAAAAACAGTTTTCATGAAAAGATCTAGAAACAAGAGACTTGATAAGCTTGTTTTTGTTTTAGTACATAATGTTAAGTATTATCTCACCCAAGAATACAAACGCGTCATGTCAAACAATGGTCCAATGAGTTCTTTTACTAGACAACAAAGAATACATGAGATGGAAGCTGAAGAAGTCGATGATGATGACAAGGAAATGATGATTGTTGCTTCTGGTACTGCAGAAGATGTAAATTGGCAAGTTTGGTCGTTTGTAAATGAAAATACAGCATATGTTGTTCAGGTTGCAGAGCCAAACTTGATTATTTTGTGCACCTGCTTTGGTTATCAGCAAAGATATAAACCTTGTAAGCATATGTATTTGCTTAAAATGCATACAAACTGATCTCTCTACTTCTCTCCACCTTCTGTCACAAGTACAAACGTAATACAGCCAGTCTCTACATCTGAAACAGCTACAATCACACCAACTATCAGTCGTACATCTGCTTTTATACAGCAATGTATTGACATCAATCAAACACTTCGGTATTCAAACCAAGATCTACTGACTATGCAACAGTATATGACTGAAGATGATGGTCAGACTTTGTTTGATGCATATCAATGCTCTCTACAAGTCTTTCAGTCTATAAAAAACAAATATGAAGTTCATCTTCGCAGATCTCATACACAAGAATAAAATTATAACTATCTAGCTTTTTTCTCAAAGAAATGTTTTGTAAATTGAAACAACTTTCAAAACGACTTAGTAAATTATCGCATTTTTTGTCTTATTTTCTGGTAAATAAGCCTCAATTTCGGCTAATACTTTACCATCTACCAGAAAATATAGACGTTCCAAAAAATAGGGGCGGTTTTTTGCATTTGTGACTTTGTTTTTGGTCTATAATAATTAAAAAATCACCAAAAATTCAAAATGAAACAAAAAAATCTCTGTTTTTTGAAAAGGTTGACAAAAAGCAGATTGACCTCCTAAAATTAAATCTCCTGATAGACAAAAGTACATTTTAACTACAGATCTTACATTTTTAGTAAATGTAGATTGCAATTGATGACTATTAAAAGTCAGAGATAAAAGAGAGAAAAATATCTAAACTTTTTGCTGGGAGGATAAAATATGTTAAGACAATTTGAAAAAAAAATAATATATTACAAGAAAAAAAAATTATAAGTCTGCAAGAGAACCAAATGACAGTTTAGAGCCGTGGTTAAGCTCTGGCCACATTACATATGTTGTTGCTGTTGTTGTTATTGTGTTTATAGTTGTGTCCGACTTCACCAAACCAACTAATGCTTTGACATCTGCCAGGTGAACTACCATTGGCTTCATTTGCCCATTGTTGATTGCTGGTATACTATTTACCAAACGAACTGCATAAACATTGACAAGGACAAGTGACCATCTCTTGTTATTGAGCTTGTGCTCAAAGAAAACGACGACCTTCCCAAAGAAATCCTTATAGATTGGAGAGTAGCTCTGCCCAATGTTGCAGTTCTCATCAACCTGAACCTGAAGTCTGACGTTATGTGCCTCTCTTACACAATTATGGTCAAGTGCAGAGTCAATAACATAACCATTTACAAATGTCTTACAGCTTGTTTTAATGGCTGCTTCAATCATACTACACTCTTCCCCCTTTGATTCGTAGAACTTTTGAAGAAGCTCTGGAAGACAAGAAATGCCTCCAAAACTATCAACAATCGTTCTGTTTCTCAAAGGCCTCCAGAACTCAATGTCAGAATCAGTATCAACATTACTACCTTCTCGGTCAATTGGCCAACCAGCAGAGGGATTGTCATACTGAAGGAGAGTTGTTGCTGTTACTGTTGCTGTTGTCGTTATTGCATTTTCAACTCTCATCTGTCGAATCTGTGTCAAGCCAAGCATGATGTTGCCAGCATTGATTTCAATTGCTGAATTACTCTTTATTGCTCATGAGTATTTCCCAATCGCCCTCTCAACAGATCGTGCACTATATGCTCTGGGGGGACCATATGCTTCTATCATTGTGGGATAGTGCTGCAGGAGGTGCTGGTTAATCATAAAAATCTTGAGCTGGACCTCTCCTTTAGCTAGTGAGGCTTTCAGATACGCATTCCATGCGACGAGATTTCTAAAAAAAAAAGATAAGTTAACACAAGTTATAAAATAATAATATTAATTATAATTAAAGCTTACATTTTGATCAAGGTTTCTCCTCTGCTGATAACTCCCAGCTCATGAGTAGGTTGCATGTCTGCACCAGGTCAAGCAATGCCTTACGGGCAGCTTGGTCATGGACACGCTCTGCCACAAGCGTGGGGATAACAAACAAAATGAAGTCAGCCCAGTCCACAGCCCGGAAGTACCCTGATCTTGTTGCAATGTTGATCCATGCACCGTGGAAAGATGTTGGAATACTCCTTCTAGTTGACACCATGGCAGTACTAATTTCTTTCTGAGCAGCAAGGGAGAGAGAGAGGATGATCTTTTCCATACTTGCCACACACGAGCCCCCAGACCTGTTTGCCAATGCCATGACAAATGCCGTGCATTTCATCCAATGCAAAGAAGAACGGACCAGAGAAGGAATCCAGTAAGGAGAAGGGAGATTGGCCAGTTAACCCTTTTTTGCTGGATGAGACCACCTCATCAAAGTGCTTGAAACTTTCTGGTGTGCGCATGGTGATGGCAGATGGCATTCGGAAATATTGGCCATGGCCAGGAGATTGACCCACAACGTGGCAGATGTGGCAGCCATCCTTACTCATATGGCCCACATAACAAGCCATCTTTCCCAGAGCTGGGATGTCGCCAGTTGTCATTAGTACATGGACTTTTGCACTAATATCTCCAGATGGTGTCTTCACAACCATTCCACCGGCTTGGAGAACCCGAAGTTCTTTCAGAACAGGCTCCAGGAATGACCAGAAGTTGGCGGGTGCTTTGGGACCAGGGATGATCGCGACTTGGATCATATGGCTGCGCTCGTAGCGGATCATTGGGGGAAGGTTGAGGTTGGTAACGTGGACAATGGTTACCAAATCCAAAACACTATGGGGAGCAAACCCATCAACAGACAGCAAAATGGCGATGTCGTTTTCACCCGAGAAAAGATGCTTCTTTGACTGATATGCCTGTCCATCAAAGACATCGGAAATGCTGCCATCAGCCTTTTGCGTATGATGGTGGCGATACAACATCTCTTTTCTGGTGCGGTCGTTGGCCAAAGCAACTGCAAGCTGTCTACCCAGAGGAAGCTGTATCATTGTGCTGGCAGGAATTGGATTCTCACCAGCGATGTGATCGAACAATGATTTGCAATAAACATGCAAACATGCTTAAGAGGGTTGGTATAGATTTCACCAGATGCCATCAAAATTGGGCATCCATTGCAAAAGTCAGTCATCTCTGGAAAGACCATCAAAGGAGGCAATTGTAAGTAACTATCCACTGCAGTGTAAAGTAGTATATTTAATATTGGAAGTATATGATGTATTTGACTGTTTATAACCAATAAAAATGATGTATAAAATGTAATGTCTATCATAACATCCAATAAAAGTGATATATAAAATGTAATTGTGTAGTGTAATAACCAATAAAAACGATAAATAAAAAATATATCCATTTGAGAAACCAATAAAAATGTATTTTTATAAAATACACTACAGTGCAATTATGTCTTATCCAATAAAAACAATGATTAAGCAAGAAATATTTAAAAGAATCTAAATTAAAAGAATAATGAATTAGTAGTAACCAATGGCATATAATATTTCAACTATATTTAAAGAAGTTTTGTCCAATTGAAAGACAAATATTAGCAAAAGAAAAGGTTATCAATATATTAATAGAATCTTAAAACTACTGGTAAGCGGAGATGTATTAAAATGCACATAAACTCAGGGTTGGAAAAAAGGGGGAGGACACAAAACGCGCCCTGGCTTCCCCTCCGGAACCACCTGTGAAACCACCTCTAAAACTCCTATTTTTTAGCGTAGTGATAGATGTTGAATTTGGCCAAGACGTGCCTACAGACATCAAGACTCCACTTGGTAGGGAAAAGAAGAAACCACTAAACTAGTCTCTTTAATTTCTGAAAAAAAAAACAATAATAACCACACGCAAATATATATACATAAGAATCTGGTCATGGTTACTTTCATGTTCATAACACTGTAAATCATGTGGATTTCCCAAGCCAGTATGAAAGCGATGAAAGTGATGAAAGCAAACTGGATGAGGCTCCTAGAGTTTCTCATTACGAGCTCATGAATGGGGCAGAGGCAGCTAGCCTGGAGTTGTTCTTCATGTTTGTTGAGAACAATGTGTCTCATAATGTTTTTGACAAGTGTGTGAAAATGATGAATAAGTATATGGCAGAATGTGAATTGTGTAAATATATAGTCAATATCAATTAATTATAGCATGTAAACTTACTACTATCTTAGCTGCTGCCAATTCACTGATGTCTTACTACAAGATGGACATACTTCTAAGACAAGAATATACTGTCCGTCCTGTCACACATGACATGTGTAAAAAATGTTGTATCTGCTTTGAAGCCATAGAAGCTGAACAGCATGCAGATGAGGAAGAGCGGTGCCCTCATTGTAATAGCTGATGATTCCAACACAAGAGAGGCACTTTAATTTCTGTGCAGACCTTCCAGGTTGTGCTTCTCTCTGAGCAATTGAGATTCAAGCTCAGTAATGCCCAGGAACACACCAAGATGAAATATGGCACAAACTGTCTTTCACATAATGTTAGTACTACAAGATCTGATATCCTTGACAGTAATGCTGTCTGCTGTTTGGTTCAGAGTGGTGTTGTTAGTCAGAATGATATTTTGGTTACAATGTTCATTGATCAATTTAACCCTTTCAACAACTCAAAAATATCTGCAATTGTTATCCACGTTATCAATCTCAACATTGATCAAAAAACATGTATAATATAAGACGCCTGTATAAAATTGCTAACTAAATATGCTTAGATATGAGAGAGACAACATGATGCAGCTGGCGATAATTCTTGGACCTGAACACCCAAAGAATATTGCATCCTTTTTGGAACCAATAGTAGAAGATTTGCATATGTTGCAAACTTCTGGTCTGAGAGTTCAGACAAATTCTGGGCAAGTGAGTGTCAAAGTTCATTTTGTCATGGCAACTGGCAATAATCCAGCTGTGTCAGACTTGATGAAACTGGCCCATCATAACTCCTTCTTTGGGTGCTGACCCTGTATATCTGAGGGTGTATCTAAACTTCACACCATGTGCTTTATTGGCAATGAGTTGCCTGCTCCAATGAGAACTGTGGTAATCCAGACACTCGGATGTTGGGTTTATCACATATAAGAGCATATTTATATTGGGATAGCTTAGTAGCTATCATCTTGTCAGTATAAAATATATATAAACTATTAAGTAATCAGACCACTAATTATTACAGTTAGTACTGTAGATAATATCTTAAAGATTGTTAAGATAATTATATCATACTTCCAGGTAAACTGTGTCAGATTGATATGGAGCTAATTTAGTAGGAAGTTCTAAAGCTCTAGTATAAAAGAGAAAAGAATAGCTAAGAGCTAAAGAAGTATGATTTATGACTTGATGTCATAATTGTAACACCAACACTAGTTAAGCAGTAAATCATACCAAGAGAAATTCTTGTATAAAAATTGTAATTTTGGGTCTCTGAGCCTAAAATAAGGGTTTTTTATCTATAAAAGTTAATTTAGGCTGAAAACTATTTCTTTTTTTAGAAAAATCTCAAAAAAAAATTATTTTGAAGGGTCAGTACTTCTAAAATCGAAACTCATTGTTACTTTTTGAGAAGCACCCAATAGAAATACTTAATAGCCCAAACTGAAATTAAAAAGCAATTGAAAAAAAAAATGGGGGGCGAAGAAATAAGAAGTTTATTCATTCAAAGCAAAAAAATGGAAGTAATTCTTGCAAAAGAAGTGATAAGATCCAAACTTGAGAAGGTTGATGCAAGAAAGATGCTCACCTGAAGTCAGATGTAGCATGCATTCAATTTTAACGTCTTCCAAATTGCAGTAATGTTCAATGGGCTGGCATCTGACTGTTGCCAAGTTCAGGTTAGGCGAGAAGAGCTGGTAATGCTGAATGCGCAAAATACTATTACTTTCCACCGCCCTTCCAACGAACATCCTGTTAGCATTATTACTGTAAGAAAATGCAACAGAGACACCAGCAACTATCTTTGTTTTCACGTGATTGTTATTCACGAATTCCTGGTGTTTGCCAAAGAAATTGTCAGAAAATTTGTTTTCTTGATCATGAAGAAAGGCAAAGATACCAGATCCACCTTTTACTTGAGTACCTGTAGATTTGTCAATCCATGAGCTTCCACTGGCAATGTGTCTGAGCATGTCCTGCTTTCCAAACTTAAGGGCAAGATCCCTGTTATCAGCACAACGGTTTGAGTACACCAAATGAGTCCGGATGAACTTGTTGAATTGTTCACCCTTTTCGGTCTCAAAGTGGAGAGCACAACCAAACCTCTTGATGTCTTCTTTCAAGTGCAGCAGAAGGTGCGTCTTCAGAGTCAAGCTGAACTTGGTGTTGGCATATATATCATATTCATACAAAGACTTGACAAGACGACGAGCAGTATTATTAACATTGTTGAGATATTGATCAAAATCAGAATCGACCTCTCAAACGAATAAAAGAGAAAATAGAATGCCAAGTTCCATGAAGGGCTTAGCAATCATACTAACTTCAGTGTTGTTGGTGAATTCAGTGTTAAGAATAGGTGGCAAGACTTGCGCCAGAATCTTGAACTCCTTGCCAAGGTAAGACCCACTATGTCTAAGCTTCTTTCTGAAAGTTCTTGTGAAGTCCCTAGACCCTTTTTCTTGCTCCAGCAAATCAGATAACTTTACTTGTGAAGCAGTGTTGCCCTTTAAAACTTCCTTGAACAGATGATTAAGAAGATATTTGCAAACTCCAAGAGCCACAGTATGCAAAATCTCTACAGGTGTATCAAGAGCAGGATTAAAGGACTGCAAACACAGTAGGTTGTCAGTACCAGTATGACTATATCCAAGATCAGCAAGGATAAGTGCCTTATTGATAGGCTTTTCCATTTTCAGATAGAGATTATTAGCATTTGGTAATATACCAGGAATTGCCTTCTCTTTACAAGTTGGATCAGTGGCTGCAATCTTATAATGTTCTTTCGTTCTGTGCTGGCAGTCGCAAACCAAATACTCAGAATCGAAGTCATCAAAGCCAAATCTGGACAGGTTTCGATAGTAGCATCTTCTACACAGGAAATTCGACGTCAAATGCTTCAAGCCAACAAGTTCAGCATGTCGGGCATTATCGGCTGCGATAAAGAGCAAGGGAGCACATACAGTGACAGTCTCATCATATGTCAATGAGTACATATCAACACCATTTTCTAGTGTCTTTAGATCTGTGGCTAGAACGGGCATCAGATGGGTCGACTTGAATCCGGCTTGCTGGGAAACGGCTGTGACAAAGAAATTGTTCTTGCGTCTGTTTCTCATGCTGTATGACATCGCAGGGAAGTTGACCAGCACACTGTTGTACATTCCATGCGTTTTCGTAAGGTTCTTAGAAGTATCATCAGAAAAGATAGCAAGTGGAGTGATGATGGCCTTCTGAAATCAAATGAACTGGTTGGCACTATTGAATATTGGCTTTTTTATAGGATGACTCTTGAAAAACAGTTCATGGTGCGTTGGATTCAAGGATGTCTCACCAGAGGAAGACCAGTTCTTGGGGTAACTATAGAACATTGAAGGGAGCCAAGCAGAAACCAGATACTTGATTTCGTATGTGACAGGAGAGCTTTGTACTTTATGTAAAGCATGGCCTTCACTGTCAGAGCCTTGTTCAACAAGATATCTGTCAAAGAGAGCAAGCATGTCTTTCATGTAGAACCTTTCAACTAGAATAGATTGCCCACTATGTAACACGGCAACATCTCCAATCCAAAAGTCTTTGCCATTTGTTTGAACAAATTGATGTTGAAACAAAGGATTTCTTCTCCATTTTTCTCCTTGCTGGACAGAAAGACACTGATTTTCGGTGTAGTCTGGGAGGGCTGAAAGATAAAAGGCCTTTTTGGGGTTTGCCAAGAGAAGACGCAAGTGATCCGAAGGTAAGTTGAAATGGCAGTCTATGGTTTTCACTTGACTGGTGATTCCTGAACCCAAATTCGAAGTAGCTTTGATAGTCACTTTCTTGACGGTGGTAGGGGACAGAGGGACCTTGTTGAACTTGTTATACTGATAATTCAACAGAGTTTCGACTTTTGGCAGTTTAAAATCTGCTCTTTTCTTCAACTCAAACAACAAATTGATGGTATACATGACCTTTGTAAGCATCGACACTGAGATCATGCTGTCGTTGCTGTCAACAAACACTTGCAAAACCAAGGTCTGAAGATTTTGAAAAGGGAAGAAGGGGGGCATGCTTCGATTCCATTCATCTGAAGCAGCAGAAAAATCTAAAAGGGATTGACAATCTTCAAAAGCCAGGGTAGGGAGATCTGATTTCTTGTTACTGTTAATTGTCGATGATGCCATGTTGAATATTCTTTCTCTAAGAGAAGAGATATTCTCTCCCATGGCTTCTTCTTGTTCTTCTTCAATCATGGTCGAAATATCAGCTTGAAACAATGCTTTTTAATTATCTTCGACTACATTAAATTCCCTCTCAGAATTAGGAATGCTTCTAATGTTAAGGCTGGGTGCATTTTCAGTCAAAGAGTCCAAAGAGGTTGCTATGTCATGTGTCTGAACGTGTTGCTGAAGGTTATACGATGTGCTGCACTCTTGCGAGCACAAATGGCAGGTGAAAGAATGGCTTGTGAGCTTAATTTTGCTCAAATTTTTGCTGTATTTCAGTTATTCTTTGCCCATTATAAAGTAAGATTAATTAAATGAAAGGAAGTAAAGAAAGGTGCCTGACAATAATGAAACTAATGCAAACTTAAATACCCTTCTGAGTCTTAAATTTCACTTAGTATTTTTTTTTCTTTATTTTTTCTTTGTTTTCTTTTTTATAAGTTAATTTTTTTCCTTCTTTATTTTTACTCATCAAACAGAACTTGTAATGGCCAATGATTAATACTTTACTCTTATATAGAATTCTCAAATCATGCTCATAATCAGTTTAGGTAAGTAAATCAAACTGTATGTTACTTTTTCTACATGTTAAATAATCAAAAGTCTTTTAATCAAGTACTTGCCATTGTGAGGTAAGCTTTACAAAAATAAACAAACTGCTCCAAGTCAAAACACTTCATACTAACACATAGCTTACATTTCAGATAAGTAAAGCTACATCAAATAGCATAGCTCTTTATTCATAGTTAAGATATTTTATTATTTGATTATAAGTGTAAATACAGCTCCTAACTCTTGTCATTTTTCTATGTTAGCTATGAATATCTCTATTTGTATTTATACAGATAGCTTGCCAGCATCTTTGTCTCTTCACACTATCATTTGCTTTTCCATATATTATGTCAGTGAGCCTCAATGGAATCTAGGTAGCTTCAGTAGTCAGGTAAATTCTGGGTGGGCATAAAGCAAAGATCAAGTGAAATCTAAGCATCAGTCCAAGGTGTCCTAGTAGCAGTAACCTAGCCTAGCCTGATTCCCACCCTAGTAAAAGTTGAATCCCCCCCCCCAATATTTTTTCTGAATAAAATTGCTGCATTTCAAAACTCATTATTTCCAATTTGTTTTAAAAAATGAAGTTCAAAACACGCTCTGTAGTGAAATTATTGTATTTTATATAAGGCAATTATATTGCTCCCAGAAAACGCCAACAAAACAATGCTTAAAACCTGTCCAAATTTGGACCCTGATTTCTTTTGGTGTGATACACTCTAATAATCAAATATAGTAAAGGAAGAAAACCTTAAGAAATTAAGATGAAATGACAAGAGCAGATTGTGTTTTCTTATAAAAAGGGATACTTTTTATTTATGAATAAAGGACAACTTATATACAGTCTGTGAAGTCCACAGGTACTTCTGAGTAGGCGGAATATCAATGTTATAAAAAAGAGTGTGACTGGACCCGAAGGCACACAATTAAATTATTGAAACAAATAAGACAGTCCTTAGATTAAAATGTATATAAAGGGAGCAAAAGATCACAATGTTTTGATCCTCTCTCAATTTTCATAATAAAAGAAGTTTCACTGTACTTTCCAAGTCTCTTCTTTTATTTAGATTATTACACAGTCTCAAAGTATTTCTATACGTCTCTATTATCAAATTTATTATTTTTCTATTGTTCCATATCTGAAATACCATATGTACTTCTGATGATAGTGCAGATGATATACTAAAGTGAGATTTCTTAGTTAATACTGTAAAATATAAATGCTTATTACTTATTTAATTATTTATAGTGACCAACCTTGTGATGACTTGCTTGACTAGTACTTTTGTAATTATGAAAAAGTCATGTCAAGTGATGGAGAAAGCACAGAATTTGACATTGAAAGTGATGTCCTGGGCCATGATACTGAAACAAATGCAGCTTTTATAGGCACTAACCCTATAGCTGTGATCATGAATGCCTATTTGGATATATATAGCAACACACAAACGTTCTACCATCAAGAGAACAATGCTGAGAGTTTTTCTGGATATATAAGTCCTTTAAAATCCAAGGCAGTGTTTATCTTACATGTCTTGTTCTATGGCAATGAGAATCTTTCTTCTGAAAGATCTATCAAGAAAATCATGTTTGCTATGGAGAAGTTTTGAAGGCTCGTGAGAAAGCTGAAGAGAAATTAGATTTTTCAAAGTCTGACGCAGTGATAGATTATTACTTGGAAAAGAAGAATGAGATCCAGATATTTCTAACAACAACATGTATTACTGTAAATTAAAAAGACCAATGCCATGGATTTTTGATCAACAAACCATCTGAATATCTCAGGCATACTCTGGCATGTCCAGGAAAACGGCACAGATGTCATCACTTTCTGATTTCACTGAAAGTCAATGGTTGAATCTCAACCAAGGCACCAAGTGAAAGGAAAATCCCATATTCCAAAACCCAATGATTACATCTGAAGGTTTGGATTATTGGGTAGGTAGTATTGTTAAAGTACAAGGGTAGTCAAATTGGTTTCTCTTAGAGAAGTTTTATACAGAAAATCAATCTACATATGCCAATATCTTCCAAGTGTATGGTGGTCATAGTATTCTGCCAAGTTATTGTGATGATGCTTACTTCTGGTTGTTTGGTGGATTCACAAATTTTGCTGTCTCTCTCCTTAAGTATACTATTAGAGTTAGTAAAATTTTGTCTATTGTTCAAAAAGACAGCAATCTTTTTCTTGGATGTGGTTTATCTGTTTCGTCCTGCCCTTCTGAGATTTTTTATGACACTCTTGTTGGTATTCAGTCTCAATTGTGACTCAACACGTTCTTTGTTAAAAGATTCAAGATAAGACTTCCCAGAGGCGGGTTAATGAAGGTAGTTATTTGCCCACTGAATTTGTATTCTGACAACACTTCCGGAAACTCTTCAAAGCAATACAACAAATACAACAGCTATCTCATGTATTTTGTCGCGATGCCTCTTGAGGTGAGAAATAATTGAGAGAATGCAATATTGATTTCCACCTCAAATCATGTGCTGAATGCTGTTGAGATGCTGCCCCCGATTGTTGATAATTTTGTGGAATTGGAGAAAGGAATTGTGATGTACTCCAAAGATTATGGTGAAGATGTTCTGGTTGTTGCTCCTCTGTTATTGTTCATGGGTGATAATCCTTGGCAATTGCAACTTGCTATGCACAGTGAAACATCAGGAAAGCATTTCTGCAGGAAATGCCATTTAGAAACACCCCAAAGCACTCAAAAAGACAACACGTCAGAGATACCTTATCTTCCAGTCGACCATAATAGTGCTGAAAAAAGAACAAAGGAATTCTTAAATGCTTTTGTCACTGCCAATACAGATTCAGAATTGTATAAGCATGGGTGTGACCTAAACTATAGCAAGAACGGCAGCAAAGAATTTCTTAGACTTGAAGCATTTGATGCAACAAAAGATATGCCCATTGAAATTCTTCACATCATCCTACTTGGCTTATCACAGTATCTGGTCAATTACCTCCTTAAGTTCTCGAAAATGTCAACAGCAGAAATGGCAAGGCTTGAGTCAGCTCTGAGTTCTTACAGAGTCTGCAAGAATTATAGCAGAAAATTCAGAAACCAGCTTCATCATAATGGTTCTTTTGTTGGGTGTGACTATAAACAGCTGATGCAAGTTCTCTCAAACGTTATGACAGTGCTTTTTTCTGGAAATAGCAAATTCGAACTTCTTACTAAGACTCTCTGTTGTAAATGAGTATTGACTACTACTGTAATTGAGAATAAGTCTGAAGGAAATAATATAAGGCCTCAGCTATTCCAGTCAAAGGTGTCTACCAATTACTTTATTATTTAATACACAGGTTTAGCATGCATGATAGTGATTATATTTCATATGATGATATCACTATAATATGGGATACATCAGTGGATTATTATAAGCATAATTATTACTCATAAACACATTTACTTTCGATGTTAATACTTCATTGGGACTACATACATTTATATAATTAATCATATATTTATTATCTCAAGATCACATTACTCTGATTAAGGCTCAGATAGGATCGATTACCTGACCCCAGTCATATAATTTTCCTGATCCAAAATAATATAAATAGCAGTAGTAGTTCAGTGTAGAAATCTCGTCAAATTTTGATATCAAATCTTTCTCAATAAACAAACATTATACAAGTTCTGATGAATCTTTGTTTCTCATCTCAAATCTTTAATTCTTCTTCTTAAACTTCTTTAACTTCAACCACCACAACACTTTTAATATAAATATTTTTTTGAGTGTAATTTACAATGATATTAAAGACACATAAAATGCAGAGGGGAAAGTGATACTGATATAACTTTACAGCTAAAAAAAACAGATTTAAAATTACAACTAAAAATAAAATATAATTTTTAATTTTTATTTTTTTTGAAAATTTAACAATGCTAATAAAACTATATTAAATTGTCAAATTTGCAGTCTTTTGCAGTGGTAAAGAAAGAGTTCTTGTTTATTCTAAACTCTTGTCTAAATCTATTATTATCAGAATCATTCAAAAACCATCTGATTGTACTGGGTGACCAAGAGACTATAGATTGCTCTCTAAGATATCTCTTTCTAGATAATGTAAGATATATAAGGATTTCTGATATATCAACAGTAATGTTTAATGCGTTATTCTTACTGTGAATTTAGGATTCAATTAGTTTTTAAAGAATCAACTTTTTAAGCGACTTGAGAAAAACTTTTCTATTACTTATATTGGGTATTTTTTATAAAAATTGATATATAGAGTAGAATAATATAAGAGAGGCAAAGACATTAATAATTTTTTGTTTGAAGTATTTTAAGACATCAAAATGAGTGATTCTAAACTTGAATACTAAAGTTTTTTCCTTTAGATTAAATTTATATATTTTAATTCTATTCAGATTATTCTCAGCCAATTATTTCACTATTTAAACATCTGCATTCCAAATCCTAATCCAAATTCAAATCCGAACAGATAATGAAACCTCTTAATATTAATTCCAAGTTGATTCATTCAGTTAAATATAGTAAGAAAATAAGATAAGCTGTGTGGTTGCATGAAGTTTTTTTTGACAGAGTGATGCTCTTTTATTGTACTTATTAGTATTTTGTTCTAAAAATAAGAAATTTGATTTCTATTCAGTCTCGGCCGCCATTAAAAAATCAAAAAAGATTATAGAATATAATTTTTTTAGAATTATAAAGAATTCTACAATGCCACTGCATTGCTGGACTACCAAAAGTTTGTTTATGTTTGACCATTGATTTTATACCTTGTGTCAATTCTGATGCATGATGTGTTTGTTTGTTGTGGATTGTAACAGTATCACTTGGCAAATAAATGTAATGTGAATTACGAATACAAGAAGGATAATACAATAAGAATGGGAAAGAATGGGTAATTTGACAGGTAAGAATTGGTGACAGACAGGTAGAAAAAATAGGAAGAAGATAAAAATGGAAATTGTGACAACAACAAAGTTTGAGAAAAACAGAAAAGGGAAAACAGAGAAATAAAATATATCAAGATCAACAGACAACACTCCAAAGAACAAGGACACTGTGTATGAATGAAGAATAATGATAATAACAGACAAAAAATAAATAAGATTAAGGATAGAATGATTATTTTTTTGATTGAAAAGATTGTTCCTTTTATAAACAAAAATGTTTGATTAAAATAATTATTTGAAGAAAAGAAAAGAAAGTCAAGTGAAAATTTTTACTACATGTAACTGGTGTTGATAGTAGAAATAGAATAGAAAATTATAAAGAGAGTAAAGTAAAAATATAGTGAGGTAGAATAGAAGTAAAGTAATAATATAATAACGATGTAGTAAAGTAAAGTAAAAAATATAATAGTAGTATAATAATAGAATCTAATAAAATATAATAAAAGATAGTGTAAATAAATGCTGGCAATAAAGAAGTGTATAAAATTAGGGGAAAGAAGTATAATGTTTTTAGTGGGTGACAGGTGTTTCTGAGGTGACAATATAGATGGGTATTCTAATTTTAAGGAACCGGATTATATTGAGGGGGTTTAGGTATAGGGTTATCGGGAGCAAGATTTCCCAAGAAACCTGGGAGGACCACTCTTGTCCCTCGAGACATGTCACTTGGTCGACTCACTGTCGACGTCAACGTCCATGAGTCTGGTACTACCCATCATGGCTCACCGCCGAACTAAACCACTGAAGGAATCCACCGTCAGGTATCCATCACCAGAAACTGGCCAACGCCACACTTATTTACAACACACTTGACAATTCAAATACGCCCGGCTAGCTCAATCGGTAGAGCGTGAGACTCTTAATCTCAAGGTTGGGGGTTCGACCCCCCCGTTGGGCTTATTATATACTATTTATATTATGCACTTGCATTCAAATTTTACATTTTGTCATACCCGAATTCTTGTGTCGTTTTCAATCTGGGTTGTTCTTCCTGTCAGAGTTGACATTAGTAACCAAAATCAGGATTTACAAGTGTCGTTCCTAATCTGGGATGGTCTTCCTTTTACTATAGCAAAGTCAAAAGGTCAAACCCACTGGGAATTGGAGAGTATATGTAAAATTGAAGAGAGGATAAAAGGTACTTTTTATTGATAGGAATTGAATTGTCTTATATAGTTTTCTAAACTAATACTGCACATTATCCGCAGTAAACTATTATACTCTATTTAATTACAAGAGAAGTCCTTTTACTGTGGTTGATGCTCAGAAGATGTTACTGTGGTTAATCTTTACAAGACATTACTGCGGTTCATTATCTATGAGGTATCTTTGACACAGAACTGCTGAGGTCAATTATCCCAATTTCTCGGATTCATCAAAATAATATCTGACACAAGCAACCAGTAATGGTTGACTTTTTAGGATAAAAGATCTTGACTTCGCCGATTGGTCTTTCACATATGTTTTAGATGTTTAAGATGGTGAATATACTTGTAGAAGATATTACTAGACAACAAACATCTAAGTCATATTATTGTAGCTTTTCTTTTAGCCAGAAATCAATTATCATTTTGTATAAATACTCAAGAAATACATTTAATAAAAAGCATCTTTTATGCTTATCTAAAAACTATTCATAAACTTGATGATCCCCAGTGGTATTGATTCTGCAACTTAGTTACAAATGCCAGAAAAGAAATACCAGATCGAGACTTGACATTCCAATGCTATAACCAGTGACAGTAATTTCCCAATCAGAAAAGCAAGTCATACATTTGTTTCGTTTGGGTAAACTTTTATTACACACTTACCCCTTAAATTTTTTTTTTGAAACACACCTTTTTTTTACTGAATCTCAAAATGTCAACCTTTAATATTGCTGCTAATTACAACAATCGCATAATTCCAGATTATATAGAAGCTGTTAACTCCTTTGACCTTTCATCTGAAGATGAATTTACAAATTAGTTAAATGATACAGCTAAAAAACATGCTAATTAGGTTTACCATCGATCTTACAGTCATGAAAAGAACATGGTCTTCGTTGGAAAGCCTCTTGAAAATCCTCTCAAAGTAAAGACAGTAGTTTACTTGTGTGATCATGCTGGAAAACCACAAGTGAAAAAAACTTTTCAGCTTGCTCAGAAATGCGTCAGAACAACTAAGTCTATCAAGATTGGTTGTTCTGCTAGTATCTATAAGCATACCATGACTGATGATACTGTTTGTATCAAATACAGCTAGCAGCACCCAAACCATGATCCATTTAAGATTGAAGAGATCAGTTCGTCAAGATTGCCAGATGAATTAAAACAATGGGTAAAAGAGCTTGTCAGCCAAAACATGGATTGGAAATCCATCAAAAACATGCTTAGAATGAGTGAAGACAGACTACTTGAAGTAAATATTATATAGTATATTTTGAGAGACTTTGCTTATTTAAAATTACATAGCTTGAACAAGCTGACAATAGATCTTTTTTCCCTTCTTCTCTTCTCATTGATTATCAATATGTGAGAAATGTTATCAATGCTTAAATGATGAAACTCTTAAGAAAACCTGTGGATCATTATGAAAGTGTCAAACTGTGGGTTGAAGAGTTGAACAAAAGTGAAAATACTACTCTTTTCACGGTTCATAAGAATGGCTCCTTCCTTGTTTCATGGGTTTCTGAGTGGCAGAAAGAAGTAAATAACATGTATTATTTATATTTTATTCTATACACCTTGTTGTAAATGAGTATTGACTACTGCTGTAATTGAGAATAAGTCTGAAGGAAATAATATAAGGCCTCAGCTATTCCAGTCAAAGGTGTCTACCAATTACTTTATTATTTAACACACAGGTTTAGTATGCATGATAGTGATTATATTTCATATGATGATATCACCATAATATAGAATACATCAGTGGATTATTATAAGCATAATTATAACTCATAAACACATTTACTTTCGATGTTAATACTTCATTGGGACTACACACATTTATATAATTAATCATATATTAATTATCTCAAGATCACGTTACTCTGATTAAGGCTCAGATAGGATCGATTACCTGACCCCAGTCATATAATTTTCCCGATCCAAAATAATATAAATAGCAGTAGTAGTTCAGTGTAGAAATCTCGTCAAATTTTGATATCAAATCTTTCTCAATAAACAAACATTACACAAGTTCTGATGAATCTTTGTTTCTCTTCTCAAATCTTTAATTCTTCTTCTTAAACTTCTTTAACTTCAACCACCACAACACACCTATTTATATATCTTATTATTGTATTAGTTTCTGTAGAATTTGGAAGAGTGGTACATTGACTCAACACACAAAACAAGCAAGTCATTCAATACTGTAGCTGGTAAAGGACCTGAAGATTACTTTCTGTTTACAATTGTTGAGCAAAACCCTATCACCAATAAGAGATTGTCTGTCTGCTTCTTTATAACTGATCGTGAATATACCTCGACCTTGAGTCAATAGTTAACATGGGTAAAGAACATCTTTACATTAAAGGTGAAAAGAATAATGATTGACTGCAGCTCCATCGAAATTGGTGCAATTGAAGAAATCTTTGGCAATAGTGTTAATATCCTGTTATGTCATTGGCATATTAAAAGAGCATAAGAAATTAATGTAAAGAAGCATGTAAGTAGCATATTTATTTAAAATTGTGTATATCTCATATAACACTATAATATAGATTAAAGTGCAAAAATCAACACATGCTTCGAACATAGCTCATAACAGTGTTCGTGCTATATTGAGTAATATGATGCATGCAACAACTTCTGTTGCCTATGATATACTGTATAATGAATTTCTTGTTAAATTTGGGGAATATGAAGACTTTATTTTGTATTTAACAGAATGTGGGTGCCAAAAAAAGAATTATGGTGCAAAGCATAGAGGTTAGTATGAAACTTTATAGATTATTAGCCCATTTCTAATATGTAATATAAACAATAGGCTGCAACCTTTTACACCAATAATTTGATAGAGTCTTATCACAATCAGCTGAAGACTTTCTATCTTGGACGTGCAAGATCTCTTTGAGTAGATAGACTTATTTATCTTCTGGCCAAAGTCTTGACTCTTGACTACAGACAAGAGAACGTTAAGATGTTATATGGATTCCAATCAGTATGTCTTACACGACAAGAAGAGTAAAAAAGATGAAATGTGTACATGTTAGATAGCAATACTGCTATAAAAATGGTTGAGAAATTGAGTAGTACTGCATTCACTTGCAGATCATTCACAGTTGATCTTGTTGTATATAACATTGAGCTACAGAATGTCTTTCTGCAAAACTGCACTTGCCTTGATACTTCCAAGCTTTGCAAGCATATCTTTCTCATCAATCATACACTAGGCATTTCCTACTCTTTGCGCCAAAGTCTTTCCTCCTCCTCCTCTGCTGTCCATGTATCTAATACTAATACTAAAGCAGTAGTTGACACTTCCCTTCTTTCTGACGAGATAGAAGCTGATATCATGAAATATTGTCAATTATACTCTGTTGAACTTGACAGCAAGATAGCCAAGTATAAGAGAATCTCAGAAGACATGAGCCAGTTCTTAGATACGTTGAAGTTTGCATACAACAAGCTGAAAGAACATGGCTCCCCCTCTCAATCCTGTCCACCTTGACAAATATAATTTTTTTTATTATTTTTTTTATTATCAATTATCAATTATATATTATCAACTACTATCTTTTTTTATTTTATTTTTAATTGTTATTTTTTTTAAAGTTGTCTTTATAAAAAAATCAAAATCAAAGAATCTTTTAAGTTCTGACTTTCTTTTCTGATTGGGGAATTAATAGTACTCTAAGATTTACAGGACTTGGTCTTAATTGAGTATAAGGAATTGAATTTTGAGAACCAGCAGTACCCTCTTTTATTGCTGGCCATTGCCTTTTCTCTGATCATTGTTATGCTTGGGCTGTTGTGGACACTGGGGAGAAATATGATCTTCTGAACCACACGCCCAGCATTTTCCACGGGGTTTATTAGTTGATGGCAGAGAAACAGACTTGGATTTGGGTTGTTCAATTACATGAACCTTTAGAGCACCAAATTCTTTGACTAAATCACGGAGAGTCGAGGCCTTGCTAATGGTACTGCAACCAGATTCGGAACCAATGCTTGATCTTTCAACCAAATCATTATGATATTTGGCTTTTACCAGCTCCAGTTTTTGTGCTTTTTCTGCTACGGTCTCAAAATCAACAGGCAAATCGTCACGTTGCTCCAATTCATAAGCGATTTGAGGATCAATCGCCTGCAAAAGACTATGGACCTTGAAAGATTCACTGTTCACCTTGACAGATGAGAATAGTTCCCGAAGCTTATAGACAACATTGTCTATAGTTTTTCCAGATTGTTGATGGGTGTTCTGGATTTCTTTTCAGCAAACATTATCCAGTTGACAAGAAGCAAACCGATTCATAAAGGTATCAGTAAATTCTTTCCATATATATGTTCGGTCTTCGATGCTGTCCCACCAAATTTTGGCTGGTCCATGAAGGTAAGATGTAGCAACCACAAGAACATCTTTGTCTGACATATTGACTGCTTTACAGAGACGGTCTACACTCTTAAGCCAAGTGGTATGCTTTTTATCCTGTTTGTTACTATAAAATGGCTCCAGATTTGCAATGAACTTGGTAAGACTGATTTGATTCTTTTTGTCTTCAGGCATTGTTGAAAAAATAAAATAAATGGCACAACACACTAATAGGGATACAATAAATTGTTCAAATCCCACTCTCTTCACCAATTTGATGCGTTTGGTGCTTGTATTTGTAGTAAATGTTGACAGGTGATATTATCATGGTTTTCGAGGTTTGAATGGGTTTGTAGATGTAAAATAACCTCTCTTTTCCACAAGAGAGAAAAAGACAAACTCAAAAGAGAATGTAGAATTAAAGATAATAAGGAGTTATCACAGAGTTTTTAGTGGGGTTACAGACTCAGACGACGAGCCAACCAGTGACTTGTTTAAAATAAAAAAATCATTAGAACACCAAATTTTATAGGTAATTTTCACCAAAAAATATGCTGCTCATTACAAAAAAATGATCAAAACAAAATATTTCTTTACATACAAGAGATTTTTTCAAATTCTTATAAATATATATATATATATGAACGTGAGTAGAAGCTTTAAAAGTATCTATATTTCTCTTATATCTATCAAAAAGCTGATATTGAATTGGATAAAGTATTATTCTTTAAGTATATGTTTAATTACATATAGCTATTCGATCTAATAAAGTAGAATATAGCAAGGATGGTACCAGAAAATAATAGAAAGCTATTAAATTACTTAACAGCAGCATTAACTGAATATCATAAAAAGAAACAAGATATTTCTTTTTATTTTTACAATCATTGAAAGATTTGGCTTGAATTTTTAGACAAAAAGTCCAGAGTTCTTTGTCTTCTTCTTCGGTTTTCTTCTGCAAGTTCGACTGCTGTTTCTTCACTTATGGAATTGTCAACCATATATTCCTTAATAAAACTGACAATTCTTTTACGTCTATTGAAGAACTGTTGATCATTGTTTCTCCAAGCAATGTCATACCTCGTCTTCATCTCGTGTACAGAGACACAGCCAGAGAGTTCCACATGCCATTCTCTCCACAAGTCAGGTACCGTCTGCCCACCTCTGCTTATTCTATACTGAACAGGTATGTCTGGCAGCTGGGAAATTAGTCCAGAGTTGTTGGCCAGGACTGTAAATGCTTGGACCTCTGTTGATCTAGCTCCACCTCTTTCCCCTCCATCTTCTTGAAGGGACTGAAGAGGGATTCTCCCAGATACCAAGTCGTCAATCTTCTGGCAAAGAACATCAAACTCCCGCAGAACTTCTCTGCAAAACCCGCTGTCCGCATTCTGCATTTCAGCCAAGTTTCTGGCCATCAGAGGAAGTGCTCTCTGCAAAAGAATGTCAGTAGGCTCAACATCTGTCTCCACAAAAGCCTCGACTGATCTAAAACATTGACATGTAAATATATTAGAACTATTTTTTTCACTGTATTATATATTAGCTGTTTTTACCTCTTGAGCTCAATGTGTTCGGGATCATAGAATACATTGTGCTGCCACAATGAGTGCCCTGGAGTTTTGCTCATCATTAACACAGAATCCTGTAGAAAAGTGATTCTTAATTGCTTCAGAAGCTCCAGAAACCCATGTGCAGCTGCGGTTTGCTGGCATGCTCCTGACGAAATCCTGCCATACCAAAAGTCTACCATTTGGAAAACCTTGCACTGGAGCAACTCGGCTGGTTTCACTTGGGCTCTTGGCAAGTAGAACTGCCCCTCAGCTGACAGAAATCCAGCTATAGTACGCATTGCACCTCTCGGAAGATTGGTGAGGTATGCACCATTCATTGTGTTACTATTCCAGCGACCCTGCCTTCTGATATCTGACTCGTTGGCACCACTTATGTCAGCCATTCTTGCTGATAATCTATGGGCAGCATGGGTCTTTGCTGTGAAAACGATTCCACAGGCCTTGAATGCCCTGTTGATTGCTTTGAGATGGGTGGAGTAAGGCATTTCCCTGGTTGGTTCCTGCCCAGATCGTAGCAACTTATGGTTGAACTATTCCTTGGATGTTTCAAAAGATGGAAGCTGCTCACCATCAATATGTCATCTCCAGAAGAAATAGCATCCGAGTGCCATGAATGGACAAATCTCAACCTTGGAATTTCTCAAGCAGGCTGCAAGCTCAATTTGTCCAAACTGGTTCGTCTTTCCCTGCTTCAAGACCAAGACAAAGGCAGGGCATTCGGAAGGTCCTTCACGATCCAACATGACTGTCTGAAGGTCGGCAAATTCGGCTTTTCTTGCAGATTTGCCACGGAGCATACAAAAATGCAACAGGAGAAAAGACACTGCATTTCTCAGGTCACCTCCACTTGATCTCGAGAAATAATAGCTAACAATGCTAGCAATCTTGTTCTCTGTGATGTATCCATCTACCAGAGTTCCAAGGCCACAGTTCTGGTTTTCAGCACAATGGGTACGCTCATCGTTGAGCTTCATGTTGTCCAACAGCTGGATACAAGCCTTGCGAGAGTGAGGGTGGTTACTCACACCGACTTTAACTTGCTTCTGGTACATATCCACAATAGCAGCAAGATAGGTCATTGCAGTTCCATACTTGATGGTTTTTCCAGTGTCTCTTCCATAGGTTCGGTTGACAACCTAACAGAAGAAAAGATAATTAATTCAATTACTTACAGAATATATCTCCAAACAACAGCAAAAAACTTACACAGTCTTTAAGAAACAAATGGAGCTTATCTCCATATACAGTGTAGCAATTTTCGAGGGGAATGCTCAAGAAAGCTTCATCACACCAATCTTTATACTCTTTTTGCTTAGAAACATAGCTTCTCTTTGTGTTTTCTGGTCTGTTAACTTCAGCTTCGCAAGAAGTAGACACCTGGGCCTCCATCATTCTAACATTCACATCAGAAGTTGCAGCGGAATAGCTAGGAGCATTTGGGTTCATTTTGAGCAGATATTAAAAGATCTGGGAAGATGAAAAGGTAGAACTTTTACATGCTACTTATATTAATGTCTTGCCAGAAAATTCATTGTAATTTATTATGCTTAGTAATAGGTGACTAAGAGAAATTCCGACATTAAGATATTGCTGCACTTATATATGAGAAACAAGATAAGTAGTTAATAAAAGAAACCTGCTTCTTCATCAATATGTTAAAGAACATATATAAAAATATAATGATAATTTTTTAGATGTATGTAAAAAAACCAAATTTTTAATAAAGTTTTATTAGGCTGCATATAACTTATGAAAAAAAAATTGTGGTGACCTTCATTGAAAAGAAATAATTATTTTGGGTGGGAACCTAAGATATTGGCTGTTATTCCAGTGTCGGTCATTAAAAATGAATGTCCAGAGAAATCTTTAGAAATCCTCACCCCTTGATAATAAAATCAATAAGAGAAAAATAAGAGAAAACCAGTACTATTGATCAATCTCGATAGACTTGACTCAATATACTTGGATAATCAAACAAGTAAAATATCAACAGTGTTAAATATTAAGAGAACTTGTTGTCAGAAAATAAGACGAAGAAAAATCAATGTTTATTAAATGCAAGTATTGCGATATTTATAGTTTTGCAATTGACTTGTTGAATAATTAAATAAATAAAACTATAAAAAAATACATATATAATAAAAGTTGTATAATCGACGATCTATTAAATGTGATTTGTTCTTTACTATCATTAAGTACAAATAAAATAATATAATTATTAAGTCATAATCATGAAGATAATTATGCTTATAAGAATATAAAATAAAAATAATATTAATTCCAAGTTGATTCGTTCAGTTAAATATAGTGAGAAAATAAGATATAATGTGTGGTTGCCTAAAGTTATTGTTGACAGGATGATACTTTTTTGTTGTACTTATTGGTGTTTTGCTTTACGAATAGAAAAATTGCTTTCTATTCAGCCTTGGCCGCTGTCAAAAAATCAAAAAATAATAATAATAATAGAATATAATTTTTCTAGAATTACAAAGAATTCTGCAACTTTACCGCACTGCTGGACAACTGAAATTTTGTTAAAAGCTGACCATTCTTACAACACCCCTTGTCAATATCTGATGTGTATTGAGTTATGGTGTGTGGTGCACACTATGGCTATATGAGTGGCAACTGTGCCCGAAATAGGCACATAACTGCTATTTTTCTGGTCAAAAGCCAATAATTTCTCCGCAGTTTTTGGTAAGGTGGCAATATCATTAGCAACATTTTAAAAAAGTAGCATGAAATCTGTTTTTTTTGTTGCTGTACGATGTCTCGAATAGTCTAAAAAGTGTTTGTAAGTTGTAATGACCACTTTAAGTATTAAAATGTATGTTTTATTTAATATTAAAGATGTCTAGTTTTATTCGGATTAATTTTTTATGGAATGTGTGAACGAAATGGAAACATAACTGCCATTATTTTTTTTTAAACCAAGACTTTTTTTAAAAAGATACACCTCTCTTCTTGTTCACTTAATAATTTTATTTTAATTTAAATTGCGTAACGGCATGTAGAACATGTAGAGAATGAAAAAAAATATAAGATATATAGAGAATAAAAAAAAGGTAGGGCATATAGAGAAATAAAAAAATAGAAAACATAGAGTATATAAGAAATAAAAAAAACATAAGGTATATAGAAAATAAAAATAATAATATAGAATACATGGGAGATATAGAAAGCATAAAAATATAGGGTATATAGAGCATATAAAAAATAAAAAATAAAAAAAAAGTTATAAAATAGAAAGGTTGCCCTTTGTAATGCGCATATTATTGTTGAAAACATAATAAGATGAAATTATATAGAACTGATTTCCATTTGGTGGGTATTGTATAAGGCCAACTTGATGACAAATATCATTGACACTTATTACTGCATATGTAGGTTGTGTTTGGCGACCTGTTGAGCTGTTTTGTGACTGCTGTTTGACGATTGGTACAGATGAGTCGTGGGCAGCCGCATCATGTTCCTTCATTACTTCAACAAAAGCAAGGAAATGAAGAGAGCCAAGTGAATACTCATGCTGGAAAAAGAATATCACCACACCAACGAGCCAGCTGTAAACAATTATATTACGGTTGCTAAAGTAAAGAAATAAATATAATGTAAGTAACTTTTGATTTTATATTGAAAAATGATATATACTTACTTTCTGTAAAGACAGGTAAACATCACGTAATGATTACCACGGCTTCTTTCATTTCTTCTTTGTTGATATATGCAAGATGAATACATGGTCGAATTCATCCATAAACGACCAGCAACAACAATCGTAAAATCACCAATGTTGGAAATCATCAAACCTGAAGTTCGTTGATAGTATCTAGTTAAGGCATCCTTCACACTAGGGCTGCTTACACCTTCCACCAAATCATCATTCAAATGAGCAAATCGATGAAATGGCTCCCACAACTGCGCACCACTAAAATCATTAGGAAGATCCATATAACTTTCTCTACCATACGGCTTGGGCTGAATAAGATCAATTTCGTTCTGGATACTGATGGCCGTGTTGATATAGTTATGCAATGTAAATCGCTCCACAAGAAAACTGGCATTACAGCAGCCCTTGCACTTAGACTTGATTAGCTTGGAAAAGACACCAATTACTCTCTCTATTGATCGAGTGGAGTAGCATCGAAGTGGACCTAGTTGCTTGACAATGAATGGTATATGCATAAGATAGTGCTGTACTGGTCTGAAGACACTATGATATATAGTCTTGTTCTAGACTTGTTGCGATAGATAGTGGTGCCAGTGTTTAAAATGTCTATTGTTATTGTTATTATTATTTTTAAAAAAAAGGTTGTGATTAGTTTTATATATAGTGTTAGAGGCATTATGACTTACACATCCATCTCATCCAGCAACTCCGAAGTCAACGTCTATTGCAATGCCAGTGCACAACCTTTGACAAGTGACAACACCGCAGTTTTCACAGCTCTATTTGATAAGAATGGTATAACAAGAGTGGGAACAATGTACAGAAGAAAGTCAAGCCAATCTACTGCACGAGTGCCGTCAATCTTGGAGAAGACATTATCAAAACTGCCTTGGAATGATACTGGTATATATGGTCTTGAACTTGTGATAAAGTTGCCAATTGTCACAAGACTAGTTCTTGGTATGAAAAATGGGTATTCTGTGGTGGAAAGCGTATCATCCGGATGGGTATAAAAATTTTTGTCCCCTTGGTAAGGGACACAGTGATCAAGTCGTAAATGTGCTTTCTGATTCCTCTTGCAACTAAATGAAGTTCATTCAGTGCGAAGAAGGAAGATCCAGAGAAGGTTGACAGTTCACTAAAGATGCTTGGCTGGTATATATTTTTTATCTATTATAAGCAATTATTTAGTACAAGAAAAAATCTAATTAAACTGTTATATACTTACAGGATTGCCGGTTTTGAAGTCTTCCAAAGGTTGCAAAGGAGCAGAACTATCTTCAAAGTACATTCTGTGTCATCTGTTGTCTGGGGCTTTTCCCTTTGTTTTGCAGATTCGGCAACCAAACAAACTGGCATGTGAGCCAATGTGCGCCATGTCAGCCACAGCTGGGATGTCACCAGAAGCAAGCAACAAGTGGATCTTGGCACGGCAAATCTCAACTCCATTGCTCTTGATCACCAAGCTATGCATCTCAAGATCTTTTATTTCACTGATGATTGGCATCAGGAAAGAGTCCAAGTGGGTAGACTTCTTGGGACCAGACAAGATTGTCAGATACAAGAGGTATTCATTTGTGTATCTAAGCTTTTTATTAGTAACTTTTTTTTTGAAATTAATATATTAATTAATTTATTACCTTATTGATGGGTCAAGGTTGAATACAACAGCATGAACGATGGTGTACGAACTCTTGCCCTTTTTTTGGTTAACAAAACCATTGGTATATAGCCCAATGGCAATATCATCAGGATTTGAGAACAAGCCTTGCTGCACCAACTGCTTGTAATTTTCACCATCAAAAATATCGGTGAGCTGACTAGCTACAGATTCCCGGTTAGCCCTGTAATGAAGAAGTTCTCTTGTGGCTGAATCAGCCAGAATTTGAGAAAACATACCACCGACTGACATGAGCTTCATACTGGCAGCTGGTGTTTGACTTTGCTCAGTATCAGTCTTGTATCGCGGTTTGCCACAGTCAACACAAGATTCCTGATTGTCATTAATGCCATACAATTGGCAACCATTAGGACAGACATCATACTCATGGCCCTTGACACTTGACTTGGACTTAAGCAAAGCATTGACAGTTTTGCCGTGGCTGATCTTAGCCCCAGGTTCTAAAAAAAAAGGAACGAAATCACTACGTGTTAGAAATTTGGAATTAAAGTATAAGGTAACATAAATATTCTATTTTACCCAACATAATTTCATTGTGATCTCGAATGATTGTATTAACAAATCGGACAATGTCTCTGTAAGCTGCCCTGGAAATTCTGTGCTGAAGCATCAATTGAGAGAGATGAATACTTATCAACTCGGCTTTTGTAAAGGTATTGCTACCAATTCTGCTGCTATTGTAAATGTGAGCTTCACCCTCACTGTCCTCAAAACTACAGCCGCACTTATATGAAATGGCCTTGTTGATCTCTATTGCATTCATGGAATAATCTACAATGCATTATCAGATAAGTATTCAAATAAATTAATGATATTATTACATTGATTATTATTACCTGAATCACTAACGAATTCATTGTTATCAATGATATTGTTTCCATCATGTTGCATTTCAACATCATGCAGAATAAACTGATCTGTGACAGCTACTGTTGTACAATCGCCTCTGTGGACTCTCTTATGATTTTGAAGCTGCTGGTAATTGTAAAACGACAGGGCACACTGAGCACATTGATATCTTTGTGTAGATAATCTATCTCTCTGCTGATTGGTGTTAGAGGAAGACATATTGATTGTTTTGGTAAGTATTTAATATATGATATTAAAGTGTAAAGAGGTTTTTGATGATATTCTTGTAATGTAAAAGAGAGGTTTATATACTTTTCTTTTGAGACAAAATGTTTTTTTTTAAAACAAATTCTTGTAATAATGATACAACAATAAAGACAATAATGACAATATTAGTTAAAACACATCTTGATTAATAATGACAACAAGTATGATATAAGTATATCTATAATAGTATTTACTTTAAAAGATCAATGCTTAACAATTAATTAACTTTATAGTATTTAAACATCGTGTTACTATTATATAGTCCATCTATACTGATGTTATTATTTTAATTGGTAAAATATTCTGGCACCAAAAATTAAAAAAATAATATTGTAGCAACTATATGTTTATGGTTAAGTTGATTTATATTTTTTTCAGAAAGTTAAACAAGTAAGCATTATGAAATATATATATTATGGGAAGTACAACTTTTATTAACTTTATCTTTCTTAAAAACAATAATTCAAAAATGTCTGATATCAACACCACACTCATAAACTCTGTCAGAAAAATTGAAATTGATATTGCTGAAATAAAGCAAATGGTACGCATACTTCAAGATCAGTTTAGCAAACAATTTGCCCCAACTGTAAGCGCAGAAGACCTTAGTACAATGCAACAAAGCATCATTGAACAAAGTGGTAAGACATATTTACTATATTCTAGTACATTCGCTTGCCTTATTAATATTATGGTATACAATTTTCTCTTTGGTAGCTCTTGAATGTGTTGCTGAGTCTGTGAAAAGGTCTCAATTCACCGAGTATCCTGACCAGCTTGACAAGCAAGTAATTAGCACAGGTGGCAATTTCAAAGGGAAAAACGAAGCCCAGAAATACAATTTGTTGTTGCAGTTGCTTCATGAACAAGACTGGAAAGCATGCTGCAAAGAAATTCCGGGAGGACAACCTTTGCCTCAACTAGTACTTCTTTTGGACAGCAATTTGACAATGAAGCGACTACAGCTTAAGACTTTGAGTCGTAGCATCAAGCATGACCTGCTTGACAAGGTCTTTCCTGCTTTCAGTAAAGAATGGAAAAGTATCCTGGCAAAGCACTGGAAGTACTACATGATGCAATTGGAGAGACTGGCAAAGGATAGCAGCTTTGCTATTTACAAATGCAAGAGCATGTGGTATGTAAAAAGCCTTCTCTGGGGAAGCTTCAAAAGTGACAACCAGAAGCAAAAAAAAAGAATGGTAGAGAAGAACAACGTAAGTTTATTAATCAAAATGTTTCATTCATATATTTTAATTAACATTTAAAAAAATATGTAGGCACAGCAAGATGCAAATGATTCTTCATTATCTTCTGATAATATGTCAGAAATGAATGGTGACAAGTTGCCTATTATGGTGGATGTGCTGTGAGTTGCCATGGTTTCTGCTGGTTTGATGCTGTCAATACGAATCTAATATAAACCTTTTACTTTTTTATAAAGGTCTCCTCTGGCAGAAATAAGTGTTAAGCCAGCACACAAGAGAAGCCGAAGATCATAGGAGGTTTTGATTGGTTCAAAATATTTTCTAGTGTATTTTTAATTCAGTTTTTATATTTTTTTTCTTCTTCTCTCTTCCTTTCTCTTGTTTTTTTTTACTTCCTTTCTTTTTAAATAAAGATGTGTAACCCTTTTTTATATGATTGATATCTATATAGTCATCAGCATTTAAAACTAATGTACAATATCTGCAGCATTGCTACAATTAATTTTTGAATGAAACACAATAGATTCTTTTTTTAAAGAACATAAAAAAAACTAATAATACTCTTGTGCTGCTATGTTATACTTGATAATTATTATATTCTATGTAAGTACTTTGATAGAATATACATCTCGTGTTTATAAAACAGTGCTCATTCAATTCTCAACTAGATTCAACTTGACTTTATATTGTATGGTTCAAATTTTTTTTTGGGTTTTATTTGGTAATAATTTTGAGTGATACTCACTGCTTTTTTCACTTGTCTTGTAGACACTCTAACACTCTTTAATAACATAAGAAGCTTACATATTAATATTATTTTCTAATATATATATATTTATAGCAAAAAATTATTATTTGAAGCTATCAAGCATATTACATAAAGGTAAGCACTACATTAGTATGCCTATTTATTTATTTTTTCTCTAACATTGATATATTTACAGAAACCAGTAAGAATTAAAGAAGGTCATCTAGTCTATATCGCAGTACTCAAAACACATGAAATGCATTTGGGATAAAAGGTTTTTACTACATACCTCTGCAGTAGCCAAATAATATCATATCTTTTTTGCAAGTTCCAATAGACAGGTTTTTAGTAGTACTGCTATCATATAATAAAACATAAATTGAAGCAAAATTTTATTCTATTCAATTCATTCTAATTCATTTCAATTCAATTCAATTTAATTCAATTCAATAAATGGTTCATTTAATATGGCAAAGATAAAACAAGGGAGTATACTGGTATTGGATACAGTGGAGCAAAAAAAAACAAAAAAAAAAACAAATGAACCTTGGTCTTTTAAAAAAAATGACAACTATGCCTCTAATCGCGCTATACAGAGTCAAATCTGACATTTTTTATTATGTAAAAAATGGCAGTTATGCCACTAAAGTAGTAACATGTTACTACTTTTTTAGTCATAGTAGCAACTGGTTAGAAATATAATATATATTATATATATAGTTATATTCTTGTGATTTTGCTCAGAACAATCCAACAAAAAGGAATTTAGACAATAAACGGGACTTTAAATGGATGGAAACAGATATATGGACAACAGACAAACAGACAATGGACAAGCAGACAGGCAGACAAAGGGTGAGACAGTACTTGTAGATCCTAACAGTGTGCAACTTAGTATTTCCCGCAGGACAATAGCTCAAGCTCAGTGACAATGTTCAAAAGAAATATAGAGAAAAACTGAATGAATTTTATTGGGATAAAAACATCTCTCTTATATACTAATTGACAACTGTATACAAGGTGACAATCTAGATACATTTTATGCTAAATGATAATTATTTACAAGAGTGTACAGGTCTTCAGGCATAATCACAAAAGGAAATAATCAAAAATAATTAAAAATAAAAATAATCAAACTACTAAAAAAATGAACTCTCGGGAAGCATACTAAAGAAGTAATATCAAGAAGTGTAAAGAAACAAGTGCAATGCAAAGGGAAGCAAGCTAAAAAGGAAATAAAAATCAAGGAAAAAATAGAAAAAAAGAGGAAAAGCATTTAAAGTCCAGCAGGAATTTAAATGTCGATAGCAAGAAAAAAGGAAAAAGAGGGAGAGAGAAAATAAATCCAAGAAATCGGATTTTGTTATGTCCAGAGATGGAGTCACGACCTTGCACTGTCCATAACTTAATAGTCTGTCCATAAGTTGACGTCCCATCAAACAAATATGTGTTTTTTGTTAATGTTAAAAAATTTTACAACTCTTTTGGCATATCAGCTATGGACTTATAGCTCAGCGGTAGAGCGTGGGATTGCAGATCCTAAGGTCCCGTGTTCAAATCACGGTGGGTCCTTTTTGTGTTGATTCGTCAAATTGTCGGACATTATTTTGATGAATCCGAGAAATCGGGATAATTGACCGCAGCAGTTCTGTATGTCAAAGATACCTCATAGATAACGAATCGCAGTAATGTCTTGTAAAGATTAACCACAGTAACATCTTCTGAGCATCAACCGCAGTAAAAGGACTTCTTTTGTAATTAAATAGAGTATAATAGTTTACTGCAGATAATGCGCAGTATTAGTTTAGAAAACTATATAAGACAATTCAATTCCTATCAATAAAAAGCACCTTTTATCCTCTCTTCGATTTTACATATACTTTCCGATCCCCAGTGGGTTTGACCTTTTGACTTTGCTATAGTAAAAGGAAGACCATCCCAGATCAGGAACGACAATAGTTAACCGCAGTACTTCTTTATGCGCAGTAATATCTTCCTGTGCATTAACCGCAGTATAATTGTTGTGAATGAGTATTGATTACTGCGGAATCTGAGAGTAAGACTGAAGGATAAAATAATATCCTCAGCTATTCCAGTCAAATGGATCTCCCTTTATGATATTATCTAATACACAGATCATCATACACATAATTGATTATTTATTATTATCACCATGACATGGGATATACAAATACATATACATTATATATATGACATCATTATATTTCATCTACATATTTCTTTTATTATACAAATACTTAATTGAGAGACTACAACTACAACTATCTAATATTATGAATCATTACCCGAGTATCTGGGTCGGAATACTAAAATATTACCAATAGCATAAATGCTCTTCTTTACCAAAACTCTTGGACTGATCTGACTGGAGAAGTATCATATCAATTGGTCTTTCCGGATCTTTCCAGAAGAACAATACTCCTGGAAGATGACTCATCGTGATAAAGATTACTTAAGCACACACTGAATTACAAATTAGAAAAACATATAAATATCAGTAGATAGTTCCGTGTAGAAAGACAATCGAATTTTATCATTCTTTACTTTTCTTTTGAAATAAACAACCTACACAAGTTCTCACGAATTCTTTCGTCTATATTATATTTTGCTTTATTTTCTCCCCACAACAATAATGACTATTTCTTTAATTAAATATAAATAATAACTACTGCAGATAATGCGTAGTATTAGTTTAGAAAACTATATAAGACAATTCAATTCATATCAATAAAAAGTATCTTTTATTCTCTCTTTGATTTTACGTATACTCCTTGATCCCCAGTGGGTTTGACCTTTTGACTTTGTTATAGTAAAAGGAAGACCAACCCAGATCGGGAATGACAAAATGACAGATATTATTTTTGTCAAGTCTCAATCTGGTATTTCTTTTCTGGCATTTGTAATCAGTAACAGTAATTCCCCAACCAGAAAAAAAGTCACAATGTTTTTTTGCTCATTTTATATGGACATACTTTTATTATGCGCATACCCCTTAAAATCTCTTCTTCAATATGTAATTCTTTCTCTAATCTTGAAATGTTGACCTTTGATAGTACAACCAATTATGATCATCGTATTATTCCAGATTAAATAGAATCTGTTAGCTCTTTCAACCTTTTGTCCAAGAATGAATTTACAGCATGGCTTAATAATATAGCAAAGAAGCATGTCAATTGGGTTTATCACTGTTTTTATAAACACCCAAAAAATCTTATCTTTGTTGGACAACGTCTCAAAAAACTACTTAAAATAAAAACAGTTACTTATCTACAGACCCATACAATAAATGAAAGAAAAAAGTTTAAACTCAACTAAATAGAACATCTTTAATGTAAAGTTGTTGTGCTTTTTTTAAAAACTCTTCTCATTCAAATCTCACAATGTCTCAGCAAATCAATAAAAGTATTCCTAAGAAATGAAAAGAGCTTTCAGACTATGAAAAAGGACTTATTATTGGTGGTGCTCTCCATAATATTTCATTGACTGCCATTTCGGAGAAGACAGGCGTACCCATGACAACTGTACATAGCACAGTTCAAAGATGGAAACAGAATGGCACGCCATTAACAGAAAAACGCCAAGGACGTCCATCAATTTTGGGTGAGAGAGATTTACACCAGCTTAAAAACAAAATGAAGAAAGATCATAATGTCACACTTGGAGAACTCACAAACGCCATGAGACTCATGATTGGCAAGTACATTTGCAAGAATACCATCTGCAAAGCTATTCGTAAGATCGGAATGTCTTCTTGCCATCCTGTGTTTAAGCCAAAGCTATCCAGAGCACATAAAAAGAAACAATTGTTGTTTGCTAAACGTTGCAAAGAAACCAATCAAAGATGGGATTGTATGATTTGGAGCGATGAGTCTCGCTTTATAGTTTTCCCAAAGGATGGAAACCTTAGAATTTGGTGCTTTCCTCTGGAGAAGTTCAAGTCTGATTGTATCATGCCTAGAGTACAGTTTGGAGGTGGTTTGGTGATGGTTTGGGGCTGTGTGTGGGCAGGAGGAGTAGTCCCACTAAAAACAATTATTAACAGCCTTGACCAATTTGGCTATATAAATCTTTTGGAAAGAAAGTTGCTCCTATTTTATGGTCGCCTAAGTGAAAGACATGACGGGGAGTTTATTTACCAAGAAGACAATGCCCCTTGTCATAAGTCAAAACTTGTTGAGAACTGGAAAAAGATCCATAATGTACCAATAATGGAATGGCCGCCGAATAGCCCAGATCTCAGTCCTATTGAGAACCTATGGCCTCATTTGGGTCGGATGGTAAGGGCAAGAGTACCAGCTCCAAGAACTATTAAGGAGCTAGACAAGGTTATCCATGAAGAATGGAAGAAAATACCGGTTGCAGTATGCAAGGCCTACTGCATGTCTATGCCAACTCGTATAGCCCGTATGAAGAAAGCCCGTAGTGATGTTACTAAATATTAAACTTTCAATAAAAATTATTTTTCTTAATATTTAAAGGTTATATATTCTTATTCCAATGATTTTGAAAGTGGTTTCTTAAGTAAAAGTAGACAAACAATGAGGAGAGAGTTAAGGATGTTATTTTTTCACTTTGGCGGAAGCTAAAATTTTCTTTCATTTAATTGATGAGACTGTATATGATCACGCTGGAAAACCACAAAAAAAACAGTCTTCTTCCAAGCCTGCCCAAAAATGTGCCAGAGTAACCAAGTCTATTAAGATTGATTGTCCTGCCAGCATTTATAAGCATGTGTTAACTGATGGTGCAATTCTTGTAAAGTATAACTGACAACATCCTGAACATGATCCTTTCAAGATTGAAGAGATCAGTGCTTCTAGATTACTTGATAAACTGAAGCAATGGGTCAAAGAGCTTGTTAACCAAAATATAGATTGGAAATCCATTAAAAACATGTTAAGAATAAGTGAAGACAGACTTCTTGAAGTAAATATTTCATAAAATTTTTTAAGTGTTTTCTTTCTCTGATTTCTAATTACATAGCTTGAACAAGCTGGTGATAGATCTTCTTTCCCTTCTTCTCTTTTGATTGACTATCAGTATGTCAGAAATATAATTAATGATCGAATGATAAAACTCTTGAGAAAAAATGTAGATCATTGTGAAAGTGTCAGACTATAGGTACAAGAGCTGAGGGAAAGTGGGAATAGCACACTCTTTCAAGCTCATGAAGATGATAGACCCTTCCTTGTTTCTTGGGTTTCCAATTAGCAGAAAGAAGTAAATAATCATATCATTTATATTATATTATATTATATTATATTATATTATATTATATATTGTTATTGATTCTGATTCTTATTCAATTAGTATCTTCAAAACTCTGAACAATAGTGTATTGACTCTACTCATAAGACAAGCAAGTCATTCAAAACTGTTCCAGATGAAGATCCCAAAGATTGTTATCTCTATACAATTGTTGTTTGCAGTCCTGTTACAAATGAGGGATTACCAGTCTGTTTTTTATAACAAATCATAAAATGTCTTCTACTGTGGCATAATGATTAATATGGTTAAGCAACAACTTTGTTTTAAATGTTAAGAGAATAATGATTGACTGCAGTTCTGCCGAGATTAGAGCAATTGGCAAGGTTTTTAGAAATGAAGTTGATCTTATATTACGTCATTGGCATATTAAAAGAGCATGGGAAGTAAACGTAAAAAAGCATATAAATGAAATATATTTTTAATTACTGATATATATCTTATAATATCTCTATATAGATTAAAGTAGTTAACTCTACTCAAGATTCTAATATTGCATGTAATATTATTCAAGCTGCTTTAAACAACATGATGTATGCTTCTACCTCTGTTGCTTTCAATAATTTGTATAATTCATTTCTTGAGAAATGCAAAGATTATGAAACGTTTATTGCTTATTTTGAAAAAATGGGGATCCCAAAAAAACAGCTTTGGAGTAAAGCATGGAGACAAGTATGTATGCTATTAATTATCTTGGATTAATTTCTTACTGACAGTATGAATGTTCTAAACAATAGCTGGTCACGTTTCACATGAACAACTTCATAGAATCATATCACAACCAGTTAAAGACATTTTATTTTTGATGTGCGAGATCTCTCTATATTGATAGACTTATTTATCCTCTTGCAAAAGTCTTGACCCTTGATTACAGACAAGATAACATTAGAACAATGTTTGGGTTCCAAGCCATAAGTCTTTCATAGCAAAAAGAAAAGACACAAAGAAAAGTACTTTTGGGTGAATAAAAATTAGCAGATTCAATGGTAGAGCAACAAAGCAAGTTCTTATATACATGCAGATGTTTTACTACTGATCTTATCTTTTATAATATTAAGTACAAAAATAGTTTTTTACAAAACTGCATCTGCCCTGACACTGCCAAACTTTGCAAACACATCTTCCTTGTCAACTGAGTGCTACAAGTGTCTTATTCTCTCTGTCAGAATCTCTCTTCTGCTTCTTCTACTAATACTTCTTTTGCCAAAAATACTACAGTAGTTGACTTTTCTCTTCTCTCTGATGAGATATCAGCTGATATTGACAAGCATATTCAACTGTATGCTATTGAGCTCAAGAAAAAATGGCAGAGTATAAAGATAGTCCAAGAGATTTGGAAGAATTCTTAATGCCATTGAAGTCTGCATACAACAAACTTAAAGAACATGGCACTCCCTCTCAGTTCCGTCCTTGTAGACAAATATAGTTTTTTTTTCAATCTTTTTTATTATCTTTTATTTTCATATTTTCATATTTCTATATCTTATATTTTATTTTATTTAAAAAATTGACTTTACAAAAAAACTTTAAAATCAAACTGGTTTTTCAGCTGTGACCTCTTTTTCTCATTGGGGAACTAACAGTATTCCACTTGTAGCTAAGTCGCAGAATCAATACCACCAGAGATTGTCAAGTTTATGAATAGTTTTTGGATAGGAAATAAAAGATGCTTTTTATTAAATAGATTCCTTGACTATTTATACAAATTGATACTTGATTTCTGGCTAAAAGAATAGCTACATTAATATGTCTTAGATGCTAGCACTGTAGAAAATGGCAGGATTTATACCTCTAACTTTGTATCAAGTTATGTACTCATAACTTCTGCTATTTAAAAATCAGTCTTTAAAATACCAACCTTGTAACGAGTTACAAACTCATAACTTTTATAGCCAATAGCATGCCTTTTTTAGCCTATTAGTTTTACTTTTTTGTCAGATACGATTTATAAGATTTACAATTAAGTCAAATATAATTTACAGAATTTTAGATTAATGGATTTTTTCTATTTGATCCTGGTTTATAAAAATAAGTTTACAGTTTTTTAAAAAAAGTTGGCAGTTTATAAAAAAGAGTTTACATTTTTTTAGAATCAGTTTGCTGTCACACAGAAAACTAATTTGCATTCTATTCTATCAAATTTGCATATTTTTTTAAATTTACGTTTTTAATTTGTGCTTTTAATTTTTACTTTAGCTTCAATTTGCAAAGCTTGTTTGCACAAAATATAAATGTAAATTTCGATAAAAAAAACTCAAATTGCATATTATTTTTTATTTTCTGCATTTCTGTGTTTTGCCTGCTGGTATATACTTTTTCCAGATATTATTCATACAAAAATAAAAATTGATTTGGTGAAAAAATAGAATTTACCAAATACATCAAAAAAGATGAATTAAGAAGAGAAATGGCAGAAAATTGCACCAAGTTTTATATTTATTCTTGCACTGAATCGATTTTTATTTTTGACTAATAATTCTCAGAAAGTGTATATATCTTATATGTTTAATAAAAAACATTATAACTATAAGTTTCATATTACTTCTGTTGTATAATTTATGCTGTGAGAAGAAAATAAAGCAAAATACAATATAGACAAAAGAATTTGTGAGAATTTGTATAGGTTGTTTATTTCAAAAGAAAAGTAAAGAATAATAATATTCGATTGTTTTTCTACACGGAACTATCTACTGATATTTATATATTTTTCTAATTTATAATTGTTGTGGTGGTTGAAGTTGAAGAAGTTTTTAAAAGAAAGAATTAAAGATTTGAGATGAGGAACAAAGATTCATCAGAACTTGTGTAAGGTTTGTTTATTGAGAAAGATTTGGTATCAAAATTTGACGAGGTTCCTACACTGAACTACTACTGCTATTTATATTATTTTGGATCGGGAAAATTATATGACTGGGGTCAGGTAATCGATCCTATCTGAGCCATAATCAGAGCAATGTGATCTTGGAATAATTAATGTATGATTAATTATATAAATGTGTGTAGTCCCAATGAAGTATTAATATCAAAAGTAAATGTGTTTATGAGTTATAATTATGCTTATAATAATCCACTGATGTATCCCATATTATGATGATATCATCATATGAAATATAATCACTATCATGCATGCTAAACCTGTGTGTTAAATAATAAAGTAATTAGTAGACACCTTTGACTGGAATAGCTGAGGCCTTATATTATTTCCTTCAGACTTATTCTCAATTACAGCAGTAGTCAATACTCATTTACAACAATGATGGTGCAAAAGAGACAGGAGGCACTGGGCTGGCAAAAAGCATAATCTTATACAGAACTTGGCAATAAGAGCATCGGCATGGAACTTCATACTTGGTAGATTGCAGATGTGCTTTAACACAGTTGTGGAGGACGTGGCATGCCCCCCAACAATCATGCGAAGACACTTATCTTGAATGGACTCCAGTACTTTGATATCTTGTTTCAGTAGAGTGGAGATCGTCAAACCATATTCAAACTTTGGGTGGACAAAGGTCTTATACAATCATGAGCTGGCCTTCTTGGCTCAGGTTAAAGATTATTTTTATTAAGGAGATATTGCTGGCAATCTATAGATCATATAGCCTCCCAAGTACAAAAGAAAAAGATAAAAAAAGTCCAAAAGGATCACAAAAGACAAAAAAATGAATAGAAGAAGAGAAATAAACAATACTAAGCTAAAAGACTGAATCTGCTCTCCACTTTGCAGCTGTGTAAAAAGTTGTAACAGTGAAAGGGAGGAGACAGAATTGCAGATCTAGAAACATTTCATAAATGAGAAAACAAAAATAAGAAGAAAAGAAGTAAAAGAAAACAGATATTAAATTATTAGAGCTAGTGCCAGAGAGAACCATGATCGTTTTCATGTGTGTAGTTGCCATTAGGATTGCATAGCATGTCAATATGCCATAGTATTGTAAGAAGAGCTTTCCGATATAGAGGGCTTGGATATGTAGACGAGATTGGTAGTGCTGATATAGCAAAGTCAATGATGTTGTCTTCATCTGTGGGTGGTGCTGGAAGTTGAGATAACAGCTGAGATGGGATTGTGATGCAGAATTGGAGATGGCGTCTTGAAGTATGATCAAAGCCACATGCACACTCCTTTGGGTTACCAGGCAACCAGCCCATTCTCCAACGTACTAGACGGCCACGTTCTATGCGTGTAGCAGGAAGAAACAATACAGGATCAACTCCAAGAAGAGGGCGGCAAGCTTGGATGAGAATCTTAGTGTTGGTGAGACAAAAGTGAGCAAACTTTTCTTGTCTAAAAGACTCAAAGTGCTTGAATAGTTTTATGTGGCTGGAGCAATTAAGATCAGGAGGAATGCTGGCAAAAAGAAGGTTTGTGTGAAGAGTGGATAGTGTTGATGCTTGGAGATGATGAGAATGGAGCAGAGAGAGAAGACAACCAGAAGGAAGAGTGTGTGCCCAAAGACAAAATTTTGTTTTGAGAATGTCAACGCGAAAAGCCATACTGGGCAGATTGCAGATATGTTTCAAGACCACAGTAGATGAAGTTGCATGGCCACCAACAATCATTCGCAAGCATTTATCTTGAATTTTCTCTAGAAGTAAAACATCTTTTTGCAAAAGACATGTGATTGCAAGACCATACTCGAATTTTGGTCGTATAAAGGTTTTGAACAGACGTGAACTTAAGAGCAAACTGAAACCAGATCTACATGCACCAACAGCAGTAAGAGTTGCCATAGCAGCCAATGCTCCAGAACGACGATGAGTGACAACAGATGGTCCAAAGATGCCTTTGTTACGGAAAGGTATACCCAAGTATATAAACTCATTTACTGCAGGAAGCAACTCGCCATACAGAGAGATAGTAGAACGTGGTAAAGATCGTGAAGGAGGATAGAGTAAAGCACATTTTGAAGGACTCCAATGGTAGCCAAGCTGGAAGGAGTGTTGGGCAGCAAGATCAAGCATACTCTGAACATCAGTGACAGAGCCAAAGATAGCAACATCATCAGCAAAAAGAAGACTGTTAATGGCAGTAGGCAAGTGAATGTGTTGAAAGTCATTCGCATCTGATAGTGCAAGAAGAGAATTGTAAGCATCCAATGAGAAAGGAGAGGTTGATGGGATATGTGTTGAGGTGAGTGGTGATGCAACTATGCAGAGTATTGGTGGCAGAGAGTTGATATAGATTGAATACAAATGTGGACTGAGAACGGAACCTTGAAGGACATCTGTGGTGGGAGAAAAAGAATGAGAAGAGAAGTTGTCAAGAAGAACAGATATAGAGACATTATCAAACATATTGACAAGAAGTCCAAGTAAAGCTGGTGGTGTGTGACGTCTAGCAAGAGCATCCCAAATGACTCGTTGGTCTACTGTATCATAAGCTGCCTTTATGTCTAAGAATGCAACAACAGGATAATGGTGATGGCGGTGGAAGTGTGCTTTCATGAGGTCATGCAGACAGAGAGCTTGGTCCATGGCACCACGTCTAGGACGGAAACCACCTTGAGCAACATCCAGAGGAGGGGAAAACTTGTGAAGCACTGGAGAAATACACATTTCCATCAGTTTCCGCACAACGGAAGTTAGTGAAATAGGTCGATAGTTAGCAGCAATTGATGGATCTCCCTTTTTGTAAATGGGAAAAACTTGAGCCTGACGCCAAATAACAGGTACATATGACCATTGCCAACAGATGGTGAACAAGAGTGAGAGTAGTGGAGCAATTTGTGGTCGAATTACTTTCAACATTTCTGCTCTGATATGATCTGGGCCTGGTGCCTTGCAGTTAGGCATAAATTGCATGCATCCCTCTACTACTGAAGAAACAAATGGCGAGTTGGCAGAGGCAAAAGGCAGACTAGTACTGTGAAGAGGAGGAGGAGGACACTGATCTGGGAGGATACTGCTACTGTATACAGATGCAAGATGCTCACACATAATTGTTGCTGCTGTTGCTGGTCCATCACTATGTTGAAACATGTGCTGAGGCTGCCGTCGGCGTTTGAGTAGCTTGATCTTTGATGTTGCTTTGGAAAAGTCTTGTTCCATTGATTTGCAGAAAGCATGCCATGATTGGCGCTTAGATGATTGCACTTGATGTCGGAATTCTGCCTGCGCTTTGAGATGCTTATCCCACCAATAAATTCTGTCTATACCACATGCATGGCGCCATTTCTTGTAGCAGAAATTGCGGTGCTCCACAGCTGCTTGAAGTACTGAATTCCAGAATTTTTTCCAGTGGGAAGGACGGGGAGGACGGTTGCCAATTGAGCTACTTAAAGAATTATAAATGAGTGAGTTGAATTCATCAGTTAGTGCATCAATTGGTGGACGTGAGGAAGGAGGGTGTTCGAAGGTCGATTGCAAAGTGGATTTGAGGTTGGTGGAATTAGTGACAAATGTGTGGGCATATAGTTTGAGAACATCAGGCTCTTGAAGACGTGAGAGGTTCCATGTTTTGCGAGATGGTGGTGGTGCATGTGATGTTGGATTGATGGCATATGTAAATGAAAGTGAAAGCAGACGGTGGTCAGAGTTGAGTGAGAGGTCGGTATGAATGTTGAGAGTGGCATTGGTGAGGGACATATTAGTGATAAACAGATCAATGATACTGCTTATCTCCACATTTTGGCGGAATGAAATGAATGTAGGTATGCATGGTGAGAGCTGGCCATTGACAACAGTAAGAGCACGTTCTTCTAACCATTGACAAAGAGCAAGACCTCGAGTGTTAGTAGCATAGTCACCAGTAAGTCAACCCAAACGTGAATTAAAATCGCCACAGATAATAGTGTCATTGGTCAAAGGAATGGACACTGCAAAAGGAGGGCCAATTCAGTATACTAAATCTTGACCAAATACTGTCTGAATGAATAAAATTCAGCATGAATTCGATTGGAATTTATGATGCCAATTTTTTAAAATTCGTGAGCTAAATGAATACAATTAGTATACTGAATTTTAGGAACGCAAAAAGAAAAAGTGTGATATACTTTTATGTGATATATTTTGGTCGTGAAAATATAGACGCACTTTTATCAGACCGCAGATTTTTCATTTTATATTGGTTTTGGGGTTTTTTTTTAAATACAGCACATAACATTCAACATCTTTTTATTACTATATATGGGTTGTTAAAGAAGAGATTTGGTCAAGATTTGGTCAAGATTTAGTCAAGATTTAGAGGTTTATGGGTCATTTTAAAGGTTTTTATTGGTTTGAAAAAATTTTCTTATTGTTTCTAGCTGTTTCTATTCGTCTACATCACTAATCGTCTTCTGTTGCAATTGGGTAGAAACATCACACTCGATGCCGTCATTTATTTTAGTGGATACTATGTTATTCCTTTCGAACATCCATTGGTCCACCCCTGGTGCAATCGACCCCTACTGTATTCCATTGCTTGCTGCGGCACGCCTTCTTGGCCTGTTTGTTTACTTTTATAAAAAATAATTATAGGGTGGATTAGAAAGAATGTTCTAGGTATATTTATTTGAGAGCGACAGATTATTTAAAAAATATGAATGTACTTACAATAAAGTTAAACACGAGAACAGATGGATGTCTTTAACATAAAGATAGATATATCAACGTTTTAGTTAAATGTCTCAATTATAGTAATATTGTCTATAAAAATAATAACTTTTGTTAATACGATGCAAAGTAAATAAGACTATGGTTTGCTTACCAGACAGTTCAGAAAACAGAAGAGTTGACAAACACAAAATACAATGACATTGTCTATAAAATATAATCTTTTATTAGAATGAAATAAAGAGTATCAGACTATTTTTTGCTTACCAATTATTCAATACAATAGAAGATGCAGCATGCGGGAAATGGAGATATTATCTATAAAATAATTTCTTTTCATTAGAATTACATACAAAGAAGTAGAATGATTATTTACTTACTTGTCTGTCTGTAGAGAATAAGAGTCGGTGTATAATCAAAAAAAGAGGACCGAGATAAAGATCAGTGACTATAGAGTGTATGGTATACATAAGAAAAATAATAAATACAAGTTGTATCTTGAAGGTGCACGTTAATATTTATACAACATACCATTTTGTAAACCCTCCCAAGGTATATGTCTTTGTTAACGGGCCAGAAAAATATAAGCAGAATAATTAATACATAAATCGTGAATAAATATTCAAGTATATTTTTATTACCTTTTTATCATTATTTTTGAGGCAGTTAAGAAGGACTTGGTGGTTTAAAGCATAGTGTATCATGCTAGAATAAAAACAACAAGATGATTAGGTCTTGAAACTTTGATGTGAGTTGATGCTTACCATGTTAGACATTAAGAAAGAAGTAAAGAAGAAGAAAGAAAAAATTAAAAAAAAAAAAAACGGGGGAAATTCAAAATTATAATTTTATGACCGTTGACCCTGAGAAACTGATAGAATCAATGGAGCAAATTGAAAGTCATTCAACCCATCCCGATTGAGACAAGACATTACGTACTAAACCATAATCTCTCACATCTTTGTAATGGATGTAAGCTATTACAAATGCCTTTCCAAGTCGGCTTATAAAGAAAAGTATAATATAGAGAGCAAAATGCTATAAAGAGCATCATCAGAAAAATAATCTTTTGGTGCCTTACTTTCCACCTTTACGTATGTTTTGATTTATTTTATTATTTTAAAGAAACCCGACTCTAATTATTAAAGTATTCACATTGTTTCCATTTCTTTCATTAGCCTTAAATATCTCAATTCATGTCTTCTAATACGCAGCAATCCAAAAAAACGAAAAAGACGACTACAAAAAAGTCTGTTCAACAAACCGCTGGGACAGCAGCAAGCACAAGACAACGGGAAATTCTTCCCAGCTTGACAGTTAGCGCAGAGCTAGATGGTACTGTCCTGTCCACTTTGTCCACCATGAGCACCTGACTGAATGAATCTCATTCACTTCTGGAGAAGGTCTACCACAACATGGGAGCAACCAATGGCCAGAATAACAATTCGAACCATAGTCCCATCGGTCAGGCTCTTACTACAGGAGAATATATAAAGTACCGCCTTCCAACGGTTTCGGTAGGATATATACTAGTAATAGAATATTGCAAAGTTACTTACATTATATTTTGCAGAGATTGATCCGTTCTCAAACACGAGCAGTTCTGGCAACAATGCCATTGACAGTCAATGAGGGCGCCTTCTCGACATCCAACCGTCCCATTGCTGATGTAGTGCAGAGCTACACACATCAGCAAGCTGAAGTAAAGTCTGTTTCGTCTGCAGTTGTGGAAGAGAAAACCCGAAGACATATTTCGTATATGCTTCAAAGGGCAAAAGCTTTGCCAGAAAAGATAGCTCAACAAAATCGGATTTCTCGACGCCGGTCCAGAAAGAGAAACGTAAGTATAGTCAACAGTTTTTGTGTAAACTATTTTAACTTTTTTTTTCAGATTCTTGCAGACTACAAGGCAATTCACTTAGCTGACAAGGCAAACCTTGAGTCTAAGTTTGGTGAGACTGTCGTTGACCTTCTGGACTATGACATGTTGTCTGATATTGAGTCAGATGAGGAGAAAAATAAAACTAGATATACTCCTAGAAATAGACATCTCTTGGTAAGGCTCTCATGATAAAAGTTATTTTTTTTAATACTTCTAACTCAAAAGTATTTATATTATAATGCAGGTGGATGAATACTTTACTGTTTTGAAGAAACGGAGACTTGCTAACAAGGGACCAGACGTCATTGGCAATTCTGTCTATCCAATTATTTTGAGAAACACCAAGTTATCGAATGAGAAAAAGGCACGTGTTGCTGCTTGGATTCACACACGCCAACAATAAATCGTTATTTTGTTTACAAAGTGCATATAGTACTTTAATGATTTTTATTGATTGTGTTGAATGATGTGGGTGAAGTGGTAAAATATAATCAGGCGGTATTGTCAAGATGAGAAGCAATTAATATATAAATAAAAGGAAAAAGAAAAAGACAAAATCAAAAATCAAAATAATAAATTATTATTTTATTTTATTTTATTTTATTTTATTTTAAAGCCAATTAATAAAAAAAAATATATATACAAAGCAATTATTTAATTATATAACCCTGATTGTTTTATCCTCGTTTTTTTATTGGAAATTATAATACCGATATTAGCAAGAATATGCAATAAAGGCAAAGAAAATGGTAAATGTCGGGTATTAAATATACAAGTTTTTTTGTCTTTTATATTATTGATAAAAGCAAGAGAAATAAATAATGGTTTTTACTATTTGTTAATAGTTAAAAAAAACTGGTAATATAATTTACTATTGCTCTTTTAAATACTTAATAAAGAAGTAATGTTAAAACTAAATAAGAATACAGAGATAAATAAAGCTAAACCTTTTTACAGTCAAAAAAACTTGTATTATAATTATTTATACTGGTAACCTAAATAGTTGTTATTTTTTTTTATGTGACTACTTTTCTAGGCAGTGGAATAACCAGGTGCTTTTGCGTCCCACTCTGCATTTTATGCGTAGTCAACGCAAAGCACGAATGCAGACGATGCACTGGAACAATGCATGAAGCATCTTCTTCCATAAATCCCTTGTCCCACAACTGCAGACCTTGATCAGCTAATGGCTGATGACTACTTGAATGGTAGGCGGGAAACCATTTAATGAATGCAAACGTTGACACTCTTTTGACTCCACCGATCTTGATGGTATGAGTAAATAAATACTCTATTTGACCAGGGAATTCAGATACATCGTCATTTGTTCTCTCAAGAAACAATACCCTCACAAAAGACCCGCACTTCTTCTTTTCACCACTGCAGTACTCTTGCCCCAGCAACGAAATCTTCTTCACCTTTTGAATCCGATTGTTCACAAATACATCCTCACCAATTGGGATTCTCCCTACCACACAGAAGGAAACACTTGTACTCCGGTAAGCCTTGACATAGAATTCAAATAACCACTGATAGTGATCATCCTTCATCATAGTCAAAGGCTGCAACTTGATTGGCAATGTGGTTGGGGGCAAGGCCTCACTTCCGGTGACATTGTACCATGGATTTGTAGCAGCTTGTTGGAACATTGCTAAGCTAAATGGCAACGCAGGAGGGTGGCCAGCATCCAAATTCAAGGGAGAAGAGCTGTCGGAATTTGATTTTACTTGGGCAACCCCCTCAAGGAACTCTATCAGTGGTGATGAAAGATTGGTAGAATACGCTCAAAGAAAGCTACCAATGAATGCTTTCTCCAGGAAGACTCTCATGAAGGTGACCTCAAGACCATTGCGACGGTTCGTCTTGATGTTCTTCAACTTGCCGTTGTATCTCTCGAAGCTATACAGCCAGAATGTGTATACCGGACCAAAATTAAGCATTGACTCACGCAAGTGCATATGCAAGTTCATATTTGGCGTGATGCTGCTCTCTCCATAAAGAGTCTCACACTCTTTTCCGAATTCTCCAAGGAGCTGGTGTGCGCTGTCAATTTCTGAATATGTGACTGAAGGACCAGTCAACTTTCGGCATGCTTTTACAAAGAGAGTCCAGTTTTTGTAGTCGTCTTCAGGCAAAGCGTCTTTTAGTACCACCAACAAATAAATCAGACACCACGATCGCCACTCGTCTGCCTTCATATACAGGAAACCAGATTCGATCTTTGTTGATAAAACGGCATACCCAGGAGGAACAAGAATACCATCGGCAAGACATTGCATACGGACGAGAACAGCAGTTGGGAGATACCTCAGGTCTTTCTAAACACTGATCATACACTTTGCTGTCCCAAGAAACAAATTGTGCATGGGATCAACAATCATGCATCGGACGGGATCAAAGTAGTGTAGGCGATGCAACTCGGAAAAACGGGTGCCATGCTGCTTCTCCAAAACAGCTCTCTCTGCATCAGATTCTGCGCAGAACCACATCTCAGCTTCGGTTGCATTTTCCTCTTTTGTTCGGGAGACCCAGTTCTCATGATCGAATCCAGAATAATTGATCTTACTTGTTCCAGCAACAACAGTGAAATGACGCTTGCATATGTGACAGGCGTTTGTACTTGCAAATCCTGTAAATCCAGCAGTCTTTCTTGCAGCAGGTATGTCGCAAGCAACACACATAAGAGCAGCGCGGATACTAGTACCATTGGGGAACTCTGGAGTTTTCATAGTTATGCTGCCGTATAACTCTACCAGCTCGTCTACCAGAGGTTCCAAGAAGTTGTTCATCTGGTCGATCTTTGCTTCCTTTGGACCAGGCATGACACCGACAAGGATAATGTTTTCCGGCTTCATTCTTTCTTCCCTAGGCAGGTTGTTCATTGACAGGTACAAGGCCCCACTTGCATGTGTACGACCCTCGAACGGTTGAAACCAATCCACATTCAATGTCAACATCAAAGAATGGTCGTGATTCACAAAAGGCTCGTCATCTTCATCAAGGAGCTCAGACCACATTGCACCATCATAGACGTCCAACAAGGTACTGTTTACGGTTTCCCTTGATCTCCATTGAACGATTTGATGCTCGAACCCAGGTTTGGCGAAATGCTGTGCCAATGCATTCTTGAGCGAGTTGTATGGAAAAACCATGAGAGGGATGGCGCGATCAGCTTCGGTGTCAGAGAAAAGAGGATTTCCGCAGTATGTTGGTGGTGTGGTTGTGTATTTTTCAAATGTGCAATTTGGTTGGCGATTGCCTGGTAGGTAAATTGCAAAGCACTTGTTGCAGATAGTGTATTTGACGATGCTTTTTGTCATGAAATTGAAGCCGGTCATAGTCTTTAATGCATCAATGGTGAGTGGGAGATCGGTATCCTTATCAAAGGCAACAAGAAGATGGCGGAAGAATTTCAACATAGCAGTTCCACCTGCTTGAACCAAGTAAAACGCCTGAAAGATAACGCCAAATAGAGCCATGAATTGGCTTGTTTGAGACATTTCATGAATTTTCAAAGAAGCAACTACAAAGGCAAGTATTTCTGTTAATTATTTGTAACACAATTTATGTATATTTCTTTTTTAAATGTATGCATACCGGAAGCAACCATGTCTTCAAAATCTTCAACACCGGCAACCTCAACTTCGCTCTCATCTTCAGACTCATCACTTGAATCAGGATCGTCATTGTCAGAAGCCAATGATGTTGTCTTGACATCAGACTCTTCGAATTGAAAAATCTCGTCTTCTCTCAAAAAAGGTACACTCTGTACGGTAGTTTCGGCTGATACAATAGAATAATTGTCTTCATCTATAGTAAAACCAGACTATTAGCTATCTAAATTATGATTTATTAAAAAGAAATTTTATACTCACAATCAATCGATGTTTCAGATACATCTACCATCTCAACGTCTGTCTCTTCTTTGACAACTTCTGTATTAACTGATAATTAACAAAAAAAAATATTAGATTACAATTTATCCAGTAATGCGCGTACTACTCAAATGTCATTTACCTCGATTTTTTGGGCCAATGTCTAATAACTTATCAGCATTATTATGACGCTTAAAGGTCTGTGCATTTTGCAAAATTCCGCCAATTGCATTTTTGGTACATGATGAACATGTACACATAACAGTGTAGGTTTTAGTTGTAGAATTCATAACAGTAAGAATAATATTAATAATAATAAAATAATAAAGAGGTGTATACTATATTTTATTTTCATCTTTTATATGTCTCTTATTTTTGTCATTAATAATGAGTTGATATATCTTGTTCACTATGTCATTGACTACATTGAGCTTACCGTCCCTATTAGTAAGAATTACAAATAGATTTTGATGCAGCAATCTTTTCTTAAAAAAAGTGTGCCTGATTATTAATGGGGCTTCAATTTAATAATCACTGATATAATGGCGTAGTTTTTCTCTTTTGCGTTTTTTTAACATGACATCAATTCTCGCTCATTTTGGCAAGTGGCCTTTTTTGGATTTTCTTTTTCTTGTATTTTTTATGACATCAATTTTTGCTCTTTTTTTCAATTTTTTTTGATATACTTTCTTATTAAAAATAAGTCATATATCATATATTATTATATTCTAATAAAAATCGGTATTTTTTGCGATGCAATAAAAATATTATTGAGTCTAAATTAGGTGCATCTGTAACAACAAGTTTTTCCTTCCAGAAAAATAATTAAATACTACATTTAACATTTAATATTTTATTTTTATTTTTTATTTTTCTGCCAAGTCAATCGAAACATTTTTTAAGACAATTGTACAATTTATTGCCTAATTAATAAATATTTGTGTTTGTATCTGTGTTTATTTAATATAATCAGAAAAAATTGCGAATTCCCATCTCAAGAAAAAAATATATTGAAAAATGATGGTGTTTGAAATATTTTTCCAAATTTTGCCAAAATTCAAAAAATAAAATTCGACCAAATCCACCCTCCTTTTGCAGTGGGATGAGAGAACTGCAAGAGCATCATGGGTGGACATAGAGGGCGGTAAGTACAAGCATACAATTCTGAGGGAGCCAATCTTGATGGCTAAAGCATAATTAGATGACATAGGAATCTGAGTGACAGGATAAGGACAAGATGGAGAAATAAGAACAGAAACACCCATAGAACCTCTGTAGTTGCTAGCTACAGGTGAACCATAAAGATGAATCTGGGACCAAGAAGTGGGGAGACAAGATGGGGGGAGAAGCCATGTTTCAGTGATAAAAAGCATATATAGAGAGTGACAGTGTTGAAGAACATCATAAATTGCACGAGGCTGCAGACCATTAGCATTCCAAAGTCCTAATGAGATTTCACTCATTCAGATATTGCAACAGAGGTACGACAAGATGGTGATTGGAAATCATGAATACCAGCACCAGGACCAGAAACAGAATGGACAGGAATATCTTCCTTAGAGATCCAGTCTTGATCACAAAAGAAATGACCAACAGGAACAGCAACATGAGGACGAAGGTACTTGAGAGCCTTCAGACAACGATCAGAATGAAGTTCAGCAGCAACTTCTTCTAGCTCTGAATCAGAAAGAGACTTATATTTGGGATCTGCAATGTTTTTGGAATCCAAAGGGTCAAACGCATCTAAGATCTCAATGGCAACTGTGGTCAGAGTGGTCTGGAATTTCTCAGCATACTGGTTGTGAACTAGGATGCCAACTACATCTTTGGCAGGAAAATTGATATCCAAGATGCGGCCAGTATCAACACCAAGTGTTTTTTACGAGTTGTGTACTTTTTTATGTGTGAGACGACGTAAACGTGCCTTCTTGGCTCAGTTGGCAGAGCGTCTGCCTAGTAAGCAGAAGGTCGCCAGTTCAATTCTGGCAGAAGGCAAGATTACACTATTATACTTTTAATGTATATTGTCTATTATTATTTTTGTCGGACATTATTTTGATGAATCCGAGAAATCGGGATAATTGACTGCAGCAGTTCTGTATGTCAAAGATACCTCATAGATAACGAACTGCAGTAATGTCTTGTAAAGATTAACCACAGTAACATCTTCTGAGCATCAACCGCAGTAAAAGGACTTCTCTTGTAATTAAATAGAGTATAATAGTTTACTGCGGATAATGCGCAGTATTAGTTTAGAAAACTATATAAGACAATTCAATTCCTATCAATAAAAAGGACCTTTTATCCTCTCTTCGATTTTACATATACTCTCCGATCCCCAGTGGGTTTGACCTTTTGACTTTGCTATAGTAAAAGGAAGACCATCCCAGATCAGGAACGACAATTGGTAGCTGAAGCTATTTTTCCTCTAACAAGACCTTTGATGAATCCGGTTGAAAGACACCAAGACATATTTGATAAGAAGACCCTTAGCCAATTCGAGATTGAAGAACGAGTCCAGGACTTGTTACCCAGCGAATTAGTAAACGACTACAAGAAGAATCGGCGTGTTCCTCATATCCCTGAAGAACAGCGTATTAAGAAGACCCCTGCCCGAGAACAGAAGTGGACCGAACTAGCCACAAAACTAGCCGCAACCTTAACAGGAAAGAACAAACAAGAACAAGAAGAAACAATGGCCCCCCAAACCGCCACTCTAACAGCCGAAGCAATTGCTGCTGCCGTCGCTGAAGCAATGAAAGCAATCACGGTGCAGCAGGAGGCCCGTGCTGAACGAATCAAGCAACCTGATTGCTTCCATGGAGAACGTTCTGCCACAGTAGTGGATGGTTGGCTGCGCGCAGTCGAACGTTACACCAGATACTACAATTTTTCCGCAACAAAAGCCTGTGAATTTGCAGTGAATCTGTTGCGTGACAGAGCAGACACATGGTGGAGACGCATGGAAGTAAAGGACAAACATCCAACAACCTGGGATGAGTTCAAGATGGCTCTGTCGGGAGAATTTCGTCTAGTCTACTCACTACAGACGTCCAGGGACCGCCTTGCTCGACTATACCAAACAGGAACGGTCGCAGAGTACATCGACGCGTTCCACAACATCCAGTTGGAGTTGCCTGGAATGAACGATGAAGAAGCCCTCGACAAGTTTGTCCGCGGACTTCACCCCACCATACGAGGAAATGTTCTTGCCGCCCGACCTGTCGACGTTGACAATGCCTGCAACATCGCTTTGGCATATGCCAGTGGCCTCCACTTGGGGCAACAGAACAACTACGCACCCGTCCCCCAACCGTACCAACAGACATACCAACAGCCGTACCAACAGCAGTACAGTGGTCCCGAGCCCATGGACCTGGATGCGATTCAAGGTCGCCATAATAACTATCGATCTCACCCCCCTCAGAAACGTAATGTGGCTACTTGCCATTGGTGCGGCGAAGTTGGTCACTTCAAGAGGAACTGTAGGGATCGATTAGCAGCGATTAGACAGTTAGATGAGGCACGTAGCAAGAAGCAGGGTTTTCGCGAAACACAACCGTAACGGGAGGTCGGTTGTGTTCAATGGAAGAAAAATCCTCCCCACAGGCTAATAATATTAGCGAAACTAGCGAACCAGAAATTAATAAAGACGTGTCTGAACAGTATACAAATGTTACCAATGAAGAGCCTGAGACTATGTCTGAAGAAAATTGTGACCCTTGTCTCACTGCCGACCAACATTTCTTAGAAGATCTCCATGCTGCCATGGACACAGACTTGCCCTTATACGCTGCTATACTTGACGGACAACAAATCCTGGTGTTAATTGATAGTGGTGCTAGTGCAAACTATGTATCACCCCAGATCGCCCATTTGGCCACACACATTTTGGATATACCCGGACGATCAGTCGAAACTGCAGGAGGACACAGCATTAAGATCCATCAGAAGGCAACATTAAACCTCTCTTTAAATGGATACACTGACACCATCGATGCTTTTGTATTTCCCACTAAATTCGACTTGATTCTTGGCCGCACTTGGTTGCAAATGGCTAAACCCGTCCCAGATTGGCATGTCGATAGCTGGTCTTTACATCGTGATGAACAAGAATTTATTTTGCGTCCTCATGGGCCCCGTCCTACTAAACCTCACCTAAACTATCTGATATCTGCAAAACAAATTGAGAAACTCTCTAGGAGAGAGGAGGCCGAATGCTTTTTGTTGCACATTAAGACAGAAAAAGAAATACATAATGATGAACACTGGATGAAATTAGTAAAAGAATTTGAGGACGTTTTCCAAGACGGTTTACCTGGATTACCGCCGAACCGTGACGTCCAACACGTTATAAACACTGGAGATGCCTACCCTGTCAATAAACCACCATTCAAAATGAGCCCTCGAGAACTCGACGAATTACAGCAACAACTAAAGGAACTTCTAGACCTCGGCTTAATTCGTCCGAGTTCTTCGCCATGGGGTGCTCCAATTTTATTTGTTAAAAAGAAAAATGGTGAGATGCGCATGTGTGTTGATTACAGAGCCCTGAACAAAGTTACTATCCGCAATAACCATCCATTGCCACGCATCGATGAGTGTTTGGAACGCCTTCGTGGAGCAAACCATTTCACCAGTTTGGACCTCAAAAGCGGTTACCATCAAGTGAGAATTCAAGACTCAGATGTGCCAAAAACCGCCTTTAACACCCGATATGGCCAATATGAGTTTCTGGTTCTTCCCTTTGGTCTCACCAATGCCCCACCGACGTTTCAGCATCTTATGAACAAAGTTCTTGGAGATTGTTTGGATAAGTTTGCCTTAGTCTATTTGGATGATATCCTAATCTTTAGCACGACACCAGAAGAACACGAAGAACATGTACGACATGTGTTAAACCAACTACGTGAAGCGAAATTAATTGCCAACCTTAAAAAATGCGAATTTAACAAAAACGAACTAACTTTCCTTGGATTCAACGTATCTGCGCAAGGCATCTTACCATCGCCAGACAAAGTAAAGACTATAAAAGAATGGACACCGCCAACAAATGTACAAGAAGTTAGACAATTTATTGGCCTTGCACAGCACTACCGCCGCTTCATCCCTGGGTTTGCTGGAATCGCTGCGCCCTTAACAGACTTAACTAAAGGGACAGGACCAAAACGACGGCCTATCGTTTGGACGGAGACATGCCAGGAAAGTTTTGATTTACTAAAAGAGAAAATGAGTACTGCACCTGTATTACTTGCCCCAGACATGGATAAACCATTCCGCATTGAAACAGATGCTTCAGATTTTGGTGTTGGTGCCGTATTAATGCAAGAAGACGAAAACGGAAGTTGGAAACCATTAGCGTTCGAATCGAAAAAACTCTCCCCTGCCGAAAGATCGTATCCTGCTCAAGAGCGCGAGTTACTCGGTATTCTACATGCCTTGCGTACTTGGCGCTGCATGATCGAAGGAAAACCGTTCACTGTATTCACCGATCACTTACCACTCAAGTATTTTCGCAGTCAGGTTAAGCCCACGCCTCGCCTGATAAGGTGGATTTCTGAATTCGAGCTGTACGACCCGATAATTCAATACAAACTGGGCAAAGACAATGGTGTCCCTGATGTGCTCTCTCGTCTCGATGGCCCAGAATACGATGCAACATTAATTAAATCAATGGAACCAGAATACCTGTACACCATACCAGACTCACAAACGTCCGACTGGCCAAAATTTTATGCACGAAAAAAAGATGAATGGCCAGAAGACATAAAAGAATTACTCCATCGGCAACGCAATAAGTTTGTGGTCCACGACCAAAAGGTTTTCCGTCTCGTTAAAATAGGTGACATGGTACAAGAAATTCGTTTTGCACTGTTTGCCAAGCGTGCAGACTTAGTAAATAATTTCCACAATGGTTTCGGACATGCTGGAGAAACAACGGTGTATGATTTAATGAAGAAGCGTTGGTGGTGGCCAGCCATGAGAAGTCAAATTCAAGAATGGTTATCGAAATGTCATCAATGTCAATTGGTCTCAAACGCAGAACGCAACATACACCATGCCCCTTTGGAACCATTGGATATCCCCCCTGCTTTCTCTCGTTGGCATCTCGACTTCATTGGAGAACTTCCCACTACAATCAACGGAAATCGATGGATTTTGGTTGCCGTCGACTACGCTACGAATTGGCCAATTGCACGTGCTGTTCCTGCTGCTACGGGCGAAGCCATCGCCAATTTTTTGTACGAAGAAATAGTCATGCGTTTTGGTTGCCCAGACGAAATTCTGACAGATCGTGGTGCAAACTTTATGTCACATATTTTGAGCTTTTACATTAAGAAAATTAAGCTCCATCATAAATTAACCTCAGCATTTCACCCACGTACTAATGGAAAATGTGAAAGGTTAAATGGTGTTCTTAAACAGATGTTACGTAAATATGTACATGGTGCCATTCACCGATGGGACGAATATCTGGAAACAGCACTTTGGGCTTGCCGAATCAGAAAGCATCGTACAACTGGGTTCAGTCCATTTTTCTTGACTTATGGCCGCGAACCTCGTATTCCTGGTGATCCCCTACGTCCATTTATGGATACATCTATCCCTGACGACCCGACCCTCGTATCCGATGGCGCTATCCCTTTTCTTCGTAATCTCCAACAGGCTCGCAAAAATGCTGACGCTCGAGTAACCGCCAACAGCCAACAAGACAAGGAACGATGGGATTCGATCATGAAACCTCATCAGTTCGCAATCGGTGAACATTTGTTGTTGCGGCATGAAAACAAATTTGGACTAGAATATAACTGGATGGGCCCATATATTGTAGTAGATAAAAATTTCGATAAGAATATATACAAGCTCACAACAATGGAAGGTGTCCCTTATACTTCTTGGGTTCATGCTGACCGCCTCAAAATAGCCAAATCCGACGATTTCGACCGCACCTGGTATCACCCGACCGCTGCTCGTAACAATATGCGACGTGATCTGGCCATAGATTCCTCTTCCACCTTGCCGTTCTCGATGATAGAGTCTACCAGAGTTGACCGAGGACGATCAACAGTTTCGAGAGGGGGTGATGTCGGACATTATTTTGATGAATCCGAGAAATCGGGATAATTGACTGCAGCAGTTCTGTATGTCAAAGATACCTCATAGATAACGAACCGCAGTAATGTCTTGTAAAGATTAACCACAGTAACATCTTCCTGAGCATTAACCGCAGTATAATGACTATTTCTTTAATTAAATATAAATAATAACTACTGCGGATAATGCGCAGTATTAGTTTAGAAAACTATATAAGACAATTCAATTCATATCAATAAAAAGTATCTTTTATCCTCTCTTTGATTTTACGTATACTCCTTGATCCCCAGTGGGTTTGACCTTTTGACTTTGTTATAGTAAAAGGAAGACCAACCCAGATCGGGAACGACAATTGGTAGCTGAAGCTATTTTTCCTCCTAAAGACCTTTGATGAATCCTGGTGAAAGACACCAAGAAAATTTTGACAAAAAGACACTTAGCCAGTTCGAGATTGAAGAACGAGTCCAGGGCTTGTTACCCAAAGAACTAGTAAACGACTACAAGAAGAACCGGCGTGTACCACATATACCTGAAGAACAGAGACTCAAGAACACTCCTGCACGAGAACAAAAGTGGTCCGAACTTGCAAAAAAACTTGCCGCAACATTAACAGGAAAAAATAAAGAACTAGAAGAGATGGCCCCACAAACTGCCACTGTAACCGCTGAAGCAATCGCAGCCGCTGTTGCAGAAGCAATGAAAGCAATCACAGCACAACAGGAGTCCCGTGCCAAACGAATCAAGCAGCCTGATTGTTTCCGAGGTGAACGCTCCGCCGCAGTAGTAGATGGCTGGCTGCGCGCAGTCGAGCGTTACACCAAGTACTACAATTTCGCCCCGACCAAAGCCTGCGACTTTGCAGTAAATCTTTTGCGCGATAGAGCTGACACATGGTGGAGACGCACGGAACTCAAAACAGACCATCCCACTACTTGGGTCGAATTTAAAGCAGCCCTCACCAGAGAATTCCGCCCAGTTTATTCCCTCCAGACCTCTAGAGATCGACTAGCACGATTACACCAGACTGGGACTGTTGCTGAATATATCGATGCCTTCCAAGACATTCAATTGGAATTGCCTGGAATGAACAATGAAGAGGCACTTGATAAATTTGTCCGTGGACTACACCCGTCCATCCGTGGAAATGTCCTTGCTGCCCGCCCTGTTGATGTTGACAATGCTTGTAACATCGCCTTGGCATATGCCAGTGGTCTCCAACTCGGATACCAGAACAATTATGCGTCTGTACCACCTCCGCAACAATACCAGCAGCAGTACCAGCCACAGTACCAACAACAGCAATATCAGTACAGTGGACCCGAGCCCATGGACCTGGACGCAATCAACAACCGTCGCAGCAACTACCAGTCTCGCCCGCCTCCAAGACGCACTAATGCTACTTGCCATTGGTGTGGTGACTCCGGTCATTTCAAGAGAAATTGTAGAGACCGTCTGGCCGCAATCAAGAAGTTGGACGAGGAGCGTCTTAAGAAGCAGGGTTTTCGCGAAGCACAACCGTAATGGGAGGTCGGTTGTGTACAATGGAAGAAAAATCCTCCCCACAGGCCAGTATTAGTAATGAGCCTACAGAACATTTAAGTAATAAAGAAACTTTTGACCAGTACAAAATTGTTACCAATGAAGAGAAAAAAGCCATTTCCAAAGAAAATTGTGACCCTTGTCTCACCACCGATCAACGTTTTTTGGAAGACCTTCACTCTGCTGTGGACACAGATTTACCATTATATGCGGCAACACTTCACGGACAACAAATCTTGATTCTCATCGACAGTGGAGCCAGTGCAAACTATGTGTCACCCCGGATCAAACACCTTGCCACAAAAGTCTCGAATATTCCTGGGCGATCAGTTGAAACCGCTGGAGGGCATAGCATCAAAATTAACCAGAAAGCCACACTTACACTTTCTCTTAATGGTTATACTGATAGTGTTGATGCTTTTATCTTCCCCACTAAATTCGATTTGATTCTCGGTCGCACATGGTTACAGACTGCTAAACCTGTTCCTGATTGGCATCGAGATAACTGGTCTTTATATCGTGATGGCCAAGAGTTTGTCCTGCGTCCCCATGGCAACCGCCCCATGAAACCTCAACTTAATTACCTCATTTCTGCAAAGCAAGTCCAGAAACTCTCTTGGAGGGAGGAGGCAGAGTGTTTTTTGCTGCACATCAAGACCGAGAAAGAAGTAACCAACAATGAACAATGGATGAAACTAGTGAAAGAGTTTGACGATGTGTTCCAAGACGGTTTGCCAGGGTTACCACCGAGTCGAGATGTACAACATGTAATAAACACTGAAGATGCACACCCTGTAAACAAACCGCCTTTTAAGATGAGCCCCCGAGAACTTGACAAACTCAAAAAGCAACTCAAAGAACTCCTTGACCTTGGTCTCATTCGCCCTAGCTCATCTCCATGGGGTGCTCCTATATTATTTGTAAAGAAAAAGAATGGCGAAATGCGCATGTGTGTAGACTATCGTGCTCTCAACAAAGTCACAATCCGCAATAACCATCCTTTACCAAGAATTGACGAATGCCTAGAACGATTGCGTGGAGCCAACCATTTCACCAGCCTAGATCTCAAGAGTGGCTACCATCAAGTACGCATTCAAGATTCAGATGTGCCAAAAACAGCGTTTAACACCCGCTATGGTCAATACGAGTTCCTGGTCCTTCCTTTTGGTCTTACCAACGCCCCGCCAACTTTCCAACATTTGATGAACAAAGTTCTGAGAGAATGTTTAGACAACTTCGCTTTGGTCTACTTGGACGATATTCTCATATTCAGTAAAACCTCAGCAGAACACGAAGAACATGTACGACATGTCTTGAACCGTCTCCGCGAAGCCAAGCTGATTGCCAACTTTAAAAAATGTGAATTTAACAAAAAGGAACTGACATTTCTTGGTTTCAATGTGTCTGCTCAAGGTATCCTCCCGTCTCCAGATAAAGTCAAGACCATACAAGAATGGGTTCCACCCTCTAATGTTCAAGAAGTGCGCCAATTTATTGGTTTGGCACAGCATTATTGCTGTTTTATCCCAGGTTTCACTGGAATTGCTGCTCCATTAACTGATCTTACCAAAGGAACAGGACCTAAACGACGACCAATTGTATGGACTGACACTTGCCAAGACAGCTTCGACATCCTTAAGGAAAAACTCAGCACTGCACCTGTACTACTTGCACCAGATATGGACAAACCTTTCCGAATTGAGACAGATGCTTCTGATTTTGGTGTCGGTGCTGTATTGATGCAAGAAGATGAAGAAGGAGTCTGGAAACCACTGGCATTTGAATCCAAGAAACTTTCCAGTGCTGAACGTTCCTACCCAGCCCAAGAACGTGAACTTTTAGGAATACTGCACGCACTACATACCTGGTGCTGTATGATTGAAGGGAAACCATTTACTGTTTTTACTGACCACCTGCCTCTCAAGTACTTTCGTAGCCAAGTTAAACCAACCCCTCGATTAATAAGATGGATTTCCGAATTCGAGTTGTACGACCCCATTATTCAATACAAACCTGGCAAAGACAATGGTGTCCCGGATGTACTTTCTCGAATGGACGGTCCCGAATTTGATGCATCTACAATTGAGTCTATGGAGCCAGAGTATCTGTACACCATGCCCAAATCACAGACTTCAGATTGGCCCAAATATTATGCTCGCACAGAAGATGAGTGGCCAGACGACATAAAAGAGTTGCTACACAGACAACGCAAGAAATTCGTGGTTCATGATCAGAAGGTTTTCCGCTTGGTTAAGATTGGTGACACATTTCAAGAAATCTGTTTTGCTCTGTTTACCAAGTGTGCTGATCTGGTAAACAATTTCCACAATGGGTTTGAACATGCTGGTGAGACAACAGTTTATGACTTGATGAAGAAACGTTGGTGGTGGCCAGGAATGCGAACACAGATCCAAGAATGGCTTGCAAAATGCCCCCAGTGTCAATTAGCGTCCAATGCCGAGCGAAATATCCACCATGCACCCATGGAACCCCTAGATATTCCCCCTCCATTTTCCCGCTGGCATCTAGATTTCATTGGAGAGCTCCCAACAACTGTAAATGGTAACCGATGGATTCTCATTGCAGTAGATTACGCCACCAATTGGCCAATAGCACGTGCTGTACCTGCTGCTACTGGTGAAGCAATAGCCAATTTCCTGTATGAAGAAATTGTAATGCGTTTTGGTTGTCCCAATGAGATCCTCACTGACCGCGGCGCCAATTTCATGTCACACATCCTCAGCTTTTACATTAAAAAGNATTAAATTACACCACAAGTTAACATCAGCATTTCACCCTCAAACCAACAGAAAATGTGAACGTTTAAATGTAT